AAATTGATTGTTCAACATAAGTTATGTTAGGAAAATTTCTACACATTAAAGTGTAAGCACGTTGATATGCGCAAGTTTTTGACGCCAGACAAACCTTTGCAACCTCCATGCGTTTCCAATACAATACGGCACTTTGAAAGGTGCCTGCGTTTTGGTTTTGTGCTAGCACGCCTTCTCTCCATGCCTTGAATGCTTTACCACACAACAAATTGTCAAGTCGCCAGAGAGTCTTTGTTGTTGCTCCCTACAACCAAAAAAAAGTAAATAATCTTTCTCTTATAGTCTCAGTCACCTTGTGTTCCCCATATCCAGTTCATTAGCAAATTCCTTAATTTACATATTTAAGGCATGAATGAAAATCAGACTTCAAGCTCTCTAATTCTTTGAGAGACCAAAGCAAACCAACAGCTAAGTGAAGTGATGAGAGAGGAAGAGCTTGCCTTTGTAACTTTTTGTTCGCCTACTACTAGTATCACCATCCATTTCCTAAAAAAAGTTGCAAGCGTCGGAATGGTGAAGCACTTAGAAAAGATTTTAACATAATTCGCATGTGCATGAACCCGAGCCACCCAACATGTCCATAATCTTGCCAACAACATTTGGCGCCAATGCGCCATGGCAGAAGCCAACAAAGCGCGTTGATTGATTGAATCGCGCGTGAATATCTTCCAAGCGCCCCAAGCAAATGCTATGGTGGTGCGTAGCATCCTAACGGCCAACCCTACGAGGTATTACCACATCACTTACCATCGTTGGATTTTTCAATGCAAAATGCTACATTATTTGTGCACGCAAAAAAATGAATGGCATGAAAATGTGCATGAAATGCCGTCTGGAAGAAATACAAGAAGTGGAACCAAGCCACAATGAAGGTTGCAAGGTGCATAAATATGTGCTTCAAGTTGATGTAGATACCTAGACATTTTGCTTTGGCATTGGCGTTGCATTGGGTTTGGTATAGCCATTCGTGGAATGCTATTCGAAAGACTTTGTTTCTCCAAAATAACAAAGCTTGCCGGAGTTTAAAAACCCTCGCTTTAACCTCATTGGCGACCTTCTTCCATTGCGAGAACGCAACATGCACTCTCCATCGACCCATTCTTTTTATGGTGTCGTTCACCTAAAGCATGCATATCTACAACTCTTCAAATATTGAATAATAGCAATGCCTCGTCGAATACAAGTATGCATGAATAACCTAAATTGGGACGTTGACGCACGAAACATTGAAAATGTGAAATTGTAAAAGGTGACAGGATCACCTGTGTTACCCTTTTGTTGCGCCCTAGCACAACATCATGCCAAGCTTGGAAGCCCGCGGCAAGGTGTGCATGCATTATTCTATTTAACGACCATTGGATCTTGCCTCTTCTTGCTTGTTGGCAGACAGCAGCCCCATGCCAAGAATTAAATGCATGGGAAAGGACCCCTTGCAACATCTTCACAAGGCATGCAGCCATCTTTTGCTTTCCAAGCTCCATTTGTAACATAATGTTGTGCCACGCTGCAAAAGCTTCCCGAATATATCTTTTCATCAGCACATTCTCGGCGTTTTCCTTTTGGAGCCGTTTTTGCAAACATCTCATCGCCTCATTGTGCCAAATAGAGAAGAATTTCTCCAAAAAGCGCCACGCGCGAAATCTATCAGCTTTGAGAACATTCTCCCGTTTTTGCCGTGCCTCAAAATATCTAGCCCTCCATTGTTGCATTGCTAATGCTTGTGTTCGATGGAAGAAAAATGCCACTGCATAGCGTGCCCTTTGTCGTTTATGTTGCATCTTTTTCAATGCTTCCCGCCATCTTGACCATGATCTTGTTAGTCTGCCATTCTTCATGTACATTGTGGCCCGATTTGTGATCTGTAGATTATGCTTCAACAGTGGCACCATCTCTCGCCAAACAATGAAGGCAGCAGCAATGTGCCAGCTGCGTAGGAAACCTAAGCATAAAGCACACCGCATTTGTTATTGCTTACTTATAAGCGCCTAGAATATGTGTGGCCATCGATGGATATCCAAACCATCTAGTCACCCGGCCGGGTGACTAGATTGCTAGAGGCCTCTAGCAATCTTGTCATAGTGCGATTTTTAAATTTCATATCTTCGTGCATCTGCTACGAATGATAGATTTTTGGTTTGCTCACCTATGGCTTTGCGCATCAGGTCAGCCTTCTTTCGTGACCAATCATGCGTTGCACGCCAGGCATTGAAAGTGGTGAATAGCAACCGACGATACCACATCCCGACTGCGGAACGAAGCTTGTCCACTGCTGCATGGCGTGCTACAATGCACGTGGTCCATCTTCTAAACGAGGTGGATAGGATCCCGTGAGACCGCCGGCCTGTTTAAAAAATAACGATCGCTAGTGCAACAATCACCGTGGAGTAAAACATGCATGTGGCTATAGCATCGGTCTGCACGCCCGCTAACATTTTCACGGTGCTTTGATGAGATTGAAAATATGCATCAATGTGTTTACCTTTAAAGAAAATAAAGTGGACATAAATGTTGTTATTGACAAAGACCCCTCGTGCCCACCTTGTGCTTCGACAAGGCATGCTTGTAGATCAGCTTTGTGCGCAGTGCGCGCCTTCCAAGTTATAAAGCTTGTGTATATTGTCCTGTTGTGCCAGTGGAGGACCACAGAGTGCAACAACTTATGCTTGGCAATCCGTGCCGTCGCCCATGGCGCCCAAGCTTTCCATGCCCTTGACAATTTGTTTTCTCGCCAGTGAGTGACGCTTGCTTGAATTGCTTTGGTCTTGCCTTCTTTCTTCTGAATGATGGCCTGGCCAAGAAAATGTTACCATTAAAAATGTTACAGTATCTCCTGGACCTTGTCACCATACAAGCAACAAAGCAGAGCATCCTACATGCTGACTCTTCTTCATGAATTCTTGATCAATAGGAATCTAACACCACCGTGGTGCGACATGGCCATGGGTGACCCGCACCTGCCACTTTTGAATGGTGAGGGTCATCGTCCGAGAGGCGAGGTGGATAATCGCATCATTATTTTGTGCACGCTTCGCATCTTTTGCCTCACAAAAGCACCTCCATGCCCGCCAAGCTCTAGATGTCACAATATTGCGCATGGCCGCAGCAGCAGATGCCATCCGGAGCCGCTTGGCAATGCCATTCTGCCATACATGGAAAACCATATGTTTTGATGTTGTTGTATTCTCATTGCAAGGTGAGCTCTTATGTTTGACTTGATGTTCCGTCCATATGTTTTGTCAAGGTAGCTATTTGCAGGCCCAATATCAGATGCTTAAAACAATACACGGCTCTGAATAGATGATTTTGGCCGTTCACCTGAACAAAGATCTGCCATTGAGCAAAAGCGCCGTAGAAAGTATGATCGCTCCAATGCGCGAGCGCAAGCTTCATCGAGGCGTGCCATTCCCTTGCGTGTGTCACCTATTCCATGACAAACGGACGACCGTCGTTGTGTGAGTGACTCAATATCAATGCTATTTAGAAGGTGATGAAATATATCAGGTTGAGGTAAGACAATAGATTATAAATTAAGCTAATTTTAAAAATCATTCGCAACACAGCTGCAAAGTGAACATACCTGTTGCACAAAGGCGGAGAAGCCTGCTGAAAGGTGTCGCAAATGCCAGCGTTTGAGGCTCCGTTGCAGGAGGGTCTGCAAGCGTCTCTACAAAAATGGTGTATCTCAGTCATTATTTTGAAAATCACATAGCAAAGAGTGCGAACAATCTCACGGGTGGCTACAGCAATGTATACGTGTCACCACTGATGCATGGCCTGCAATAGGAGGGGGCCTTTGCACACCGTGTTTGTCAGCCATGTGCGCCAAGTCTGAAAGGCTGAGGCGAGGCAGCCATGCATCACGCGCACCAAACACTTCTGCACCTTTGTCTGCTTAGCTCTTGTAGCAGCAGCCTCTGCCTGCCATTCCACGAGCATCATCCCATTAAAAATGTGACTTTACCCCGACATCGTAATGGGCCATGGCCAGAGAGAATATAAGCTATGCAAGCTATGCACAGTACCTGCCATTCTTGCAACAAAGAGCCAAGTCTCAAAGCCATTAGCTTTCTTGCAGCACTCACTCCCACATTCTTGAACGCATCCTCAATTATGGCATGCTCTCGCCAAATAGCAAAACTTGTTGCCAAGTGCCGATGCAGCAAGCGCTGCAAAACGGGGCCGAGCAGTGTCCTGTGCCAAGAGAAATCATACATTCAAACCCTTTCTCATGTGTTACCGTTTCATGCCCTCTCAGGGCCCAATTACTACTTGCACAATGCATATATGACAAGCTTGAGTCATTTTGCAGGGTGACAACAATTTTGGCACGCCTAGAGTTTGCATAAGAAGCAAACATCGAGTATTTGAAGAATTATAATGCCCAGACGGGCATTAAAATCTTACCTTTGATGTTCCTTGATGTCCTTCCATGCCACCCATGCCGCAAGGGCCTTGGACAATGCCAGGTGGGACAGCCTTGCAATGACTACATGTGCCCTTCTTCTCAGATCAGCTAGCTGCAGGGCCGAATCGTGCCATGCTCTGTATAGGCGACCAAGCACTCCCTGCCGCAGCCTCTTGACACAATTCTGCATTGCTGCGCACTTCACACGGCGCAGCGCCGCCGCGTCTTTCCAGCTTGACCATGCCTTTGCCTAAATGCAAAAATGAAATGAAATGATATGAAATCAAAATGGAATGAAATAAAAATTAAATAAAGACACCCTGATGAAGCCTGGAGCAAGGTGACAAAGGTCAAGCCTGCCAAAAGGCATGGTTGACCTCGCCACTGTGAGGGCATGGGTGAACATGGCCCCATCTGTCAGGGACCTGAGTGCATGGCCGCAGCACGGCAACTGCTACAGTGCATGCCAGTCTCCCCTTGTGCAACATATGTATGAGCCCCAGCTTTGACCTTCCTCAGAAGGCATGCCTCAAATTTGCTATCTCTTTGAGCCACCCCTGGCAGGGTTTGACAGTGGTCTTTAATAAATAAATACCTAAAGCAGGTTGGCCAAATCCCTTGGGGGCGCCTTGGCGGCTCTCAAACCCTGACCCCTGGTGTAAGCTTGTGGAAGTGAGGGCCGCACCAGGACAGAATTCATGAGGCGTGCACAGATGGACATGGCTCTCTGGCCAAGTGTCTTGGAGCCTTGCAGCTGATGCCGCCAATGCGTGAGAGCTGCTCTCAGCGCATGCAAGCTCCAGTGCGCCACTGCGCAGTGCAGCAGCACACGCGTAGCACGGCCCTCTTCCACAGCCTCCAGCCAGGTGTTCCAGCAGCGCACCTGCGGCGTTCACAGGCAACCATAAAGATCAAATTGGCACTGGTGCTGGGTTTGACGCTCCAGTGGAAGCCCCAGGCTTGTGCTTCTGGGTTGTGGGATGGGGATAGTCGGCCCGGAACCTTTGGCACGCTGACTGCCACAGTTACTAGACAGGTCATGGATCCCTGGGATTGCCTGAAACCATCCAGAATTGCTGTCTGGGGAACCTTGAACCTCTATTGAGACCCTCATTCAATCATGCACTGATGCCTTGCTTTCAAACAATTTTGATTGCCCTAAGCACAATGGCGCCATTGGTGCCGGCAGCTGACCGGCAACTCAACTTCACGACTCGTGCGTTGGCTGCATGTGTGAATGGCAGCCATAAAACAACTTCTTGTGCAATATGAAGGGTGAAGCTGGATGCCACCTTGGTGCCTTCCATGAGAGCGACGCGCACAAGCTGCATCTTCTCCCTGGCAACGGCCTTGGTTTCCACCCTGGACAGCCAGCCGTCGAATGCCCTGCACACGCAGCCGCTCTGAAGACGGTGCACGCACATCTGCAACACCTGCGCACACCCGCAACGCTTTTATCCTCTGACCAATGTTCCCGTGCTGTCTTGCTGCCTGGCTGTTCCTAGCATGTGCAGCATGCAAAATCCACTATCATGTGCTGCTTGCACTGAATACTACATGCCGACTGCAGAAAAGAATGGAAAGCAATTACTTTATACATGTCTTGCCTAATGTACCTGGCCCATGTAGCCCATAGGACCTAAAAAATAAGTGTAAAGAAAACAAGAAAATCGAGGAAGGATTGACCGTCACCCTGCGTTCATCCGCGTCTTCCAATGCATTCCGCAGCCAGTCCGCAAAGGTACAGCCAAGCAGCCTCCGTGTACGGAAGTACCGGGCCACGACCGTGGCTTCTTTGCGCGCCACCTTGCGCGCAGCAAAGCCCACCCAGCCGGCAAGCGCAGCCGCCGCCGCGGCCGACCGCAGCCGGCCGACCGCCGCCGCGAGCTGCGCCTTGTTCTGCGCGCTGCGCGGCGCGAAGTCCGCCCAGCTCCGGAACGCCGCAGCCGCCGCCCTCGACCGCAGTGCAGCCAGCGCTCGCTGGACCTTGCGCCTCTGCAGCGCACTTTCGGGAGCGTATTCCGCCCAGGAGGCAAAAGCCACCGCTAGCTTTTGGGATGTTATTCGCGCCACGGTCGCGGCAATGACATGCCGATGGGTGCCGGCAAGGCGCGCGTGGTCCGCCCAGCGGCCGAAAGCGGCCGTCAGGGAGCGGTCGCGCCAGCGAAGGACAACGGCGGTGGCTTTAGCGCGCAGAGCGGCGGTGCGCGGCGCGCGCTGCGCCCAGCCGGCAAAGGCCGCGGAGAGCAGCCGTGAGCGCAGGCGGGTGACGGCTGTCGTGCAGATGTCGACGCGCCGGGAGCGGCCGCCGGCCCAAGCCGACCAGGCGCGCAGCAGCGCTCGGGCCGTCCTCCCCTGCATCGCCTGCCAGGACCGCACAGTGCAGGTTGAGTACAGCGCCAGTGCGTGACCAAAGGTTCAGGGCAAAAAGAAATAGGAGCTGGCAGTGTTTGTAGGATTCTCAGTAGAACTCAGGGACAAAATACTTTTCAGACCCTAAACCCTAGGACCATCTTTGAATATCCTATAAATCAAGATTTGCAGCGACACAGGCAGATTACAGAGGGAATCCGCCCACCTGCAGAGCAAGAGCCAGCTTCTCGCGGTTCCCGCCCTTGCGAACTGCCTTCTGGGACCAGGCAGACCAGGCAGCATGCAGCGTGCTGTTCCTCAGCCGCTGCAGCGCTCTGGCAACCATATCTTTCCTGTGCAGTGCACTGGAGGCCTTTGCCTGCCATGCCAAAAACGCTCTCCTCGCAGTCAAGTTGCGCATGGCTCGCAGTGCTCTAACCGCTGTCCCACGCCTGATGCCCTTCTGAGTAGCCCTCAACCTCCAAAAGTGGAATAACTTGGACAGTCGGTAGGCTTGCATCTCTCTAATGCGCTGCTCCTTGACCTGCCTGCATGCATCCAAGACAAGCAGATGTCATTTGCAGAGAGTCTTGCAGATATGCCGTAGCAACTTACCAATGTTAAGGAAAAGCACACATGCATCTGCAGGTTGTCTTTTTGCAAGAATTACATCAAGATGCAAAATACTGCAGGGTTTTTATGGTAGGCATCTGTGCGCATCATTGGGGCTGGGAGCCAACCTTGCATCATGGCGGGCCTGGGCGCTCTCCAGCCACTTGGCAAAGGCCCTGCTCTTGTTGAGGCTCTGCATGCGGCGGGAGCAGCGGTCTACTTTTTGCCGTGCACCGACCCGCCATCGCGCACCCGCCCTCCAGCCCTGGAACGCCGCCGCCTCCATCCTGCAACAGCCAGTCACGAAATCTAGATCACAGGTGTGCACCTTCAAGATCACCCTCATAACAAGATGCATAAATACAACATGGCAAATAGATCAATTGTTCTCCAGCCCCTAATACTTCTGTGCACGTCTGCCAAAAACAAAGGGAGGAAACCTGTTGCGCATGCGTCCAGCAGCGTGCTGCATGGCACCGGTCCTCTTGAGCCGCTTCTGCTGTGAGCTTGCCGTGTTTGCGTGCCATGCCCGCAGCGTCCGACGCCTGGAGACAGCAGCACTTTTGCAATGCATCCCACATGACAAGGAATGGTAGTCCTCTGCATTGAATGCAAATAAAAGGCCGTGTAATATTGGATCGCCTGCACTCTTTAGACGTCTATTATTTCTGAGGGTCTCACCTGCATCTGATGCTGGCGTGCCCGTCATACTTCTGAGCAGCCGCGCCAACAGCTGCACGCCAGTGGCTGAAGCGTGCACGCTTCTCCCGCTGCTGCCAGTGAGCATCCGCCTCCAGCTTTGCCGACGCCCGTCTCTCCCTTGCCACAGCGGCTGCATGCCAGGCCTGCACAGTACTCTCTTGCTTGTCAATGCATGCTTTCCTGGCAGGTGGCCATTGCAGAGTATGCTAGACACAGCCCCTGTATATTGTCATCTGATGCTACCATCTGGTGGGCATCTCCTAATAATTGCAGTTGTGGGTGCAGGTCTGGTTGATTTCTACTGGGATGGCGCATGAGGGATAAGGGATGAGTCGCTGGCATTTGGCAGAGCATTAATGATATAATGCAGCCAACATCGCACTATGCAATCTCACAGGGTATGAGGGCTGCCTGAAAGCATACATTCACACTCTTAGACAGCATAAACTGCAGCGCCCATGACAGACCTGGAACGCTCGGCAGCAGGTTTTCCAGCGGCGGTGGCGCGTGGCGCGGTGGCCGACTGCGACGAGGCGCCGAGTGGCGCTCTGCCACTCCGCGTACGATGCGCGCAGCTGCCGGGCAGCCGCCTCCGCCGACGTGGGCACGGCGCTCTTGCGCGGCAGCTGCCGCGGTGCTGACCTGGCGGAGGGGGGACTGGCCGAGCGAGCCCTCTCTCCCTTGCGCCGAGGCCCCTCTTGAGCACTCATACGAACCCCCCGCCTCGCCACATCCGGGCTGGCTGACCGGTGCCTGACCGGACTAATAGAAGCCCCGAAGCCATCCCTGCCTTCCAAGCCCCGCCTGGGAGACCTGCCACCTGTGACATCCCTTCCAAATGTCTCCTGGCGCCTGTCAGTGTAGCCGGCACGTTGCCTGGTAGAGAACGGCTCTGCTTTGATATTCGGCCGGCGGTGGCGATCTGGAGCGGCCGGCAGGGGCCACGCGGCCGGGATCCTGTCCCCGCCGCTGCCGCTGTTGCATCCGCTTGCGCTGTGCAGCCAGCGCTGCACAATGCCGCGCTGCTCCCTGCACAGCTCCGCCTCCCTCTCCCCAATCTGCGCACCGCTCCCTAGCACAGTGCGATGCTGCGGCACCGTCCCATGATCAGCCTCTGCGGCTGCATAGTCTCCAAACGAGCTGCCTCTTGCCTCGCGCTGCTGAGGCTGCCGATCCCCCTGCCAAGCATCCGCATGGAAGCCGCAGGGAGAAGGGTGCTGGGCGAGAGGCGCGTGCGTCTCCTCTCTGAGCGTCGGCCGTCGCCTGCGCGTGGCAGCAGTCTGCCGGGGCGGCGGCTGGGGCGCCTGGCGCAGCCGTTGCGGGGACGCAGACCGCGACCGAAGCAGCGGGGCCCGCTCCGCGGATCGCCTCAGGAACTCGTCTGCAACCTCCTGCCAAGCGTCTGCCGGGGCCGGGATGTTTTCCTGGCGGCTATGCGCCTCGGTAGCTGGCTCTGCTGCCTCGCTGCGTGCCTCTTGAGGCGATGGCGCTGCTGTGGGTGTGTGCTCAAGCGCTGGAAGCTGCATGGGGTCCAGCCTCCTGCAAGCACGCCAGCTCTTTATATATATTTCTTTCATGTCGGATGGCAGCAAGGCCAGAATGTCCATTCCTGGAAGATAAAAAGATTTCGGGTCCAGTGAAACCTCTTTTTTATAGTCACCCCTGTTTTAGTCGCAAACACCTTCGTGCGGAAACAGGCCGTATTACTAAGAACCCTGCCTCATGACAAAGCACTAAAAAAATTTGACCAATGAACAAGGCGGCCAACACCTGCTACTCTTGATACGGCAGGGGTCAGTGTGTGGGCTCCGAGATTCACCTGGGTGTTATTGTGAGGTGGCCAGGCTGTGGCTGACTCAGGCCCCTGGTGCCCCGCAGCAGGCTGCGTTCGGCCTGCAGCTTGTCCCACCAGTCCGCCTCCGGTCTAAGGCTGAGAGTGATGACCATGCGGTAGTAGTATGTGTCCTCTGCCGCGATTATGCCGTGCCGGGGCAGCACCTTCTGATAGGCCTGCAGCATGTGAGCAACGCCGACCTGCACAGCCACATCAGTGCCACCTTTGAATTTACCTGGCCTTAAGCAAATGGAAGAAATCTGCCAGCAGATGTGGAGTGCATATTCTCTCCAGAACAGCAGACATGCAGTGATGCACAAACTGGAGCGACTTTATTGAATCCAGATTGCATGGGAAGTCAGTCACATGTGCATGGATGCAGCATTACGAAGGCCGTCTGTGTGGATGTGCAAATGTACTTTACTAGTGAATTTTACAGGCATCACAGGCGATGGGATAAGCCTTGCCTGGCTTTTGCCCAGCCATCTGTCCTGTGCAGCGATGGCCTCCGCCTGCAGAATGATCTCCGACAGCATGCGCTGGTCATACTCCCTCTGGCAGGCTTGCACTGACACCGACAGGGGCCTGGTGATGCCTCTTGGACCGCGTCCTGCAAACATCGGCACATTTGTTGGTACAAAATTTATTGGTACACGCAGACAAGTTCACAGGCTGTTGCTGAACTGTCAGCGTCCACTCTACGGTCCCATTTGCAAGAAAGGGTGTATACTTGTGAGATGTCAAGTGGGTGCTTTTCAAGCACACAGATCGATGTCCGGCGATTCATGGATGGAAAATCCCACCTGTTGCCTGCTCTGCCACATCTTCACTTTGGGGTCTGGTTGCACGCTGGCCTGAGGTCAACCCTTTATCTGGGCGTGGCAAGCTGTACTGCAAGTCATCATTGAATGGTATTTTGGGGTAGATGTAATCGTAGCCTCCTCCCACGCGAGTGAGATAGGGGGACAGGGATCGTGAGCGCTGCTGCTGACCGCTGCTGGCTGCTCTTCGCCGCTTGCAGGGGCCCTCGGGGCTCTGCTGAACCAGCTTGCAGGTCTGGCCCACCCTGCCTTCCGCTATGAAGACCTGCACTCACCCAGCGTGAGATGTAACATATACCATGGATAACGTCACAATGGGAGTTTTATTGTATATGTCATGAAGTTCTGAAGCAATCCAGCAGCAAGGAACAGAATAAGGCTGCTTCTTCTCCTTTTTGACCAGGATTCTTTCAGGTGTCAGATATAGACAGCCACAGCGCGCGATTGACCCATAGCTCTGGACCTCCCAACGTGATGCATGACTTCAAGACTAAATTTTGGGGACGGTAAATCACTCTATGGAGTGCGACTATTCCAGCTTGCCTTGATGAAACTTCTCAGGCACGGTTGAGGAGACGACTGATGTACAGTTATTTTTTGCTTGATGCTTATGCTTTCATTAATCTTGAATATACCTGTCTGCATCTTGGCGCAGCAGAACGACCTCGCTTCAAGGCCTCGCTCATCTCAGGCGAAGTCTCATTGTGAGTCGGCCAGCCGTGTGCCAATGCGCACAGACTGCGCCAGTCGACACCAGCCTTCAGATTTGGCCTTATATAGACAGCATTACATCATCGTTGATCATTTGATTCTGCTCGAAGATGATCAGAGGCTCCATATTCTCTCAACGACCAGGTCCAATGTTGAGGAAGCAAAAACTGGCGCAACATCGTGTGGCGAATTGCATGGTTTATTTCGCCTGTTTTCAGCACCAGGCATGATTTTTGCCTGGCAAAACCAAGACAGCCATCAAACATTCGTGGGCCGAGTCTCCTGATTACAGATTCGGATACAAGGTTCTATTTGTCACCTGAGAGTACTCGTGTGAGTGGAAAGTCTTAGAAAGTTCGTCACCAGCATCGAAAAAGTAAGGGGCAAGTTGCAAATCCGATCTTGATCAACAGTTTGGGAAGCGTTGAGATGATGCAGAATGGAAGTGGCATGTATGTAAATCAGCAATCAGTTCCTCCAGCCACGCACTACAGTGTAGATGTGGAATGTGTAGCCACCGGAAGAGATCACAACGCACGAGCTGTTGCCCAGATCAGTCTTGTGGTAAGGCGCCTGCTTGTTTTCCTTCCAAGACTCCTAAAGCATCCAGCGACACAGCCACAATATTTATCAAAGCGCCATGACATGTATTTATGGCAATCAATACCTCAGCTATCAAGTCTGTGCATGTGAGACACCACTCGTGGCCGAGGTGCAGGAAGACCTTTACGCTGACTTTCATTGTCTGCCTACAGGATCAATATGAGCAGGTCATATTGAATCTTTACGTCAGGCCGCAGCAGCCAGTCGTTTCATACCTGACCCCTCTCACAGGGTGATTTCCCTAGTACCCACATTCTGCCTTTCGAAAGGTGCCTGTAATTTTTATTCTTGGCCTGTTTGATGAGCTCGTTTATCGACTATCTTTACATCCTGCTTGGCAGGCTGACCAGAGAACTTCTAGAAGAGCAGGGAGTGCCTCTGGAAGAGGCTGTGAGGATTCTGCGTCAGTACCTCCCTCGTCAGAGCATTCTTGTTGGGCAGAACATTGGCAAGGATGTCGACTGGCTTCAACTCAAGGAAGGCCAGGACTACCAGGTGCCCAGTCGTTTATGTGCCTGAGTTTAACAAACATTGCTGCACTCAAACATTCTGACTAACTTTTAGTATTGCGGCTGCTGTGCAACACTTGTGCCTGTCACATTTTCGTGCTCCAGTCATTGGCAGCTGCCAAATCCTTGACAGAGTGCAAACACATGAATAGTTTATGATATGAAGTTGGACAAGCTAAGGCTGCCCATCAGATCAATGAGCCTCAGGCGGCTCCCGACAGGCCCCTAAATTGTATCGATAATACTAACTCAGTGCTCTCAAACAATCTGACGTGTGCCTGCTTGCAGTCTCTGGTGGACCTGACAGGAGTGTACCGGGTCTGGAACAGCAAGTACAAGACCTGGAGCGTGTATGGGCAGGACCATTTGGCCAAGGTGCTACTAGGATGGGACACGCAGAATGCATCCCACGATGCAGTGGGCGATGCAGTCAAGTCCATCCGGCTGTTCAACCTGTACAACACTCTCAAGGCAGACCCAGACCCCAAGGCCTGGGAGAAGGCCCAGGTCAGTTCCTGAACTTTGTGCTCATGAATGGCATCTAGAAAGAATACCATTTGATCAATGTGCCTGCCCAGTAGGGCATGGCTGTGTGAGCCTGCAGGGGCCAGAAATGCAAGAATTCGTTACAGCTTTTGATACACTTGGACCTTGGTGTCTCAATGCGTTCTGAGCACAGGAGTGTGGTGAATTGATTAGCCGATTGAATTGATCTCAGTGTCTCTCAATGTGTCTTGAGCAAAAGAGTGAGGGTTGCTGATTGGCCCAACAATGGGCAGATGTTGAGTGGCAAGCCATGCTGACAAGAGAAGATTTAAAGCTGCTTTGTGTGGTGTGCGACAGGAGACGATCTTGGCTGCGGAGGTGCAGCCGTCTTTTGCAAAGAGGAACCCCGAGTTTGATGGAGTGTGCATGGGCAACAGAAGACAGTGCAAGTGTGGGGCGCCCTTCCTGGGGTGACCAGACCAGATTTTCCTCCTCTTCAGCATTTCTACAGAAACTGTGACACTAAATTGTTCTTCAAAGATTAATGGCACAGGGATGGCTGTGGCTCTTGTCTCACACCGATTAATAATTACTTCTTGTGGTGTTAAGTAAGATCCATTGAATACTGGAGAGACTCATGCAATTGGGTGAAATATTGCAGTACAATGTCTACTTTTACTCTGCTTCGAGGTCTGCAAGTTTGGTGCTTCAATGGACGATACAATGGTTTTAGCAGCTGCATTTTGTTTATCTGTGTGCATTCGTCTGCCATGATCCAGTTTCTTAAGTTCCTTTTCGAATGCGCTGGCATACTGCAGCAGCAAGCTAGGGCTTCAGTGGCAAGAGCATGTGACAATCCCAACATGCAAGTTCCCGATATAGCGATTCTGAGAAGAGCAAACCAGATAGTCAGGTCCAGCTAGTAATGCAGCTATGGCTACACAAAGCAATGAGTATGGTAGAGGACTTGCACATGACTTGAAGACAATTGGAGGTTGTGACGCATTGGTATTTGGGTTCCATCAATAATTCCTGCCTGCGAGCAGGAGACAAGGCAGATCTGTATGGAAGGTCAGCAGTCGTGAAATACTGGACTGCATTTAAAAAATTGCAGTGAGCCAAGATCCTGTTACATGTGTCCTGTGCCGTCCTTTTAATCCCAGTTGCCCTTGATTGTCACTTGCTGCTCAGCAGTTGCAGGCTTTGTCAATTACACGTCATTTTTGCTATAACAACAAACCTGAAAGTTGTGCTAAATGTTACATCCATAATCACCCAGAACAGAACGGCACCCCCGGACATTCTTCAAGGTAAGCGTTCCACAGAAGAGCTCAAGGCTGTCACTTCGGTCATAATGTGTTCAATTCTGGGGCGGCTCATTCAAAATCTGGGAGCGACACCTTCTGCTCATCAAATCTGCTCCTGATGCCGGCCCCTGACAGATCATCCATCAGCTCACACATTTCCTCGTCCTCCGAATCATCCCACCACTTCTCCCTTCTCTTGACACCCTGCGTAATCGGGGCCTTCCCCTTCTGATCTGCTGTCACTGGACTGCCACGATGCTTCATGTAGAAGTCAGCTGCACTGGCATTCTGCTCCAGTCCAGGAGATTCTGCTGGTTCAGAAACAGACTCGCCCCGTTCAGCAACACTGGCATGGCATCGCTCTATGTCTCCCGACGGCCCTGAAAGACAGCCTCTCTTGATCAGCAACCCACAGCAACATGTCCAGCACATGCAATGGTTTATAATCTGGGGTCATTATCAGGGCACAGTAGTATGAAGCAATGCATCCCAAGCAAGAAATAAGTTCTTGTCAAGAACTGAACAAGAGTCCACCATGGAACGTGAGCCATAGGAAAAGCATTGACAGAGCAATTCTGGGCTGCTCTAACCAAGGCGCTTTGAGAAGAAGCTGCAAGAGCAAAGAGCCGAACGTGTTGGTCACCTGTTACGTGCTCGTCGACAGGTGCTACCTCCGCTTCCAGAAGCCCCCGTGTTCTGAGGCCCCTTGCATCTGAACGCTCAGAAGCGGCCTCCACAGCCGCTCCTGACTGCTGGCCAGCGCTTCGACCAGGTGCTGCTTTCTCTGGCGCACTGCCCTGCCTGGCCTGCTTATGCACGGGGAAGGCTAGCTGCTGCTGCCTGCTGCGCCGGGGCTGCATAGCCGGCTGCGCCTCGGCCACAGCCCCGTCCCTATCCCTGGGCTCAGCAGCCTGTGTGAGCGCGTCAGCGCCGGTTTGAAGCGCGCCCTCTGCCAGCCGCCGCCGCTTCCTGGCCTTCTTCTGCCTTACCTCAGGAAGATCCACAGCCTCTGTCCCCGGGAATCCCAAGGGCACAACGGCAGCCAGAGCTCCAGCGGCCCTCCTGGCGCTGCGCGGCTTTCTGCAGGGAGCAGGCGGCGCGGCCGGGGCCGCAGTATTGGTGGCGGGGCCGGCCGGGGCCGCCTCACCCTGCGAGGGACTTGCAGCGTCAGCGCTGTCAGCCCTGCATGCAGGTGGGAGCGCCTTGGCGAGCCGCTGTGGAGGGGTGACTGGACCCACCGGCGCCGAGGAGGGGTCCTCCTTCATGGGCGCTCGCCCCGCGGGTAGCGATGTGCCGGATGGCCCGGCCACAGGCGGCTGCTCATCCTCGCTGTCACTGATCAGGCAGACCACCTCATCATCAGGCGCTGCTGCTGGTCTGCTCGGCCCGGCAGCCGCTGCTTCCCTGCGTGGCCTCAGCCGCGGATTGCGCCGGCTTGGCTGCAATCGAGCACTGCTGGAAGGAGCGTCAGGCGGAGCTTCACCGTCTGTTCCAGACTGCTTCTCCGCTGCGCCCCCTCCTGCTGACAGCTGGCCGGCTTGTCGGCGCTGCGCGGGCTCGGGTTCTTGCGCGATGGCATCGTGCGATGCTACTCCTGGGCTGCTGACCTCTTCTGGGCTCCTGACCTCTCCTGCCTGAGCGCAGGCCTCTGCTTGACAGCCCATATCATGGTTGCACCTGTCCTGCGGCTGCCCTGGCTGCCCTGAGGATGCAAGGGGTGCCATCCAGGCTGCCATAGGCATCCGATCTGGCATGACAGCAGAAGATGCTCTGCCATCTGGGGAGGGATTGGCACTGCCAGGCTGCAGCATCAGGTCCAGAGCGGGCGTCTGGGCGCTGCTTCCCTGACCAATGTGGCTGTTGGATTGCACGGGCTCAGCTGCCGCAGGGTGGCTCTGGAATGCCTCTGAAGAGAAGATGTGCGCCAGCACAATGTGTGCCTTGCTCTTGCCGTAGGGGCACTGGATGACCCTGCACTGCTTTGGCAAGGCCGCTGGATCCACGGGTCGCCATTCTGATATCTGGCGCTCAATCACCTCCCTGTTGCTCTCCTGCAGGCTGTACACATGCTTGACCCGCTGGGAGTTAGCAGCTGCAGTATCCGCATCCACACCTTGCATATCGACCTGCAGATCACATGAGAGGGCTGAGAAATCAACCAGATCAGCGCGGACGGGAGGGCAATACAGTATATATAATCATGCAAGTCCTGAGTTGTACTTGAAACTAAACCTTCCCAGGCCTGCTTGCACGGTCCAACATGCTAGAAAGTGCAGAAAATTTTCAATGACCAGCAAGAGTGCATCCTGATCTCTTACCACGTAGGTGATATATCCTGCAAGCTTTGCAGCACATGCGTACGAATAAAGCTCAAGATTGTTGAGAAAGGTGTTTTCAGCAATGACCACGTCGCATCCGCTCTCTAGGTCCTGCAGGCAGGAATCATAGAATTTTGATGCAGCTCACATAGGACGACACCACATGCAATGGCAAGTCTACGGTAAAATAGCAGTCATGCAATCAAAGAATAAGAAACGCATGTGCAGCAGTGCTCATGCCTTCATGAAGGCAGACAAGTTTGCCAGCTCAGCTTCCAGCTGCATTGTGGGAATATGTAGGAACATGCATCCATCAGTGTCTTCCACAGCCCTGCCTACCAAGCCACACCTGTGCAAAGACATGTCAGAATGTACTCACATAGACAAGCATGAACTTGCAGGGAAGCATCAGTGGAAAGGTGTGTTTTGGCAGGGCGGACACACCCTGCCTCTCCATGCTGGCAGGTATACAGACTATTGAGAGCATCCTTCTCGACCATCTGCATAGCATGCGATCATCATCAGTATTCAGAATGCCAAGCATTGCAACCTCCTGCATATCAACAAAACCATTACACCATGTCCTGCTCACCTGAACCCCGCATTTGCATTTGGGAGGCTGATCCACTCTCGCCCACCACTGGTCGTTCGTGGCATGCACCTTTGCAACTAGGCCTTCGCCTTGCGCAAGATCCACAATCCTCTTTGCTTCTGTGCTCTTCCCAGAACCTGCAAAGAACATGGAGACCGGCTCTCTGATGTATTCTAAGATGTTAATCTGGACGCGGGCAGTCCTTGGAGAGCAGGCATGAGCTTGCACTACATGATAGTGGGCTCTGGCACACCTGCTATTCCACGAAGGATGACTGCTACCTTCGACTGTTGTGCAAGTCTGGGAGCACTGGCACTCTCCATGTCACAACAGGTTTGCCTGAGCGCACTTCAGCCCTCCAGTAGGAGATGCCACGTCACTGCACGCATTCCATCAAGGCCTGATCATTCCGAAACTAGCGAGCAAAGCAGACGTGGGTACTAACATGCCTTACAGTGTGTGCGAAGGACAACAACCTGCTACAGCAGGACCTTGCAATTACCTTCAATCTTTCTGATATCAGAGTACGGTTCGAAAATCTGAGGGATCTCCGTGCAGAGAACCCTACATTCTGTGAAGGCTACACCTCAGAGAATGTCCAAGTATAGTATAGTACCAGGGAAGCAAGGGTGATGAGGACCTTACATCGCCGAGGATCTACACATAAATTAAAAATGTTAATTGCTACTTTACATGACCGCTCGTCGGGCATCTACAGCACAAACTCACACGGCATCTAGATCCCTTCCTGACATGCGATCCGTTCTGGACCTTTACGTCGAAGCAGCAGCAAATTTCCAGTGTTGAAGATGATGAGTGGACTTTACCTAACAAGTCTGTTTGCTCTGCAGTCTTCCAAGGTGCATGCCAGTATCGGACCATGCAAGGGAGATATGTCAACAGACGAAGGAGCCCAGTATATTTTTAGGGCTCTTGCGATCGATTCACAAGAATACCAAACTAATGTGATCACGATCTTGAAAAGTGGCATGGGTTCCAGTCTATTGGTTGTCAATTCAGGATCGTCGTCCCTTAAGTTCAAGCTCTTTAACAGAGCTGCAGACAAGCTCTCAGCTGTAGTCACTGGTCTTGTTGAGAGAATCGGAGACACGGAACACTCTCGTCTAGTGGCAACAAATGAAAAGGATGCAAGCAATCCAGGGAAACAGGTATTCCAGGTAAGGTAATCAACCAAAGAGTGTGCACATGCCACTGGATCTGATGAGCACAGTGCATGACCCTGAATGGCATAAGGCAGCCTTCAAACTTCGACTGCAATCTTCTATCATTCCAAGTGACATACTTGTCGAGAGTGGATAGCCTGTCCCCTTGGTATACACACAAATATGGCTGTCTTGCTCACCCCACAGGAACCGCTTCCAGATCACACTGCAGCCCTTGACTATGTCCTCGATTACCTACGGCAGCAATACTCCAACAATATAAAGGACGAAGTGGAAGCGATGGGGCACAGAGTGGTCCATGGCAAGAACATCTCAGAGCCTGTGCTGGTAGATGAGGAGGTCATGCGGATCATCAAGGATGCAGCTGAACTAGCGCCACTCCATAATCCTGCCAACTTGCAAGGGATTGTGGCGGCAAGCGCGGTCTTCCCCGGATGTCCACAGGTGCATGCATGCCATGTGTGATGTCCAAGTGTTTCTGCTTGTCATGCGGCCCTGCATGGGAGAACAGGCCCGAAAGCCTGTGCCATGCATGCAGGTTGCAGTGTTCGACACGGCATTCCATCAATCAATGCCGGCATCTGCATATGTGTATGCGCTCCCATATGAGTACTTGGAGAAGCTGCATGTCAGGAAGTACGGCTTTCATGGGACCTCAGTCAGATACCTTGTCAATCAGGTATGATAAACTTCCACCACCATGTCTCATGTACACTCGCACTCTTTCAACCTGTGCAGAGTCTGGACCCACAGGTCTTTTGCCAAGCTCTCACAGATTCACATTTGTTGATGCAGGCATCCGGAATGCTGGGTAAAGATGTATCAGAGCTCAATCTGATTGTGGCTCATCTGGGGGCGGGCGCCAGTGTCACAGCTATCAGGGGTGGAAAGAGTGTCGACACGAGCATGGGCCTCACACCTCTGGAAGGGTCAGTCGCTAAATGACCTAAACAACATCCAATCAACCATGTGCATGACTGCTGGCATATCTGTGTTTGATGCATGTTTGGATGTGCTGGACCTGCAAGATGTTTGTGCGGTACTTGAGTCATGATAGTATTTAAGATGCCATGATATTGGGGAACAGGCTGGTCATGGGAACACGCAGCGGTGATGTGGATCCAGCAGTGCTTCTGTACCTCATGGACAAGTGCGGCATGAGTACGCGAGAGGCCGACACGATGTTGAACAAGAAGAGCGGCTTTCTGGGCCTCTGTGGGAAGGCTGACGTCCGGGCCGTGCTAGAGGAGGCTGATGCAGGCAATGAGCGTGCAAAGCTGGCCATTGAGGTGAGGACAGTGTCAGGACTCTGTCAGGACTGATCACTTTTCAATTTGAAAATGCCTGACATATCTACCATCATCTACTACATTGAGATTCTTTGTGCCTGCATTAATTGTCAACCATATGGCAGGAGAAGCACCGCGCTGGGCCTGTCGAGACAGTCTACCTGAGCTGGCCATGACTCTGTCTGCGCAGGTGTACCTGCACCGCTTGAGGAGGTACATCGGTGCATATCTTATTCATCTGCAGGGCGATGTGGATGCCATCATTTTCTCAGCAGGGATGGGCGAGAATAGTGCAGTGCTCCGAGGCCGAGCCCTTGAGGGATTGCAGGTTGTATGCAAAATTATATTTTACGTTGCTTATGAGGAAACACACATCCTACACATCCCAGAAAGAGATCCAGGAATTGTGCATCTTTCATGTTGAAATTTAGTGAATCACTAATAGGGGAATTGCATGATGCTGACTCCTTGTTGTTCCATGCAGAAATTTGGCATTGGTGTGGACGCAGCCCGCAATGAGGCGACTGTGAGGGGCAAGAAGGGCGAAATCCAGAGTAGCGAGTCAGAAATGAAGGTGCTTGTGATTCCAACAGATGAAGAGCTCAGCATTGCACAGCAGACATTGGAAGTGCTAGAAAAGCTCGAGTAGGAATTGTCAGCTCTACACTTGTTCATTTGACCACGTTCTGGTCCTACTGTAGTACAGACGTCCTTTGGTCCTGCCTCTGTAAGACCTGGCCACCCGCAGACTACCGTACACAAGGTCAATTATACTGTGAGGTATATCACCCCATTTATTGCCTCTCACAAGATTGATGCAGAGTAGCATTGTACAGTCATTGTAGCTCTGCTGGGTCCAATGCTCTGGAAAGCAGCCGCACTGAAATTCAACAAGGGTTCATGCGCTCCCGCTGTAGAGTCCAGCAGTGACCAGCAGCTTCTTCTTTGCATTCGCGAGCCTCGACTTGCGGCGAGCGCCTGTGTTAATGTGGAGCACGCCTCTGCACACTGCCTTGTCGATTTCCTGGTATGCCTCTGATATCAATTTCTCCACTGGCTTCAGGGCGTCCTCACTCTCAAGCTTGCCGTTGAATTCTGCGATAGCCTTGAACACCTGCCAACGACATCATCAGGACCAGCTTAGCATTCCACCTAATAAGACCTGTCACCTAACCTGTCACGCTAGCCAGAAGCACTACTGTCTGACTCCCATGGCACGAAAAGTGCCTGCTTGGTGCACAGAACTGCTCAAAGCAGCTAGTGATATTGTAAGAACAATCTTAGATTGATCGTGACACTGAATTGTCACCTTCTTGATGCGAGTAGCAACAGCAGACTTTCTGGCCTTATTGTAAACACGCTGTGCCTCTGACAACCTCTCCCTCTGTTTCGCGTTCTGCTTGGCCTCCACAACCAATGATGACCTGCTAATCGGTGTCGATCTGCTTGTGGCTGCGGTGCATTTGGAAAACAAGCACGTCAGTAGATCTTGGAACAAGAAGTCAAGATACATAAAACGAATGATCCAGTGGTAAAGGATCCTCCTGCTAAAAAGCATCTCAATGAAATATCAGTTCAATAGGAAGAAAACTGTACCTTTGATATGCAACGCCTGACCACGCAGTGTGTTGGAGAATCCAAAGCTAGGAGTTCCACGGCTGCTGTGCAATCTGCAAGAACCTGAGATGGATAGAGTAGACATGGAACCCACTAGGGCGTGAGACATGGCTGCAATCTTGGTTCTCTTCCTTCCAAATCCCAGTTTCTCTGGAACAACCAAACCCACGGCGTCTCGAGGTGGAGGATGAGGTGCCGTATTTACGGTGATCACATGGCCGAAGGACCGTATTCGCCAACCGTAAAGTGCTTTGCGGCGGTCTGTGCGTGTCTGTGGAATTGGGGCCAACGAAATCTCCATTTGCCTTGTGCATTGAGAAGCTGAGTGAAGTGCTCATAGTGCCTTACATGTAATTTGGCACCATGTTGCCCCTCAATTTGTCGAACAGTCCTGCGGGGATTTCTGTGAAGCTGCAGCCACTTGTGCTCCTGAACATATGCGATGCATACATCAGAAGAAGTGAGCACCAACAGAGAGTGATCGGCACATTGCTTGGAAAGGTTGTGGATGGAGTGGTGCATGTGCAGAATTGCTACGCCGTGCCTCACAACGAGAGCAACGACCAGGCAAGTACATCAACGGTTCTGAGGAACCTATCGGACCGCGCTCCTGTTACTTTCAGATTCCATTCTCTCAATCTGGCTGAAAATAAAATCAGGGATGAGGCCAGTCCGCTGATTAAGCTGTGAACTGCTGATTGATCGAAGTGATCTTGCCTTTGTTGATGAGGTCGACCATCTTCTCTGCAGGTTTCAGTGGACATCACACACCACAGGACGCTTTATGACTTGCATCATAAGGTCAATGCCAAGGAGCAGATCGTAGGCTGGTGAGTATTTGATTGAAGTCAGTTCCGCATTCTTTGTGCTTCAACTTATGGAATTCTATTTCAAGAGATACTCACATGAACATATTGCTTGGCAGGTATGCGACAGGCAGCGCAGTGACGGGCCCAGATGCCTTGATACAGGACTTCTATGCGTCTGAGTGCGCCAATGCGGTGCGTATGCTTTTTGCTCCTGAAGGTTCTTGGTCTACATGATCCTGGGAGCAACAGAGACTTAAGAACAGCTGGCTTGTTGTGACAGGTGCACCTGACGGTGGACACAGCCATGGAGTCAGGCGAGCTGACCATTGCAGCATACGTGGCCCGAAAAGTATCCTTGGGAGACAGGGTACTGGCTAGGAAGTTCCAGCAGGTTGATGTGGAGGTGAAAACTGCAGAGGTGGAGAGCGTGGGAGGTGAGACAGCACCTCTGTTTCTTCAAGTTTTGACCGTAATTTGCGGTGCACAAAATCGGCATCTTTCATTGCCTGCATCCGAAATTTTAGAAGTGTATCGTGTTCTGTGTCTGCAGTGCCTTTGATGAAGAAGGACGTGGTGGAGAAGCTGCCCACTGACCTGGACGGCCTGCAGACAACCATCAAGCGGCTACATGAGTGCTTGGAGCAGGCGCATGCATATGTGGATGATGTGGTGGTGCGCACCTCTGCAGCTTTCCTATGTGGCATCCATTCTCTGCTGTTGCTTCCGCTTTTGCTGCTCGGAAAGTATTGCTCTCTTTGCACTTACTTCTTGCCATGTTTGGTATCACTGATGCCAGGATGTTTGTGTGCAGACGGGGAAGAAGCCAGCAGACATCACACTGGGCAGGTTCCTGGCGGACACAGTGACAGGCATCCCGCGCTTCGGAGCAGAGGAGTTCGAGACCATGCTCACAGACACCGCGCAGGACTCCCTGCTGATCATGTACCTGTCCAATCTCGTGCGCGCACACCTGGCGCTCACTGACAGGCTCGGCACGGCTGCGCTGCCATTGTTGTAGACGGTCACTGTCGTCGACTGCAAATTCAGACGCATGCCAGCATCATGTGCAAGCACTGCTTGACCACTGATGTGCATGCTCTGTGATTGAGACAGCGGTGATTTGACCATTAGCAGGAGGGCTGGCATCCGTACCTTTGATATGTGTACTAGTAGCACTAAATATGTTGGGCGTGTAAGATCAGTTCAGTGTGAAGTGGCTCATGTTCAGAATCATCAGATAAAGTTTGCACAGCAGGATTGAACATGGCATGCATCAAAGTAGTTGCATGCAAACAGCATCTCCTATCTCCTCTTCTGCAGTCTTCAAGATGCAAGTTGCACTTTTCACTCAAACAACTGTCCTTCGGAAAACTCCTTAATTGTGGCCCGCGGTCCTGAGCGTGTGGAAGTTCTCCACTGGAGAGGAAAACATCACGCATGCAGCCTCCTTGACACCCAAATACACAATTGAATGCATCTGCACTACACACCAGAAAGGGCACCCTTTCTCCAAGTTAAAACATTGGCTCACGCTTACTAATTTACGTACACATGACGTGGCCCCTGACTTCAGGAGCCTTCAAGGTCTTGCCCAGCACAGGCCTTGCACACTCTCGCCCGCACATTGGTATTGTTGCATTGGGATTGTTGTCTCCGTATTGCTGACGTATGGCAGGCCTACGGCAGCATCATAGTCTACTGTTGCGGCAGGTGAGCACAACACATCCTTGCTCTGGGAGACTCGTAGGATGCGCTGTACGATGCCCGTTAGCTTTGTGCTGGATTGATCGCAACAATGCTCGATTCTCACCATCATCGCAGGGGCGGTGCTCCTTTAAGAGCATACCTAGCAGCTGTGTGTTGCTGATTTGCACAAAACGTGTGCCTGCAGGTGTTTGCAAACGTTGCCAAGCAGTACTTGCATCAAGTGGATAAAGCGAACAGTGTCTCAACCAAAGACTTGTATTCTCGGCTAACAAGTTTACACAGGCGCCCCTTCACCTCATTCCAGAAAGAGCTGCCAGGAGACTCGACCTCACAGGTATGGATTGCGTTCTCCTTCAGAGAGCTCTTTTCACATCAGTTGAGAGTCATTGCCTTAATGTGGAGGTGCAGTCCCCTTCACGAGGGACGGGGAAGGTGGTCTACAGCAGTGACTTGGGGAACATGCTTTCACTGAGGCAACTGAACAGGAGCCTGCTTCTCTTCCCAGGCTTCTTATTTGAGGGAGCTCAATAGGCGAGGAGACTCTGAGGCTGTCGTGCGCATCTTTGAGAGCGGCCAGGCTGCCAGCAATGAGGCAACTTTGGGAGAGTATGTCAAGGCTCTGGTAGCTGTTGACCGCCTCGACACCTCCTCTCTCATACGCACCCTGCAGGTGATTAATTTTTAGTTTCTTTTGCACCTCTTCATAACTAGAATGTTCATCCACCCTGGCTGAGACTGTGTAGGAGGTAGCAGATACTAGGCAGAGCAGAGTACTGAGAGACTGAGTGGTGGACAAATGGCTGCAGAGGGGGGCGCAGGCAGGCAATGACTCAGCGCGGATGCGAGCCGGAGATGCGCCGTTGTACGGTGCGGCAGGCGGAGGCCAGGTGGGCGCTGCTGGGCTGATTACCAGAGCTGGGGCGGCCAGCGTGCAGGGGGAACTGGGCAGCGTCAAGAACCCTGTGTACATGATGCAGGTGCCCCTCGCAACTCTTTCCCACCCACTTCCTTGTCCGCGAATCTTTCCCTGGGTACATTCAAGGATACTGCAGGACTCTATTCCATCGAGGAGCTTCTCCTCCTGCTTTTTGGTGTGGGCTGTCTTGAACAGCGACCCATAGGTACTATTTAAACAGGAGGTCGGGCTGCTGACGTAAGAGAGTCCTCAAATGCCTTGGTGGGACAGGTCACAGCATCTGATCCAGCAGGCAGGTGGCCCTTTGTGATCATATGGGTAGGTCATAGGGCAGGTGACACAGCAGGCTGTCAGCTGGCATGGTGTAGTTGCCAAAGCAAAGCTCAGACGTCAAGTTGAGCACCTTGCAGGAAGCATATCCAATGGGAGGGCACGCTGAGGGTCAAAGCAAAAATGACGCGCAGGCGGAGCCGACGTTCCGGGCGCAGCTGTGGCGCACGCTGCGGACGCTGGCGGTGGCGTTCCTGGTGCTGAGCGGCGTGGGGGCCCTGGTGGAGGAGCGCGGCCTGACCAAAGGCATCCTCAACAACCCGGACATGCGGCCCCAGCTCGAGACCAAGACCAAATTCGCCGACGTCAAGGGCGTCGACGAGGCCAAGGCACGGCCCAGCCCCATGCCTGTACTCTGTGATAGACTGTTTACCGTTTTCTCACATCTTGGATATTGCGCGCCCAGAATCAGAGTCTCCATGACCGCTAAGATGCAGACGCATAACAGTGGTTGAATGGCTGTCATGTTAACTTTGAAAATGCATCATGGACTTTCCATTGACTTCTTCACATCACATCATGGCCGATCCCATGGCAGCCCCTGACAGCAATCCCCACAACAAAAGCATGCTCATGGTCACTGCAATGCTCACAACGCCCCTGGCAAAACATTGCAAATGAGCAAGATACCCAGCATAATGCAACTGCTGGCCTCACGGTGAGTTAATGCATGTCATGGGGTGGAGTGATCTGATTGTGAGATGAATGGGTTGGGTGCAGGCGGAGCTGGAGGAGGTGGTGCACTACCTGAGGGATCCCCACAAATTCACCTCGCTGGGAGGCAAGCTGCCCAAGGGCGTGCTGCTCGTCGGGCCGCCCGGCACCGGCAAGACGATGCTCGGTGAGGCCCCCTGTGCTCACCAGCGCTTTGTTGTTCACATCTCTGCTTGTTTCTGTATTACAGCAGTGTCATCATCCACAGTGAACCTGGCATAAGCAGACTGGCACGCTGTAGAAGGGTGCCCATCTAGAGGTCGTGTGAATACTTTGACCAGAGGAATACGATAGATAAGCATGCATAATGACATGCAAGATTTGGTGGTTCAATTATGGCTGACGTGGCCTGTGGCGCGACATGCAGCACGCGCGATTGCTGGCGAGGCGGGCGTGCCGTTCTTCTACTGCTCGGGGAGCGAGTTTGAGGAGATGTTTGTGGGCGTCGGCGCGCGGCGCGTGCGCGAGCTGTTCAGCGCGGCGAAGAAGCACTCTCCCTGCATCGTGTTCATCGATGAGATCGACGCCATCGGCGGCCAGCGCTCCGCCAAGGACCAGCAGTACATGAAGATGACCCTCAACCAGCTCCTGGTGGAGCTTGACGGGTGCGTTCCCATTTTCAGTCTTATGTAATCCACTGGACCTTGAAGTGCCAGCTTGACCTGCTAAACATGAAAGCACCCGGCAGGAACGGCAAGATGCAAAGTCAGGTCTGGGGGCACTCAATCTTTCAAGGATTGAGAGACAAGAGATGGGCAGAAACACCACTTGCACCTGCTGGGCAGTGTCTGTCAGCATGCTCATCACTTGTTACTACAAGATCACCTGGACTGTTCAGTCTGCTACAGACAGCCAGCTCAACGTCATGGGAATAGCATGCATGTTGCTGTCTTTCCATGCTGCTCATCTTGGACTCGTCAGTGCAAAGTGGCCTTGTTTGGCAAAGTGGCATTATTTTACACCTTAAATTAAGCCCAGCAGTGCCGATTAGTTTTACTCATTTTCATGCATTCATGAATGCAGGTTCAAGCCCAGCGAGGGGGTGATTGTGGTGGCGGCGACCAACTTCCCGGAGTCGCTTGATCAGGCGCTGATTCGGCCGGGCCGTTTTGACCGCCACGTCACGGTGCCCAACCCGGACGTTGAGGGCCGCCGCCAGATCCTGGAGTCCCACTTCAGAAACGTGCCCCGCGCCACAGACGTGGACCTCAGGGTGAGCGGCACTGCTTTTGCACATGTCTTGGAATCCCTTGCACATCTTGCATGCTCCCAAGAAGCACTCTGGAATGTTGTCCTGGCGCTTATAAGGCTTTCACTTTGAATGAGGGTCAAATTTATTCTAGATCTGATTCAATGCATGGTGCTGTGAGCAGGTCATTGCGCGTGGGACGCCCGGCTTCAGCGGTGCTGATCTGGCCAACCTCATAAACATCGGAGCTCTCAAGTCTGCGCGGGACGGCCTCTTAGCGGTGTGCCTCTGCTTTCCCCTTGATCCCTTGCAGTGCGCATGACCTGCTCTTCAGCAAGCTGGGCTGTGTGAAATCATTTGCTGTGCTATGCATCATCCTGCTCTACTTCGCATTCGGTCGAATTGTGGATTCATATGTCTTTCAGATTTCTTAGAATTTGAGTTACAATTTGAGTGATATTTAACGAATTGCATGTGCGCGTGCGCAGGTTAACATGGCGGCGCTGGAGTACGCGAAGGACCGCATAGTGATGGGCGCGGAGCGCAAGAGCGCGGTGATCAGCGAGAAGAACCGGCGGCTGACGGCGTACCACGAGGGCGGCCACGCGCTTGTGGCAATGCTGACAGAGGGCGCCCATCCCGTCCACAAGGCCACCATCGTGCCCCGAGGTGCATGCCTACCCATCCTTCTGCCCACGTGAAGCTGCTTGCCCTAGTTTTTACCCTCTCTGACCTGCATGGCCCTTGGGCTGCTACTGCTGAAATCTTGCCCTGGCATTCTGTTTGCTGGGTGTCTGTGCATGGCGCTGCACGCTCTATGGGGCTCTGCATGAATGCAGCATGCAGCTGGTGACATCAGACCAAGAGAGAGTGCAAGGCAGTGATATAGGCAGCTTGACAGACATGTTTGATTTCTATGCGCAGGGCTCCTTGTTCCTCTGAAATTGTGCTCCACGCTCGAACAGGTTTTGTCGGACACAGCGTGCAGCAGTTTGAATGAGCAGTATTTTGGCGGTGGTTGATTGTCGCGCTGGCATGGGTGCAGGCATGTCGCTGGGGATGGTGATGCAGCTACCGGAGGAGGCTGATGAGACAAGCGTGAGCAAGCGTCAGCTGCTGGCCAAGCTGGATGTGTGTATGGGCGGCCGCGTCGCCGAGGAGCTCATCTTTGGCGAGTCAGACGTCACCACCGGCGCCTCCTCCGACCTTGAACAGGTAACGGCCTTACACTCTTGGAGACAAAGCCACGTCTTTGAAATGTCATCTGCTGTTTTGCTCGACAGGTTCTAGTGCTACTTGCGGTGGGTTCCCTGCTGACTGTCGCATGATGCACATGCTCAGGCAGGATATTCCTAGGTTATGCAGGTCCTTTGCTTCTGCCACGTGTAACAGCATCTTTGCAATGCAAAAGTGCAAACCCTCAGACGACTCTGGGAAGCAGCTGTGGGTGGTGAGCGCAGAGATCATACCTGTATCCTGTTTTTTCAGCATGCAGTCAAGAGTATTGGTTTTGGCTCTGACATGTGTGACATCTGTGCACAGGCGACAAAGCTGGCAAGGGCCATGGTGACAAAGTACGGCATGAGCTCCGTGCTGGGGCCCACCTCAATCGCTTATGAGGACAACGGGCGCAGCCTGTCTTCTGAGACACGCGCAGCTGTCGAGCATGAGGTGCGCGCATCTGCTACCCCTTGTAATTCGGGCTGTCTGCCAGCTCATGAACTGGCTTTGTCCGTCCCATGACAAGCCAGAGATCACCTAAGGACACTGTCAAGATGCATGTGCTCATTCGTACGTGATGGCATGCATTGCTGAGGTTGGTGCTACTTTCCATTCAACACCAGTGGGGCTGCTGGGGCATCCTGTCTGCTGTGCTGAAACAAGTAGTGATGCAACGAATATGGGATGGCGCAGGTGAAAGAGCTGGTGAAGAATGCGTACTCGCGAGCGCGCACCATTCTGATGCAGCACGAGAAGGACCTGCACAAGCTGGCCAAGGAGCTCCTGGACAAGGAGACACTGAGTGGGGAGCAGATCCGCACCCTACTCAAGATCACCAGCAGCAGCGGCAGCCAGACAGCAGTCGGCTCCAGCTGACAGCACTGATGCACATGTGAGGTCAGCAGGACAGGTCGCTCCAGAAGTCAGGTCAAGTCAGCACAGGTGCTGTCTGGCAGATTCAGTCTCCTCGGATGCAGTGTGTCTTGCATGTAAAATTTGGTTCAATGGTGTGTGATGTGTGGCGTGTTGGGTTTGACACTGCGATTCAACATAAAAATCTTGTGGCTGTGAGATATCTGCTGCTGCGCATTTCTAAGCAGAAACTATCGTCGTTAATAATCACTGGTGGTCTGGTGGTTCCTTGGATAATATGCTCGCTGTTGCCTGTTGGGTTTGCAGAAGTACCATCATGACAGGGAATGCTAGCGTTGTTTTGATAGTGATAGATCGAAGTGATGTTGTCATCGTGAGCACTTCTGTGTCCCATATTACCTTTGATACAATTGCAATATAAGCACCGGCGGCAAGCACTAGCCATACATGCGTGCTCAATTGTCCTCCCCCTAAATCAAATATGCACCACAACACTCGCAATGCGACCACCTGAAAAGGATTTTCTTAAAAGCTATCTTTTAGAATGCGATCACCACACTCTATGTCCTTATACTGAATCCTAATTACAACATATAAGAAGCTTCGATATTAGTCTATAACAGACTGGCTGTGGCATACAGAACAACTCTGACCTGCAAGACTGTGTATTATCCAACTAAAAACCGTGCAAAATTCCATACGGGGAAAGTACCGCACACCCATTATTTGACAGCATGACAAACATCATGCTCCTATTCTACAGCGTTCTGAGTATGCTATAAGAAGTCTGTGGAGAACCTGACTTGGCCAGACATGACAGCCTCGGAGTCTGTCATGGCAAGGCATGCAACCTCCCTCTGCACATACTTTGCCAGAGCTTCTGCTCGCTTGCGCTTGCCGCTGTCCAGACCATACACATTGCGCAGCAGCGCCTCTGTGAGATCCCCTTCTCCTTTCAAGGCCTGCAAGGATATTCAAACGACACCAATAAGATCACGCACATATCTGAAGCCCAACATAATTTTCATCCACCGCAATCCCAGACCCAGGCAATCGTCAACAGGAGGCAGTAGGAAGCTTGCAAACAAGACCTTGCAACATGTCCACACCTGGTCATATGCCATACTGCTGCCGTAGAAGTTCTTCTCCAGATCTGTGAGCCACTTCCCAACCCTGACCTGCACCACCCAAGCACCCCAGTCACAAGCCATTGCATACACCCTCCACCAGCGCCCATGTGTCGCCATGCTTCTGTCGATCAAAAGGCAGCCTACCATCTGGGCAAATAGGACCTTAAGGATGCACAGAGGAGCCTCACCTCATATTCACTAAACATTATGTGGCCCCATGCTGGAGTCAACCAACAGGCAGCAATAATATGGGCAACTCAGGAAGATGCACAGAAACAGATGTCCAAATGTAGCAAACAAAGTGAGCAACTTTGAGCCTTGGGAGCGCACCTTGACCCCCTCTGCTCGCACGCGCAGCTCCACATCTTCCTGGAAGTTCTCATACATCATCTGCGCCAGGGCTCGGCCGTCCTTGCCCTCCGCGCGCAGCCGCACCAGGATGAGCCACACGTGCAAACACAGCAACGAGTACGTCGTGGCAAACCGGTACTCCAGGTCCATCGCTGCGAGGCACAAATGTCAGCGTTCTTTTCTTTCTTTCTTTCTTTCTTTCTTTCTGCCAGGATTGCTCTGGGATGATCTTCTTCATCAGCCGTCTGTTTGTAACAGCAGTGACGGAAGATAAAATTCCTCTGTGATATGTCTAGACCATCAGGTAATGGGGAGAAGTTTGGCTCGTGGGAAGATCCACGGCAACCAATTGTCAGATAGCACAGCAGCGATCCAGACAGGGAGCAGCACCTGTATAGAAGTCTTTGTTGGTGGCCTGCTCCACTATGTCTGAGTACAGCACCTTGGAGCCGCGAATGAGCTGGCTCTCTTTAGTGTAGTACCCGCCAATGTGGAGCAGGCTTCGTTTGAGCCAGCTCTGCTCTGCTCCAGGAACTGGCACCTCTAGAGGTCGATTATGCGCAAGTGACCTAGGTCCAAGGTTGATTATCTGTGCCTGTAATAGCCAGAAGTGAACATTGCTTTGGTCAAGGAAGCCTTGAATTGCAGCAGTGTGCTGTTTCATAGTTTCCATACAGGAGTGGGCACGTGATGAGCACGGATGTACTTAGATGCAAAACGACCACAATCGCTGCAAACCGATGGTTTCTTTACTTAGAAGAGTTCAGATGTCAGATATCAGGTGATAATTCAAGGTATTTAAAATCATAAGGGAGGGTCAACACATGGGCTCACAAGAACGCCCACCTTGAGATCAGAAGAGTACGCCAAAGTGCTTTGATACAACGAAAATGCTGCCACAGCTGGCCTTGCATTCTGAGTGTATGATGTCGAACAGCTCTGTACTGCTCTACCAACAGCCAATTTCGCCACGTCACTTGCCAAACGACGGAGCATCCTAGCAATGAGCAGGACCTAGGAGGCACTCCAAGTAAAAACCAATAATGTACAGGTTCTACTCCAACTGCAGAAGCATAAGAAACATCAGAAAGTGATCACTTCCAGCGTTCAAGTTCCGATTGTTTGTTTGAGCCAACTTCATGGGCGGCGGAAGCTGTCTGTCTGCAAGTGTTCCCTCCCACACCGGTTCTTCTCCGAAGTCATTTTGATCGATCCAAAGAGCTTGTATGCAGAAGTCAACGTTATAATCCATAAATATATTCATACTAATTGTAGACCTTATTTCTGCGAGAGTTTCTTACTAGTGATCCTAGGCAAAAAGAATGAAGCTGCCACCAGGTTACGTTCCTGGGCATGGCGTGCAGAAGGCTACTGCATATGGGGGGTTTGGCGAAAAGCTTATGAAGCAGATGGGCTGGCAGGATGGCCAAGGGCTTGGTCGAGACAAGAAGGGTATCAAGAAAGCCATTCAAGTCAAGCCGAAGGACGATACAATAGGGGTGAGTACGGTTATTACAACATTGTATCCATACCTGTGACTATGCAGTCTACAGCAATGTTATAGCCATGCGCATTCCCGAGAATGCAATTATTTTATAGGTTGGTGGCCAGACGACCTTTGCTTGGGAGAAGAAGTGGTGGGAGGAAGCATATGACAGCAAGGCCAAGAAGATCCAGGTAGCACAATGCTCCACAACTGCTCATTGTTGGCGAGCAGCGCTCTCATCTTGCCTGGCTAGCTGCGTGGTGGCGCCCGCTGGTACTCTCATATACTTGAGGCCGCCTTTGGTGCGAAGGTTGGCTCATATAAACTTGCTTATTCATGCAGGCCACGCTCGACAATTCTGACTCAGATGACTCCGACGATGATGTCATTATTGATGTCAACCGCGATGGCACGCGATCCAGTGCTCACGAGCACGAGCGCAAGATAGCAGCAGCACTGGCGAAGGATCCCTGGGGCAGGTGCTCCACTTTCTAGCCTCCAATTTCCTTGTCCCCAAGTACAGTATCCTTTGTTGGTGGCCTCTTGCAGTGGGATGGCACAAGGTGCACAGAGCCGCACGTGTCGTGCTGAGAGTGGAGGCTGCACAGGTTTGGCGGTCGGGAAGGCAAGATGGCGCGCATTGCGCGGCAGGAGGCGGAGATGCTGGCCCGAATGCAGGGTGGGCAGGGTGCCAGCATCAGTCAGCCGGACAGTCAGGTCACTGATGCAGGCGCCTCTCAAGCAGCTACGCCGTCAGGTGCAGAGACGAGCAGGTCAGCAGCCGCGCAGGGCAGCGGAAAGGGGGTGAAAGCAGGAAAGAGGAAGCGCAGTGCGGAGGAGCTTGCCGCTCAGCAGGAGTCTCTTCCACGAGCCAGAAGGGAAAAGGGGGCCCATGCAGAAGCAGGAAGCGATGCTGAGGGTGCAGACACTCAGGGCGTCGGATCAGAGAAGCCAGGGAAAGCAAAGGGGAAGAAAAAGCGGAAGCAGAAGGCCGCAGAAGCAGGGCAGAATGACGAGGCAGCACAGGAGGCAGCGGCCAACGGGGCGCCCAGTCAGCGGCGGGTGCATGTCGTGCGGTTGGCGCAGGATGACTCATCAAACATCGCCCCCTTCAGTAGCACACCTGCATCCGGGTGGTGGGGGGCGTCCAGATTCAGGTCAGCAGGGTGCTTAGAGGGGCTGGAGCACACAGCGGAGCATGTGAAGAAGGAGCGGCAGACCTTCACGGAGCAGACACAGGAGGACTTGTACACTGCCACCCAGGCCGCCAAGGTCACCGCCAAGAAGGGCCTCGGCACTTCCTCCATGCCACGTGAGTGGCCGTTTATTTTGTTTATAGAATTTAGCCACCTGCGCAAAGAGAAATTCCCTGGGCAGGCTGAGCTTGCCGCTAGGAGGAGCGTTGTGCTTGCTGTGGGTGTGGTGTGACAGGTGCTGAGATGGGCATGTGAGAAGGCTGCTGAGCGTGGGCTGGTGCTGCAGGGAAGGTGGCGGGTGCCCGCTGGCAGGGCAAGAAGACGCTGATAGGGGAGGATGACGAGGCAGAGGCGGGGCCCCAGGGTGCTGAGGTGGCTGAGGGCAGGGCGGAGGAGCCGATGTGCCTCCAGAATGCCAAGTGGAAGAAGCTCGCAAAGGCTGCTCTGCTGGAGGTGGGTCACATCGCTATTTTAGGGCAATACTGACTGTATGTGCTTGCTATTGTAAGCCTTATGTGGAATTTTCAGAAGCTGCAAGATACATTAAAGAGTGGCTTGGGCAACAGCAAATCATGCCTGGGTTTGTGATGCTGCAGGCGCCAGACAGGAGAATGTCAGTGAAGCGCCTCAGGCAGGTGGTAGTGAAGGCTGCACTAGCAAAGGAGGGCATCACAGCTGTCAAGGCGACCCGCAAAGCACTGCAGGACGCCATGCTTGCCAAGGTGCGAGCTCCAGAAAATGCTGTGCACTTGAAAAGAGCCGAGCTGTGGTTTCCTTGCTGCTGCGCTTGCCAAGCGGGTGGTGATACAAGGGTGCTGTGGGTGCAGGTGTCAAGCAGTTCCATGTTTGCTGTGGAGGATGGCTTTGTGCGCCTGCTGTGAAAGAAGGGCTGGCCATACATTGGGCGACATCGGCTGTACCTATTTATGATTTTTTTGTTGTCTTCCCAGTAGACTTTAGCTGCAATTGTTACCACTGATGATTACATGCCATGTTTGGCACAAGAAACGCTATCAATATATGTAGCTTTTTTAGTACACATTGCCGGCAGTATCACTCAAAGTAATGATGGGCATCTTTGGAAAATGGACTCTGCCAAACCACTTCAATGCAAAATACTCATTGTTGAGAGTCTCACAACACTCTATCAGCTGTTTGCACAAATGCTCCTGATTCCCAGGTGTTTTGGAGTCTCATCCATCATCATTGTTCCAGGCAATGTGCCTGGACATTTACACAAACATCCCCCATAACAAGTGCCTTGCAAAAGAGTGGCAACCCGGAATCTCTTCTCATGTGTCAGCTTGCAACGCCGAAAGTAGACTCGAGCTTTTCTCTCTCCTCTGGAGTGAGGTTCCCGGTCTCACTCATTAATCGTTCTCTCGCCTCATCCGCCGCAGGGCTTGTTTCGGTACTGATCACATCCACATAGTTGTTGGTGTGGTCACCCTCCTGCACAAGATTAATTCCCGCTCTATAACTTCAGCATTCAGCCATTCAGCTTACAAAACTCCTCTGTCCAGCAGACTGCACCTGATGAGAATGTGGCCAAGCAAGTACAGAAACGGGGGGTCCGCAAGGGAACAAAGCAGTACAGATCAGCTGGCCGATGAAAGGGTCACGCACCGTGAATGTGGGGTGATCGGCTGAGTAGGTCCAGCGGCCGTCCATGATGAACTTGTAGGGGTACCTTCCTGGCGGCAGAGACCGTGTGACCACATGCCGATGTGTCTCCGTGTCATAGTCCATTTCTATCTGCTGACCCCATCCCACATCCAGGCCGGCAATCTGTGCGCCCCAGATATTGGCTGCTCAAATAAGAGAACTCTACACATCATTCTTTTGTGGTCTTACTCCGCCAAATTGCAGCAAAGCACTTGCAAAGCGGGGCTTCCAAAACGGTGACATTACCTCCACCAGAAAGCTGCATGGAATTGATGGCACTCTCACCTTCCCTCAAAAGCAATTTTATATGTATCAGCATGCAGAGCGTCAGCTGTTGCCAACTCAAAAGTAAATGACCCCAAAGCAGCTCCCTGACCTTAAGCTCCACGTGATGGAAGGGAAAAAGAGTGAGGCGGGCAGACCTGCAGGGAGGTTGCGCCGAAGGAGCGGCTGACGGCGATGCGCACGGGGGTGAGCGCAGTGCCGTCCACGAGGAGGTCCACGGTGGCCTGCCGGATGGCGCCGATGCGCGGGTTGCACGGCCGCACCGCCATGAACGTGCCGATGGCGTCCGCCAGGCTGAAGCCTCGGCACCAGTACATGTACGCCAGCGCAGTCGCCGGAGCCCTGCCCAGACCTGCGCAGGAGGTTTTGTCGCACTCAATGGGCAGAGCTTTAAAAATTAGAGCCAGGGCAATCCAACCCTGAGCTACATTATGCAAGACGGCACCATGGATCTCGACTAAGCGATCAGTTTCTGGTCTACATGCGTACAGTGAACATATGCGAAGGATCCATGTACTGTTTTGGCGCAGTTGCCACCACTGGCATGGGTAGAGGGGAGGAGGCAAAGCACAACATGCAAAGCACACCATAGGAAGGGGACAAGCAGCAGGCCTCACCCGCAGTGCAGTGGATGTAGACGCTCTTGCCCGTCCCCTGGAGGGCCCCGGCCTGGTCGGCCACCAGCTGCACGGCGCCGGCCAGCTTGCGCCGCAGATCAAAGGGGTCAAAATCCCTGATTGGGTACCGGTTGTGCGCCACATCCCCACGCTCCATGCAGCGCTGCCTGATCGGCTCCAGGTCTAGATCAAAGTACTCCATGTCACTGTCCTCCTGCAGATTTACTATTGCCCCCACCCCCTCCTCCTCTGCCAGCCTGCCAGACACACCCCTCACTGTCAATCGCCAGGCGCACATAGCGCCTCAAAACCTCAGTTGGAACATGCTGGGCAATGCCTGCATCTGTCAAGGCAAGAATTATTCAGAATCAGGTATGTTTCAGAAGCAAGCTGCTTCTCGTCTTGCCTGTCAACGTCCTCTGGCGACTGCAGGCAGGACCCCACTATGAGGTTGTCCAGCACGCGAGCAAAGTTGATGCCGTCCTCGTGGCAATACGTGAGGCTGCTGCCCATGCGTTGCTGCATGACGTCGCTGTACTCTGATGACTTGCCATCTAGGTCCTCCTCCTCGTCCGCTGCCGTGGGTGCTCCTGCCTGGAAGGTCGCGCTGACTCTGACCCTTGGGAGGGCCTTGTGCTCCAGTGCCGTGTTCAGCTGGGGTTTCAGATGGCTTTGTCGGGTGCTCAGCTGTGCCGGGCATGACATGGAGCGGTGCAGGACTGATGTGCTGAAGGAGTTGTTCTCTGCCCTGGTGGGTGATTGGGGGAATGCAAAGCGAGTGGAGGCTCTCATCGCTTAGGCAAGCCCTATCGATGGTCTTAACAGACTGCTAAAGGTCCACTTATGCCGAAGTCCCGGCTCTCCACGTGCTATACAGCCTCAAAAGCTACACCACATTGCCTTTGAAGGACCTAACAAGTGGTGAATAACCAGGGACGATCTGCATAGCCCTCTGTGGCTGTTTGCAATGTACTCTCCCTTCAAGAAAATGCATGTGCTGGGTCAAAGAAGCAATTCCAATCTGGATACGCTTTGCTGGAGATGCTGGCCTGGACTCCAAGTTGGAGCTGCTCCACGTGGACCAGATATTTTCGGAAGCCCTGGCCCGACAGCAATCGATCAAAATTTGAGTCTCATAGGGCAGTCCTGGATGTCCCTCATGAGAATAGAAACGGCTGTCTTGCACTCACGAGGCAATCATCCGGGCAAAGCGCGGGCCCCTTGTAAAGCTTATCCTCGCCCACTGTAACGATCTCAGTAGTCAAGCCGAGAATAGAACGCATTGCCAGGATTGTCAAAAATACTGAGGATGAACAGGCTCCTCAGATACATATTTCTGCGGAAATCTAGCACCACGATACCACTTGTGAATGTCGTCAAGTTGGATGGTAGGACGATGCATCCGCGCGAGGGACCTGATAATTTTCCTTTGGGAGCTGATGATGCGATGAAATTATACGATATCATAGGATGATGTGCTCTGAATTTCATGTCATGTGGGAGGAAATTCTTTTTCAGGGAAGAAAACACGCACTGTGCACAAGACGGCATGTCGACAGTGAGATGTCTCGGTGCGTGCAGGCATCATAGCACCAAGCAGAGGAGCTCGCGGGCCCCAGGCTCGGCGTCTCATCAGCTTAGACAGGGTGATCACAACTATTCCTGGAACGTCAGGCCTCTGGCATCTTGGTTGACACAGATCACACCCGTGTTGGCAAAGGGCATGGGTGCTTAAAACATGCAGTGTGAATTGCAGGTAGAGCCGTGGCTGCTTCAAGCCTTCATGCCAGCCTTGAAATAGTTCCGGCCCGCAGCAGTCGCAATCAGCTTGAACTCACCAGGTGCCATGCATGGAGCCTTACGCCCCTGTCTTTTCAGAAAGTGCATGCATCTTTGAGCAATGATTGAGCTTTGTCAAGCGACCAGCATGTCATGTCGTCCAGGTGGCTCTGCGACCCAGTCAGAGCTGATATTTGACCGCATTCGCGCCCTCGCAAAGGAGACGAAGACCCCCGTGTACACCTTTGCGGAGGACATCGCTGCCAGCGGCGCGTGCGCCCCTTTTGCATTCTCCTATCTAGCCCCATGTGACAATGCCTGGAACTTTCTTGCAACGACCTGATTCCAGACATTCTTAAGATTGTGTGTCTCATCATTGCCCCTCCCTGGAGCCCTGGCAATACCAGAAGCTGCACCTTTGTGTTTCATGTCATGTGGTAGCCTCCAGGTGCATCATGTGCAGGCATCAGAGTCCAGAGGTATCATGATCTGACAGAGGCCGCAAGAGGGTGCATCCTGAAATGCGCGCATGGTATAGGGCAGTTACTGTGAGGGGTTCCGGGGTCCAGAGATATCATCATTTCACAAAGGGCGCAAGAGGGTGCAATTTTCAATGCAGGCACGGTGCTGCGCAGGTATTGGCTGATGCTGGCGGGGGATGAAATGTATGCCAGCAGCACCAGCCTGGTGGGCAGCATCGGGGTCGTCAGTGCCAGCTTTGGCGCGGTGGAGGCCATCAAGCGGCTGGGCTTGGAGCGCCGAGTGTACACCGCCGGCGAATACAAAGACCTGCTCGACCCCTTCAGGTGCATCTCATTGCTGCCATGAGCTCACCTCTCCATCGCACCCCCGCACCCATCATCGGCCCGATTTTGCGCGGCCCCAATGCCTGTCTGAACAGATGTCCCCGCTCGGGTCAGCCGCAGCCATGGCAGACACCTTCATGTAAATTGAAGCTTCAAGAAAATTTGAAAGGCAAGCTTGGCATGTGCTGCCCCTGAACCCTGAGACTCTGGCCGTTCCCTGTAATCTCAACGATAGAGAAACTCGCACAGCACACTCGACAGTCCACTCGACAGCAGCTCATCACCAATTTATGCATAAATCGACAGTTTACTCATCAGCACTTCGGGGTCACCGTGCGCTGCAAGGAAGATTTGGGGCGCAGGCCGGTGCGGAAGGAGGAGGAGGCGCGGCTGCAGGAAGTGCTGGCCGACACCCACGACAGCTTCAAGGGCGCCGTGAAAGCGGCGCGCGGCAGCCGGCTGGCCGCGCCGGACGACCCGGAGCTGTGGTCCGGCCGCGTCTGGACCGGGCGGCAGGCGGCGCGGCTCGGCCTCACCGACGGCATCGCGCAGCTGGAGGCCAAGATGCACGAAAAAGTCGGTGACAACGTGCGCCGCCCGCTCCTCTCCAATAATCTGCATCCAAAGCACTGGATGTGCCCTGCTGCGGCATAATTGACGTGTAATTGCTGAGGCGCTGCGAATCTTTGGAACTCCCCTCTTGCAGGGCAAGCTCCTCCTGAGCAGTGTACTATTGTGATATGAAGCAACTTGTTTATCCTGCCATCCAATGTTTCGCTTGAGGCGCTGGGCGGGTATGGCATTCCCAGGATGCAGGGTGAAATAAGCGGTACATTCAGATAGCTTGCACGAGGGGCTCAACTTTCTGCTGGCTCTGATAAGGAAGCTGATGGTGCAGACTGTACTGGTAGTCCCGCTTGTGCATTTGCATGTTGTGCCCTTTGAATGAACATTGCAAGACTAGACGGCCATGCCATGCAGGCGCAGACTAGTTTCCTCTCACTGAAAGGGGATCTTGTGGGGATGCTGTGCAGGTCCACTTTGTGCTGTGCAGTGAGCCGCTGCGGGCAGGCCTGGCGGATGCCCTGGGCCTGAGCAGCAGCATGCGCGGCTGGGGCAAAATGTTGGGGCAGCAGTCAGACATCTACTCAGTTACAAGCAGTGCTTCCCAGGCGCTGCTGGATGAGGTGCAGTACCGCTCCATGTTGGCGCGCTATGGGCTGTAGACTTGAAACAATTGAAGCAAGATTTAGCCAATTAAGGCAGATGAAAGTCGTGCACCGAGGGGCTTTGGTGACCGGTGCATGTGTTGCAGACAGCAATGTGTAGATGTAGGTTTGAAGCAAACCTGTACAACCGTGTACGGTATAAGTTTTTCCTGGTTATCCTTGCTATACATGTGATGGCTGTCCTTGCACTACTTGTGATTGCCACTTTCATAGAGCAGAATGCAGTGTGCATAAAAATCTCTTGCTGTGAGTTGCAGCCATTTGTGGGACACTTTGAAGCCAACATGATATTCTTTAGCAGACTGGTGAACTTGGATGTTGATGAATTTCGAAATTGACCGTATTCCATGCATGTGTGCATTCATGCTCCATACCGTGCATGTAATTCTGCGCTTGCAATGACTGGCAAGATATTTGCCAAAAAAGTCACAGAAATCACCAGTTGTTAGGTTCCAAGGTTTACTCTTGAAGGGCCAGAGAAACTTGAGGTAGTGCCTTACATCTGGGATAAATCACACATGTTCATGCAGCAACTTGAAGCTGCAGCTCATTGGATCTCAGACTGGACTGCACGATGGTGCATTGTTGGTGCCTAAGTCTAAAGAATTGGCCAATCTACTCCTAAGACATACAGCTACCATTATTCTGCGGGTGAGTTGTATCTCTATTGCGGGCTCCCCCCCCCTCTCGGATGAGAGCAACAATTATGTGACACATGTATTCACTCAAGAAGACATGCAGCAGCTCATTGTGGATTTTGTTCAAATTAGGAATGGAAATACTTCAAAGAATTTATGGAGCGTTTGCCGCTCTATCGCAAGTCTAATTTGGCTGATGCCAGCCGCGCTAAGGCATACGAATTAATCGTTGTTCCTCTAGAATCATGTCTCATTTGCTGCAGCGCTGCTAGCGCCTCAACTACCAAACGGACAAATGAAATAATGACATACCCTACCATTAAATAATAACGAGAGTACTAATCTCTCCAATAATTTGGTGGCAATGAAATTATTCTGCTCCGTGCCGAACTATTCAGCAATGCCTCATTGTTCGCTGCTGAGGCCCAGGATTTTAGATGGGCGCCGTTGGGTGCCGTACAGTAGACCAAACCCCAGATAGCCTAATGCAAGGGACCCTACAGAGATGCAGGGCGCCAGATTGGCGCCTTTGGATTTGAGGCAGAGACCAGGGCCGAAACCGAGCTCAGTTAATTATGAGTCCCCTGCTCGTCCACACAAAAGGGGCTCTAGCCAAAGGGAGGGAAGCGGAATGGGCCGCCGCCGCCGAAAGGACCGCCGCCACCGGGCCCGCCACCGCCCGGGCCGCCGCCACCAAAGGGACCGTTGTCCACAAAGGGATCACTGGTGGACTGGTACGTCTGCACCGCGGGGGAGTTGCTCGGCGAGGGAGATGACGAGGGTGTGCGCGAAGGAGATGATGAGGGTGTGCTGGAGGGAGTTGCTGAGCTGGCCGCCATTATCGGCGGTGAGGTGTCGGCCGGGACGGCGGCGGGGGACGGGACATCGCCGTCGGAGACGGACGCGGAGGACACCGCAGAGCCGCCGGAGCCGCCGATGGCGCGCGCATTGTGCTGTGTGAAGAGATTCACTAGATAGGTGTCGCGGTAGGTGCCCTCGGAAGTGGTGCTCTCCGGGTAGATGCCTTGCACATCCCAGCTGGCATCGTTCCATAAGAACACCCCGTCCACCTGCATGAGCACCGCAACGGTCAGACGCCATTGCATAGTACAACTATGCTCCTGAGAGGTTTCTGCCGGCCTGCAAAATGTGGGACCCTGCATAAACTCCGGACAATCAGGAGTACAATGAGGATTATGTAATCAGAGTGAATCGATATAAAGATGATGACAGCTCAGAGCATGCAGGCTCAAGCCGGATTCCAGAACAGGTGTGCATGGGAACAGGTGGTCTAGGAGGGTGCTGCAAAGGAGAGGGTGCGCACCCGGTACTGGCAGCCGGAGCAGGAGCCGCGGCTGTCGAGGTACTCGAGGGTCTTGCGGTAGAAGTAGTGGTTGTAGTTGCGCACTTCGGTGGTCTTCCAGGGGTCGCGCGCGCGAGTGTACGCGCCAAACACCCCGAAGAAAGGCGTCGCTGCAGCCTGTGCCGCGGTCGTTGCTGGCGTGTTGCCGTCCTGGGAACTGCCTCCGCCGACGCCATACTCGTTCCAGAACAGCTCCTTGCCCTGCGCATGACTTGTCTCATTCCAGCTAAGAGGAGATGGACTCCATTTCATGCAGAAGGCCTGCTGCAATAGATGCCGCATGACGCACTTCCTAGGTCAGTCCTCCTTTCTGCTGCACTATTGCGGCTGCACTATTCCGACCCTGACGCTGGCATACCAGAAGCTAGAGCACAGCAGAATAAGACAAGAAAACCAGCACGTGAAAAAGGGCGCTCAAGAGAGTGCATTTGCCAAAGAGAGGCAGTCGGCAGGGGGCAGGGTGCAAGGGGCAGGACCTGGTTGAAAATGAGGTCTTTGAGGTTGATGCCAAACTCCTTGACCTCCAGGTCGAACTGCTGCGTGGCGGACTCAATGTCCTTGGTGGTGAAGTTGGGCGAAAGGCTGGGGTAGGCCGAGATGCCGATGAAGTCCACCGAGCTGTACAGCGTCGACAGACTCGTCAGGTCGAAACTGCGCTTGAGCGGCGCAAAGGCGGCAGGGAACTGCTGCAGGTACTGCGAGGGGTCCACCATGTCCTGCACAGGGGGGCATCAGTCAACTCCTGAATGTGCAATGGAATGAGCAGGCTATTTTGTGTGCTGCGCAGCATGCTGGCTATGCTGCTATTCAGCGAGATGACTTTGACTACAGCTGCAAGATTCTTGTACCACAAGCGACAGTGCAGGGCAGAAGCCCAGATCACCGGCGTGCTGGTTACAGCAGCCATTTCAGGAGAAAATGGGACTTCAAAATTCGATCGCAGCAACTGGTGAGGAAGTGCGTTGGTATGGCACCTGACAGCATAAGGACTGCAGTATGAGAACCCGTAGTACAAAACATTGCGAGAGGGGGTCACCTGCAGGACGCAGCCGCAGAGCTTATCAAAGTTGGTGCTGACGCCCAGCTTGATGTTGGAGGACGACACGCTGCCGGCCGACAGGCGCCGCCGCAGCACCGGCAGCAGCGTCACGTAGGACTTTGGGAAATAGAACACGGTTGCCGACATCTCGCCCTGCACCGCACACCCACGACACTCTTTTGCCACAGCGCATCGTCAAGAAAGATGCACTGTTGGCCAAGATCCTTGACATTCCATCTTTGATGGGTGAGGATGTCTAGAGCAGAGTGCTGAGCGATCCTCGAGTCGGCATTGGTTGTGGTGAGCAGGCATCATAAAGCACATACAGCAACAGGCAGCAGCTGCTGGTCATGGGCTGCATGCATTTTGCTTGCGCTTAAGCAATCCATGCAGCTGTCCATTGGGCAGTTGATGCATGGAGTGAAGCAAAAACCACTAATAACCTACTAGCCTCTGAGAGTGCTTTGTGACCGGGATGGCGAGTGCACCTGCATGGCAAAGTAGATTTTTGTGCTGGAGGTGGCCACTTGCGCGAGGGCATCGGCCAGGGGGTTAAGCATGATGTCCTGGTAGCTGAAATTGCCATACTTCTTGGCCGGGTCAAACAGCAGCCCGTTGCGCCAGCCGCCTGCACATCATTAGCCATGATGTCCCTCTTTTGCCTCTTGTGAGATCCTCACAGGCAACTCAGTTTTGGTAAATCAATTCAAGAGACACTGCAAGGCCGTGTACATACAAGGCACTTGAAGCGCGGGTTAGGGAGAGGGGGCAGCTCATTCGATATATCCATGCATGCCACATATTCAAGACATCTCTGGTTCAGGAGCAAGACTGTTATGAGGTGCTTGTACAGTGGTGCTGGAGAGCATGGCTGCCGCACCATAGCCCAGTCCGTCGTCCAGGTGTGGGGCCACAGCGATGGTGGACAGCCCCAGGTCGATGGCCTTCTTGAAGCAGGAAGCCATGCCGCTCTTGAAGCCCTCAATGTCGGCAGCCGTGGCCTGGGGGCACACGTTGCCTGCCTGCCTGCTGTAGCAGTAGTAGGTCACATTGCCCTGCACAGCAGCATTTGCTTGTGAGAAGAAGGCATGCTTTGTTGTGTAATGTGACCATCTTTGATGTGGATGACATGCACGGACCAAGAGATGCATTGGCAATGTGCAGGTGAGAAGAGTTGTCCACAGGTCAGCAATGTACCTGGGAGTTGACACTCTTCCGCTGCTGGAAGTTCTTGTCGACCCAGAAGAGTGTGGGCGTGAACATGAGACGAGACTGCCTGTTTCCAGCAGCCTTCTGAACCATCTGCATGCATCTGGAAGTTCCGCCGTTGACTGCATAGTCCCCAGGGCCCACCAAGAGGATCTGCACACCAGTCAATAGTAAGTATAACATGACGCCTGACGTGGGAAGACTCCTAGACATGGTTCTGCTGCAAAGCACTTGTGATCCTTTCATGATTCTGATGGTGTTCTACTATGTTGAATTGCTCACCGAGCTGTTTATTTCAGGTGGATTGCTGCTGCTTTGGGAGCCTGCTCCTGTGAGAAGCTCGAGAATGAGGACGCATATTGACGTACAAGCCACCAGCTTTGTGCTCATCGAGGCCAAGAATCTCCCCTGGGATTTCCTTTCTAGCACGTGGGAAGTGTGGGAGACCTGCAATAGCACGAGCAGTTAAATAAAGTCGCAAGAAATCATCGATATTGTGTTGCTCGACTTGTGCGCATTTTAGTCAAGCTCCTGAGCCAGAACTAGTAATACGCGACGCTTCAAAGTGCCCTGTGCTATGATACACGATTAGTTGTGTCAAGACAACGGCATCCCTTGAGAAATAACAAAATAAAAATAGCATCCTCTTGCCATGACGTTGAGCCCCAGCATCGAACAATATGTAGATGAGGGACCGAGCATCATGCCTTTAGACGCAATGGGCCGTCTGTGCCTTCGTGCAGTCGGCGATATCCAAAGAGAACTCTTTAAAATCTTCGCTAAGCGCCAATGCTCACAGGATCAACCTTAACTTACAGATCGGGCAGGAGCTAGGAGATCGCCTGTTGGCTGTCAATGTCCGATTGATCTACGGCAGGTAAAAAACGCTCAGAATGGATGTGCACGCTCTACCCAAGAAAAGAGCACTTAGGAGGGATCGATGACAACGTTGTGAAGCGTGGAAGGGCAAGACGCTGATAACAGGACATTACAAATTGACGAAAGTGGGCGCTGCTCTTGCATCAAGAGTCTGTCTTTGGGCCCCGAGAAACCCTCCACGTGCCTTCCATCTGGCACCTCCTCCTTTTGGCGAGCCTGGCAGGCTCAGACTTCTGCCGCAACCCACCATGATGGCTTCCTGATGTTTAGTTCCCAAGCTCTGACGCATAGATCCCTTGCAAAATTCAGAAGAACACAGGCCTGCGCAACGCATGCACACTGGAGTGCCAGGTGTGCAGCTGCCAGTCCAATTGGCATTGCAATGCCCCAATGGGCCGCCCAATGTCCCAATGTATCACCTCTTCTGTTACAGCCTCTCAGCCAGCATCACACCTTGTGGCCGTTTCACCTTGAAGACCCGAGTGTCACACACAATCGCAGTGTCACTGACACATAACGTAGTTCCAGCAAGTACAGAGAGGTCTCACAACCTGAAGCACTCGAGTCACAGAATGATCTTGAAACTAGATGTATTCCTTCCAAAAAGGTCTCTGCCTCTCCCCTCAACTGTCGCAATTGGTGCAACACCAGCACAGCAAACGACGCATGCATGCAGATACCTGCACATGCTAAAGAATTCTCACAGCCATTCTTTGAAAATAATTTGTTAAATTTGCAGTGCTCTCTTTTTAGTCTTCTTGGTTGCTTCTGGGCAAACAACAGCCTGCCATGAGTTGCAGTATGGTTTCCTTTTGCTCCCTTTGGGACAAACTTACGCAACGACCCTCCTAGACAATCACGCATCGCAGGTCCTGGGCTTCTCTCAGCATGCTCGTCTCCAAAAAGGGACATGGGCCCAGCGACTATAGCCCCAAAAACTCTTGCTCCTTCATCTGCTCATCCAGGACTGGGTGCGACAATGGCCGCAAAAGACTCCTCTCCGCCGGTGTGCTGCTGCGCATCTGCAGCAATCTTGCCTCTGACGCCCCTCAGAATGCCATCACTCGCAGACCCGCTGACCTTCTCCGCGCCATTTGACGCCGCTCCTGGTCTGCTCTCTACACTCTTGGCCTCTGCTTGAGAAGCCTGCCCCACACAGGCCTGAGCACCGTTGACACTGGGCGGCTGGGGGGCGGTGACATTGGCTGCCAGGCGAGCGCGGTCCACTGACTTGGCGGCCACCTGCGCGGCAGCTTCCCGGGCAGCTGCCGCGCTCCTCTCCGCCTTATCCTGCCGGTACTGCATCGCCGCGTTCATGGCATTGCGCACCCGCAGCGGCGCGTTCGGGGGCAGATTCGCCAGCCTGCCATTGAAGCTTGCTCCCTGGCCGGACACACTGCCGCCTGACGGCATCTTACCAGCAAACCTGCCGGATGCGGCGGGCGCGGCAGCAGACAACCCACTGGCCTCGGCCGGCATCCCTGCAGACCCTGATGCCGCCTGCACAATGGCGGCGTTCGAGGCCCTGCTGCGCTTGTACTCCAGAGCTTGCCGCATCCGTGCTCCAACGTCACCGCCGCTTGATGTTGGGATGGTATTTGAATTTACGCGGTCCGACGATGCGCTGGAGTCCTGCTCCTGGCCTGATGACGGCAAGCACACATGATCACATGAGAATGCCATGCCTCTGGAAGATAGGAAACGGTGTTCCACATACATTTTTGGTCAGTGCTCAGGATGAGTCAAGGCAAATGCAGTGCCAATGCGCACCTCGCATGGAGGGGTCGGGAATGGCCTTCTCCAGCTTTGTGCGCAGGCTCTGCGTGTCGTTCAGCAGCCGCTCGCGCATAATGATGTACTGCTTGTACTTGTTTATCAGCCACGGGATGCCTGCACAGCACAAGGTCTTGCGTCAGGCACCCTCATCCTCCCTTGACTGACACAAGCTGCATGCCCTAGTACCTTGACAAAAGGCAACTTCGCGCAATAGTGAAGCATGGTAGTCACGAAGATGTGGCCGCAGACACTCTTTGTGTATGTCCAGTGGCCTCTGGCTTTGAGTGCAATCATGTAGTAATGCTTGAGCTAAAATACTGTTGCAGTAAATGGCAGTATGACTGGCGAGGGACGTGTCGCACGTGTGCTCTCCACATCGGCCAGGCAGGGCTTGCAGCCGTGCTTGGCCTTGAAGGCAGCCGTCCAAGGCTCCAGCTCCTCCTGCAGCGCCCGGAACTCGCGCAGCTCCGACTTGTACGTGCTCAGCACCGCCGAATCCATCATGCGCCCCGATGATGATGCACCCCCGCCGCCTCCCATGCCCCTGCACATGTGAACACACCCTTGGCACCATGTGGGTCACACAAAAAATATTGCCCGCATTAGGACATGGTAAGGAAGACTCGCTTGCACATTTGCCTTTACAAGTAGCATGATGACATATGCTGCTCCCTGGAAAAGGTCAGGGCGTATTGCAGGAATTGATAGAACATGAAGGAGGGGTGAGGGTCAGACCTGCCGGTGGGTCGGACAGGGTAGGAAGTGGACGCTTCCTCTGCGCTGTGCACGCTCTCGACGGCGCGCAGGATGCCCGTCACCATGAGGCGGCGGCGCTGAGACACGCTGATGGCGTCCCTGTGCTCCGCGGACTTGGGCACGCCCGACAGCCGCTCTGACAGCAGCTTGGCAGTCTCCTGCAGCATGTTGAACACCCACTGTCAGCAAAGTAAGGATTGCATGGAGTAAGGATGCTCCATGCAGCAAGTGAACATGGGCATGCATGTTGAAGGACCTGCATCTTTCAGTGCAAGAAAGAAAAACCTCAAGGGTTGTTGAAAGGCTCACCGGCGTGTGAGTCAGCCCCTGGTGAGATTTGCTCATCTGGCGCCGGACTGATCTGGGGATGTGGCGCCCCTGCTTTGCCAGGCTCATCTTCTGGCGAGTCTCCAGGCTCATCTTCTTGCCCTTGTTCCAGGCCACCCTGCCCTGCAAACCCCCAGCCAGCACGTCTGCGAAAAGCCTTGGATGCACATGCATTTCGCAGCACATTTCTGCAACGGTGCAGTTGCCCAGGAGATGCTGAGTGAAATGTGAACGGCTATACCTTGAGTTTGGCGCACACAGCCGCTCTCAATTCAGGAGAACTACGCCAGCGTCGCTTCTGCGCCTGGCTGATTTTGAGCTTGGTGGACTCTGGGATCGTAAGCCCCTTATTCCAAGGACTCCGCTTCCGCCTGATTGGAACTGCATGCGACATGATACCCTCCTGCCCAGAAATAGCGGTACCCAGGTCAGACATGCTGAATTGCAATCATTTGGGTGTGATCACTCTGCCACTGATATTCCACCTCAAAGATTGGGGGCCTCCAGGTTGTGGAGGAGCTCTCACATGGCTGAGCAATCCGGATGTTGTGGACACCGCCAGTCCTTGCGAATGCCCGCAGGCTCCATCCTGGCTCGCACGTTGCTGAGGTAGCTGCTGGGGGTGCTCTCCTTGGGTCTTTTGGTGCCTGGCAATGAGAGCTGCCTCTCTTGATCTTCTGAGAGACTCCAGTAAGTCGTCTGCTACATCAGCCAAGGTGTGGGACGCTCGGGATTCTATGTGCTGATTATGGGTCTCTGTCGCGGTGGGCCATGCAAGTGATATGCTGCTGGCTTGTGTCCCTGAACTTGATAGATCTCCTCGGCTCGTTTTATCCACTTGCTTCAGAATACGAGACTTTCCTGCAAGGCATACGTCATGCAAATAAGATACTTACACACTTGATGAACACCAGGACCCCAACATGCCCAGCAAAACAAGGCGCACCTAAAGGTGTCGGGCCATGTCGAGCAGAAGTGGGTTGGAAAGGCAACGGAGCATGCGTGCCCTTCGAACCTGCAATCGACACAAGAAATAATCTTAAAGGACATGCATTGGATACTCGAGCCTTTCAATGATGTCCGCAAGAAGATTATCGGGAGATGATCACCTCTTAGGCTTTGGGAATTCATCGGATATTGTCCCTTTCAAGTCAATGACTCCTCACCACGCTCCATTGTACTCGTCTGTGCATGTCCACGAGGTCACTGCAAGATGCTGATGGGGAATAAGGTCCAGAAGATTCCAATATCGAGCTTGTGCACGACTTGTGGTAGTGCGCTTTCTCCATCCAATAGCATGGATCCGGCCTATTTAGGCCATCGATCATGGGACTCTGAACTTGCTCAACGCGTTGGGCATTTGCATAGAAGTTGTCCTGGACTGCTTAAACCTCTTTACTGAGCGTTACTTGTCAGGCATGTGGAAGATGAGTTGCGCACCTTCAATGCCTATCTAGAACTGCGCAGCATGCTAGCGGTGACCGTCAACAGGCATGCAATTACTCTGGCCAAGTCATTCATCATGCAGTTTCCAATTGATCACCTCTTGACATCTCGAGATTTCCAAGCATTGTTGGTACAGGGCAGATTCTCATAATCAGTGTGCACGTCACCGTGACGCATGCAGCGAGCGCGTCATATATAATTGTAAGCACAGACCAGACTCAATTTGATCAGCAATTGGCTAAGTACAAAACTACCTAAGTAACTTCTAAGCAGTCTGATTCTTCATCATCATATGTACTACAATTGGCAAGATGAGAGAGGCTCTCACCAATACCCAAGTCTACTGTCAATTGTGTTCCAACTCAATGAGTTTTGACCTGGCATCATTCACACTAGTCTCAGTGGGGCACCATGTACATCTTTGGAGACCTCTAATCTGTCGGCTATAAGTTATACACGCAATCTCTTGCAGGAACCATGTTATCCACCTCCAATGTTTGTTCTACAGTGGCTGCATGGGGCCCTGGCTGCGCTTATATTGAGGCAGTCAGTCATTCACTGATCATGCTTATCTGATCATCAGGGCACAGCCCACATTGGATGCCAAGTGCACAGATCATTGATGACAATTGCTGGCGACCAGAGCCTTACATCTGACAAGGACCGCTAATCAATGGGGCACAATGATCAGCGGGCTCAGGAATGAAGATATCACATTGGCTGCTACCTCCTCTCGTTCATCCAATGCTGATTGATGCCTGCGCCTCAGAGCTTGCCGCCAGTAAACTCTTGAACTCTGATTGCGAAAGAAGCCCATCCCCGTCCTTGTCATGCTCGGCCACTGTTGCTGCTACAATCTGCAGAACAGTCACCAACTCATGGTCAACCCACCAGATGAACCTGAAACATGTGACACAATGCTGCCACCAGAAGCCAGATCATCGCTGTGTTGCAAGAGATATATTGTAGAGATCCGTCAGTTTTAGCTGTGCACAGCCCGCTCAATCTCTCAACAGAAGGGCAGCGCAGTCTTCAAAAGTTATATTGTCGGTTCTCACCTGTTCGAGTGCCTTTTCTGACAGCCCACGTCCCATGATCATTCGCAGCACAGCGAGCAGCTCCTCAGGACTCACAAAGCCATCGCCATCCTTGTCATACAATTGGAAGGCAACTGTGCATGGAGAAGAAAAGGTCAAAGGCTCCTGCAAAGGCTCCTGCAGTTGTCTATAACTCAAGTATTGATGAGACCCTGCATGGAAGGCAACTGTGCATGCGGACTGCAGGGCTTGGCAATCATCATTCACAATGCTGTGAGACAGCGGCTTACATTCTGCTCTGTCCTGCCCTGTGTACAGCTGGCCTAGCCTCTCAATTGCGGATGTGAAGTCCTTCTGGCTCAGGAATCCTTTGCTGTCAGCGTACATGCCGAAGATGCAAGGAATGAAGACGTTGCCAGATAGGTCTGCATTTTGCTCAAGGTCAGCGATGGAGACCTTGCCACTCCCATTTGCCAGACGAGAGAATCTGCACAAATCACACACAGTCATACGAAGCTCGACAGACTCGTATGACAACTGGGCGAGCCATATCACTATCAATGTGCTGCTTCAAAGGCTCACACTTGAGACTATATATAACACGATTATACAAACATTGACACGTGACAGAGCTTACAGACACCAATTTGTATTAAATGTAAATCTTTGTGGCCTTTGTCTGCATAAATGAAATAACTACTTGTTGCGAGAGGAGGACACTTCACCTTCTCTGCATGCGCTCAAGGTCCTTCTTGGACATAACGCCATCCTGAAACCCGCTTGAGCTGGAGTTCCCCATGTCTGAATCCTTCAAAAGGTATGAAGCTGATTCTTTCTCTCGCAACTAAGAATTCTAGCGGTAGGTCCTCGTCTCAGAGGTTCTTGCACGAATTGCTCAGTTATTTACTTCGTCCGAGGTGATATAAGAATTTGCCTGCTTGCACTGAGTCTGTCGAATGAACTGTTGAGCTTCGAATGTAGAGCAATTTGACAAGATCAGCCTGACGCGAAATTCTGCAACCAATGGCTCTGTGACTGGCTCTGTGCACCAGTCAGGTGGGGATCTGCAGGTGGTGACTTGGAGAGCAAATTTAGCAAGATTTAGACAGCTTAACTGCAAGCCAATCACTGCAAGCCAGAAGTGATTCCAAATTGTCAAGTGAGGGTGTCCTCGGAGGAAGCCTCGTGCCTTTCACGGGTGTTGAGGCATGATTGCCCGCTGCCCAAAAGTGGGCAATTGGGCCATTTCCAGCTGTCAACAGCACAGAGATCAGGGTGATCTTCACAACTTTATCCTCCCTCACCTGCTTCAGCAATCTTTACACAAAATCAGCATTCAAGCCATGTGCCACCACAGTGTTGATAAATGCACTGCATGCAAGCGTGAGCCGCAGTGGCAGCGGCCTCGGCGGTGGGTGCACCATCATGATGTGAGAGCGCTCTTTAGAGGGGGTAGCGATTGTCTAGAATGCAGACAGGGACACAATGCAAAAGTATGACGAAAAGCGCCTGTTTCTTGCATAAGGACTAGTCCATTTTTTGGAGAAAAGCATTGACATCTCTTATTCATTGCATATCAGTAGCGCGGTGGCAGCAGCAGTTGCTGCCGTTGTGGCCTATGGCCACCTGCAATCATGACGATTGAAAGACTACAATTGCAACATTGTAACGAAAGAGCCTTACAAGGTGGGCTGGCATCAAGGCCTTCGCCACAGCATGATCAAGACAGGGGAGTTTGGCCGGTTCAAGATGCGCTGCTCCAGGACAGTGAACTCCTGAGGGTGAACCTGCGTGGCCATCTCTTGCACCGCCCTGTATTCCTCCATGCCGCCTGTTTCGCAGGGCAAATAAAACAGTAATTAAGACCACCTGACAACATCTCATCTTGCTGACATAGATGTGTGGTCCTTCTTATATGACGGCAAGCTGTCCTGAGGCATGCATGTTCCTATGGATCCAGATGCAGAGTGCTGAGCCAGAATGCATACAAGTGAGCAAGATCAAGTGTCTTACCTGGATGGCCTACATATGCCAGCACACTGATAATTCCCCCAGGTTCCAAAATATTCATGGCGGCCTTGACAGCAGCCACAGAGGTAGCCGGCTGGCTGATGATGCTGCGGTCTCCACCGGGCAGAAAGCCCAGGTTGAAGCACACGAACCGTGCTGCTTGGACATGCTCCTGCAAATGTGGCCAGCACATATTCACCCTGCTACCAGATGTGTGCAGGCCTCTCATATAATTGTTACTCAATATAGTGCAACTCTGAAGAGGTCGAGGCAGCAAGGTACCTCTAATTTAGAGTGGCATCCATGGACAAAGCGGACAGTGGGGAGCAGCTCTGGATCCACTTCGTCCTCAAGGACAGCGCTTGTGCTGCGGATGGCATCCTCCTGCACACCCAAAGTTTTCTTTCATCTCATTGAATACCTTTCCCATGCATGTGCATACAGAATATCTGCAAAGAGCAGGTTCCCCCGGCGCTGCTCTGATGCATATGTCAGAGGGGCCCCTCTTGCGATGGAAATGTGCCAGCCCCTTCTTGAGAGGATTCAGTGGAAGTCTGCTCTTGCCTGAATGTCAAATGCAACGAGCTGCCCCTTTGGGCCGATCTTCTCTGCCAGCCATTTGCTGTCATTCCCATTGCCGCAGGTTGCATCCACAACGGTGTCACCCTCCCTGACAAAATGATGCCATTCACCCTGTGCCAGGGATGTCACGCGAGCCCCTCTGAGGAAGAATTTCTCAAGATCTGAGCTGCTGTTGCTTGCTTCGGAGACAGCCTTTCCTCCGCTGCCTTCCAAGCTGTCTCTCTCATGAGCTGCCTCAAGTCTTGATGCGTTCAAGAGGTCATCAGGTATATCTGAGGTAGAAATCCCCTGTGAAGACTTTGCCCTCTCCCATATTGACACTGTATCATACTGCTGACTCTCTGTTGTGTTGCAGCAAAGGCTGCCCCTTTTACTGAGCAAAGCACTCCAAGCATGCTCTCTGCTTCTGACTTGTGATCTGGAGGAGATCCAGGCGGTGCTTTGGTACTTTTTCCCACAATTTATTGGTGGCAATGACATTCTTACGTTTTGTATCTGGTAATTGATATCAAATTGACTTCTAAGATGGCATAGGAAGCGACAATTGCAAAAAAGCTGCCTCCCAATGCCCATCTTATACATCTCCATGAGACTCACAACCTACAATCGTTTGGAGACGCAGCTCAATATATTTGGAATAAACAGGTAAATTTGGAGATAACTTCATGACAAAAAATCGGTGATTTTGCAGGATGGCAGGTGTTCGCTTCCTTGGATGGGACAATTTCAATCCTATCGCAAAGCTTCCACAGGCTGAATAATTCCTTGAAGCGTGCTGAAGTGTTTGTGTTCTTTCAACAGCATGCTGAAATGCCGGTGATGGAAAAATTTTGAAGAGAATGCGGCAAGAAACCAATCTAGGTTGTGGTGGCCTGCCCTCAGCTGCAGCCCTTGTATCTCCCGGACGCTTCCCCTTCCTTGAGGTACGATGTGTGCCAAAGTCTGGCTGTGAGGGCCACCCAATGAGTGCTGGCATGAGCATATGAATGCAGTAGCCGCTTTAAGGTTGAAGCAGTGTACGCATGCATGCATAAGCGGATGTCAGAACCTTCAACCGGGAGGGAGGTGCTCATGTGGCCCATGGGGTGATCCCGCCTGTCTGTGTCTCAAGTGCTTGCAGATATGTTGTCAGCAGAATCAAAGATGTCGTCTGGAGAAGTATGGCCGCATGATCACACGCTCCTGGTAGTTATGTGCAGGTTCATAATTAGAAGGGCCGGCCCGGGGACGATATCTGGTATCTTTTCTACACTCTGCCAATCCATGGCTGTAAACAGATCAAAGCTACCTGAAAGGTGGTTTCCCGCAATGGACAACTCAATCAAGCGTCACCGCAGGAGTACAGTGTCATACTCTGCCGCTGTATCTGTCAAGAGATCCAATAATATTGATGCAAAAACACAAGCTGCTGAAATCAAAGCTCCAGAGATCCTTTAGTCTCATGCTGACAGTGCGCCAGCGTGGCTACCATCTCCTGCCAATTGTGCAAAAAATGTGCACTCCACCAACCATAAAACTGATCGTTGCGCATCTGTGCTCCTCTAATGCCCTGAAATATGCTATGCATGATGTCTTCAGAATTGGGCTTTGCTCATAGGCCCCAAACCACAGGCGGGCTTGTGATGGCAATCCTGAAAGTTGTAGAGCCTTCCGAGGGGCTGAACAGGCCATCTGAACTGCCGCTGAACTTTGCCGTCACATTGTACGTCCCTGCGTGCAGATTGACAACATTAGCATCGGTCATTGCAAAATGTTGACTCCGGATCAGTTGATCTGCCAACAGGCTTATACCATGCAAGACATCAGAATATTGCTGGCAGCAAGAGGAGCCACAGTGAGCACCTGGCAGCAGTATAAGCCCCTCACTGGCGCGTTTCAGTGCTAATGTGGCCACACCAGATACACTCAGGCGGGACACCAGCCCGGTCCCAAGCGGCTTTGCCTTCACCCACTTGAACGCATCTTCGCCGCTGACAGTGTATGTGACTGTTCCCGACGATGGTCCAAGGGGCTGTGCTGTGCTGGTGCTGGCAACAATGGCTGTGAAAGTCACCTGCAAGGAATGGATCACACATGTTCAGCTGCATACCGGAGGTCTGTGATAATAATTTCACAATTTACCCCCAATGGGCTCCAGTCAAGTCCTGGATCAGCAAGAAGAACAGACAGCTGCCAGCAGGCCACCCTTGACTCATCTCTATTGAGGCAACTTGCGAGGAGGTGCAATTTTGATCTTACCGGAGACATGTAGTTCTCAAGGGTAATGATCGGTAGAGAAGTCTGCACGAGAGTTTGAGTGGGTACAAAAGTACCATTGACTGGACCACACAAAATGTATATCACGATGTCAGTCTCTAGCCTCAGTGATCGTCAATATTTGCGACGTACGGCTTAATTTTCAAATCTAGCATCAAGTATTTGGTTAAAATCTGATTTGCCAGGTAAGAATAGGCTCAAAGTCAAGCGTGTTACTGCATATCAGGCATTGGAAAGGTATTACTCACTTTGAGCGCTGATCGACACAGGTGTCGAGACGGCAATCAGAAGAACAACCAGAAATTCAGGGATCATTACATGAGTTTTCATGCTCATGCTGCGCTTGTTTGTACAAGTTATTGGAGCTCCTCTGTGTGGCACGATCAAGCTATTGCGGTCCACTGATATAATGATTCTCTGTCTGCAGAAAACAATTCTTAGTGAACAGCAATGTTGCGTTATTTTTGCGATATATTATTGATCACGGCGTCGCTCAGTGCTAAGGGCCTGATCACACATCCTGGCCTTTGAAGTTGAATCGGACCCGCGAGTTCATACCTCATGACCACCCCCAGGGCACCACATGTCATGCTGACGGTGTATTCAGCATGGGAAGAAGCCCACAAGAAACTGACGCTGTGCGCCCTGATGATGCCCACAAAAGCATAGTTATTTGGGTGAGTGCCGTTGTGGCAACAGTATAGTGAAAAGGTAGCTTGCACTCTGCTCCAAACTCATAAGCCTTGCCAAGTGATCGAGACCTCCACGTAGGTGACCTATAGGTCGGCCCGGGCCCCACAACTTATGCCACTGTGGCGTAGAGATTCTGTGCTGGGCACTGGCTGGATCATTTGCGGGGGGAATCACTTCACAGCGTAGACAGCATGCTCAAGATCATGAACACATGCAGAGCTGAACGCCACGCCTGCAACTGCTTGGCTTGAGGTGCTGCCACACAGATGTGAATCCAAGACTTTACATAGACGAAGCGAACCTGCGCGAAGCAGTTCAATCTACCCAGACTAAGACCGAGACTCTGTATTCTGTTAATTGGTGTCCACCCTATACTGCGAATAAATGTACAACTGAAATACCATGACCCATGGAGCTGAGTTCAGCTTTCCATGCTTCTCCTTGGCCCTGTACCTGCTACAATACAGATATCCACCAAGCACTAGTTGCCATTGCTCAGCGTCAAGGCAGCTCAGCTGTGAGGTATTTCAATGCACACAAAAATGCATGGGTCCTACCCCCTTGTCGCTCTTCAACAACCCCACGAGTCTGAACGCAGTACCTTCACGACTCTCTCACACCAGTCGCTCGCGCACACTGTTGCTCACGGCTACTTCTGCATCGTCACCAACGCATGCGCCGGCACAAATCATCTAAAATGCGTGCCCGCATCCCCATCATGAGGATTGCCTGGGAACCCCATGCACTTGCCCAACACATTTGCCACATTTGCAGCATTGCCAAGGCTGGCAGGGCATTGTTACTAGCGCGTCCGGAGAGCCCACAGCAGCATGCTGCTGGTAGAAACGCTATCAGAACCGCAGGAGAGCTACACAGAGCGGGGCCGGCCGCCCCGGGACCGCGCTAGAAGCCAGGGGGGGTATCAGTTGCCGCCGACAGCGGCCACCATGGGCTCGGAAACAGTGTCGGCAGCGGTGGCAGTTTTGGGCAGCTTGGCGATGAGGTGGCGGTCGCCGTGGACGTTGTCGACGCGCGAGGCGGATGGCCAGAACTTGGCCTGGCGCACCCAGGTGGCCGGGAAGGCCGCCTTCTCGCGACTGTAAGGCCGTGTCCACTCGCCCGCCATCACAACGTCTGCCGTGTGCGGCGAGTGCTTCAGCACGTTGTCCGCCCTGCACGCACGTGCGCAGTACATCGTTAGCCATTTCCTAACTGATCAGAGGCCCTCTCTAAATTCTCTGTCCCAGAGAAGTACAGCCAGCATGAACTCAGGGATGAAACGCACGTACAGTAGGCTGTCGGGCTATCTTCGCTATGCCTGTCAACATAGTCATGTGGAAAAGGTTTGCATCGGACGGTTGGAGATATAAGGTGGGAGCAGCGATGAAGGTTTGAAGAGAAGCAGGAGTCAGGAGAGACAGGAGAGGGGACGCACTTGTCGGCCTTGCCCTCCTCAATCTCGCGGACCTCCTCGCGGATGGCGATCAGCGCATTCACAAAACGGTCCAGCTCGGCCTGCATGGACACAGCCACTCCAGTCACTTGCCACACTCGTGGAAATGCCCAGGCACATATACACATAAGTATACACTTCCTCATTGTAGACCGCGGATGAACACTGGAGATGGCCTCTTACTCTCAAGCAGAGTGCTGCTATTAGGTCTGGCTGGTGTCAATGTGCACTAAGCAGGGGACAGAAACTGCGCATGCATGTTGCCGTGCACTTCAGGCTAGTAATCCTAGCCACGGCCATGGTCACTAATCCAATACCCATCCAATCGCTTCAAGTTTAATGAAAGAAATTGGCAGACAAATTGGTGGGAAAATACTGCAAGGGTGCCGTGGCATGCCTCCGGCTGGTGCCAGCAGAGGAGAAATGCCCCTGCCATTGGTGTCAAGTGATTGGCCCGATCTAGGGGTCAAGGTGGCGCCTTAGGAGATGGCGCCATTGGGGTGAGTGTGTCAGAATCCAACAGGGGGCGTGCCTTGGACTCGGACTCAGTAGGCTCAATCATGAGCGTGCCAGCGACGGGCCAGGACATGGTCGGGGCATGGAAGCCGTAGTCGATCAGGCGCTTGGCAACGTCCTCGGGCTCGATGTCGGCGGTGTCCTTGAGTGGGCGCAGGTCGATGATGAACTCGTGCGCGCAGGTGCCGTTGTCGCCCGTGTACAGCACCTTGTACGAGTCCTTCAGCCGCGTCGCCATGTAGTTCGCGTTCAGGATCGCGCGCCGCGACGCCTGGACACACACAGGAGGTCATGTCACCCGTGTGTAACCGGGTTATGTAAGGTCAGTGGGATGCGCATGACATGCCAGTGGCAAGACCTGCGCTGATACTAGGCTTTAGTACAAGGCTGGGGGCTGGAAAGGATAGAAGCAGGTCCAATATAGAAAGTAACATGGTATGGGGAGGGGAGGCAGTCACCTCGGTGAGGCCCTCGGAGCCCATCATGGAGATGTAGGCGTAGGAGATGGGCAGGATGAGGGAGGAGCCGAAGGGCGCTGCGGCCATGGTGCCGAATGACTGCGCGTCGCTCTTGAAGCCCGGAAGCCCTCCCGTGGGCACCAGCGGGTGCGTGGGCAGGAAGGGCGCCAGGTGGGCCTGTTTTACATCATAGAACATGTATTCAATTTCAAAACCAGATTGATGAAGACATTGTGTCAGAGTGAGGCGCCGAGTCCTCAACAGCTGGCACGATCAAATGCCCAATGTTGTCATGGATGGCATAGCACAGGGCAAGGCGTGGAAGATCCATAGAGTGTGACACTAACCACGACGGATGGTGGGGCAAGATTGAGAGGTGAGACTGGAAGCTGACCTTGACACCGATGGGTCCCATGCCAGGGCCGCCACCGCCGTGGGGGATGCAGAAGGTCTTGTGCAGGTTCAAGTGGCACACGTCCGCGCCAATGTGCCCCGGAGACGTCAAGCCGACCTGCGCATGGGTCATGTCACAACTCAGCTTCAACTTTCATTCGAACAACAATCCTGAAGCTCCTTCACCTGAGAACCATGTCAAACATGCATGTCTTGAGCAGGACGTGGGCCTACAGGAAAGATCTGGCTAGACAGAATGTACGAGAGAGCAAGGGCGCGCACCTGGGCGTTCATGTTGGCACCGTCCATGTAGACCTGGCCACCGTTGTCGTGCACAATGCGGCAGATCTCATCCACACCCTCCTCATACACGCCGTGCGTACTGGGGTAGGTGATCATCAGCGCTGCCAGCCTGGACCGCACATGGCACTTTCACCAAACTTGCAATGGATTGCCGAGTTGGGCAACTTGCTCCGAGGGCACAGATATCTGATCTACAAACCAGGTTTATGTTGCGGTACGTAAGAGTGTTGCAGCATGCTAGAAGTGAGCGCTCACTTGTCCTTGTGCTCCTCGGCCTTCGCCCTGAGCTCCCCAATGTTGATGTTGCCCTTCCTGTCCACGCCAATGGGCACAATGCGCATGCCTGCACCCAGATAACATCCACTTACTTCTAATGCCGGACTGTCACAGCCAGTTCTGCATTCCTGCAGCTCAAGCAATATGCAGCTTCGGCAGAAAAGGCCAGGATTCGTCAGAAAAGGCTTTAGCCCTGCCAGTCCATGCCTCAAACAGGGCAGCTACAACTGTCGATGCACTCCTGTTAACACAGCGAGGCAGCCCGTCCTCCCCACTCTGGCTCGCACGAACATTGAAGCATACATGCCCTGCATGCCTCCTGTTTTGATTGAACGGTTGACGCTGAGCGGGAGCGGGAGCCAACGCCAGTGCACCTGCCATGACGGCGGAGGCCGGGTTGGTGCCGTGGGCGGACACGGGGATGATGCAGATGTCGCGGTGGTGGTCGCCGTTGGCCTGGTGGTAGCCGCGGATGGACATGAGCCCCGCGTACTCGCCGGACGCCCCGCTGTTGGGCTGCAGCGACACCGCGTCAAAGCCGGTAATCTCCGCCAGCTGGGTCGCCAAGTCCTGCTCGCCACAATCAATTTTTGAGATTCTTAAGATTTTTGACGGTGATGTCTGTTGTCTTTGCCTGAGCTGGCTTGGTCTTAGTCTGGAACTCCTTCTTCCAGAATAATGTCCGCTATGGCAACAGCGCATGCACCCACAAAGGGAACCTCCAAAATCTGACAGAAAGCTACACCATGTTCCTGATATAAGCATGGGGCTGCTGGGGTGTCAGACAGTACGAATACGTAGATAGAATCGTCAGTGTTTCATCGGATTTTGCCCTATCTTTGCATCATCACTCACCCCCAGCAACATGACATCGGTCTGTTTCTACTCAGCATCAATCAACAGCAGCTCGGCAATGCTACGACACACTTGCGCACTACCAAGATGGCAAACGTCCAAAGCCAGTTAGTCCAGCTACAGGCCTGATTCCTGAATACAAAGAGAAAGGATGCAGTTCTGCACAGCTGAGAAAAGCACCCCTATTGACCAAACATGCACAAGCATGCTCTGATATCATTGCAGCGTGCGCCGCGCAGGGGAAGGAGCATGCATGCATAGGGCGTTACAGTCGGCAGCAGCACCATTTGGCAACAACGAATTTGTGTGCTGTCTCTGCACCGTCAGTGACAATAATAGAGCCAGGCTGGTGAGCGGGGGTATGGATTCCAGGTAGAGATCGAGCCCTACCTCAAACATCTCGGCATAGCCCTGGGCCTGGTCGGCGGGCACGAAGGGGTGCAGGGAGGCCAGCTCGGGCCAGGTGATGGGCATCATCTCGGACGTGGCGTTCAGCTTCATGGTGCAGGAGCCCAGCGCGATCATGGAGTGCGCCAGCGAGAGGTCGCGGTTCTCCAGGCGCTTGAGGTAGCGCAGCATCTCGTGCTCGCTGTGGTACAGGTTGAAGATGGGCGACTGCAGGTAGGGTGTGTCCCTCTTGAAGCTGCCCACCGGGCTGTCCACCTGATATGGCATGCCACCAAAAACAATCACTGCCATGCACTGCACCATGCTCACGTGTAAAACTTCTATCGGGCAATTTATGGGCGTCCGAAAGACCGCTACACACTTCAGCAAAGAGTCCGGCCTTCCAGGACTCTAAGCAGGATGCCCGACCACAGATGATCACATTTGCCAGACAGATTTGAGGGGAATTGAGTCACAAATGTCTTGCTCTTGCTGAAAATTCAAGCAGTGGGCTTTTGATTCCAAGAAAGGGGAGGGCAGCAAACAAGTTGCAGCATCTGAGTATTGTACTCCAATGGCAAGAGCATGCTGCGCTGAAATTGCGTAGAATAGTGTGAGACTGTTCAGGAGCGGCGGCTCACCTCGGAGGCGAGGGACTCAGCGCTGAAGCCGGGGGCGGAGCCGCCGTTGAGGATGCGCAGGAGCTGGTCCACGTCCTCCAGGCGGGTGGTCTCGTCCAGGGCCACGGTGATGGTGCTGGCGTCCAGCTGGCGAAGGTTGACACCCTCGACAACAGCCGCGGCCACAAACTTGGCAGCGTCGCCCACCTCGATGCGCACCGTGTCGAAGAAGGCCGCGTCGCCCACACTGTGGCCCAGCTTCTTGGCTCCTGTGCAATGCACGGCAAAGCTCAAGCATCATTCTTCTTTTCAGCAGCTCACACACATTGAATTGCACCTGATCAAATGCACAGTCAGCCTTGTCTCACGGTTGTGATTCTGAACACAAACTTCAAAGAAAGGCTGTTCTTCTCAGTTCTTAGTCACACTTCTACCCAATCAAGCCTGAGGCGCTGAATGTTTCTCAAACGTCCCAGCAGGATTTGCGACGTGCCAACAAAGCTGTGGCAGGGAAAGGAGCAGCGCAACATGCAGCACCTGCGGCGAGGATGGCGGCGAGGCCGCTGGTGCGCTTGGCGATCTTGTCGAGGCCGTCTGGCCCATGGTAGACTGCAAACATGGCGGCGATGTTGGCCAGCAGCGCCTGCGCGGTGCAGATGTTGGAGGTGGCCTTGTCGCGGCGGATGTGCTGCTCGCGCGTCTGCATCGCCATGCGCAGCGCCGGCTTGCCCTGCGCGTCCTTGCTCACACCTGCGCCAGCCGCGACTCTTTTAAGTTAGAGATGCATGCAGACATGAAGGCATAGCGAGCGGCAAAGATAAGAGGAAAGGCTGACAGCATGCTGCAAGAAGACCATCATGCCCCTTTAGTGAACAAAACTTGAGATAAGCAGCTCACCACGCCAAGTTTATTCAATACCACAGCCAGCCTCCAAGAGCTTAAAAGGAATGAGAAGGATTGGGTGTCTCAAAATGTGTTCACGTATGGCCCACCAGGAATTTGAGTGGGAATATGGGAGGTCACTATCTTTCCAATGCGTTCAAATGATTCAGGGTGGGGGCTCACCAATGATGCGGCCGGGCATGAGGCGCTTGTAGTCGTCATGGCAGGCCAAGAACGCCGCGTGGGGGCCGCCGTAGCCCATGGGCACGCCGAAACGCTGCGCCGATCCGATCACGATGTCGGCGCCCCACTCGCCGGGTGGCGTCAGCTGAGTCAGCGCCAGCAGGTCCGTCGCCACGCACACCTTGGCCTTTGCCTGGTGCGCCTTCTCCACCAGGGCCTGCATCGCTCCACTACTTTAGAAAAAACACCATGGACAATTCCGACAAGGAAGTGTGCATAGACCTCATCTAGCACAATGGATGCCAAATGAGCACCTCCCAGAGATTCTGCCGAAGGAAAGCGCCAAGTCCCCCGACGCTTGAGATGGAGGTACAGTCAGTGGGAGAGGAGGCATGTACAGGTATTCGTCTCCATTCCTATCTACATGGAGATGTCAACCCTGAGAGAAGGTGACTGCAGGGCTATTTCTGGTCCATGCTTGAAGAGTGCGTGAAAGTACGGTGAGTCACCTTGTAGTCGTGGATGGAGCCGTCAGTGGCAGGGTACTGCAGCAGCACGCCAGAGACGTCCTTGTCAATGTTGAAGCTGGCCTCGTCGCCGACCACGACCTTGAGCCCCAGGCCATCGGCACGCGACTGGCACACAGCGATGGTCTGCGGGTGGCACTTGTCCTGCGCGCAGCCACATGCACCCATCAGGATTGCACGACTGCATGAAAGCCTCAACAAGCCTTGCAGAGCCACTGGGCATCCTGCTTCCAGACCAGACAATACTTCGAGACATCACCAGCAGAACAGCAGTCATCTACAACTGGACATTCACCTACAAGGTCTTGCCGAAGAAGGGCTTGCAGATGCTGGAAAATCGGAACATTCCAATAGACTAATATTACGCTTGAAGACTAACAAACGAGATATATGTGGAGGGGCAAGCGCACCGAGACGAGGAAGGTCAGCTTCTTGCCGCGCGCGAGGGCGGAGCACATGGTCATGGCCTCGGCGGCTGCTGTGGCCTCGTCCAGGAGCGAGGCGTTGCTGATCTGCATGCCCGTCAGGTCGGTGACGACAGTCTGGAAGTTCAGCAGGGACTCCAGCCGCCCCTGAGCAATCTCTGCCTGGTAGGGCGTGTACTGGGTGTACCAGCCTGGGTTCTCCAGCAGGTTGCGCTGGATCACAGGTGGTAGGTGGGTGTTGTAGTAGCCCATGCCCAGGTAGGACTTGAACATCTTGTTCTTCTCTGCCATCTTCCTGTGATGCAGGCAGCAACAGGCGCCGTGAGACTGGCTCTGCAATGACTCGATGACACTACATCATACATACGCATCGCAAAAATCATGCGGTGCAGAGCGGCGCATCAGAGAAACGGTGTGGTGGATTTTCTGCCTGGGTTACTGCTACTTGCAGCGTGCGCGCCTTGAAGATGCCATGAAACCTGGCCTGCTTATCACATGCCGACTAACTGGCAATCCTGCAGTATGACAAAGGGAAGAGAAGAGGTAATGCATGCCAGGGGTGAAGAGGCCTCACTTGAACTTTGCGATGAACTCGCTCTCAGTGTATCCTTTGGTGTACTCCCCCAGATCCATCTGGCCCCTCCTGATGGCCTTTGGCACAGTGGCGTCAATGAGCTCGGCCATACTGCCAAAGCCTGTCAGGTTGACCATCTCCTGCACCTCCTGCTCTGTCCCGCTGTTGTGGCGCGGCGCAAACCTGCACGAAAAATGATAGCAAGAGTCACAGGCTGTAAAGACCCTATCGCCGCATGCTCGATGCATCTGCTCTTGCTCAAAGTACCCCATGTACAGCACAAGACTGCTCAGTGCAGCCAACGTCATACGCACCACGTCAAATGGAGCACTCTATCTTCGGAAACTTTAAAAGTAATTCATGCAGTCAGGTATTCATGTTACCATTGCTGGGCTTCAGGGACAAAGCATTGACTGAGCAACTGATGACTTACACATCGGTTGGCTGCAGCGTCTGCACGCTGATTTGCCTCACAATTGCTGTCTGGAAACATCTCTGGTTGCTGATCGCAGGCTGTCCCAAGGCATCTGCGGGATCAACAAACTCAGTTCCTGTACGATAAAAAGCGTCGTCACGTTTAGCTTTCACACGTCCCTATCTTGAGCTGCTCGGTTTAGATTTAGAGGAACAACTCAACGGGTAGTGTTTTAATAACCATGTACAATCACGCACTTGGAAAGGCGGAATTGCGGGCTGCAAGAGTGGAAAGGAAGCGTGTCTCTCCGAGGCTTGAGAGAGGCAGATCGGACAGTGGCCACGCCCTGTGAGGCGCGACGAACACCGCCTTGTCGCTACATCGAATTCCTGCCCGTTGCAGCAGGCTAGCCACGCGGATAGCCGTGCTGCGACCCATCTTGCCACACAAAATGTCTGTTCAATCGGGCGCCTTTCAAAGCTGAGCAGCACTCGATATGTCGCGCCTAACTAGGCCTGCCTGAACCCATGGCTGAGATGGTTTGGCTGCTTTGGCCTCACAAAGCAGCCCAGACCATGACCAGCGCGCTACCTTACGCACGATCTTGATCTTATTTCTCGCAAGGAAAGATGTCGCGACGATTCGCAGCAGATGGGAAGCGCCAGGGCGCCCTCTGGTGATGAGAATGAGCAGAAGGCAGCTTTGTTTTCTTTTACACACAGGGGAACATCATGTTGCAAACGTGCATCCACTGTCCATATTCAGCAAATCACGTCTATTGCTAGAAGGCATCTGCTGCAAGGTCAAGGCCTTCCTACTGCATGCACGCTGCTCTTCACTGGAAAGGAATACTCTTGCTCTCGTCAGGCTGCAAAAAGGTCAAAAATTGCCATCAACTCAAGAGTCACAATCTTGACAAATACCCGAGCAGTGCCAGGCAGTCAGCTGGGCAATTTCTTGGTTTCCAATACTCTCTTATCTCGGACTTTTGCCTTCAATTATGAATCTCACACCCTCAATTATTGCAGTTTGCTGCTAAAATACAGCCGCTGCACCCTTCATGAGCACTGCACTCAGGAGTCAAGAGGAGGAAATATTCATGATGGGTCCTGAACACAACCGTGGCCACCTGTGTGCCTCACAACAATTGCAGGGCCAGTCCCATGAAATCAGACATCCCATCTCATGCAGTCCCATTGGGAAGCCTTGCCTCCCTGCTACTTTTACTTGTCGCAAGACAGCGCCCCTGCACCAAAGCCTGGGCCTTTGCTGTCTCCGGTTGGTTCCATGAGCGGCAGACGCTGTTCTCGGTGATGCAGAGGGTGCTCAGCGCATCGCCTCATTTACGAGCGTCTCATGAAAGGGACGGGCACACAGGGTGCGAGCTGGCGCTGGCCAGCGCAGAGGAAAGCGTGGAGAGGCCGTCCCTCGACAGCGATCTTGAGGGGCCCCGCAAGCTGTTGCGCGCATAGCTGCGCAGCGGCGGGGGGTCCGCGGAGAAGCACACCACGATGGCTGTCACATTGTCTGTGGCATGCTTCGCCAGGCATGTGTCGACCTGCGTGCAAGCAGCATCCCATCAATCATTTGCCTGCATGCCATTCCTGCACTTGGCCTGCAGCTGATTTAGAATACAGGAAGTAGGAGCCACGCGATGCAGGCTGAAGGGCTGACATACCAGCAGCTGGGCGCAGCTCTGGGGGTCATTGTGGTCTCTCAAGTGCTGCCGCGCGATCTCTATACACCGCTGGCTGCTCAGCATATCCCACAACCCATCGCATGCCACCACCATGAACTCGTCCTCCACTATCAGAGTGTGTTGGTGGATCTCCGGATCTGCACCATCAATCGACAGAAACATGTCAGCCAGCGGCATATCAACAACGACAAGCTGACGAAGAAGCGCTGTAACGCATTCAAGAATCATCAATCAATCACCACCTCAATGAGGGCCGCCGTATGACATCTAGACACACCACAACTTGAAGTGAAAGCAATCAACCACCAGGGGCACAAGCATTCAGACCTACCTGATGTGAGGGGCCCTGTGAGCTCCACCGGCTCCTTGTCACTGACGCGGTACTTGAGGCGTTCCCTGGTCCGCTGCAAGGCCAGCAGCTCCGGATGGAAGTCGCCCAGAGCGCGCGTCACCGTCAGCTGACCGTTCAAGAAGCCCTCCCCACACACATACCCACCTGCAGCACCAGTCCACAACTATCAACACATGCATCCTTACAGAGACCTGCCTTCTTCTCCCTTACATTCCCCCATGTCCATCAGAGCGCCTCCCCCCTGACAAATCCCTCCTCTTTCTACTTTCCAATACGGTCTCTTAGAAATGATTTCTCCTCTCCGCCGGTTGAGGGGGCTCCCATTGCACATGTGCAGGGCGTGCTTGCTTCAGCGCTGGGGCAAACACGCTCTGGTGCAGGTTGTACCTCTGCCCACCTTCTTCCAAACCTTAAAGTGACGGAGTGCCCCACAGAGCGAGCCAGGACTGTCCTGAGCATCCCTGCTAATGAAATTATGTGACAAATTGCCCCACCTAGAGGTCAAGCTGATGCTTCAGGGTCCAGTGGATTACACAAACACAGCGCAGGGATTGTAGCACTGCACTGGCCAAGAAATGCACGCATGTTAGGTGTTTATCAGGCTTGTAGACAGTCAAGGGCGTGTGCATGACTGCACAGACATCTTGGGAATAGTGGCGAGGCAATCCAATTGCAGAAGGGCCACCGCCACATTAATATCCCCGAGATGGACCTGCTGCTATCCCTCAAACATCTTGGCCGAGATGTGCGCTCTCTACTGCCCTAATGAGGGGCACAGGTGCGAGGGCGTGCCTGCGAGGGAGATCCGCTCGCGCTCGGATGGGCAGCTGGGTTTGTGGTCGCGCGAGAGGTCGATGGCCTTGCCGCGGCGGCTGAGCACGGCGCGGCTGTCACCGGCGTTCGCCACCAGCACCAGCGAGCCCACCACCAGCACCGCGAGCGCCGTCGACCCGGCATCCTTCTCCGGCGACTCCACTCGGTACACCGCCCGATAGAATGCCTCGTCTGTGAGCTGGAACGCTTTTCTCTGCAGCCCACCAAAGCACCACCATCACCAAGGGTTCCCATGTACAGGCCTGTGTGGCCAAACTTCTCAGAAGCAAGGTAAGCAACCGGTGACAAGACACATCGTTCTTACCAGTGCGTCAGCTGGCCTGGCAGGAAAGCTTGTCTGTGTTAACAACGCCTGCAGCAAGTGCTCCTCTGCAAATTGGGCGGCGCTGGAGCCCCCATGCCCGTCAAACACCTGCATCAAGCCTCCAGGTGAGTACAGCATCGCACTGCTGATGTGGTCACAGAGCTGTATGCAGCTCAAACAGGAGGCAGAGCTCACCCCAAAGAAGGCCCCGCCGTTCCCATGCAACGCATTATCTGTATGTGCTTGCAAGTCCAGCACGCCGACATGTGCATCCTCCATGGCTTGTCTTTGCCCCTGTGCTGCTGCTGATCCCCACCGCACAGAGGGCTCATAGGGCTGGCCTGCAGTGCTGGCATCCTGGTACAACAGGCCGCAGTCAGCATCTCACAATTGGTTCCGAAGAGACAGAGGATTTTCTCCATGCATGAGGACGATGTAGATTCACTGCCCATGCGTGCCCGTCGTGACTAGCTTGACAAGAAAGTCCAGACTAACAAGGATTTCAAGTGTCCTTGTCACAGAACACACCCTGAAGCAGGGACATCATAGCAAGACGGTTGCAGACAGTATGTTGACAACAATCAGGTCTAGTAAGACCATATAAAAAACACCCTGCTTTCCAGCAGGAAACAAAACTGCACTGCTGTCCCCTCGATCTGCGAGGTGGGGCGCCACTCCCTCACCTCCGAGAAGGGGCTCTGTTGCACGCTGGCGAGGCCAAATAAGCTGGTCTCGCCGCTGGGGCCAACATCTGCTCCTCCAGCCCCGTTGAGCCTGCAGAAACCGGTTTGGCAGCTGGCTATTGACAGCCTCGCCGTCCCGTTCAGGTTGCTCTCTGCTTGAGTGCCCTCAAGGCTTGGTCGCTCTAGAATGCTGTCTAGCATCTTTCTTCCACAAGATACTTCTCCCATCGACGATCGCTAAATGCCTTGTGAGAGGTCAGAGCACTTCTGCTCGTCGCTCAGCTGACGTGGAAAGTACACACGTGTACAGATCTGACAGTGGGATCCCGAGGCCAGCTCAAGCTGAGCACAGCTCTATCCCTTTCCAACATTTTTCGTAGGCTTTAATATTAATATTGATATTACACGCTTTTCCTGCCGAAGGCAAGGTGCGTCTGCAGACAAGCTGCACGTAAGGATTTATGAGAGAATATAACTACAGTGCTGGCAGGATCACTGCATGCATGTCTTACAGCCTGTATCTGCAGCTGCAGCTATTCCCACTGGAATATTCTAGAGGTAAAAGCTCAGCTTTAAAAGATAGGCTAGATCTCCCAGATGACATCAGCTTGACGGTTTCTCAATGTGCGATGATCAGCTGCGAGGGGCCAACAAACCACAAAAATATCTGTGCTCTGTATACTGTCTTTAACAAATTGGAGCAAAGATATGAATTGCTATCCGATGGAGTCCACAAAGCTGTCAAGTCAGAAACACTGCTAGCTAGCCAGCTATAGTATGTTGTTCACGACTTATAGATGACTCCATACACCGTTGCAGCTGACCAGGTAATTGTCAGCAGTCTAGACATGCAAGTGTGGAAAAGTCAAAGATCCCAGACATCATTTGTCCATAAAAAGGGGCGCCAATGATTGTGACCCCGCGTCATACTGCCCCTCTTCACGCGCTATAGCTCTCATGAAGAAGGGTGATGAATGACGGTGTCTATCAGCCTGGATGTGGCCACAAATGACCGGAATGCAAAAAATCTGAGGCCGCAGCACAGAACTGCCCCTCACAGGACCACGAGCTATACCCCAATTGGGTCTTAGAAGACTGACCGCGATGGGATGAGACGATCACATATGACCCATAAAGTAGAGACCCGACAAACCTGCAGCTGCATGCTCCAAACAATTGTCAGCTGCTGTGGCGGCTCACGAGGTGCTGCAATTCTACACCCTCATCAGCCTTCACCTGCAGTGATCTGGCACACTTGTAAGTGCCCTCCCTGCGAAGCTTCTCCTGACGCCGACGGCCAATAAAGGTGCACAAGACTCCCCATCAGGGGACTCCAAATCAATAGCTTAGAGACCCCTACTCCCATGGGGCTCATAGGAATCATATTTTTAGGAATGCCTCATGAGGCGGCAGCAAGGCTTGCAATGTCCACCGCCTCGACGCCATTCCCCCGGGCCGGGCCCGGCAGCACGCCCGAGGTGAACTCCACGTGGTCCTTCCAGGCAAAGTCTGCCCCGTGCGCCTTGACAATTTTGCCCAGGTTGAGCAGCATGTCCTGCTTGAAGCTGGAGTAGTGCCGCGACGCGCTCGGCCTCGAGTGCACCTGAGACATATGCACTCTGTCAGTGGTGAAAGATAGGCCCAGCTAGGCTTATGTCTGCAGTCCTTCACCTAATTTAGCTAGGTGCGAGCTTGATTTTTGCAGCCCTGATATAGGTACATGCCGAATTGTGCAGCCCCGCTGTGGGTTCATTGCTGCCCTTGAACATGCATGAAAGGCATTTGAGCAGGCATGGGCCACGCAAAGGTGCATGGTAAGGAAGAGCGGGCGCTCACGTGGACAGCAATTTTAAGGCCTTCCTCCTCAAAGCCTGCCAGGTTTGCATGCAGAGGCAGCGTCATGTCGATACTATCAGAGTCCTCCAGGAACTCACGATACTCTTTTAGAATGCCTTCCAGCTTGTCAAAGTCCTGCATACATCAGGGGTCACATATCAGACCTGTCTAGACACAAACGGAACAAATAGACACCCTGCTTCACACCGTTGATGGCATAGAGAAGCACAGTGTGGATGATAAAAAGAACTGGTCCCCAAAAGCGGCGACACAAATCTTACTGAGGCGCAAGGTGTCTCAACCTGACCTACAGAACTCAACAGTATTGCAAGAGGTTTATGGGCCCCACCTGATAGCGGATGCAGGCTGTGAAATGGAAGACGCGCATCTTGTTGTAGTAGCGCACGTTCTTGGAGTCCATGATCCGCGACTCATTCGAGATGATCAGATCAGACAGCGTCTGCAAGTCAAGCCCTGTTTTGACCAATTTCATTCCAACATGAAACAGAATGTCTGCCATGTTGACTGCTACAGGCAGTTTGCATCGTGTGCATGAAGTTCAGGCAAGCTGCACAGGGCTCTTTGAGAAGACACATGTGGGCACCTTGTTGGGGATCAAGACAGAGAGCCAGTGGTCGGTCCTCAGGTGGGTGCGCATGGGGCTGACTTCCTCCACAAAGCCGGACACCACTTTTCCCCCGCTGCTCGTCACCACATCTATCCTGTCTCCCACCACGAACGGCCGCGACAGGTACTGCGCACAGGAACACAAGCAGAAGCTCAGGTAAAGCTCAAACATGTGAGCCCAAGCAACCATGAAATAACGATTTGCGTCTACACTGAGTGGCAGCAGGCTCTCCTGCCCTTTAGAGAGTAGACTTCTGAAGATCCTGGGAGCAAGAGGTGACAGAAAGACGAACACAAACCACAAGAGGACAAGCAATTGCCATGAATAGAGGGGAAGAATGCAGGTGTTATTATGCAAGAGCGCGCACCAGGTTGAGGCCGCTGATCATGTTTCCCAGGAGCGCCTGAGCGGACAGGCCGACCACTATGCCACTGATGCCTCCCACGGTCAGCAGCGGGGTCAGGTTTATGCCCAGCACATGCATGGACATGAGCGCCCCAGACACCACCAGCATCCATGACCCCATGCCGGACAGGGGCAGCAGCACCTGCACCACACCATCCTCAATCTTAAATTTACCAAAATTGGCCCTGACCACATTTGCAGTGCTGTTGGAACCTGTTCAAAGTTGACCGTGCATGGGCAAGTACACCTTGGAACCACAGGAGAGATGTTGGTTGTGCAAGAGATCACAGTTATTCGATTGGGCATCTGATGCATTCAAAGGTTAGAATGCACCTGTTCAAATGCCGCCTGCTGAACAGTGTTGGACGCATCGCCCTGCACGCGCTGCACAAGCACCTTGGAGACCATGTGTTCCTTCATGCGCAGCATGACCCACACCCTGGCATACACCCCCAGCATTCACCGGAACTGCAGTAAATCTATGCAGGCAAACCATGATAAGTATCACTTAAATTGCCGGGCTATCACTCTCATCCGAATCTAGCCCTCTGGCTGTACGAGCCTGTTATCTCATATCTATCTTGATGTAACGCGGCCATCACAGCTTGCTGAACAGAACGGCACGAGGTGTCTTAGGATGTCTGGTGCCGCACCCAAAGATGATAAGGGCCACCTCTGTGCACTCCAGCACCACCAAACCCACATGGTCCAGCCCAGCCATCACTAATCCCAGGCCTTCCACTGCAGCATGCATGCAATGTTTCATTTTGAAGCGCTCATTGTGACTGGGTCTGGATGGTTGCAAGACAGATGGCATCACTGGTCGGTACCTGTCTGCGAAGAGATCATTGTGGAGAGAGAAAAGCGTACCGAGCCATCCTGGTGCAATGTGCTCATGCTCCGCATGCACTTCCAGGCAGATCTGCAGGAATGCTGCCAGGAACCGCAGAGAGAACACCCCGGCCACGATTGACAGGAGCACCTTCACCGGCTTCTTGACTGCAAAGACCGTGGTCTCAAATATCTGCAGCAACACTGGTCTGGGCTTCATCTGCGCAATTCTATCTTCGCCATCCACACTGGCCATGTATGGTCCCAGTTCCTGGAAGCAGAAATGCATAGTTAGGGTTGTGGTATGCGCATCCTAAAGAGGCCTGTATACAACAAACTTTGATCACGAAGTACTATCCAAGATGTACTTCATGGTTTACATCGTCAGGGTGTATGCTAGCTGGCAGACATTCTCAAAAAACGAAGTCATCCTTAGCAACCTGGGGCAATTTTTGTGCGGCATGGTCGACGACACAAGTCCACCGAAGTACTCACCTTCTTTGCAGCCTTCTCTAGGACCGCTGAGATTAAGGACGCGGCCAGGAAGGACGCGACCACCGCTAGTGCACAATGACCAAACGCGGAATGTACTGCAGGCTGTTGCCAGAGCGGCAAGCTTGGATCGACGCAGAGAGATGCACTCGTAAGAGCAACGTGTGTCCTTTGCAGTTTCTTCCGCATCTTTGCAGGTTTGGCACCTAGGAAGCGTTGGCACCCTCCCTTAATCTTGCATACCGAAGACGGGAATATGCTCAGTTTCGGAGCCCCAATTCTGCAGCCTTGCATAGGGAAAGAGGCACGAGGCAATTTCATTGCATTTTCAAGTGCCAACGGTAACATGTCGACACCAAAAACGCGAATAGTACCAAAACCCTCAACATGCCATGATCACTGGGACTGTAAGACCAAAAATAAGAACACACACAGAACCTCCCTGCATCCAAGCAGACACGCTTTTACCAGCGAGAAGCAAATCTACATGTCGCCTTCGATCAGACTCTATTGCGAGGCTTGCGACACTGCTTGTCCAAGAAGACGTGCGGGTAGGTCAACTAGGTGGGAGGCACAGGTTCCTCCAACCTGGAAGCTGGAGTGCTGCAGGACCCTTTTTATGCACAACGAGTGAATATCTTACTCGCAACCAGGTGTGCACTAAAATGAACATTTACTTAGTATTGATGGCCTTATAAGAGCAACACCTCCTGCCGTGTGGGTGAGCTTATTTAAATGCAGTCACATCGTCACTGTGACGGCCCGTGACGCACCGGGTGTGCCTCAGACAGGCTGTGCACACGTGACTCACAGTCACACTGTCGGACAGCAGGCATGCCTGCGCAGGCTGCAGTGTGAGCGGGGCAGACATGAATTGAACAACAGTCTCTCACAGATAAAAGTTCAACTAAAGCTTAACTGCCTTGCATTAGAAAGTAGCTGGCCTGATCAGTGAAACCGGTACCGCTCGGGTAAAATCTGCAAAACTGTTAGCTCACAGGCACCAGTTTCTGCAGACGCTCAAAATCTATGGCTTTCTGGCTTTGGCCAGGTCGCCCTCCCATCTCTATCGCTTCCAAAATCTCCTGCGCACACACATGAATACGCATAGAACTACATGAAAAGACACCGCAGGTCATGCAAGGAAAAAGGGCAAACGGCACTCTGCGCCACCATGAACACAAGAAGATCTCTTCAGCCCCACACCTTGGCCTTGCTGAGATCGTCGGCTGGCACAGTGGCCAGCAGCCCATCCAATGCATTCACTGCGCCCTGCAGCTTGGCACCGGCGCTCTCCTTGACCTTCTCTTTGTTCCTGATGGCCTGGAACAGCTCAAAGTCATAGTCCTGCAGGGCCCCAAATGCCCTGTCCACCAGCTCCTTCGCCTCCTGCTCCGAGGCTGACTTGTTGCTGGCAGCATACTCCCCCAGCGCCCTGCGCAAAGCAGGACCTTTGAGCATCAAGGACGCTCGATCTTCACTTCAGAGCCCAACTTTTGACATGCAGCACATAGTGAATCATGGCCATGCAACGAAGACCTCTGCAGATTTGTGTTTGAGGAAAAAGCTTCACCTGACATTGTCTCTAAGGCCCTCAAACGCGCCGCTCCTCAAAGCTACACGCGCTTCCACAGGATCTTCGCCTGTAACACAGGAGCGCTTCTCCTCCTCACCAGAAAGGCCATAAGCTTGATTTGGATCACAAAGAGGGCCACGTATTCTGCGTATCCAGACTGGTGTCAGATGGTGTGAGAGGACTTGTTACCCATCAATTCTCCGGCACTAAGGAGCTGCTTCCTTGCCTGGTCAGAAAGGATAATTGCGCGTCAGCAGTCATCCATCAAGCTCACGGAAGTTCTTTTCACAAGTCACAACTAACATGAGATGATGCTGCAGACGAGAAAGTAGGGTGGTGTGGTGCGCACCTGCATTATAGCTGGCACATACCTGCAGAGCAAGCACACGTGGTCAGGACATTCATGTGCACTTGCCAGACAAAGCAGATTGCGAGCATGAAACCAGGCACGCACGTTACCAAAGGATCTAAGGCCTTCTTCTTTATATATCGTCCTATTCCTCTCCTCTCAGCTGCACCGGCGGGATATGCTTGCTGCGCTATGAGTGCCAATGAGAACTGGAGCAATGCCTGTCTTCTGGCAGGCAAGGGAACAGCTTTGGCAGTATTGCCAGGAGGAGTTGTTTCAGATGTGCTGGCTTGCACCACATGTGCCTGTGAAGAGAAACAGTAGAATATCAACTAGGGAAAGACAGCGACTGCCAGAGCATGGCGGCGCTATATGTGCTTTATCAACATACAGCATTTACTTATGACTCGTTGCAACGCAACAATAATACCTGCACTGGGATCATCACAGGACGTGCATTGCAATTGATGGTCAGCATTGAGTTGTTTGTTGATACTTCCAGCAGGGGATTTACGCGGGATCTTGTCTTGGAGAGAATTATTGCTAGTCAACTGCTCTGTTTAAAACATTTCTCAAGTGGTTGCGCAGTCAGGGAACCGGGATTGGATCAGATCAATGTGGAAGCCGAAGCTGAGGGAATCTGTCCGAGGCGGAGGCCAGGGGGAAGCTGGGCTGAATTTAGTGGTGTGAATCTGATGTCTCTTGCGTTGAGCAAGGTCTCAAGAGTGGAGTGAAGCAATGATTGATATCCCTGGCAAATAGAGTAAGCAACCGTTTGCAACATTCAGTGGTAGAACCGAGGTCTGTCCGTACAATCGTGGTCACAAAAGTTCTTGAGTATATTTTTTGTAAGAATAGCTTCCAATCCCCATTGCATCCTGTTGACCACCATCCATTAGTCGTAAAGTTTTTTGTTGGCAGGCAGCATGAGTTGTGAACCCCCTTACCGAAGTTTCCAAAAGTGATATCGGAATTCTGGGATCTGCAAGTCTAGGAAAATCCCAGGCTTAGAACGGACGCAGACCAGCCGTTGATTGATGGGGTCGCAGCCTTGGTTCAGATTGGGTGACAAGCAGAAGCAGAGGCACAAGACTTCAATTCCTAGACAACCTTCTTTCAACACCTTCGTCATCAACTCGCTCGGTTCTTGCTCGAGGCAATGGGCTCCTGCCCAAAGCAACCTTCACATGCATCTTGAGCCGGTGGAAAGGTGCAGGCTTCCTTTGGTTTTGCCCATAAAAATGCTGATTCTTTAGTCCAACATAGGACCGCCCAATTAAATGTTCTTAACCTACCCCGCAGGACTGCCGGCGAAGACGAAGGCCCTGCAGAAGAGGCAGGCACGAGCGGCAGGAGCGCTGAGGTCCAGGTGCCTCTGAAACTGCGCCTGACAGGCAGCCCTAATGGCAAACCTGACCTGCAGCTGCAGCTCTTCAGCCTGAAGCTGGGCGAGGCAGCATGCCGGCCGTCTGGGAAGAGCAGGCACATGCGCCCACACCTCTCAGGTACATCGCAATGCTCTTACCTGATGCCCTCGTCTGCGGGCAAACTCAATATCTGTTGTGGAAGTGACGGGGTATTGAATTGATGCATGGTGCTGGGACAGAAGCTGCCAAGACGCTGGAGTCGGCAGCGGCTTTGCTGTTCCTGCAGCTGATATTCCCGGACAGCGTGCCCGCTGTGGCGCGTCGCCTGGCCTGGATCGGCGCCGTGTCGGCTGGCGCGCAGGCAACAGCGCGCGCTGCCCCACGGCAGCACCGGGACCGGCTTGAACGCAGCCTCAGACACGGCAGCACCCAGGCCATGCGGCGCCTGGAGAGCAGAGTGCACCTCTGCTCCGACGGCCTCCAAGGTCAGACTCCTTTCTTCCCATGAACAACAACAGCAAATTTGTGTTTGGTTTGCCTGCGGCGAAATGTAATCAAGCAATCGTATCTGCAGCCCACACGGTTCGTGCAGGGGCGAGCAAGGTGGTGGGGCATGCGGCGAATTGGGTGGAGCGGTACAGCTCAGCGGCGGCAGGGCTGGTGGTGGCGGCCAGCTTCTGGTCGGTGCTGCACCCGCCCTCCTACCACCTCCTGCGCTGCATCGCTGCTGCGCTGCCGGTGTGGGCCGGCTACGCCGAGACCTCGCGCGCATGCGCCAGCGGCCGCGTCCCCGACGGGCCCCCGGTGAGCTCCAACCAGAATTACCTGTCTTCCTTCCACCCCTGATATGCACTGTGGAGACAAAAATGAAAATGGGAAGGCAAACTATCGCTACGTTGCAAGCTGGTTAATCCTCGCATCTGCTACCCTGAACGCATGCCAGATATGACGTTCACCATTGCATGGACCGTTGTATGGGACAAAATATCATATGAAAAAGCGTGAAGCAGCGTCGGTAACCGAATAGGCGGAGGGGGCATGGCGCGCGCGGCACAAGTGGGCAGCACAGCGGCTGGCGCACCTGCTGTCAGACGCGCACGAGCGGCCGCCGCTGGCGCCGGCGTTCAACCTGCTGGAGACGCTGACGATGAACATCGGCCTGGCCGTCGACGGCATGGCGGTGGGCTCATTTGCGATGCCGGCGTTTGCCGTGGGCAGCCCTGCGCTAGAGAGCGCCACCAGCGGCCGCGGCTGGGCCGCGCCCGGGCCCGGCAGCGCCTTCAGCATCGTGGGCTCCCTGCGCACCCACACCCCCGACCCCAGCGGCCCAGCTGAGACTTCTGGCAGAGCGGTGAGTGCTCTGGTTTTCTCGCATTTTCTTCTGGGCTGCTACTTTCTCCTATGTTGGTACCGTAGTGTTAGCCTCAATTGTCTTGGAACTTGGTCCTTCAAAGCTAGCGCATAGTTTTGCATCTGCTCCTGTAGTTCAGCTTGTGCTGAGGTGTGTAGAGGGCTGCATCATTCTTCTTTTTTGGGAATGCCTGCACCATAATTTCCCTTATGTGTGAGCTGAAGGTGTGGGGGCATCTTGGGCAGGATGCAAGCGCGGAGAAGAGCAAGGGCGCGGTGCAGGGGCCTGTGGTATGGGACATGAGCAAACAGGAGTGGGTGCCTGCCTCCAAAAAGCCCAAGCAGGCCGCCGGACCGCGCTCTCCCCGCTCCGGCGAAGCTGCCCGCCCACCAGGTTTGAAGCACCCTCTGAGACGCTGCTAGTTCTTTGCAGCATCTTCACATCAGGCAGAGCGCTTGGAAAATGCTGAGTCATGAAAAGCTTTTGATAGTATGACCAACTTCGGACGCAATGTCTTTCATGAAGGCTGCTTGATGAAATGACTAAGTTCGGAAGATATGTCTGTCATGGAAGCTCATTGATGATACTGTGACTATCTGAATGTGTTTCTGTCATGAGGGTGCGTGGTACTTGCAGGTTCCGGTGCAGCCGCAGAGTCTGTGGCCATCAACAGAACGGGTGAGGGGTTTGCCACGTCATCACTGCCCACCATCCGTTCCCAGGAAGAGCTGGAGGCCTATCAGAGGCTCCATGCTGGCGCCAGGTGCAGCTCCTGGATCCCAGTCATCATCCTTCTGTACACTTCTCTGACCCCCTCTGTCATGCTTGTTTGCAGACAAGCATTGGCGCTGATGTGTGGTGGTCTGACGTGTCAGCACCCCACTGTGCAGGCCTGCAAGCCAGGGACACAGAGAGCCTGCCGGTCAGCAGTCAGCCACCACACCGCGCGCAACGGACCCTGACACCCCCGGACCAGGCCCCGGCAGCCCCGGCAATGCTGCGGTGGGTGGCCCCCTGTATTCATTCCCTTGCAAACCTTCCTGCTCAATGCAGCAGCTTTTACTGTTTGATGTGCTCGCCGATGTCCTGCCAAATGATTAATCGCGGTGTCCAAACACTGCGGTGTCCAAACACGAAATTTACCATTGTGCGTGAGGAGCAGTGTCAACGAAGGCACATACCGCTGGCCAACTCCTGAATCTGGGCAGGCAAGACGCTGCACAGGTTCAAATTGGTGTTCGAATTCTGACATACTGTGCTTGCACAGGCGCAGGGCAGCGGCCAGGAGCTGGCGCTGTATGGGCAAGCGGACCATATGGACTTCAACGCGGAGCTGAGCCTGGGGGACCGCGCCAAGATGGCTGCACGCGCGGCCTATCTCATCGCCATCTTCCTGCCCTTCCTGCTGCTGGCCCCGCTGCTCTTCCTGCTCGCCAGCCTCCTCCTGCGCTGGGACTCTCGCCGCAGTGGCCCTCCCCTCAACGGCGACCGGTGCGCCATTTTGGAGCCTGCTCATGCTCCATAGCAATAATTCAGTAGAGTCTTTACTCAGCGTTCTGCTCACCTGGTGCATGTGCAAAATAGAGAGGCAAAAAGCTCATAGGCTGGTAGATGTTTGTATTTTCGAGGCATTCCTCTCCACACAGCGAGGCAGCCCTTCCTACCTCCTTTGGCACTCCCACTAATTTCATGTGTGGTTTCTCTCCTGCTTTGATAAGCGAGGCAAGTATTCTGTTAGAAGCCTGTCACCGAGACACATGTATTTATGAGCAGGTGCATACCTGCACTTTCCACCCAAAATTTACTTTACGTTGTGTACATGTGCATAGCTGCGGCATGCAGGGACTTGAACTTGTGCTTTCTGCAGGCATGCTGTGAATGGCGAAGAGGCTGTGGCGGGCCAGGAGGACAGCCAGATTGGGCTGCGCAGAGCGCTGGTGGCAGCAGATGAGGCCGCTGCCAAGGCGCCTGCTACCGCAGGCAATGCAGATCATGTGGAGGAAATTTCCCGGCCTGACATGGCCGGCAGGCAGGCATCAACCAGCGCCCCAGAGGAAGACAGGTGCGCTCTGACACTTGGGCCCAAACCTTACTGCACCTTGTTCATCCCTGCGACCATCTCATGAGGCAGAAACTTCTTTCCTCTGGCAATCTCATGGTACAGTTAAAAGTGGTGTGTTATATATTTATTCTGTGGTGTGTGCAGCTGGGCACTGGCCTTGGCCGCCAGGTTGCGCATGCGGGCGTGGAGGCTGCTGCTGTTTGGAATCAGAAACTCTGGCGCGGCTTTCATCAAGTGGGGCCAGTGGTCTGCCACTCGCGAAGACCTCTTCCCACAGGTTGGCCTTGTGCTTCATGATCGGGCTGTTGTTGGCCCTTGCCATATTTTGGGCTCCTTGACAATGATCCAGGGCCTGCCAGGCCAGATAAGTTCGTTTGCCCGTGTTCTGGCATGCATGGAATTGCACAGCAAGCATTGTTGCTCAGCAAGTTTGAAGCATTAAGTGAAATGATGGACCCTGGGGTTGCTTGCAGGACGTGTGCATGGTGCTGGCAGAGCTGCACGACCGGGCGCCGGTGCACAGCTGGGAGGCCAGCAAGGTGCAGATCGAGGAGGCCTTTGGCAAGCCTGTCGAGGAGCTGTTCGACAGCATTGACCATGCAGCCCTGGCCTCTGGCAGCATCGCCCAGGCGTGTGCCCTCGCCTCAATCTACTAATCCATAGCATGAATCACCAAAGCAAGTGTTCAGATTTGCAATTTGCAAAGCTCCCACATTGTACAACACCTCGCATCTGATGGGTTTAAACTGTAAAACTTCTCCTGCAAGGTCTGAAATGCATGTGCATACTGGTGCAAAGCATGTTTGCATGCAGTGTCGCAGTTCCCGGATGTTGTGACAGAGTATGGTCTTTGCGCACACAGGTGCATGCAATCTGCAGTGCCAGGTATTGTGCAAGAGCATGGCAGCAGTGCTGTGTTGCATGCATTTTGCCGTGCCAGGTGTCTTGACAGGGTGTGTGCCTTGCGCACGCAGGCGCATGCAATTTTGTGTGACCCAGATGGCGTGGGCTATGCGCACGAGGGTGCGTGCAATTGCTGCGCCATATGTAGTGATAGCGAGTTGTGTGCGCGCAGGTGCACAGGGCGGTGCTGCAGCTGGGGGGCGAGCCGCGGCAGGTGGTGGTGAAGGTGCGGCACCCCAACGTGGCGCGCAACATCACCATTGACTTCCGCCTGCTCAAGCCGGTTGCCGCCGCCGCCTCGCGCGTCCCCTCCCTCAAGGGCCTCTCCCTCAAGGAGTCCCTCGCCCAATTCTCCGCCAACATGACCGCCCAGGTCCGCCGCAATTCCCGACCTTGATATATTATATATTCCATCTGACCATACATCTGACGCCTGCATCAGAGTTGTCCAGCTGCACCACTCATCTCCCAGCAATCAGCGACGACGAGCACAGAAAAGGAGCCACACTATGTCTGTGCGAGAATCTTATGCCTGATTATGCCTCCCTGATCCTGGTGGGCGATAATCTGCAATCTATATTGATAAAACAGGCTGCAACGGAAAAAGGCTGCGGTCTCATTGTGCTTCAATTTTGCAAGTCGAGCTCATGTCCTGATGGACAAATTCAATGATGTGGCCGTTGGCTGGTGCGCAGACTGACCTGAGGGTGGAGGCGGTGCACCTGCGGCGCTTCTACAACAACTTTGCCGCGGTGCGCTCGTCGGTGACGCCGCCGCTGCCAGTGCCCGGCATGGCCACCGAGGCCGTCCTCGTGGAAACCTTCGAAGCAGGTCAGGCTTTAGCATGCCCCTTTGCCCATCGATTTTTTGCAAAACCCATCCCTTCCAAGAAGGTGCTCTATCACCCTCTCTACTGCGCAGATGCTGACTCCTGTAAGCCCTTGCTCTGATCTTCTTTGCAGTGCTGATACTACCAAAGACCGTCTTCTGTGACGCTCTTCTAGAGTGCCGATGATGAAGGTATGGTGGTGCAGGGGAGAGCGTGGCCAAGTACATCCGGCAGCCGTCGCCGTACAACACGCAGATCGTCGCCCTTGGAGTGGACACCTATTTGAAGATGCTGCTCCACGACAATTTTGTGGTGAGCTTCCCACACCTTCCAGCGATGCCGCCACAATTACACCAGCTCACCAGGACATTCACTGGTGCAAACTTCTCTTAATTAAAGTGTTGTGAGCAAATCATCTAAAACTACTGTTGGACAAGTAAATGGGATGCTGAGGAGATGAGCTTGCGGGTGCAGCACACGGATTTGCATCCGGGCAACATTCTGGTGCGCGTGCGGCCGACCGGCAAGGCGGCGGGCGATGGAGCGGCAGAGACCACGACGCTGGATGACATTCTGATGAAGCCCATCCGGCGCGGCCAGGCCAAGGCCCAGCTGCAGCTGGTGCGCACCAAACCTCCTCATCATGCCTTTTGTCTTTCTGCACTGCCATTTTGTCTTCTTCTTCTCTGAAAGTGTCCCTCTCAACATTGTTTCATTACAACACATGCTCTTGAGCACCACGCAGGGGTGTGGCTGTCTTGAAGGTCTTGCCTGACTGTACAAAATAAATTTTACATTCCATATTTTTACGTAAGGGCCGATATGGGTACTCGCAATTAGTGATGTTGCAAAATCTGGTGCAGATCCTGCTGGACTTTGGGCTGGCGGAGGAGCTGACGCCGCGCGTGCGCAAGCACTTCATCTCCTTCCTGCACGCCATCTCCAAGGGCGATGGCGCGGCCGGCACGCGCCACATGCTCGCGTTCGGCAAGGCCCAGACCTGCCCCGACCCGGCCGCCTTCCAGCACGACATGACCGCCATGTTCCGCCGCGAGTGCAACATATACTCCAAAGCCGGCGTCGACGTCGACCAGGTGCGCCGCCGTTTCATTTCCTTTTGAGGTATTTTAGCTCATCATGACTGACAACAGGCTCAAAGTAAACACAAATGGGTTTCTGATAGCATGCTGCAGCACTTAGCCAAACTGCTGAGGGTCTCTCCGGTCTTTGCTGTTCCAAGACTGTAGCCGGCTTCACACTGTGTGTCTGGCAACTGTTTGATTCGCATGTAGATGGCATGCTGCGCCCAGGAGTCATGGTAGTGGTGAGAGCTGTTGGCTGATGCACTCGCAAGGCAATCCCATGTTCGAGCCTTGCTGATCGCATGCTACCAGCCTGTACTAGTTAAGTACCCTGTTGCTGAGGCAGCTGTGGGTGTCCATGCAGGTGCTCAAGTCGGCGCTGCACCTAGCGCGCAAGCACGAGGTTGTCATCGACAGCAGCTACGCAGCGTTAGTCGTGGGCGTCTGCGTCATTGTGGGCTTTGCCACCGCTCTGGACCCGGCCCTCAACCTCATCGACGCTGCCACATCGGCCTTCTTCATCAACGACCTCACTGGCCGCATCGCCGGCCGCCTGTACACCTGATGTGGGTCTACGAGTGGAGCACAATGTAAATGCTCCCTCTGGAAGATGAGGGCTCCTGACATGGGTCAGATGGGAAGCTGGACTAGGAATGCACCGCATGTGGTCCTGATGTTGACCATAGCGCGCGGATTAAGTCTATGACGTTTTCTGGTAAAGGTGGTGGTGTTTCTGCAAACAGTCTTCGTGCTCAAGAGTACGCATACATGGGGCAGCTGCCATTGCCAAAGCTGGCAGGTTGTGGTTATGAGGTTGCCATGGCGCCCCTTTTATTAAGATTGCATGTGTGTACAGAGTCTTCCTTTGTGGACTTCGCAGCGTGGGTGAGAGTAATGACTGAGAGGTGATTGTTATATCGGTAGGCAGGGTTCCATGTAGACTTTGTCTGATCAATAATTTGCATAGATTTTACTGAGACGATACCGAGAAGATAGGCAAGAAGTGCGGCAGGTTTTCTTCATTTTGTCGACAATACCATCACGATCATCACGCTGGCGAATGCTTTCAAGAAAGTGCCCATATGGTGTAATCAGACTGAGGCTTGCAGCCAATTTCTGTGGCGTTGTGAATATCAAGTGTGTACCGTATACGTACTAGTAGTCACCGTGGCGGTACTACGGTAGACTACCGTCGGTAGTGTGACAGCCCCCAACATTTTTATTCAAAGATGCACTTCAAGTTTCCGTGGCCATTCATTGGCCCGATCCTCGAGAGCTCTCAGATCTCCAGAGTGCACAGCAGTAAAAAAAATTACCTCTTGGTATTGTAGTTTCCAAGACTAATGCCATGCAAAAGGGCAGATGTCTGGGCAGCCCAAGGCGGGCAGCATTGGGACGACGATCTCGAGCTAAATCTTGGACGCTTCATGTAGTACATACATAAGTCCCACGTCAACCTTTGAAAAGGCATCGGCCTGCTACAGGAACAAATTTTAAAAAGGAGAAAAGCAATTAGATGAGGCATCGGCCGTCGTCCTGAGCCTTCCCACATAGATGTGTTGTCTCTTCCCCTTCCTTGCCTGTTGCGCCTGCTACACTGGATTTGCCGCAGGGTGAGAAGACATCACTAGTAGTTGTGGCATGATCACCACTTTTCGTTGAGCTGCCCCTAAATTAAATTTACAGCTTTTCTGTGCCATCTGTACTGAGCATCCTTCTCCTGCAATGCCTGAGAGTGTACTGTTGCTCTAGCACTCGTAATTGTCCATAGAATAGACAGAAGCTTACACTTGTGTGGTGTGAATGCAGCCAAAAGATTGATCGAGCAGTATCTGGGCGGCAGAGCAGTCAGCCAGAAGAGGAAGAACAACCTCAGAAGAAGCTGAGCCGGGCAACATCAAAACATCAGACCATCAAGGCACAGATACAGGAGAAGTACTCAGCAAAAAACGCTCCAGCAATGGAGCTGGCTTCCCGATGAGAGAAGCATTGGAAATTGGAATAATCTTGGCTGAAGCTTTATTGCATTCTAATCAGGCTATGCCTATACAGGCCGACATTGTATGAGTATTGCTGTGTTCAGGTTATGAACAGTGCAGAAGATGGTGTGAACTAGAAACTGGGGTGATCACCCCAGCGCTACAGTCAGACCATATTAGGTAGGAAAGTGCTTACAAATGCGCTAGGATTGCTGCCTCTTCGTAACTTTCGCAGCATAGCATCGTACATCATGATTCAGCTGAGGGCAGCAGGAAAATCCCTCAATCTACAGCAACACCTGCCGATTATGCTGCCCCAGTCACCACATGTGCATACATCATTGCCATTCTATTTATGCCCAACAGCTTTGCATCTGCAAAACTCCTGTCCCGCTCGCTCTCTCACGCTCCCAACAAAAAGAATACACTGTACAAAGCTGTGTCGCATCAGCCTGCCCTCTGCAACCTCGACAGCGCGCAAAGCACGGTTGCGCATTCCACACGCATGCCCGTGCATGACTGAGGGCGATTGTTCAAATCAGCACCAGATTGACAAGCATGCATGGTCCCTTGCGCTGCCAATTAGATACAAACTTGCCTTCATGGGAGTCCGTCTTAAATGACCATGTACGCGCTGGGTCAGCGCTGAGATTAGTCCTCCGGGTCGGGGTCGCGCTCCACAGTACGCACTTGGATGGCATGCGTTGATGCTGCTCGCCAAATGGGCTGCCGCCCACTCTGCACAATGGCCACCTGCTGCCCGCCCTCCAGGAACCCCCTCGCTTTCAGCTCCTGGATTGCCCTGCCACCCACACAATCCACCTCAGCGCTCTGCTCACCAGGATCAAGCATGTGAATGGCAGGCTTTCTGTGTGCCAGGGGTAATGCATGGGTGTTATGTCAGCCCCCAATCAGTGCAAGATGCGGAGCCGCGAGTTTGCCAGATGCTTGATGCCAAGGTCTGAAGTCGCAAAGATTCAGCCATCCGTGCACCAGCCAATTTTGCAGACTTCCTAGGCAGCTGTACTTGGATCACTCTGGTTGGAGGCTACTACTGTAGTAGTAATTCTAAAAAAACCCGCAACAAATATATAATTTTGACCGAAAAGGGTGGATATATTAATCCAATGGAGCATGACTTGGTAATAGGAAGTCAGGAAGACCCCTAAACATTGTCTGGAAAAATTTCCCGCACCGCCAAGGGTGCGGGTTTTCCCCTGACTACTACAGTAATGCCATGGCCCAGTCACAACAGGATCTGTGCCTTGGTCTCTCCAGACTAGATACCATTTCATTTGCATGCATGCAGAGCATGAGAAGGTGCGCAACCTGTCGAAGGTCTCGTCGGCGGTCTCCCCGAAGCGCATGTGCAGCGCTGTGACTCCGTGGTAGAGCGCCAGCCGCCGCTGCACGGCTCGGTTCTCCGTGAACGTAAAAATCTGGTCGTCCGGCCGGTAGTGGCTCAGCAGCGCCGGCATGTTTCCCTGCGCGCACACTCAAGCCACACTCTAGGTAGCAGAAGCAAGCTCACCAGCAACTGATCTCTTGCTGGCGCTTTGCCAAGAAGCAAGAAAGATGGAACACTGAAACCGCATGCGCATCAGGAAATAAAACATTCACAAAAGCCGTGAATGGGACATGTTGATAAGGCAAAGTGCACCAAAGAGCCAGTCAAGTTGCTCAGACAGCAATGGGGGCCATGGAGTCAGCATCGCAATCCGGCAGGGAAGTCTGTTTGTATGTAAAAACAGCTGCAGGGGCGCACCTTGCGCGAGAAGACGACGAGGGAGGTCTTGATGGTGTTGGCCATGGTGGTGGCATGGTAGGCAAACATCTCACTCAGCCCCGGCGTCGTCATGTGCCCCGGCGCTGCATTGTCCGCGGGCGACACAATCCAATCAATCGGCTCTGACTCCTCGCTGCCATACCGCCGTGTCCCCTGCGCATGACAGAATTGCACTCTTCATTCTATATTTCACATGAGGAAGCAATGCTGTACATAGACAAGTGTGATGTACACATGACATTCACTGCCATCGGCGCTGCTCTGTAGAAAGTCTGTTAGGTACATCTCCTGGGGAAAGGATTAGAAAAAACAAAGTAGGTCCATTACCAGCTTTGGGCTGCAAAACACTGGTTTCACTGTGATACATGTGTGAATAGCAGGCAGCAGGTGTGTGTGGCTGGGGTTTGAGGTGTGAGGGGGGTGAGGGGGGCGCACGCTGAATCTGAGCATGGCGGACTCGGTGCGGTGGGCGACGGTGCTCATGACGTCGACGGCCTTGAAGCAAAACTTGCCGTATGCGGTCTCCCCCGACAGCATCACCGCGTCCGCCCCCTCCCGCACCGCTATCGCTATGTCCGACACCTGCAGGCCACATCATACCCATCCAACTCACTCACAAGCCAGCACCTCTCCCCAATTCATGCACAATAGTAGTGCACAGCACAAGGGAGGCAGAAGAAGCACTTTCTTGAAGATACTCTGGGTCGGCAGTCTGATTTACAGCAGTGAGCTGCAAAGGGGCGTTCTCTGGATGGGTGGACAGAGGAAAACTTTGAAATCTAATGGACTCTCAGGTGTCAGATAGGTCTGATACACCAGATATTGAGTGGAGCAGCACCTCTGCGCGCGTGGGTGTGGGGTTGCCGATCATGGACTCGAGCATGTTGGTGGCCACAATGACGGGCTTGCCGCGCTTCCTGCACCCCTGCACAATGCGGCTCTGCCAGTACGGCACCTGCACGTAGGCATCAACCCCCTCAGCCTCTGACATGTTGCCATTGCTCGCCTACCCTTGCAATATTTTGCACACCGGACTCTAGATGACCCAATCATGTTTGGAGCGTCCACTTCTAAGCAGGCCTCTGCGCCGCTAGATAAAACTGAAAATCCCTGGCAGCCCTGCTGCAACGCATATTTGCTGGCACAAAATCAGCAAGGGTCTTTACAGGAAGCAGAGGCACTCCTTTACTGGCAGGGGGAGGGGCGATTAAGGCACCTCTTCGACGGGCAGCTCTGCTCCGAGGTCGCCGCGTGCCACCATGGCGCCGTCGACAGCGTCTAGGATGTCTTCCAGGTTGTCCACGCTGTCTGCACTCTCTATCTTGGCCAGCACGCCAATCGACGCCCCTGCAGTGTATACTCTCCATTCACCACCACAAGCATGCTTGACACACACTCCATTTGACCAGCCTTTGATGGGGAACGTTCCACGGCACACGGCGCAAATGTTTGTTCCGGGTGACCACAGAACACTCCAAAAATGAGCAGCACTTATAAGATGGCAAAGGCACGGGAAGGGGAGCACAATGGCAGAGGAAAGGTTTGATGGATTTTGTCAGGCAGTGAAGCAAGCACCACTGTCTAGTAACTGCCAGGACATATTTTAATATATATGTCCTTCCTTGCGGAGCCATATCTGGCTATCTTTTCCAGATGAGAACTCGAACTAGTGCGCACCCTGCTGCGCCAGGTAGCGCTTGAGCTCGTAGATGACGTCGGCGTTGCGCACGAAGGACAGCGCGTAGTAATCGACGCCCACGTCCACTCCAAACTTGACGTCCAGCCAATCTCGCTCTGTGATGGCCGGCAGGTTGGCGCTCTTCCCCCGGATGTTCAGGTGGCGCCTGCAGCGCAGCAAACGAGCAGCTCATGAGAAACAACCCGACGCCAGGGAGGACGATCTGGAAAGTCCCTGCGCCTGTTGCGCTGAGACCGAGTGAAGGGCATCCAATGAGGTGGTTGGTGCTTTTGTGAGTACTTGTCACTGCTGCATGTCGGCGCAACAACCATATATGTGTATTCAACCTCCAAATTGTTGGATTGAAATTGTTGTGCTGCTGCAATCTGCAGAGCTCCAGTCCCGAATTTTTGTGTACATTGGCTGGGCTCACCTCGACGTCATGATGCCACCGTCGACAACCTCGCACTCCACGTCCTTGCCGGACTTGGTGGTGATGACCAGGCTCTGCAGGCCGCCGTCTACCAGCAGGATGTCACCCACGCTGACATCATCGATGAAGCCGTCATAGTTCACCGAGATGCGGCCGTCCGTGCCGTTCGCACCCTCCTCAATCGTGAATGTGAACTTCTCGCCTGCGCATGCATGCAGGTGACCACACATTCAAGAAAAGGCCTGTTCTAGTGCTCATGCTGTGATCCCCCTTCTTGCTTCAGTACATCACAAAGCACTGCTGATTGTACATGTTATCTCCAGTAGGAGCAGTGCACGCTCTGGGGCAGCATGAAGCGCTGCCAGTACCGGAACACAGGCATGCAACATGCACAAGGCTCTCATGCACATAATGGTCCTTTTGTCAGGGGGGTACCTATGGCCACATTGTGAAAAGTGGCCATAGGTACCCCCCTGTATCCCCCCCGTTGCTGCAGATTGTGGGGTGCAGGGAAGCAGCGCACCGGGCTTCATGTCGATGGGCTCCGCCAGGTCGCCGGAGCGCACTTCGGGGCCCTTGGTGTCGAGCATGATGGCCACATTGCCGCGGTCCAGGCGGTTGTACTCGCGCACCAGGTCCACCACCGCCTTGTGGCTCTTGTGGTCCCCGTGGGACATGTTCAGCCGCGCCACATTCATTCCCTGCCGCACCCAGAGATCAGCCTTTTTCTGAATACACTTACTATGCCCCTGGCGCACTTGTTCAACCACAGCAGGCAGTCCTGCAGGCTGTATTGACACCCTGCAGTGCATGACTGTCATGGTAGCTAGCCTGGTCAAGAGTATAGCATGGTGGTTCTATAGCTGGGAGAGGGAAAGCAGCTGAGGGCGCACGGAATCAGCCAGCTTGAAGAGGTTCTCGCGCGAGCATGACGTGGGGCCGATGGTGCACACGATCTTGGTCTTGCGCAGGCGTCCGGCGGCAGCTGCATCCCTGCACAGGACATGAGCACGGTGCTCAGCATGTTCTAGCCAAGGGGCCAAGTGGGCACCAAGACATTAAGCCATCACTGAACATGAGTGAACAATTGGGAGCTCAGGACGTACTTGTCAGCGGGCAGTCCAGAAACTCCTTCCTTGCTCTTGTCAAGCTTGATGCCCTTGGTGTAGCCTGCCAGAGCATTGGTGGAAACATCCCCTCGCATGGGCGAGGTACTTCTGTCCCTGCACCCACCCCCCTTTACATTACTAATCATCAAAATATCCTGCAAATGATGCCAATGAGAAAAGATCACCGAGAACTCTTTGGTGAGCTCAATAGTAACAGGTGCTTGCACCTTTACTAGAAAAAGCATTGGAACAAGTGGACGGTCTTTTTCCTCCTTGTAGCACCTTGTAACTCGTCCAACTGGTCTTCTGCATGAGTTGGAAATTGTACTGCTGCTATTTGCTTTCAACTTTGTAAGGCATATCCTCATCTGTCGCTAGCGACTTTGTGCTTCACCTCATGAAAAGGAAGGTTGTAGGAGAATCCTCACCTGGAACCGAGCTCTGATACTACCCTTGACCTCTGCAGCTGCCGTCTGGGTCTCCTCGATTGAGGAACAACACCACATCTGAGCTGTTGAGCATTACACAGTTGAGGCTTGAGCAGCAACTTCTGCCGGAGGACACCCTCCGCCATGCTTCCTGCGACAAATATGATGTCCACACAAGCGGTCCGCGCTCAATTAAACGCAAGGAATTCACTGGCTTACCGGTGCTCTCTGGATGCTCAATTCCTCGATCAAGGTGGGGAAGCCAGTTCTGGCATGATGATCCCCCAAACTGTGACTGTGACAGTCAGCCATGCCAGGCTGCTTAATTACCTTTCGGCCCCTAGCCTCGACACTTGTACAATGTGAATCTGTGCAAGTGTGCAAGAATCCTGCAGCAAGATGATCTTTATGGCAGGTTGGAATCCCCACAGTGCATGCAGGAAAATGGCCGCCTCGCGGCAGTGAATGCAAGCATTTGTAAAATGAGATTTCAGCCATGACATGAGACAGGCCGGTGCAAAATAATCATAATGCATGACACCCTTGCTTTCCGTGTGCTCTTGTAGTCTGGGACCATCCTTAGATGCCTCTAAGGGACTTCAAAATTCCAATTGCAACATGAGTTTAACCAGGCAACTTATGTCTCCACGTTCAGAAGCTGGCCCCGAGCTGTGATCTCAGTCAGGACTAGGCTAGTGCACAAAGACATAGAGTAGCTTGCTTTCTACCACGAATAGGACACAGGATAATGACTGTCTGTGACAGCAATGCATACTACATAGTATGTAATGGTACATGTACAGACAGCTACTGCCCTTCGGCTGCCCTGTCGCCCCCACAATGTCTGCTCTCCAGGGTTACATTCCCTGTCGCTTTTAATCCAGGCGATGAAGCCAATTGGAGGCAGACAGGCAGCAGCACAGCTCTGGGGCGGCCCACATGCTCTGGCTCCCTTGCAACTCACCACGGTTTCCTTTGTCAGGCTGCAGCACTGGTCGTCCCTGTCATCTCCCCTGGGTGAGGGGGTTGGACAGGATGCCAACGCTGGTCCAAGAGTCGCCCTGGGGCATCTGCACATGCGAGGGCCCCGGCACGGAATCCCGTCGCAAGGAGCCTGCGGCTGTGGGCGCATTGTGGTATGCCCTCCTCAGCTGGTCCTGCCTGTTGGCCACCTTGCGGCCCAGCGCCCTCACCATGAACTGCTTCCCGCACAGAGCCCGCACCTGCCACAACCCAACTCCCTTAATGTCTTGTGCCGGCACCAAAAGAGGACTTGCCCTAGAAGATATCATCACCAATATGATTGTCATCATGCCTTAAGACTCAGCATACTACAGTAAGTAAAGAGTAGGTACTAAATGCAAGCTTGATCATTGGATGCCAGGATGATGCCGTCAATGACAATGCTGCTACTGCTGCAAACCTTCTTCTTTCCGTAGTGCTCAACTCGATCAGAAGTCATGCAGGCACTAGTATTTGCTGGCAAGGATGACATGGAAGAAATGAAGAGGGGTGGAGGGCAGACCTGCTTGATGTACAGCTCTGGCGTGAGGGAGTTGTTCTGCAGTGCCTTGTCCAGGGAGTACAGGGTGTCCTCCAGGGCCAGGTCCTCTGCCTGCCCCTCCAGCGCCTGCTTCGACAGCACGTCCGCCGGCAGAATTGCTGTGTCTGCATCCACCTCACCTGGACCCACACCTCGCCTCCTTCAAACACGGCCTCTCTGCACGCATCTTCTGACACGATATGGACCGCTCAAATGCCACCCAACTGCCAAGAAATTTGCCGTTGTAATAAAATTTTGTTCTAGCGCATTTGGTGTTTATGATTGTGATGGCACTGAATGGGGCCCCCAGGAATTCAAGTGGTGGCACAGCACAGCGCTCACCCGACACCAGCTTCTTCTCATTCTCAACCAGCCACTTTCCCAGAGCTGCCGCCTTCCCTGACATCTCCAGCACACACCCCTCCAGCGCATGCCTCTCAGCCTGCATGCCGACCGACATTCACTCACTGAACACTCAACGGCATTTAGCTTCAATTTTTTCATGAATGCATGAATTAACAGGCTGTTCATAAAGCAAGTGCAGAAATACTGGATTCCTTTGAGTCTAGCATGTCAAGTCTTACCTGTATGCTCTCCACGCCTCTTGTGATGTCCCTTTCCCGCCTGGTCAGCTCTGCTTGCTGCTCAAACAGCTTATCCATGTCTGCTGTGGCCGCATCGTTCGCGCGTGCCAGGCTGCCCTGAAGCCGCTTGGTCAGCTCTGCAATTGCTGACTTCCTGAAAAGCTCCTGCAGATTGTTCTTGACTGTCAATACATGCCCCCATCAGATATACAGAAATGACACACGAGAACAAGGAATCTGCATGCATCAATTACGGGGAAAGTAGTCAGGTGCTGACCTCCAAGTTTGGCGGAGGTGGGGAGGGAGGTCGGCCTGACATTGCTGCAACTGCGCCTGCCCAGATGTTGCCAGATGAGGATGGTGTCGAGCTCTGTGAGCTGCTAGGCCTATTAGCAAAAGCTGACATCTCAGTACATCAGTGAGCACATCACCCCAGCAGTCTGGTATAGGAATACAAGCAACATGGTCAAAGTCTTCATCTTGCAGGTGCATGAAGGTGCATCAGCACACCTGTGAATGGGATTGTGTGCCAGGAATGTGTCAGGATGCTGCGAGGTGGATGATGGCTGTGCTGGTGGGGCCCAGTTGGGTGGCTTTGAAAACAGAGGTGGATCGTGGCCAAACTGCATTGATGTGTCCTGAGCCATGTCCACAAGGTTTGATCTGCGCACACAAGTGGCTAGCATTTTGTACATGCCTCATTGGCAATCATGGCTGAAAGCACGTGGTAGATAGCACGGGTACACACTTGATGGATGCTGCCTTGAAATGCGCACCTTCCATAGATCCAGTTCCGGAGGTACGGGGAGAAGACCATGCCCGAGGGATCCACAAAAGAATGTTGCGGTTTGATGATCATGTCTGAGGTCGGAACCACATACATGATGGGCTGCTGCCTTGGGTACGCCTCTGGCAGCCATATTGACACAGGTATGTTGTACTTCACCCCCTGCAGGTGGAAATGCGCATAAGTGCAGGCTTACAGGAAGTGTGCAAGATCAGTACAGTATCTGCCGAAGCTTGCAAGTGAATGAGCATTGAGCAGACCTGATAGTACATGGGAAGGGTCCCATCCGCCATGAGCAGCTGCACAGTGCTTCCATTGGTGTGTGTGTACTGCTGCTGTTTCAGGACCAGCGTGGGAAACTCCTGTGCAAGCACAAAGAGTGGACACTTCAAGCTGCAGTCAGTATGCTTCATTGTATGGATTGGTAGATCAGGCGCATATCGCTTGCAAATTGTGTACACAATGTGCATCTTGGATTTCATAATCTCTTCCGAATACACTTACTGATCTGGGTTCTCTACTAGCTTCCCAACAAGTGGAAGGTCCTCACCGACACCAGGTCGAGCAGATGCTGCCGCACGGCAAATTTTGCATCGTTGTTGTAGGGCAGACGGGTCTGTCCCTGATCTCCCAACACCTGTCTGAGCCAGCTTTCAGGTCCCAGCTGGGAGGAAAGAGGACCCATTACCACGTGTAAAGGCCTTCCACACTATGGGCGACTGCTTCTGCTCTTCACGACAAACTAAAGAAGCAAATGCAGATTGACAACGTGTAGAATTTCAGAGATACGGATCGATCGATGACGAAAGAAGAGAAGGTTTTTGTTCTTTATGCAACTTTCTAGTAGCTAATCTTCTGCGTTATAGCTGATCTACCTCAACAGCAGATCTGTAGCATTTCAACGTTACTAGGATGCATTAATTCGGCTCCTCTGCTGTCTGTTCTTCAAGAGTGTTTGAGCTTGCTTGTCCTCATGGGACCAGCTGCGGGAGGGGAGCCCCCGCTGCGGAAGGGAATCCCCCCATTTTGATCAAGACGCCCCTGCCAGAACTCTCCCAGGAAAGACTGCACATAGTAACTGTCTGCAGGCTGCTGCTTCATCCCCATCGGAAGGTGCAATTGTCTCCCGTTTGCGAAATCAGTACATCCAGCCTTGAGGGTGTCCACAGAAGGGTGCTATCTGTTCTGACGTAGGTTCTATCGTTCAGATCACACATAACTCGCATCCCCATTCCATATTTAATTGCGACATCGTTTCATTGAGATTTTGAAAGTTGTTGCTTTCTGCAGGTCTGCTGCTTGACAGGCTGCATAGTCTTGATCCCTGCAAAACACCGGACAGAACCTCGGACGGGCAAAAGGCTGTCACTCGGCACGGTGAGCACCCGGTGTCCTTTTCTCATAAGCTAATCATTTGATTCTTTGTTTCAATCGTGTGACCGGTTTGAGTGACATCAGTACACTAAAATCGGCAGATTCGCACACAAGTCTGACACCGATCTGTCAGTCCAACTTGACAGTTTAGCAGTCCTAGAATGTTTGATTGAAGTCTCATACAAACTCAGAATGCTGCCAAATAAAAATACTGCCCATCTTCTTGGACTTCGAGACAATACGAGCCTTGTGACATGGTGTTCAGACTAGTGCTTTGCTGCGCAGGCGGAGAAAATGGCAACTCCAGGTCAGAAAGTGGACACCAAGCCCAGTGAGGAGGCGACCCCCAAGGAAGTCTCTCAGGAGGGATTTGACTATGTCCTGAATGCAATGAATGGCGAGGACAACATGAAAGAGGAGACCAAGGACTACAAGCCTTCAAAGACATGGTCCAGCTACTTCTTTGGTGGCAGCAAAAAGTGATGCCTCCCCCATTGTTGATCATGTGGATTTCTGAGTAGCATGTCAGCCGATCGGCTAGCATAGACAACATGGTCTGCAGCACATGGTAGCCAGCTCTGCCTGTAGAGCCTGTGCCTCCAAGCTTTGTTGAACTTGAGGAGGTGTGTAGCCTCAAGGCACGTCAGCTTCTGCAAAGCAGCATTGAAAACGTTGGCAGTACTGCATTGTGTTTTCAGGAAATCGCAGATTCGCTGGAACTGTTCCATGTCCAGATCTGTGGAGACCGTGTGATCATGTAAGCTTTCCGTGTGGCCTCTCAGCATTATGAAACACTGGTCTTCTTGTGGTTGATGCGCTGATGCCTCGAGATTGTCCTTGAAAGTATTGCGTAAACGTGTGCTCTGCATGAATCATTCAAGATGATCATGAGTCTTTACACCTCACGCTAAAAGTGGGAGGTGCGGTTCGGGGACAAGTCACTGCATACAATGTTGCGCAAGTGTAAAAAATGGAATGGCAGAGGTTGTTTCAGCATGCTGGAAGCCATCTACTGACATTCTGCAGATAGGGTATCTCCTGCAGCTGCATGTCACATCATGTACGGCGTATTCTGCGACACCGTGTGGTGACCAATGACAAGGACCCATTGCATGATGCCACAGGCATAGGCAGCAGGTATTATTCTGAATCACGGTCATCAAGGTAGTTGCAAAAATTCTATTGGCCGAAGGGAAGCAATTCCTTTCCATTTGAGCTCTAGTCTTCCCGCAGATCAAAATAGTGAAATGCATGCAGCGTGACACGTGAAAGGGTTAGCAACTCCAAGAATCCAAGGTTGCCTCGAAGCGATCAAGATGTGCATAGACGGTGAGAGCATAGATGTTAAGAACAAGTCTGCTTCACTGTGTACTTCCTTGATATTGAAATCCAATAATTCGTTGGATCGTGTGATGGACAGCGATATGGCTCTCAGAATATATTCCAAGAAACACATCTTATGAATAGCTACAGATCATCAGGAGAAGTAAATTCGCGATGGCGATAGGACCTCCTTAGCTGTCAAAATAAGGGCACCCTCTTGACGTGAGATGGAACAGCAAGAACATGTCGAGAAGGACGCCAAGATTGTCGACAGCAAATCAGGAAATGTTGCAGCCAGCAGCACCACCTACTTGATTGCAGACACAAGATGCAGAGGCCAGATGCGACCCAGCACTTCACTGCACAACTGCAGTGCACGACTCACACAAGGTCCAGATGGACACATCCTGTCACAGGAGGAGATTCCGTACCCCCGTCCCAACACCTTCTGGGAGGAATGCATTGCTGTGACAACCATGCTGCTGTGCTTTGGGTGAGGTTCCTGAAGGCCATTAGATTCACTCTGCATGCGCTTGTCCTCTGTCCCTTCCAGAGTTTGGTGCTGTCATGCTCACAATGCATGACACTGAGAACTGAGCACTACGGTTCAGATTCGTCTGGATATTTCCAGCAGTGCTGTTGGCATCAATGGCGGCGCTTTTCCTCAGTCAAAGCGGAGCAGCAGTATTCATTATCACAATTACATCTGTGGCAGCTGTTCTACCCCTTGGCAAGGTATGGCAATGTGCATGACCATTCCGTGTGGCTTGATTAATCACGTTGAAGCTCTACCACCAATGACAATGTTGGCCTCAAGGTAGTGTCATCAAGACACTCTATTTTTGGACAGCACTCTCAGGGAACAACAGCATTCTCAGGGAACATCAGAAGGTGCCTGGATGAGCTTCCACTTTCTGCTGTGCAGATGTGGCCAGCCTTCCGAAACAGTTTTGTGTTTGACACATGGCGGAGGCACTTCCGCGCGCGCATCATCACACCCTTGCACCCCTTCATGGATCCCTCAAGGCGGTACCTCTGTGCACAGTTTCCCCATGCAGCCTTCCCCATGGCTTGCTGGTTGAATCCCGCCATTGTCGGGCTCCCTGGCTCAGGTAGCCACCCCATTCTACATCTATCTGGAATTGCACACGCAAGGGGCAAGACCTGGTGCTTGACCTGGAGTGCAGTGGTATTTAACAATGCATGCCATGTCCAGGCATGCCGGGGCCCTGGGAAGGAGTGGTGGCTTCTGTGATGCTGCAGCTGCCCTTCATCAGGCACATGTTTGCCTGGATTGGGGCGCATCCGGCAGGTGACCCCTTACTCCTAGCACTTAGCGGCAGACTCTGACAAGCCTGACACATGCTGCTGGCTGGTCCTTTGCAGCAATGTTCAGTCACCCAGCGCAGGGTGCAGGATCGACCGTTAGACTGTTTGTGCGCTGCCCTTCGCAGATGCGGAGACTCTGACTGCGCTGCTGCAGAGGACCAACGTGGGGATGCAGCCGGAGGGCATCGCAGGCATCTTCTGCGGAGCAACACTCGAGCGTGAAGCAGTCTTCCTGTCCCAGCGCAAGGGCTTTGTGCGTGTTGCCATACAGGCCGGTGCAGGTGAGCAGCTCCTCCATTGATTAGTTCAAACTCATCACCTTATCTCGGAGACCGCATATCTTTTTGTCTCACACATGCACCTTGCTTTTATGTAGGCGAGTCCATGAAGGTTTGGGATTCTGGCAACCTTCAGTCAACTGCAAATTTACCATGCCTCTAATCAGGAAGCGTATGTGAGAATGACAGCAATGTATTGAGACTGGAGCGTTTCTGTGCCTGCAGACATCCTGCCAGTGTACCACATGGGCAACTCCCAGATGTTCACCTTCTGGGGGCCCAAGAGCCTCAGCCGCTGGCTGCAAGTCTCTGTGGGCGTCTTCTGGGGCAGATATGCCCTGCCCCTTCCCCACCGCCATGACATCATCTCCCTTGTTGGAAGGCCAATTCCTGGTGTGGACCCCTTTGTCTTACTGTAACCCACTGGTGTCGTAAGGTGCCAGCTTGACCTGGTGCGAAAGGCAGGAATGCAGACAGGCCTGGATCGGTCATGGGGGTTCGGGAATGGGGTCTCACTGCTTGAATTGTTTGGACTATACCTTCTGACAGGCTCTTGCATGAGGCCCGTCACTGCAAAGTTTGTGGTTTGACAAGGGACAGATGACAGCCTGCTGATGACGTGTTCTGCTGTATTGGCGGTGCAGTCAGGCAAGCGGACCATCCCAGTGCGGACGACGTTGACAAGGTGCATGCGGCTGTGGTGGACGCCATCAAGCAATTGTTTGATCAGCACAAGCACCTCATCCCTGGATGGGAAAATAAAGAGCTGTGGATTTATTGATCTGTCCCGAGGAATACATATTATGGCACTACTTTCCTCCTTGCAAGAGCCAGGATGCAGAGTTGCATGCGCAATCACCGGTGCATGTCTCCCTAGACTTGAAATTTGGTCCTCCAAGGGCAGAGGCACCTGCTGGTGCCAGCACTTGCCCCTGAATTTGCAACGGTGACAATAGATGTTCTGTCATAGATCAGTCTGCCTGACTCGGATATGAATATTAATGGCATGCTACCTAACTATGATAGGATTTTTTTTAAATCTAATTTCGAATATTTCGAAAAGGTCCAGGAATTTATGGAGAACTTTGAATGACGTCACCATGCCACCTGGCCTATGACAAAGCAACTTTTGTGGGGCATGTTTCCGTTCCCACACGTTAAGAGGTGCAGCCATCGTGCTCGCAAGCAATTATCAAATTGCTATTTATGACCGAGGAAAGACGAGCTCCGCTTCGTGGAAATTTTCGGCCCCAGACAACGGGCAGATCGCTAGATGATCTGGGAGCGCAAACCTTGTTTCTGCCGGTGCGGGCAAGCTGTTTCTTGGAAGTTTCTATCAGGACAAAATTGCAAAATTTGTATTGATTTGTATTGGATTGAGGAATTGCTCGCTCGAACAGATTGCTTGTCACATCCTTTCCTCACGCAGGTGAAGGTGGTCAATGCAAATATTGATCTGGCGTCAACCAGGTGTCCATATGACATCAAATGCCAGTCAAGAACACAACAGGTAATCTTGAATAAGATGAATGAGTGAATTCGGATGCCTTCAGCTATACGTGTCAGGCTTGAAGGCGTGCTGAAGGACTCTGTGTACCAGGTTTGGGAAGTTGCACTGCCCTGGCCAGAACTCCCCGAATCTGCCCCAGAGCTGCTTGAGTGGTTCACCGCAGTTTTAGAGAAGTGTGCCTCTGGTGCAACTGAAGGGGTTGAGTCAACCCCTGGGTGAGCATTTACACAGAAACTGCTGTGTGCATATGGCCTCTTTCTCTCGAGTCTCTTTGAAGATGGGCATAACTTTCTTATCCTAAAAGAACGACTTTGTGAGCCCACAGGCTAGCGCTCGAATTCCCTCCTCAGCTCCACAAATCAGACAGGGCGAAATGGCACAAACTGGCGGATGAATTCGATGGCCCTGTCAGGCTCACAGCAGTCAGCGAGGTGTGTTCACATTGCACCCAGTGGCGATCATGCATGCGCAAGGTGATGGCTTCTCAACAGATCATGCATGTGGATATGCCATGAGCGCTGAAGACCGTGTGCATGCGTAAGGGAGTCGGAGAGGGCAGATTCTTGAGGGTTCGCCAGAAAGCCGCCCGGAGGGAGCGGCGTTCTGTCTCTGAGAGAACCCGGCAGATTTGGAAATGGTGCCAGGTGATAACACTCGCAACGCCACTTCCATTCTTACCATTCTTGGGGCACCATCGGAATTGCAAGACAATGAATGTAGCAGTGGGGATCCATTATTGTTGCACGATGTTCAGTTGCGAGACAGCCCCTTTCCCTCATCTTTGGGACTCGCTTGCCTATATGTCTGCCTTCCTCTTTTTCCAGCCAATGAACATGTATTGATATGCAGGAGGAGGGAGGAGTTTCTTGGAATATCAGTCAAGGCGAGGTTGAGGATTTGTTGGCAAGCGGCAGCCCTCTCCCCAGCAACATCCAGAGCATTGTTGATGACAGGCAAGTTTTTTCTCATGGTGAAAGACAGTGAGTAATTTGGGCTCTATGCATGGCAAGTTCGGTTATAGTGACTGTATCCAAAGTGTGTCTGCAGACAGCAGTCAGTGCGACTGCTGAACAGCATCAAGGGAAAAGATGAGGCGACAGCCGTGAGCATTGTAGACAATTGTAGGAAGGCTGCGTGGGTCAGGAGTGAGGATTCTGGCAATTACCCCATCCATGAGGCAATCCATCAGGTGAGCACATCTTTCATTCTTACCTCACTGCAAAGGCATAATCATGGGAATATGTCACGAAGCATTGCAGTGGCCATCAACTGCATGACATGGTTCAGAGACTCATTGCTGGAATGTGTGTGTCCTTGGGACCTTAATCCTTGGCAGAAGGTTGGCCCATCTTGTGGGCTATGAGCTCGAAAGAGGATGTATCTGCTGCTGAAAGGTGGTGCAGCATTTTTTGAGGTGTCACAAATGCAGCGCAGTGCACTGAGTGAAGGTTGTGCTGGGCAGGGGCTTGTGTTGGTGGTGGGCCGGCTGTCCCTCATGCCTGGAGTGCTGCAGCAGAGGGACGCCAAGTACAGGGTGCCACTCGCGCTTGCCCAGCAGCTGCGCCGGCAAGACCTTATTGAGGTCGTCTCCTGGGCTGCAGCGTGAGCCGCAGCTGTTTCACTCTCAGAATTGAGATGGCTTCCTAAGGGCTCCTATGCGATCCAACCAGCAAGCAGGATCGACCCTGTCAATCAGAGTCCTTCACGGTCCATCAGACTCCATCAAGAAGTTGTACTGCGGACAAATGCTGCAGCAAGACAAAATGAAGGAACTGCCTAGGCGTATACCAACGCCTTGATGTTGATTCTGCATATGAAATGCGGGAAAGCAAATGCCCATCCCATGAACGGATTTAGGAAGCTTGGGGGCCCGAGAAGTGGCATTGCCACATTGCGGCGCCGGAATAGTCAAGTTGTGTGAGCTCATGGCAAAATTTGGTGAGCTACTGACATTTTCACTTGTTGTCAGTATTGGGTCTCATGCATGCGCCTCATTAGCGAGCATGTTATGTTGACGATAGAGCTTTACACGGATGATCGATTGCAAATAAAGAACCAGCTACTTCAAGACAGCTTCCACTTATTTGATAATTATATGTATAGCTAAGACTCCCTAAGACTCCGTATATAAACACCTTCCAGTTCCTCTCAGCGACGCTGAAGTTTCAACTATATTCAACGCACAGTGTGCTCATGCTTCCAAGGCTGCCAAACATCAAAATTCGACTTTGAACTTCACAGGCACGCGGCTGTTATATGCGGCGGCGGGCGCCAATGAGGTCCGTAGTCTTCCTCCACTCAACGTCCGCTACCTTCCTGATATGCTCTTCGATCTCATCTGCAAACTCGATGTACGGGGGGTTGTCCTCATTGAACAGGCGGCAGTTGTCGCACATCAGCTTCACGTCCGCCAGAAAAGCATCCAGCCCCTCCTTCCTGGGAGGATACTCCTTTCTTTTGACCTTCCCCCTGTGCCCAGCAGCGCACTCGCATTCACGAGGAGCACCATGATTGAATAACCCAAAATTGAAAATGTGCACGGAAGGTGTTTCGCTCCCTCCTCTTCGCACATGTCTAGGCACCAACACAGCGTGACGGTATTTTCATCTTTGAGGATCCAATGGTGTGGTGATTCACATGATATCCTGGATGCAGATGGGCTGCTTGATGATGTCGAGGTAGGTAGTCAGCGCTCTGGTGTCCACTGGGTCAAGGAAGGGGCACTCAAATTGCCTGTCCTTCTTCACAAGCGCCCTCAGTATGGCATCAAGAGCGTCGTAGCACTGCTTGTCGCGGTGCTGCTCCCAGGCCTGCCCAGGCACACAAGCACCCAATGTTGGAATCCTGCATCCATGTTGATGCTACTGAGATTCCACCACCCTGGAATTACAGAATCAACCTTCTCAGAGAAAAGCTTCTGCAATGACACAGGCTAGACACCGTACAAACATAGATATCTGTATTACGCTAGGTGAGGGAGGAAGCAGAACTACACCTTCATTTGTCTGAGACTCTGCAGCTGTTCCTCCTTCACCCGCTCATCATCATCCGTCCCGCCATCTTGCGCCTCTTCTACATCCGACTCCTTGCGCCGCCGCTTCTCCGTTGGCTCAACGTGCTGCTCCTCCCAGTCAGAGTCCTCACGCGAGCTTGCGCGCCTTTTGCCGCACCTTGTCCTGGCCCGGCCCCGGCCGGCCTTGGCGCCGGCCTTGCCCTTGTCCTTCGGCCGAGGCGGCTCCTGCGCACGCCCTCGCCTCGAGCCGGCTCCCTTGACAGCCCTTCCACTCTGCTCCTCCTCTTCCTCCTCCTCTGGCTCCTCTGCTTGACCGTGCGCCGCTTGTGCCAGCTTCTTCGCCTGCTGCGGCGCAGCATCTGCAACCGCCACGCTGATGCCGCCCTCAGAGATAGCCGCCGAGGCCTGCAGGGCGTCCAGGGAGGCGTGCTTCTGCAGCCGGTGCCGTTTCTGCAGCGGCCGCGCGCCGACGCCGGCGTCGCCACTGGCCGCAACGTCGGACGGCGCGTCCGTGTCCTCGCTGCCGTCGTCGGCCAGGATGTGCTTCATCCTGCGGTGCTGCTGCTTGAGCTGCGCCTTGCGCAGATTTTCTCTGTGCTCCTTTTCCGGTGCAGCCGCGCTGTCCTTGGGCCGCGCGTCTTCCACCTCGGCACTGCCGCCCGACTGCGGTTCTGCTTTGAGCTTGGCGCTCTGCTGCACGTCCCGGGCCGGCGCACCGCCGTCTGCTTCAGGTCGTTCAGACTTGACAGCAGAGTCCCTTGCAGGCTCTGCCTCCTGCTTGATCGGCTCTGCAAACACAGGCTTGGCTTCCTCTGCACGCCCAGGGGTGCGCTCCTTTACAGGTGTCGCAGCACGTTGCACAGCCGCCGCGGTTCTGTCTGCTGCCTTGCTCGGTGGAGTTGCGGCCCGCTTTGAGCCCTGCGCACGCTCTTCCCTGCTGCTGTGCTGGTGTGCGGGGCGCTCATCTAGCTCCCGGATGGCTGGGGCCTTGCTCTGGTCAGCGTCACGCTTCTTCTTCCTGGCTGAGGCTGGCGCCTCCTCCTTGCCGTGGTGGGACTTTGCGGCCTTGCCGCTGCCACGGCCCCTCTGCTCGGGCGTCCTAGGCTTGGGCGCCCTCTCTGCGCCCTTCGCCCGCAGCGCGGCTCTGCGCGCCTCGATCTCCGGACCACGGGTCTCCAGAACCTTGATCGCCGCCCTCCCGATCATCTGATGCACCCACCACACCCCCTGAGCACCTCCTCTGATGACATCTGACACATTCCCAGCTCAGTGCACAGCTTGTCAAGGAGTACATCCAGATGTATGGAAGCTATCACATGCTTGAGACCTCCCCGCATGCAGAGCAATGCTGCTGACGACAGGGGCATGCGCATAGGATCACCTCTGCCACGATGGTCTTTCCGGCGGCTCCACTGAGGACCGCGCTGGCGAGCTTGCCGCGGAGCATCGCGCTGTGCTGCGGCGGCGGCGGCGCTCCCCACAGCCGCCGACCACCCGCTGTGCTCGCGACCGCCACATCGAGCGATGGCACCTTCATCTTCTTCCTGGCAGCCTCCTCCTGCCCCACAAACACCCGCAAAGTCAGGCAAGCAGAAAAACTAGACCCACAGTATAGAGCAGCAATGCGGAATATGATAGAGGCACGAACCCAATTCACATTGAAACAGCTCAATGTAGCATGCACTGCCGAGCATTGGGCACTGGTCACTCAATTCACCTTTGCACGGGCTCGTGCAAGTGAGGCGGCTTGACGTTTGAGGCTGGACTCCTCGTCAAACCAGGCAAAGACATCCAGGCTGTCGTCGCCTGATGGTGAGGCATCCCCATTCTCCATAACATCCGCCTGCACCTGAACAAGCGTATGCAGCTCAGAAGGTGTGTATAACCATGTGCTCATGCCTACCATAAAATCCTTAGTACGACCACATTGATACAGGGGTGGCGGACTCACTTGCAAGGTCTTGCCAGCAGCATTCCCATTTTCGGCGGGCGGCAGGCGAGGGGCGGTGCTGGCATGCTCCAGCCATTGCGACGCATCTTCATCCGACATGCCGGCTGCCTCCATTTCAGGGACCGTGACTTGCCGCGCCGTGGTGGCACCTAGCCCCGGCCCGGCCTCCTCAGCCCCGGCAGCATGCGCAGGGGTGTGCCCATCGCCAGCCCATTCCAGATCCTCCACATCTACTGGAACCTGTGACACCCAAGATACTGTCCTTGCTTTCTTACTCCGCGCACTGGTGTCCCTATCATTTTCATGACCACTTGAGCGCCATATCACACCAGCCAGCAGTAAGGTGCTGCTCCTGGGCAATGCTCACACAAAAAAGCTGCCTGCAAGGCAAAATATTTGAGTAAGAAGGCAGGGCATGGCAGGTGGGGGATGCATGCGCACCTCAGTGAGGGGCAGCCAGAGGCCGTCGTTTTTGCGGTAGATGGGGACGCCAAAGTCGAGGCCGTACTGACGCTCCTGAGCCCATCCGCGCAGATCCATGAACGAGTATGGCCGCGAAGTGAACCCGAACCCGCGCTCCCTGTGCACCTCCATCCATGACCAGTCCTCGCCTGCACACCCAGCACCGGCACTGTCAGCCCATGCCCACCACCCAGACCCGATCAGTCCTGCATAAACCTCTACCTATTGTAGTACCCTTGCACTGCTTGGCCCCATCGCCATGCTGAACTTTAAAACACTGATTGGCTGCCCAATGATGCAAAGCACCCCCATGCAGAGGAGCCTGAAGCAGATATAAAGATCGCAAGAGACTGGCAGGTATCAAATATGGGCAGGGAAAAGTCACAGCTTTCAGCAAGAGGCCCCGCAAGCAGAGCATTGCTGAAGCAGATTCAAGATTTGCATCATACTGGCAGGCTACAACATGCATGAAGCGCGGTCAATGCCCACCTTTCTCGGGGTCCTTGGGGGGTCCGCGGGGAAGGGAGGGGGCGGCCTGCTCCTGGGCGCGCGCCATCTGCTCCTTGGTCCAGTCGCGGTCGTCGTCGCGCACCATCGTCTCGTGCCGCGGCGCCGCCGGCGCCTGCATCAGCTCCGCCTGCGCCTCCTCCGGCGCCACGGCTGCACCAGCACACAGCCGTTCCCTTCACATCTCCCCCAGACAGTCTCACACATCTCTTGCTCTGATGCAGATTGTAACATTTCTTCTGACGTCTCGTCTCTTAAGGCATGAATACTGCGTGCCCGCGTCACCGAGCCAGGCCTGTCTCTGCAGCCCCGATTTACCTTACAGGTGCATAACGCTTAGCAGGTCAAGCTGGCACCTTGGATTCCAGTGGATTGCAGATGTCACAAGCCCCCGGGATCACAGCAAGCTTCCCAGAGGAATACCATAATCAGCAGTTCTTCACGAGGTCAACCCTGACACTGTTGTCCAGTGATATTCATACAATGAAGACAGAAGTCAAGGGGGATCAGAAGAGGGGGCCCCACCTGGCCTAAATTCAACCTCCTCTGTGAGGCCGGTCAGCCGGGGGGACTCGGACCAGCTGAGCACGCTCTCTTCCTCCCAGCCGCCGCCGGGGGCCACCGCCGCCTCCAGGGGGCCTAGAGCGAACAGGGGGACCGGCAGCAGCACAGGCGGCAGCTCAGGCTCCAGCTCGCCGGCCTCTGGTCTGTTTCGTGGGTCTCCCACGGCGTGCTCATCCGGGGACAGCAACACCTGCTTCTCCAACACCTGCGCGCCGAAATTGACACCGCGGATCACCTCCCAGACAGAGCAAGTAGTGCATGTGCAACATTTCTCAATCCAACCTCTCTAGAGTCAAGAAGAAGAAGTAGATCCCTTTGACAGCAACATTACGTGGAAGGCTGTAGATTGCAGAGAGGAGACCAGGTTGCACAGTGCAGTCACAATAGGGCAAGGCAGCTCAAGAAATGTGTTGTAGCATATCAAAGCAGTGGGGCCCACCTCAGATAAGTGCCTGTTCTCCAGTTCCAGCGGTGGCGGCCCCAGGGAGATGTCTGAGATGTCAGGCAGCCCCTGCCGGGCAAACTCCATGCCCATGGTGAGGCTAGCCTCCTGCGTGCAACATCACCAACCTCACACACATTTCTACCACAGGATATTTCCTATGCGTTCCACGCCCACAGATGGGCCCCACAGTGACCAAGTCAAGGCATTGGACAGACCCATCATCTTGACCACTGCGAAAACAGTGTGATGTCCATGGATGGACAGGGATTGTATTTACCTCCTGCTGCAAGGCTGCAAGCTCAGTAGCGTCCGAGACATCCCATGCGCTGAAGTCCGGGTGCTCAGGGTACACATGCGTGTACAGATCCTCGCACAAGTCCCGGCACCCATACGCGTCCAGCTTATCAAAGTCACAGCCATACTGCGCTGCTATCTCCGTGATGCGAGCCTGCAATCATGAAGTACCAGTCAGCGTGCCATCCCGCACTTCCACTCTGGTCACTGCTCGGCAAACAACAGAGGCAAAAGTCCTCTGTCCTTGAGAGGGATCCCTAGATATCCCCCCGGCCGTGCGGAAACCAAAGATATGAAGCATGCTGCGTCAGTCCAGCATTTCTCATTGCAGATGAGCGCAGGGGAGGACCTGGATCAGTTGGTCCATGGCGGTGATGGCTTCCATTTCCAGCTGCAGGTCCAGCTCACCCGGCATGGGCTCGTCCGGGGGCGGCGGCGGCACTTCATCATCCTCCACTTCCTGCCAGCACATTGAAGCCAAAATTCACAATGTTCCCAAACTTCAAAACAGACAGAGTATATTATTCTTCTGATGAACAAGGGTCCACAAGCATGAGTATCGCCGGGAAGACAGGCTATCCTGTATCAATGCAGTATGCTCAAGTTATACACAGCACCTGGAGCTCTGCTGGTGCGGGAGATGCCTCCCTGTACCGCTGAGGTGGCGTGCGACTGCGCCTCCTGGACGGCTGGGTAGCACGAGCCTGCGTAGGCACTGTGGTTAAGGCTCCATTGAAGCAGACACGCCTGGAAACAGTGGATTTTTGCGGACCAGTACTATAAATCTAAGCTTCTTGCATGCAATACACAGATGAGTACCGCTGCGCCATTGCTTGTAACATTGGAGCGTTCTGTGTTTTTTATGTAGTCTCCACAAAACTGCAAGAACATTTTTGAATCAAAATCAAGATGGGAGAGACTCACAGGTTTGGAGGGGATGGGGGAGCGGGATGGCTGTCTAGTGGGAGACCTCCTCCGTGAAGGGTGATAATGCGGTGTGTACCGCCGGTCTGGCGAGGTCCTGCGCATGCCACAGCTGCTTCACTTTAAGCTAACACTGATTGTGCCACCATGCGCTAAATTTGCATCACAACGGTTCAAGATGTGTACCTATGTCCCTGATACTCATCCCTCGGCAGTAGAAAGGTGGAGATGAGGCCTACCTGACAGACTGATAGCGGCTTCGCTCTCGCGACCTCGACCGCGTTCGCGATCGGCGGTGCCATCTCCTGTGCTTAGAATGCCTGCAGCAGACACCATCGAATTTTACAGAGCATCCACATGTGGTTCCGTTTTTCTCCAATGCTTGCATTGGGCAAAAGAGCATGGTGGCACGCCATCACCAGAGACAATCAATCGACGCTGCTTGTCAGCAAAGGGGCCAGGAGGGTCCCCTCACGAGGCCCTTCCTGTGAAGGCCCTGCCTGGCCCTGCGCAGGTGTGAGCTGTGAGGGGAGAAAAACGTGAGGGAGGGGTCAGGTGAGGCATGCCTGTAGGGGCTGCGGCTGCGCTGGCGGCTGCGCATGCGATCCCGCCGCCGGGCAGGCGAAAGGCTGACGGGAGAGCGTGTGTCACGCGCGCGCGAGCGCCGATAGTCAGTGCTCCGCCTGCCTACCCTGGGAGACTCGCTGCCGTCCCTGTCGAGCGCATGGGACACATTGTTCATGAAACACCCAGATCCTTTCTGCCATCCTTGGACACCAGAAGTGGAGCAGGACTATCATTGCTCAGAGAACAAAGAGGAAGAAATAATGAAGGCAGTCTCATTTGCCAACAGCGCCACATGCCTGCGCATAAGATGGCAATCACAAATATGCTGGGGTCTGCAGGCAGCCAGGCCAGGCCGCACCTGCCGCTAGTGCTGGTGGCCTCTGCGCTGGAGGTCCTGCTGCTGCTGGGGGATCTGCTGCTGCTGTCTTCAGAACTGCTGCTGCTGGTGCTCACACTCCGCTTCTTCTTGTCCCGGCTCCGCCTCTTCGACGGTGTCGGCTGCGGCTGGCTCCCAGAAGGCACCTGGGGAGTCCCCTGCCGCGAAGCACCTGCATTGAGCGCATGTCCCTTTACATCTCATACTCTGATCCATCTAGCTGGTTTTGAAGCCATACAGAATATCAGCGTTTCATGCTTTCTCATTCGGAAGTAGTTGCAATAACAAACCTTGTGAAGGTTTGTCTTGCGATGGGGGCTCTGTGGAGTCATCCCACATTCGCCGCCGGCGCTCCGGCTTGCGTTCATCCTCCGGGGGGGCACCGCCATTCTGCCGGGGAGCAGGGGCGGCGTTGTCAGTTGTGCTGGGTTCTGGCGGAGGAGTGGCAGCCTTCTGAGGCTGCGGTACAGGGGCTGGAGAGCGGGTGGAGGACAAATTGGACAAGGATGACAGACCATCCCTGCGCTTCAGGGTCATCATGATTGGAGGGTTGCTCTTCAGGAAGGCCGGCCTGCATTTCATACAACCTGCCTCAGAATAAGGGCAAGGACAGCGAGCATGCACGAGAGGTTGGTCCAATTTCCAGATCAGAACGCGACTGCATATCAATATTTACTTGCAACATCACCTGGCCTGGCCCATGGGTGACGAGTGCCGGGAGTTGCCTGCTGGCGAGGGACCAGCTGATATTACTGCTGTCAGCACAGGAGGCGCAGCAGCGTTCCGACTGGGGCCTGGCGGAGCCTCCCCTTGACCACTTGCGGCCGCCTGCTCCGGCACAGGCTGAAGCGGTGGCTGGCTTGGCTTCTGATCCTGGATTGCCTGGGGCCCTGCTGGATCCTTATGATCCCCATTTGCCACGGCATGCTTCTCTTCGGCAACCTCCATACCAACGTCCTCAGCAGGTGGATTGACCCCAGAAGTGCCCGGCTCGGCCACTGGCCCATCTGCACACAAATCTATCACTCAATGGAGGAAGTAGATTGCAGCACTGAAATGATGCATCGCCAAGGCGCACAAGTGTCACTCATATTGCAGCACGCATCAGCACTCAGCAACATTAAGGATTGCAGTGTGGACCTGGGGGAGCCGGGGGGGCCTCAGCAGGCAGCGGTGGTGCTGCAAGGGGGGCGTCAGAAGGGGGAGGCAGTGGAGGGGCCTCCCCCTGCTGCATCTGGGCTACCTGCTGCATCTGCATCTGCGCCTGCTGCTGCATCTGCGCGTCCTGCTGCCATGGCAACACTTGTCCTGGCATGTCCAGGGGCGGCTGCTGCCATGGGTGGGCCGCCGCAGGCTGCTGCTGTTGCTGCCACACAGCACCTGCGGGCGTTGGGGGCGTCACAACAGAATACGTGCAGGCACACATTCACCTCAAAATTGCGATTTGCATAAAGACAGGCTAAATGTGCTCTACAGCAAGCGCCACATTCCTGGCATGATGGCGGGAGTGATTGCCACGCACCTGGTGGAAACACGGGTGAGGGAGCCGCTTCTGCTGGAGGCCATGCAGCCTGAGCTGGTGGATATGCGTATGGCGGTCCAGCACCTGCCATACAGTCCAACATTCTCAGGCGCCACTGTGTGGATGCCTGGCAACATGGGATCCATAATCCCAACACCGCTTCTCTCACGAGCAGCTGCAGCGACTAAGTGCAACCATGCGCAGGTTGCAGCAATCCCAGAGCAGGTGACAGGCACCTGGACGGGCCATGTAACCCCAGGGCTGTCCCTGCATCGGCGGAAGCCCCTGCATCGGGGGCTGCCCCTGCATGGGAGCTACAGGATGCCCATATGGCCCTCCAAGTGGCCCTTCCGGCACCCAGTGCCCACCAGGACCATACTGTGCTGCACGCCCTCCCTCCTGGTAATGAGGGTACCTGGCATTGAAGCAGCTGTCTATTTCAAGATCGCATGAAGGTCGAGAAGACCAATGATTTTCTGACAGCCATGGATGGGTGCTTGACCACGCCATAGAGGAGAATTTGCAACGCACTGACGAGCGATTGTCTTGCGAGCAGTCTGAAAAATTCTGGTTTTATGTGACCATTCGTCATCTCTGGGAAGGCCATGATGGCGCTTCTCATCTGCTCTTCTGTTCTGCATTAGCTAGATTTTGTCTGTCCAGATAGGAATGGTACCTGCAAATCATATGTCATGCATCAAATTGCACGTGATAAGATGACACACTGACAAGGCAATGTTAAGAGTCCAGACACCCCACCTCATAGCGAGGGGAAAATGCCTCCATCTGCACACACAGCCATAAAGAGTCCGGCATTTGAGGTAAGCAGGCTTGCGAGACACGTCCAATGTGCATCTCAATACACAGATAATGATATAGATGAGACCTTTGCAATATGCTCGGCTTGATCCAGAAGTTCAGGCCCAACGAGGAAGCCAAGCCTATGCCAGTCTTGTCACCCAACGTAACCTGCTTGGGCAGCAGTAAGAAGCCAAACCTAGATAGGACAGACCGGGACACCAACTTGCAATTGATCAGTAGGAGCTCGGATTCCGATTGGACTGCTTATACATACGTGGTGTTCTGTAGCATTTTTCGGGCACTCTGTTTTTTCTGTCGAAGATCGGTGATCATCAAGTGCGTAAACGTGGAGTTTCGTTGGAATTACTGAAGCTCACTTCGCTACTGCGATATAAGAAGCCAAATTTGGTTTGATGTCACGCTTGGCATGACGAGTGCGCGCTTTTTAGATATCCAAGAATAGTTGCTGTCCTCCGCTGGGAAAGCTGCAAGGCATGGCTGGAGAATTTAGGAGGCTCCCTGACATCGAGTTAACTTCCGATGAATGGAGTGCGCCGCCTCCTTTAGGTCCTGATGGAGTCCGTTATGGACAGCTGAGGAATGGCCTGAGGTGAACTCTTGCCTAGCCGTTCCTTGAACATCAAGCCTATCAAACAAGCTGACAGAAGAGTTCCTGCGTCCCAGATCATGCGATCCGTGTACGGTACTTTTCTTGTTACTTGGATGATTTGTCAATGTTTCTCCCAGTAGTTTCACCAGTGTAGCCAAAATGGTTGCAACACTTTCAAGATTCAAGCCTTTCTCACGCCCTGGTCGACTCGTGCTACAGGTACTATGTCTGCGCAACCACAAAGCCCAAGCAACGAGCTGCGCTTGCGCTGGTGGTTAGGATTGGGAGTGTTGTCGAAGAGGATCATGAGCGTGGCCTGGCGCACATTGTGGAGCACCTGTAAGAAAATCAGAGCAACTGCATTGGCAGCTTGATCAGAGCAAGCAGTCATCCACGTAAGTTGTTACATTTGACACCAATGCCAACATCGCAGGGCGTTCAATGCTACTGATGCGTTCCAGTCCCATGACATTGTCAAATTCCTGGAGTCCATTGGAGCCAAGTTTGGGGCATGCCAGAATGCGTACACGACAGTGGATGAGACGGTGTATGAGCTGACAGTGCCCAGCGATGATCCAAAGCTTCTGGGGCAGGCCTTCTCTGTCCTGGCACAATTTGCCGCGGCTGTGAGGTGAGCATGCATCTGCAGGATGCAGATCCCTCCCTTCAAGCAATTATCCTTCTTCTAATTTTTCTGCCTGGTATTGTTCATGGCGCAATGATCGTGTACTGCAAACTTGCAGATGCTCACCAGAGGACCTACAAAAAGAACGCGGTCCTGTGCTGGAGGAGTGGCGCATGGGGAAGGACTCGATGGGACGCGCTCAGGAGGTTCACTGGGAGCTCATTCTGCGGGGATCCAAGGTGTGAAGCCGGCACATGCATCTGCATGACAGGTCAATCGTCCGCATTTGCAGAGTGCATGTGCCTTTCTCGGGCATCAGAGTTTGCTGATCCCATGTTGTGCACAATTGTGGCGCAGTATGCAGAGAGGTTGCCCATTGGGCTGAAGGACATCATCCAGGGGGTGCCCGCGGATGTGGTGCGCAGCTTCTATGAGCGCTGGTATCGGCCAGAGCACCAGGCTGTTGTGGTCACCGGTGACTTTGACCCCGACGCAGTCGTGGCAATGCTCACAGAGAAGCTGGAGGGCTGCCAATCGCGTGAAACAACCCCAGCACCTGCCATCCCCAGGTCATCTTTCCCTCCCAGCTTCTTTTTTTAGGATTGACCTCCCACCATGCGTGTGGAGCAAATAGCAAGCCCTCTGGGTGCCTGAACCTACATGTTTGCACTGTGCTTGCAGGTATCCACTGGTGCCACACAATCAGCCTCGCTTCAAGGTTTTCATAGACAAGGAGGCGCAGCAATCGCTCGTGCATGTGTCTTTCAAAACAGAGACCGCCCCGGTCACCACACCAGCACAGTATCTCAGCAGCCTGAGGGAGGACCTGTTCCACACTGCCATGAACTCCCGATTCTTTCGGATAGGACGGCGGCAAAACCCGCCTTTCTACAATGCACAGGTACACAGATTGTATTCCTGTCCAATTTCCGGTGTGTTACCAGAATAAGTCAACAGGTCAACCCAAAGCAGCCAGGGGAAGTGTGCCGATTCTGCCTTTGTGGATGATGGTGAAAGTCTCTGATAGTGTGTCTTGCTGCAATGCAGATTGGAACAGAGCAAATAACTGCAACCATACGGAGCATTGTGCTGACAGCAAGCACTCAGGAGAAAAATACATCTCGCGCACTTGAGGTTCTCTATTCTTCTCCTGATCGCAAGTTACTTGTGCTGTGGCATAGCCTCATGCAGTGGTAGCCAGTGACCTTTGCCATCTGCTGACTTGTGTATGCCCATGCGCAGGCAATTTTGTCAGAGCTTGCGAGTGTGAGAATCCATGGCCTGTCCAAGCGTGAGATCAGGTCTGCCATTGACTTTCACATGTCAGATGCAGAGTCGCTGTTCATAGAGCGACATCAGGTGTATGCTGAGGTGAGCACATACCTTAGATTTACCTCTGGAGCACATTTGCACCATGCATGCAAGTACTTCTCCATACCTGCCATGTCAGCATGTCATCATATCAAAGTTGTCAGATTTGTTCCTGTGGCATCGGCAGGAGCTGCGCGGAGAGTATGTGAGGCATTTCTTGAATGGGGAGTTTGTGGTGGACCGAAAGAGGGAGGCCCACCTGTGCAAGTCCATGCTCAATAAGATCAGCAGGGAAGACGGGCATGCTTTCCAGGAGCTGGCCCACAAGTGCTGCAGCACGTCCAACATGGTTGTCAAAACTACATCCCACCGCAGGTCTCTTTCTCATCACACAACAAATTGCTTGACAACCTCTCACAGGACACTGCATTCATTCGCTTATCTGCTTGACTGAGTCAGTAATCTCTAGCAGTGTTTAATACTCGCTCATTGGCTACGGTGGCATGCGGGAGTTGAAGAGGAAGGGCAACTGCAGGGTGGTGACTGAGGAGGACCTGGCAGATGTGGTGGCCCGGGTGGACAGGGCTGAAGCAAATGGAGAGATCAAGGCACCTGACATGCTGGCCGATGCACCAACCTCCGTCATTCCCCCAGGCAAAGAGCCGCAGGCCGGCGAGATCGTGCACAGGTGCATACAATGCCTCCATTCCGCAGACATCGGACACGTGCCTTTCAGAGAGTCTCTGGTGTGTGCATGAAGTCTGAGTCTACATCGCTGCTTCTGTCTTGCAGGCGCCAATTCCCGAAGCTTGGCGCGATAGAGCTGGTACTCAGCAATGGCATGAAGGTATGCCATGCTGACATCGTGTCTGGCTATGTCTGGCTAATCCCGGACAAAGTCTAATGAGAAAAGCTGTAAAATCTTTCCTAACACATCATGGCTCCTGTTGTCTTCTTGCTGTGTGAGTTCCAACTGCTTTTTCCACATGAAGGGCAATTCTGTGTCTGTGCAGGTGTGTTACAAGTGCACAGACCTGCTCGATGACCAGATCCTTTGCACAGGCCTTGCTCCCGGGGGCCTTACAGAGGTGGGTCAGGATGAGTACCGAACAGCCTCATTCGGCGCCACCCTCGCTCAGGAGATGGGCCTCTTTGGCATCAAGCCCGAGGTAACAGTGTCTGCATGTCCTCACCTACTGCAGATGATGGAACACATGGGATGCTTCTCTACCTTCCAATCCCATGTGCGCTGATGCTACGCTGGATATGCTGATCTCACAAGATATTCTGGAAGTTGAAAGATGGCATGGGCGTCTTCTGCAGTGCACATGTGTTCCATCGCAGAAAGCGCCTGGACTCTATGAAGAGGCTGCAATAGCTTGGTGGCCTGAACAGGCCATTGCCATCACGTGCAGGTTGAGATGGACCTGCTGACGGGCAAGCGGTGCGGCATCAATGTCCAGGAGGGCGCGTACTGGCGCAGCATCGGCGGAGAGCAGGCGCCCGTGGACCTGGAGACGGGCCTGCAGCTCATCTACGCCCTCTTCACCACCGCCGTCACCCCCGTGCCTGCCGAGCTCGACACCTGCATGCAGTGCGCGCCCATACTGCCTGCTCTCACAAGTTCATCAGCTATGCATTTTTCCTGGTTTCCTTCACGTTGCATTGTGCACGCCACCCAGCATTCATCCCAAGACTGCAATGGAAGCATGGTAGTGACAATGGCATACACTGCATCTCTGAAAGCTTTCCTGTTCAGATAAAGCAAAGGTAAACCGACATTGTGAGTAACAATTTTGTATTTGCAATTGGGATCTCTTAGCATCCTGCCTTTCCTACCAGGTGCGTTCATGTTTAGCGGGTCAAGCTGGCACCTCAGATTCCAGAATGATGCTATCTCTGGGGTCAGAGTACAGAACTCCAAAAAGTGATGCGCGGGTGCAGGTACCTGCGAGAGGTGACTTTGGCGCAGCTGCGCAACCCGATGCGGCGGTTTGCGGACCGTGTGCGCCAGCTCATCTTCCAGGACTGCTACTTCTACCGCCCCTTCTCTCTGCGCGACCTCGCCCGCGTGGACCCCCACGCCGCCTGCGCCCACTTCAACCGCTCGTTCTGCAACCCCGCCGAGTTCTCCATCTGCTTCACCGGCAGCCTCAAGGTCAGCACACCCCTTCTATTTAGTGGATCCAAGCCCGTAGCTCTTGCTGGCCTCTCGAGCCTATCTGGTTATTGCCGTGTAGTGATTTTTTGCCCGGCTCCCATCCAGGTTTGCTGATACAATGCTCAGGTTTGCTGATACAATGCTTCTGATTCATCAAGAGGCCGCACACACAATAAATAATATGGTATCCCAGTGTTTGAGGCTGCAACTGCAGCAGATCACCACTTTGGGCTTTGCTGCCCTAGTGCATGTGGCTGCTGTTTGCATGGCAGCGAGGGTCTTGCTTGGATGTGTGGCCAATGTATGGCAATGCATGGGCAGGCGGATGAGTTTGAGGAGCTGGTGAAGAAGTACCTGGCAGCCATTCCCCCCGCTGACAGCACCTGCCCCGCTCCAAAGTCACCAGACAAGCTGAAGCCGCTGGAGTTCCAGTTTCCAGATGGGGTTCTACGTGAGGATGTGCGGTGAGCATCTGCTGCCAACACCAAGATGCAGTGGTCCACCTTTGGATATGCTGCCCTAGTGTTCTTGTTGATATAGAATGTACTCTTGTCAAAGGTTCCTGCATAGTCCCGGAATGCACAAGCTTCAAGCTACTGTAGTACTGACGTAATAGTGGTGTGGTGCTGCAGGGTGAGCATGGTGGAGAACATGTCACAGGCGCTCATTGCCTTCCCAGCCAGGCTGGCAATTGCCACCACAGACGGCCTGCCCTGCGGCAATGAGGCTGTCTGGCTCTTCCTGGTCTGCAAGCTGCTGGAGACCAAGCTCATGCAGAAGCTGCGCTTTGAGTTTGGAGAGGTGACTTTTCATCACCCTTCCTGCTTGGAACCGCAAAATTTTGACTGAATCGTATTGCCCTGGCCTGCGGGTCTGCTTTCCTCTTCTCTATGGGGCACTGCATGGTGAATGTGGCTTACTCATTATGAGAGGATAACATTTACAAATACAAGGGTGTTGAAACAAAGGTAGAATGCAAGACATGCAAGGCAGTGCGAGCGCCAAGAATGGAGCAAGGGCTGCCTTGCGGGATAAGTACCAGCGCATCGACAAAAGAAACATCTCCTGGCCCAGGAGCAGAAACGAGCACTCTGTGTAATCCATAATCACTTTGTGTAGCATATAATCACCCCAATGTTTACTCGCATGTGAGCGCAGGTGTACACAGTGGCTGTGGCGCCCTCGTTCAGCGGTGAGGCACCGTGCAGCTCCAAGGGGTACAGCGATGGAGACGTGGCCATCACCTTCAGCTGCGACCCCGACAATGCGCAGCGCCTCATCGAGATGGCCCTGTCCGAGATGCACCGCCTGCAGGTGCTGCCACACGTTGCTCCTTCTGTCAGCTGGAAGTCTGACTTCTTTGTGCCATCTGAAATGAGCTAACAACCGCATAGATTACTCTGCAACGCACCACCGTGTTGTGTTGACTAGCCTTACACAAGGTGCTGAAGATACCATCTAGCATTTCACTGCATTGTTGAGCCACATCAGGGGTGGGTAGACAGTCCATACAGTTCCTGCACCCGCCTCTCAGATATCTCGTGGAAGTAATTAGTCAGGGTGGATGATGGGCTGATGTGGGGTGCGTTGGCGGCAGGAGGAGGGCCCTAGCGAGGAGGATGTGAAGACTGTGCTGGTGCTGGACCAGCGCTCATGGGAGACAGAGCAGCAGGAGAACTCCTTCTGGCACAACAATCTCGTGTCCTGCTACAAGTCCAGGACGTACCACCTGGTGACTGCCCTCCCCCTGCCTTGCACCATGGTCTCGTTGGGTGACAGCCCTCGCCTGCCGAGCAACAGACAGTGCCATCACCGTCGCATGCAGGATCAGACAGGCCTCTGAGGTGCACAGCAAAAGAGCAATGTCTCTCAGTGCAGCAGTCCCAAAGATGACAGGTGTCTAGCTTAATCCGCTCACCAGGGGCCGCACATGAAGCGCAGGGACAGCCTGATCAGTTCGGGGACCTCAGCACGGGCTCGGACGCAGTGGGATCACATCGATACGCAGCGGGTAGCAATCTACCAGCTGGCGAGGAAAGTGCAGGGGAATGTTGACATGAGATTGATGCTGGTGGCGCAGTGCAATGACATGGACGTGGCGTACACGCGGCGGGTTGAGGCGAGGGAGGCGGTGCAAGCGGCGGCGGATCCGGCGAGTGTGCAGGCCGCGCTGTGTCGCCTATTCCCCATGCCCTGCCATTCGCGCTACGTGGCTCTCACACTGCTGCCCCAGAAGCCCCTGCTCAGCCGCATGGTGTGACGCCTGAACCTTGGTCTCTACAATTGATGCAAGTGATCCTGAAACGAATGATTGCCTGTCAAGAACACATGCAGCAAGTGAGACCTCCTTGTCTGGGCAAGTGAAAGACACTTTTTGGTCATGCCATCTCCTGTTGCCTGCCTTGTTGGCATGTGATTTTGATAATAAGATGAAGTTTCTGGCTTGCCACAGCTGCCCACTTGGCTGGACAAGCTGTCGAAATGGAGTCATTGTCAAAGTTTGGGGCCTTCTAGTTACTCGTGGAAGGTTTTCACAAGCACGATAAGAATTGCCTCGCTCTGAGGTCATTGTGCATGTGCAGGTGGACACAACAAAGAGCCTTCTGCCGAGCAGAGAGCGCTCGCGTGCGTACTGGATAACAACAGCCACGGTCATAGCTGTAGCAGCAGTTGTACTTCTGCGCCACCGCTGAGCAGGCTTTGAAGCTACTCTGCGTTCTGAATGAGGCTCTATGCTGTGCATCTGCATGCACAGACATGCGAGCCTGCTGCAAGTGAGACTTGCAGCTCAGACAGTGGAAGTAGCACTTCAAAGTATTTGTGTAAACGTAGTGCACGTGTTGCGTTCACTAGCTCCTCGTGGACTTGAATGCTTTCAATCAGCAATTGAACGGGAGTCTTGTAGAGTGCTGGCAAAGATTCAATTGGGAACAGCGCAGAGGGGCAGCCATGCTGCCACCTGAGCAGAGCTTTCTTGGATACTCTTCCGTGTTCTAGACCTTCCTCAGAAGGCGGCGATATACAGAAGAACCGCGCTGTAGATGTGCACATGTTGCTCTCTGACAGCTGCTGGAAACGCGCCTAGCTTGGAACACTTGCGAGGAATGAGCAACCCTTGCATCAAGAGAACCTTTTGTAAGAGCACCTCTGGCCGCTAGCGCTCTTTTGGATGAGCCTGAAGAAAATGCCCAGTGCAGGCAGGAAGACATTGCCATTAGCCGTTGCCTAAGTTGCAAGTCTTTCAAGGTTTGTATTTCATGTCGCATGAAGAAGAGTCTGTATTTAATAGACTCTGTAACATATGTGTGCTGTCCCAAGAATACAGATCTGCCAATCATACATACCGTAGTAAAGTAGATCATAGAATGCATACTATCGCTACAGCATAAACCGAATTATCAGCAAAACCCGGGTGTCCAACAGTCTTGACTGTTTGCACCTCATCAAGCTGCGAGTAATGATATTAGAGCGGCACTCACAGTTTAAACTTTGTATCCATGCCACAACTGAACAAACAGCGCTGCACTCTCCATAGACCATCTTAGATGTCTCCCGCTAAAATTTTGACCTCAAGTGTCCTCAGAGGTCCATCTCTGTACCTCAGCCTGTCACAATGCAAGGTGCAGAAGGAATTTTGCCTACCGGCTCTAGCAATCTCTTGCAAAACCCTTCAACGCAGCATCCTTACAGAGGTCATTGCTGGCGTAATAGTACAATTTAAGCTCTTCCGTCAGTGTGTTTCTGAGCACCTGCAGCAGAGCTGCGGTGTTGCTCACAGCTTGGGCTCGTCTGTTTCCTTCTCATCACCAGACGACAGACGCCACTCGTGGGGCATCCTATTCTCAGCATCCGCATCCTGCACAATCAACAGGCCATATCATGGCAACCTTATTGATCCCACACAAGCATGGCATGCACATCATTTGCGCAACAGCACTGCCACAAATGGGTCTAGGTGAAGAGGGAAGCATGAGCATGCTCGACAGCTTGAGCAAAAGAGGGATGCCCAGGAGAGAGCTGGCGTGCCTTTGCCCAGAGGTTGTTGAAGAGGACAGTGGACAGGTAGCGCTCGCCAAAGGAGGGCAGCACCACAACCACCAGCTTCCCCTTGTTCTCCGGCCGCTGCGCCACCCTGAGAGCCACAAGCCAACACACCTCAAACATACCACCCACCAGCAGTGCCCCACCATTCCAGCAAATATATCTATGGTACCTTATATACACTGCGCCACCTCACGATCCATCCTTCATCACAAGAACAGCAGAAGGAGAATTGTTGCGCTTGATATCACAAGGAGCTGTACGTCTTACTCGCGGGATTGTGCATTCTATAATTCGTTATGAGCACTCACCAATTTGTGTGCACTGTCCGAGCAAAGTCCCCGTGCAACAGGGATATGACAAAGCAGCGGGCCAAATACCCACGTGAAAGGGAGCTTATTAGCGGGCAAAGAACCCACGCAACAAGGAGATAAATAAGCAGCTGGGCTCACCGGATGGCTGCCACCACGGCTGCTCCCGAGGAAATGCCGCACAGGAGGCCCTCCTCGAGGGCCAGCCGACGCGCCATGACCACGCTGTCCTTGGATGACACCATGATGACCTCGTCCAGCATGTCCATGTCCAGCACCTTGGGCACAAAACCGGCGCCAATGCCCTGGATCTGCACGGTGACGAAGGACTCTCAGTCATGCCGAAATTAATTATTGCGAAAGGAATGCCCACTTTGTGAGCAGCAGATGCTGGAATCAAGATGGGCAAGCCCAGTCACTTTGTCTTCATCGTCGAGCGCTGAAGCATGCAGAAATGTAGGAGAAGAAAGCAAATCTGCTAGCTTTTCCTGAAGAGCACTCAGCCAGGACACCAGGTGCATGCAAATTAAGAGTAACGGGCGTGCGACACACTGCAACAGGCCAAGCACATTACCTGGTGATAGCCCGGCCTGCCGCCGGACAGCACAGGGCTCTCAGTGGGCTCCACTGCCACCAGCTGCACCTCCGGCTTCCTCTCCTGCAGGTACCTCCCCGACCCCATGATGGTGCCCCCCGTGCCCACGCCTGCACCACTCCCCACCACTGCCTCAGAACCTGGCTGTCTACCACCCTCTTCACAGTGCAGGGCCAACAATTACTTATATCAGCCACTTTCTGTCACAACAGTGCAGGATAACATGGCTGATATGAACACTTTTTTCTATTTTAATGATAAAATTATAGGGAGATGACCTGCGACGAGAATGTCCACTGTGCCGGCGGTGTCCTCCCAGATCTCCGGCCCTGTGGTGTTGTAGTGCACCTCAGGATTGGCTGGGTTCTCAAACTGCTGCAGCATGTAGGCCCCCTCTGTCCCCTCCACAATCTCCTCTGCCTTCTGAATGGCCCCTGTCATGCCCTGTGCAGGAGCAAGCCAAGTGCCCGTGAATAACAACTGCCTCTAGATGGGAAAGTAGAGATCCAAACAACATTGGTGGACAATGAATACAAGGTGCATGCCAGAGAGCATTGCGACTTGATCATGCACTGCAGCCGCTAGCATGTGGGTGTAGCTGTGCCGTACCAGCTTCCCATTCGTCAGAATGAGCTCGGCTCCGAATGCCTTCAGCAAGATCCGGCGCTCTGTTGACATGGTGTCTGGCATTGTCAGAATGAGCTTGTAGCCCCTTGCTGACGCTATGTATGCCAGGCCCACCCCTGTGTTTCCACTTGTCGGCTCCACCTGAGTATCACGAACACCCATGCATAAATTATTTAGCCACTTGACCCAGTGTCAAAAAGAAATGAGGAAAAGAGCTGTCGGATGACACAGCAAAGCAACTTGATGACAACTACCATCTATTTGAACATACCAGGATTGTCTTATCAGGCGAGATGATGCCCTGCTCCTCAGCCCTTTTTATCATGTTGTACGCAATCCGGTCCTTCACACTGCAGCAACAGATGGTGGTGAGCACAGACTAGGGCTTTTGTGCAGCACTGTGGAGCCTTTGACAGAAAGCCGTACATCTCATCGCCAGGATCAAGTACAGCAAGAGTACTGGGAAACGAACCTGCTACATGGCTCCATGAGCTCAAGCTTGCAAGCTATTTTGGCGAAGCAGCGCTCGTTCACCTTGTTGAGGTACACCTGCATCATAGTTGGCAGCTTGGCCCCACACTAGACAGAATAATTGGGACCCGAACATAGGTATGGATTTAGGTGTACCACGCGGGAGAAGAAGTTAGCTCATAGAGTGGCCAACAAGAAGCCTACCATGGGAGTGGAGCCAACCAATTGAGTCGCGTCGTCCTTGATGCCCACACGTGGGCCACCAGCCTTGACACCAACGGAGGCTGCCCCAACGACAGTGAATGGACGAACCTGTCGGGGGCCCAGGCACCTGCTTCTCAAGGCAGGAAACAAGGAAGACTGGTGCACCGATGGAATGGAAGACACTCGTGCACCTCGAGTGCCTTCATAGCGACAACAACATCGACATTTTCTGTTGCAGATCCCAGCATCCATAGTTGGTTTCAACGGGGACAGGAACAGGAGCGTGTCACTCCTCTCGGACAAGTGAATGAAACTGTGCAAGAACACAGTGCAGCCCCGCCCCGCCAAGTCACAAACAATCACCAAAGTGCCACTCGATCAGAAGCTGCAGACTGGGCGAGCAAAATTAAAGATTGAAACAATTAATCTTGCACGTGCGACGAGAAGATGCGTATTAGTCAGCAATTGCGTGGCATCGGGGTAAGAACTTAATAAGCCCTTGTTTCTGATTCAACTTCCGAAACCCCAATGCCCTTCCATGAAGTTCCATGTCTCTTTGAACAAATCTGGATGGGGCACTCTTGCTTGGTTCACGGAGGTAAATCATAGCGTAATAAGTTTTCGGGTCCCGCGGGAGGCGCTCAGTGACAGTCGAAGACCTCCAGATAAGACGGTGTCTCTTGGACTGGGAAGCCCAAGATGCCAAAAGATAATCCCTTCAGCGATAATCCCTTTAACAAATCAGAAGTAAGTCGGTTGTTCAAGTTCCAAATGATTTTTATGTTGCTATCGACGTTTGTTTCCCTTTCAGCTCTATAACCTCCATGGTCAGTCAACACTCCGCGCAATATTCCTTGGACCATATTTACCCCTCGTAACAGATAGTGTCAAAAACATTCTCATGATATGCAAAATTCGCATATCTGGCCTGAGATATTGTCCTGGTGGTACGGCAGGCGGAGAAAGTGCCTGCAGCTGCAGGTGGGAAAGGAATCCGTGGCTTTACTCTTGGATTATCACCAATGCCTGCTGAATGTACAACAATTTTGTGCAAATAAAGTTGGGATTGTGAGTTCTGAAAGGCAGAACTTTGTTAAGGAATCAAAACAGCACTTGCCCTGTGTGATTTCACTCTGAAAGATTGTGTACTTCTCTTCAGACTACGATCCCTACCAAACGGCTGCCAGCGCGTGGGGTTCCAACGGACATACGGAAAGCACGAGCACGGCATGGGGTGCAACAGGCAACAAGTCCTATGACACCTCACCTCCTGTCATCAGCATAGATCGCGCTGATGAGGTAGGACACAGCTGCTTTTCATCTGCTCTTGGCCCAGTGATAAGCATGTGTATCCTTGCATGCTCCAGACCAACACCTGCAAGATTTGTACAGATGTTCCACTGCCATGCATGACAGTGTCGCACGTTGTTGCTGAGTGTGAGAACTTCACATTTGGGGGCATGGCAGGGCAATTATGCGCGCCGAGCAGAGCAATTAGACCTCAAGGAGAAGGAGCTGCGCGCGAAGGAGGCGGAGCTGCGCAAGATGGAAGAGGGCCTGCGCGCGACTGGAGCCCTCAGGCCTGAGAAGAACTGGCCGAAGTGCTGCCCCTTCGTCCATCATGACATCGCTGGAGAGGTGCGCTGGCCGTCATCCTGGCTGTACTCTGGGAGCGTTCCGCGTTCCGCAGGCAGTGTCAATTGCTACTCATCCCTTTAGTCAGCGCCAACGCAATCAAGTCATGCTGTCATTTTGTTTGTCATCCTGGACTTCAAGAGATGAGACCCGCAATGTCAGGCATTTACAGTAAGTTGCATGCATGTCCCAGACTCGGAGTCTGAGCGCATGTGCTGCGCACGCAGATCCCAGCTTCGGAACGGGGGATGGTGAGGAGCTGCTACTTTGCCTTCCTGGGCTTCATCGTGGCGGTGCTGTACAATCTCTTTGGGTCGCTCGTGGCGCTGTGCGCGATGGGCCAGGGCAGCGGGCGGCTGCCGGCCTTCTTCCTGGCGGCCGTCTACGTCTCCGCTGGCGTTCCTGGAGCCTGGATCCTCTGGTGAGGCGCCCCGGCTGGGGACTCAATTTTCTGATTTTCGAAAATAACAAAATGAATTTTAGCGTCATGGGCCCGTGAGGCATGGGTTGACGCCTGTTCACCTCAGCTGCTGCAGTTGTAACTGCACAGTGCAGAGGTAGTCAAAGATGAAGGTAGTTGCCTGAGCACTTGCCAATCAGAGCACTCTCGAAAGGCTGAAAGGTGCAGGTGGGCATGCCTGTGACTTATGAATTACTTAAATGACTCACAACTGGGATTGTGCAGGTACATGCGGGTGTATAACGCGGCGATCAAGGACCGCGCGGTCACGTACGCGATCTTCTTCGTGTTCTTCTGCGTGCACATCATCTTCTGCGTCTGGTCCGCCGTGTCCCCGCCGCTGCCCTTCTCCAACGACTGGAGCCACACCGGCTTCATCTGCGGCATAAAGGCCTTTGGCAGCAACACATTCACCGGCATCGTCTATGTCGTCGGCGCATCCCTGTGGACCCTCGAGACCCTCTGGTCCATCTGGTGCCTCAAAGTGGTACGCACCTGCCACCTGGTCATCTTAACAGTGTGCTACGGTACCAGTACCGTTGATCATGAAAACGTGGGCAGTGTGCAAACATTGCAGGTATTCTGTAGTGTACATTGGCATATACTTCCATTTTTGAGCCCTTTCAGGCTCCAAACATACCAATGTTGCATGCTGTCCTAAAGTAGAGATTGAGTTCTAATGCAAGTGTTTCAATAAACATTTCATGGCGCTCTTTTGCTGAACGCTAGGATGGTTGTGCAGGTCTACAGCGCCTTCAGGGGCAACGGTGGCGAGCGCCGGTTGAAGCAGGAAGTGGCTGGTGCTGTGGCCACCCAGGCTGCCAGAGGCGCCACAGCCCGCGCCTGAACTCAAGCGACTGGCAGATTCTCATTCATGATGCAGAGGTGGCAAAGGGCTCTCTGATGGCCCCTGCTGCCGCTGGTGCAGTTGCGTAAATGATTGGAGAAATGGGTAGCCATAAAGGGCTTTGGGTAGCTAAAGCTCGTTCTGGGATGTTCTGCATGCTCTTGTGCGGACTGCTCTGTGTATTGGTTGGATGCCATTTCCACAAACGCGGGAAGCTTTCTGAGCAGTGATGACTAGGGTAATCTGCCAAATGGTTCTGTGTCAAAGCTGTAATGTCCCTCAGCTTATCCCCGAGTCATGGCTTTGATGCAAGTCAAGTCCATATAGTCCGTCTGTGCCTTACACATGGCATGGCCATGCTTGTGGTGCAGTGTACACATGTCTGCCGCAATCAGGCATCATGCAATGATTGAACGCAAGTTGCCCACAGTCTAAAGAGCAGCATTTGCATGACCAATCAAGCAGTAAGAGAGTAGAAAGCAAGTGGATCTTTCCAAATCATTCCTTTATGAGCAGATGTGATAAAATATCAGCAGGTGCATGCTGTGATAGGCTTGCCAGGGACATGTCAGTGAAGTGGTGCCAAATCAGACTTCTTAGCCAGCTGGAGGCAGCTTCCGAGGACGATTGGATTCACAAGAGTTTTCACAGAGACACATGCAGTAATGTAAATGGTAAACTTTCTTTAAAAAAAATTGAAGGGTGCACATAGAATACCAGATCTCGAAAATTCTTGCGAAGTTAAATGTCGGTTTGATCCCGATGCATCCAACTCACAGCAGCCCGAGCAAACAGCATTTGCTATCTCTTGCATCGCTGAAAATTCTGATATCTTCAGTCCAAAGCTTCAGATTTGCAATCACCAATCCTTACGTCCTTAACAGATTGAAGAGGTGAGTGGTTGTGGCACTGAAGCTTCTGTCTTTTGAGCTTCCACTATGTGTATATCTTCCCTAAAACAGTCTAACAGTTCATCTACTCTGCTGACGCAGATATGCAAAACCAATCATTGCAGCCTCATTGGGCGTTTACTTCATAGGAGCATTACTGACTGTTCCCTTCCGCTTGTTGGGGACCCTGGTGAGCCATGACAGCACTTATGGAGAGTTTGCATAGCGCTTAAGGGTTGCTATTCCATATTTAAACTGCACTGAATGCATGCATGCGCAGGTGCATGTGGCATCCTTCGGCTTCATTGACCGCACCTCCACTTCAACAGCCCTCAATCAATGGGTGTCTGATGCAGTTGCTCTTGTGCCTCTGCTGGTCATGCTCATCCTTCGGACAGGTAGATTCAGCATCAAGATCTGGTATGGAGCATGCGAGCTTGCATGTGGTGCTCTGCTTAAATCTATTCATGGATGATTATGCTCATGCAGCAATTCGGAGACCGCTGTACAAGACTTTGGTCCATGGCCTGAGGGACATCAACCCGCAAGCTGCAGTCACGCTCGAAGCTGCGCCACGCCTTCGCAATCCATCGAAGGCAAACACTGCTGAAAGGGTCGCGAAGACAGTCAACAGCGTGAGCGACTTCACTTTCTGCATGCCTCATGACTGCATGCCCAGCGTCCCTTCAAAGAAGAGCGCTTGTCTTGGGGATGGCAAGCACACGTCCATCAAGCTCTCCACGTGCTCCTGTGCAGGTGATGCAGCTGTTGGCTGTGGATATTCTGTTGTACATCTGGCACAAGCTGCCAGTTGTTGGTCACGTGGCAGGGCCACTGATGCAATTCCTCAGCGTGCGCGACAGCCTGGGCACGCATCGCGCGGCCGCCTTGTCAATCCTGGGGCCTCTTGCTGGACTGCTTGTGTGGCGCCCCCTGGAGCACTGGTGCTTCCAATTTGTGCGGCTGTGGAGGGCTAGCCGGGTAACCCCTTGCAATGTGGGCTTGGGCCAATACTGAGCACCATTGCCACGGTTGATTTGGTCTTGTTTGGATCTGACGAGTCCAACAAGGGGAAGAAGCCTGGCAGCCTTTCAAATGCAGCATGTCTGCAGAGGCACGTTGCCTTTCGGCAGGAAGAGCTCGCAAAAGATCGTAACAGTAATGTGGGCTTGAAGAGTGCTCTTCTGCCAATGGTAATAGTAATGTTATATATTACACAGTTGGCCAGCTGGAGGCACCCAGAACTGACTTTGTCAGCGCAGGTGTTGGGAGAGGAGCTGGTGGAGGAGTGGGTGGCTCGAACTGTGCCTCATGGGGAGCGGCATGCCTGGCTCAGGCACGAACTGCATCACATGCTATAAGAAGTAAAGTACCACTCTATTCCCCACACAGTAAGATGCAAGCAGTTCTGACTATTAGTATCAACAGTGGGCGCATGTGTTGCAGGGCCAATGGCATGACCATCACGCTGTTTGTGGCGCCTCAAGCGCTGCTCATGCAGCTGCCTTTTGTGGGGCCGCTTGTGTACCTGCCAATGCAGTCTGCCGCAGCATGGCTGCTGGATCTTCTGCTGAGGCAGCAGCCAGCAGCGGGAGAGGTTGCTGTGCCTGACCACCTCCCTTATGCGTCCCACCATGCGCCCACCAGGCCTCCGCCGATGCCCCCAGTACAGCAGTATCCCAGCCGCTCAGAGCACGGTCAGCAGCAGTTTGCTGCTTCATATCCTCAGGTTCCTGAACACCAGCAGCAGTACACCCCAGTGCAGCCATCTGCACCGCCGTTACCTTTCGCCCAGGGTGGGATCGGTCAGGACTCTGCGCAGTGGCGGCCAGGCTATCCTGCCAATTGAACATCATGGAGACAAGTCTCCTGTGAGAGGAGCCTTTGTCACTCCCTTCAACGAAAATCTGAGTATCTAAAACAGGTTAAGGGCATGGTGAGAAGGAGAAGGAAGTAGCTTAGAACAGAGTGGAATATTCAGTACACATGGTATGCAGATTGGGGTATCTGTTAAATCCACATGCAATCCGTCAAAGGGCCTCAATGCAAGAATAGGATCTATACTATACTTAGAAACATTCTGGTACGTGTATACAGTCAGAATATGGCATGTACAAAAAGAATATGATGCCGCACGCGGCATCAAACAATACAATAATCATTATAGATCAACTTCGCAGTGGCAAGTGATTGAGTTAATATGCAGATTCTTAAAAATTGGGCTTCCCGATCTGTCACAATGAAGACTTTGCTGTAACTAATGCCAGAGACGCCTCACCTCGCCCCAGAGCTCACAGCAGTGCTAAAAATTCATCACAAATTTGAGGGCCCAGCGAGTTCAGACTCTGGCAGGGTCTTTATTTCTCCATTGCCAAACAGGTAGCCACCGGTCAGAGCTTCAAGCACTCCGGAATGGCTCACAACAGCAATGCTCTGCTCTGGTCTATGCAGAAGAAATTGCCGCAACTCCTCAACGCGCTCCAGGAATACATCTGCATGACAGCCATGCTTCCCTCAAAAAATGGCCAACACGCCTGCTCACATTTGCATGATCGAGGGCAAGGCATGGGGTGCGATTTGCAACAGGTGAAGGAGGCTGAGAGCCACCTTCAGGTTCAAGTGTGACGCTTTTAAGATCCTGTTTGTCGAGTGTGTACCACCAGACCTCCTCATCCACATGCTCTGCACTGTAGTGCTGCCATTCTGTGGAGAGCCTTGACCTGCATCATTCCAGATCCCGCCTGAATAAGTTTGCTGCCTCCCACATGACGCATGTCAGTCCATTTATTCTTAAACATTAAAGGAGAGCAGACATGGATATGAGCGCCACTCACTGCAGGCAGGAGGGGGAAAGACCTTGTGAGACCAACATCGGATGACAGGTAGAGTCGCTCTCGTGCAAGTGGGTGCATAATGCGAGGGCAGCCAGTGGAGGAAGGGGGAAACGCCAGATCAGCCGTGTGTAAGGCACGCGACAAAGGGGACACGACAAGCAGTTCTGGTGCTGGTCTCAGCCCCTTCGCTTTGCTTTTGGCTTTTCGCGCTTGCTCCACACCCACATCAGTTAGGCTTGTATCAAATCTGCACACAACTTCCTGACCTTTACAGGCTGCTGCAAAGCTTGAGCTTGCCGACAATGCAGCAAATGAGGCTTGGAAGCAGCGATATCCAGTATAGTAACCTACATGAGGGGATCTTCAAAGCCGGGGCCCCCATAGGTGTGTTGAGACAAGTACACGTTCATAGCAGTCTGGCCATGGCGCATGAGATACAGTGTCTTTGCACCACTGCTTGCGCCATCGCATCTGACAGCCTGCAGCATTTGCCACCTAAGGCTGCGGTTGAGATCAATCCAAGAAGTACTAGAATACTGACTACTGGGAGTGCCAACCTGCATGCTGTACGAAGATGTTCGGGAACTGCCCTTGGGTGACAATCCTGATATGTTACCAACTTGTTTTGTACTCGCACTGCTGGCAGCAGAGAAGCCGCTTGACATCGACCTGTGATTCAGAGTTTTGGGCTTGATCAAGGAATGCAGATCAACAAGAATGGCTTTAGTGCATCGGCGCTAAGAATTCTCACGACAAACCAGAACGCAGTAATTTAATATCAATGAAAGATAGCAATGATTGAAAGGAATGTAATTGTGCTGCCCAGCAATTTCGAAATTGGCCACCTCACCACCCCCTCCGACACTCGATCTCGGAGATCCTTGGAACAACGGAGCCCAGGATTAGAAGGCCTTCAATGTTTAAATTTATAGCAAATCAGGACTCCGACACAGGATTAGAACGTAGTTATCTTCAGTCACTTTAGTAAGAACAGCAAGGCAAAAGGCCATCTTGTCGGCTGCTTTATTTATTTGTTAGTAGTGAAGGCATTCTCCTGAGATGTCCCATGCCAGTTTCCTTACAGGCGAAATGCCACACTTACATCTCGGAAGGCGTGGCATGCAGGCTTCTGTAGTGTCTCCTTGCAGCTCAAGTAACAGGTTAGGCAGTCACAGTCTCGCTGGGCCTCAGAGGGCACTTCATAGGCCCGCACCAGACTCTTTGCGCTTGAGATTGCAATGCAGAGCTGTTGCTGAGCCTCCCATAGATGCCAGCAAAGATGCAGCAGCCAAGCCCTCAGGCAATTCGTTCAGTTTGGAAGGCTTGGAAGCAGCCTACAGCGGGCGAGGAGCAGAGCAGCCGTCGACAGCTCAGGTCTACAAGCCAGCACAGGGCCAGAAATTGTATCTTCAAGGCAGGAAGAAGCCTGCGCAGGGACCAATACGGATGGCTGGAAAGGGGCGCAGGGGTGGAAAGAGGGTGGAGATCACAGAGCGTCTAAGCAAGGTGCTCACCTCGAGATGCTGGGACTTTGCAGATGACAGCACAAGTACAGCTTGCATGGCTTATGTCATATTCCAGCTCATGACTTACCATTAGCTGGGTTGTTCCAGGTGATTGCTCGGGCAGGCATTGCCTCCCGGAGGAAAGCAGAGGAGCTCATCATAGAAGGCCTCGTGAAAGTCAACGGGCAGAAGATTGTCGTCCCGCAGCACCAAGTGACTGCCGGCCAAGACAAGGTACTTGTCGCCCTTGCAGACAGATTCATCCCTTTATGCAATTTGTGTCACTGCACAATGGTAGCCTTGGAATCATGAAGTATTGTTTTCAATGACATCAAATGCCAAGATGCTCAGATTAGTTTGCGGTGATGGTGCAGATTGTGGTGGATGGCAAGGAGCTGCCTCGCACGACAGAGCTGTGGTACTTTGCAGTGAACAAGCCAAAGGGGTATCTTTGCGCAAGTGCCCCTAGCAAGGACGGCACCTCAAGACTCATCTTTGAACTCTTCGAGGTGAGTTGCATAATGAGTACCATCCGTGATCTCGACATGCTGCAGAGGATTAGGATCCTATCACTCTTTCTTGATTGTGCAGTGCAAAATTTTGATGTCCAATCTGCTGGAATCTACCAGGAATGGATGGAGACTGTCTGGAGAAGAAAATATCCGGATCCAAGGGCTGTGCCGCCTCGATTATTTACTGTGGGGCGGCTTGATGTGGCTTCCACCGGCCTCATATTTGTCACCAATGATGGTATGCTGACTCATCCTCAAACTGACACTCATCAGGTCATCAAGAGCGTTCATTCTAACCAGTGTCACCGCATGCGATAATGCGAATAATGCGATATATAATTGCATGCGAGCATTATATAGCATTTTATTTTTGGGCCAGTAGAATGCGTAAAATGCGATCCTCTCAAAAGTGCTTTTTGGGGGCCTCTAGAGTCCCTTTGAGGACTTAAGCCTGTCCCCAACCCTGTCCACACTGAGAAAAAACATTCCAAAAGAGTTTTACTTTGATTTTTCAAGAAAAACCTTCTATTCATCTGGCTATACCTACGTTTTGCCCAATAAAACAATGGCAAAACTGTTCCAAACGCATTTTATCGCATTTTTATCGCATTTTATTTTTCGCCAGTAATGCTAGCATTTTATCGCATCATATTTTGAGAATGATCGCATGCGGTGACCCTGATTCTAACCATCTTTAATTCCAGTCTTCACTGTTCACAATGGCAACTTGATGCATAAAAAAATGTTGTTGTGCAGGCATGTGGGCACAGAGCGTGCAGCACCCATCAGCGGGGATCACAAAGGAGTATGTTGTGACATGCTCAGCAGAGCCCACCAGGCGGCAGCTGGAAACCATTGCAGCCGGCTGTGAGGTGGACGGCGCATTTGTCACCCCTGTGGCAGTCGCCCCCGTGAAGGACATGGGCCAGAAGACCCGGCTGCGCATTGTTGTGGCTGAGGGCCGCAATCGCGAGGTACTGCCCATGCATGCCCTGATGTGATCAATCTATTCGCAGCATCGGGCCCTCGCCAGTCCTAGAGTCACCGCAGAGGTTTACCCTGATGAGTTGGGGCCTGTTTGATGCAGCCCATGAACAAAGTGGAGTTGCATACAGGGAAATGTTTTTATTGTTGGTGCATTCCTATTAAAACAGCGAGGAACTAATTTCTCCCTCCTCAGCGCTCGCACTGACTTATACATAAGCATTCTCTTTTGGTTTAAGAGAGCTTGGAGGGATGCCGCGGTGTTCGGAGCTGTTGCACTGGTGTGCAGGTTCGCACAATGGTGGCGGCAGCAGGCTTGGATGTGATGACTCTCAAGCGGGTGCGCATCGGGGGTTATCGCCTGCCGCGCGAGCTGGGGCTGGGTCAGATTGTGTCGCTGAAGCCGCACGAGGTCCGGCGCATCTCGGACAAGGGGGCGCAGGCCAATAATGCAACCATCAACCCCTATTTCACTGGTGTATGAGCCGGGGGCAGATGACACTTTGCTATGTGAGAGGAGTCACGTGGCCAGGAGTGCTGTGTTTGGCAGACTGCCCCTGGCCATGTAGTGTATCGAACGTCTGCTTCAAAATGCATGCCGATGAAATTCTTGATAATGGGAGGGGAACTCTTCAGATTTGTATCTGAGAGCATTGCTGTAGCCTGGAGCTTTGGCTTTGAATGGATCGAGCTTTTCTTCATCACAAGGCTAAGAATCACACACTGTGGCGGCCAATCTAATTACAGAATTATGTCGCAGTAATTGTTGTGGATAGTTGCTTTTGTGGCCAACAATACGCTCTCATAAACCTTGCCTTACTTGCTGTGCTCTCATTCTTATGGTTCTGAAGCATTTCTGACCTTCTCTGTTTCTACATACGCAAAGCTGTGCGGCAGGAACTCTGAGAAGTGCTTGTCAATCGTCCCAAAGACTCCTGTGGCAATGGCCTGAATCTCCTCTTTCTGCAGCCACACAACATCAAATTGATGTCAACATTCAGGGTACAATTCTTACATCACTGGATGCTCAGCAAAAGACAGCTTCAGACACAGATGTAACTTTTTTCCCAAAGACTAAAAAACTGTTTTCCAAAGACTCAAGGCTTTGGAATACAAGTGCCCACCTCGTCTTTCGTGAGGTCTCGGACATAGCGGGCGGGGTTGCCAGCCCAGAGCTGCCCTGAGGGCACCAAGCGGCCAGGCGGCAGCACAGTGCCAGGAGCCAGCACGCTCTGCTTCTCCACCAGAGACCCCTCCATCAAGATACTCCGGTCGCCGATGATACACTCATTCTCCACCGTGGCTGACCTCAACAGGCATCCCTGCCCGATGGTCACATACCTGCCGATGGTGGTTGACGCAGGTAGCCCTGTGGGGGACGTCCTGGAACACCAGGAGTCGAGCTTTGATCACTGTATCTAAAGGGATAGCACAGCTTCAGGCCGGCAAGCAATGAAGGACAGAAGGCATTGCTAGAACTGCCTGGCAGGATAGTGGAGAGCTGACCTGGCTGCATGGAGAATGGATTTGTCCTGGATGTTTGAGTATGCCCCAATGCGGATTGCATTCAGGTCGCCTCTCAAGATCGCCCCATACCAGATGCTCACCTGCAGTCCGCATTTTGATCATCATACAACCCTAAGGCCTGCAAGCCAAGCTTGCACAGCAAGTCAAGGCTGCAAGACAATCTCCTTTCATGGGAGCAAATTTTATGCAGAGTGACCATAATGAATTCTTCTCAAATCACCCAATTTCAGAATGGCTTATGTCACAGTTCTCTGTATATTGTATTGAACAATGGAGGAATTAGCGATCATCAAAGGCCACTATGACTAGATCAGCTGCACTTGAGAGGTGCAACCTGCCATGAATGGTGGAGAGGGGCCACAAGCAGGATAGTGATATGAACGAAACGTCCCTGTCGACCTCACCATTGCACCTTTACTGCTTTTGGGGCACTGTACCTACAAGTTTCCCCAATTCTCACCTGATCAAATATATCCACGTCTCCAATAATCACTGCATTTGGCGCCACCCAAGCATCAGGCGCAAGCACTGGCACTCTATTGCCAAGCACCAGCAGTTGTCTTTGCCTGCAATACAGCTCATCCTCTATGTGTATAGGAGCACTACATGTGCTGCTCGATGTGATAGACTTCGTCTGCTGTAAAGCTGTAGGTAGTGCTCCAAGCAAACCAGGCTCAATAGAAAGCAGGGATCTGCTGCACCACAAGTCCTGCAACCTGCTGGAGCGCCTTAAGGCCTGCCTCAAAACTGACATCGTCACAATTGAGGATAATGACCTCAATTCTTTCCTCAAACTAAGAAAGAAGCCATCCCTTGTGCCTGTGTGGGAAAACGGACGTGAAGTTCTTTCCAGGGCAAACCTCCAAAGCCAGTCCCGTAACGCCATTTCACACAACGGTTGCGAGTTTTCCGCCGATGACCGTAATTCGAGCCATCCATGTGGAATGGCTTTCCTTCCTAATCAATGGGCAAGACGGTGCATATGGGCCTGTACACTCAATCGATTAATTCGAAAATGCAATCCACCGCGTATCTCTAGGGGCATTCCGGCTCTGAAGGATGACGTGCTGCTCATGCGGCAGCAGCCAAGGTGAGCACAACCTGTATTTCACTCAATTCTGATTGAACAAGATAGCCACTTTGTTATTAGCAGTAAGCAAGGTGAGCCAAAGGCCATCTATGCAGAGATAATTACCTTCTGAGATCCACCTTTGCTCAGAGGACAGTCCCTCTGCAATATCAATGCAGCCTATGCCAATAGGCGCCCCACATACTGCAGTGCTTTGTCCTGTGCTCACGCACAGTCTTTGACGAACCTTCTGTTGATGCTGGGGTACAAGTTGATCAACGGACAGAAAGTTGACGCGCACTAGACAAAAAATAATAACAGACCAGCGATTTTAATCAGGCTAGTGTCCCCGCGTAACAGGTACCTTTGGGAGCAAAATTACCTGGCATTCAGATCCTCACCACCTGACCCATCACAGCAGAGTCTCATGTTTCAGGCCAGTATTGAGTCAGCAGAGACAGCAGCACAGCCTTCAGAGGGACTTGCAGATAAGCAAGACCAATGGCGGCCAGCTTGCAGAATACCGGCAGCAGGGCAGACATCGCCACAGGTGGCGAGCTGCGGGAACAGCTGGCAATGCTACAGCCATGCCAAATGATGACAGAGCCCAGACCGGATTGCAGAAAGCTCTATCATTCATCCAGGCGCAATTTCTACCCCTGGCGCTGCTTGCAGCTATGATTGTCGGGTGAGTTTGAACCCCTGTGCTACACTAGTCACCAATCACGAATGTCCATTTCACAGTGACATCTGGCCCAGCACCTTATCCCTTTGTGTCATTAAGATAGACAGTGAAAGCCTGGCCATAGGACCAGTGAGCATCAGGTGGCTCCCAACAGGTCTCTACAATAATAGTAATACCAATAATAATAATAACCTTATCGAAGCAATGATCAGGTATTCAAGAGATTTATCTTAGGCTTCCAGGTACTTGTTTCCGGGCCCGGGTTTGAGGGCGGCGGATGCGGGCCTGCAGAGCCTGACAACTACAGGCATCTTCATCATCTCCGGGCTGGGCCTGCGCCGCGGCGAGGCGCTGCGCGCGCTGTCGGCCTGGGGCGCCATCCTGTACGGATTTGCTTCTATATTGTTCATCACCCCTCTTGCAGCGCTGGCTGTGCTGCGGCTGCCCCTGGGCTCGCCCGAGCTCGCCTTTGGCCTGGCCGTCTTCTGCTGCATGCCCACCACGCTCTCCAGCGGCGTGTCACTCACGCAGGCATGTCCCCGCCTGCATGCCTATCTTTCTGCTTAAGATCCATCTGCTTTTCTATACCTCTCCAAAAACTATTGCGCATCCTGGGGCGTTGCATGGGCGGCTTTGCTTGCATTCACTAGCAGGAAGGAAGTCTGGTGTGCTGCTGACCAGTTCTGACCGCTGTGTATGTCATGTCGTGCGTGACAAACCTTGAAACTTTGCCGCAGGCAGTTGGTGGAAATGCAGCGCTGGCGCTGCTGCTGACAGTGGGCACAAATCTGGTGGGCATCTTCACGATGCCCTTTATGCTGTGCTGGCTGCTGGGCGCCGGCAACTCCGCCGTGAGCCTGACCCCGGGGCCGCTGCTGCGCTCCCTCATGCGCACCATCCTCGCTCCGCTGCTCGTGGGCGCAGCCGCACGCGCCTTCGTCCCTGGTGACATCCCTGCTGTATCTCTCTACAACTTCTCGACCCTTTGCCCAAATTTGAGTCCAATTACATCGACCCTAAAATTAAAATGCTTATACCCCCTGCCCCAATTCGATTATTGCATGGCTGGGGTTTGAGATAGTTCTAAGGTGGGAATCCCATCAACTAAGCTGTAGAGAGTTACCATAAATCCAGGTGACGCCTGGCCTTGTGATTGCAACCTCCAATACAGTCCTCACCAACAGAGTAGCGTCTTCCAGGCCCGCCTTGATGCCCTGCTGATGGGTAGCACCGTGAGACCTGCTGTTTTGCCTTTTGGGGCGGCGTATGAAATTGTCAGTTCTTCCTATGTGCCAAACTCACTGCAAAAAGCAAGAAAAATGCAAGGCATGTCTTATTGGTTCTGTATTGATAGTAAGTGTGCGGGGGGATGTGCAGGTGTGGCAGGGCAGGTCGACAAGAACAAGAAGGCGCTGGCGCTGCTGAGCGCGTGCCTGCTGGCGCTGGTGCCCTGGATGCAGATCAGCCGCGCGGTGTCGTCCACCGTCGACGTCAGCCTCACCGCACTCGCCAAAGTCGTCGCCGCCGGCGTGGCAGTCCATTTGGTGTACTTGGCCTTCAACAGCGCCGCCGTGCAGCTGCTGCGCATCGGCGGACCGCCCGGCAAAGAATGTGAGTCCTCTTGGCCCCTTCCCTCCTTCTCAATCCTTCATAATACCAAAGGACCACACTGACTGTTTCATGCCCCGGTGCGTTGCCCTCCTGTGGGAAGGTGCATGTGGGGTGTACAAAGGACAAGTACTAAGGACGAGTACAAAGGACAGGGGAGGGGGACTGGTCTGGGGGCAGATCATGCAAAGTGGGCGTGACACTCACAGTGGCAGCGTGTCTGCGCAGCTGCGGGGGAGCGGCGGGCTCTGATTCTGGTGGGGAGTCAGAAGACTCTCCCCATAGCTGTGACGGTGTTGGGCCAACTGGGCTCCGTCTTGCCAGGGCCTGTGGGCATAGCAGTCGTGCCATGCGTGGTTTCCCACCTGAGCCAGATCCTCATAGACTCCTTCCTGGTGTCGCACTGGTTGCGCCAGGATGCTGACAGCCAGCAAGAGCTGAAAGGCAGAACAGCTTAGCTGCATAGTAATCAGAAGCAAGTATTATGCTGTCATTTGCACAGGCGAGGGCGTTGAAAGAGCGCTGATTCTGGTGACCAGCCAGAAGACCCTGACGGTGGCCGTGCCTGTCTTGAGCAGCCTAGCACAACATTCAGCACATACTGTCACAGCCAGCACGGCAGCACTAGCTGTCGTGCCTTGTGTATTTGTCCATTTGCTCCAGACGGTCATAGACTTTGTCATTGTTGCTCAGTGGATTAGACGGGACAGTGTCAGTGAACAAGAGGATCATTGGCCCAAGGATGCAAGAGTTGTAAAATAGCTTACAAGATTCATGTCATGACAATGTCTCATCGCTTCTTGTACAGACATGGCTTGAGGCTTGGCCATTCGAGCTGTTCCAAACTTGGTGACTCTTTATTCTCGCTTGCCTTCTGCAGCTCGAAGATCACAAAATGACTATTGCTTGTGTCCATGCTCTTCTCAGAGAAGCCTAATCCTTGAAGAGCCTTGAGGAAGGGACTAAAGTTCTCACTTTCTCCGCTTCCTTCTGAAAATCGGCTGCGGACCTGGCCACAGCAGAACAGTATTCTCAGCACTGCATGCACATAATATATTCATCCTGCATGCAATACTCATCGATGTTGCTGTTGGCAGGCATGACAGCAGTGCCTGCAGACGCACCTCAGCAATCCAAAGCAGCCCTCGGGGCTTCAGGACGCGGTGGGCCTCTATTAGAAAAGAAGGATAGTCGGTCCCCATAAGCGCCAAGCAGAAGACAGCGATGTCCACCGACGCAGTCTCTGCAGCGTGCCAAAGAATTGTTCACATAAGAAGTTCTCAACTGGGACCCTCCGATCTGTGATCTTGCACTCTACATTCATGCACAGATTACTCCAGCTAGCCAGGTGAAGCATCGCACCGCACCATGCATACATAACAACACGAAAGACAACAAACAAAAGTGCACATGACGGTCTCACCGAGGGGAGTGTGCGCCATGTTGCATGCGATGACGCCTGGCGTGGTGCTGACGAGGTCCAGGCTGTGCACCTTCTGCCGCGCCTGGGCCGCCAGCTGCGCGTCGCCGCAGCCGAAGTCGGCCACGATTGTGTTCTTGCCGTGGCCGCGCAGGTAGCGCGCCGCCACCTCCACCGGCTGCACGGGCCACTTGGTCGTCTGCTGCTGGAAGCCCTGCACCACAGCGCAGCCGATAAATTGCCAGGGGAATGAAAACCGTCACGCACAGCGCCTGCCTCAGTGTGGCATGTACGGGTGCAGCTGTGAGCGGACAGCAATTTCCAGTATTACGATCGCCAACATTTCCTCATCACATCCCTGCATGTGCATGCAGGCATTGCAATTCTACGCAGTGACATTGTCGGGTGCAGTAAATGGACTTGTTGACTGCCTTCGTGCTAACTACAGAAGGCTCCAACTTGGCTCTGACTTGGAAAGGAAGGAGTTGTGAACCTCGTGGTACTGCTTGAAGAGGTGGGGCTGCTCTTGCATGAGCTCAAGCGCCTCGTCCCCGGGGCAGGTGTACAGCTGCTCGTTGAGCCAGCGGAAGCGGCCGCCCGACAGCTTGGCGCGCATCTGCGCCAGCAGCCCGCCGTCCTTTTGCTTGCTCTTGGCGCCAGACGCACCCTGCCGGAGTTGGACAAAAGCCTGCTCTGCCACTGGCGCTGCCTTCACCTTCTGTGGCTTCATAGCAGCCTTGCTGCCATCATCCCTGCCAGCTGCGTGCCCTGATGTCTGGGCGGCGGCTCTGGCCTGAGCTGATGTCGGATGGGGTCCTGTGGGTGAGGCTGTGTTGGGCTCTGGCTGCGGCCTGCTTTGTTGCTCTCCGGTGATAGCCTGCTTCTTTCGGCGGTCCGGCTTTGGCAGGGGCACGCCATTCGGCTTGAATTTGTTCTTGCTCCTCTTCATCCTGGGCGGCTCGTCCTGCGCTGCTGCATTTGCCGCATGTTTCTCCCCCTTTTCAGCCTCGGGCGCATGGGACTCGGCACGCATCGCTGCCTTTTTCTCCTTTTTCTTTTTGGGTCTTTTGACAGCAGCTGGCTCAATGCTGTCACCCTCCTTTGCTGCAGCACCAGCAGCACCCGACTGATCACCTCCTGCCCCCATTTGAGAGGCACCTTCTGGCTTGGAAGCTTGCGTGGCAGCATCACCATTGGCGTGATGTTTCTTCCTCTTCCTCTGTTTCGGGACACTGGGCTGTTCTTCACTGCCTTCCTCTGGCCGATCAGCGGGGGCCTGCTTCCGCTTCTTGCCTTGCTTCAAAGGTGCCGTGCTCTGATTGTCTTTTGGAGGTTCTGAGCCCGCTGATGGGGCTGGATCTGCGGAATTCAACAGAAAAGATGAGCGGTGTAGGCAGCAGTGCACAACATCCTTTTCTGCTCTGGCCATATCGCTCTTGCAATGCCAGGCTAGTTGCTTGATACATTGAAGACCGGATCGCCTTTAGCAGGTACAGCACCTTTAGCACTTTCTTTAAAGGAGCTCTTGAAGCTGACTGTCCCGTGGATGAGCTTCTGCAGGAGCCTGTCTTCACCACGTTTACTATGCTTGGCTTGAACCTTGCCAGATGCCTCTAGACTAGGATACAAGGCAGATTGAGAGGAAGTAAAGTCCCAGTCTGGTACGTCAAAGGAATCCATCCCGATGACCGTTGCGCTATTTAGAAGGTGATGTGGATTGGCAACTATGACAGCTTTCGTGCTAGCTACACAAAGCCCAAGATCTTGGAGTCACAGGGTCATTCTCAGCTGCGACTTTGCCCTAGAGATCGAATGTGGGTGTCCATGATCGCCATGAAGAAAGCAGCATGCACACTTCCAACAGCCCACTCTGTGCAGTGACTTTGATTTGCCGTTTACACAGCTGGCAGAATCCGGGCGGTTGGCTGGGGGACGCGCAGCGGCGGATGCTCGCATGCAGAACATGCTGGTGCGTCGGAAACTGTGTCTCAGAGGTAAAATGGTAGATGTGTTGTAAAAAGGCACTGAGCAGCTTTGCGCGGGAGCTGAGCGGACGCCTGCTTTCAGGATGGGGAGTGCGAGATTCCGCCTGAGAGCAAGCAATTCACTAGGCTGATCCAGCACACAGAGTCTCACAAGGGTGCAAAGGTGCGTGGTGATCGTTCAAGGCAAATCAAAAGCGATCATCATAGTCTTGAGTCAGTCATCCCGGGGGATGGGCTCAAGGGCCACCGTTATGTGCCACCCACAAACACGTTTTTACGCCTTGAATGCGGCCCCATGAGCTCTTGAATGATAACATTTCGGGTTCAAAGTGTTTTGGGTGCAATTGAACATCGGCAAGACTCGGACATCCACTCCTCGTTCAACTCACGATTGTCGGCCTTATCCGATTCTCGGCTTTCCTGGGGCCCATTTGCTAGTTCTAAGGTACTATCTCAAGTCCATGTGTTCCTTAGACATGCATCGAGGTCTTACACAGGAAAATTGATGCCATTTGGGTCGCGGAACCACTACTGGCGGGTAGATGCACCGGGCTATCTTCCGCTCGTCGATTTCGAGGAATCCAGCCGTAGTATGCTCTGTCGTGCTCAAGTCAGCCGTTTCAATGCTTTAGCACTAGCTTTTGCAGGAAATCACGAACTTCTGGTGTACTATCCTTTCTATAGGGCAAGATGGGGAACCAAGAGTAAAATGGCGGGTATCCGAGGACAGGAAGCACGCTTAAGCGATTCCTGTTGCTTTGATATCCAATAGTTCCTTGAAAGGATGCCCATCGATGGTAGAGCGCCCTTGCGTGGAGCAGCCTTGGACGTTACATCCCATTCACATCCTGGTCCCACCACTCTGTCCTCGGTGACTAGCTTGTGACTGATGATTTGGTGCGTGATTAGAGGCCTTTTCAGCGCCTGATTGGATCTACCAGCCGACGTTTGTGAGGGAGGAACGCAAGGAGATTGGTCTTTGACTTAGCCCCGCAGAAATTGGCCAGCAGCTAGCACTTCTGACCAAAGGCAAGCAGCAGCTGAGAGGCCATACCTCCAGGAATGATCCCTGCTGTCTGTGCAGGCGGCTTTCTCAGGATGCCGATGCCAACCCACATCAATGGGCGGCCAGTCAAGACAGGGTCATGGATGCCAGAGGAGGATGACCTGCTAGCGGAGTGGCAAGCAAAACTTGGGAACAGGTCAGCCCAGCAGCCTTGATGCTCAACAGACACAGTGAGATGTTGCAAACATGAGACAATCTCTACAGATGCCCACATGCACCGATGAACCTTGTGTCTCCCTGGCAGGTGGTCGTCTGTTGCAAAGAAAATTCCAGGCAGAACAGGACAGCAGTGCGCGCAGCGATGGCGTCACAAGGTCTGTAACCCTGCCACCCCCCTCTTTAGCCCTTTCCCAATCAATCTGCCTTGTCCAAGCTTGCTGCATTGCATGCCTCTGGCGCCCTATTGCATTGCCATGCACCCACTCCAAGGGGACCCTTGCAGCACCCTGCCAACTCAGCAGGCACTTCACATGCTGGCAGAGGCCACTCCATGTAATAGCCGCTGCTTTGCTGGCTGACCCTCCAGCCAGGGAGGGGTCACTGTGCCAACGGCAGACGGCCACCGTACCAACGTTAGGGTCATTAGCCCGCCCAACACTGGGGAGGTGCTCGCCAATGTCAGGGCGACAGGATATGTTATGGCCTGCCCACATCGACATCGAGAAAGGAATTCGGGGCTAGGGAGCTCGGAACACTTGGAGTTTCACAAGTCGATCGAAGAAATAGACTCAAACGTGATACAAGATCCATGTACGGACCATCCCTAGTTGGACCTGCAGGTGAACCCGAACATAAAGAGGGAGAAGTGGACGGAGGAGGAGGACGAGCGGCTGCTGGAGCTGGTGGGGGTGCACGGCAACGCGTGGGCGGAGATCAGCCGCCAGCTGGAGGGGCGCACAGATCAGCAGTGCATGGGCCGCTGGAGGCGCCACCTGGACCCGGGCATCAAGCGCGTGTCGTGGGCCGCCCCCGAGGACGCCGCGCTGGCCAGCCTGCACGCGCGCCACGGCTCCCACTGGTCCGCCATCGCCAAGTCCATCGACGGCCGCACCGCCCAGCAGTGCCGCGCCAGGTGCGCCCTCTGAGCGCCTGCCAGGAAATATCATTGACATGTGAAAAGTTTGATGAGAAGTGTTTTGCAAGCTGGCTGTGAAGAATTCAAGTCACTAGAAACTGCAGGCAATTCATAGCAGCCAGCAGTGCCGCACCATGTGCGCGCTGCACGCCTGCCAGGAGCGTGAAAAGTTTGTGGAGGTTGACTTCTGAAGGTCCTATAAATTCGTGCAGCAAGTAGTACTTGTCAAGACTTCCAGGTAGGAACAAGTACACCAGCCAGCAGAGGCCACGGCCCGCTTCATGCTGCTCTGGCTGCTGCGTGGGCGCATGCGCATGATCCACACCCCTGTGCTGACACTGCTTGTTTCCACTCGCTGGAAGGTGCATCTTCAAAATGTAGCTTAGGAGCAAGGGGACAGAACTGCATGCGTGAACAGGTGGTGAGAGCGCCTGTTGCTGTGACCGGGCAGGTGGTTCCAGCTGGAGACAGGGCCTCACGATCAGACGCCGCGGGCCGCCAGGCGGGGGGCCCGGCCCAAGCGGCTGCAGTACAATGACATCGACGGCGTCAGCGATGACAGCGTTGAACTGTCAGACATTGAGGAAGGGGACGAGGAGGAAGAGGAGCAGGAGCGGGGCCAAGACAAGAATGACAAAGCAGTAGAGATCAGCGATTCGGACGACGAAGCCCCCTCCCAATTCAGCACTCCCCTCAAGACGGCCTACTCCAGGCATGCAGCTGCCCCTGGCATTTCTTGTATCTGTTATGCATCTGATGTTGCACCAGTGGGTCGAATTGCTTTGTTGTATTGAGTTTCTGGGTCAAATTGATATGCAGTGAGCGACTGGTGACCGAAGACTGTAGTCACATTGCTGGTTAGTTGTTGGGGTACCATCATGTGCACCTCTAAAGCCACAGGCGCAGAGGGGAGAGCACCTGCACAAGCAGCCTGCACTATTGGGCAACTTTGGAGTGAATCAAAGGAAGAGAGTGAGCACCCTCTGATGAACTCTGTGGAGCGGGCCTAGTGAATTCCGCATGGATGGCTAATCCTCACAACCAAATGAGCGTTGCTCACAGCCACTTCAAGCCACTTCAAATGGCCAACAGTAAGAGCTCACATAATTCATGTCCTTAGAAGCATAACGTGCGGTGTGACGCAGGGCGATGTCTGGTTCGCGCGCGTCATCGCGGCCCAACACGAGCCGCAGGGTGGGCAGCGAGCGCATGGACCGCCGCCGCGTCAGCACCGGCCGCTCCTCCAGACCCTCCAACTCCCACGCCTCCCCCGCCCCCGGTGACTGGACTATTAATAAGAAGAGAGATAGCCAGCAAACGCTGCATGTACCTACATGATGTAAGGACTGCTTGATGTGGGGGAGGATCCTCATTCTCAGCCAGGGACAAACTCACGCATTGCGTCATCAGCTGGATTCGTAATCTTTGAATCTTATGCTCCTGCCCTCTGCTCCGAGGAATCCCATTCCGGAGAGAGAATGCACCTGGGCCAAGTCTGCAATATGATACTATTCTAGATTTACACATTTGTCTTTCAGCAGCTCCACGGTTCTTGTACACCCAGAATTGCATTTATAGCCGCTGCGGTCTGCACAATGCACCGAGACAGAGTGCCATGGAATGTAATACAGACTCATGTCCCCAATTTGTGTGCAGCCGACGGTCTGGCGGCGCTGAGCGCTGCGGCGGAGGCGCAAGAAATGGAGCGGCAGCTGAGCGCGCGACTGCAGCACGACGCTGTGCACCTCGCCTCCGACGCGGCCGCCGCTTTCGGCGGCGCGGCCGAGGGCCATGTGCGCATCCCTCGCTGGCACCTGCAGACATACTGACTTCTATATTCATTTTTCCTACCTGATCTGCTGTTTGTGGCATGGCATGGGAGAGACGCCTTCGTTGGGATGCTAACTCGGTTCCATTCGTCCCAAAGAAGGCTACTGGTTATACATTGGGGCACAGCAAGCCTGCACTGCAAACTGCCAACCTTTGAGATCAATCATGAGAATGACGGGTGCAGGCTATTTTTTGTCAAGGGCTGGGCTGGCCCATAGCTTGAGCAGCTTTGCTGTTCCTCTCCAAGTGTCACCAGTCCACGAGGACTGCAGCTGTGCTGTGCATGTGAGCTTCCCATGAAGGCATGCCGTCATGGCATGCTGTGTCTAATTATATTATGTCTGGGTGGGTGCAGGTGCTGTTCAAGTCACCGGATGGGGCGTCGCCGTTGAGTGGAGACGTGCCGGCCAGCGCCAGCGACTCGGCCCGCCTCCTGCGCAAGGCATCCACGTCGCCGCTGTTCCTGTCGCCGCTGCGGCACAGCAGCCGCGCGTCGGAGCCCGAGTCCAGGATCATCAACTCATCGCAGCGGTGCACGCTCTTCCCACAGCATCCCATGTACCGCAGGAACATCTACAAAAATGCGTGCCAGTTGTAATGGGGCGCGTCTTGATTGCTGTCCAGGCATGAAAAGGCTTGTGCAGGCTACTGTGCATACACCGGGATAGCTGCCGCATGCTGCATCTAGAATACTCCAGCAAACACTTACCGAAGTTTCCGCTACAAGAGTGAATGATTACTTCCCTGTACTGAAATCTGTAAATGTGTGCATCGCGCAGGGCGTTGGACCCCTTCCAGCGGCCGGTGAGCGGCTCCAAGTCACCAGAGGACGCAGGCAGCGAGCAGGTGACGCCCGACACGACGCCTCCCCTGGGCGGCGAACCGGCCGAGGACGAGAACACGCGGCCGGCCGTGCAGCAACGCTCGCGCACACTCGCGCGCTCGACGCCCGGAGGCGGCCAGCCCGGGCCGGCGGCCGGGGACCGGTACCGGTCGCCCGGGGCGGTGTGGCGGCGGCAGCAGTCGCCCGGCGTGAATCTGCTGGCGCTGCTGCAGTCGCCGCAAGCCAAGTCTGACCTCTTCCTCAGCCCCGGCCTCAAGGTGCCTTGCGGTTCTTCCCTTCCTGCTATAGACCAACAGAGCGATGTTGAGCAAGAGCCTCTGCTGCTTGTTATTTCATTCTCTTCTTTGATGCGTTCCATACTCCCTTTCAAATATTGAGGATTTTTTAGTTTGTCATGGCTGGCAGCAGCTGATGCGCATAATAACATACGACCGTCGTGCAATGGGTGCGGGTGATTAAGAACATATTGCAGGGAATCTTATTGGCAACATTTGTGCGTGCAGCGATACAACATGGTGACACCGGAGTGGGCCAAGCGGAAATTCGCGGTGCCGGATGCGGAAGAGGGCGCGCCGCAAAGTAACAGCCATGCAGCTCCGCCGCCGCCATATAGGGAGGACGCCGACATTCCAATCGCCGGCCGCCCCCTGCACAGAGGCAACGTCGCGCGCCGCCTGGACGAGGTCTGTTCAAGTCAACTGTCCTCTCACTGTTTGTTCGTCCTGGATTGCTTTGGTCAACGAAACCATCCCTTGCATTAATGCAATCGAGTAATAAGGGTCCCATGCCTGCAAGAGAGGCGGAGGAGAAACTCTCTGGCAGAGCCATCATCTGGGGAAAGGAAGTGACAGAGGGACATTGTGAATGATTCAACACATGGCTCATTGGAAAGCATCTGACATGTGAGGATGGTGGCTGTGTGCAGGCGTTGAGGGGGCATGCTGCACTGGTGGCGGGGAGGTCACCAGGCCAGGGCCCCTCGCCGGCCCGCGCCAGGCGTCACGTGCTCATGGCAGACGGCGGTGCCGTTGACGGCTGCGCCCAAGGCGACTCCGACCTCTGCAGGTGCACAGCCCATCTCATGCATCCTTCCCGCCCTTCCAGCTGCATGCAACTATCTGTGCCTACATGTAGAGACTCGGTCTTCACATTTGCCTCTGGGGTTGCCCAGATGTGCATGAGCTGCCTTGCGGAGATGTCATAACAGACAGCTTTTTTCGGCCTTGCAGCGAAGAGCACTGCTGATAACATTTGTTGTGCTTTGTGGCCAGCCCATTGAAATGTGTGACCTTGCCAGCTGGTTTCCTATCGATCACTGACCTAGGCAAGAGACACTGCTCACACTGTGTGTTGTGCCCGCATGGCAGCCCCGCCAAGAAGTGCAAGGTGGACTCGCCGGCCCCGGACGCGATGCAGCACTCCTCGCTGCGGTCGCGCACGTGCGCTCGCACCAGCAGCAGCAACGAGATCGCCATCTTTCCCCCGGGCGGCACCTCCCTGCACTCCTCCTTCCTGCAGCGCCTGGTGCGCTTCTAATTCCCCCTATTGCATACTAACCCCCAGTCTTGTGATGATGTCACCCTGCGTCAACCCAGGTCATTGCATGTTGTTCTAGACTGCTTCAGGCTTCCTGTCTGCTCCCTGACCCCTGGAAGGGTGTTGCTAGATTTCATGGGAAATGAGCTCTAGCCTTCTGGCAGGTTTCCCATCGGGTTTGTTGCACATGATGTGAGGGGTTGTGTGCACGTGCTGTTGCAGCAAGACACGCAGCCGGCGGTCAGCACAGACACGGACGGCGGCAGCGATGGCATCAGCCGCGCATCTCAGCTGCTGCCCACCTCCGACATGGATGACTACGACTCCCTCATGCAGGTGCGCTGTGCTTCCATCTGTGCCAAGGGCAGCAAGCGCTGAAATAATGCATCTTTTGGCGCTTCTGCATGGAACGACAAGGAGCCAGCATCATGCATTCCCCTATTAGTAATTCATAAAATTTCCACGTGAAAGATGCACGATTCCTGTCATGCTGCACGACGCAGGATTTGCATGCTGCTCGCGCCAGCATGTCAGATGCACCGTCTGACGTGCGCTGATACTTTGGCGCCAACTTGTTTTTCTTGATGTTATGATCTATGCGAGAAGAACTGGCAAGGATGGGAAGCAGTAGTGTTCCTTTGACATAGCTGCTCCTCATGACAGGTGAAAATGATAACTTCTAATGCAATGCGTGCTGCGCAGGAGAGCTACGGGCACGGGCAGATAGACAAGGAGAACAGCACTTGCAACGCATTCGAGCATCTGGCGGTGGACGGGGAAGGGCATCCAATCACACCACCCCCAACCAAGATGGGCCATGCCTCAGCCGCGCGCTCGGCCGGGCCGGGTGATGTCAGCAGCACTCTGCGCAGCAGCTCTGATGTCAGGCTGGGCCTCATGGCCTTGCTGGACACCTTGTGACCCCAGCACTGTCACGAAGGGCCTGTGCAAGCAAGCACTCTCATCAGTGGAGGTGGCTTTGGGCCCCTCCTGCTGGTTTCTTTTCACGGAGGTCCGCCATCAATCTGAACTGCCAGGAATGATGAGAACCTTAAGAAGCCTGCAAATAAACAAGTCTGAACAATGAGAACTGGACAAAATAAGGAACGCATGAAGGTCCTCTCAGGACAACGTAACCCTGCAAAGTGCTGCATGCAACGCATATGTATCTTTGGCACACACCTCAGATGTTTACGGTGCGGCACAAATGTGCTGCGACATTTTGAACTATTCTTCATGACGTGCATATTGATGAACATAAATCGGTGCGATTTACAGCAGTTTTTTCTTGCGATCCACTCAAAGTCTTCTGAGAAGTCAGGCCTGTGAGCAGTCCAAGGTATATACCAAGTTTTGATGAGTTCGGACGCCCTGCCTCTCTCACTGTACATATCCCAGTTAGTAAGCCATCTGCTCCACCGATTCTTAAGAGTAGACAATTACATGCACTGCCATGCTTGGACCGTAGACCTTTGTCCATGGCACGTGTGAATTCACCGGTCTAGTATACTTTTTAGTATTTATTGGGTTGTCTTTGTGATAGTATAATACAGTGATATTAATGCGTGCCGCTTATGCATTCTGGAAGGCCTGTAAATGTCTCTTTAACAATAAAGAATTCTCACCAAGGAGAGACAATGGGTTTATGCACATTGGTTGAGGCTCGACACTTGAGCCATGCCTGCCCCTGGGCCAATCTGAAGCGCAGCATGAAGCATGACCAAATGGCTGCCTGATCAGGCGTTAGTTGGTTTTGACTACTTCCGTTCCATCGGACTTTTGGCATTCTTGATCCCGATCTTTGTCTATGCTCGTATCCGCTCTGATAGATTGCTTCGCGATCAGTCGAACGGTTTCGTGTTAAAGCGTATGCATATGAATTATGCACAAGCTGGCGGGCCATCTTGATTCATAAATCTTGTCTGCAAGAGGGCGGTCACGTTGCCTTTGTTTGCGAAAAAAGAACCAGATCATTCATAGAAACATTTTTTTAATCCGATAAACTCGTTGCTTGATGAAGACAGAGGACATCCAAGATCTTCTGGCCGGTTTCGAGGCAGCCGTGCCTGTGCTACAGGAAACAGAGCAACTCCTAGCGTCATCCCCGATCGAACACGAAGAAAAAGTGAACAAAGGATGGTCAAAAGTCTGGAGCCAAAAGGATAAGGTAGGATGCTAGGATTAAATGCTTGGTGTTTGGTGTGTTGAGCTGTAGGCAGCAGGAGAGCAGAGCCCCAGTTCTGTGTGGGCGTCTCAATCACTCCTTTGTAGCTTCAATCGTTGAGAGAAGATCATCAGCCGATGATGTGGTGCATGATCTGGACTTGGCGTCTGCTACACAGGAGACAAATGGGGCCAAGGTGCACACCAGTACCACAACCAAACGCCGCCGGCGCCAACACATGCTCGAAGGCATCAGAGCCCTGAAAAGGCTTGTCACTGGCACGAACGAATGGATGATGCAGCTGCATGCAACCGATGCCGGGTAACGGCCACGACACATGCAAATGAGATATATGTCTGGCAATCATGCGTTAACGGTAAAATGGCGTTGGGCAGCAGTAAAGCTGAAGGAAGAATTTTGAAGCTGACTCAGCCGAGTTTCCTGCATGCAGGAGATCAGAGCTCCTCAATCAGCTTGGGAGCACTGCCGCTGACCTCCAGGTATGCACCTGATCGCAATTCAGCCATGGCAAGTTTTGCAGGGATGCTTGTATGCAGTATTGGGCCCCCGTCTGGCGGGTGCGGTATAAGTTCTCAGCACCCTGCCTACGTTTGAGTGGGTACTGGCAATAACACCTTTCTAATGGTGTTCCCCTTAGACAGGAACAGCTGTGTAATGATGATGCAGAAAACATTCCTGCTGCCTGCTCTGATCTATAGGTGGCGCTGGAAAGGCTGGCAATTGTGGAGAAGCAGCGCCAGAGTGCTGTGGAGGAGTTGCAAGCTCTTCATGCATGCCGACCAGTGAGCAGCCCTCCTGCAACAGCGGGGGCACTGAATCTGCAGGCAGCGCTGGACAAAGCGCGAGCGGACTTTGAGGCAGCGCAATTTCGCGCCAGCGAAGCCGAGGCGGCTCTTGCTGCCTTGACAGCAGAGCAGCAGGCAAGACAGGTGGGCGCACTGTTTTTGGTGTAACACATAGTGTGCACTGCCATCGTAATATCATTGGGCATGACATGGATGGCATTTAAGTTTTACTTGCCCTTGATTAAAGTGTTGATTACACACACTTTCTGCCAAAAGAGGGGCGAGGTGCATCTGCAGACAAGCTGCAGGCTCAGGCTGCCACACATCCTCCCTCTCCATGGACTCAATATACCCAACTTTTACTATTATTGTTACATCCTTGCCAAGAGGCAAGGTCCGTCTGCAGACAAACTGCAAGTGAAGGCTGCCAAATGTCCTACGCATGATTACCTTGCCAGATCTAAGCAAGATCCAATCAACCGTGGGCAAGATGCTCAGAGGTTCGTACCGCCTCCCGCCAACCGGGGCCAAGTATCTATGGGAGCAAGTCCGAATTCGGCACAAAATATGTGTCCTGCATGACAGGCTCCTTTGGCTCTTCTTGGCAACGGAGTTTTGTTGGACTATCTCTGACCACCTTTCTCTGCTGCCTGGCAGGCTGCTCTGGAGGCGGCGGGGGCTGCAGCGGAGAGGGCGGCCAAGAATGCTGCCAAGCACCAAGCAGCGGTGGCCCAGCTGACAGGAGACAACCTGGTGCTGATGCTGCGAGTGCGCGCGGCCGAGGAGGAGGCGGCCGCCGGCAAGAAGGAACGCGAGAACATGCGCGCTGCCCTGGACGAGCAGCGGGGGCCGTGGTTTGACGAGGCGAGTTTTGATTACTTGCAACCGGGAGCTGCTTGGCTGAGTGGAGCTACCAATTTATAGCTTGAGCAGGGCGTGGGCAATGCTTGCCATCAGGATTCTGCGATGTTTTTGCACAGATGTGAGGAGCATGACCATCATTGCAGGCATGGTATCACTAACCGCATGCATGACCTGAGTGTGAATACTAGTGAAAGGCAGGTGCTGGGTCGCTGCACTTGCAGGTCAGAGCCGGAGTGAGGAGCAAGGTAGCAGCTGCCATGGAGCGGGCCGAGGCTCTGGAAGCACAGCTGGAAACTTTGGCAGCAGGACATGCCAAAGAGATGGCAGCAGTCAACGACCGCTGTTCAACCCTGGAGGGAAAACTTCTGCAGGCCCAAAAAGCTGCGGAGCAGATGGCGGCCCAATCTTCTGCGGCGGAATCAAATGCTGAAAGGTCTGCTGCGAGCCTTGAGAGACAGAGTGCAGGGGTATAAATATATTCATTGACATGTGAGAATGCAAAGAAGGTTTCGCAGCTATTTGCTTGCAAGATTACGGTTTCTATATTGTGCTTGGGACTTTCTAAAATCCGACGAGTGGTTGCAGGATCGCTGCTGAGTTCAAGGACCTTGAGGCAGCTACCAAGGAGGACCGAGAGAAGGCAGTGGAAGTTGCAGCCGAGAATCGCGTCCTCATTGCCACGTTGCGCTCCATGCAAGATGAATGCCATGTGTGCAAGGTGTGCACACAACCTGCTTCTGACTGAAATCAGCTGCGTTCGCCAAGTGCGTCCCAATTTAAAATGCTATGCTCGAGTGCATGGGTGCTTGTGTGATGCAGGAGAGTCAGCATGCAGCAGAAGGGAAAGTGAAGGGCTTGCAGGAACAAATTGCTCAGCTACATGAGGACTTGGCAAAAGCAAAGGTGTATTTTCTACTGTTCCTTACCTAATAAAGGACCACGTGCTTTTCATGGGAAACAAACATCACACGTTGCACGACTTCACAATATTCTCTCAAACTCTCTGCTTTTGTATTCCAGGACCAAGCTGCAGCTGCAGCAATTGGAGTGCAGACCCAGAAAGACATCAATGCCCAGCTCATGGGGAGGAAACAGGAAATAGAATGGCAACTTATGGCGGCACTTGCAAATGTTCCTGGCCCTCCTAAATCAGAGCCAATGTCCTTTGTTGATTATGGTGGTGGCCAGACCAATGGAGTTGTAGCAATCCCTGTGGGTCTCTGACTTTCATTTACTTACCATTAATGTAAAAAGCAAGTATTTTTCGTTCACTTCTGTTTGGACTTTCAGAAACTTTCCTACCAGTGCTGATGCTGCACAAGCACCTTCGATAAGTTAGAAATGGGATGTGTGATTGATGAATGGAAGAAACCAATTTTTCTAAAAATTTGTAAACCGATCATATATTATACATGTTCTGCCCTATGAAAATGCTCTTCTCTCGATGTTTTTCCAAAAATAGAAACCTTGGACCAACCCAAAGCTGACTCACCCACGTCGTCTGCCGCTCTAATTCCTCCTTCTTTAGAGTGGCATGTCTACATTTAGTATTGAGAACTGTATAAGATTGTTAGATCAAGGTTAGCACAATCAGGTGGACTTTGTTCACCGTCAAGATGAAAGAGACCCATCGTGTACTCACCCGTAGAAGGATATCTTCGAGATTCAGAGCCTCATGTGTCAATTATGAAACGATTTGATGTTTGATTTTTGACGTGGCTTAGTGAGCGAAAGGAGTAGAACAGAACAGAGAGGGGCAAGAAAACATCGACAGCAATCGACAGGAGACTGAGCAATATTCCTTTCCCTGACCAAGCAATATTGAGTTGCAATACATTTCTTCTCCAGTCAGGAACGTCTGCGTGATGGAAGGAATGAAAGAACACGGGTCAGAAAGTCCATCAGAACTACTTGCAATAGATCAGACTGTCAGCACTCTTGCTGAGTCCCTGAATGGTCATATGGCGGATGGACTGAACAATCCAGAACAGCAACAGACAGTGGAACATCAAAAGATCCCGGCAGAGCCTTTGCAGCTTATGGCTGCTGCAATGCAAATCAATGACAGCAGAGTGATCAGCAGAGGCCCTGCAGAGAAGGGCAGTGATGCTTCAGCCATGCAGGATGGTGCAGCAATAAACGTGCTTCTGCCATCTTTTGCCAACCAAACCAACAAAGACCTTGCCGCTGAAATACAGCAGCTAGAAAAGGATGTCGATGGCACAGACAGGGAGCTTGACCAGAACATGCAGCGAATATCCCTCATGAGCAACCATCTGAGGTCTCTGCAGCTGGAAATTGACAGCACAGAAAGCCGACTTGAGGCAAAACACAAGGAAGTCAAGACGGAGCAGGACCTGCAGAAGCTGAACCACTTTGAGCAGGTGAAGTACACAAGTCTTCTGTAGCTGTCTTGATCTGGATCGCTCCTGCTTTGACATCTGTTTACTGCGTGGTATAGCAGGCTGGGCTCACTGTTGTGTCGCATGCTTGCAGGAGAGGTTGGAGAAAGCACTTGCAACACAAATTCTGGAGAAGGAAAGTTTGCAGGCCAAGCTCATCAAGATGGAGGCGGAATATCTGCGCCAGACTGATCAGCTGGATCGCCTTAAAGCCGCAATGCACTGGAATGAGGCACGCGCATTGCCATTGTGCTCCATTCAAAAGTATACATGCATTTCATCTTGGTGACAGGCAGGCAGGCAGCTTATTGAGAGTGCCAAAGCCATCGCAAGGGCGAGTTCCAAGGATTTCTGTGCATGAGCAGAAAGAGCTGAAGCAGTGGCTGAAGGCGTCCAGTGAGAAAGAAGAGGTCAACAAGGCCCTGGGCATCTCACAGCACAAGGAGAATGTGAAATTGAAAGCATTGGCGCATGACTTGGAAAGGTAACACCTCTATCCTCCTCTCAATCTTCTCCCCAATAGTATGGCGGAGGTGGCGATTTCCATAGCATCCAATCATGAAGATGCATGCACGGGCGAAAATATGGCCCATTGTGTATCCTGCAGGTGGAGTCGAGCAGCAGTTTCAGAGAAGGCGGCACTGGAACAGGAGCTGTCCCAGTCCAAGTCTGCTCAAGCAGAGCTTGACGCGACAGCGGATGCCTTCAAAAAGCTGCAGAAAGAGCGGCAGGAGACTGTTGCCCAGTGGGAGCAGACCCTGGCTACTGTCAGCAGGTTCTCGCTCTGATGCCCGCAATTATTTTTGAATCCAAGTGGTTGAAGCACGCCAGAAGAATGATAAAATTGGTCTGAATGCATTATGCCAGCGTTCACATAGCCGGAGAAGAGGTGGGATTGTTCTAAGTAATATTGTACTCAGTTTATGGTGCTTCTGTGCAGGCACGATGATGCCATCAAGGAGGCAGCAAACACTTTTGCAAAGGACAAGACAAAATTGCAGGAGACCAGGTTATCCCTGCAGGAAGCTAAGGCAGCGTTGGGCAATGAGGAGGGACAAGGCAAAGCAGTGCGTCTCTGTTGGGTTAATAACCTGTGAAGCATGGTTTCTGTGTTTCAACCTTTATCTCAGTCCACAGTTTGCATGCGGGTGGACAACGACCCCTGTGTGCCATGTGAGGTCTTGCAAGTGTTGCCGGTGCCACACACCTAAGATCTCCTGTTCAAGCTCAGTGGGGAGAATGTCTCAAAGAATTGTTACAAGGCGGTCGTATTGTACAGGTGGAGAGTCAGATCACTGCATTGGAGCGGGAGCTCTTGCACTTGCGCAGGACGTCGAAAGCTGATGAGCAGAAGTTAGAGAGCACACTGGATGAGATGGAGCATCTCAAGAACAGCCTGAGCGCCTCAACAGATGAGCTGGCAGTGCAGCGTGCTGCGAACGAGCATGCCAGGTGTGCCATGATATCTTGCACTAAATAAGCAATAGATGCACCTTGCCTCAAATATCGTCAGCATGTGACTGGATTGTTTCAACGCTGCAGGGGAGTCCTTGCCTCAAAGAATGAGAGGGTAGTGGCACTCAAGGCGAGGGCGGGTCAGGCAAGGGAGGAGTTGCAGGACAACACCTTGCAACTCAGCTCCATCGAAGATGACCTTACGAAGATAGAGACTCTGCTTCAGGTGAATCTTCTTGACAGTGCATGCATGTAGTGCATATCCTTGGAATACCTCATCTTGTCGCCGGAGTTCCGAAACAACATGCACTGAGCATTGCGTTTCCCCTCATGCAACGAGCAGATGGAAGACAAGGGCCATGTGGCAGCCACGAAGCTGGTGGCGTCCTTGAAGGATGACAATATGAGGCGGAAGCAGTCGTTGCATGATGCAGCCTCAAAAGAGCGTCTGCTGTTGTCAGGCATTGCGGGGTGCAAAGCACAGGCGACCAACTTGCGCCACAAGAAGCGCACCCTGGCTGAGCAGGTTTGTCACCCGTTGTCTATGTGTCCCTACGCCCACAACAAGGCTTATCTGCTGGTTCAAGACCGAGTTGCTTGCATATTCAACCCAGCATGCATTGAGTATTTGACATGGATAGACTCATGTCCTGGGGATATCCCACGACGCAGGTGCCACTGCAACTGCAATACAACACTGTAGGAGTGTAGAAAAAAAGTTTGCGAGCACAAATGTTGTCATGCTTTCGTCTCTCGTACATTTTACATATGAGCAGATGAATGCATGATGCAGGGGATGCGGCAAAGAGAAGTCCTGTACCAGGTGGACTTCTGCCTGGTGATGCTGAAGCGCAGCCTGGCTCGCGCGGGCGGCCAGCGCACGGATGACGAGGCGGCCGTGTTGCATGCGCGCATCGCTGAGCTGGCCGCCACCCTGGACGGCCGCAACGCTGAGCAATCCCTCTTCCAGGCCCAGATCAAGAAGACTGAACAGGACCTGGGTGAGCTGGCGGATACCATCCTGCCCCATTCTCAATCTTTTCTATGCAGTAAATATAACACTTCCAGAGGTAGACATGTCAAATCCTGGAATTATTATTTCAGACAGGACTTGGTCTATCTTTGATTTGGTGGAGGGCAGCCGAAGATAGAGAAGGTTGGAAGGCCATCATAGAAACGCTGTTGTGACGCACCTCATCCTCGTGGAGTGGAAAGGCGTGTGATAATGGAAAAAAAACACTTCCAGAAGACTGTAAGATTTCCTGCAAGTAAAGTGCTGCGATTATGTGACAAGCAGTCTGGCAGTGACTCACTTTCTTAGAGTGCCCCTTCAAGGTCTGAAATGTGCGTGAGATCTTCTGGTCAAGTGCAGGAAATGCCAGAAGGAAGGCAGCGGAGCTGAGTGTACAATGCAAGTCTCTGGCCGATGCCATGCTGCGCCTGGATATGGAGACAGAATGCACCAGCCGCTGCCTGAGAGATACCACCAAGGTACACCGCCCTTTCAACATGAAGGAACAGCCTGAGTGAAAGAACTGACAGTGCCTTGAATATAGTAATCGATTCATCCCGTGATGCTTCCATGAACAGACACTTGTGCATGCTGAACACGCGGATAACGTGCACTGTAATGATGTGCGCACACAGGACAAGGACAGCGCTGTGGTGGACAAGGATGTGCTTGCTGTGGATGTGGCCCGCTGCCGTGAGGCCCTGGTCGCCAAAGTTGATGAGGTGCTCCTGGTAGAGCATGAGAGGGCCCAGCTGCAGGAGAGCTTGGAGGAAAGAAGGAGTGCAATGGCGGTAGGTTCACCCAAGTGCACCTGTATGATGCTTAAACATGCTAAACGTGCGTGATATCTTGATTGCATTAATAATACTGCTGAGCATGGATGTCGGGGAGTCTAAGACCTTGTTTGTTAGATTCCACACGCACGCAAAACAAGGGCGAGGGGGCATAGATTAGAAGGGCTGTGGTTCATGCAGGAGGAGAAGGATTGCCTGCAAGCTGAGCTCAAGATGATGCGCGAGGATCTGCACAGGATCATGTTGGAGCTGACAGAGCGCAGGCAGCGCGCCAGCAAGCTGCAGGCCAAGTATGAGACGCAGTGCAGCAAGAGCATCGGTGCTGAGGGCGCAGATGAGTCCAGATCACAGGTGAATGACATTCAGTGTGATCACTCGCTAGCTATCTCGTACTTCCAGTGGGTGGAGGACAGGGCACAGCAATTCAACTGGAGCACTGCTAGTGTACGTGGATTACTGGAAATGCTGAGGTGAGCATGCGAGTTGTGCAGGCGTACTATGTCATCAAGGCAGCCCTGGACAAGCAGGAGCTTCTGCAGCAGAAGCAAGACATCCTGAAGGCCATTGGAGGCAGGGAGGAAGACGTTGCAGGCCTGGATAATGCTGTGGCTGACATGGCAGGCAGCAATGCCGAGCTGGCTCAGAGTTTCAGGTAGCACACACCTTCCCTTGGGCATGCGACGGTGTTGTTCATCACTTTGACAGTTCATCTATCGTGCATGCTCACAGTAGGTGCCCGAGACATCACCACTAAAGATCTCGTTCTTTGTAATGTGAAAAGCAGCTGCATGAATGTGTCTCTTTTGTGACATCAGGGAGAAGGATGCAAACATGGCGATGTATGAGGCCCGTCAGAAACAATTGCGCAAGCAGCTGAACCGCAAGTGTGGGGACATGCGGGACGGAAAGTTACAGGAAAAAGCCCTTGAAATCACTTTGGAGGCCGCCAAGCTACACTGCGGCAATTTATCTGCAGAAGAAGATCAGATGCGGGCCACTGACATTGATGTCAAAAAGCGCAAGGTCTGCTACCACGCCAAGACTTGCATAAACACCAAAAGAGTATTGGAGGGAGTTGCGCATGCAAGCCTTGAGAAGCGTGCCGCTTGCATGAGTACATGTTCACATTTTTCTTCAGAACTTTTGACTAGAAATTCGAGAACCTGTCCCTTGTAAATTAAATTTGTCAGACCTGAGATGCTCTCGGAACTGGCATTGATTTGATTCACCCTGGTGCAGGAGAATGCGGAGAGGAGTCTAGCGGCACAGCGACAGAAGCAGGTGCGGGCCGTCAAGCGAGTAGAAACGTGCAGGAAGGAGCTCAGCCGAAAGAAGGCGCTGAAGGAGGGGGCTGGGAGCAGCAGCATGGCCGAGCTGGCACACATCGACAATGAGATCCTGTTCAGGCAGCTGCAAGATGCCAGCAAGACCATGCTACATGCAAGCTCCCTGCCACTCCCTGACTCTTCCCATCAAATGGCCATTCATGCGCATTTTCATACTTGCAGAGACCTTGCTAGTTGTGAGTGCTTGTGAAAAGTGCAATATGCTTCATGTTGATGACAGCGCTATGTCTGAAGCCATGTTTATGTGCAGGAAGCAGCAGCATTGGGAGCAGAGCACGAAGAAGCAGACGTTGTGAGATCGTTGGCAGTGGCAGGCATTCCCATGCCAAACAGAAGCAACGAAGGCAGCAGGCGTGGCAGCAGAGCCTCCAGCTTGAGTGGCTCCACTAGGACAGCCTCAGTGAAGAGTGAAGTATCAGCCAAGAGCGGCCGCTTGCTGAGCCGAGCAGCCCCGATGCAAGTGCTAGAATTGAATGTTTGATGCATAATGTTTCCCTGCCCAAAGGAACACGGGTGAAGAGCTATATTATAGACATGCAACATGGCGCCCACTTGAAGCTGTGATATAGTACCGGTATGCCAAAATTACGGATGTTGGAAGGCTCTACCTTACAGATAGACCTCTGCTGGCAGCCTTACTTATGTCAGAAAGCAGATACCCTCCAGCTGTAAATTTCAGACTTTCACCTAACATCGATACGGCCACATGTTTGCTCAACACAAATACACTTCAGCGGCAAAACCAATGGAGTGCATACGAGCACGCTAATGTACAGCAGAGAAGGCATTTCAACAAATCAGTCCCACAGCCCATTGCATTTCAATGTAGGAGTCCGTGACAGCGGTGGACAGCATGCTCAAAATCCCCTGTCGCCTGCTTTAAGGCTTGATCAGAGCAATGGCCTGCAACAGGCAGAAAAGATGCTCACCGACGAGGTGCCTCAGGAATCAGATATTTTGGACCATGACACAGCCCTGTAGCGGCAATCTAAATATGACTTACAGATAAAAACTCCCTATCATGAAGACAGCATAAGATTGTTGTAAGTACCACATACCTGACCAGGCACGACAGAAGCTCCTTGGTCAGCAAGGAATTTCACCAAAGTTCCCGTGGTCTCAGCCTGCGACCAAGCAATACAAGTCTTTAGCTGATAGGTGAGGTTGACAGATTTTCCAGAAAGTTTAATAAGCAGCAACTCAGCACTTGTACTTTTGAAAGTGCTTCGTGATGTCAGAGTGCGTGTAGAGGAAAGCACCAGCCACTTCACTCACCTCGATCTCGTTCATCAGCTTCATGGCCTCAATGATGCAGATGGTCTGCCCCTTGGTCACTTTGTCACCCTCCTTCACGAACGGCGGCTCGCCGGGCGCAGGCGACCGGTACACAGTGCCAGCCATCGGGGACGCCACCTGCACCCATGCACTCGCAATCATGCCTCCTGCACATCCCTAAAGCATTGGGACATTCAGCGCTTCCATCAAGAATCCCTGTACTGCCGTCATGCATGTATGCCACAGCAGTGGTAAGTGCTTTCTTTGTCTCTCTCCCTCTCTCTCTCGCTGAATGCTCTCTCTCTCTCGATGCTCTCTCTAAGTACTCTTTGGATGCGCTCTCTGAATGCCAAATGCTCTCAATGCTAGAGCATTCAACTACCCTGTGGCAGCGGGCGGACCTCGACGCCGTCGACGACCGCTGGGGGTGCCGGGCCGTTGGATGAGGGCGCAGCCGGGGTGGGGCCTGCTGCCGGTGCCGGGGGCCCACCCATGGGAGGTGGCGCTGCATACGAAGCCTGTGGTGCGTACTGCGGCCCCTGCTGCTGGGGCGCTTGCTGCAGCACAGTGAGGTCCTTTGAATTCCATGGGCTGGTGTGAGGTGAGTCTGCGCGCTGTGCTGATGGTAGAGACTCATTGAACCAAATGCATATCAATGGCTTTCTACCAGGTCTTGCAGCGGCATGCGCTAGGTTGAGGTGAAGCCTACACAGTAAAACACGCTGTGCTAATGAGAGCAATGTGGGTCGATTAAAAGCATGCAAGGGCACACCTGGTAGACGACTGTTGGCTCTGGAACTTCGATGGCCTCCTTCTTGCGCACTGCCAAAGAGAACCGCTTGCTCCTAAGTTCCAGCTCTACAATGTCTGTGTCGTGAACCATCCTGTCCATCCACATATGGGTGAGCACAGTGCTTGATCCTTTGAGAATCTGGCAGTACAACTCCGAACATGCATGAGCAGCGTATATTAAATGGGGTAAATCTGTGGATCTATCTATTCACCGTCATTTTGCTGAAGATGATACACAACCCAGCTTGTCAGAGAATCTTGTGCTAGATGAGATGGGTCTTGATTCTCAATGGGTTGCCCGAGGCTAAAATTTATCAAGCATGTCTGCTAGGCATTGTAGGAACCAAAATCACGATTTAATTGAATTTGCCATTTTAAGGGGCCACCCATGTACAGGTCCTGTCTGTGCTGAGCAGGAAGCCATGTTTCGGAACTAGCCACAGCCCCCCAGACCTAAGCGCTCACCGAATGATATCAGTCAGCTCGTCAAAAGCAAGGGGGTTGGATGCTCCAGATGCCCCATTGCTGAGGCTGGAATCGAGGCCGACATCCTCAACTTTCGCAGCCTTGGGAACCACTCGCAGGAGAGCCTATTATCCATCAACACAGACGAGTCAGCAGGATACCGACAAGAGCTGACACCAACGGAAAGTGTAGAGCTATCGAATGAAAGCTAGATTGGATCACGCACCTTGCCACCGGCATCAGCGGGACTTCGAAGTCTCGAGCCATGTTGCGGCCTCGGCTGAATTGCTGCCTGCTGGCTAGGGCAGGGTATTCCCGCCTTGGAGCGTGCGAGTCCCGCCTGCATGCTGACGATCGTTCGATATGATTAGCAAAGGGAAGATCTGCCCCACTTCCCTTCACATCTCTGTGTCTTGGGAGTTTGCAGCGGCAAGAGAGATCGAGCCTGAGATGGGACGCCTCTGCAGACACTTGGACGCTTTTGAGGAGAGGAAGCAATCAAGATAGCGATTCCAAAGAAGAACTCATCTCTGCTCTTCCACCAAGATTCTATATGATTGATTAGGAGAAAATAATTTTGCTACACCTTTTCAATTGTCAATGTTCAACTTGCAGTGCAATCTAAGAATTATAAACATAAGCGGCAGCTTGTGGAACTGGAGAACTCGCGATAATAATCAATAAAGTTCAAGTACCAAATGACATTTTCTTTCTAGAAAAACTATACTTTCATAGTTCGTTCAGCTGTACAGAGCATTGCGTAGTATATGCAGTGGGAACATGCACCAGGGAACAACATCGCTGGAGCCTGCTCAAGACATCCATCTTCAGTCTTGTAGCGTCCGGCAGCTACCATGTACACCGATGTCATTGCGGAGGTACTTCAAATGGTTCGCTATAGTTGTTTGCGCAGACTATGCTTGGGAGGCTGGGTGATGAGTGCGTCGCAATACATACAGGCTTAACAGATGGAGGCGATCCCTGAGAGACGAGAGGAAGGACGGGCTCCGTTCGGTGGTGCGTTTGATGTGTGGAGCAGTGTTTTGCCTGTCGTCTCTGTGCACCCTATGCAAGTTGCAGTCAGCCAAGTTGTGAGTGCTTCTTGTTGCAGACCTTGTGGCAGCCCTTGCCCTCCTTCAAGGCAAGGGGACGCTGCAGAGGTGTACCTCAGGCAGGTGGTCGCATTGATGCCAGTGAGAGGGGTCTGTCAGCCAGCAGCCATGCAGCCTCAGCTAGTGTTGGAGACGGACAGAGGACCGTGCTTGATCAGTCAGCCTCTGAGGAAGGTGCGGCTCAGTCAGGGTTTCTCCTCCATCCATGCATAGATAAGACGTTCCCAGAGATGGACTTTCCTGTGATGCATGGGATGCCCATCGTCACCAGGCTTACTTGCGCTGTGCTTTGCATGACAGAATGGCCCAGAAGGAGCGGCTCTTTCATGGCGAGCAGCAGCGGCGCCAGCGATGACATGCAGTTCAATAATCTTCAGGGATCTAGCCCTTATAGAGGAGGTCCTGTTGGGCCTGGCGAGGTGCGGGGCGTGTCACACTCGCAATTAATGGTGTTGTCACGTTTTGTGCTCTTCTTCTGTATCTTTAAGCAAGCTCAAAGTGCATCCTCAAAAGTGGATGTATGCGGGAGCGCAGGTCTATGAGACGCCCAGGCGCGGCCCTGGCTTCACGGATGTGCCGCAGCCCGTGAGGAGAGTCAGGCAGCAACGAACCGATGCCCCTGCAAATTCCAGACCACCAAATAGGGAGTCCTGGTATCCCCGGAAGCCGCAGCCCCTGTTTGAGCAGATCGAGGTGCACGTCACCATGACTCCAGACGACGAGGAGAGAGGTGCGCACAGCTTGCTGATATCGATACTTCACATCATTTTCCTGGTCTTTTCTGATCCTCTGGTAGGGAAAGAATTCTCGGATGCACCATAGCGAGTTCTGCAAGAGTGAGCGAGAGTTGCTTGGTGTTCGTGCAGCTGTGCGGGAGAAGGGGTACTGGGTGCAGATGCTACAGAAGGCCGGCTTGTTGGACTCGGGGGCCGCGCTGCCGACAGTGCGCAAGGAATTGAATACCAAAAGCCGCAGCGGCCCCTTCCGCTCAGGCTACCTCGTGAACCGGCTGCTGAGCCAGATCAGCGATTGGCGCACGGTGTTCACCGTGCTGCGAGACCTGGAGCCCCTGTTTGACCACATCAACATCTCCACTGCCATGCACCGCCTTGCCAAGGTCTCCTACAAGAACAAGGTGGGCCGCCGTATCCCCTGTACAACACTGCCCACTCGGAACAAATTCCTGCATGCCTGTGCAGAGGGTATGGCGCACGTTTGGGCGATAAACACACAGCCTGGCACCTGCGGTGATGCTTGCAAACCGTTTAAATATTATGGGGATTTGCGTCGTATCATGGGCTTAGGTTCACTCTTTCTGTGTGGATGAGAAGGTGAGGTGGGTGACGGCTGTGCGTGTGTGTGGGATGCAGGTGCCGCTCAATGTCGTGCAGGCGCACCCCATGTATCCGCACCTTCTCACCGTGCTGAAGAAGAAGGTGTTGAGCGGCAAGATGCGCGCGCGCCAGCTGGCCAATACGCTGTGGGCGTTTGGGAAGCTGGGCCATGATGCGGAAGATGTCGTCGACGCCCTGCTCTTCCAGATGCACCGGGTGCGGCGTCTGCGTCCCGCGCTCTAATAGCTCAATTCTACCGGTGGCATGGCAGATGCCTGAGGGCCCCCAAAAGGTGGTAGATAGTTTGCTGTAAATAGTGCCTTTGGCGGATTGGGAGTACATGGCATTGTTGCATGCAAAGAGAGCACATGACATCCTTGCATGCTCGTTTGTATGAGGCTAAAGGGTGAGCAGAGGAGACCCTACAAGAGCATATGCTCATGCCACGCTGCGTGCATGTCACTGTTGTAATAAAGCGACTCGGGGAGCATAGGAGTGACGTGCATGGCTGCTGGGGGCCGCAGACGCACATAGCGACGTGGCAGGAGCAGGAGATGAGCAACGCGGTGTGGGCGATGGCGACACTGTCACGGCCGGACGAGGGGCTGTTGGAGACCATGGCGCGCGACGCAATGCGCCGGGGCATGAGCGCATTTGTGCCGCAGGCCATCTCCAACCTGGTCTGGGGCTTCGCCGTCCTGGAGTACAACAACAACCCCTTCATGCTGGTATTTCCCTCTCCCCCTCCATTGTAGGCCCCTTGTTCCAGGTTGCTCTCTAATCAAGCCATGATTCTCTTAGGACCACAGTATATGGAAAACCTTCTGTCATGTACAATATTCTTGGATCCATGCTGCGTCGCACATGAGTCAGGCAGCACCATTGGCAATGAGAGATGCAGGATCATGATACCTGGTGAAGGCCAAAGTGAAACAGTGGCAGCCTTTGAATGTTATGTGCTGTGGGGTGGGGGCAGGCTGTGGCGGAGTACTTTGTGATGGACCTGTCGCACTTTGCCACGCAAGCTGTGTCCAACATCCTGTGGGGCTGTGCGGTGCTGAACTTCTACGACCAGGACATGTTCAATGCCGCTGCTCTGGAGATTCAGCGTGCGCCACCCTTCCCAACAGATTAATCACATTGCACGTGTTGTCATGCCTAGTCTTGGTCAGTGAAGGTGCAGGCCATGATATCTTCATGTCCAAAAATGCTGAGTGGTCTGTGCATGGTGACGACAGATCGCATAGGAAGCTTCAACGATCAGGAGATCTCCAACAGCTTGTTGGCCTTCGCCAAGATGGAGCACGTGGATGTGTCTCTTCTGCGGGTATGTTTGGCCCATTCATTAATATCAAAAATCTCAGTTCCAAACGGAGAAAGGGCTGTTTTTGTTTGTTCGAAAGCTTGTTGTGAGCATTTTACGAATGGTGGTTTTGTGTAGCACCCACCTTGTGAAAGTGCGTCTCTTGAAATTGATGGTCGCTCGCAGGTGTTTGAGGAGGACATAAGGCGGCCGCAGCGAGTGCGCGACTTCACGTCGCAGGCGCTGTCTAACATGGTGTGGAGCTTTGCCACGCTGCGCTGGTACCCCGAGAAGGTCCTGGAAGCCATCTCTGCCGAGCTGCTGCGCCGCATGCCCTACCTCTCTGTCCAGGTGGGCGGTTACATTCTCATTAATCTCCTCAACGCTTCATGGTGGGGGTATTGCCACTGACTACCTGGTTATGATCTATGCCAGTTGGGCATGGCTGCTACACCTTGATCAAGCTATGCCTCCTGCTTGCTTTCATCCTCCTTCATTGCTTCTTTCACTGCCTGTTGGAGGCCAAAGGTGGCGAGGGATGATGGTAAAAGAATACATGCTGCACGATTGCGCAGGAGATATCGGTGTCGATCTGGGCCATGGCCAAGCTGGGCTACCACCCCGGCCGCAGCCTAGCTGAGTTTGGGCGCAGGATCGAGGAGCTCGTGCCCGACTTCAACTCGCAGGCCTGCGCCAATACCCTTTGGGGCCTCTCCGTACTGCAGGTCTGTCCTTCTCACCCTATCCTGTCACCTGTAATCATGCAGAGAACAGCCTGCCGCTGCATGTATGTCCGACCCCGATCACAATGGGAATGTCTTCATCCAGAAGTAATTGAAGCTGCTGCAGTCGATGCTGATCCCAATAACAACGGGCATGCATGTCTGTAGCTATGGACTGTTCTTCGCAGCAGTGCCGGTCCTGTGTTGCTCGCGGTGGGAGTGCTGGTGGGCGGTGCAGTGATAATTGAGTGGGTTGTGGGTGCAGGCGACGCAGCTGCCATGCTTCCAGATGCTGATAGACCGGCTGGGCAGCAACAACATCGACAAGGTGGAGGTGCTGATGCTGCACCAGCTGTTCCAGTCGCTGATGCTGGCACGGCTGGAGGCCCGCCGGCAGAACCTGGCCGACCCCATCCGCACCATCCCAGACCACATCTATGCCCTCCTCCGACGGTGCGCCCTTTTCCTTAGTGCGTGCAAATAGCACCGAGGTGCTTGGCTGGCATGCATGCAACAATGCCATGGGTGCATGCTGTACACGATTCAATGGATACCGGGATACAGAACTTCCTCTTATTTGCGGAGGTCCGCAAAAGGCAATGACCTCTTGTTGTGCAAGCGAGCTTTGGAATTGCCGACAATGCTGAAGGTGTACTTTCTTCTGCACTTAGAGGGGACTGGATTGATTGCCACGGAATACATGGGTGCGCCAGATGAGTGTCAGAAACTCCTTGGCGCCAGATGTGCTGGCTTCTGAGCTCTCATCTTCGCCCACCGGAAGCACAACAAAAAATGAGGGAATGGGAGAAGGTTTTGAGCTGTCAGGGGCTGCGCAGGGTGTGGAAGGCGACGGTGAAGAACACGCTGAGCAGCCGCTTCCACATCGACGTGAGCAAGATGCTGCGCGAGCTGGGGGTGGCGCACGACTTTGAGTTTGTGACGGAGGACGGCTTGTTCAGCCTGGACATCGCGCTGGCTGGCCCTCGCGGCCCCGTGGCCATCGAGGTCGACGGGCCCTACCACTTCACTCTCAACACCCGCCAACCCCTGGGATCCACCCTCATCAGGTGCACAGCCAGCTCCACCCCTGCATGCCCCTCACTGTTCTGTGTCTCAGATCCACTCTTCAAGTGATGCCTCCCATAGTGAAGGTAAGATACGGCAGCCCTTTGGCTCCGCCCTTATCGGGTGCAGCTAGCACCCTTTATGTATGTCACCACTGTCACCCAGACTTAAATGCACCCAGCGCTCTTCACCCATGCACAGTGATTGCTAATCAAAAGTTATTCACTGCAGACGCTTGGATGAGCTCTCCCGCAACAAGGGTGAAGGACCTGGCTAGTTGCCATCTGAATATTGTGCGAATGTTGTGTCAGTCATGAACAAGCCGCGACGTTCAAGCTGAGAGCTTGTGTGGTGTATATTAGGCGCCGGCTGCTGCATGCGCTGGGCTGGACCGTGCTCAGCGTTCCCTTCTACGACTACTACCGCCTCGGCAGCACCGCAGCCAAGGTGCACCCTCCCGGCGGTCTCCTGCTCCTGTACTACATGACACACACAGCTTCCATTCTCAATTCGATTTGTGCTGATGGGACCAGTCGACACCGTGGCCGTGCATGCCTAAATCTGCCCATGGATCTCTGCATGCAGCAGTTTACATTACCTCACAGTGGCACCCCATTCTCCTTCTTGGTGCTCGCACTGCCTATGTCCTTGCATCCTGCCTTGGGCTTTGCATTCAAAGCAAAAGGGTGAGACCGAGCGCTTATCTGTTGAAGCGAACACATGAGTTCGAGCATTTGATTCTAAAACCAAAGAAATAAGACATATCATTTACTTCTTGAAGCGAAAGACTGAGACTGAGCATGTGGGGTTTGCCGGCGCGCAGATGCAGTACCTGGGGCAGCTACTGCGCAAGGTGGACATCGTGGTAGAGGTGGACGAGCTGCTGCGGGAGCGCGAGTCAGCCGAGGCCGAGGCGGCGGCCGGCGCAGAGTCGCTGGGCAGCCTGGAGCTGCCTCAAGGGCGCCCCTCCCCCTCCGATGGCCCCACCCGCCAGGATGACATCGCCGGTCCAAACTTTCCCGCCCAGCCTACCACCTGGGTGACGCCCCGTCATCTCATCCCTTGGGCGTACAGAGAGACTTCCTCCTTTCTTGGCAATTTTGCTGCCTTGAATGTCTCGCATTCTACCTTGATTTCAACAAGATCATGGAGTTTTCTCGGGCGGGGCGATCATTATAGTGTTGTTGCATGACGTGCACTAGCGAGGCAGCCCTTTCTCCTATCTTCTGGCGCTTGCGCTGCCTCGGTGTCGGCATTCCTCTTTCTCTGATTGATGTTCTTCTTCTTCTAGTCCCCTTGGTGCAATCGTACGCCGGAGCTCACAAAGCTGTCTCGAAGGCTGCAGGATGCACTTCAGATGGAGTATCTCCCACTTGGCTGGGACATGCATGCATCAAGAAGTGGGGTAGTATAGTATTCCTATGCTCCACAAAAGCAATTGTGATGGCCGCTGATGCTGCTGTGCTCGATGCGCAGAGCTCCAAGTCTAGGTATCAGGAGAGAGCGCCCATGGCGCCGAGGCAGGGGCAGGGCGCCAGCACGGCGCCTCACTCTGTGAATTCGGATGAACTCTCCCTCCCTCCTCCTCGTCCTGGTGAGTAGGCTGGGCTCTCTGCATTCCAGCTGTGACACGTGCTGAATACCAGTGCTGACCATCCCTATCACCCTGGCACTGCAAGTAGTAAGCATCGTCGACCAATGTCGGGATGCCCATGGCCGAAATCTTTCTGCGAGGGTTTCAAAATTCCGGACTTCAAAACTGCAGCATTTGAGAGTTTTATTCGCATGCACAGGCCCAGCCAGCGTGCGCAGCCAAGCACCGGTGGCGCGCAACCCGCTGTCGCGTCCGCAGCCGCGGGCCGGCTTTGCAGCGAGCCAGCGGCAGCCGTCTCTTGCCACATCCGGCCGGCCGCTGAACGGCGCTGTGGCTGCCGCGGAGAGCAGAGCGTCTGGGGAGTCAGAGCAAACAGGCCCGGAGTCGAGCCAGGAGACGGAGGCCGAGAGAGGCAGGGATGGCGAGGGGACCTCAGCCTTGCATGAAACAGCCTTGAGGGCGGCAGTAACTCAGTGGAGTGCATCAGTGGAGCAGAACGGTGCCAGGGTCAGGTCAGGGGAGGAGCAGAGTGTGGAGAGGGATTGGAAAGCAGAGAGAGCAGCGCAGCTGGAGGGGCAGCTTCTGAAGACAGAGCTTCAGCCCCTGTGCCGCAAGTACGGCCTGCCCACCACAGGGCGGAAGGAGAAGATCGTGCAACGGCTGCTCAGTTACGAGGCAGTGCACAGACCTTCATGATTCTTGTCATCCATTTCCACGTTTGTCAAGAGGTGTGAGTGCCGTGTGGTCTGCTGTTCAATACGGTATGTGTGTCACACGAGAAGAGAGCAAATGTTGTCACGATTGACAAATTTAAGCAGACCTTCCTTGTATCTTCATGTGCTGAAAGGTAATTACCCTTTTGGCAAAAAAAAATCACAGCAGATTCACTCCCTCATTACATTGCGACATCTCAAGCCACGGTCAGCCAGAACCTCTCTCTGTGACGCCCACACCAACAAGCACCAGCAAGGACAGTGCGCAGCTGAGGGCGGCAGCAACCCTTATGGTCGAAGGCTGCCTGTCCACTACAACCTCCACTTCCTCAGCCTCCTCTGAGATCATCATTGTTCCCTCCTTAATGTCCAATTCGCGCACCTGCCCCAACCACCAGAGGCCATTAGTATTTCAGAGTACAGTCACCTGAAATTATAGCAGGAGGACCTGCCCATATAATGAACATTTTGCTACTATGAATTGGTACATATCATGTGAACCCTTATATTCAATGAGGTTGTTTTGATTTACAAGTCAAGGAATTTGCTTAAGCAGGTGGGGGATGGGGCAGGTGCGCGAATTGGCTTACCACAACCCACTTTGGCGCCATGATGTACCCCAGGGCCACCCCTGTAAACAACCCTCCCAGGTGCCCTGCATTGCAGCAGGCGTTGAGAGCCCTGTATTGAGCTTCAGGAACGATTCTGTTTGGAGACTTGGAGGCGGGGTGATGCGTACAACGCACCGCTATTGTCAATCATCGACCCTGGGGAAGCGCCAAGGAAGATATTAAGCGCGACGATGCCGGCAATGTAGGTCAGTTGCTGTGTTGAGCCCTGCAGCGCCCTGTTGCGCAGGAAATAGCCCGCGGTAGCTCCTGCGCATGGATGCACCACTTTCTCCACAATGGGCACTTCACAGACCCTGATCCCTAGCAAAGGAGAGATCCTGACCAAATTGAAAAGCCCGTGTGTGCTCACCCAACAGCCCAAAGATGGCGCCTGATGCTCCGACAGTGATCAGGTCGCTGAAGAGGAAGGAGGCTGTTGAGCCAGCCAATCCAGAGAGGACATAGATTGCAGCAAATGTGCTGTATCCCATGACACCCTCAACCTCTGGGCCGATGCTGTACAGTGCCCAACAGTTGAGCCCCAGGTGTAGTATGCCCGCATGCAGAAATGTGCAGGTGAGCAACCTGCACCAGTCAAACATTGCTCAATCATAATGATGTGCTTATGCGCCTGGCTTGGGGCTGATGTGTAATAGGTCTCTCTACCTTCTTGCTGTCCGCATGCTTCTTTGCTGCAAAGTGCCCATTCTTCAGGCATCTGACAATACATAGACACCAAGCTTACCTGTAGAATTCACCGCTTGCAACCTTTTCGTTGACTTTGGCCAGTGACAGAAACCATTCATTGCTAGCATCATTCCCCTGAGTCAAGGCCACTGCTATTCCTGCTCCGTAGACCGCCAAGTTGAGGAAGAGGAGAGCATATGCCAGGTAAGGCTTCACCTGAACAGCAGCGCGTGACTCAGGCAATCAAAATGCGAGCACACTCGCCGTTTGTTCGGAAGAGACAGCCGGCCAACCACAAAAGCTGGTCTCCACATGAGTAAGTGCGGAAGTAGACATGTGATGTGCCATCATGGACTGGGTACCATTACTAAGTCATACCGCGGGGATGTCAAACTTGTTGCTGCCAGCTTTCATGGGCGCCCCAGTCCTCTGATACGACCCTCCTCCGTCAGACAGAATCCTGCCCTCTTCCCCTGGATCCATTCCTCTCCTGCACGGTGCCAAAGCATCAGTCACGCCAGACTTGTCAATCACTCAACACAAGGAAGGACAGCAGAGCACATTTGTGCCACCCAAGCATAGCGTGGCATCATTGTCTGACCTGCGCGGTGGAGCACTCTGATTTGTAGGCGGAGCTGCCCACCACTGCACCTGCTCATCCTGGTCGCCTTTCCCTTCTCCTGATGTCTCTGTCACGAGACTAATGTTTATTCAGATTCAATGACCACATCACTTCAATGCCATGAGTAGTCGTGGGAACAACATCGATCTGTCACCTGCTATAGTTTCTGCTGACTTCTCCTCCTTCTGCTCTCCTCCCAGAAGACGCGTCAAGTTGCTCAACGTGTCAGCTCGTATTGTCTCACGCTCACCTTCCCCATTGTTTGGTGAAGACGAGGCTCTAGAATTCCTACGGCATCGACTGATGTGGGAATGCCTGAAAACATTGGGCAGTGCAGGCTTGAACGTGTGTCTGCAGTGAGCACCAGGCAATCCAGCACGTAAGCAACTCATTGCATCAGCTGCAAAATAATTGAACAGTTTCGATTTTGTGTAAGCAGATCATGTCCACTTCCGAAAGGACGAGATTATCCAATGATCTTCACTTTTCCGACATCATTTCGAGATTTCTCTGCCCTTGGAGTCCCCAAGACTTGCATTTTGCACTTGGGAAAATTGGATGCAACGTTTACATATGTAGCCATGCATTAGAGAAGATATCGGCTATGGTGGTGCATACCAGTTTCCATTGGCATCTCCACCAATGTTGGCACCCCTTATTCATTGCTGGTGCATGATAAAGCATGGCTCGCGACCGAGGCCCCTTCAGGACCGGCGAGCGAGTTCTCGTTCCCCACACTGACAAATATTATGAGGCAAAGGTATGTGCAGTGACGGATGCTAACCCTCTGCGTCGTGTCCAGTGGAACTTCATTTAAGGGTGATTTTCGATGTCTGCTGCAGATTCTCAAATCAGAAAAACGCAATGATGGAATCTGGTACTACCTGATACACTACAGCGTGAGTCCCTTCCACCATCGCATCAACTTACTCCACACAAGCCGCGTGTCCCCAAGACTATTGCGTCACATTGGACCGTGCTCAAAATATCCATATTCGTTTCTCAAACAGCTGTTTCCTAATGCACAGGGTTGGAACAAAAAATGGGACGAGTGGGTGGAGGCGACAGGGTTGACAAAGTACAAGAAGGAGCTAGCAAAGGTCGAGTTCACAAAAGAGGGAGAGGGAGGCACCAGGGAGTTTGGCGGGAAGGCGGAGGCTGCTGAAGGGAATGGCAAATCCAGAGCAGAAGCAGGCAGGAAGTCAGAGAAGGGGCAGAAGCAGACCGTGTCATCAATGGTAAGCAGACCGATGCGCTTGACATTCAGGCTGCAGGGCTTCTTCACCGTTTGCATGGAAGCATGAGCCTACAGATTGCTTTGTGCAGGTGAGGGTGCAGCTCCCAACAGCGCTGAAGCAGAAACTCATCGAGGACTGGGACCGCATGCAGAGCGGCTCTGTTGCTTCGTTGCCGCGAAGACCGAGCGTCAATGACATCTTGCTGCAGTTTGTGGATGCATGCAAGAGCAACAAGGACTTGGTGGAGCCTGAGGAAGAGGTGGGCACAGCATTGCCATCTTTAGCTGATTTCATTTGGCACGTTTCTGGAATGTTTCCAGTGAGTCACTCCCTGACTTTTATTTGTTTGCGCAGGTTGCCAATGGCCTCAGAATCTACTTTGACAAGGCCTTGAGACACATGCTCCTGTACCCACAAGAAATGGAGCAGGCAGTAAAGGTGCAACGCCGTTTTGTATGCATATGCTTCTGACAATTGTGGAGGAGTCAGTAGCAGTTTTGAATTTTTGGAGGGACTCCGGCCGAGTTTACGACTGCTTGTGTTCATGGTGCAGGCGTTGTCAGATGGCACGACACCGTCAAGTCTTTATGGGGCGGAGCATCTGCTGCGGTTGTTCCTGAAGCTTCCAGATCTGCTTCCAGCCAACCAGATGTCAGCTGACGATCAGCTGCAGCTGGAGATGCGGTTGTCGAGCTTTTTGAAATTTTTGTTGAAGAATGAGGGGCTGTACTTCTTGTCACCTGGCCTGCCAGATCAGAATGCCACATCTTGAACCGATGTTGTGATATAAGCTCGAGTGCAGCAACGGGAATACTTTGTGGGACCTTGTCACATACTGCATCCGAAGAGCGCATTGCAGGGCCAGTTGTGACTAAAAATTCAACAAAGAGCATTGTCATGCAATTGATTGACATAGTAGTTGATGCAAAACAACCAATCGCGAGCTCGAGGCAATATGGGCCTGATCTCAGGAATAGCTGTAACTAGAAAAGATGCTACACTTCCTTACAATGTGCCAAGCCACCCAAGAACTTTTCAAGCCATTCTATGCTCCTTCTGATGCCCACAGGGCACCCTCCTCAACCAAATGCTTTGCAGCTGCTTCACAGCAACAGTGCAGTGCCGAGTGAGTGCCAGAATCTCAGCTATTGTACGAGGATTTTAACACACAACCAACCCCAGAAGGATAATATACAGAAAGGTCCCTCCACAGTCTAGTCACAACAATGTAGCTGCCCCTTCTGGGGGGCTCTGATGTGCTGAAGGGAAGATCTGACAGATGACCGAATCTCCACTCTGCTCAGCTGCTAGCCCATGGCATATCTGTAAGCAACAGTAACTCCCTAAGATAGAGCACAGCAATGCCTGCAACACATTGCTGTATACAGAGCATAAATGCCACCTTTTCAACCTTTGAGAACGCCTTCAAATGCTCACTTGGATACAAGGATGGAGGCAAAGAGCGGCAGAATGTCAGGAATGGAAGACGATGACTTACTTGTTTGTCCACTGGCGAGCAGTGTCATCGTAGCGCTTCTTGTCTGTCTTGTATCTGCAGGCAATCACTCTAATCAGCATGATTAAAGAATAGAATCTGCTTCTTCTTGAAATACTCTGGAGAGACAGAACAGCAACATGCCTATACAGTAAACCAGCCACAAGGCAAAATGCCACTGTAACAACCGCGATTGCCTTACAGTAGGAAGTCTTGCTCTATATATGTTGAAAACAAAGGTCAATTTGACAGGAAGGAAAGTAGCAAGACTCACATGTGGGCAATCTCGGGCACCAGCGGGTCATCTGGGTTGGGGTCTGTGAGCAGGGAGCAGATTGACAGGAGCACCTGCAAGTCACAAAACATGCTATTGAACATCAGGCGGTATAAGACTTGAGCACACCATCTGTTTCCACCACTTCCGCATGAAGCATTAGTTCATGGTGTGCATTGAGTAGCTGTATCAAGTGGCACATTGGCTACATGATCATGATCAAGATGGTCAGGCAAGTAATGAACAGTGCTGCACTGAAGCTGGCACCGCACCTTGGAGACAGTCAGTGCAGGGCTCCACTGCTCCTTGAGAATGTCTAAACAAATCGATCCGTTGGAGTTGATGTTGGGGTGGTACACCTTTGTCTGGAAGTTCACCTGCAATCGGAGCGTCAGGGGCAGCACAGATCACTACATTGTCTGCACAGACAACGGCTTCAGATTCAAACAGGCTCCAATCGTGTTCCTCACAACACACCTTGGGAGGCTTGAATGGGTAATCCGGCGGAAAGTGAATTTTGACCATGAACACGCCGCCTGCATATGGGCTATCTGGAGGTCTGCAGCAGAAAAACAAATGGCATTAGCTAAGGAGGTCCTTATCCTCTTTCTTTGCACAAGCATAGTATGACAGAACGAGACCGTGAAATAAGAAACGTGAAAGAGTGACCAGAAAGGGCGGCTCACCCCATAATTGTTGCTTGCCAGTGGAACAGGTCATCAGGAGACGTAGGGCCTGTTCACACAACGAATATCAGTGCACAAACAGCATGACTTCGATGTCTTCAGCCAAATGATTGGAGATAAATAACGGTCCGTGAAACGAGAATCATGACGTAAGGAGAGCACAACTCTTCCAGAGGTAAGGCAACAGATCAGGATGTATGACTTGGAGGCGGACTTGTGGCAACCGATGGTGAGATACAATAGAGAATAACAGATAGAGCACGACTGGCTGTACGAACGGATTGGGAAGCACCTGCACTGCAAGACGTCGGTGGGTCTTTCTGGAGGTCTTTCAGCTCCTGCACCCCAGCAGGAAACCTTATACATGACACGTGCATTAAAATCGCCACAACTCAATAAACATCGACCAAGGAAGACGGTGAGCATGCAGTGCTCGTGATACAACGCACTGATAAAGCACAGAATCCCTGAGCCTGAGTGTCCAGGACAGACAGCAAAGGGACGAGGCACAATCGCATTGACAGAATACAGAATATGGGACGTCTAAAGAAACGCAAATACCTTCTGTATGCGTTTCGATGCCATGCGATGAGACTAGAGGCGCACTGACTTGCAGGCCTTTCTTCCTTCTAGGGAGGGCCAAACAGAAATGAAACGCTGAGAAGGAAGTCAAGCCGCCCAATAACCAGCCTAGGTAAACTTCGTACCGCGAGATCGCCAATGCAAAAGGCTAGAATCACTCCTTGTATTTTCTGAGTTGTGGAGCTCGGTCATGTGAGCAGGCAGCTGGCCATGCATGTAGGGTTTCTTGCTCTAGAGATCACAAAGGGATATGGACAGGTTTCCGATGAGAATTCCATCGTTTCTCACTAAGTAAAATTCTCAAGTGTTAAATGAAGAGGATGGACATGGAAAGATTCTTAATGGCCATCAGTTTTGTAATTCTCTCATGATACTCCAAATTCGTTTCCACATTCAGTCTCTCATCATAAGCAAAGACGCAATTTGGCACCCTGCGCGGCCACAGAAGGGAAAGGAAAGACACTCAGTTGTGATATCCAACTCGAATGGTGTAAGGTAAAGCAGCTATACTGCATCAGATGCGCAGTCAACACAGAGCTTGCTGCAGATGATAAAGACAGTGTGGCGCACTGCCAAGCTTGTGCCGGTTGTGATTGCTGTGGAGGATTTGCTCTATGGTCCAGCATACGTTAGTGGTCGGTCTATGCAGCCAACGCTCAATCCAGAGAGTGCTACTGGTCATGATCTCGTTTTGGCAGACAAGTGGAGCATTAAGCTGTACAGATACAATCGAGGAGACGTCGTTCTGCTGAGGTGTCCTTTCGATTGCCGAAATTCCAAACAAGGTGTAGAATCCTGTGTTCAGCCCTCAGCCCAGACTGACCTCAGTCTCGTGATTGGCATGGGTGGTCACCAGGTGGCAATATCTTAACTGTTGGGCAACATGCAGGTCTCCTGAAGATCCAGACATGACGCTCATAAAGAGACTGCTTGCTTTGGAAGGTGACTGGGTGACCATTCCAGGCAGCCTGGAGCTGGCAAAAATTCCCAAGGTGCCACTACTTGTCGCTGCGGACATGCCCATCAAGACTTCAAAAATCTTTCGAGCGGCCAATGAGTATTGAAAGCGATGCAGGGACACTGTTGGGTGGAGGGCGACAACCCAGAGTTCAGTGCTGACTCCAGGAGCAAGTTTGGCCCGGTAATGATAGCTGAGCCGTCTCCCGTCGTTTGCACCTTATGTGGTGATTGTTTGTGTTGTACAAACAAATGATAGGATGCCTAGAACTCGTGCAGCGGAATAGTACATTGTACCGAGGACTATGCGTTGTGCAGGTCCCAGTGGCGCTCATTGAGGGACGGGTCCAGTACATCTTTTGGCCACCATCGAGAGCAGGCCGCGTGAACTCGCATGTGCCTGCCGGACGGCTACTTGTGAAAAATGATCATGCTTTCACTGATTCTAGCCACTTTGGTGCTTTTGAAGACAGCTCATGCCAGCCTTGATCCAATTGCAATGGGCACATTCCTTTGTTATCGAGTAATTCCAATTTAGCATAAATGCAATTGCAGATGTCACTCCATCTACAAGCATACTGTGAACTTGATACTGAAAAGAATATTGCATTCCAAGGAACTCCTTTATGAATATCTGCAATCAGCACCTTTGCACAATTGAACTTGCGCGCAATTTATTGCATGCACAATTCCAGTGGTTGCATGCAATTTTGAAGCATGGATGCGGCAAATATTTCTCCTCAACTTCATCGGTATTTGTCCATGATTCGCTTTGCATCTGCACACCAAATTGAAGCACAATAAAAGCGTGCAAGGGGAAGTCCATGTTGAGGAAGCAGTGTCTGCCAATGAGGACATAAATCTGGAATTGTGCTTATGCCACACAGAGCATCCATACCCGTCAAAGCATCTCCAGAGTCCCCGCCATCGCTGTCGTCATTGCTGGAGAGCTTGAGCCACAGATATGCTCCTCCACCCAGCACTCCAAGAAAAACGAATGTTGATAGGACCTGACGGGCATCAGAACCAATCAGATATATTCTTTAGGTACCACACTGAAGGCTCGCAAGCATTCGCCGTCGACCAAACATGCACAACCCACCTTTTGAAGCAACCAGAATGCGACAAGGCCTCCCACTCCAACCACGCCAATCTTTGCAGCTCCACGAGGCACACTTTCAGGAAGAAGGTCAGCAGCAGAGTCAGCAAGCTTATTCCCGCTCCTCAGAGCACCTGCAGTGCAGCAGGACCTCAGTATTAGAACACTGGTACATGTGGACTCAAAAGGCCACCTGTAAAATTTTGCTCCTTACAGCATTGATCGTCAATATTCTAGGCCTATGAAGTAATCCCTATGAGCTACTGCAGCTGTATCGCTGAGGTGTGCCAGGGAAACAAAAACGTTGGTGACCTCACCATCGAGCTTTTCCCTGATCTTGTCTTCGGCACGAACCGCAAAATATCGTGCCTGGCGTGTGACAGGCTTAACTTTTGGGGCGATAGGTACAAATAGCCCACGACGCAGCCTCACAGGTGTCCCGAACCTGATTTGCAGCAGACGCAAATGTCATGCAAGTCACAGGGATGGCAGAACGCAACAACAGCTAGAAAATTGGATGTGTCTCACTGATGCGATCTGGGGATAGGAGCAGATTGGAGTACAAGTCTCTCGCCAATAGCACACATCCTTGAAGATACGAAGTTTGTCCGCGTGTCGCTGGAATCCAAACAGTAAGCAACTGATTAAGTAGACATAAAGAAGTTTTTTGCAAGAATAAGTTGACTTCAGCTATCCCTTCTGCTCACCAGCAGAGATCGCATTCCATCAAGTGCACTTGCTGACTCATCATCCACCCCCATGTGAGCATGCATGCTACACATTGCGCGGCTCTTTGGACCATATTCCAATATCTCGATGAGTAAAATTTCTTTCCTGGATAAGAAATGTGATCAGAATGTCCGCAGCAACGTTTGATGCGGCTCAACTTTGGTGGCCACCACTAGAACGATTCTACATCTCCTTGACATCCTCCACCCAGAATTTGCCTGACAAGCTTCAAGTGAGTATCTGTCAATAACACATCACTGAAGGTGACAGATTGGCGCATCCCAGAACGTTAGTCGTCTGATAAATATTGCATCACTAAATTCCAAACATGCGTGCAGGAACAGGCCAAGGACTTCGATCAAGTACTTCTTCAAAATCTCAGGTTCTTCAAGGGACCGAATGATACATCTCGGAACGCAATTGAAAAAGGCGCAGTGCTTACTCTGGGGTCCAGAAAAATTCCCAATGCTGCACATCTGCGGTCACCAGCTTTGCAGCTCAGTGAATCCTTGGTGAACCCCTTTTCACATGCAAAAACGATGCCAAGCTCTTCAGAAATGTGAGCGTACTGCAATTTGGATAGAACAGAGGACGGTCACAGGAGTCTGCCTCTGTCCAAGGCAGGCTGTACTGTCTGGCAGCAATGCATGATCATGAGCATAATTGACTCAGGAACTGGATGAGGTGCAAGCCTACATTCTGCTCCGGCGGTGGCAAGGAGACCACAAGGATGCGGTCATCAGGGATCACTTGACACTTGAGCAGCTGCACAGCATTGCCCAGGCGTATTTCTTGGAGCGTTCCTACGCTATTGAAAGCCTGAAACTGATCTTCCAACTCGTTGAAGGTGAATCCCAAACCTGTGCTAACAGCAAAGGCTCCTGTGTTTGTTTTGATAGACAGCCGGCTCAGACCTCCATATAATCTGCTGCAGGGGACCAGGAATCAGCGATTGCTGAGGTGTGTGGGCAGCACCTTCAACGCTGGCTCTCCTCTGGCCTGGAGGACTCTGTGGTATCCACTCTGCTGGCGAATCTCAGCGTCGGTGGCACTGCAGTCTCTGCTCTTCAGTCACAGGACGGTGTGCCCCCCTGCCCAGCTTGTAAACATAACAAAAAACAGTTGAACGCTTTGTGACATTACTGAATATTTATTGCAGATGCCTCATGAAAAACGCGAGAAGGAGTCACAGCACCTGCTTGCAGAAAGGCGAAGACAAACCGCACACCTGTGAACATTAGGTCCGGGCCTCAATAGAAGTCAAGATTTGGGCTGAATTTGGTTGTGCTGCGACAGGGGCTCTGGCGGTGCGGGATGCTGGCAGCATGGGGGCGCCAGGAAGGGCGGCGCTGGCGCAGACGCGCATGCAGCAGGCGGCCGCAGAGCGCTGCGCCCTGCTGGAGACGCTGCTGCTGCTGTACTACAGCCGGCCGCTCAGCGTGGAGCGCTGGCTGGAGCTGGCCGCCGCTGTGCGCTCCAGCCTCGTCCTCAGAAGCTCGGCGCCCAAGTCCGGCCAGAATCCTGGCCGCCGCGCAGACCACCTGGTGTGCAGCTACTCTACTGCTGCCCTACTGATGACTCAGCACTTCTGCATGCTAGCAGCGTTTAATCTCTTTGCGCTCCTACTGATGACATTTTGGCACGGCTCTAGCAGTCACATGTCTGCAGACAGGGGACACCAATAGTTTCAATCATTGGATGCACTTGCCTTTTATACAAGCTGCCTGGTGCAGGGGGTTGTCAAGTGTGTCCAATAAATGGCTACTGGATTTCCCCCGGGCAACGGACCATGACATGTGCTCTGTGCAGGCGACCATGGTGCTCCTGCAGACCCTGGATCTGGAGACACTGCTGCGGCTGGTGGCTGACAACGCAGCGCTGACGGCCGACGCGCACCGCTTCGGCGGCGCGGCCGATCGGGAGCGGATCGATGCAGAGCTGCGCTCCTGGTGGGACGGCCCCTCCGAGGCCCAGACCCCTGTCCTGCTGGCCTGGGCCGCCTTCACCACCCTCGCCAACATCGTCTCCCCAGGTGGGCATGACTCCGCTGCCCACTATAATGAGCCCTTGCGCCCGGGGTTCTCAAGGCAGAAAGCTGCAGCAAATATCACACTCGCAAGAAATGACATTCCACCTCATGAGATTTGGCATGAGCATCACTGGTTTTGTTTGGAAAACAATAGTGCAGGTTCCTCACGAAGGTCATCTTCAAGTCGTGAGGTGCGTGCGTCTGGTTATTGGATCTCACCTCATATTCTTCTCTTCTAAGTGTTGAGGTGTCTGCGCGCGTGCCTGTGCAGACAAGTGCGAGGGAGCAGACTACAGGGGCCACGCGCAGGTGGCAGCGGATGACGGGGCGCTCGCCAGCCTGGCAGCCAGCGCTTCCAGCCTGTGCAGCCCGGGTGGCAGCGCCGACCCTCTGGCGAGCCTGTTCAGGAGCACGCTGCTGGCGCTGCTGTCGAGCATTGTTGGCGCGTTCGGGCTCTCCCCTGCCCGGCTGCCCAGCAGGGACCTGGAGCACATCCTCCAGCTGCTGCAGAGCATATTCGAAGGTATGATAGCATATAGCTAATGAACATTGGTTCAGATGTGCAATATCCGGTGGCCGCCTCCTGTCTGTGTTTGAAGAAGGCTGTGTAAGGGGAAAGACAGCAGCATTCAGACTAATATTGGCGCTTGTGTGCAATCTCCAGTGGCCATCTCCTGCCTGTATGTGAAAAGGCGTCCAATTGGGAATGGCAGTATTTGTTGAGCAGGAGGTCTGATCATGCGGGGTGATGCAGGAATGCTGTGTGTGTTCCCTGCCTATCGAGTGCATTGGGTCTCAGCGGTGTTGGTCTGTCTGCGCAGGCCAGGAAGACCTGTGCGAGTCGTTCTGGAGCAAGCAGAGCGTAATCGAAGAGCCGCTGCGACACTTCCTGCATGAGTCCCGTGGGCTGTACCCTCAGGTGATTCACCCCTTCCTGTAACCATTTCTGTCCCTTAAAATTACATGCACAAAGCCTTATAGGCACTGGTCAAGCTCAGGACAGTTCACTGATGTCCACATGTGTTTGCTGCAGTACCCCGCCCCTCTGCTGCGGCTGCTGTCAGGACTCAGCTCCTCGCGAGATGCTGCAGTGGAGGCCAACGCATACCTTGCGAGCCTGCCCGTCATAGCACAGCTGCACGACAGATCCCAGCCCTTGCGGTACTTGGAGGAGGGAAGCAGCTTTGCCCAGGATGTCCAGGCAGCAGAGTCGATGCCTGTAATGGGCATTCCAGACGCCATCCCAAAGGTACGTGCCTCTGTTGCCAGGATGTTCTTTCTTTGTCCTGGCACCAATTTACATTTACATTTTGCAAAGAACTCCTCTAAACACAACTGACCATTAATGAGTGATAAGCGGACAAGCTTGATATATGCATTGGGATTGACGGCATGGGACAATTCTTGCTGTGGCAGGGTGCGCGGGGGAGTGTGCATGCGGTGCCGCCATGCCTAGCAGATGCATCGAGCAATGACATAGCAGGTGACATAGACGAGAGGGTGCTGGTGCAGTGGCGACTGCCCATGCAGCTGGGTGCCGGGCAGATACTCCTGCTTGCCATTGTGCAGGAAGAGCTCCTTCTCCTCCACCAGGTGCCCTCCACATAACACCCAAAACTTGGTTTGTCAGGAGCAATCTCTCGCATCTCAGACACCCATTAAACGGTGCCCTTGCTGTTCATTCACTTGGAGACCGTGCTCAGGTGAATCTGCTTACTGATTGCGTATTGGGTGTGCCAGATCATGGCGGCACCTGTGCGGGAGCATGTGCTAGCATTGAGGCAGATTGAGGAGGCGGTGGAAGCGCTGAGCCCGCCGATGCATCTGCTGGCGCGCATGACAACCGCGCAGCCAGCGCTGGCGGTATCGCTGGTGCAGATGAGGCTGCCCTCGACAGCTGGCGATGAGAGCGGCAGGGACCTTGTCAGCCTTGTTGCGTCAGCACTGTCCGTGTTGCCTCAGCTGCATGCACACGCTAAGCTGCGCTCCCGCCTGCTCCCCATGCTGGGTGCGGCTTCTGGCTCACTGCCAAAATTTGTACACATCATGCCTGAATCTTCATAGCATGCCTGACCTCAAGAATACATCAATTGTTGGGCACTCTTGCTTTGCGGGATTACCTGCCTGCATTCACGGAAAAATATGGTTGTGCACACTCTGAAGAGATCTCGCCCACAATTGTGAGACCGGATGCTGCTGCACAGAGGACTGCCTGGGGCATCTGCTTGCATCTGATGTGAGGGCTTCCAGGGGTTTTTTTGTTGGATCATTCAAACACTGACACAAGGCCAGCTGCTTCTGCCCAGAGGACTGCTTGGGGCATCTGAGTGCATGTGAGGCCATTCAGGGAAGTTTTATCCGTTCATCAACCACTGACATGGGGCCGGCTGCTGCTGCGCAGAGGACTGCCTGGGGCTGGCTGGAGCGCTGGCGCTGAATCTGCCGGCGCGCGCTCTGGACGAGGTGTGCACGGCGCCGCTGCTGCAGCCGGCATCCGCGGTTGCCACCGCTCCACGCAGCCTGGCGCCCGCCCCCAGCTGCCCCCGCTTCGTGGAGCAGAGCCTGCCTGGACTTCAGCACCTGCAGCAGGTGCGGCCTCTCGCCTGGGGTTTCTCTTGTCAAGCCTGTGTGAAAGGGTCCTCAGTCAAGATGACATATCAGGGTGCACGAGGTGGTAGGACACCTAAGTAGCGCTGTCAGACTGGACTTGTTGTTTCCCACTCGTTGTGGCCAGCCTCGTTGCTGTGCAATGTTCGTCTCGTGTGTGATGGGCTTGTTATGAGTTCCGGGCCGAGGTAGCAATGTTTGGAGTATGGCGTTGAGGGTGCAAGGGGCGGCATGTGCAGGAGGTGGAGGCCCGGAGCGGCAACTACGCTGTCTCAGAAGCGTTCCTGAGGCTGGTCTGCGTCCTGCTCCAGTCTGGCACATCCTCTCCTACTCTGCAGGTGTGCCACAATTTTGAGACATCTCTTGAATATATTAGATTTATTTGCCTGTGACCAAGGTTGCGGCGTTAATGAAGTTTTCTGTGTTGCACACAGGCCTATGTGGGGTTTGTTGTTGGCTATATCTTGCCCAACCACCCGCGGTGGCTCTACGCCAGCCAGTCCCAGAGATGGCGCATCAATGCAGCCGCCGTCAGAGTCGTGCACCTGGCGCTCACAACTGACGCGTTGCCCATGCTGCCAACAGGTGCAGCTGCAGCCCACTCAAAAACTGCAACAGTCTTGTCCCCGACCTCTTGCAGATCAACCAAGACCACACAGATCTGAACGCACCATATTGGATAATTGCCCGAGTACAAAATGGTTGCCACAGGTCTGGCGCCTGCCCACATTGCCGCTGGTGTGGCAGATTCCTCCTTGACCGTGCAACCTCTCCACTCTCTCTGTTGCCAATCCTTGCATGGGCACAGAGACTATGTGCTCCACAGGTGGCACCACAAATGTGATCTTCTCAGGCTTCATGTCATTCAGACATTTTAAAAATGTCAATGTGTGGTGCAGTGGCGACGGCACAGGCTGCCCTGGTGCCAGATCTGGCCGTGGCGGTCAGGCATGCGCTGCAAAAAGGCGGCGGCAGCGCGAGCTACCTGTGGGCGGCATTGCCCCCAGATGCGGCCACGCTGCGCGCGCTGAGCCTCCGAGAGTCCGGCGCCGAGGCAGCCGCCGCGGAGGAGGCCGCGCAGGAGTGGCAGCGGCTGCTGCCTGCCCTCGGCCTCGGGCCCGCGGCGCCCCTGGCCACCCTGTCCTCATCCCTCTTCCAGGTGTGCTCAGCCCAGCCATCTGACGTCTGGTCCCTGAAATCACAATAATTTTGGTGCTGCATGCCATGAATGACATCCAAATTTGCCTGGGAGATATGTGAATGTGTTCTGCATCTGTTGGACACGCTTGAGCGAGGCACATGTGAGTCCTGATTCAGATGCTGCTGGACACTCTCAAGCAGAAGTCCTGCCAATCTAGCGTCAATGGGATCAGGTGTTCCAACTTGTGTGAATCGTGCAAGTGTGTCCTATTGAGCGAGACAGCCTGGCACGACCCTGTGCAGGTGCCGCGTGTTGGCGTGTCCTCGCCTGCCAGCGTTTTGGCATCCCTTGTCAGCTACGGGTACCTGGATGCCGCGGCCCATGCAGAGGTGCTCCGCGGCGTGCGTGCCCTGGCGCTGGCTGCCGCGCAGTCCACCCGAATGTCCTTTGCAGGCTTTCTCTCCCAGGCCTGCGGTGAGCTGACGCAATACAACTTCTGCTGTGAAATAACAAAGTTTTGTTCACACCGGGTGACATGTCGGGCACCCTGCAAGCTCTGCATGCAAGGACACCTCCTGCAGCCATGCATATTCACACGAAGGCCAATATCAGTTTTCAAGGTCAAATTAATGATGTGATCACCCGTGGGCAGGCATTGTATCTCGGACAACAAGTAAGGTAGTATACCACAAACCCTCTAGCAGCCCTCTTTTGGCTGCTGGCAGAGTTGTGATGATTGCCTCGTTGTCTCTCTCAAAGTCGGAAAAGATAGTGCTTGAAGACAATTGTGCTGTCTTTTGGTCAGGGCAAGGGCAAGTGCCACTGATGCGGTCGCGCCTGGTGGAGCCACTGAGGCTTGAAGACGCCAAGGTGGACGTCAGCTTGTATGCAGCCTCTGTCCAGCATCTGGTGGCAGCCCTGACCTTCCACCCAAGCGTGGTGGACCTGCTCCTGTTCCCAAGCGCCCTCACAGACTCGGAAGCTGAGGCTACCCCAGCTGGCACTTCTGGGGTGAGTGACCAATCCTTCTTAGTGTGAAACTCTCCGGGAAGTGCTCATTATGCAAAAAGCATTGTCAGGATTGCTGGCGGGAAGTTTCGCAGGCTACCTATGAACTGGTGAAAAGAAAGAGCTGAAGACAGCTGTGCCCTTCTTGGAAAGTATTTCACATGCGGGTCAGGGCCACCGAGGTGATGCATGGTTGTGGGTGTCCTCGCAGGATGAGCAGGCCAAGAAGAGGTCGGCAGGGTCCTCACCCAAAGGCGCCAAGAAGGAGCTGAAGGTGGCGGCTTGGAGCTGCCTGGACGGCCTGTGGGAGGCTGTGAAGTCTGGACCACGACTGCGCGCACAGCAGCCGGCCGTGCTGGCCCACGCTCTGCGCGCCCTGCTCGCCATGTGGCAGGTGCGCTGCTCCCAGAACCTCCCCTGTCCCATGCGGCCCCTCACCTATCGTACACGAAACTGGTTCCAATAAGTGTGCACCCTCGCCAAACGTTTGCGCGCTGCCTCACTCTCTGGGAGCTGGGAGCTGGGAGCTGGGAACGCCAGCCCAGATTCTTTGGCCCCTTCCTGGGCCACTGTCCCAGTCTTCAGCAACCCGACAGCAGTGAGGAATGCGGGCATGAGCCTGGCTCGTGAACTTTTCAGAAATTTTGGAAGACACATTCATTTAAAGCATACTAACCTGGTTTACATGCTTCAATCTTGCTGGGAGTTTCAATATGCGTGTCATGATTGCAGGCGGGCCCAGTGGCAGGGCGGGCGGTGAAGGCGCTGCGGGGTCAGGGGGATTATTGGGGGGCGCTGGCTGGGTGCCTGCCGGAGGCCGCGCAGCGTTCCCTCCTGCTGGGCGCGCCCGACCTCGACGGTGCGACAACCCTACGTCTGCTGAGCTGCAGATTAGATTTCGTTACTTGGATGGTGGTGCTAAGTGTCAGTTTCAATTTGTTCTGGGTCCTTTTCCGGTCTGAGGGTATGACCATCAATGTCTCTATTGAGCTCTGGATCAACCTGCAATATCTTGGTGGAGCTGGTAGGGATTAGATTCATATGATTTGAATCTTGTTCTGAGGGTATGAGTAATAGTTAGCAATTGGTGATGTGGTGGTGCATCATGGCAGACGGCGGCGATGAGGAGCCGGCGGATGCGTGGCAGACGCGCTCGGACGGCGCGTGGCGGCTGGCCGCGGAGGCACACGCGCTGCAGCTGCTCTCGCTCGACGCCTTTGCGCACCGCCGCAGCACCGGTTGGCCTCCCTATTAGCAACACAGTGTCGTCTGCAAGATGAAGGGTTGCACATACTGTGCATCTTTATCATTCAGGAGCAGCAGAAACTACTGAATGACTGGAAAGTCGAATCGTGCAACTTTGACCGTTTGTGTGACACCAATGGTAATTTGGCCGCAGGAAGGCTAAGAATCTTATTGATGGGCACTGCTTCGTGGTTCTAAATGCAAGGAAAGGATCTTCCCGGGGTGTTGCAAAGTGCGTGGTGGTACCTTTGGCGGCACTGGCACCTTCTGAAACTGGAGAGATTGTGCTGTCAGGGGACGAGGCAGGGAGCAGCGCATGGAGCCTGCTGGACGGCTGGGCGAGGGATGCGGACGGCGGGCAGCTGTTGGTGCTGCTGCAGCGCTACAGTGTTCCCTGCGCTGGCAGACGGCTCCTCGCCGGGCTGGAACGCTCCGCCAACGAGGCCGCCCTTGAACTGCTCAGCACCGCACTCTGTGGTGCGCTTCAGTCCCACTACTGCCGAAGCTTCCATGCAGGCCGCACTTGGTCCTTTGCTGTGATTTTGTAATCTAAGAATTGTCAGATTGCCGAAAGATTGCACTCATCAGGTGTTTCAAACATTCACTAAAGAATGACAAAATGGCCTGTTTTGAAGTGTGTTGAAAGTTGCCATGCTTGTCCTGGCAGTGGGGTTTCGCATTTGAAAAGAATTATGAAACGGATACTGTGCTGCAGACAAGATGCTTGGGCCGAGCCTGCAGCTGCCAGGCTCGCTGCTGGGGTCGCTGTATGCCCTGTCACAGCCGCTGCTCAGGCGAGGCGCCTCTCAGGAGGCCGCAGCGGCCGAGCTGCAGAAAGCGGTGGAGAGCTCTGAGAGGGGCCCAGACTCCATGCATGCCCACCTTGTGGCAGAGATGGGGCGGCTCGGAGGAGGCTCGCTCCTGCTCAGGCAAGCCCCTGCACCTTGTCACATGAATAGTAGACTACAGCAGTCATGTCCTGGAACGCCTTGCAGATCATGGATCTTTGTGCTTTTGTACTCAGGAGACCAAGCAGAACAGACATCATATTTGATGCATTGATGCTTTGCAACAGGGCGGCAGAAACTTCACAGAGCGTCTTGGAGGCTGCCTTTGAGGATGGCCTTGCAGGCTTTTGGGAGCCCTTCCCCAGCTATGGCACCGCTTATGTGTACGATACCAACCGGCTGGCCCGGCAGATTGGGCCGGAATTTGCGCGCGAGCTGAAGTCTGTGCAGCAACTCCTGGCCTCCATGAGGTGCCGCCTTGTCTTTGCCATACCCTTCACACTTGTGGCACTGCTGCACAAAACCAATGTAAGGACGCGAAAGAGAGGTCATGGACAGTCCCCTGAGTATTTATTTGCTTGAAATTAACTGCATCTTCTGTGCATGTCTTCCTTCATCTGACTGTACACAGAGAAGATGCATACAGTAGTTGATCACCAAACTCAGCTAAGGCCCTGGGAAGGAGCTGCCGAACCCACCAAGCTGCTATCTGTATCTAGTTGAAGCTTGACAGAACCCAAATAACAAATGAATGGCATCATTGAGCACGGATGCTGCCATCACGCAGGGCGGTGGGAGTGCTGGTGAGCACGGAGGACGCGCGGCAGGCGGCACTGCGGGCGGTTCGCGGGGCCATCGCGGTGTCGCTGCGAGGGGGGGACGCGGCCCCCCAGCTGGGCGCCAGCGTGATTGCCGGCGTGACGGCCGCCCTGTCGCGCGCGCTGCTGCCGCCGCTTGCGCAGGCCGCCAAGGGCGCGCGCAGCGACGACGGCGTTGCCTCCTTCTCCTGGCTCGGCGCCTGCCTCTCCTCCGCCGCGGAGGTGGCCCAGGTGATTCCTTCCTCAGATGACCAGTTGGTGTGGATCAGGTACCTTCATGCTGGCTCCTGACGAACGTCCTAGGTCTTGCCTTTGCATGCACCAATGAGACAGGGGGTCAGCAATGTGGGGGCCTTTCTCTTCATGGCGCTTAAGTTGGGCACATTGTTTCTGCTTGAGACAGTTCCCTTACAGCAATTTCTTGTTCATGATCGTTATATGCTGCTGAGGTGACCCAGGTAGGGGGCCTCCGTTTCACAGCGCCCGGGCTCAGTGCTTGTTAAGCAGCAAATGCCTCCTCGTGATCTTGAACTGCATCTGAAGCGTCATAGCACAGGGAGGGCTGTGGCACAGGGGGTACTGTGGACAGGGGTGGAGAGGGAGTGCATGGTGCTGTGCAGGTGCTGGTGCTGGTCCTGCAGCGGTGGCAGGGCCGGGGCAAGGCGGCGGCGTCCGGCCGGGCGCCCTCCTCAGACCTGTCCATCTGCGCCGAACTGCTCCACATCACCCGGTGAGGGCCCTGCGTGACCATTATTTCTTCTTAGCTGCACATGCCATACCTCCCATGACTCACTCTGCTGCAAGCGTCTAGCACTTTGCCAGTTATTGGTCATGTGCATTCCTGTTTATGTGTTCGCCTTACAGAATTTGGTGGCACAGACGGCAGGTTCGCTGCAGATCCCACTGTGCTGCACAAGCTCTAGGCAGGCTACCACTGGACTGATGTGGTCAGCATGTTGGGCTGACATAATGTGTTCGGTGCGTTCTGCCAGGTCGTGGCTGACGGGCAGGGGCGCGCTGGCGGCTGCCAGGTGCACGGATCGCGCGCTCCTAGAGGACCTGGAGGTCAGTCTGCTGGCGGCCCTGCTGCTGGCGCTGCAGCGGCTGCCCCCTCTGCTCAATGGGGCTGCCCGTTCCGAGCCGCGCGCCGCCCTCCGCACCGCACTCGCGCAGGTGCAGCCCGGGCTGCAGACCATGCAGTGCCTTCTCTGGACTAGGAACTGTGTGGCTCCTTTGTGCTTCTAGTGTGCTTCATGGCCATGCAACCCCACACAGCTGATCTTTGACAGGACATATTCTCCTCCAGCCAGTCTTGAGATGGTATCCACCTTGACTCCGTCCTCTCGATGCCTGGGGACTTTGAAGCAACCATTGAAGCGGGTTCCCTTGTCAATGACTAGCTTAGGTGGGAATTGTGTTGCTGGTGTGCAGGCGGTGGGTCCGCTGCTGGAACTGTGCAGGGAGGCCGAGGGCAGCTCTGCCACGGCGCTGGCCATTGTGAGCGTTGTCATCCAGCGCCACCTGTCGTCCTCCACCTGGCTGCCCCTCCTCCAGCAGGCATGTGCATTTTTCCTCAAAATACTATATTATAGGTTCATCTCCTGGTCCTAAAGGCACCGGCATGGCTTCTACATTGGAACCATCACATTACCTTCCAAGCAGGGATGGAAAGAAAAGCCTGGCTCCACCTAATGACCGTCAATGTCACTGTCAATGACAATCCTAGATCAGACAGGGATGATTGATCTACAGCTGCTTTGTAGACTTTATCTCTGTGGCCAAGATAGGGAATTATTGGAGGTTGTCTGATGGATATGGGGATGTTGGTTGCAGGCTCAGGTGAATCTGGTGGATGTGATGGACCGCGCCTTCCGGACAGTGGTCAGGAGCCGCGGTAAGGGGGCGACGCAGCCGAAGGCCGTCACAGAACAAGCCAGCACCCTCATGGGCACATCCCTGTCACTCATCCTCACGGTGGGGCCTCTGCAGCTCTGCGTCCTGTCACAGGATTGCATGGCCGTGTTCGGAATAGGCCTTGGCCACTGTTACTCACTTGTTGGGCTCATGGATGCGTTGCCTTGCGTGACCTATGCAATGCAGCTGGCACGCACCAATGTCATAAGTGGGCAGCAGGTTAAGTTGAATATTGAGGCAATGAGCTTGGCAAGAGGGGTGGCTGAGTGTTTGTGGATGGCGATGCAGGCGGTGCAGCACAAAGGGGCCGCGCAGCTGTTGGCGGACCAGGGCCTCCTCAGCTGCCTGCTGGCCATGGCTGCCTGGATGGTAGCGCCTGACGGGGGAGGTGCGCCCTCTGCATGGCTCGCATTCTTTGCTGTCAGTCCAACGGATTTCTTCCACGAAAGACATGTTCGCTCCTGCAGTGCACATCTGAACTCAGGACTTGCACATGCTTACGGTCCCACTTGACTGCCTTGATTGGGCTTGATCTCTTTGTGAGCATCGCGACGATGCTGCCATGGAGTGCTCATTGGTCCTGAAATCGCAATGAGAAAAGCTTGCATGAGCCGGTTGAGTAGGTGCATGAGCGCTCACCCCAGCGCATTGGGTTCTTGCCGAATTAGTGACACCCCGCCACTATTCACCGCAGCGAGTGCTGACGCCGCTGTGTGCAGGGCTGGGTAGCGCGGTCAATGAGGAGCCGGTAGAAGCAGGGTCGGGCGGCGCGAGGCGGCCGCAGTCGGCGGCCACGGCACCACCGGGCGCGGATTACGCCGGCGCGTACAGCAGCGGCGGGCGGCCGGTGCCCGTCCACCAGCACTGGCTGTCCCTCTGCGCCATCCTTGGGGTGCGATTGCAGTCTCTCACCTTTGCCACTGCTAATTCGAACTGGACTGGCAGTATTGGCGCCTAAATACTGAATCTGCAAGGCCGGCCAAGCACACTTCAATGTTGCAAGCCTTGTTCAAGCACATCGCTTGGCTCTGCAAACCTCAATAGAAAGAGCTCGAAAGAAATTGACTCGCAGATACTGAGTGCACGCTTGCCTTGCCTGGGAGCTGACAAAAAATGCTAGTTTGACAATTGTGGAGTACCTCTGGGGCAACCAGTGTGCACACACGGCTGCTCAGGATGGGAGAACTTATCTCGCAGGTGGTGGTGCGTGCGCTGCCTGGGTGGACGGCTGTTGAGGCTGATGCGGTGGCGTTGCTGGTGGCTGCGGAGGAGCGCCTGCTGCTGGCACTGGAGCCCCCGGCCGCAACGCCTGCGCAGCCGCTCACCCTCGCCATGCTCCAGGCGCGCACATTCCCTTCCATGAACTGTTTTTGGGGCGCACGACAGGGTGCATGAAGGTTTTTGGAGTCCCATGTCCATGCAGGGGCGGACAGAGACAGATTTGGCTTCAACTGTGCCGCCTGCATGCTGCACAAAGTGACAGGGAAATATCAAGCCCAGGCAGACAAGCACCGCCACCCGTTGCAAGATGCAATATATCAAAGTAGATATAAATTAAACAACATTACATGCGCTTGTCCAGTAGCTCATCAAGGCGTCAGGATGCGTATTCAGCATGGGAGCTAATCATCGCTAGTGGGGCTGCCTGAGTGGGCCGGGGGTCGCGTGAATGGGGGCATGGCATGCACAGGAAACGGAGCGCGCAGCGTTTCTGCTGGCTTCCCTGGCGCGGCTGCTGGGCCTGTGGCAGATGGCGCTGCCGGCCTCGCTGCCGGCCGCACGCCAGACGGCGGCCTCCTTCCTCTCCTTCGCCGCGTTGCCTACCGCTGCCGACACCTGCGCCGTGCACTGCCCGCCTGTGTCGCCCTCTGAGAAGGTGCTGCACCCAACCAATGCCCTGGCCCTGGCCCTGGCCGGGATTTATATCCCTGAAATTTAGCGCAATGGTACGCGATTTGAAACATCAGCACATGACATGCAGACTAGCCTCCAAGCCTCCCCTTGGAAGTTGGTACTGGACAGGCTTGGCGCTCCATAGGACCGGCTTGTCCATGGAGGGTGGGTAATGGCAGGCAGATTGATGGAGTATTTGGCATGGAACGTTGAAAATTGTGTGTGGGGATACGCGCAGGCTCAGGCAAGAGAGCAGGCTGGGCTGCCGGTGGGGGAGGCGTGGTTTGATGTGTGCGCGGAGGGCAGCAGAGAGGCGAAGGCCGGCGCCGGCGACTACAGCGATTTGAAGCACAGCGACTACAGCGCCAGCCTGGCAGAGGCGCTCTACGGCAGCGTCGCCCAGGCGCTCTCCTTCCTCTGCGCTGTTGCTCCAGAGGTGTGCGGCATCTCACTATGTGACTGGCTCGTGTGTTGTGCTCCCCGTGGGATGGTGCATTGGCAGCTGCATGACTCGTGATGTAACGTAGGAAAGACAACGCTGCGATGCTATGATTATCTTCTTCAGTTTCCCAGACTTCCAGTTTTGTGCACATTGCCGCCTTTGTTCTCAGCTCCTGATGTTGCAGTCTGGTGTGCCAACAAAGGCTTGACATGAGTATGGTGCAAAGTGGTGGCTGAGAAATTTGCGGCCTAGCGCGGGGCAAAGAATGCAGGCTGCTCTCGTGTAATATAATCAAAATGCGAAGAGGGTGTGTGGTTTGGGCAGGTTGGGGAGGACGAGGTTGCAGAAGGGCTGGGCCCGGAGTGGCCGGAGCCACGGCAGCTTGCGGGCCTGCAGCAGCAGTGCCTGGCGATGTCCTTCGAGGTGTGCCAGCGCAGCATGGCCGGCAACGCGCGCGCGGCGCGGCTGTGCCGCACTCTGCTGGCCATCCTGGCAATGAGCCGCCGCCTGCAGGCCGCCCAGGGGTTCCACCCCGACCCGGCGCTGGCCGAGCGCATCCGGGACGGCCAGGCGCGCATGACCGCCGCGCTGGCACCGCCCGGGAATGCCTCATGATGGGCGCGTCCTTCACAGGAGATGCACAAGAGAAAGCCCGGGAGCGTCTGATGATGGGCTTCTTTCAGTCAGGGGATGCGCACATGAGAAGGCACGGGAGTGTCTCATGAAGGGCGGCTTTAGGACAGGAGTTGCCGGTGACACAGTTGCTGTTTGGCTAGGCAAGGAGATACAATTGTGTGGGGGGGATCCAGTGTCTACTGATAGCTTTGATTAGTTTCTGTGGGAAAAGCAGGTGAATGGGGTGAAGAAATTCATGGCGATCCTCATGACACATTGTCCTGCCACATTTGAATTGCTGACGAGTGGTGCGACTAACAGGTGACATTGTGGCATCAGCTCATGCACAGGTGATGTAATTGCCCTTTAGAGCAAACGTGATCAAGGCAGCCTGGCTGAGACAGTGTGTTGCACCTGAAAAATTGCATCTTTGGGATACCGATGGTTCTCATTTCGTTCAGCAGTCCATTTGCTTGGTTCATTCAGTATGTTCTGACAAACACAACTAACATAACATAACTGTGCTGGCAACACTTATTTGGCTGCAGAGAGCTCTCTCGAGAGCGCCAGAAATTCTTTGATGGTTTCTCTCAGTTGCTTGACCTTCGCCAAGTCTTCCTGCCACTGACGGATGCTCTCCGCTCTCTGCTTCTTGTATTCTTCACCTGCTCTTGCCGCGTCCTCCAGGAGCTGTTCCAAGAAGGCTTGCCGGTCGTCCAAAATTCTGTCTTCAACCTGCGCATTATGCTGTCTGCACAGCACAGAGCCTTCGTTCCTTGTCGAACATTGGAAACTCAGCCTGAGTCAGAGCAGCGCTTCTTCTTGCGATAGACATTTTACACTGGGCCTTGCCTTTCCGATGGGGAGCTGTTTGAAGAGTCTGCTTGAAAGTGCGCCCTCTGCAGCAGTGCACATGTCGTGACATCCACGCCTCTCTGCAGAGAGGCCTCCACATCCTCAGGGCGGCGCAGTGCCATCTGGGCCGCGGATAGGGACATGTATGCCAGCGCCAGTGTGTGCACAGCGCCAGGCACTGCCTTGTAAGTCTGCATCCAGCACACAACACCTGAAGCCTTGACTGGCATGCATGCAGGCAAGCTCATGCACCCACTGCGCGCATCGCATCATCACACCCTCATAGATCATCATCACGGCTTGTCAGGCAAGTGGCTACTATACAAAGAGAAGGAGATGGTTCTTCACAGTGCACGCAAGGAGGTGTGGTGCACCTTCTCAATCTGTTCTTGCGATGCTGCTTTGGGTCCAAACCATCTGCCGACCCATCCCGTCTGGCCGGCCGTGATGGCGTCATACTTTTGGATCAGGCTTTCCACGGAGTCACAGCAGCGCTGCGCCATGTTGTGCGCGCGCAGGAAGCTGTCGGGCGTGGCCACCTTCATTTCCAGGTTCACAAGCCTGAGCATCTGATCCGCAGGAATCGCATTCCTCCTCCTCATCTGCAGCACGCAATGCCCGGCTCTCATGCACCACCCCGATTCATCCGCACCGCGAGCAAAGACACATGAATAGAAAATCCTCAGCCAAGTGGCTAGGAGCCTTGGAAGAGCATGCCTTGTTGCAAGGGTATCTTCCCCAAAAACACAGCAGTTGTGGACATGCCTGCAAATCCGGAGACACGTCTTCATTGCTCAATTTGCTCCGCGATGACACTGATGCTGCAACCAACTGTGAGGTGTACAAACTTGCGCGCACCGTCTGGATGCTGAGGCTCTCCTCCAGCAGCCGCCGCGCCTCGTCGTATTCCCCCAGATCCTGCAGCACGCCAGCGAGGGCCTCCGCGGCCCCGGCGGTGGTCAGGCTCTGGGGGTCCACCCCCCGCTCGATGTCATAGCACCTCTGCAGCGGCGGCCGCGCCCTGTCCGCGTGGCCGTCCCCCTTGTGGAAGGCCGCCTGCTGGCCCAGCAGCATCAGCGCCCCTGCACAACATTGGCAGAAATTCTTCAGTGTACCTACAAGGAACCCTTCCCTGAGATTCGTGTGCGTGGGAGTGTGGATGTTAGCTGTTCAACCTTGGACATGCTGACAATTTGCAAATGAAGAAGTCTAGCTACAAATTCAAGCCACAAACTCAAGCCATGAATCAAACCAACACAGTTCCCACTTGAACAATGTGGTTCCCATGCTCCAACGGGCTCTGTCTTGCATGCATGTAGTACTGGAACAGCATGGGTTGGCATGACATGGCGGGTTGCGGATGTAAAGGGGGATTCACCTTTGCTGGTGCCCAGGCCGGCATCCTCCAGGAAGCGGAGCTGCTGCTGCAGCATCGCCAGGGCCTCAGAGGAACGTCCTTTTCGCCTCAACAGCCGCGCGAGGGGCAGCAGGGAGTCGCACACAGACGGGTGGCCGGGGCCCATAACTGCCCTCTTGGCCTGCAGCGCGCTCTCGTAGCACTCCTGAGCCTTCTCAGCATTGCCAGTCTCCAGGTAAAAGCCTGCGAGTAAACAGGCTATCCTGAGTACTGGGTGGAGCTGTTCATCTTTGTGCCGGCGAGCTATTTAGAAATAGGAATGAAGAAATAGGGACAGGCTACCTGCTGCATTGTGCAGGGCTGCTGCAGTCCTCACATCCAGCTCCCCGAAGGTGCCGCGCAAGCTTTTCAAAGCCTGCAGTTGGCGCCACAGGTTCTCAGCATCCCATGTCACCTGTAATTGGGACAGGTAGTCTATTGGGGGCCCAGCCAGCTTCTGCACACCTGTTCATAAAGAGGCCCGGCCAGGTCGTACTGGCGGGAAACTCTGTACAGCTCTGCCAGATTTTGAGTTGCAGCAGCCACATGCGGGTCGTCCAGGCCAAAGCCTTGCTTTGCCTCATCCAGCGCAAGCTTAAGAAACCTCTCTGCCCGCCGCAGCTCTCCCTGAGCGCCTCCATCAAGCCTTTATCAGTACTCACTAGTACAGGGCCTCGGGTGAATCCAAGGCAATGTTGTCAATACAGGCTGCATAGCTGGGAGCATTCACGGACCTGTGCACCAAATTTAGCCGCCTGGTCTGTATACAGACGCCATTTGGCTGTGGAATCGTTGGACACTGGCGCAGGCCTCTCCTGAGCTTCGTTTTTGACTGGCCTTTCCTCAGCTCTCGCTTCAGATCCGTGAAGCAGGAGCACTGCTATGCCTACAGATGCAGAAATGTCAATTTCCACATCTAATTACATGCTTGTTTGTGCTTAGGCGATGAGACCAGATAACGGAAAAGTACTTCAGGAAGAAGCCGATCCACAACTGCAGCGTACCAGGAAATAAAAGGCCCCAACTATGAACAGATTTGTCACGATGAAGCGATACCACAGGAGTTATTCGGGTCTGGGAGTACGGTAGCGGAGACGAACGCTCGAGGATTCGGAGCAAGCTTTTGCTGGTTGCCCAGAGGTGATGCCGTGACATGTTAATCGGACAATACACACCGCAATTTCCTCTCCCATCGAGCCAGACTGAGTACAAATAGCCATGGGCACCTAAATTCAGCTTCTTAGGTTCAGAAACCCTTCTAGAGTCCTAGTACATTTCAGATTTCAGAGAAGGAAGGAAGAACCGGAGAGAACACAACAAGATAAGTCTAAGTTCTCGATATGATGACTTAAACCATATCTTGTTCTGGAGGCATGCGTCCTTTAAATAGATCTTTCAAGCCAGATCGGCATCTGAAGATGGCGTTGTCAGTCTCGAAGTGAACAAAGAGAGGACTAAGAATCCTGCTATGAGGCGAACAAGTCCATTGCTTCCTCTTCACCCGCCAAGCGGCAGAAGGAAGAGGCAGGATCTGCAGACTAATCTGAAAAGGTGACTTGTTCGACAGGCATCGGTTGAGAAACTTCCACTTCAAATTGGGCATGTGCTTTCACATGTAAGATATAAAGTTATCTAGTATTTTCCCAAGTTGGTTAAGAGTCTGAGTGCAATGTTACGGCGGCTTCTCACCGTCTAATTGTCAAGCACATGCGCTGATGTGTAGAGATCACTGAAGTGCATGTGGTTACATGTGCCTTGAAATGCAATAATCTGGGACTGGCAAGTATACAGGACGCTACTGTTGGCTGGACTTGCCACTGTGCTCATTTTTGGAGGACTATCCCTGAAGAAGTTGACCGATGCCCGGGCGAAGGACACGTTGAAGGTGGTGGTGAAAGGCTCGCCAACCAGAACACACCTACTCCAAGAGCCTTACGCAGATCTCTACACGGAAGGAAAGGATGGGGAGGAGCCCTGCGGGGAATCTTGCAGCAAAGACCATGCGCACTCGCACAGCGCTCCGGTGGGACAAGACAGTCAATCATTCTATTACCACCATGGTCTTTACACGCACTTAGAGATGCTGCATGCTATTTGACTTTTGTTCAATGGCTGTTGATACATGCAGGCTGTCAAGAAGGGGGATTCTGAGGTTCCTCTGTACTTGATGGTAAGCTTGCCAATTGCAGCACCCCACACGGCATGACATGGCCTCTGCATTCTTCTGCTCCTGCTCTTAACATCAAGGCATGATTCATATTTAGCACACTAACAGTCGGGTACATACTTTTTGTCTGCAGACAGCTGAAGACATTGACGGAAAGGAGCAATCAATGAAGCAATACGCTGGGAAAGTGCTGCTGATCACCAATGTTGCATCTCAGTGCGGCTTCACAGATTCCAATTACAAGGGGTTGCAGAAGCTCTATGAGAAGTTTCTAAGCAGTGGTTTCGAGGTGTGTTCAATCTCTTTTGCATTGCAAGTGGGCATCTCCAACCCTTCCTAATGGTTAATTACCGTGGTGGATGATGAAAGTAAACGAAAGTGGGTGTATTCTGGTGCAGGTTCTGGCATTCCCCTGCAACCAATTTGGTAATCAAGAACCCGGAGACTCGCAGACCATCAAGGAGTTTGCCCAGAAAAAGTGCGGCTACCCTCAATCCCCTTACTTGACAATGGGCATTCTTATTGTTGCGCTTTTCTAAAGCAGATTGCGGTTTGGCACAATCCTGCCGTACCTGGCCATCCTGTATCCTCTCAAGTCAGGGCCATCATACATAGAGGCTTGCTGGCAGCTTTCCTGTGATATTAAGGTCTCTTATGCCTGATGTGAGATTGGGGGTGTCTTGTAGGTACGGGGTCACCTTCCCCTTGTTCAAGAAGGTGGAGGTCAATGGTCCTCACACAGACCCCATCTTCCGGTACCTCAACATCCTCAACTCAGCAGAGACTGAACCCAACGCAGCAGACTGGAACTTCAACAAGTACCTTGTGGGGAGAGACGGCTATCCAATAAAGCATTATAAATCTGCTTTCAATGAAGCTGAATTGGAAGCCGACATACAAAAGGCGCTCTCAGCGCCGGGCAGCAAAGTGGCAGCGACTCGCTGACTGTGATAATCGCTGGCATAGAATCGCTGGCATAGAATCTTGTAATCAATTGTTTCACTCTGGAATTTTTCGTCAAATACAACAGTCTTCGGTGATGCATGTGCCATTGCCAGGGACAACTTGTCCCTGGCAGTGATTTGAAATCACTGTGACATGCGCATGCATGCACTGCCCGCGGGGCCAAGGCCGGCCGCTGCCGTCAATTACATAATGATTGGTACATAATGTACCTACAAGAAATTGCACATGCACCACCTGCCATTGCTTGCTTCCTGTACATGCTCCTGTAAAAAGTCTGACGGGCCAAAGGACGGCTCTTTGGGGCATACAGCCTTCCTGGAACGCCCCCCGACAAGGAGCTTTGCATGCCGCATTCAGCAAATCGATGCATTCCAGACTTATTATAGCGCTTCAGCAGCTTCTACAAATACTTATTGAGAGTGTGCTGGCTGCTTCGCCCAGTAAGATTCGGCGACCTGGAAGGCCTGGGAGTTGACGTGCTGTACTAGTGATCAAACTGTCCAAGGAAGGGCGCAGAGCCAAAAAGGGGGGACTGAGCGTTGCTTTATCACCACATAGGATTTAGATATATTATTGCCTTTCATAGGAACAGAAGCAGAAACCACCCCACCTCACTTTGCCACAGCCATGGATCCAGTAGCTGTCCAGCAGACCAGTCTTCTGTACAAGCAGTCGTACAGCGATGCGTCCGTGCTTGTTTGCAGAATAGTGGTGAGCCCGCATCCTAATCTGTGGGTCACTTGCACCCAAGAAGTGCTGTTGATGTACACGCATTTTGCTCAGATCCTTAAGCTCAGCCAACAGGTTCTATTCGCTGATTGCGATCAAGTATCCAAATAAATATTTTGCCGAAATTTCAGTACTGCGAGAATTCTTTGGCATGTGGATCTCTGCAGGACAAAGAAGATGATCTTTCAACTGCCACAGCCTTAGAGCAGCTCACTTGGCTGCACAGACTGCATGTCGCGATAGACAATGTCCTGAAGACAGCCAAAGCGATCAAGGTGGACATCACAGGTCAGCATCAGTAAATCTTCATGATTGTATGAATGAGAGCGAGGATCACTGAGTTGCATGCATGGGGTTTCTGGAGGGTGCCTATCAATCTGGGATTTCTAACCTTTGAAATGTTGAATTCTCACATCTGTGCAGGGGAAGTGATGCACTTTGTGTCTGGTACGGAAAATGCTGATGAGGATCATGCTGCCAGCCTTGTGACCCTGGCAGAAGAGCTGATGGCAATGGCAGCAAGCATGGCAATGCCCAATGGCCGCCCTTTGCAGCTGCAAATGGGCCTCCATACTGGGCAGGTGGTCACTGGTGTCGTGGGAAATTTGGCACTCAAGTACGGGTGCGTAGCAATTCCATGCTCCCCAATTTCATTAAGATTCAAGACAGCACACGTTCTTACAACCAGGAAGATTTTTTTTGGTGGCTTTGTGTTGTTGCATGCTCTTAATTTGCCTGCATGTTGTTGCAGGGTCTTTGGCCCCACAGTAACTGTGGCACGGCAGCTGGAGAGCCTGTCTTCTGTAGGCACAGTCTGTGCATCCATTGACACAGTCAAGTGCGACCTCTCATTCTGGGCTGAGGCGGAATTGAAATCCCTGCAGCCTTCCCAAATTTGGCTAAAATTGGCTTTCTTGTGGATTGTGTTGGGCTGGTGAGCCCAGCACATGATCCCCACCTGAGGTTCTTGTGGGTGTCACAGGAGATTGCCATGTCAGGACAGCTGGGCAAAAGCTGACACAATTACTCTTCCTAACTGGCAAAAGCTTGACATATACAGATGTGTCATGGTACCCCAGGACTGTGCAAAGTCATGACCCAGTTACAGAAGATCTGGTATTGGAGGTAGGTGGACGTTCTCTTTCTGGATTTGCAGAATGACATCATTCTTTCGCTAAGTTGCTTCAGATGAATTGCATTACCGCTGCCTGTTCACTTCAATTTGGCCAGCTTGGATCTCTTTTGTGTCATCATGACAGGCACGAGGGCCTCACACATTGTTGGGCACAGTGATGGGTTTTGTACATCATTTGCAGTTGTCAACCAACTGCCATGATGGTGGGAGTATGGATCTCACAGGAACTTCAAAGGGTGAATAGTGGTGAAACTCTATCAACAGATGAGAACAGCGCGAGTACAAATGGGGACTGCACGGTGAACCTTTTGCTCTGCAAAATATTAATTACTTCCACTGCGCAGATCAAGTGCCCTTATTTTGCTGATCACATATATACACCGATCATCCTGAGGCTAACACATTATATTCTGCCCTCGCTTGCAGTGATTCTTCTTTCCTGGCTTGGCCTGGCGCCAGATCAGCCCTCTGCCAGGCGTGGTGAAGTAAGCACAGCTTCCTGGTGGTGGGCATGGACGTATGTGCAGCTGCATATGGTCTGTCACAGTACTATGCCAAATTAATGACAGAATAGCAATAGTATTTTTCGTTTGCTCCCTAGGCTGCAGCATGCAATGCCGATTTCCCAGAAATTGTAAACTAATTCCCTGTTAAGCTGTCTTGAAAACATGTACTACATGTACTACATGTTTTAGTAAGCAGTCTTAGTAAGCATGTAAAAGAATGTAGTGCATCTGGTGGGTTCTATTATTCCTGTGCTTCCACATGTTTAGTTTGTATTGAGGCTTGCTGCAATTATCTGTAGTACTGAAAATACCAGAATTATGCACAGGCTGTTTGAAGTAGGTACTGGGTTTTTTTGTCTGTAATAAGTACAAAAATATAATTCGATCAATGTCAGTCAAGAAACCACTCCATCAGCCCCTTATGGTTCTGTTATCATAATCATGCCAATTCTTGGAATAGAGGTACAACTAATAACGCTCAAAACTGTCACGCAGACATGCCCTGTGTTGCAACAACTGGCAGATCCGCACTTCTTCAAAGTTTGCCATCACTATGGGGCATGCTAGCATCTTGTCAGCAGTGTCATGTGGCACTGGTATTTAAAAGGTTGTCATTGGTCTGCTGTGAGCTCCCACCAAGACCCAAGTAGTCCATGAGTGCATGGAGTCGCTCAGGATTTGTCAAGTACAAATATCCAGCCTGCGCAGAGACCATGCACCAACTTCTAAAATAGTGGGGTCATCACAGCTGCAGCAATCCAATTGCAGCTACAGCCAAGTCGCAAAGACATGTAAGGTCAACAGATGAAATAGATTATTTCAAATCGTCCAGCTGCTTACGTGGTAATTAGGGAGCGTAGGGCGCACCAAGCATTCCATTGCTGTCGCATGCTTGTACGTCTCTGCATGTTTGCCGCTGGCCTTGAATCTGGGCGGTACATTGACCTTCGCATTGCGGCCCCATCTGAGGATTTCCCTTTCCTCTTCAGTGATGAACTTCCCAGAAAGAAGCAGCTGGTAGTGAGTTTCCTGCAAGCATTGCGACAGCTGAAAAGAAAGGTCACGCAAACACCCGTCTTGCTTGGTTATGCTAGCGCTGGATAATCAAGATACCCGGATGCTGATGCACCTGCGTCTCTGCTCGGACTTGAGATGTGACGCCTTCATAGTAAGTTGTTAGACGGCCCGGGGGAAAGAAGAAGTGTCGTCGCACATAAAGCTGCACATATGAGGAACTCAGATCTTACTCGCACAACATTTTAAATTTTGCTGTGGGTGGCAAAGTTGCTGTGCATGTGCTGGGCATCCAAGGCCTCCATCTGCAAAACAAATTATATTCAAACTAGCTGTTGACAGGTCTTGGGCTCACCTCCCAGACAGAGTCCCCAAGGAAGGCTAGTGCTGTGGCATTCCAATTTGCGCGCACATCCTTGCCTTCAAGATTGGGCACAGGGGGCAGTACTGGATTGCAATCTGCTCCCCCCAACAACATGTTCAGAGTGGCTAGTACTGTGACACATACCCAAAATGCCAAGAGATAAAGGACTGCTCAGTCTGAAATTCTCACCTACTAGCCCAGTTGGTGCTGCTGGTCCAAAACCTTTCACAGCTGCATTCACTGTGTTCCTATAATTCAACAGTGTTCTACTTCGTGTTATTCTGGGACGCCCAACGGGACACTCAGAAAACCAGACTGCCCATTGTCGCTCCAAAACGGTCCTGTAAATCATCTAATAGCATGTGGCCATCAAGATCTTCTGAAGATGGCCAGATTAATTCAGATTTGTGTCTGCAAGATGCACGGCCTCCAATTCTAGGCCTGCAGCACCGCTGTTGCGCTCTACTGGGAATCCGTTACGGCTTCTATTGCAATGAGAGCCCTCTAATGGTGGAGAATCAAATATTATGCTCTCTGCTTACCACGAAAGGATACTGTGATTGCAGCTAGCCCATGGTCTAAATATATATGTTATTACCCCTGTCTTTCAGGTCAAGGTGCAATCGTGTGGATTGCTCACAAGTTTTCCAGCGGTGATCGGAAGGGAGGCATTCTTTACTTCACCTAAAGTGATCTACGCCCTGCGAAGGGGATTGCATCAAGCACAGCGCATTTTTGCCAAGACTATACATCTGAGGTGCTCGTGAGGCAGTGCAAGATGACTAGCGGGCCTGGTAAGATTGAGGAACTACAGAAGCTGTTCCAGAGCTCATCAAAGTACACCCATTTGCAGGTGAGTTCAAGAGTTAATATTGCTTCAGCATTATTTCCTAAGCAATCTGCCTATTTCCTTTGCAAGTGTACTTCCAGCCCACGTGAAGTTGCTTATGCATGTCACATGCCACCGCCTCTCAATGAATTGATGTCCTTCGTGCAGGGCAAGAACCCTGCAGTCAACAGGCTGGTCACAGTCGTGGTGCCCTCAATGATGGGGTTGGCAGCTCTCACCCTGGTCATTGATTCAGCTCACAAGTTGTACACAGGGAAAGGAAAATTGGAGTGACAGCGAAGTTGATGGGGAGGGAGAGGTCCAAACCAGAAAAGGACAGCACGCTGCTCTTGTGAGATAGGCAATCTATGGAAGGGTGGGGGAGGTCTACCCTTTGCAACAGTCAGCGTTCATCCCTTGCAGACTCTGATTATTACATGAGATGGAATGTTGTATTACAAAGCGCGTAGCATTAGGACAGCCCATGGTGTTTAGTTTAAGCATAAATGCAGCACGAGAAAAGCGCTGTAACCTCTGCATGCAGCTACAGAACGGGAGGAAGAAAAAAATTACATCTACAGAGATTATCAGCTTCTCAGCCCTGCAGGTGATGGGCATCTGAGGGCCCACAAATACATGACAGCCACAAAACCCATGCACCATTAGATATATGGCCATGTTAATTGGTGGGCCTACGTAGTACACTGATACTCAAGCTTCTTGAGTCTGAACAGACAGCATGAAATGAGCCTCAATAATCTAGCAGTAGCACAGGAAATGATCAGAAACCTATGAAGCAGACTGCAGCATTGATATCGCAGACTTCACCAGAAGACCATAGAAGAAGAGCCTGTCCCACACATGCACAGGAAAGCATCAGCAGGATCGGATTTTCAATCGAAAAACGGGCACAAGACCTGCAATGCATGGTTGTGCATGCTGAGAGTTCTGGACAGCATTCAACTGTCCAAAATGACACTTGCAGAGCAGATGTCTACATGATAACCGATCTTTCAATATGTTCATGCTTCCTCCTCCATCCAATTAGAGACCGTGAGGACCATCGTAAATTACTTTTGCAGCAATGATTTATGCAGCAAACATCTGTATGACCTTCAGACACAGCACCGTGTTCAAAGAATGGCAATCAAAGAATACGCTAAAGATTATCATGAGGGTATGTCACAGCTTGCAAGGGAAGGGAGAAGCTCACATTGCAAAGTTGAAGAAAGCACCACGCAGGCGCTTGCCGGGTACTCCAGTCGCGTACCCCTGCAGAAAAGTTTGCCACAGATGCTCAATTTCAAGACCTTGATCACGCTCCCTGGGAAGCAAATGATGCATCAACATCAGCAGAGAAAGGCAAAGGAGCTTTTCTCAAAAGCTTCGACGCCGAGTGGAATCTCTTTCCACGACACTTCTGAGCGGCGATTACTAGCGCCACCAGCTGCACCAGAAATATGATCATCTCAGCTTCAACAAGCCTCACCTGGAAGTAGACGATCCTGCCAATCAAATAGATGACGCCCGTGATAGCTGAGGTGACGGGGTAAGACAGGCCCGCAAGGATGAGACAGGCAAGAAACTGCGTTCAGAAAGACACAACCCATTTTTATAACAGCCAAAGGCAATCTCACCAGAAAAGTTGCATAAATGGGAAAATCAACTGGAAGCTGCAGGTGTGATCTGAAGGCAATGCAAGCACAGAGACCTGCACACCTGCGGGTAATTTTCAAGAGAGTTCTGGTGGCCACGCTGGACACAATCGAACAGCTCTGCATCTTTGTTTTCCTTGTCTGCATATAGTGCGGGGTACTTCACATTGTACCTGTGTGCACATGAAACATCACGCCACTGGTGACACCTCTACAACAGACAGTGTGAGGTTGTGCATATATGGTTGGATGGCGTACTTTTTGCGTGCTTTTACGACACTGAAAGCCATGTAGCCGTGATGCACCAAGATTGAAGCGAAGACGACCAAAACCACATAGCCGAACTCCGGTTGGAACGCCATCCTTGAGTATCAGATTTAGACGCTGATCCTTTCGTCAGAAAATGTTGATTCTTTGTAAATGTGAAACTTTCTTTCCTACTTTTGGAAATTTGGTTTGAATTGTTATGTGGGGCTTATGGAATCGTGCAGTGACCAGTTTCCTCGCCTCGCGAAGCTTCCATGCGGATCCCCCGGTGCGGCCCCTCGGCGGCTGGAAGACGGACGGCGTTGCCTACAGAGAGACATGAAATGGAATTTGGCTAAGCAGTCTTCAATGCCTGATCATTTATCCTGATCCATACAATCATTGATGGGAGATTTAGTCGTGTGCCCAGGGGAGAGGCTCTTCAAGGCGGTGCGTCCTATATCTTGGCGTGCCACAGATTTGCTGATGGGCGGCATGCATTGATATCATAATTGCTGTGTGTGTGTTCACAGGCCGAGTACGTGGCTAGTTCTGGTACTTACGTCAAGGGAGATCACATCTGCGCCTCTTTAGTGGGAATCCCTCAATCCTTTGCAGGCAGCTCCAGTGCAGAAGACAAGGTACAGTTATCGTCCTTCCTGAGATCTGCCTATCGCCTGGCAATCTGTTCCCACATCCTTAGCACAATCTATGATCTTATTTTCTTGCTCAGCAGAGACCGGTGGTTGAAGTTCTCCGCAGCGGCTCAAGAGCAAAGGTTCCTGAAACTGGCAACATCGTCATAGCGAAGGTAAGTCTTTTTGTAGACCTGTTAAACATGCCAGATTCTGTCTTCCTAACGTGAATTGACCAAGAATGAATTGCAGGTCAACAAAGTCAATCCAAGATTAGCTTCGGCCAGCCTTCTGTGCGTGAACACTCAGCCCCTCACCGACAGCTTTTCTGGGATCATACGGTGGGTCAGCAGATCAAGCAATCTGATTGTGAAGTCAAATGATCCTCTGAATCACACGATTAACGATGTTTGTGCCGCTCGCAGGCAGCAGGATGTCCGTGCTACAGAAATCGACAAGGTGAGTGCCTCACATGGCATCGACTCCCTTCCTGGACATGCATGCAGACTTCATCGCCAGCTGCCTAACAAGTACACCTCTCTTTTGCAGGTTGAGATGTACTCCTGCTTCCGGCCTGGGGATCTGGTGAGAGCAGAGGTCATCTCGCTGGGCGACTCACGGTCCTACTATCTTTCAACAGCCAAGAACGACCTCGGAGTGGTGTATGCAAAGAGCCTCAATGGTGAGCTCTGCACAACTTTGCACATTCGTTTCTTGCAGTTGCTTCAACTTCCAATGTGAGTGTATGCATGCAACCCTTTGGAGAGTGCAAGCGTTGTGATCGGGTGGCATTGCAGGTGCACCCATGATCCCCCTCAGCTGGCAAGAGATGCAATGCCCAGTGACAAAGGTGGTGGAGAAACGAAAGGTGGCCAAGGTCAACTGAACAAAAGTGAGCACAGAACAATAAGACAATGCCAGGGACAGTCTTGGTCACAGTAGGCAGCACAAAGTTTGATGAGCTCATCACAGCAGTGGACAACAGACAGTTTGCAGATGAGCTGGTTGCGCAAGGATATGACAAGCTGGTCATGCAGGCATGTGCAATTTTACCATCCACTTCTTCACCAGCCTTGCACACTATCCTTTGATCTCGTGACCTTTGTGTTTGGCTGTAAGCCTGTTATGTTGTCTAAGAAGGAATGCCGTAAGCAGGTTGGCTCCCACCAATGAAGCCTGTTGATTGACAGGTGGGTTCGGGCTGTCATGTGCCCTGCCGCATCCTGCGAAGAGGCGAGAAGAGTGGAGTCCTGCCGAGTGGTCTTGCGGTGGAATGCTTTGATTATGCGCCCTCTTTGGCGCAGCACATGAAGGCTGCGGCCCTCATCATCAGTCATGCTGGGTCCGGCAGCGTCTTTGAGGCGCTCAGGCTGCGCAAGCTTGTCATAGCTGTGCCGAATGCCATCCTCATGGCCAACCATCAGGTGTGCAGGCTCCTGCTGTCTTTGCATGGTGGACAGAACTCTGCACCAGAATATATGTTGCCTGATCCTGTCCCATCAATGCTGCAAGGACGCTGTGCCATCAGAATGGCACAGCATCCTGATGGGGATCTAACAAACGTCAGGCAAATGTAATCTGGGTGATTACTGCTGGGATTAGCATGCTGTGCAAAAGACCTGGAATTTCAGACGTTGCAAATGAGGCAGTGGTGTGTACTGCAAAGCACAAAACATGCAGATGATCTGTAAACTATCTGGCTCGATCTGAGACTGCAAACTCAACTCTGATGTCAAATCCATTTTCAAGGTCTGAAAGGTAACAGGGGGGGTGGTCACTGCAGGCGGAGCTGGCGGAGCATCTGGCGGCCATGGGGCATCTTGTGAGCGCCACCCCTGCCACGCTGGTGGATGCACTTCGGCAGCTGAAGGCAGCCAAGCTGGTGCCCTACCAGAAGGGCTCCCCACAAGGCATCGTCGCAGCCATTGACAAGTTGATGGGCTTTGCGACATATTGACTGCAGATACTCAGCCCTCCATTCATGTGACTGGGCTGGGAGTGCGGCCGTGTGCAGGCAGGAATCATTGATGCTGACGCCCGGATCTTCAAAACCTGGGCGCGGACAATGAGCGGGATGCTGAAGCGCCACTGCAGCTTGCCATGTCACCAAGTCATTGTATGGGATTCGTGAAGGGCCCAGGGGCCAGGCACTTTGGTGATGGTGTCATCCTGAAACCCATCGATGCTGCAGCTGCTGACAGTATAAGGAAGAAGTCATTAATGAGGTGAATCTTCGAGAGCCTATGTGTAACCTGCAGAAATAAATATTCAATCGAATGAAGGATAAGGACCATGATGGGGACCGATATTAGGCAGCTGGACATTCTGGGTCTCGCGCGCGGTCTTCACAAAATGTCGAGGCGGTGTGTTGGTTAGGCTACTAGGCTGCACTTTATGTCGAGCAAAGGTAAATTCATAGTGAGGAGATCCTGTGTACTGATGCTTGATAGATTTTGATCATGGGAAGCTGAACCTTGATCTCAAGAGCATGCAACAAAACGATTCGTAATCATTCTCGTGCACGGGGTCACGTGAGGGGTTACGGGAGTTCCTTCTTTCCACTTCTTCTGACTTGGCCCTCCCAGATCCAAAATGTGCTTGCTCGTTCAACAATAAAGCTTATAAGTCTCTATCAATATCATACGTGCAACAGGCAGCCAATGTAACCCCCCACAAAGAGTTTACCTGCCAAACGAAAAAGAGATCTCGCTTCACTTGTGAGTCCTGATCAGTAGAAGTCGGGTGTCTGAAATCGAAGAAAGGAAGAGCAATTGGCAACCACGCTGGAATTTTCCCAAAAATTGTTGCTCAGGCTTGACGCTACGCTCAAGTCCACCTCGGCCGGTGTCTCGGACCCTGCTTAGTATATAAGAAGATGACAGGCCGTGGCCTGTGTACCATCAGCCTGACAATCGCGATTCTACTGTCTTCTCACTCTGCACAAGTAACAGGTACTTAGAATTCGCTGTTGTCAATCCGCTCCTGACAAAACCGCTGAATTGGTATGAGTAAAGGAGGGGGGCACTGTGCAAGCAGAAGTATCTCTGTTGACTACTCATAAAGACAAACGGTCAATCAGTCTGCATTTAGATACCGGCATTTATATTTGTGAGGCTTTTCAGTAATGTTTCACCAATTTTCCTGACTTCAGATGACAGCAGCAAGGGAGGACACTGTCATGATGTGTTGCAGGTCTCCACGTGCCTCATTTCTTGGTGGACATCTACGAAGGCATTCAGGCCATCACAGCAGCGCAACCTGCCCGCTTGACAGCAACGCACCTGTTTGTTCAGACAGCCTCGAGCGCCACACTGTCACGCGAGGCTGGCCTGGTCCTGGAAAATGTACCGCTGTCCACAAACATTGTGGCCTACTCCAAGACGGGCATGCTCGCTATTTTCCCCTTGCCCTATGGGCACACGTTGACATCACTGTTGTTCTTTGCACTGCTTTGTTGCATGAAAGTCATGCCACGAGTGTTTACGCCGTTGAGTTTGCAGGTCCAGCAATCGGAACCAAAGACAATGCAGACCTGATCTCCCCGGCCTTCACCAACCCGAATGGTGCATGGCTGGGAGCTCCACAGGCTGCCCTCGTGGGGGAGTATGACGGCCAGAAGGCCATTTTGCTCCTGAACCTCGACAGGTGCAGTGTACTTCGTTACTAACATTTCCCCTGGCATTCTGCATGCTCTGACGAAATGGTAGACCTCTGTCTTCAGATTCTAAGTCGTCTAGTCCCTAGATAACAAGAGTGTTGTATACTCTTGGGGCAGGCCCATCTACCAGCCAAGTGAGGACAGGCTGACATACACAGCAGTGCACACACTGCCCCTGGACAAGAGCAGTTTTGCTCTGGAAAATGGCGCAATCAACAAGCTTGTGGAGCAGTACACAAATGGAGACAACAGCAACGCCCCGCTGTTGCTGAAACCTGCCGATATCAAAGAAAGCATTGTGCTGTCGGATGTGTCGCTCTTCATTGACGCCGCATTTGTGCCGGCCAAGCATAGCAATCGCCGGTGGCTCCAGGTGCATGCAATCTTCTCCCCAGCACTGTGCACAAATCACCAACCGATGAGCTTCCAGCCTGCTTGTCCTCTTCGCACTTTTGCCGATTGAGAGAAGGCGGTGCATGCCATGTTGACTCTGCTGTCTTGTATTGCAAGAGACCACATTTACAAGATCAGTGGTGCAAGACGTCAGGACTATTGAGAGGACAGGCTGAAGTGCTGATTTCATGCTTCCATGGTGTGAGCAGGACACAGCGTCGCGAGCACCAGCGCCTTCACCAAGCGCAGGCCGACTGCCGGCGCTGCCGTCCTGGTTTGCGCCGGGCGGCCCCGGCAACCCGGTGTCCCGGGACAACCCCTCTGTCATCCCTGGCGCGCCACTCCCCGGCTATGCGGACACCGGCTTTGTTGAGCCCGCCGCCACAACCGAGTCTGTCAGCAACAGCGCCGCCACTCTCACATCCCTCCCCGGTAATTACCTTCCCGGCCAGGGCTTCTCTTGCCATATAATTCATCAATGCGCAGATATAAAGGTATGAATCTTGGATTTAATATTGATACAGTACTGACATTCGTGCTTGCCTTAACATGCCATCTTGATTGCGCTGCAAGAATGCCATGAAGTCTGTATCTTTGTGAAGCTCATGCAACGCACATATGGTACTCTGCGGCTGCTGCCAGAAAGCTGCGGCAACGAAGCCCACTTGATAAGTATTCATCGCGTTCATCTCTTTGCAGAGGCATGGGCGCCCGGTTTTGCACCCGGCCCCGCGCCGGATCTCGCACCGGTGCCAGCCCCCGGCCCGGCCGCGGACGCGCTGATGGACGTCCAGGCACCGCCGTCACGCGGGGCCAACCCGGTGCTGTGCATGACGGCGGCCGGGCCGTCCGACTGCGCCACACCGGCATTCGGCGCCAACGGCGTCGGCTCTTTGGGCGGCCCCCGCAGCGACGGCGCCTCCACTTCGGCGTCCGGCTGGAGCAACTATGGTGCGCTGTTGGTGCCCCTTCTGTATAGCTGCCTCGGCTAAGCACGCTTTTGCAGATCAGAAGAGGCGGCCCTGTTGCGCTATGTCGGTGGGCAGCTCACACTTGATGAGGAATTTAAAGCTACTGGCTGTACCAACTTGTCCACGCAGAGGTTACCCGAGTACCATATTTTAATGAGTGCGGGTTTACAGTGACCACTACGGTATACTCCAGCATAGAGCGACGGCAGCAGTCAATTATTGAAGCACAGCTTCTGCTACCTTGGTACTGCACGCTTGGTGCTGTGCTTCTGGAATGAGACTGCAGTTGAAGGATACAATGCACTTGCTCAATTGTTGTGTGCGTGGTGTGCAGGCTATTCGGTGGAGACCGGCTCGCGCACACCTGGCAGCAATGCATACTCTGTCAACCGCTACCAACCCAAGGGTGGCGTCTGGGGCCCCTACTCAGGCAGGAATGGGTGATCCCGTCTGGCCATCACGTTATAGACGCTTATCTTGCCAGTGGCAAGGTGCGTCTGCAGACAAGCTGCAGGTAATGGCTGCCACAAATACTACCCCTTGCTGGGCTCGTCAGATCCAAGCAAGACCCAATCGACCGTGGTCACGGTGCTCAGTATCTATAGCACCCTGCCAGCCGGGGCCATATCGGGGTATCATCTCTGCATCAACCGATCATACCCACTGCTAGTATCCAGCATGCCAGGTCCATGGTACAAATGAAACCTCTTGACATCGATAAGTTGACGGCTGTTGCACAAGTGGTACTGGCTGTCAGTGGTTATTGCCAATGGATGTGCCTGAGCATTGCTCGGGCACCCTATTTGATTGTGGCAGGGTAGGCGAATAATTTATTTGATAACCAACAGGTCTAGGAGTTGGTAATGACTAGTTCATGTAGGCAAAGGTGCATGTCATGGTATTAGTTGTGAACAGGCATGTCTTGCCAAGTGGATTTGATGAAGGCCTTATGAGACAAGATTATGCTTCATTTGCTGCTTGCACAATTAACTGTGCATTAATGGTGAGTCAAAGACTTCTGGCCAAACCAGTGGTAACAAGGCAACCAAAGGGTACTATTATTTTGAAAAGCTATTTAGCTGGATTATAGTAAGGTGCACAAACTTTGATGGACTCCTTTGGTGAAGGACATTCTGCCACACGTGCGTTTGGACAGCGCATGCACGTTCTTGAGTTGCAGGTACAGAATCCTTGTAATCAAGTTGAGCTGGATATGACAGTCACTGGCATGCCAGCATGCCGAGGTGCCTGTCCACATTATACTTCATCATGATGATCATCACAGTTCATGACTTCATTGAAGCAGCCGAGTGCACTGACGTGACTCAGCTTCAAACGTGACATGAGGTTGATCAAGTAGCCTAGTGTGAAAATTGAAGCTTCCTCTCCAGGACTGTCATATACATGCTGCCAGCCCTTGATCAGGAATTGGCGGTCAGGGGACAGCAAGGAAGGAAGGAAGGAAGATTACATCACTCCAGCCGCCTAGGGCTGATTGGATGAACTGGCAGCATCCAAATAATCAAAACAATCCATCACAAAATGTGCAACACCAACAATGTCCAACTGCCACATGAATTGCTGCATCGTCACAATGGCTGCACCAAACAGCCCAGGATATCTGTCCCGAACAGATTGCAAGGCAGGGCACTCAAACACAAGGTGGCGCTCATCCCCAATAACCTGCTGGGCACAACGCATGCACAAACGCTGGGGCCGGGGAATCCTTGCCCAGCGGCCCGAGACATTGGGCAGACTATGACAACCCATCCTGAACTTCAACAGTATACGCAAGCAACGGGCACTCAAAGGCTGCTGTAAGAGCTGGCAAGGGTGGCGCACACAAGCTGGCCTAGCAAACCATCTGTGATATGTACACAAGGTGGCATTGCTGGACGGGCAGGTCCTAGGGCAAATGTCAATGTCATCCCAAACCTGCAGTGCTTGCGCATCTAGCAGCTGCATCACAGCATCAACTTCCACAGGAACAAGGGTGTCAAACCGAATAACAAACTCATACCCAATCCGGCGCAAGCCCCGCATGAAGGCCCAAGCCCAATTCTTAACAGTACGGGTTATGGCATCCCAACAATCATCAAGGGCCACTTGCCTGTGAAAATTATTTGCAGGCAAGGCAGCCAAATTGTTCCAGAACTTGATAATGCGCCGCCACCACACACAATCAAGGGTCTGCTGATTCAACTCCTTAAGCAAGATGGCACCATGCACAGAGGTGGGGACGCCAGCAATGTCTCTCAGAATTTTCAGGTGAGAGGAGGCCAAGGCAGCCCGGCCCCGCCGGCTGTCGCCACCAGGAAGGCTGCGCAGGCCCCACACCTCACAACCGTAGGAGGCAGTCGGCGGCACACATGCATCATATAGGCGCAACAACAGGCCAGCTGACATGCTGCAATGCAACTTCCCATATTGCTGCCTGAGCTGTGCCCACGCACCCCACATGTTCCTGTGAAGCTTGCCAAAGGTGAGATTAATGCCTTGGGCACCGTCAAAAAGGGCACCCAGGTACTCAAACTGCTGAACCCAATGTAAAGGCGCACCACCACAAAGCCATTGAAAAGGTCCTGGCAAACTTGAAGAGAACACCACAATCTTTGTTTTGTCAACACTGATGACCATTCCCGTTTGTTCACAAAACTCAGCAGCTGCATCAATCAAGCGTTGCAAATGAGCAGGTGTGGTGGCGAGCAAAGCAAAGTCATCGGCATAGCCTAGATCTGGTATCCCAGCAATCCCAGCATCCCAAGCCACCTTCTTGTAGCTTCGCAATCTGAGATCCAACCCTGAATTACTGATCCTAATCACCACTTCTTATCTCAGGGTTTCAGGGACAGCACTGCATCTTGCTCGAACAAAACACAACCGTGTGCGTCTGTGGCGGCCAAATTCAAGTCTTTCTCGCATTGATAAGAAATAGACATGGCAGCGACATGCATGATGCAGTCTTCGTGCTACAGACAGTGTTTCGGGACTGGCAAGGTGCCGTCAAAGAGCAGAGGTGTTCTAGATAGAGGCTCCTTGCTCACGAGAATTCCCGTGCAACGGCATATTGGTTCTATCAAACCTTCCGTAGGCAGGCTTACCCCTTGCTGCAAGGCAGCAGCCAGACAGGTCAGCAGCAGCGGCCGCAGCGACGGCCAGTCTCAGGAAGCTGGTGTTGTCTTGCCGAAGATCAGCGGCCAGAATGTCTTGAAGTTCTTTGGGAACGTTGCTCAAGGAGCAGCAGTTGCTGCATTGGCTTTGGCTTTGGTAAGCACCTTCTCATCAACACGTGATTGAAGAGGTGCAGCTCTCTTCGAATCAAGCCCTGCAGTGCTTAGTTGGAACCCCCTATCTTGTGGAAATATAAAGAGCTCAGACATCCACATATGTCCATGACAGGCGTTTGGGAGTGCTAGTCCTGCCCTTGCAGCCCGTTCTGGGGGCCGCGTAGGAGGCAGCTCCTTCAGCTCAGCTCGGAGCTCCAGCAGTGCAGGTTCCTCAGCTCGCAGCTACAGCAGCGCTGGGTCTTCATCACGAAGCTTTGGTAGTGGCAGCAGCTATAGCAGCAGGAGCAGCAGCGCACCGTCACTCTCCTCACGGTATGTTGCATCACTTTCCCCAGAGCCAGTCCAGTCATTGGGCACCACCCAGTGTCCCTCTGCTTCTGCCAAGCCAAAGAGTGGCTGTGCTGTGCATGCCAGGATTGACATGTACAGCACAGCCTCATCTTCGCGCTCTGAGCTGAGATTGGTATCGTTGTAGGTCATCTTCGTCTCCTGTTAGCAAATCTAGCAGTTCTGCCCGCAGTTCTTCTAGCATTTCTAGATCGTCTGCGCCTCCTGTTGGCAAGCCCAGCAGTGCAGCTCGTGCCTTGTCTTCACCTTCTGTCAGCAAGCCCAGCAGCGCAGTCCGCAGTTTCCCTAGCACTGCTACATTGTCTGCACCTTCTATTAGCAAGCCCAGCATTGCAGTTGGCAGCTCTTCTAGCTCTTCTATGTTGTCTGCGCCCGTTAGCAAGCCCAGCATTGCAGCTCCTCGCACTCCTACAATCTCATCGCCTCCTGTCAGCATTGTGGCCCCTCAAAGACCAACAGTGTCTGCGTCTTCTATAAGCAAATCCAGCACGGGAGTTGCTCGTACTCCCTCTGCGTCAGCGCCTTCTGTTACAGATTTTAGCAGTGCATCCCGCAGTTCCTCTCGCACTTCTGGAAGCTCATCTCGCCGCTCGAGATCCGTCGAATCATATGGATCCGGGTATAATATGCATCAGCACTCCGACTATTTGCCTCTTCTCTGCCTGCCTGCAGAACTCCTTTAGATTGTCGCACGCAAGCTTCTTCTACCGATATGTCAGATTTGTCATGTCGTCTCCCATTTTTAATCAAGTACGGATGTGTCGACAGGTCTTCTGGTGCCCCGGCAGTGGCGTTCAGCTGGGGCATGATGCCCTTTGGAGGTTACGGCTACGGCGGCGGGTACGGCGGCGGGCTTGCCCCCAGTTACGGCGGCGGTGGCGGGCTCAACATCGGCAGCCTGCTCCTCTTTGGCATCGTGGCGTACTTCGCAGTGTCGGCGCTCCAATCCTACTTTAATAACTCCTCGGACACTGACAGCTATGGTGCGCCCCCTCCTGTAGACCACCACGCATCAGAGCTGGTGCAAGCGTGCTTCTTGGCGCCATCACGTTAAATTCCAGACATGAACAGGGACCAGCAAATGGAAGGCAATTGTTGGGTTAGACATGAACAGGGACACGTTATTGGGAAAGGAACTACTGTTTCACACGTGGGGGGACGGGGAAACAGCGTTGGGAAAGAAATATTGGTTTCAGACATGAACAGGGCGACAGCATTGGGGAACAATTTGTTGGCCCGTCCACGGTCAAAGGATGCTGAGAGTGACTTGTGCTGGGCAGTGGGAGAGCGGGTGACCGTGGCCAAGCTGCAAGTGGGTTTGCTGGGCTCGGCGCGCTCTCTGCAGAAGCAGCTGGACCGCATCGCCTCGCGTGCAGACACCAACAGCCCCTCAGGCCTCCACTACATTCTGCAAGGTGCGCTGCATGGCTCTCTGTGTAGTATGCAGATGAGTGTAACATGAATGGCTCTGAGTAAGCCCCCAGCCAGCTGTTTGGTGCTGTTGGGGGTCTGGTACAAGATGCCTAGATCGGCCGCGGCAATAGAAAGGAGCATGCGGACTCACGACACCCATTGCCCTTCATGAGTTGCCGGACACTTTTGCCACCCCATCACATCCCCTGCCAGCATCTCATGTATCTTTGTCCCATGTGGGACACTCTTCGGATCTCTGTTTGGACATCATGCCATTTCAGCAAAGGCCCCTGTCCACATCCCATGTGTGGTGTCCCATCTTGGGATCCCGCCAGGTCACTTTCTGGACTCCCATGTGACAGAAATTGTGGGACAGTGAGATTTCCAAGTCACTTTCTGAACTCTCATGCGGCAGAAATTGTGGGACAAGGGAAGTGACGCGAGCATTTGCTGCACATTGTTGCAGAGACGGTGCTGCAGCTGGTGCGCAACCCGGAGTATGTGCAGTATGGCGCCAGCGTGGTGAGCAATCAGCGCGACCTGGACCGGGGGGAGGCCAAGTTCAACGAGCTGAGCGTTGAGGAGCGCTCCAAGTTCAAGGAGGAGACCCTCGTCAACGTCGGCGGCCGCTCCCGCCGCCAGCGCTACTCCAGGCAAGTCATACCCCCTCTCACCCTGCACACTCTGCACTGTGCTTTCTTGCAGTACACCTGTGGTTTTCAGTGACCAGACAACATCTAGGGGGTCAGTCACCCCCTCACCCTGCACACTCGGCGCTATGATGTTCTTTGTGTGTTCCTGTGGCGTTTAGTGACTAGATAATCTCATGACAGCATGTCCAGCAGGGATATGTATATGACAGCCTGGCTCAGGCAGAACTCATTGTCACGGTTGTACACTGCAGAAGACAGGGGTTGAGCCTCGTAGAGCAGACAAATTCAGGCGCTTATATTACGAGACGCGTTGATTGTGACGCGTCTCATAATGAAGCGATGCAGGCAGTAGCACTTACTGGTGCATGTGGTCAAATTGCTACTGGTTGTGTCATGCACAAGAAATTCAAGACATGTCGCTCACAGAGCTTGGCAGAGATGCTGTGACAATTTCTGACAGCAAGGACGTGCTGCAGGGGTGCGGGAGGGACTGGGATTCCAGAGTACATAGTGGTGACCATCCTGGTGGCAGCCAGCGGGAAGCTGGACCTGCCAAAGGTGTCCTCTCAGGACCAGCTTGTGAAAGCGCTCAATCGGCTGGCAGCAGTTCGTGAAGACCAGGTGCTTTTACCACCCTATTTAACATCGACAAACACAAATGTTGTATCGTCGATGCACCTCGTTACACTTGCAAGGCAGCCTTTTCTCCCTGCTTCGGTCCTCGCTCTGCCTTCATACGTGCATTTTCCATTGCTTATTTTGGAGCATCCTTGAGCAAGTGGCGGCGGTAAAATCTTGCGCTGTTGTCCTTGGAATCCAGGCTTGGATTGATACACAGAAGGATGCTGACGGTGGGTGCGGTGATTTTTGCAGGTGATGGCAGTGGAGGTGCTGTGGACGCCAGAGGATGAGGATGACACATACAGCAGGGATGAGATGCTGCTGGATTATCCCGTCCTCAACAATCTGTAGATCTGTGCGTGTAGAGGTAGAGCCTTGTATGAGTACGGTTGGTGGTTCTGTATATAAGGTCCAAGGTCGTTGTTCTCGTAATAAACCAAATGTCTGACGACCAAGATTGCTGTGTTGCATGTAGAATTGATAATCTTTAAACTTGATTGGTAGATTGCTCAGATCATATGGTGGCTCAAAGATGCAATTTTTAAGATCCTGGTGAGTATCCAATGTGGGCATGTAGCTGATGTAAAATACAGTAAGACCCAATCTCCTTCTTGATCAGGAACATTTTTGCCAGTCCAACCAGATATTGCAAGAAAAACCCCTCCCACCCATCACACACAGTGCTGCTTCACGCGACTGCATCCAAAATGATGCTCCCAAGTCAAGGCTTCTGAATGATGACGGCATTGAGCAGGCCGGCCTGCTCCAAAGTGGCGTTCTCGTCTGTCAGTGGCTTTGGGGGGTAAGCGCTCATCAGCTGCTTGTCTGCGCATCTTGGCTGCTCGCTCCTGATGTACCTGAACAAAGGGGCGAAGAAGGGTCGCGCAAATTGAGAAGCAGCCCATCCACCCATCTTCTAGCGCTCGCTCTGCTTATCTTGCTGATCCTTGTCTGCATTCCTCTATCTCATTTTTTCACCGGTTCAGCTGATCACCGGTGGAAGCACTTGAATGTGTGACCTGATAAAAGGAACACAAGGAACACTGTAGCAGATTGTGCAAAGTCTCAAGGCCAGACCGAATCACCTGTGGATGTCTGCGACGGTGTGCGTAACATTGAAGGTGCCTGCAGGCATATGCACAGCGTCTCAGCATCACAGTGGTCAAAAGGTTCACCCTGTGTGCAATGACTCAGTCTCCGATGCTGCTCCTTCTCCAAGACAACTTCTTCACGACCCTGTTGGTCGGGAATTCGAGCAGTGGCAACAGAAGCTGGGCACCTGTCAGGCGGTGGCCATCTGCCAGGCGGATCTGCAGGGTGGTGGTGGGTGCTGACGCATCCACCCCCTCAAACTCGCCCTTGCTGGCAGCGGTGGTGGGCGCAGCCTGCTGTGGGGCAGGTGATGCATCTGCAGGGCACACGTTGTTACATGCAGCCAGGCCGATGTCATGTCCAAATGCTGTGCGTCACTTGTGACGTTGACTGTCCAACGATCTGCTGCCTGGGCACAAGTGCTTGGCAAGGAGCCTGGCCAGGACTGAGCCGGACAGAGCATGCAATGCCTCTCTCAGTGAAAAAATTCAGAACTGCTCCGCATGACAGCAAGGACAGTGCGGGTGTATGACGCCGCACCACTGAGCTTCCGGCCCTGGCCCACAAAGGGCGACGATGCTGCATTGTACTTCACAACAGCTGCCTCCAGTGCATCAGGATTTGCACCGACGATCTGTGAGCATCATGGTTGATGCAACCATCAAAGCCAGCAGACAAGCAATAATCCATTTGTGAGCAAACGTCAGATATCTGCTTCACTTCATGTGCAGTGTTGGTTGAATATCACCTCTTCCACTTTCTGACCTTGGATGTAGACCTGGAAGGTTGGCATTGCTCGCACTTTACACTCAGCAGCTACGTCCTGCACAGCAGAGTTGGCCACATCACGTTCTGAACAAGCAAGTGCAATCAGCATGGCCATGACTTGGACATTGTGTGGATCTTGAATTGCTGCATCGTCTCAATTGAGGCAATCCCACATGAATGCAAGTAGGTGAGTGGGACCTTACAGCAACAGCGTCCACATCAACCTTCAAGAAGACCAAGTTGGGGTACTTGGTGCTCAGGGAGTGGAAAACAGGTCCAATCATCCGACAAGGACCGCACCATGTCGCTGTGAAATCAACAATGACCTGTTGGGCAGCACATATGCGAATTGACGTGAGAGCTCAGGCGCGCCCTGCTCTGATGAGAGCCAGGGCCATTGTGCGTCTTGATTGAGACAAATAGGACCGTTAATGTATTTGCGGATATACACTTATAGTAGAATTAAGACTCTCCTACGAAACAGGTCTGGTTGACCTCCTTAGTGCAGGCAAGCTAAGCGAGCAACTGAAACACCTTAAAAAGGCTACTGTTCGGAAAGCCTGCTATGACAATAAAACAGGCCTCTGTCACCAGAAAATGGCAGCATCACGTACCGCTCTGCTGGCAGCCCTGCTGAGACATTCGTCCCAATGCTTCTTGCTGCTCACTTCTGTGATTCCCATCTCTCCACAACAAAGCTGTGACCTTCGATCGCTTAAGGAAGCAAGATTCTTTGCACGAATTAGATTATCAACCAAGATGAAGGCGTCAGAAACTCTCTGCAATACGAGGTTTGATCCATGCAGAAGCCTCGGGTTTCTCAAGGGACGGCACCTGCAGGTGAAGCTTCGCTGTAGCTGCTTCAATTCGTCTTACCCAGGGAAACGTGGAAAGGTTTGATCTGAAGATTGCGTTCGTTGATCCAATGACACATGATAGAAGCTTACAAGGCTGACAATGCCAAGCACACATATAAGGAGTATAAGTGGTCTTGTGGACCGCTAGCCGCTCCTTAAGGGCTCACTAATTTGAGGGCTTCACGATCAAGGTTGCCATCAGTGATCAAATCAAGCGCGGCGCCCTGAGCGCTGGCTTTGCAGCGCACTTGCCCGCTTTGTTGCACTTTGGAGTATGGGTGCTAGATTTAACAAGCTTTCATCAAGGGCACTCTCGCATTAGACAATTCTGCAGGGCATCTAGGAACAGTCCAAGGTGGACACCGGAACACTCAGACTTTGAAGATACAAAGAATTGTGGCACTCAATCAAATCACATACAAAAGCAAAACAGCACGCGTGTGCCAGCCTGACACCCCTAGGACTGCTGACAAGCAGTCTTTCACACTCAAAACCACCGATGGCCGCCAAAGCACCTGAAACCTCAATGAGTAATGTACACTGGAATAACTGACATGGTGCTCAAATGGCGAGACCTGGACGCACATGCAGGGCAATTGCATCTAAAATGTTGCAGCCCCGATATGCACACCATTAGTTTGTGTGCGCACATTCTCCGCACGCCCAGTGAACCTTTGCGTGCCCTAGATTTCCTTGCTCATGGAAGGCCACCAGACACATCTTGGTGCCCTGCCATGCCCAAAACTTTCCTGAGGCCTGCTGCAATGCCCAATCGGCAAATGATGGACATCACAACCCCCATTCGCCTTGCGAATTGAGAAACACCCTGGCGCGCAACGGTCAGCCTGCGGCCATTTCAGTGGAGTCCTCATTATCGCCATCCACAGAGCTCTCTGGAGTCTCATCCTCTTCTGCAGCATGCCCCGGCGAGGAGTGCTCGGCGTGCTCTGCAACCCCGTTGCCATTGCACGCGCCCCTGCCGCCGCGGCCCCGGCCCCTGCCACGGCCGCGCCCCCGGCCGTTGCTCAGCTTGCGCTTGCTCTTGCTGCCGGGTGGCCGGCCTCGCCGCAGCGGCCCGCTACTGCTCTTCTGCTGAGCTGCCAGCGCCGCAGCTCCATCCACATCCATGGGAGTGGCGGCCTGGACGGGTGTGAGGTACTGCAGCAGGGCCAGCGCAGACTGCGGGGTCACCATGCCAACCTGCTGCTCTGCAAGGGACGCGGAGGCGGGTCTCTGCACCTGCGCCTGATCGGGCTGATCAGATGCCTGGGGAGCTGGCGTGGGCTGAACTGCAGGTGCTCTGCTGCCAGGTGTTTGCTGCTGCCAGGGGGACGGCTGCTGCTTGTTCGCCGAGTCCACGGCTGCAAAGCTGCTGTTGCGCTGCAGCTTACCATTCTGCGACTGCAGCGCCTTGCCCTTGTCGTCCAGGTTGCGCTTCTGAGCCCCGCCTGCACAGCCATGCTATCCCACTGAAACACTGTGTCACACATTTTCGCCATTTTACCTGCACTCAATGCCCTCAGCTTTCACAGTTTCTACTGTAACACAAGTGTCCTGGGCTCACCGCCAGGGATGCCCAGAAACCGCTGCCGCTCCTCGTCCTCCCTCGGCCGGTGCCTGGCCATGTAGGCCTCGTCAGAGGTGTCCTCGCTGCTGCTGCCCTCCCCGGGCTCCCCTTGCAGCACGTCGCGCAGTTCGTCTGGCATCTGCACCTGCCCCTGTGACTTGAGGTGGCACCGGAACGCCGCCACCACCGCCTCCCGCTGCATCAGCTCCCCGTCGGGCAGCATGCGCACCTGTGGCGTGTTGATCTCCGCCACCTGGGCACAGACAGACAATTCGCATTCACAATCCTTGCATCTCGGGCACTATTGGCAACAATTGGGATCTCGGGCCGATTTATGAGGGTCTCTTTCTGCCATGACATGACAGCACGTAATTCAGGAAAACAACCCCTTCCTTTAAACATACAGAAGGCACTTGAAAACAGGATCAAAATCACTGACGCAAGAGCTGGTATAAGAAGTGTCACCTGCACGCGCTCGACGAATTTGGGGCCGGCAGAGCCGGACATGTGGGGCATGATCATGTCGCTGCAGTCGTAGTCGTTGCGGCGGCGCTTGGCGCTGGTGCAGCGCTCCAGGGAGGGCTTGGTGGCCAGGCCTAGAACGCTGCGCTGCCGCGTCGGCATGCTGCGCATTCCCGGCAGCGCCCCTCCTTTTCGTGCCTTGGGCGGCGGCGCAACCCTCTTCTGCGGCCGCTGCCGCTGCCCAGGTTGCTGCGACAGCACAAGGCCCACAAAATATCAGCCAAATTGAAGCAGGTGGAAACTGATTTGCATGTTGTCTCTTTTCTAAGAGAGCATACAAAAAAAGTCCTGATGGAAAGGGGCACCAGCTCACAAATACAGTAAGTTGTCAGAAAAAAAATGACTATCACATATGATGCATGGCGATGGTGGCAAGATTACCTGCTCGAGCTGCTTCTTCACCGCTGCCAAGTGCCTTTGGCAGAACTCAAGTGCAGCATAGGTACACGCTGGGAAGGTCTCATGCTCGACTTGCAAATCATGCTGCGAGATGTCCATAACGACCTCCTGCAAGATGCATGATGGATAAGCATGACTTCCATCTGCTTGCTGCAAGAAAACCTCCCAAACTCCACATTTCGCTTGCAGAAAATGCCACACAATGCACAAAGCAGACGAAGATCTAGCGGACAAAACCCATACCTGCTTTGAGCTGCGAACTCCTGCCAAAGCTGCAAAGAAGGGGTGCTGCAGGAGAGTGGGGGCTGCCAGCTCCTTCGCCTGTTGCCTGTCGTGTCTGCGCCTGTGCTGCGCTGGCAGCCCATCGCGATCACCACCCTGTCCTTCTGCAGCCCATTTGGGTGTGCCAGCTGCCTGCGGGACGCTGCTCCGTGCCTCCTCCAAAGCAACGTCTGACTGCTGCATTGCTGAGACAGCGGGTGCGTCGCTTCCCGGCTGGCCGGCTGGCTCGGCGGCCGGCTCAGACGTTGGCTCCAGGGGGCTGGCGGGAGTGCTGGCCCCGACCGCAGCTGATTGCCGCAGAGCTGACAGCTGATCCTCATACTGCGCCTGCTGATGCCGCAGCTCCCTCAGCCGCAGCTCTAGCCAGCGGGCCTTCCACTCCGTCTTCCGCCGCCGGTGTTTCCATGCGCTGGACCGTTTGCTGCTGCTATGTGGCTGACCTGCATGGCAACACCATTTGCTCGTCCTGAGTGGGTTCAAAGTGGTTTCAGGAGCTGATTCACTGGACCAATGCTATGTTCCTCAACATCCAAGATGCCTTGAGATCTGCAGCGCAAAAGTACCTGCACTGCCGGGCTCATTTCGCCAGGGCTGCACATCCACCACGGAGGCCACGTGCGGGAGCCAGAACGAGGCTGCCGCCGGTGCGCCATCAGCATCTTCCGCATCAGAGCCAGAGAAGCTGCTGTAGCCTTCGTCCCTGTCGCTGTGCATGTCAAACTGCACGCACACAGATCAGCAGTTCAGCAATGCTCCAGGCAGCCTGCACACTTGTTTGGCAGCACTATCCTTTATTTCTTTATCCTTGGAGCATGCCAGTAGAGCAGTTGATTTACAATCAAATGGACACCCACCTGGAAATCATCTGCATCTGTGCACGAGGGAGTCTCTGCTGCAACGCCATGCTGAGCTCCCAGGAAACCAGAGGATCCCATACGAGGTGTCATGCCTGCCCCTGTCTTGGGTGTGCCAGATGGCGCCTCGCTCATGACAGATCCCTGGCGCAGGGCCAATTTGGCCACTTTGGAAGGATGGCGCGCAGCCGCAGCAGCTGCTAGCTCTGCCTCTGCTGCTTCGCGAGCTTCATCCGCAGCTGCGGCTGTGGGGCCCTCGGGATGCAAGAGAGCAATGGCCTGCACATAGACACATGAGGTCATAAGCATGTCCATGCCAGCGTGAAGATACAGGTCAACAAGTGCCCATCTGAAGCATCCTTTGGTGTTTGTCCGCTGACCCACCTTCCTGCCCTCCAGCTCAGCCGCTTGAAGCTGCTTCTTGCCAGCACGCAGCATTGACAGCGCACTCTTGTGCACCCGACTGCGCTTCTGATTGTATGTCATGGCATTGCTGCAGATCAGCTCAAAGTCCGCCACAAGTCCTCTCCATGTGCGGTACTCCCTCCCGCGCAGCTGCATTGCAAGCCCACGCTCATCACCACCATCTATGTATTCTTTTGCATGATCCACCAAAGAAACAAGTCATATGTGACATGTGTGACCAAGTTATCGGCCACAATGCAACTTACAAATGGGTATCGCATCAACACAGACAGGGCAAGATTTTTTGAAAGTCAAAGGAGACACACAGTCCACCATCCTTTTCATCTCATGAGCATGTCCATGTAACTGTCATCATCAAAGGTGCTGCAGCAGTGGCCTTCCTCACCTTCTCCTTCATGCGCTGGAAGCACATAGGCTGCTTGATAACATCATAATAGCCTGCAGCGTCCTCCTCGCGCACGGGCTGCTCGAAGAAGCCATCGCTGTCCATGCGGCTGATGTTGATCAGCAGGGTGATGAGGAACTCCAAGGGTGCAAATCCAACTGCTCCAGACATGGCTGCTGGTGGCACTGCTGGAGTGGTGGCAGGCTCTATCATGCCACCACAGGACTTCAACTCAGGTCCTAGTGGCATCCTTCCTGCCACGTTGCATGCAGAAAAGACAGCCTCCAGGCCATCTTCCTTGCCTGTTGAAGGGCTTTTTGATGCCTGATGGCACCCTGCTGCCTCACACGTGATCCTGCCCTGTCTTCAGCTGCGCCTTCTGGACCTCCAAAGTTCTCGTAGGCAGCCCGCAAAGCTCCGCAACCCACACTCGCCGGGCGATGCTACCACAGCCCGAAGAAGGATGTGGCCAGAACAGGAAGGCAAGCCACAGGAAATGTCTGGGCTGGTCCCAAAAAACCCTTGGCACAGCTTCTCGTCCACCCTTTCGAAGCGCTCGACAGACCTCTTGGCGGCAAAGCCTTTGTCCCTCAAGCCTTATACAAAGCAACCATCCACCAGGTGCAAGCAAGGTAAGAACTCTGCCGCCCCCTCCCGGCACGGAGATCAGCTACGGGGGACCACTTTCGGGCGGGAAGCAGAAGAGTTGCGACCTCTGGCAGTTTCACGTAAGCGGGGCGTTCCGAGCCATCTGCCTTGCGCTCTCAAGAGTAATCTCTACCTACCAAGGGATGCTGCTCTACGAAGTAACGAAACGCATACATCATCATTTTTTGGACTCTGGCGGAAGCGACAGACTCTGAAGACGGCTTGCAACCCTGTCTATTGCGGCGTTCCTGTAAAGCATTCAGATGCTGAAAAGCAATGGAAAATATGGTAGGAATCAGATAAATGTGCACGAGAAAGACTTTTGAAGGCTGTAGTGTAAGTTCGACAGTCACCGTACAGCAAAAATAGGTTTGGCGGAAGCAGATCACTCGGATCGATGTTCTTGCCATTTTTGCCAGATGATAATAACGTGCTGGATGTAAATACAGACGAGGCCTTACAGATTATCAACGATGATCTAGGCAGCTTGCTATGCTGTGAAACCGACCAATTTTGGCGGACGGTACTTGAGGACAAAAGCCTGCACACTTGCCTCACGTCCTATTTACAATATGGCAGGTGAGCGATCAGACCAAGTGATTGTACAGGAACAATACTTTGCGTAATCAGTAGCTTTCCAAGACTGTGTTGGCCTCTTCAAATTGTCTTTCACTAAGGACTCCCAAGCTGCAGGCGTGGCTTTGACTCAGTTCCACAGAGTGATGCAACCTTCACTCAAGCGCACGTCCAGCTGGCCAAGCGGGTCTTCCTCACGTTTCTCCGCATGTGAGTCCTGCGCTGTCAACACCATCCAAAGCTGACTGATCGAACGCATGCATGCGGCCAATGATGACGCCCTCTTGAGTGGACGCGCACTCGATGAAACAGCATAGCCGAGGACCAAAGATGTGTCCGGCTGATGCAGGGTGACCATTGCAGAGAAGGGCGGTCCAGCTCAGACAGAGCAGGCGAAGCTTCTGTATGATCGATGGCTGCTGGATGTCCCCAAGCTGCTGGACATAGCTGCGCTGTACGGCCCAGACAATCCAGACCTCACGCGCCAGCTACTGAGCAAGGTGGAGTTCTTCACAGTACATCGTCATGTCAGCCTGCATATGGGGTCTTCTGCATGTCAGAGGAGAATCGAGGAAGTCACATGCTTGTCAACTCACATGCTGGTGTGAGGCAGGCATTCACGCTCCAGCCGCGATATGGCAACGATGTGGCCGACCTGGTGCCCACGCTGGTGTCAAACTTCATGGACGTGTGCAGCGCCCTGCAGGACGCAGCACAGAGGCTGCGCAGCAGCCCAGACGCCGCCTCGCTGCAGAGCTTGCTTGGTGCGTGTTGTCCCAGCTCCTGCATCCAGTTCAGTTGTTCTGAAGGGAAATAATTTCCGCCTCCTCCAGCAACCGTGCTGTAGAGTATGGTCAGCATGCTGACGGGCACGAAGTCTGATATTTGTGCAGATGGGCTGTCCTACTGGGAGGATGTGTCACACACCCTGACGGCGTTTGTGGAGGCGTTCCCTCCTGCTGCTGGGCTGCTGGTGCAGACAGATGGAGCGCTTCTGGTGCAGCTGACGCCCCTGTACAGCAGTCTCATCCCCCAGCTGCAGCGCAGCCTGGCAGCCGCCTCGGAGCAGACACCAGCCGTTGCCAAGGTGCCAGCCCTTAACTTCTATTTTCCCTTTCCCTTCCCTCATTACCAGCCTAAGTCGTGCCTTTGGGGCAAGAGCTATGTAAAACAGGTGTGAACACACTGTGGTCCACATGTAAAACCTTCAGAGCGGGGAAGCCAATGCAGAAAGCACAGAGCGCGCATGTCACTGACTGGTTGCTGCTATGCGCAGATGTGGCGGCAGCTTGGGCGGCTGAAGGAGAGCATCGAGAAGCTGGCCTACAGCCTGCTGCACAAGGCATACCTGGACAGGGGGGCCCAGGCGCTCGTGCCAGCACAAAAGAGCTGGGCCAGCATTGTGCCACAGACTGCTGCAGCCCGGGGGGCCGCCCTCATGACAGCGCTGACAGAGGCTGACGAGCTTGAAGGCGATGCAGAAGCGAGCCTGCTCAAAGGGATGAACGCCCGGCACGGCTCGGACCGGGCTGTGATGAAGGCTCTGGATCAGGTGTGTGTCATCCAGGTCCTTGTCTGCATGCATGTCTTCAGCTGATTGATGATGACAGTTTATGCTTATGCAAAAGGCACAGAGACGGGCTTGGGTGTCATACCACCTTCATATGGGTGAGACATGTACATTATCCAAGTTGCCTGTTTGCAGCATTGAGGTGGGATCTGTCGCTGCAGGGGCACATCACACTGGACAAGGTTCAGCAGGACTATCTCATGGTGCTACTGGGGAGCAAATTGCTGTCTGCTGGCACCTCGAGGGTGACTTCAAATGGCCATGCGGGTATGTCACTGCAAGTCTGATGCAACATTGTCGCCCATCTGGCATGTTGACCCTTTTTTTGGCCTGCTGGGTCATATCTTTTGTTCAGTACATTTACAGTCTGCCACACCTGACACATCCTTGTTGGATTTCGTTGTGGCATCCTGTTGCACTGGAACACTGCATTTCAATTTGCCCATTTCTGTAGTTTGGTTAAAGAAGGCGGTGCAACACCTAATTCATGCCTGGCTCTTGTGTCTGGTGCAGGTTCTTCCGGCGCGCAGCATGCAGAGCAGCTGAACAGGAAGGTGCAGAAAATCCAGGAGGTCTTCCCAGACTATGGCGCCGGCTTCTTGGCGGCATGCCTGTCTGCCTGCGGCCAGGATGAGGAGCGTGTGATCCATCAGCTGCTGGAGGGGTCACTGCCGCCTGAACTCAGCAGACTGGACCCCAAAATGCCCCTGCAGCCCCCAGTCGCACAGGGCAAAGGAAAAGGAAAGGCCGATGCTGACCTTGGTAAGCAACTATCACCCCTCTGAGCTACTGATTTCCATGGCAAATGACATTGCCAGCAAGCAATAAGCCGGCGATTTGCTTGTGGAACAGCAGTAGTCAAGTGCATGGTTTTCTGGGGTGCAGGTGACGGTGCGGCAAGCTCTGTGCCTGAGCTGTCATGGCGCAGCCTTGCCATCACAGATGACAGCGCACAGCCCAGTGGGTCTTCAGCCCCACAGCGCCCTCCATTAGGCCCTTCAGCTGCCAGTAGACCAGTACACAGGGTGCGGCACTCTCTCAGAGATGACAGTGAAGCAATTGCTCAACTCCTCATTGCCAGAGAGGCTCTGAGGAGGATTTTTTAGCCAGCTCATGGGGTTCATCTGGATAGTCTGCATTCCCAGGGGTTTTAAGTCATTGAGATGTTTGTGTGGTCAATTGCAGGGCGTGTCGAGGTTTCTGGACAGGACTGGTAATGAGGATCGTGCTGCCATCAAGCTGCATGCAAAGGCTGCAGAGTTTGAGTACGATGATGAGTACGATGACAGCTATGATGACCTGGGCGGAGGCGGCGCGGATGGCATTGCAGACGTTGAAGGTGCTTTTTTACTTCATCAATTACTGCTGCAGAAGCAATTCTGCAGTGCAGTTGGGAGCTATGTCCCCATTGTCGACTTGGAAAGGACTGAATGCCTGGATGCATGCATGGCCAACTGCAGGTTGATCCGGTTTTGCATGCTAAATAGCACAGCACTGCCGCAGGAGATGCATCGTTAATATCTGGGTCAAGAAGGGTGAAGCGTGCATATCTGTGGGGCAGGGGATGACGAGGAAGCTGCGCTGGCAGCGAGGGGCATGGCGCCAGCCAGGCAGGGACCCCCCTCTCGTGGCCCCTCTCCCGGTCGTGCAGGCGCCGCTCCTTCCTCCTCGAGCGGCCCCGCACCGCCAGGTCAGGCAATGCAGCAGCAGCAGCAGCAGAGGCCACAGAAGTCGACCAGGACATGGATGCTGGACGGGCGGCTGTACAACTACCCCAAGCCTGGAGCCGTCGAGTTCAGGGGCAAGGACAGCGCGACGCAAGCGCAGGACGCGGCCAGGGCAGCTGCAGATGCTATCCATGGGCTCGGCAGGGTGTGTGCTGTCCTGGACACTATATGCTGACTTGTTAATTTGTTGTCACACTATGCTCTTGACAGCCTGCCATGTCAGAGGCATTATTGTGCAATGCACTGCAACGTTCCCGATCGGATTATGCAAATGCGGCATATAGGAAAATACCATACCTCTATCTTAGCAGTAGTAAGCAGACGTGATTAGATCCTGACATCTGAATGCTGTTGTATAGGGTGGCAACGTGCCTCCTCCAGCGCCTGTAGAAGATGCCAATGGTCAGGTAGACGGAGATGCAGGAGAGACTGCTGGGACACAGGGCCAGCAGCCTCCCAGTGGGCAGCCAGGCCGTGGCAGGGGCAGGGGAAGCAACGCATTCAAAGACAAGCACAAGGCGGCAATTGCAAATCACCACCGCAAGGACCGTGCGCTCAGAAAGATGGGGCCTCCTACGTGAGACTGTTGGAGAAAGAGGCATTTCGTGGCTCTGCGTGTATATGATGTGCAGGTACATGATTGTGCCAACTTCTCACTGGTCAAAGGCTGTGCGCGAACAGTAATTATATTGCTGAAACACCCGAAAAAGAACAAAACCCAAATTTGAACAACCTAGGAATATCTGGCAGTTCAACTTCTGAGGCACCAAGCATAGTACCGTGGTTTGCTTTTTACATGCAAATGCGGGTTTGGCACACAAGATCTCTGGCCATGTAACTGGTTCAGTGGTGAACTTCCTACAGCTTACCTAACAGCGCTCTAGCACTTAATGAACTTGAAAGCAACCTACGGTATGTGGTCAACCCAGACAAAGATAGTCACAGCAACATCTAGGCTCCTGTCCTGTACTATTATCCCCAGTCTGTCCTACCTTACAGCTCACAGCAATCAGCGTTCAAGCGACAAGGTCGGAGATGGGTTTGCGGTTCATGGCATGCACTGCCTTGCGGGCTTCTTTGCGCAACGCAGGCAGCAGGGCTGTGCAGTGATTCGCCTGCTTCAGCAGATCCATGGTCCTGTTGAGCAGCCGCGCCACGTCACCATCGTCCAGGCTGCAGTCCTCCATTGTCTGCTCCCACGTGCTGCCGCCTGCCCACGCTTCCACCACGCCTGTATCACAGGAGACCATGTCGGAACATCAGATAGACCCTGCAGCGCCAGACATGCGTGGCTTTGGAGACGGCTCGTCTGTTAGGCTTTCGATCTTAGCACACTAGGCTTGCGCCTGCAAAGCACAAGTACAGAGGCACAACAGGAACCTCTCCATGTCAGAAAAATACAGGGCATGAGCACATGCAAATCACAACTGGGTCCTTATTGGCGTATTTCATGTAGCAGTTGGGATTGGCTCAAAGGAGAGCTCTTTCGCAGGCAGCACAAGAGCACCAGATCTGTCTCTCCCTATGGAACCACGGATGCACAGAAGGGAAGGGAGAGCAGTGAGCAGGGCACCTGACAGGCGGAGGTCCACAGAAAGCGGCGCTGCGATGTCGCCCTGCATCTGCAAGTCGTACAGCTGCTCTCGCTCTTCCTCCAAGGCTTCGATGGCGTCACAGACCGCCTGCGACGGCTCATACTTCGCGCTAATGGAAGGCCGCGATACGCTCTCCCCCGCCACTATTGCTGCCAGCGTGCCTGCCAGCTGTGGAGCTGCAAGATCCTGCGCACAACATACAACTCCATGGGATCTCCCTTTCAATCAGTCACCATGTGCTCCTGGGCCAGGGGATCATTGTTACATGACGTGCACTTGCGAGGCAGCCCTTTCTCCTATCTTCTGGCGCTCACTCTGTCTTGATGTCTGCATACCTCATTCTCTAATGAGTCACCATGCGCTTAGAGGATGGTGCATGCAGCGCTCTGCTGAGCTCATGGCGTCAATGAGATGTGGACTCACTTGAGTGGCCTGGCCCTAGCTCTGGCTACTAGGCAAAAGAAGACCAGGACAATGACAGCACAACGACTTGACAGGAAAGGCTAACAATGTCTCAGAGACAAGTGGCGGTCAGGTGGGATGCTGGGGATAGAGAGCAGCAGTCAGCACCTGCAGAGCTGCGCTTGTGAGTGCTTTCGCCAGCCACAGCTCGTTCTCCCCGGTGATCTGACGCGCCACCTCACCCAGCGGCTGCGCCTGCACCAGGGCATCTGGCAATGTCATCCGGCAGTCATTAATAACTCCAGCTTGTGACCCTTTTGTGATTTTTGTGAGATATTTGTGACATGCATGCAGCTTGGAGGGACAGAGGAACGGGTTTTCTGTGTGATGTGGCCATGAAGGAGGTGCAGGCACATGTCTCCATTTGAACCTCGAGATTCATGCAGCATGGGAGAGAAGAAGGAAGAGATGTCTTTGTGTGCTTGGGAGCCGACCTGCAGATCGTTGGCTGCCAGGGCGCCGGCGGCCACGAGGACGGCTGTGACGTCCTGGAAGCGCTGCCAGGTGCTGGACAGCTGCCCCTCCAGCGCCAGCCGCATCTCACCCGCCCGCCGCTGCAGGATTGTGGCCTGTCCATCAACAACCACCTCATATTCAAGTCCGAGCCCCTGACAGCGACATATCTCGGCCAGGTGCCATCATTCTTTGATCTTCTTGCATGCACCACCATGCGATGCATGCCGAGATGAGCCCAGGGTCACCAACCGCCAGGGAGTACTCCGGAAATTCTTCGGTAATGAGATGACACCCATGCAACAGCAGCTGGCGATGTTCGACTAAAGGGAAGGATCGAGGCATGGCAGGACACAATCAAATGCCATGCATGCTGTCATTGGGCGCCCAAGTAGAAGTCCTCACCTCAAGCCAGATGACTACACATGAGCTGCCCTGCATGTATGGCCTATGCCTTATGGCCTTGGATTTGCCCAACAACAACAACATCAACAACAACGGAGGAGGCAGGGGAGGAGGGAACGCCGTGCCTTGGCGCGCAGGCGCAGGTCGGGGCGAACGGCTTGGCGCAGGCCGACGGCGCTCTTTGCGCGATCTGCATCGGCGCGTGCGGCCGCAACACGCTCGCGGCACAGCGCCACGCCGTCCTCCACCTCCGGCTCCAGCTCGAGGGGCGCGATGTACTGCGCCTGGGGAATGCGCGACGCCAGCACCGCTGTCGTCCCCGTGCCTGCCGCGCAACCGAACCAAACATTTAGACTCTGTTGTAATGCATTTGTGAGTGCATGCACCGCATCTAGTGGTTTGGCTGTATGCGCAACTTTCGTGCAATTCTGAAAAGACCAGCATTTAGTGCTGTAATACATTCCTTCTCTCTGGCGAGAGACATACATGCATAGATGTTCTAGAGACCCTGTTGAGGCGGCCTCCTGCTGCGCATGATGCGGCAATAATTCTGCCTGGGCTCTGGCGAGGAGAAAAAATGCAAATGGTGCGTCTGAGAAGATGGCATCTCACCCTGGGCATAGAAGGCGCCGCCCTTGCCGGCGGACCATGATCGCGCTGCATCGGCCGCCTCCACAACGGCGGCCGCAGCGCGGCCGCCCTCGCCCGCCAGATCACCTTCCATCACCGCCGCGATCTGCTCCGCCCTCACTTGCACCAGCCTGCACCCAAGCCACTCCCTTTCGCCCCACTGGGCCAAAATTTCATCCGACACTCTAGCTGTCGTACACTGGCCACGGAACGCACATTTAGACAGAACGACACAGCTGCTATATCTGCGCATTGCGGCATTGGATGGCAGGTTCACTGTGCAACTGTACAAAAATAACAGCTCTCATTGGGACAAGTGTCCACTTGGACAATGGGAGTACTGCATGGTTAGCGGAGCCCACCTGTTGTCGGCGGTGAGGCAGAGGAAGCGGGTGTCGGAGGAGTCGGCGCGCAGGTCAAGGTTGGGAGCCGCCAGGTAGTCGACCTCGGCCACGGCCAGCGCCGGGAGCGGCTGCGACGCGTCGATGTCCTCCGCGGCAAGATCAAGGCCCACGTTGCGCGGCATCCCCAAGAAAGCCTGTGCGCGGCAGGGGACACGATCAGGTAATGTTTTTCTAGCGTCTGTATGATTAAGGTGGCTAATACGAAGCCAGAGGCCACAGGGCACACATGCAGGGCGTCTGCAGCATGGTTTGCTGGTGTCAATTCAATGTAAGTCTAAATTTCCTGTCACACTGTCAGCGCCCAGCCGGTCTGGCAAACACCACTTTAGCACAATGCCTCGATTTCTTCTGATGGATATTGTAGGACAACTGTCGCTTCACAGGGCCCACTCCTCTGTCAGCTTGCTGGCTTGGCTTTGGGTCAAATGGCTACACGCACCAGGAAGTCCCGAGCGGCTGCAGCTCGCGACTCCACGGCCTGCTCTATGAGCAGCTTCATTGTCCGCTTCTCTTCCCGCAACCGCGCCTTGGCTTTCTCGTACCTGCCAGTCCAGCAAAATTCTCAGTAATCCAGGAAATGAAGCGCCACACAACAAGACATTTACCTAAAAGTACAAGAGTGATGGTGTGAAGCACAAGGCAGTGCCATACCTGGCCACCACCTCGTCCACTGTGCCTTCCAACCCCTCAGCCGCCGCTGCCTGCTCAGCCAGAACAGCGGCGCGCTCCTCGATCTGCTGTATCTCCTGCAACCTCCTCTTGTACCCTCCCCCGCCTGCAGCAGTTCAGGGAGACCCATCAGGCTCGCTCACCATCGCACACATCCCCACCAGCGGACAACCTGATTTCATACGCTCCATGCATCAATGCGCCGCAATTGTCAACGAGCTAATTACTTGGTGCATATTTGTAGAACTCACAGTTTGATTGCATTTGTGTATGTGATACACCGGTACAAGACAAGTACTGTCAATGTCTCGAATGCATTTTCCTTAATGAGCTTCCAGGGAAGATCAAATTGGGAACTTTTTGGGAGTCAGGGTCCAGGAGGCCCGAGGTAGTTGCTCAATGAAGCAATCAGGACTCGCCTAGCAACCACCAAGGTGTAGCAAAACATCTGCAGTCCTCGCATTGGACTGGAGGGGCATCAAAAACAAGAACAATACGCAGGAATGCACCGCAAGTGTGAATGGGGACCAAAATGGCGGGTAGCAGGAGCGCACCGAGGTAGTTGCTGAAGGAGCGCTGGATGAACGCGCGCGCCTCCGCCAGGCTGCGGCTGTGCAGCAGGTTGAGCACCATGCCGTAGCCCGTCGCAAACTGGCTCTGCAGCGCCTCGGGGCCCCTCATAATGATCCCATGCACGTCCTCTGGATCCTCAAAGCGGCTCTGCAGCACCACGCAGTTGCCTGCATGGCCACAGCAGCGCATGTTTGTGGGACGAATGCATCATGGGGATCGACTGCAAGAGGTCATGGGTCAAGGCTGGGCAGACCAAGAGTTTCGCAGCTGCGTTTATCCTGACAATTGCGTTCTCCTCAGGAATTGAATGTATCACATCTACATCTAGGCTGGGTTAAGCGAACACATGACCCGTAACACATGACAGGCAAGGCAGGGATGCAATGACAGTCCTCCTCGGTCTATGGAGGCACTCACGAAACTATCTCACGTCAGAAAGTCCACCATGTGAGGAGCAAGAAAAATTCTCACCTGTGGTGTCATAGCCTCTGCGCCCGGCCCGGCCGGCCATCTGGAGCAGCTCGTTGTGCGTCAGCATCTGGATCCCCTGGTCTTTCCGCCGGGAAAGGGTGGATATGATTGTGGAGCGCGCCGGCATGTTGATGCCTGCTGCAAGGGTTTCCGTGGCAAACACTACCTTCAACACCCCTGCACAAGCCAAGCGAAGCTTCATGCATGCATGCTATTCCCGCAAATGTCAACTTATTCCACAAGAGCAAGTCTCTCATTTTATATGGTTTCTAGTCAGCTGCTCACCTTGCTGGAACAGGCTCTCGACAATCCCTTTCCAGCCTGGCAACAATCCTGCATGGTGTGATGCAAATCCCTTGACGAGCGCAGCGACTAGATTCTCCTTCACAGCCTCTGGCTGATCAGCCCTGCATACCAACCCAACAATGCCTGCTAAGCACTCAATTAAAGCGATGCAATGATTTGGTCATGAGAGTCTGTTGACGAATGGTGGAGTGTCAGGAGGAAGTTTCACCTGAGGCTTTCCAGCTCGTAGAGGATGAGCATCTGCTCGTCTGGAGTGGTCAGGGACACCCCTTGCTTGTCCAGCATGAGGGCAGCTTCGTCACATGCTGCTCTGCTGAAGATGAAGTAGATGGCTGGCAGCATGGCCTTGCTGGCCAGGGACATGACCACTTCCTCCAATGGGGCCATTCTCTTCCATCTGGGCTCATCGTACTGTAAAGTCACCTCTCCGTTCTCACTCTCCCTCCCATCCCTGCACAGCATATAAAGATAGCATACCAAGAGCCCATGGCCAGCCAAGAGTACATGGGGTGCACCACAAATCAGAAGGGGAGACAAGCAGACCTGGGCCTTCAGTAGAGGAATCAATTCTCTGCATGTGAAGCCGCATCAATTGCCGAAAATTGGCCTGCACCTGAACTTTGCGCTTCTCATGTGGTCCCAGCGGCCCCAGTCAACTCCCATGTACTTCTCTGGCTCCGGGCGCCGCAGGGCAGAGTTGAGGGCTCGACCCTTGCTGCCAAACAGCGGTAGCAGATGGGTTGAGCCGCCGGCAGCAAAGCCAAAGTGCCACTCCAATGGGACCGGCCGGTACCTCGTCACAACCGTCTCGCAGCTGCCATGCACCTGCAGAGCATACACATGAGCACCCTTCAGATGTCCTGCAGATGAGCACCATTTCCCAAAAACGCCCAAATACGCAGGAGATTTTAGGCAGGCATGTCCACTATACCTGCCTATTTCAAGCTGGCACTGTGAAGGAGGAGTGGCACAATGTGATGCATGCATTGCAATGAGGAGGGCCAAGATGCAACATCATGTGGCAGGCGTGCTGACCTCATCAATCCAGGCGCCGAGGTCATCAGCGTTGGCCACGGTTGCTGACATGGCACAAAGCTGGATCTGAGGCGGGCAATTGATAATGACCTCCTCCCACACTGAGCCGCGCGAGGGGTCTCCCAGATAATGCACTTCGTCCAGCACTATCAAACCCACATCATTCAGGCGCTCCACTGCGGGTGCCTCACCTGCCCCACCATAGCATAGCATGCTGCTCAAATTGCAGTACTGAATTTTTGCCTGATGGTTCAGGCAATGAGAATACAACCTCATCCCCAAGATGAGGACGCAATATGCATGCATGCAATTTTCTGTTCTGTCTCCATAGAAATACAATATTCTATAAGATTCATGCCGGCTTGACAGAAGGAACCAGGAAGAAAAACTCATTTGTTGAGGGCCATTGCATCGCGTATCCAGGCAGGCTGGATGGTGACGCACCTGCTCCCCTGGAGTCTGTGCGGTACATGATGTTGCGCAGTACTTCGGTGGTCATGACAACAATCGAGCTGTCCAGGTTCAGGGAGGCATCGCCAGTCTGCAGCCCAACCATGTCGCTCCCAAAGCGAAGCCTCATCTCATACAGCTTTTGATTGCTTAAAGCCTTCAGGGGAGTCGTGTAGATGACCCGCTGACCCCTGCACACAGAACATGCACCCTTCTTGATGGCCTTTAAGCATGCAGGCATGACCTTCTCTCGAGCAGTACTGAGCATCAGTCGAGGTGTATCATACATTTCTCTTATTGAACAACCAGGAGGTAGCAAGTACCTTGCAAGCATGGCAATCGTGGCGGCCTCTGCAATTACGGTCTTTCCAGCTCCAGTGGGGGCACTGACCACGACTGAGGATCCACGCAAGAGAATCTCCACAGACTGGGCCTGGAACTTGTCAAGTGCAAACGGCAACACTGCGGTGATTTCTTCCAATGTCAATTTCCTGTTGCCAGCCGCAAGCAGGTCTGACACCTGCAGTGTCAGCTGTCTGTCTTCATCCAGTGAGCTTGTACTGACACACATCAGATGGCGGTCACAACAATTCAACCGTTTCAGTTTGATGCTTTTGATGGGTACTGTTGTCACCGCACCTGTATAGGATCTTCTTTGAGAATGCCTTCCTGGCCTGCCAGCTTGTTTGCTACATTGACTGGAGCCTGATACATTGATGCCTCATCCAGATCATCTTCCTCCGATGTGTCTTCATCCAGATCATCTGCTGTGACCCAGCTGCTGGAGCCTGCAGCTCTGCTGCTATGCACGCGCCATTGACTTCCTGCACTTTCTGGGGTTGACCGGTCCTGTGATAGATCTGTCTGTCGCCTGGAGTGTGCAGTGCTTGTCTGGGATCTTCTTCCAGCCCCGCTGAATTGGCCTGGGTATCCCGGCCCTGCTCGCTGTGACCCACAATGCCTGGGCAAGAGAGAACAGAACAGCAGACATCTGCTGTCCCTTGTGCCTTGGCTGCTTTCAGAAAGCTTTGGCAAGAAACATCTGGGCAGCATCGGGCTTCCTTGTCACAGGGGCTTGTATCTATGCTGCTAAGTGCTGTGCTTGTTTCCTGAGATTCTTGTCCTTGCATCTAACTGTCCACGCTTGCAATTGTAGTATGAAAATCTGAAGTTCGCACAGAATTCCTCTTCTTTTGCACATGTCTTAATGCTCTTGTTTTGTACCTGCCATGTCCAAGACAAGTATGGATAAATCAAGATCGACATAATTTTTCACAGCGCAATCGATAAGGGGAAAGTAACAATTGTTTCTTGCCTTCATGCAGTCACTCTCACGTAGACATCGCACAAATTGCTCAAGGACGTTTTGACATGCTTTAGACATCTGATGTGCTCCTCTATTGATCGAATTTGACAGTTCCCGAGCGTTGAATAATACCAAATATCCTATCAATGTAATCAAGAATACGAATGCCTATTCATCCTAAAAAAGAATGTTACTTGATCCAACATTGAAGAACAGCGAGGACAGCTCACATCTATCCTCGGTGACTCATCATGCCATCATGACCCTGCTAAGAAGTTGACATGCATGCAAGGTCCTTGGTTGCTGGTTTTCCAGGCCAGACTTATTGAGTCGCCCAGGCTTGCTCTTACAACAGCCCATCAGTGCTCGTTGCATGCGTGTATTTCTCAAATTTAGGATGGGGTGTCACAGCCTGCCCAATGTCTCGGGCCGCTGGGCAAGGGTTGCTCGGGCCCAGAGATATTGCTTACATTGTGACCAGCACGTGCTTGGGGATGAGCGCCATCTGGTTTTTGAGTGCCCTGCTGTGCAGTCCATTCGGGACCAATATCCTGCTTTGTTTGGTGCCGCCATTCAGACCATGCAACAGTTCATGTGGCAGTTGGATATTGTCAGTGTTGCACACTTTGTCATGGATTGTTTTGATCACTTGGATGCTGTCAGTACATCCAATCAGCCCTGGGCGGCTGGAGTTGATGTGTAATTTCCTTCCTTCCTTCCTTCCTTGGCCTTACATACCATCTCTCTTTATTCCTGCTTTATCAGCGCTCACGCCCATTAAACACTATGTATGTCATGCATGCACTCACGGCTGCTGACTCAATTCGACGTTGCCCCTCCCCAAGAATCACAGCTGACCTGTCAAGACCTAGAATTAAACACACACTAGGCAGCAGTACCAGAAGCCTCTCTTTTTGCTGAAGGCCTTTCTCTCTTTTAGGTAAAGCCTAGACTGACTCGTTACAGTGGCTGAAGCACCCGCTAGTGACGCCGCGTGCGCTTGAGGTTGAGGCGGCCTGTGGCAGCTGCAGGCGTCTGAGACCTTTTGGTCTTGCGCTCAACTGCTTCTGCGCGCTGCTGCGCTGGTGACACGCCAATCTGCAGTTGTGGCCGGGGCTTTGCCACACCGCCGCTGAACGCCTGCCTGTCATTCTCTGCGCTCTGCGGCTGTTCCATTTCTGCTGCAATTGGTGCTGGTGGGTGCTCTGCGCTGGCTGCATGCCCTCCATTCCTGCTTGCATTCTGTGCACGGTCGCTGGCCATGCCATGGAAGCCTCTGCCAAAGGTCTTACCCAGAGCAGGAGCTGTGTGCATGGGAATGCTGTCTGCAACGAGGGCCTGAGCATGCGGCAAATCAATCATTCCTTAATACCAAATATTCCATAAGCATCCAATCAGCTTGAAATGCAGCAGCTCTGCATGTGCAGTCAAGGACTCTAAGCACTGAAATAGAGCAGTAGCCAAGATGCTGAACCTGCAGGAGCTTGGAAGAGTTGTTGCTGTAGTCCAGCGGGGAGAAGACTGGGCATGGCATGGAGCCAAGGAGACTGCGCACGGCCGTCTGTGCTGCAGGAGTGACTGGTGCTGGTTCAGGCTGTTCTGTGGCTGCAGAATGGATCTCCTCACGGCATGCAAACCTGCAGCACTGAAGGGGGTAGCATGAGCGCTGGCTCTCCCAATCTGCCACATCTGCATGCAGGAACTTCCAGCATTTTCGGAGCATTTTGGTATCCTGTTCTTGATACATCACGTACCTTCTGATGAGCAGAGCGCTTGTATTTGAGGCTGGAAACAGGACATAAAATAAGTGAATTGAAGTAGCGCATGCCGCAGAAAAGTCCCATTTTGCATGGGAGATCATAGCCTCATCCCTCTCACGGAGCTCCTGCAGTCATGCAGTCAAGTCTTGAGCGCTTGATGGGTGACACAACATTTGCATGGTCTCAATGCATGCCGAATGGACAGGACTAGCGAGAAGGCCATTCCAACCTGGCAGAGAGCAGTCAGGAAGATCTCGTCTCCAAAGGTCTCAGCATCATCACATGTCAGGACATGGCAGCTGCCAAGCAGGATGGTTTCAGACACATCTTCCACCTGCGTGCACACTGGACATCAGCATGACTACACCTCATGCCTCCTGAAAATAACTCGATCTCAGTGTAAGGCATGCATCTAAAAGCTTCATCATGACAGCAGGGCATGGATAAGACATGTTGAAGTTCACCTTTACTCTTGTGGTGACGATCAGCTGTTCATCCCAGTCTGGTGGCGGGGCAAAGGGAATGGCACTGTGCTGTGCAATGTGCAGGATGTTTCCAGGTGCGATCTGCACATAGCTGAGATCTGGTGCGCAATCTGCCATTCTGATTGTCTTGTTGGTGGCTGGACACATGCACCAATCAGAGGCTCCTGTACACATCAAATACTTTCAATTCTTTTGATTGGGCCACTGCACTGTCAATTTTGCAATGCAATTGCGAAAATGAGACAAATGAGCATGTGCATCATTGCATACCTGTTGCATTGACGGGCATAGCATGACAGTGACAGCAGCTGGAGGGTCTCAGTGTACTCTCAAGGTGCAGAACATCGCACGAGGCAGAGCATTTGATGGAATGCCTGGATGTCTGTGTCGCAGGAAAGACAAGCAGCACAGACTGTCCATTGGGCCGCATGAAGTCTTGCAGGAATGACATACACATCTCTTCGACACCTGCTGTGTCTGCACTCAGACACATTCAGTTGCCACGAGTACAGGCTACATGCACAGAGATCCCACAGCATAGCAAGGTTGCAAGACAAACTTGGCTGTTGGCCATTTCCTTACCATTTGAGCAGCATGTCAGCGTAGCATTCTCTGCATCCAATATGTTTGCAGCAAAGTCAGCCATGTCCTGTCGAGTGTTCTCCTCCATATTGTCCGGGATTGCACAGAAGTTGATCTGGATGCGTTTTGCAGCTGCAAACTGACAGACATGTGGCCCATTGTTGGACAATGTCCTGAGGTGCTCATACTGAGTTGTTATTATTATTACACGCTTTTCCTGCCAGAAGCAAGGTGCGTCTGCAGACAAGCTGCGGTATCTACTGAATAACTGTCTGCAAATCATCATCTCACCTCGAGTGCAGTCTTGAGGTCCTCACTGTATTTGAATGTGTGAGAGACTACATGAATAATTTTGCTTGTGCCAGTCAGGTCAGTATTGCCTGCAGCAAACCTCAGAGCAAACATTGCCAAGGCTCCTGTTTCACCACAGCAAGCACTTATTTGCAGACATGCATGAATGTGCAGTACAGCTTTGTGCATTGAGACAGATTCTGCTTCAGTCTGGCTGCGGGAGAGTGTATACCTTGATGCTGGACATTGCTGGCAATGTGAGGATGCATGGCTGGCTTCAGCTTCAAGGAGCCCAGCACGAAAGTGCGCAGAGAGAACTTTCCTGGCCTCATCAGTACCTGCGCTGTACCAGTCGATTCAGATCTGGTCAATCTTATTCCGAGGCATGTCAGCGTTTCAGATCAGAATGCATCGCTTGGTAGACAAGCTAGAAGACGAGACAAAGACCTCAAGCTGCAACTCCTTGCCAGTCACTGCAGAGTGGGCCCCTTGGCACAAGCTTATGTTGTCTTGTGACATGGAATCCGAAGTACACAGAGCTAATTTAGAGGCAGCACGGACTAGACCATCCTGCACGAGTGGTAGACATCCCTCTGACAAAGCATCTACCAAAATAACCGTCGATCTGCTCATACTGCGCTAGTTCTGGCAATCAGTAGATTGGCAACGCCAAATTTTGCTTCAGAACGGAAATAGAGTGGCGCTTCAAGACAGCAGGTGTTTCTGTCTCATTTGCGAGTGAATTTTTCTTGGATTCTGCCCTGGCCTAAATTGGAATCTTTGCATGGCAATTGCTCCTTGACTGCTCTGAGCTTGATTGCGGATTCTATGAACGCGATTTTATGAAAGGAGACAATCTTCTTTTCTAGATCTGGTCCAGTAGTGCCAAACTGTCCTCTGCAGCCATGGTCGGCTCTTGGCCAGAGATGCGTAGTGTGGCTTCTCATTGCAAATTACACAGTCTAGAGATCTCTGCTATGGTAATGCTCCATTTGCATTCATATCAACTTGCGGCAATCTCAAAATACTATTGACGGTTTTGCTCAAAGTCGATCCGAAATGGATCGCACGCTACTGCCACAGCACCTCAGCTGCCGAGGCCACAGAGAATAGTAGACTGCCACATAATGCAAAGATGTGCGTGCTCTCTCAGCCAGGCATCTCAGCACAGAAAGGTCCCATCCAAGCTGATGCACATTCAAGAGGCCAGCGCTCGTACTACATCTGAGATGCTGCAGTAAGTGCAGCCCAACCAAAGAGGCAACAACTTGACAATGCTTCGAGACTCTCAACAGGAATGATGCGCTGCTCTCCTCAGAATGGGCAGCTGCATAATTCTGGTCAAAATTTCAGACATCAAACAACACTCGGCGTGGTGTGGCTCATTCATCGTCCACTTGGCAGAGACAAGCGTCCCGTCTGCAGAAATAATCAGATATCAAGACCTCAGCAGCGAGTCACAGGGGCACAGGAGTTCGTTGTAAGGCACAGTAACAATGCGAGTATCTGCAAAAACAGTCAGAGACCGAGGTAAGATCAGGTACCTGCTTCGTGCCCCGCTGCGATGTGCCCCTCTGTGTGGAGCTGCGCTGTGTGCCAAAAATGGGAGACAACACCTCAACTGACGAGACCTGCAAGAGGCAGAAGGAATATTTTTCTTAGTCCTGAAACATTGTGCCCTGCCCCCCAGTCTCTCAATGTACAAGTCTTGCTCAGCTTTGTATCCACAGGTTACATTAGAGAAAGAGGTGTGCAGTCATCAAGGCATCAAGGCAGATTAGTAAATATGATGGTCAGTATGGGAGCTTACAGATGACGAAAACTTGGTCTGCAGCTTCGAAGATGTCCATCCGCTGAATCCACCGCTGACAACAAAGACCTACAGTCACACAGCCACATTTTAGGGATACACCAACAGAACTCAAGGGTCCTGCAAAAGCTGACAAGACTTGCAGCACACAAGGAGGTAAGTCTTGCTGGGCAGGGCCACACACCTTCTTGAAGCCCTTCTTGGCGAGCTCCTTGGCCACTGCCTTGGACTGGCCGCCGTTCCGGTCGAGCAGCAGGATCTTTGTGCCCTTGCTCACCTTCTTCAACGCCGCAATAGACAGCACCGTCACCTGCGCACATGCACCACCTGTTCAGCCACACTGATCACCAGACAGTTTATCAACTAATGGACCGCAAGCTGTGTTCTTCCGTGTATTCTTCTGTCCATGTGCCTCCTGTTGCGCGAGATGTAAATGTGCCAGAAGTGTAGCAAATGAGGTCCTGCTCACACACAGGGGGCATGGCAACAGTCGCGGCACCACATGACGACCTATTGCAGTAGTGAGTACTGGGATCTAGTGCACATGTCAAAAGGAAGGCTCACCGTCTTCTCAATCTCGCTGGGGTTGCGCAGCTGGCCCCTGATCTTCCTGTCGCTGATGGAGGCATACTCCAGCTCCACCACACGCCCTGAGTTGGGCACATCCGGCACTCCAGACGACTCCTTCTCCCTGTCAGTCCTGCACCGGGGCATCCAGATAATCTAAGCCCTCCATGATATCAGTCAAGGTAAGCAAAAGAACGTTGTTCCCAGCCCCCTCCAATGCAGCATGTGAAACATGAATTGACCAGCACGCCTGATGCCACCATGTGTGAGTCATCCCCGATGACACCAGCAGTTTTGTCCATAATTAGGGACACTGCATGTCCTCAAACCCCTGCATAGTACCCTCACAGCAGAGCATGGACTCATGCATTGAGGGGGCTCAGAGCAGCACCTGATGTCAATGAGGAGGGTGTTGCCATCGTTGCTGATGGCATCCAGAGCGCCTGCGGCACTGATGTTCCCGGCATACCCGCGGAAGGAGCCAAAGATGCCCTTCACAATGCCGGGACCCTGCCCCATGCCATTCACGTTCACACTCTGTCTAGTAGCTGGAGGGCAACGCACAGCATAATTTTGTCACTACAAGATCTACTCAGGAAGTTTGCAGGCCAGTAAAAGGGACATGCAGGCCAGTAAAAGGAAGCCATATGGGAGAAGTGGGGTCACACCAGGTAGTAAAGGGCGAGCAGGCCCAGGACATACTCCCCAATGACCACAGGGCTGGTGCTGGACAGCGTGGTGACTGTGCTGTCCAGTGTGGGCTTGGCGCTGGTCAGCGCATCTGAAGCCGAGTCTGTTGCTTTCCTCGCCCCATCCACAATCACGCTGGCGTTCAGGCCCTGCTTTGCCAGGAAGTTCTCCACCTCTCCCACACCAGCCTGCAGTCAAAGCACAACCTTGTCAACTATTAATGGGCGCAGCAATAACCTTGATAAACTAATTCAATCGTATGATTCTTCCTGCGTGATGAGCAAGAACAGAGAAGTGTGAGATCAGGGAGCTGCACCTTCACAACAGGCTCTGCAGCCCTGACGACGGGCGCAGCCACCTCGTTGGCGGTCTCAATGCCCTTCTTGACATAGGGTGCTGCGGTGTCTGTGACGTCCTTGACCACTGGAGCGGCTTGGTTGTAGACCTGCCAAGCCACTCTCTCTCAGCATGGTGCACCTGTGACAGCGAGGCACACCAGCAGAACGCGCTTGTGCAGGAGCAGCGGGGATGCGCACGTTCTTTGCATATGACAGCCCCACACCCACATAGTCCAAGCCCGTCTTCGCAGCACTCCCAGCGGCCTGCAGACATGCACAGGAAAGTACGAGATAAGCCCGCAATTCTGGAGATCATGGTTCTTGTAATTATCATCGTCAGGAACATAATAGAACGACACCCACAGAAGCTCTTATGTACCAGGAGGGGAGACTGACTGACCTTCACAACGTCGATGAGGGTGCCGACAGTGGAGTCCACAAGGTCTGGGCCCCTGGCTGAGATCTCTGCGGTGTCAGCATTCGCTGGAAAGGCAGCCAGCAATGATGCCGCAGCAATGGCCTTGGCTGCATGCTCTTTGGCTGCACAGACTGAGCACGTTAGGGCTATAGGGACTTCACATCACAGTCTTGGAACATATAGACTAGTCTCAAATAGCTGTCTGCAATTATAGGTGTATCATCTGAACCGCTTAAAAATTAATTATGTAGAAATGGCCAGCTTTTGGCCGTTTCCGTCTTGTTGGTGCAGCTTCTCATCTTGATGCTTTCAGATCTCATGGGGGGGTTCCCAAAGCCTTACCGTGCACATCATGCTTGCGTTCGTTCTGGTGTCTCTGCTGAACCGCCTTGACCACAAATTTCCTGCCCCCAAAAGCCTTCCTTGCTGAACCACGGACTCCAAAAACGGGCGCCAGCGCCACACGCCTTGGGCACGGCAGCCCTGTTGCCGTCAACATCGACTGCTGCATTGTATGTGCACACCTTTGGATCCCTTTCAAAAGATAATAATGCTCAGAATTTATTATTTGTCGATGTCGGGGCTCCTGTGCATCCTGCGCTGCGCCTGCGCATCCGCCCGAATTCCGATTGGCTGGGCGCCTTTCGGAAGGTGCTGCTTAAGTAGGCAACCGAGAGCTGGATCTTGGCAGTGGCTTCCAGGTTCAGGGAAGCTGCACCAGTCATGTCTCTTCAGGTCTTTCTTCATTTCGAAGATGGAAGTCTGAGTGCTCTGAGAGGACTGCGGTTGTAGCAACATGTCTGCGTCTGACAATTTGTCATTACAAGCTGCATAGAATGTTCGTGAAGGTCGGATGCGGCCCCTGTCCTACAACCATTCCACCCAGCGGTGTGCGTGGATGGAGAGTTCTGCATCCAAAACAAGTTCTGAGTGCAAAAATCAGATTATGCGGGTGCAGCCAATCCCGACGCCTTGATCCCTGGCTCTTGACTAGGTGAGTGTTCGATCGCCTTAGAATGATGTGTTCCATCCGACCACCTTGATACGGCAGCACTGAGCTATACTGAGCTATGGGGACGTCGCAGGGCTACCTCAGACGAACAGCACGAAAATAATGGCCCACAGAAGATGGCAGACTCTGCTGGTCAAATGCAGGAGGATGCAAGGGATCAAATCCACGAAGTGGTGAGTACTGCATCATCCAATTCCTGCTGACTTGTTTTGCACTCCATGCGTACCTCCACTTGATGTCAATATCTATCCACAGGTGGAAAACATGGAAGACGCCCTGGACGAGGACACACAGGCCGCACTGGATGGGTTTGTGGGGAAGTACAGCTTCAGTGACAAGGAGCTAGAAGTATTCAAGGAGCTGGTGGACAACATGCGGGGCACAGCTTGGGGCCTCCTGGCCGCCACCGGCGTCACTGCACTGCTGTCAATCACGCAGCAGGTACTTCATGCAGACCACATTCAAAGTCCATGCATAATTGCCCTTTGGCATTTCCTCTGACTGGCTACAGGAGGCTGAAGAAGGCCTATATGTGATATCAGGTACTGAATGGCAACTTCCTGCCGACAGACAGCCTGTACATGAAGGGCATGGCACTGGCGCGCACATTCAGGGTGCTCGACTCGATAGTGCTGGCAGCCCTGGTCTACTTGGGAGCGCTGTGCTTCAAGAAGGTGGTTGCCACTGAGGAGAATCAGCTGGCGTACTGTGTGCAGGTATGTGGGAGTCCGCTGAGATGCCTGTATCTAACTTGGGCTGATATATGCCTCTGAAAACCTTCTCCATGTATGTGTCTGCAGCAGAATTTTGTATCTTTGTTCTGCTGTGCAGGGTCTTGTGCAGCTTGGGATACTATTCATGCAGATGGCGCCCATTGCATTCTGCTTGGCGGTTGTGGATCTCATGGTCGCTGCCATCAGGTAAGGAGCTCAAACAGCTGCTTGAATTGCAAGATGCGGCTCTCAAGCAGATAGTCTCTTCCTTAATGTTGAATTTTCATTTGCTTTGAGAACAGATCTAGGAAGTTGCATCATTCTTATATTGCAGGTGGCCCGGCGTGATGCTGTTTGCCGCGATCGCCACAGCCGCTTTCAGTGTTATACGGACGGGCGCAGTCGCGTACCTCCTTTCCAGGTGCCTATGGCAACCTCTGGAGTATTTGTCTGACCACGCAATGTCTGCACGTTGAACAGCAATCTGACAAAGCTGAACTCAAGGCGGCGGGCTCTGCATTGTGTGCTGATGTGTGACACAAACAAGTGGAATAAGGGGTTCCCCCTTGTGAGCCCTTTAAGATAACCGTCTGAGTGCTGTTGGCCGGCTGTGACATGCACAGGTACCGGCTGGGCAGCCCAAACACAGCAAAAGTGCTGCTGCTGTTTCGGGAGGGCTGGTCTGCCCTGCCAGCATTCCCTCCAATGGACCGAACAGCAGTCATGGTTGTGGGCGCCACCATGATGCCCTACAGCCCACCCAAGCGCCGGCATGTGAGACCCCCACCTCTGACTTGCCCTTCTCTTTGTTTATTCCTCTGGCCGTTCATCAGCAATGACCTTTGGGAAGGTCAATCTATTATAGCATGCATAACAAGGATGTGTGAAAGGCATGCCTGGCTCGGCAGACAGGCCACATGCTGCTGCCAGTTGCCATGCGATGTCCCTTCTATGCAAACCTTCATGTCTGCCCAACGCTTGTCCATTCTACTTCTAAAGATGGGGTTGTATAGCACTGAGAATTCCTTGATTTCCACTACGACATGCTTTAGGAAATGACAGGACCCGTTGGAAACCGGCAGGAGCAGTTGCTCAAAGGCTGAGTTATTAAAGTTGCTTGTGATGTGAGCAGGCCATCACACCGGATGAGGAGGATGGCATGCCAGTGGACCTGCCCAAAGGCCTCATGGAGAAGGCCCGGCAGGAGGCAGCCGAGTTCAGGGAGAGTGACAGTAAGCAGAAAGGCAGCGAGAGAGCGTCCAGCAGCGAGGCAGAGCGCAGCAGTGACGAGGGAAACAAAGAAGAGAGCGAGGGGAAAGACGGCGTGCAGGAGTATGAGTTCACAGTGTGGGAGGACCGCATTCTGGAGGTTGTAATGGAAGCTATGCGCATGGCCGGCCTGGCACTTGCAGTTCGCGCCATCGCAACTTTCTGCCTCGGTGCGCATCTTCAGGTCTTTTTAAGGGAATGCAATACAGCATCCCTGTGTGCCATTGGCCATTTCAGATGCATTGGCCTGTAAGTGCCTCCTACAGGAGGCCTACAGAGACCTTTGACACTCTTTACTGCCTTCCTTGCTAAAGCCTGGGCAGTGAGGTTGTGTGATGAACCCCATCGCTGTCTGAGTGCTTGAAGAGGGGTCCACACCGAGTATGCGGATGGCCTCGCGGCCGCTGCAGGCATCTTTTGTCATTTGGATGCTCGAGGACGATTATTTGCGGTGATGCACTGACGGCTTCTTCCCGTGTTCAGGGATCACGGAAGTCCAGGCGATGTCTGTGGGCGGCGCTTGGGGCTACTTCACGACTGATCTGGTGGACCAGAGCGTTCGCGCGTGGCTGCTGTTTGCCTCAGCCGGCTGCTTTCAGAAGGTCATCAAGCGCCAGGGCCATGACATCACCAATCTCCTGGCAAGTCCCCACCTCATTTTCACGAAACCCGGACGTTTTGGAGGAGCCTTCAGTGAGCATCATGCTGTGTGGATTTTTGCGGTGGCAGGGAAGGTAAGGGCAGCAAGCAAAGTGTGAGAGCTTATTTCTGCAGGAGGGCTTGGGGTCTTCGAACGGCATCAGCCTGCTATTTGCGCGCATGCGCAAGCTGACATGGGGGATGACCACCTACAAGTGCCTGGAGTTTGCGGTGCTGCTCTTCAGCAAGACCCCAGTCTGGGCAGCCATCTCAGGTGCTTCACAGCAACCTCCTTATTGCTTTTTCTACTGTTTTGCCAGGATATGCCTTATAAAAGGTATGCATGCATGAATGGGAAGCCTGGGCTTACATAATAAATTCCAAACTGGCACTGCAGAGTTTATCGCCTGCCGCCTTGAAACGGTGCACGTCAAACAGCAATAGAAACCTTTGCAAGCCCATTTGCATGGGTTGCCGAGTCACTACGTTGCCATGCAGGATGGTTGCGAAATGTTGCGCTGCCTGCTCTTCTGCGCTTCGTGCAGAACCATCTGGCCTTCCTGCGCCCCCTGTTGACAGCGAGCGGAGTGGCGAGCTGAGTGAAATGATGACTGTGAAGTGTGACGAATAGTGAGAATGTGCTTAGCAGATATCTGGTGACAATTGCTGACTGACTTGGTGCGTCTACTTGACCCTGTGCGAGCGCTGTATCATACTGAAAATAATACCTGTACAAGATAGACTATGTCACCAACAATGACGAGCGACATGAGAGATAGTCAGAGGGTCGTCTGCAGTACTAATCTAGAACACTGCTTTGCCCAGATTGTATTTGCGTGCAAAGAATTGACAACATTATTGACCGGGCAATGTCCTTATTCACATTATGCTCTTTTAAGTCTTACAGAAGCACTTCTGCAATTACACAATCAAGATATGAACATGGAAACAGACTGTGAAATGCTGACACTCAATCAGAGGTCACACTGCCTATCTAATTTGGCGCTGGCTAGCACACGGGTGACACATTTCATAAACGCACAAACCAGCAGTAGCCTGAAAGGAATGCTGAAAGGAAAAGAACCTGTACAGAAATGGATATCAAACCTGACAGGAAAATCTGCTGTTCATTCAGACCTGTGGTATTCACGGGGACCGTTCACTGTAGCAAGGCAGTTGCGAGTCCGACAAAGTCAGGCACACCCTGAAACCCTCACATACAATGAGCAGTAATGACGCTGCTTTTGCTTTGAAAGCTGACTGCTACTGGTAGTCATTTGAACTAATATCATTGTCACGGAAATATCAGCTGCACCATGGTAATCACCAGGATCTGAGAAGCTGCTCAGTCAACAATGTGTTGGAACTGCCCCCATTACCAGCAAAGCAGCCTGGGCAGTACTTGGCAAGTTGACACATGCTGATTCTACAGTGTGATCAGGTGCAATGGCATCCTGTTAAGGATTGTGCGTCTGCTAGACTGCCGTTGAGGGCCCCATTCGCCACCGGGAGTGTCATCAACTAGAGGACACCGCGCCAAGACATCTACTCCGCCTGTGCGCCATTGTCTTCTGGGGTCCCTTGGGGCTGCAATTTGCGCGCTGATCATCTGCTGTTCACCCCTTCTTGACAAGGATAACCTTCTTGGACGGCGGCGGCGGGGAAGGAGCCACGACCTGCACATTCAATGCAGCCAATTGAAATCAAATCAAACTGCTTGCAAAGCGTCACGTGGCCCAGAATATGGTTGAGCTTTCTTCCTGCAACAGTATCGAGCTGGCTACGAACTGGAGACATATAGATTCAGTAAAATATTGAGTCCTTGAAGGATTGCCTTCTTGGTTGTCATCAGTAAGAGAGTGGCTCTTCAAGGTGCCCACAAGTGGGCAGTGTGCAAGTTAATAAGGGGTAGAGCACATGCTGACATGGGTGCGAGTGTACCTTGATGATCTTCTTGGCCTTGGGAGGGGGGCTCTCCTTCTTCACGACGACGGTGTCAGGTGGTGGGGAGCTCTCCTTCTTCACAAAGAAAGGGAAGTCACTGTGCAGGGCACGCGCTGGGTGGCCATTGGAAGCTACCCAGTTTTGCAGGCGGCGCCCTGCAACCCCACAATGAGCTGTTTGTAGCTGCATCTAGGGCTGCTAATCAGGGCTCCCCATTCAAATTATGGAGCACCAGGGCACGGCTTGGACTGGAACGCAGTCCTCAAAGCTCGTGCACAAATATCCAGAGACGCAGCAGCGCTCGAGCTTGTGTCCGCAATGCTTTCCAAGGCGTGTCTGGCACGAGCTCGTCGGGGCGTCGTCAAGAGACAGGCAGATCTGCCAGAAGGGAGGCGCACCTGTTGGCTGGCGAACGCTTCGCTCCTTTTCAAGCAGGGACCTGTGAGCGCGAGAGCAGCATCGTCAGGATTCAACACAAAAAATTCCTGTCAGATGATGTACGGCACCGCCGACATGTAAGCACAGCCTGCAGGACTCTATCTCCAACATGATCAACGCAGGAGGAGTTATTAAAGGAGACTCCGTAAAACAAGATGATCAGGCATAATATCGGTGAAGGCAAGAGATTCCGCACGCACGTCGGCCTTGCGCCCATCGTGACGAACAACGAAGAGAGCATCGCCATGCAGATTACGGTCTTTAGAGCCATGATGACTCAATCTGCTGGTATTTAAGCAGAGGATTGCAGGTGGCAGCGATATTTCTGAGACTGAGGGGGTGAGACGAGTCTTGATGATTAGGGCACCTTCACTGATGCTTTGCATGCAGCCGAGGCCAGCCAAATACTTACACGTGTTCTGCATGCTTTGCCAATTTAGGCAGGTCATACAGGTCGGACCCATGCAATTATCTAGAAGCATTTGCCAACTGAGATTTGCCATTGGCTATCTACGCTTCACTTGAGATCTCGCTGACTGCCAATCATCCTCTTGCAATGAAGTCTTGAAAACAGACAGCAGCCGATTAATCATGGCAAGCGCACATGCCGCAGTGACAACCTCTTGAGTTTGCCATACTACCTACACTGCACTGCCCTTGCCAAGGCTTGCATGGCTTGCTGTACAGATAGCTTCATTTTGTCTGGTGACCACTGGTGACACAATCCGGCGAACAACGCTGCATGTAGCTGTACATAAGGTCTGCTGTTGCGTTTGATTATTAATATTGCTGCTGTTATTAAAGCTTGCTACTTCCAATTTGTCATGCATGGCATGGCTGCCCAATGTGAGGGCACCTGCCTGCTAGGATGCCAACCATGTGATTTTATGCCGACAGAAAATAACCAGCTCTATGACAACTAACACTGGCTATATCTCTCAATAGCTCTCGTGAACACCCTGTTTTGTACACAGCCTGACCGGACATGGCCAGGAATGCCAGGCATGTCCCTCAGTCACTAATCTTCATTGATAGCCTTAGTCAGGAGCTGAAAGGTCCTTCTTAGAAGGGCTGGTTGCAGACCCTGCTGCTCATGGAAAGAAGGGGAACTTGGAGAAGAGGTGCTTGGAGGGAGGCGGCGGCGATGGAGCTGACTTCACAATCTTCACAACCTGCAGGCCACCAGATTTTGCAACTCAAGGCTGCAAGTGCAGATTCCTTGATTTCCGGCCTGGCTTCCTAAGAAGCAGACCTTGTATGAACAGCACTGCTCATTTCGGCCTACACAGAGCAATACACGAGAGGCTCTGGCCATGCAGGTGCAAGGCACAATGATTGCCCACCAATCAATGTTCCCTAAAGCCTTTTGAGGGCAAGTCATTGGTTATGATAGTCTCCTGGCAGGATGTAACTCGCGCACCTTCGAGTCAGAGCTTGAAGAATCGTTGCTGGATTTCTTGATAATTATCACTGATGGTGGTGGTGGACTGGGAGTGGGCGGATCTTTCTTGATCACGATTGTGACGCCGCTGTCAGTCAGCAGGCGGCGGGATGAGGACGGCCGGACTGCCTCCCAGTTCTGGAGGAGCCTCTTGGAAGCTCCTGCACCAAGCCAGAGACATCACTTGAGGCTAGCATGGACTGTGATTAACGTCCTTAGTAGGACGCTGTCTGGTCAACGCTGCAGGTGCTCCTCAAAATCTGGGCTTGCAATGTGCAGCTCTCTCTAGGCTACAGGTAGCTACAGCTACATTAGCTACAGAAGTCACAACATTGTACACAACACCCCGGCTGGCAGCGAGGCTCTCAGCCTCAGAGCACTTCTCCTTGCCTTGTTTTTTGTGATCTCAATAATTTTGTAGTTAGCAAGGCACCGTTGTCTGGTCAGATTTTTTGAGCAAAGGAAAGCCACTGTGCTGGTCCTTTATGCACCAGTCGTCTTGAACCTTGATGCGTGACAAGGCTTGGGCGGAATGACAATCTTGAGAGGACGTGAACTCACCCGCTTCACCCTGGACGGATTGTGAAGCATCAGCGCTCTCCAAAGATCCGAGGATGAGTCTGCAAAGAGAACGCAGGAACAGGTGAGTGCTATCGTTGCACCCAGCGCCAAACCTAGGACTTGAACAAAGCCCTCCGCAAGACACGGTCAAAGATAGCTTGCCCGGGTTCTAAACACTACAAGAAACGTTTTGGTGAGAATTGAAGCAGGTGGGTGCTAGTGTTGGGCAAAATGAGCACAAATGCGCACCCAGCAAATCCTGCGAGGACGACGACGAACAGGACCTTCCCGACGCTCATATTGTGAAATATGTAGCGCTGCCGCTGCAAAATCAGCTAATCTTCAGGCTATCGTGCGATATTGACGCTCAGATGTGGAAGCCCAGCAATCTTGAGGAAGGAAAACCTTGGTGATGTCAACAGTTGCATGTCCCAGGATCGGGCAGACAAAGTTTTCATAAGTTTTTAAATATACGAAAAATCAAGGTGGTGCAAAAACAAAAGGCCCAGCATCAGCTTTCGCCAGCTCAAACTGTATAGCAAGATGATCAAACGCAGAGATTCTCTGGACTGGCATTGGTATTTCATCAGCAGGTCCTGTGAGGCCTACATGAATGTGAATCTACTAGGAATCTGTGCTGTCTCCGGTCACTGAGTCAGTAATCGCAACCGCCTTTTCCTATGAAGTGTGCACCCTAGCTGGGAATGCAGAGTAGCATCTCACTGTTCGTAGCCTTTCCGTGTGTGACCCTGCAAGTGCGTGCTTGGTTGAAAGTATGCGCAACAGGGTCTCAGGGGACAGATGTGCAGTACTAGACAACACTGGAATTTGCACAGCGGAAGATGCACCGGTGGTACCTCCATTTACCAACTGCTGCCTATCAGCCTTTATTGCTTGGTTACATTCCTTTGCACACAGTCAGCGCAGATCAGCTTCTTAAAACTAACTGCCAACGGAGATCAGTCTTTCCAATATATGTGCAACGGCCTCTATGCTTGCCATCATCCAGAACTTCAGTATTGCTGAACTCTGTGAAAGCCTCAGCTGCTGTCTAAGTAATGGCCACATCCAGGTACCTGAACAAGGAAAAAGGGGCACTGCAACAGGAGCAGCCCTCTATATATACAAACGACACTCATATAATGGCACAAATGAATGCGAATGCGCAGGGAAGGTAAAAATGAAGAGCTGTACGACGCTGTTTGAGCCCTGTAGCTTTCAAAGGAATCCACGAACTTCATTGCATGCCATGTGCTTTTGTGACTGCACAGGAAATATTATCGACCTGTACAGCGTCTTGCAAAGGAATTTATCAATGCCATGTACCCATGTGACTGTACTCGAGAAGCTTCTCAACGGGTAGAACTGGTGTCCAGAACCTTTAAGCACTCTGTACCTTAGCCGTATTTCTTAATGGCAAAGAACTTCTTTTCGGGGGGCGGGGGCGAGGCCTTCTTAACATACACCACTTTGGGCTTCGGCTTGGGCTTCTCAATCTTGACCACTTGCTGCTTCACCTCCACCACTTTCTTTGGAGGCGGCTCCTCCTTCTGCACAACACAGAAGAAAGATATTCAGTGTGCTGGACACAGTCAGTGCAGACTTTGTGCAGATGTGGCCGGCAGCTAACATCCCAACCTTTGGCTCACAGCAGGGCCAACATGTGTGCATCCGGTCACAGCGCAGACACTATTAAAATTGGGTTATTGCTGACAAATGATCCCTCAAGTGCAAGAGAACGTGGCTTTCAGCTTTCTGCTGGTGTTCCAGGTGGGCAACCCATGCAGCACAATAAGGAGCAAGAGCAACAGCATACCAGAGCTTTGCACTGTATGCTCAGCCTCTACAGATAGTCCGGCGTTCAGCACGTGTATATGTTTTACCTTGGCTGCGTAAACATAGTCATAGCCAAGCATGTTCCGCTGCGCGCTCCATCCCACAATGCTCCGGCGCACACCCGCACTTTCTCCTGCAGATGACAGCATCCTTTGTCAGCATGCATGGCAGCGCGAGCATTGCAAGAAAGGGTTGATGCAGTCTCAGTGAGCGCCAGGCCAAGCTTTACAGAGCAGAGAGAGGAACGTGCTTAAAGGGAAGTAGACAGGCTGATGAAAGGCATTAATGCTCTCAATGACAAATGTGTGCAGCACTTGACAGGGCTTGTGGCAACAATGCGAGGGTATGTGCTAGCCAGGCAGGATGGGGTGAGATGAGCAGCATGCACCTGACTGTGCTGAGCGGCCAGTCCAGGACTCCCTGAAATCAAAAGAATGTGGCGAATAAAATGCCATTGCACAGCTAGGTCAAGATCATATGATGCATCTTACTTTCTGTTAGGCGCACGAGATTACGCCTGCAGCTCAATGGTAGAAATACTGCCATTGTGTATTGGTTCCTCAATAGAGAGATGCTGATCTCAGGAAGTCATTATCAAAGCAACATGAAATTCCCACAAAAACGTGATCGAGGGTCGTCTGACGAGGCTGCATTTGGCCTCGGATTGCTGCAGCTGCAACAAAGGGACCAGCAAACATCCTGGTGGCCCATACGCTATTCCCACACGTGCAGTACGATCCTGGACGAGCATCCTTTGGGAAATTCGGGTCCCTACCTTCTGGCAGAAGCTCCGGAAATCGCCAGGAGGAAGATGAGGCACAGCGCCAATAGTGCCTTGAGGCGGCCCTGCATTGCTCCTGGTCTATACTTTGACTGGCTATGTTTGTCCTGGCGATCTGAAGCCGGTGAACGTTTTGGTCACGTTCTTATGAATGAACGACTGGATTGGATCGGATCTGCTGCTTCCCTCTCCTTCATGCCACCTGGAATGCATTGCGTTCAGAATTTCGCCAAGTCATGTGTCCAATATGCATTCATGCACCCTGCCAGCTCACCACCATGCATTCTTGGAAGAGGAGACCTAAATCGCTTGCCAGTCCCTTGCACCGACATTCAAGCCTTACGAACGTCGTTTGATGAGCTGCATCGAGCAATCTTCCTGTTATATGAGGAAGATGCAGTGTCTCGATCACTGTACACAAGTATTATCATGATAAATTTGTGAACCATGAGGACGACTAAATCCTGCATGTGCCTGTGCCTGGGATGGGTTCTCGTTGCTCTGGAGTGCCAAATTACCGAGGCTGGGCTTCTCTGGGGCAAAGCAGCAAGCGAGGAAAAGAGTCGGTAAGCACACACCACGTTTCGAAATTTATTTGAATCAATACAATTGACCTAGTAGATATACATCACCTGCTTCACCATTGTCCCAAACGTTTGCAGGGACTCACTGAGCTCGATGCTGCAGAAAGGAATGTCAGTTCTGTTGGTGCTGGACCCCAACTGGCAGCTCTGCTACGAGACCGTTCACATTGATGACTTTGCAAAGGATGGGCTCCTTCCATGGGTTTCCAGTCTGCGAGACGCTCTGACGATCCACCCTGAAAATCCAGAAGGCAACTTCTTGAAGGTGCTGTGACTCCTGGTTCAAGACTTGCCTGCTTAAAGTGGAGTTTCAAAGGCTGCCTCAACAAGGAAGCATGAGATCAACTGCTTCACAGTAGTCGGGCTGGATTCTGAAAGGGGATGCCGCAGTTTGTAGAGGGATCAGCACCGCAGGAGCTGAGGCATTTGGCGACCTTCCATGATATTGTGGAAGAGGCTTTTGCGAATGGCAACACCACCGTGCAGCTACCTTCTATGCTGCTGATGCTCTACGAGCTGACGATGCAAGCACCCTGACCTCCCAACCCCACTGCATTAATTTCATTCCTTCTTGCTCAGCTCTGTGGTGCTTCTTGAGACAGCATGAGAGAATATCATCTACAGACGCACCTTGCATCTTAGCAGGACAAGCCTGCAATACAGGTTAAGAGGATTTCACATGCTGTCTGCAGGGTGAATTTGACAGTCAAAGAGTATAGTGGTGGCAGCGAAGAGGGCACGTTCAGCATAAGGCAGGATCAGCTGAGGGTGACGACTCCAAGCAATTTTTGGCCAGTTGTGGAGTTGACAGCTGAGCGCGGTGCTTTGTCAGCCCCTGCCGTGAAGCAAATGAGCGAGGACCAGATCTACAACATGACTTGGCCCCCCTCCAAGCATGATGACTACCTCCCAGACCCGACCTTCCTCAGCATGCAGCACACTGAGAGCAGTCTTGGGTGCGCTCTTTTTTTCAGCAAGCATGCTGCATCCGGATGGCTTGATCAAAGAAGCAATTTTCTTGTACTTACTCAAAGGGAGCCTGTCATTTGGCACTGGAGGAGAACCAATATCATCATTCCCTGCTTTTCCTGCCAGAGGCAAGGTGCGTCTGCAGACAGGCTGCAGATAAACGCTGCCAAAACCCTACCCCTTACTGGATTAGCCAAATACAAGCAAGACCCAACCGTGGGCACTGTGCTCAGTATTTTTACCGCCCCCTGCCGGCCGGGGCCAGGAGTATATTGACATTGAAATGTCCCTTTGTGTGTTGCAGGGAGGTGCCAGTTGTCAGCCTTGACTCGATAGAGGGGTCGGTGGTGATCCTGCCTCAGATCGTGCCGGCCCTGCGCAACAATTGTGCCAGACGGCCGCTTACACTGGCTTGCAGGGACCCCTACACCTGGGACCTGGACACGGTGTCTGGGATGCTGTCAGCCTTCTTCAAGGCATCAGGCACCACCAGCCTGCCACCTCTGGAAGAGTACACTTCCCTGCCAGACAAGGTGATGTGACCAGCTGCCTTTGCAGCACATCTTGTCCCATAAATCATTTGGGGCGCTAGCAATGTGGTGAGTGTCTGTATTTCAGCTTTGGGCGGACACTTCTGCGCCTTGTCATGTATGCCTGACAATCTTGTCTGGCCCACAGCAAAGGCACACACCTAGCATATCTGGCATTCTCAAAAATGAGCATGCGAGGGGAGTATTCTGTCTCAAGAGTTTTTCATCCGACTTTTTTGGGCCACTGAAAGAGTGTTTTGCGCTGCTTGCAGATGTTTCTGCAGGAGGCTTACGAGGCCTATCATGCAGAGGAGCCTGAGCAGAGGGTGCCCCCCATTCCCACAGTGAAGTTGAGCGTTCCCGGCACAATGAAGGAGCAGTCATTGCTGTGCTACACTGACAGCAAGTACACTGCGACCGAAAGCCACATAGACGCCATCATGAGGACAATCTACTTTGGGCTGATCAAGCTCGACGCGATGATCCCCCAAGATAGCGAAATTAGAGCTGTCCAGGTCTGCCAATGCTCCACTGTTGCCTGTCTAGTGATCCTGGGTTCATTTTCCTCTCTTTCATGGCAAGACACTCCTTGTCCTTTCTTGGATCAGCTGCTGTGAAGAGGACTGCAGCAGAATGATCGGTGCCAGCACAAACTTGAACTAAATGAAGCCCAAGCTGATCAATACACATGGCTGGTGATGCTGCGCGTCCTATGCGCAACATTGCCCTCGACCACCGGGTTCACTTCTTGCTATTCACGGCAAGACAATTGCTGCGTGTTGCTGCACTGGCTTCTGTAAAGGGCTGAAACAAACAAAACGATAAAGACAGTGGCTTCTGTAGAGGGCCGAACCAAAGAAAATTGATCGTGACGGTGCAGCTGAATTGCATGCGGGTGCACAGGAACAGGATACGGAAGAGGATGAGAGGGCATTCATAATAAAGCGCAACCTGAGCAACGCGGCGACGCATGTGCTGACTGTGCGCGTGCCCGGGTGGCTGCTGGAGCAGGCGTGCCTGACTCATGCAAGCAACTGGTCCAGTGTGCAGCCCTGCATCGACGCCGGCATGGCCCCCTGGCGCGCCGGCGCCGCCATGGAACTCGCCGATGACCTCTCCACAGGCGCGCTCTCAGCTTCAATATTGGCAATTTCCTCCCGGCAGGATGTGGAAGGAAGTGGATCGTGAGGCATCAGCCTGACCACTAGGTGGTGCAATTCGTTACTGTACATGCCATTTGAAGTAGGGATGCACCGCCATGGAGCTCGCAGATGACCTCTCCACAGACGTGCTCTCGGCCTCAATTACATCATATATGGGCCCCTTCATCGTCAGGAGCATTGTGCAGTCGCTGGAGCATTGACAGCCCATTCAATATGGATTGCAATTCTTTGTTGCGAGCAGGCACTCTGCTCAATACTTCTTGTATCGGCATGTGGATCAAGCCTAACCACACTTTGTTCAAGAAATAAAAAGAATAATGGCATGGCATGTGATGTGGCAGGCATAGATGCTCAAGCTTGTCTGTGGGAAAAGCATGCTGTGCATCATGTGATGATATCATCATACCATCAAGATGCACATGTTGGGGTGATGCTGTGGGCAGGTGCTGTGAGCACGCCCATGTACCTGCGGAGGGCGGCCGAGGTGCTGGCCAAGGAGTCCTGCGGCGAGCCATGGCTGCTGCAGCCCAAGATCAGGGACATGGAGAGCCTTGAGTACAGGTGACTTCCTATTGCAAAAAGGGCTGACCACTCCAACTCTGCTATGATGCTGCACACGGAACCTTGAGATTTTCCGAGTCTCTCCAAATCGTGCGCACTCAACGCCACGGCGGCAGCCTCATGAGTACCTAAGGTGGTCTGTGCTTCGACTGCAGAGTGTACCTGCTGAATGGAGCACAATCGACTGGCCAGCCCAATGACACAGTTGTGTACTATGTGGCTGGCGACGTTGTTCACGATGACAGCGGCAACGGACACCGGCGCGGCCTTGGCGCAAAGGACTTCATGACCATCGCACCGGGCTACTTCTGGAGTGAATCTCTCTACCCACCTGGTAAGCGGTCAACCCTGCTGTCCAGTCTTGTGACTGCAGACAGTGTTGTCATCACTGCAACCGCTTCTATCAAATGGAACTGTAGACTGCGGATCATAGGAACTATTTCATCATGTCGAAGTGCACGCTGTTCCTGGCAGAGGCAAGGTGCGTCTGCAGACAAGCTGCAGGGGATTGCCACTTATCCTATCCCTTGATGAGCTCAATAGATCCATGCAAGACCCGATCAACTGAGGGTACGGTGCTCGAAATTTGTACCGCCCCCCGCCAGCTGGGCCATAAGAATGTTTTGAGAGGAAATATTATGTGCGCGCAGACTGGAAGCTGGAGGACTATCTTCCCGCCAGCACCACTGCTGCACCGGTGGGAGAGGCTATCAGCACTGCTGCCCCAGAGGGGGTGTTTGCTGCTGCGGATGGAGAGTGCAGCGCAAACATGACAGCACATACTGAAATCAATCCATATGATGGCGAGGTAGAGGTCATTGAAATCCGAGAAGATGAGCTGCCCAGGGTGCAGTGGCACCACCCTGGCCTGTACGATACCCTTGTCCAGGTGAATTACTTCACAGACCCCTATTCCATACCATTAGTAGTCACCACCCAAGCTGCCTCTCTGTCCGTCATGCCTGACACAGCTCTTGAACACTTGCCTTTCTATTCCATCACTGACCACCAGAAGATCAGGGACTGCCCACATAAAAATTGCTCTCTTCAGAGGCCCTTATGTAGGCTTAGCGAGGGCAGTAGAGGCACTTATCCCTAGGGAAGGTCAACACAATTTGAAGCAGGTCTATTTATTACTATATTTATTATTATTACACGCCTCTCCAATCCACGAGGATGACGTGCGCCGCAACAGCGTTTCAATGACAGCCTTTCCACCTTCTCTATCTTGGGCTTTCCTCCACCAGGTCAGAGATAACGTAAGGTACTCTGGGCAGGTCTATTATTACCCCCCATATCCCCTTGAAGCTGCCTGGCCCATGCGCAGGCGGCTCTGGAGAACGTCAGGGCGGTGGCAGCCTCCAGCCTGAAAGACAGCAGCGCGAGGGATGTCTTTGCTCGTGCAGACGTGGTGCTCGCCTGGTATACAGACGGCACCGACACCCACCTGGTGCCTCTCATCAACGAGATGTCCCTGCTCAACTCCGCCTCCAAGCTCATCAGCTTCTGGCACCCCCAGCTCGAGCCCACCCATTGGCCCCAAGAGGTGCAGCAGGAAAGGGCGGAAGAAACGGAGCTGCTGAGCACCGAACAACAGGTTAGAGGCGGCTGGGGATACACTCTGGCTAAGGGCATGGCCGAGGCTGCTGCCCGGTGCTTCCTCACGGAGCTGCATTGCTCCAGCTGCGATTTTGTGATCCATGCAGCGTGAATTTTCATCAGAGCATAAGTCTCAGGGCGTATGACTCTTATGCTATTGCTACATTGGGCAAAATATTGATCGTCTATGATGCTCAGCTCATGCCATTGCGGGGTTGCAGCTGAATAGCCTGGCACATGTTGGCAGCGATGCCACATCGCCATGGATAGTCTATGGACACTGACTTAATTTTGCACAAAATATCTTCTGTTCTTCCAGGCAAAGGCACTGCAAGGGTCTGGACCGCTCATATTTCAAAGTACAGTATGAGGCAAATTGCAGCAGTTGCACAGTCACAACCCTCTTGCACAGCAGCTTTGCAGAGCAGCTTTCAATTGCAACAGTTGCTTTTAGTTGCATCACTGGCTTATAAGACTGAGCTTTATAGGAATTGCTCGATGTACATACCTAATACTGGGATAATCCTCTCTTGTCAATGCTAGTACTGTGTGCCTTCTCTGACGATTCCTTGACGATGTCATGCTGGATTCTGTGAGCTGGCAAGACCAGTGATCTACCTCTGAACCTATCTAAGCAAAAGTGACGTCAGCACAGAGCCACTTATGATCTGATGCCGTGTAATCATGGTTTCCCACTGATTTCTTCACTACAGTCAGCCGTCGCAGCAGCAGCCAGTCCAGTTTACCCTTCACCAGTCCATACCCAAATATCCTGAAAGCGGGGTTGTCCAATGTGATGGTTGCCACGGGGTCGAATGGGTCTTGAAAGCCTGGGCATTTCAGTGCAACATCAACCATGCACTCTCCTCAAGTAAGTCAAAATTGATTCAAGCATACAGATTTTTGAACTAGCAGACATTATCAGATCTGCAGGGCTGCAAGGAGTCATACCTGGATTCAAGGCATCCCTGCACACATCTTCTGGCAACCCCCAGCTGAGCAGCTTCTTGTTCACTGATGCCTGACCTTGCTCCCTTTCACCTTGACAAGAAATAGCACAGGAACCAGCAATGAGTTTCCTAACCTTCATATCACGTTTGGAAAATTGCATTCATCTGATGGCATCAGTAAGTAATTGCAGAAGAAATACTCGGCATAAATACTGAGCAGCGCGCCCATTGTTGATTGGGTCTTGCTTAGTCTGGGGAGTCCAACAAGGGGTAGGATTTTGGTAACCTATGACTGCAGCTTGTCTGCAGAAACATTTTCATCTGGCAGGAACATATATAAAAGAATACAAAAAAAATTGCTTGATTCCCAGCATACCTGCCGGTTGGCCGTCCCTTTCAGAGGAGAAGGCGGAGTCAGGCACGAGGATGAGGTTGTGGTGCCAGAAGTGTGCCTCGGGGCGGCCGAGCCCCCAGAAGCGCATCTTGTCACAGCAGTACTTTGGCGACAGGCGCGCAAGCCCGTGTGCCATCGTGTTCAGATCTCCTAGGATGGCCTGATGAAAAAGCCCCTGCATTGCAGGCTGATTATCTAAGCCAAGACAGAACGCAGGCGTGAAGACATGTATGGACAGAGGTGAATATGAAATCGCTCCATGCAGGCCATGCAGGGACATTCACAGAGTATTGGTATGCATGTGCACACATGCATACAAGAAAGAGATGTCGGCAAGCAGAGATAGTTCTGACGCCCACCTGGCTAATTTGCTGCCTGCAGTCACACAGGATATCCGCAAACTGTGCAATCCTGGAAAACATGCCGCAGAACACCTGCACATGATAGCACAACGCTCATACAGACGCTGCAAGCAGCACGTGAAAAATATAAAAACATGCTGGATGAGCAGCTTGAGTCTGAGTTTTGCAAGCTTCAGCGTGCCTCCAGGTGGCAGCTGTACACTACGAGTGGGCCGCTGGGGCAGTGGGCAGTGGCCGCGAGGGTGAGGCGGCGGCCACGGCGAGGCTCTGCCCTGGCGAATGGGTTCCTCTGGTCCTCCCAGTCCACTGGGTGATGCCTGGACGGGCACGCACAGAGCCCCTTGTCAAAATGGTAAGATGCATGCCAAGGAGCCTGATCAGGCTGCTTGACTATTTGGTCCACAATCTGGAGCGTCATGTCGCGATCATCGCCAATTGTACCGTCTCGTCCTTGACTTGTTGCAGAATATGCTCACAGATGTAATGCAGGGCTGCACAAGGCAGAAAAGATCACGCTGAAGTGCACCACCGGTGGTGATAGCTACTCCTTTGTCAAGGCCACCTGTTCTGTGTATTTGCATAATGGGCGATCAACCACCGCCTGATTTCGTGCGTGTCGCATCGGATGGATCGAGATTCGAAGTCAATGGGGCGCCTTTCTACTTCAGTGGAGCCAACTGTTATTATATGATGGTGAGATTGGTTCCTTGGCCAATCGTCAAGCTTCCAGTGGATTCACGATGAGGTCAAATTCGATAAAATCAAGTTGAAAAGAAAATCAGAAGAAATTCTTTTCGATTGCTGAAGGTCTCTTCACTTGCAGTCCTAATTTTAGAGTCTGACAAGCTGAACAGGACTGCCTCTAGGACAGTGAAAGAGACGAGAGCATAGTATTCACTACATTGTCGAAACCTGTCAACGCCGCTTAAGGGGGCAGCAAAAGACATTGTGTACGCCCGGGCATCAGTTGCTGTGGCTTGCTTTAAGCCTATGTCCACGCAGCTCTTGACAGCTTATGTTGCACAACGCAGACCCGGGCAGCGGATCCAAACCTGCGCCACGAGGTCACAGAAGTACTGGACGCAATGAGGAGCGCAGATCTGACAGTGCTGCGCACCTGGGCATTCTGTGAGTCCCACCGAGAGCCGCACTCCCTGCCCTGCCAATTTCCTTCGCCCCTTCACTGCACCTGATGATCTACATCAATTTTCTGACATTAGAACTTGGTGCGACAGGCGATGGTCCGGAGTGGAACGCGCTTCAGCCTGAAGCCGGGGTGTTTGACGAGAGGGTCTTTGCAGCGCTGGATTGGGTCATTGCAGAAGCGGGTGCTCGTGGCATACGCCTGAGCCTGCCCCTCGTTAATTACTGGCCTGCCTATGGAGGCAGCCCCCAGTATGTCAGGTCTGCCCCCATCTCCAAAGAAACCCACTCGCAATTCGCGACCATCCCCTTGGCCAGCAAAATAATAACTTTTCCTTTACCAAAGAAAATGGAAAATTGCTGCCAGCAAAGTCCTCCGGTGTTGCAACAGGTGGAGCTGCCAGAGACGGGGTGTGGAGGACTCGGGCAACCCAGAGGCCTTCTATGGGGACCACTGCTGCCAGGACATCTTCCAGAACTTCCTGGTCACCATCACTTCCAGGGTCAACACCATCACAAACACCGCCTACAGGTGACCTGGCATGCCCTGCCTGAATGCAGCACAGGGATCTACTCTGGCGAGCACTAAGCAGAGGCACCTTGCTGCCAGCAGAGATGTCTACTGTGGAGCAAGCATCCCGTGCATAGGAAAAGATCCTGTCATCCTGCTGCTCACTTGATGACTGGTATAAAGATGTGCTCGCTGTGCAGGGACGACCCGACCATCATAGCGTGGGAGCTCATGAACGAGCCGCGCTGCAACGGGGACTTCTCGGCCAGCAAGCTGCAGGCCTGGATCGAGCAGACGGCCGAGTTCCTCAAGAGCATCGACCCCCACCACCTCGTCACTGTCGGCTCCGAGGGCTTCTTCGGCAGCTCAACCCCAGGTACAGCCACCCACCCCCATCACCCCTGAATAAAACTGGATTCTGAAGATTGGCGCGCAAGCATGCCTGAATTTTTTAGGAGGAGGAATTCCTATCTGACTTTTGGAGGTCTAGCAGTCCAGCCATGCATACCCCTGGCGCCATGTCATTCTCACAAAAACGGCCCCACTACAATGCTGGCTGTGTACATTGCGATGATGAATATATTGTGTATTGTTTGATGTTCTGCAGCGCTGATGGCTGTGTGTGCGCGGTGCAGAGTTCCTGCAGGACAATCCGTATGACACGCTGACGCTGGGCTGCGATTTCGCGCGGAATCACGTGCCGGAGCACATCGACTTCTGCAGCATCCACCTGTGGCCCGACTCCTGGCTGCCCGACCCCGACAGCGAGGAGGCTGCGCTGCGATTCGCACGCCGCTGGATCAACGCCCACATCGACTGCTGCAGCCAGCTTGCCAAGCCCCTCGTGCTCGCCGAGTTCGGCAAGAAGCCCGCCGGCGCGCCGCGAGCTGCCTTCTATCAAAAGGTGGACACACTTAAGCATGCTCCCATGATTCTGGGGGCAGATCCGGATTTGTAGCCCACAATCAGGCTCCCTCTAGGAGGCTATCTGGAAGACAAATTACCCAGCAAGCACCAAAGCAGGATGGTACAACAGTGATGCCCATGAAGCCGATTGGGAGTGGGCGGGTGGGCAAAAGAACGGGGGCTCACAGCAGAGCTGTGGGGCCTGGCCAGGTGTACAGCACAGTCCTAGGCAACGCCCTGTGCGGCAGGCGCATGGCGGGGCTGATACTTTGGATGGTGGCTGCGCGGTCCTACCCCGATTATGACCAGTACACCTGCCGTCTCCCCGGCACGGACGACCCCTCGTCCTGCGATGACAGCGCCGCCATTGCATGTGTCCTGCGCTACTCGCAGCGCATTCTCGCCCTCAACGATGAAGGCTGCCAGGCCCCCACCGCTGCAGCCTAGCAAAAAGTTCCCATTTCGCAGGTTCTTTCCATAGCCTGTACATCCCTAGTCCCCTGCAACTCCCGGAGAGCACCCTGCAACGCCTGCATTTGGGCCTTCCCATAAAAAATGCTGTTCAATGCAGAATAAATTCCAGCAGTTCAGATCCAGGCGTACTGACTCAAGCTTCGTGTACTCTGTCGCGCAGGTGCAAGAGCGTGTGCTGGCGCATGCGCACGCGGGACATTCAATGGCCGGTTCGCTATTCTGGTGCCTCACCGCCGCCTCGTACCCAGACTACGATGGCTTCAAGGTGATCTTGCAGCAGCCGGCCGCGCGGGGACCAGCCAGAAAGCTCTCTAATGCACTCTCCCCAAAGGCGAAACCGGGGGTGGTGAAGAGGAGAGATCAAGGGCCCCCATTGGCCCAGCAGAGGTCTGACAGCGGCGGTGGAATTGCGCAGCTTCCAGACGAAACTCGAGGGAGTCTGTCTGCAACAGAGACGAATGAGGCAGACAGTGGAAGCAGAGAGGAGCAGCAAGCAGGTCGGTCGACGGGAGAGGCTGGCAGCAGTGGGTTGGGGTTGCGGCGGGTGAGCAGTGCCACGGAGAATAACTGCTCGGCAGCTGCAGCGATGTTCGAGGCGAGGGATCTGGAGAGCATGGAAGAAGCCGTGCTGCTTGATGCAGAGACGGTGGGCCAGATTGTCCACCATGCCCGCTTGATGCAGCAGCTCAACAGGCAAGAGACGCAGAGGGACTGTGTTGTCATGTGACAGGCGAGCTTTGGAAAAGAAGAACCGGTGGAGGAACACAAAAAGAACCTTGCTGGCCTGAATATTGTATGAACATGTACAGTAGAGCGTTGCGCACCTGTGTTCAATGGCCCTGCAGTCTGTCAGGTTGAATTTGCTGAGAATGCCATTTCCATGCACACCTCCTCCCTGCAACAGCAGTATATCTGAGCACTCTTGCGGCATGGAGCTTGTATTCTGCATTGCAATTGCTGCACTGGTTTTTGCTTTGTACGACGTTGTGATTGCCCAATGGCATTGATTGCTGCTCACCTGAGATCTTGCATCACGGAGCTCAGAGTGTAATTCCTCAAACTCGCAGAGGAAGACATAATTCAATTGCAGTGCCTCTGCAATGGCAACACCTGCACCCACCAGAATATCCATTCAATGTCCTGCAGCACAGTCTCAATGGCAGCTGCGCGCACTGTCATGCAGCCAGGGTCGCCTACCTGTATCTACTCTGCCGCTGCGCTCACAGCCAATATCAATCTCCTGCAGTGCTATCGCATCTGCATCCAGCTGCTTCAGCTCCTCTATGATCTTGTGGAGCTCGTACCTGAATGCCCACAGCCCTCTTTGTCATCGGTCTTCAGTCCTTTGAAGCAAAAGGAGAGGGCATGAGAAGACGGTTATCTGGGAGTGATACAGTAAGGTGTCATGAGGATGCCTGTGCGCACCCTCGTTCAATGTTCCATTGTACCAACCGGATGGGCCTGTCTTCTGGCAGGCTTTGGACAGGAGCATTGGCTGGGCGGAAGTCCTTGGTCCATATCTCCGCAGGCTTTGGGAGAGACATGCTGTGAAAAGGAACACCCCTCACAGATTGTTACTGGGGGTAAAATGCACGAGTTCACCGGCTTCCAGAGTATTGAGCACCTGGCTCGGTATGGTGGTGTACCTCTTTGAAGCAGCTGATTGGGGTTGCTGAGTCTTCCAGTATATTGCCGATCAAGAATTATCACACATTCTGGCTTAATTAGAAGCCCTGAAAGCAGGCGAGGGTACACCGGTAATAGTCCCTTACAACACACAGAGGCGTTTGCCAATCAGCAGGCCTGAACATATCAGTGAAGGTGTAGAAACTGAATCAACCTGTCGATGCTGTTCCATTTCGAAGCACTGCTGGACATCAACATGTGCGTCATGAGAAAGCTTACCTCCTCACCACAATTCGCTAAGTCATGTCAGAATTAAATTGCAGCGCTGCAATTTGCAAGGTTGAGAATACGTTGATTCCTGGTTGGCACACCAGGTTGGGACTATCAATAGTTTACGAACCCATATTGTGATCGAGCAGATCAAAGCCAGAAAAGTGGCTGATCAAGCTGTCTAGGAGGAACACCAGAATCCCTCTCTCTGAACCAGAACTATTAATCATTATAGAGAGGTGATGAGATGTGCAGAAACACTTGAGGACAACGGTGCTCACATAAGCTGACGTCACATTTCGAAATGATTCTCTTTGATGTATTGCTCCTTTTCCGTTCAGAGCTTGTGAGATGCTCCATTATCATTGTTAGAGCCACGAATGGATGTCATACAGCTTCTCCGTAATAAATCAAGTGTGAGTGAATTTTCAGGGATGTGCAGGGATGAACCATCTCAGATCCACAAAAGGTGGAATATCTGGCACTTTCGCACAAGAGGACGGTTGATGGACTTCTACGTTCCTTGAAAATTTCAATCAGTCGGTTCGAGTGATGTGCAGTCAAAACAAGAGAAAGAGCTTTCAAAATGAAGGTATCGGTTAGTCCAAGAAAGCAAAAGGGCATCTTTCTGCAACTGTGATGCCGATCCTGGTTATGTTGAGATAGCCCCAGACCATCACGTCAATTGCCCAGCAATTTGACGAACGTGCAGCTTTGCTCCGGCTAAAATGACCACACCAGGCTACACTGAACTAGCTGAAGGGCCTTGACACCGGAAGTATGAGAGAGAAGGTGCAAACATATATGAGATGCTGCCAACAATCGTTTTGACCGTCCTCCCTTCCCTGAGGGTTGCAGAATCAGATCAGCTGAGCTTGGCAGCCCAACGATCGACTATCCCATACCGTCGAAAGAACAGAAGCGTGGCCCAAAATTTTCATCCTTGAGCTACCAGAACACCCTTTTCGCACCTGCAGAAAGTTGCCCTACTACAATGCAACAAGCAATTATGCAGCAGAGGTTTGGCAAAAGCACCTTATGCCCATGCAGCTACCATGTAAAGATCGGAAATCAGAATGCCATTTGAAGGCATCCTGCTTTGGCAGTGCAGCATCAGACTTACTGGATGAAGCTTCTTCTTTGTACAGATCGCCATCCCTGAGGCCATAAGGAAGAGTGTCCACATCACCCATAATGGAAGCAAGGCAGACTTTTTCCTCATCCATGCCTACCTGTACTGTTCCCGTGACAGCATTCCTCCAGCAGGTAAGGCATCTGTATAATCACGCTGCCCAGCCTTGACCCTGCAGACTTGGAAGTTATTTAGCTCACCAAAAGGACCACGTGGAGAATCAAATGCCATTCTCATTGCAACAGCATTGTGAGCAAGCGTCCAATGCAACATGCCAAAAAACAGTGGTGTTCAAGGACAGGGGACTGACCGTTACTGGGCCCTTGCCCGCAGACACAAAACCAACGTCTTGGAATCCAACGGCTATTGAGGTTACCTTGAGCCTTGTGAGGCAGCACTGGCCATACTGGAATGAGAGCAACGGGAGGGACCACATATGGATATTCACCCACGATAATGGGTGCTTCACATTTCAGCATTTCCGATACCAGGAAGTCTACGCCAAAATCGCGCCCAGGCTCAAATCTGTGCATGCATGCAGGTACTGTGGGTTTACTGGTGCAGAGACGATGTCAGCCAGCATCAGGAACTCAGTCATTCTGACACACTGGGGCCTGACGGACAATGAAGTGCGCTGCGACCTGAGCACTGATATCCGCATGTACGGCTGCTGGGGGCGCAATGCCAGGCTGGTGAGCCACACCTTTTCTACTAATGCTCACTCTGTTTGGCATTCTATGACACACTTAGAATCATGCTTCAGACAGAACTTGCTTCTGAGAGCTCAGCCCTGGATTGCAGTGGAAGGACAACCACCTGCCCTGCTTTGTGCCGGGCAAAGATACAGTGGTGGCTAGCACAGCGGGTGACTATGACAACTCTGTCGCTCCGTTCGGCTATCAGGTATCCCTGCTGGTTTGCATACTAATATATACGCTCTTCCTGCCAAGAGGCAAGGTGCGTCCTGCAGACAAGCTGCAGTTGAAGGCTGCCATAATTCTACCCCTTGATGGAATTGCCAGATCCAAGCAAGACCCTTCTGGTTTATGTAGGCTTGCATCCATCAATGCACGTGTCTTTGCTCTTTTTCATCCCCAATGTTGGTAAGCAAGTTTCGTCAGCTCAGGGAATAGTTTGTGGGTGGTGGGCAGGTGACATGGGACAAGCAGTACACGCTGTTCTTTGCTGGCGGCGTCAGATATGACGATGTGTCATACAGCCATGGGGTGAGGCAGACCCTCATGATGCTCTTCAGCCAGCACCCAGGTAGAAATCCCCGCATTATTGCTGTTACTCTAGGGAAGTTTTTCAATTTCCCAATTGGCAGCGCCAACGGTGCTTTCATTTTCAATAATCGCTGTGGTGTCAGAAAGGCTGTCCGCTATTGCATGTGGAAAGAAGTGTTACATGCAGAATTGCTTGCCAGGCTTCAAGTTGATTGACACTGGAGAGCGAGGAGGGTACACGCAGTACATGGCTGACTTTGGCCGCTCCACCTTCTGCCTGGCAGCCACTGGTGCTGGGTGGGGTGTGCGCCTGAAACTAGCGCTCATGCACGGCTGCATCCCAGTCATCATCGCAGATAATGTTCAGGTGAACATCCGCCAGGTCCCACTCACCAAGCACCCCTCGTTGTGGAGTCCAATGAGCTCTTCTGCAATCCAGCTCGCTTGATTGGCAAAAGGAGGTCAGTCAGGGTGGTTCCACGCCATTTGGAGTGCCGAGAAATGGTGGAAGCTTGGAAAGGACGATTTGACAGGCGCAGGCCATGCTGCAGTCTTTGTCATGTACTGGAATGTCTGCTGTGCAGATGCCATTTGAGGATGTACTGCCGTACCAAGACTTTGCTGTCCATGTACGCGAGCATGCCTTGTACAGACTGCCTGAGGTTCTGGATGCCATCTTGAGCACGGAGGGCCTGGTGCGTTCCACAAGACAGGCATTTCCCCTGCTATATTGAGATATCATTTTAAAGAGACACTGGGATACATGTTAAGGAAGCTCCTCATACCCATACCTCCTTGCAGTAAAACAGCGGCTTGTGGAATCATAAAGCTGTTGCAGATCTACATCTGTAGCTTTGGCTGCATTAAGTTTGACTGGCCAGGGGCTCTGTTTGCGAGTGCAGGTAAAGCGCATGCAGATCAATGTGAGCTGCATTTGGCGGTACTTCACATGGAGGGACCCTCAAGCAAGGGCAATTGACGCCCTCATCTGTTCACTGCGTCGGAAAATGACAGGGGGCAGGCTCATACCGGTCATGGACTGGTCGACATGCAATCTGCATTGCGATGAGTAAATGAAAGGTTTACAAGAGTAGATCTCTTCAGTTGTTGTAATGTTTTATGGGACAAATACTGAGCTTGATTGGCCAGGTGATAATCAAGGCACACAAATACAATCACATGGACCATTAGCAAACATTGCAGACCACATACTCAGTACTCAGGTGTACTATAACAGTTGGAATGCGTTTTGATTACTCACAACAATAGCCCACCGCTGCGGTTTTCTCTTGTGCATGTAACACTCAGTATCCCACAGGGTGCAACTCTTGAAAGACACTCACAATAAGCATGCTATTCTACACTGCACCTACGGCCGTTGTACTGTGATGCTCAAGTCCTCCAATTTCAGCCCAAGCATCACGCAGAATGATTCTGTTGGTACATCGAAGATACACTGAGTACATGTGCATTCCAGATTACAGCAATTGATGGCTGCGGGACACATGACTTGTCAGTGCATTAGTTTTCCGTTGGATTCTTTGCTGCCTGGGAAGTGGCTCTTGAGGCCTGCCCAACACTGCTGGTAAGATCTGTCCAGGTACTTGGATTCCAGCGCAGACTTCTTCACCCTCGGGATGTAGTTCACCTGCATGCACCAATGCAAACTTAGCAGCATTGCATATGGTATTATGGCTTCATCAACAACATTCATCTCTGATCTGTGGGAAAAGCCACGACAGAATTGCACACACTTGTGAAGTACCAAGCTGTGGCACTTGCTTTGCGTTGATGTCTGTGTAGGAAGTGTGGTTATAAGCTGACCTCGAACATGAAGGCCAGGGTGTCGGCAGGCAGGCGCTCAGGCTTGTGGCTGTCCTTGGTGGTCCCGCTCTCAAAAGTGGCCGTGTCTGGACCGTGCGGCGTCATGCACACATGCAAGCTGGCACCTGCACAGCAGGAGTTTCGTTTTTACCAAAACATAAGTTGCCCGGCTTGCATCAGAGGAAATACAGCCCAGGCTGGCAGCTGGCAGAGCATCAGAGCATTGACCCTAGCGAGCAAAACAGTGGTTTGCTTCCTAGAACGGATGCTGTGATGCTGTGTCAGTGGTTCGCAGCAATAGGTGCACAGCTGCGTGTCTGGGCCGCACAAAATTGTCTTCCTTGAGCACTGTTAGAACAGGTGTCACAAGTACTGTGTCAGGCTGGATGTCTGCGTGCAAGCAAATGCGTGGGCGCGCCAGGGGTGCCATGCATGCGCACCTCCGGGCAGGAAGCCGTCCTGTTTGGCCTCGTAGGTGCCGCGGATGAGGCCCATGAACTCGGACATGACGTTGCGGTGGAAGTATGGCGGCCGGAAGCTGTGCTCCGCCACCGTCCATCGGGGAGGGAACACCACAAAATCCGCCGTCACCCCGCCTGCACAAAGCACTACCCCTTCAGAATCAACGCATGTGCATCGACTTTGGAGAGATCTTTATATCCCTTGCCCATGCCCATCCCATCAAAATCTGGAGTGTGCCACTTGCCTCAGATAGACATCTTGAAAGCCACGCCAAAGCCAAGGGCAACGTGCACAGGTTTCGTGAGTCTGTCAGAACATGGGAGCAGGTCTGGATCTGGGCTTCTCCTCGTCAATACTGGAACCATCCTTGTTGCTTTTTTCTGCCTTGCTCTATCCTAAATGCGACTCTGTACAGTTCTAGAGAAGTGCTCGTCTGATGCACCTAGCTATGGAGGGCTAGAAAAATGTGACAAATCAGACTTTCAAACCTTTTGTGACAATGATGAAACAGTACTAGCATTTCATAAGTTACACAGCAGTGCTGGGAGAGGGCGGCTGACCGGGCCAGGGGGAGGGGCAGGTGAGGACGGTGAAGATGGAGGGGTCGGCGTGGTCAAACGAGACAGTGTTGACGGGGCAGAACTTGGCCAGGTCGTACTTGTAGGGCGCGTAGTTGCCGTGCCAGGCCGCCACGTTGAAGGGGGAGAAGGGCTGCACCGACTCGAACACTCGCCCGCCCAGCTTGTGCATCACCACAAAGTCCACCTGCCTGTCCTCGTACCAGGCCACCGGCGTCTGAAAATCCCGCGCCGCCGCCAGTCCGTTGGCGCCTGCGCACTTTTGCTGGCTGACATCATGAGTTGCTTCTGGGCAATGCTGCCAACAAAAAGGTGTCCAAAGGCTGTTTTACTAATGGAGTGTGGAAATGTCTATGCTATTGCTGCGCACAAAATGCAGAATACTCGCGCTCTTCACGGATACGACAAATGACAAAGTTGCGGCCACACGACGGCGATGAGTTGTTCATTCTCATGCAAAGGGGTGGGCGCACCGACAGGGCCGAGGTCGGGTAGGGTGAAGTGGCTGCCAAAGACTTCGAGGACATAGCCGCGCGCGACGCTGTCCGGGAGCGCCACAGAGAAGCGTATGCCGCACTGCACCACGCACACCTCCCCCGGTGGCACCTCCATTATCCCAAACTCTGTCGTCACCCTCAGAGACCCTGCAGCAACACCACACCTGCTGAGTAAATAATACTGGGATCTACCTACTGGGGTAGCAAGCCTGTTACAGGGCAGATGCAAAACATACAGAACACAAAAACACAAGCACACAGCAAATACCAGTGAAAGGACAGATGAATGGGACTGGCTGTGTGACGCACAGATGGCACATTCTTCATGCCATGTCCTTGCATTGCATTCTGCTTGCTATTGTCATTTAAGGGTATCAAGGGAGGTACGGTGTGAGCAAGGTCCCACCATTCTCCGGAACGATCAGCATGTCTCCATCCGCGTTGCTGAAGGAAGAATCACTCATGGATGTGTTGGCGCTGTACATGTGAATGGCGTACCCCTCCTTCCTCTCTGGGCTGCAAGCACCCATGCCAACATTTCAAGGACATTTCTTCGTTCCAGTTGACTGTGCGCTGCACTATTGGATCAGTGTTGCGAGACACAAGAAGAGCACTCGCACTTTGACTATTTCAAAGCGATGATGTAGCAGGTGTTACCTGCCAGCACCGCAGATTGTTTGCAGCCCAGTCACAAAATTCGTGGTTTGCTCTGGAATGGGCATAGGCCGCCACCGCAGCTGGTTGCAATCCACCTCATCTTGTTCAAAGTGTGTCCCGAAACGCTCTGGGTCAATCTGTGTAGATGGCACAAAGGGCGAGCTGGTCACCGATGGCCGGATCCTGTACAGCCAGCTGCGCATATTTTGCCTGCAGCACATGAGCATGAGTCAGGTACCTGCTCAACACATCAGATGAGTGTGCAATTCTATGTGTTTAGGGGGAAACGGCAAATCCAGGCAACTTTGCAGAGCCCACCTTCTAGGCATCGTGAAGGATGTGCCAGATAGCTGCTCTGCGTACAGATTATAAGGGCAGACCTACAAAAAGGAGTGAAAACGCTCAACAGGCCTGCCTGCTTCCCAGAGTCAAGGGCATTCACCAAAGCTGCACTTTTCAACATGTGAGCATAGTTAAGAAAAGAATGGGATTTGGGAGGACCTGTGGATTGTTTTGGCCCACTGGTAAGGCTCCCTGCAGCGCCTCGGACTGAAACTCATTCCCTGCACATCAACACACACCGCTTGAGCTCAAATGTTTCGTACACTTAGTATGTGTGAGGTGGCGATGGCAGAAACTCACCAAATCCTGCCATGTAACAGAGTTCTCTGTTGGCATCATTTGGCTCACTCTCGTTACGACCACTAGCGACACCCATCTTGTTTTGAGCTTTGTTCGGGCAAGCCAATGCCTTCGATCGACTCCAGGATATGCACTTCCGCAGGAAGACAGAGATTATAGCTACGCTGCAACGATAAAATCAATATTCTTCATTCCACTCGTGTCGATCTGCGCGCTCCCAGGTTGCTGACTCAGGCACCAGCTAGACTTCCCAACGTCAGCTACCTGCAATATGGAAGCTAACTCAGGTCTGGTGCAGTCCCTGGTCCGAGTTTTCAATTTGGTGCTCCGAGAAATTCTCGTGATGTCTGGCAGAAAGCAAAGCAGTGAGGCAAGCGAAGCGAGCGAGGATGACGACATTTGGGGAAGTGATCCTGAAGATGAAGAAGGCGTCCAGGGACCTCAGCCAGAGTTCTATGATCCAGATCTTGATACTAAAGATGAAGCATGGGTGAATCGTCAGAGGGGAGGACGCCGATCAGATGCCATACTTAGCTGCCCCGGATGCCTGACAACAATATGCGTGGATTGCCAACAGCATGCAGACAAGGAGGGCCAATTTCGGGCTATGTTCTGCATCAATGTCAGGTGAATCCTTTTTTCTTCAAATGTTGCTGTTGTGTATCGGCTGATACCATTGCTGCATGCTTTAGTAGCGCTGTCCTCACCAGCCCGCCACCTGCAGGGTGGACAAAAGCAGGACAGTAAAGAGCACGACGCCCAGCCACAGGAAAGGGAAGAGGAGGCGAAATGATCAAGAGCACAGCGGGCCAGAAGAGGTGTTCTATCCTGTTGCTTGTGGAGTATGCGATGCACACTTGGGTGTCCAAGATACAGAAGAGCTCTTTCATCTTTATCACGTTGTTGCAAGCACAGCTTGAGCAACATAAGCACATGTAAGGTCTTTAACTTCAACAGCCTGATCTATATTCATGATGATCAGATGAACGAAGTACTGGTATAATTTGCAAGCTTGTCCGTACAAAATCATGCGGCAATGCTAATCATCTTGACAGCAACACTGAGCTTGCAAAGCACAGAAAATGCACAACAAAATCTACCTGAACAAGTCCCTATCAGTCGCAAGTTGCTGCTGCCAGCAGCCCCTAGTAACGGCATCAACGGAGTGCTGCGCTGAGGGATGGTGCCCACACGGCCGGGGCGCTGACTGCTGGGGGATTTGCTTGCTCCGCAGCAAACCTGCTCAGCTGTGCCTGCCAGAAGCGCAAGAAGTCATAATCGTGTGACACAGGCTCCTCATGATGGGGCACTTGCACCACAGGGATACTGCCAAGAACAACTTTGAAAATCATCCTGACAACATCTGCGACAGTTGCATGTGAGCTGCAGCAAGCGGAGGAGTCCTCACTGGCAGAGAGCTGCTGGCCGTGATGCCATGATTGTTAACTCTAGCGGGGCTTCCTTCCACGGCAGGAGCCTGCATGCCGCTTGCCTGGGCAATCAGCGCTGCAGATGCCGGCATGTAGGGGCCCGTCAAAGCTCCTGGACAAAGAGGCAGGCATTCATGCGCTGTTCTCAATAACCATATCATAAGCATTCATCGGACCATGCTCGGCTTTACCTGCACTCATAATGCACTTCAAGCTACAGTGCTCAGTGCCATGATGCACAAGGCTACTGCAGTCACCTTGAATTTGAATGTTGAATGTGAACGCCGCATGTACCAGACAAGCACTTGGATTTTACCATACCAGCATACCATGCAGAACAGCAAATGTGTGCACAGAACGCACCAGAGACGGGGATGAGGCTGGATGAGGGTGCAGCTGAGTTGCGGAAGGGCACAATAGAGGCCGAGTTGTGATGGTGCTGGAAGCTGATGCCAGTAGCTTCATTCGGGTTGCCGCTGGCCTGCTCAGGCTTCAGTGGCTGAGGCCGGATCACCGCTGCGCTGACTTTGCTGCCTTTTTGGCTGGACTCCGGCCACTGAATGTCCATGTCTGTATTTGGTTCTGGCAGCGTCACATGCAGCCTGCATGCAAACACCTGTTGAGTTCAAGGGTTTATGTAGCTGCAGAGCAGCATTTAGCAACATAACGTTGACAAGCAGTGAGGGCCGATAACAGATGCAAATAATGCATAAGATTGTGGAGGCACCTCTCATAGAGGCGTTCACTGTCCTGCGTGGAAGGCAGGGACATGTCATGGGCATGCGACCCAGGCGCACAGGAGGTCTGCTCAGCATCCATGGGGTCATCGGATGCAGCCGCTGAAGCCCCTGGCTGGAAGCGGATCGCCTGCATGCAGCACATGTTGTCCTCACATGCCCGGCCTCAGCACGAGGATAGATGATGACGAGATTGATTCAGACGGAGAATGTCATCCGCCCCTGAATGGCCCATGCTGCCTGCACTGTCAAGGGGAAGAGGCGCACCTGTGGCCTGGTGACCTCATGGGATCTATTGTCGCTCTCAGGTAATTCAGGCTGAGGTTTCTGCTGCTGCTGGGAGGTGGGTATCCTCAGCGGCTGGAAGGCGCTCCCAGTATTGAGGGGCTGGCTGAGCAGCAGCTGCGAGGGGGTCATGCCTGACAGCTGGCTCACATGCAGTGGCGGGCTTGACAGCTGACTCAAGCCCGACGGCCCGCTTCCTGATGCCATCATCTGCACTTGCACTCTGCCCATCACTCTCTCTCTAATCTTGATCCAGATGCAATACAGGGGCCTTAATCAAGCAGAAAGAGGCTCTGATCAATGAAGGGGGCCCAGGTGAAGATGTTTCGCACCGGCCATGAGAGTTGCTGCTGCTGCGCTGGGGGAGAGGCTGCGCTGCCCACAGGGTAGTGCTGCATGGGCTGCACGATTTGAAACTGCCCGTTGGGCCCCAGCATGACGGGCAGCGCGAATGCCCCCTGCAGCGGCCCCATGCTGCCGGACGCGCACAGCTCGCCCATGAGCGCCTGCGCCTCTGCACGCAACTGCCCAGACGGCGCAGCACCTGAGTCGCCTGCCTGCACTGTGCCTGCTACACAGAAGATTGCTTGTTTTTTAATGTGGGCCATGACTGCAAAAGAAGCTTCCTGTGGTGCTTGCATCTGCATATTCCCATGCATACACGCTGCATTTTGCCAATTCCATATAGCAACATGTGCAGGCATAAATCTGACATTTGCATGCTTGGTTGTTTCCCTGGGCGGATGTAAATTCTGCAGCAAGAGCCGCACCCTGCTTCCTGCGAGCTGCCTGGAGCAGGCGAATGATCTGCTGCCAGATTTCCACCTCGGCCATGGACTCAAAGTCTGCTCCCCCAGCCGAGTGTCCCCGCCGCTTTGAAGCCTGTCCGCACGCAAACAAGCCACAAGCTATTTAATGCCAGCACTGTCTGCACAGCTCACACAACATGAATGCCTGAGCCTCTGAGTATGTAGAGACTAGTGGACATCTAGCGAAGATGGTGCTGCATCTCACCGGACCCTTTGTCTCCTCAGCTGGGCGCTTGGTCGCGTTGGGCATTGGCTGTGGGATGGGATCTTTGACCGCTTTGCGCAGCCCATCCCTTGACAGCGGCAGCGGCCAGGTTGTCGAGGATATGCCTGCCGCACCCAGTACAGCTCAGCAACAAGCCCTCAAGGCACTTGAGGCCAGGAACACACGAAAAACAAAAGAAGAGAGGGGAAGCTTATGACTCACCAAGTCTCCTCAGCTCTGAATTGATGGCTTCCCAGCTGCGGCCTGGCTCCCGTTTGGCACATCGCATGGCCTGGTCCTTGGTGATGGGCCGCTCCAAAATCCAAGTGAAGAGCTCTGCGCGAATGCAGAATGCACCGTGAGTCATGCTCAGCTACAACACGCATTCTGGGCATGCACCGCGATCATGCATGTCAATGGCATCCTTCCAAGCAGTGGATTGCCGCTCCTGATGACGATCGTGCTACGAGATGTCTTGCAGGTCCAAATCCCTATCTGACAAAGGGTGCACGGAGAAACAGGATCAAGGAACGGCCAGACCTGATAGGTAAGTTCCCCAGCCCTGTGGAACACCCCAGGTGGGGCGTGGGGCCTCCCCCAGAGTGGAATCCAGGAAGTACTTTATTCGATCCTCGCTGATGCGATTCCCCCCACCACCTTCCTCTGCTGATGCCAGAAAGCCAACGCTGTGGGGGATGATCTTGACAAGGATGCGCACAAGCTGCCTCATCTCATCCATGGGCCCTCTGCGCGCTGCCTTGCTGCGCTGCCCCGCCGAATCACCATTGCCATGATCATGCTGTTCCTGCTGCTGTCTGTGGGCTGCAAGTGGCTGCTCAATCATCGGGTACTGCACAATGAAGTTGCCAAGAGCACCCCCCAAGCTGGGGGATTGCTGTGGAGGGGCTGCCCCATTCGGTGCGTGCGTGTACAGGAGGGCTGGTGAAGGCAGTTCAGGCGGGGGAATGTCAGGCTGCGAAGGCAGTTCGGGAGGAGCCGTTAGGTCCTGTGTCAAGACAGGCTGTGAAAGCCCTTCGGCTGCGCCCCCTCGGACATCAGCCGCTGTCATGCTCATCCCAGACATTTGAACGCTGGCAGGCTGAGTCTCCAGCGAGACCAGATCAGAGAGCTGGCTGAGGCCCTGGGCAGTGGGATCGCCATACGAGATGTCTTTCACGTCTTGGTCAGGGGTCAGCCGGCGCTTCGAGGTTCGAGGGCTACGGAGCCCCTTTGCCCGCTTGGACTCCGGGGACGACATAGCACGGTCGGACATCGTCCCGGTTCGCCCCACAAAGCTGCTGGGGAATGCATGATCAGCGTGCTGGTGCCCGCGCAGCACGAGCAGCCAGACCTCTCAAAACCCCCAGAAAATCGGAGGCCCCAATAATAATCCAGAGGGTTATTATGGCTCTGCAGGAATCTGCAGCTGCTGTGAGACTAGACCACACATGTCTGAAAGCTGGGGCTTGACTAGTGAGGAGCGTGAGGAGCACGTGCACAATAGTGCCCCTGATCAGTACTGATGTTGTGACCGTCACTAACAGCCGGCTGGCAGCCGCTGAGTGACTGCCGCAGCGGCTGCCAGCATGTGCACAACCGCCGCGCGGCGCAGTCGATGATGGGCGTAATGATCATGAAGGGGGCGATGTGATGCGCTTGAAGTATGGGTAACGGACCTGCGGGCCTGCTTTAAAGCCGCTCACTTGGCAAGAGGAGTCACTTACAGTACGTAATATCGAACTTGCGGCACGCGATTGAGTTAGGTAAGTGGGGGCTGCTGAATTGACTTTGCAGGCCTACCTACAGTCTATGATGATTTTCCTGAGGGGTCAACAAGGCTTCAGGCAACCTACATTTCTAATGGCAGCGCCATCGGTGGAACCTATTGCACAGGCTCTGCTCGCTCGACATGCACCCGCCTTGTTTGCGAAATGCTGTACCAAATCCTGATGCTCTGGAGCACAAGTTGATACTGTGCGCTGCCATTGGACAGCTCTCCAACTGATCTGTCCTGGACGCCCAAAGTACTGGAGAAAGGAATGGATTGACATTCCTCTTTTGAATGTTGCAAGCGGCGCAAGCCTTCTCCCTGAAGGGCTGCTGCACCCTTGCCACCCACATGAAGTCTTTGATGGACAGACCGGACATCCCTAGCCAGAACCTGCGTTATCAACGCCAAAAAGTCGCTAAACTCAGGATACAGCTCCCTCATGGCGGCGCCCTTGGCAGCCCAGCAGTCTCGCAGCTGCTCTTCGGCTGCCTCAGAGATCGCCACATCAGCAATGCTCAGAGCGTCCTCCGGCAGATCATCAGACACCTGTGCAGCATGCGGCAAGTATAAGCATAAAACATTTGACATCTGCTGGCCAATGCGGTGGGCAGGACATCATGGGAAGAGTCACACCCAGGGAGGCGCAGATGCGCTCGGCAGGCTGTCACAAAAGGGCAGATATGGCTTGACGTCCAGCACTGGTGATCCGTCCACAATGTCCGCTCCTCCTACTATCAGCGTCCGCCCCTTCACCGTAATGACCTCGGCAACACTCAGCCCTGCACCAAACTTCCAGCTCTCACCTGCACAGATGATTCATGCATGCCATACAAGAGCATCTTCGGTGTCCAGTAATGATGGCCTGCAAGCGGCGCATTGAGTGGTTGAAGCACATACCAATGGGTGCCGGTCGGTGTGGGGAGCGAGTGGCGAGGACTCCCATGCGGCCGCCATTGAGCCGGGGCACCTGCACTTTGGCCTTCAGGCCGTCCGTGGCGTGGCTGGGGGACCACAGCCGCTGCAGGTCAGTATTACAGTGGAAGATGAACAGGATCCACACATGCGAGTACTGCTCCAGGCCCTCCAGGCACCCCGCGGGCACATCAGGCCTGCAGCGCATGAAATAAATCTGGTCAGGCTCAAAATCCATTGACTTGCGACCCCATGAGACGCCATTGCACAGAACGCCAAACAGTGCATCTTGATAGCATAGCTGCTATGCTCGCTCGGTGTCAGCATGATCAACAGAGGAGCAGCTGAAGATCATCCGACTAGTGAGGATGGGCTGAGGTGTACCGCAGCACAAGCTTTGCGCGGGCGTTGCGCGCAAGCAACGGCTGACGAGGCGTGCCATTCCTCTGTGAGAAGCAGGACTGCAGGTGGCCGATGGGTGCCAGGGGATACGCTGCCTCAGGTGCTGCTGTCCTCGCTGGAGTGGCAAGCTGCTCCCTCAGCTTTTTCTGCACAATACATGGAGGATGAGAACTCTCAAGTTCTGATTGTTGCCTTAGTGATATGATTTCTGAGTTCTGTAACGCTTGTTCTACCTCTGCACGGATCCTCCCAGTCCTCTCTGCTGCACGCGCAGTGACCTGCAACTCCAGGGCTTTCTTCGTGTCCACAAGTGCTGCCTCTGCGATCTTGCGACGGCATCGCTCCAAGTAATATGCAAGGCAGCCAACCATACCCGTGGCGATGCATGTGGCCAGCACGCCGATGGTCATGTCTTCAATCCCGATTGAGGCCTCATTTCCTCTGTCACCTGGCCAGGCACCTTTATTCCTTACTTGCATCTGCGTATGTTGCTTTTCAGGGACAAGACAGGGCAGAACGCTATTCCCAATCAACACAGGAGCAAAGGATGCATGCGGCATGATGCGAGCTGCCAGCATGGCTATCACGTGGGTCGCAATTCGTCATCCCGCCGAGGGGGTGAGTGATCACCGGAGGAAATCAAACTGAGACCCGCGCTTCTTCTGCGCAACACGGAAACAATTTGCAAAGTTTGTACCTCGTGAAAAACAAAGTGGGTGTTTCGCGAAACTCATCTGATTGTATTCTTTGATATCTTCACTGCACTAAGCGTGGAAGTCGCCGCCTGAAAAAAGCCTGGTCAAGGTAGAAAGCAGGAAGCTTGTACCCAGAATTTGAAAGCTGGCGTCCGGGGATTCAGCATCCGCTCCAGGCCTAGAGCCTGGAATGGCGTCTGAATCCACGCCTGGTATCGGAAACTTTGCTATCCTCGCCTGTCAATGGATCGGAGACACCCTCGGGGTGTCACCCCAAGCCGTTTCGTCCACACTTGTGTAAGTATTATGGCTAATATGTTTTCATGCATTAAATAATGGCACATTTGCATCTGCATTGGGATTTTTGCTCCCGTTCTCGTGTCAACGGTTTGAACGCGTCAGATGTCCCCAGACCTTCTGGTCTTCACACACTTCTTTACTCTTGTGTCTTCTGAGTAGTTTTTCTCTCTGTTGACAGGATCTTTTTGGTTGGATTGGCATCGCTTGGTCTTGTGTATGGCCTTAAATGGTTCAGTGGGAGGGGCCAGGCAGGTATGGGAAAGAGCTTTCTTGATGGGGTTCAATTTCAGGAAGCAAGAGTCTCCTCTTGGCGACAGACCTTGACTTGCTTCAGTGACCATGCAATCTTGCTGCTGCAGGGGGAAAGCCCTCAAAGGTTATATTGGTGGCGGTGTTGGTGGTGAGCTACAGCCTGTGCAGCAGCATGCTGCTCATCCTCAACAAGGTAGGTTCTTTTTGCGCTCGCACACCCAACGAGAATGTGTCAATTGCATTACTCAATGTGCTGCCCGTTCAAGTGCTGCAGCTCATTCCTGCACTGGTGATGGCAGGTGGCAGTCACGTACATCCCTGCGCCGTCGTTCATTCTGTTCTGTCAGTTGGCGTCCTGCGCGGCATACGTGAAGTTTTCAGCGATGGCGGGCTTCATTGAGGCTGAGGGGTTGGAGTGGGACAAGTCCAAGAAGTTTGCCCTCATTGTGGCTGGCTTCATCGGCACCCTATTCTCAAATGTGACATCGCTTCGGGTGAGACCCCATCTCCAATCTGACGATGTCGCACCGGGCCTTCAACGAGCTGGCGGAGATCTTCCTGCCAGACTTCCTACCACCATATAAGATGTGCTCCTGCGATGAGACACCCCACCAACGCAGCTGCATCCGCTGTGCCAGTGCTATGACGTGCATTTTTTATCCTGAACTGATTTTGGATCTATGCGCATGCAGTATGTTCCTGTTGACACGATTATCTGCTTCCGGGCTTCTTGCCCGATCGTGATTGCCATCATTGAGTACTTCTATTTGGACCGGGAACTTCCCTCCTTGAGGTCGTGGGGAGCTCTATTAGGTGGGTTCGCCCCTCTACTTCCTGCCCGGCACACCAAGCTACTAGCTATTACATACAGTGCAAAGTATACAAGTTGCTATCTTGTGCATTCTGTGGATGGCTGAGTGGACAGACTCTTCTGGGAAGCTAGATCATTTATTTTCCTGCTCGTGTTAATGGTGAGCTGCTGCTTAGAAGAAACACTTGCTGCTAAGCAGGCGTCTTTGCGGGAGTGACTGTTTACACGTTCCATGACATCCACTTCACGGTTATTGGCTATGTGTGGATCGGCATCTGGTACTTCTTCGCCGTGTTTGAGATGGTCTACGTCAAGAAGGTTGTGGACACTGTACAGATGACCACATGGTCCCGCACCTACTACCAGGTGCAGCCTCTCACGCCTGCTTTGTCACCTCCCATGTTTTACCAGTCCACGCCCACCACTACCAAATCTAATGCTCGTGCTTGAGTGAGGATATCCCTGCCTTGCATGTCCAGTGCATGAGTAGCTTATATTTCCTTGTCTGGAGGCCAGGCATGGCTAGGCAAATGGGAAAAAACCCAGCCAGGCCAGTCATTGCATCCCTGCTCTAAGTGTCTTGCAATAGACTGCCCACCCGGAGGTTATCTGATATCTCTAAGGGTCCACAGAATTACACAGCAAATGGATCACAAATCAGCAGGACACCGGGCGCTCAGGGTATGGGTGCACCTGGATCGTCATTGTATATCACTAAGTAGCCATTTAAGGCATCTTGAATCCCACATTGAAGCAATTGACTGATAATCTCTGTGGGTGCGCAGAACACACTGGCGATGCTGCCAATGCTGGCCATCACGCTGATGAGTGGGGAGGTGGAGACGCTGTCCAAGCAGCAGTGGTCGGCCGGGGGTGTGGCCGCGCTGGTGGCCTCCTGCCTGGGCGGCCTGGGCATGAGCTACTTCTCCTTCGCGCTGCGCGCAGTCATCTCGGCCACCTCCTTTTCAGTCATCGGCAACGTCTGCAAAGTGCTCACCATCCTCGTCAACCTCCTCATGTGGGACAACCACGCAAGTGCGCCCCCGCCCTCTCCCTCTCTCCCCAATCTTCTTCCCCCCTGCCTATCGCCTGACATCTGCGCCTCTGTATTTTGGGCCTCTGGATGCTTCCGACTCTTGCCTCGTTGCGTGAGATGCATCACAAGTATATTCACTTGACAATGGGACTCTCCAAGGCTTGCTGGGTTGAAGTTTAAAGCAGGGGGTGTGTGCCGTGCTGGGGATTGTGAGTTGCGTTGCGGGCGCTGATGCCGTGCGTGCATGCATGCAGATGCGCTGGGAACTGTGGGGCTTCTGTTCTGCCTGGCGGCCGGGTCCGGCTACCAGCAGCCGCCGCTGCGCAGCGTGCGCAGGGAGGCAGCCAAGGACCAGGAGCCTCTTCTTCTCAAGAAGGACAACCGGAAGGAGAACATTGTTTGAGTCAGGGACTTGACGATAGGTTCTCGTTCTTGCAGCACCACTTGTCAGGACAGGGTTTTGCAAGGCACAACAAGAGTCACTATGCGGGCTCTCACACGTGGCGTTGCAGGGCCTTAGCTGACAGATTCAGTTTAGGCGAAGGAAATACAAGGATTGGTTGCTATGGACAATTCTGACAATCTTCAGCATCTCACATACCAAAATCGCTGTTATGCATTGGTTGGAAGACGCATGACCCGATGGTCAACTCCATCGGATTGCCCACACCAGAACTGGTGGATGTCATCGCAAACGTTGGCCCAATCCGGGATATTTTGCCCCATATTTATGTACTGCCAATATTAATATGCGAGTTATTGAATGGCAACCTGAGTCAGGATGTTGATGTGTTGCAACTGTCTGGTTTCTTCGATCGAGCGCCTATAGTTGTCCGCATTGCTATTAGGACAAAAATTTAAAAATTGTCCAATTGGTGTTGCTGTAAGCCATATGAAGCAGTCTAAAATTATGAGTACCGCTTGGGATCATGATTCATGATCAACACTTGGCTTTACAGCGTGCACTGCAGCTGCTGCTGAGTCAGGTACACTGTACACATGACATGCGCACAGCTGCCTGGGATGAAATTCTTTTGCATGCACAGTAGCTACAGTCTTGGAGCATGTCAAATGATATTTGGCATACATCTCTCAAGTCAAAAACTCACAAATAATGTGGCTCTAATGGATAATCTGCGTTCCAACTCGCCCACGCTGAATGTGACCTCAGGTTCTTTCCACAGTATGAGCCACAGCCATTGACCCCTTGCACACACTGGCTGGATTGACCCGCCCACAGGAGCAATATGTTCGAGGGCTGCAGCACAGCCTTTACACCTCAACTAGTCCAGCCTGTGACACTGTGGCGCACAGAGTCTCAGCCTGCAACGCGGACAGCATCCAGCACGATATTGCTCCTTGTTCTGGCGGGGTGCACGTGTTCAAATTTCAGTGCTATTCGCTTGCCATCAGATTTAGTTGTGCCCTGTTCAGTTCAAAGGCAGGCCGGCCTCCTGCATGCTCGCAAGGAGCTCCTTCACTTTGCCATGGTACTTCTGTCCGTACTTGCGCTCCCAATGCACGGCGCTGATGCCAGCTTGCTGTGCCCTCTCTGCAAGGAGCTTTCCAACAAGCGCTGAAGCCTGCAGATGCCACATAGGCTAGGTCATGTGAGCATCATTGGCATTATGATCGAGATGATTATCGAGTGGATGATGAGATGAGGGCAATTCAGAGCAAAACAGAGCCACCTCAGCAGGACCTCACAGGTTTATCTGAGGTAGAAGGGAGATCCTTTCGAAGATCCTTTTCAATGGTGGACGCTGCCGCTAAAACGTTGCCATCTGCTCTGCGAATGACCTGAGCGTACGTGTATTTGTTCGAAAGGAAAAGCTTCAATACAAAAGGCTTTGCTGCACGCATGAGACTGCTTCGCATCCTCTTATTTTAAGGGTTGTCTGCCCTACATACTCTTTTGTAATCACTGGGGATGACGTTGAGATTGTTTACGTCTTCGAAGGAAATGACTCTCTGAGATCGTTCTGCAGATCATGTACTATTCCCTGTTCCAGCTCTCTACTCTATTCAATACGGATTGTGTTGGTCTGCCTTTCCAGGGAGTATGAAAATTGTGACAGATGGACCTCTTTCTTGGAAATATTTGAGTAAATTCAGTCAAAGCTGCCATGAGCTTTCCCAAGCCCTGCAAATCCCTTAAACCACCCTTCAAACCCTCATGAGCAATGCATTTTAGAGCTGGCGAATTTTTGCATTGTCCTGTCTTTGCAAACTTTGTTCGGCTCCTCTTTCATGCAATCCAACAATTCTGCAGCCGGCTCACAACTTGCATCAAGCTTTGAATATAGAGTATTGCCCATCTAGAGTGCTCACTAGATGTCAAGATGAAGAGCAATTGACGCTGCATTACTCGATGAACAGCGCAGTGATGCTTAATTCATTGAATGATGGGTCGCAGTGCCTGACCATTGTTCTCATCCTTAACAGCGGTCCTTGATAATTTAGCAGTGCTAAATTAGCACTCGTTCGTTCAATATCCACAGACATAATGACCTCCTGCAACATCCTCTTCAGACAATCTTTTCCTTCAGTGCGAGGCACATTTCAAACATTGCGGCGCAGCTTTCATGCTCTACACACCATATGAGGCCAACACAAACACCCCTATCAGGATGCAGGCGGTTGAGATTGTAAAAATGGCGACCGTTCTCCAACCATTTATTTCATGGTAGTACAGGATGGCCCATAAGCTGCTGACAATCAGCTGACACTGCACCAGCGGCCAGCCCAAGGCTAGACCCAAGTAATTCACTGCGTAAATACTCAAAAAGTTCCCCGTGCTCCACAACACACCGGTCAAGAGCGCTGGACCAGATGCCACTCTCACTTGCAACGAGGGCACAGGACGCCCAAAAAGCAGGCAGCAAATGGAATAAATAATGCCTGCGGTGACTGTGACCTGCATACAAACTCCAGAGAGATTGGCAGGAAGGACAAGCACATTCAAAGAGCACAAGTTGTTGGAGCAGGCTGCAAAAGACATCTGTTGGCCTTGCAATATGGTGGGAACGGGAAGCATACCAGTGCTGCGCCAATACCAAAGCTGAGCAGGTATATAATGCCCTTGACATCCTTCTGAGCATACTTCAAAGGTACCAGAAAGGAACCATTGGTCACCCCAATGCAGCAGGCCAAAAGAACTCCTATGACAAAGTTCCTCTTTGTGGGTTTAAACAGTGCTGTTTCACAACTTCTTTGTGCATCCTGGAGGTCACACATCATCAAGTCATGATCACCTAGTTGCTCATGGCATTGAGGAAAAGAACGGCTTGACTAAAAAATGAGCAGCAAAACATGGACTCCATCGGATGCATGCATCACCTCTTGCGAATAGGCGGCTGGGAAGTCTGGATCATGGTTCTCTGCGGTCGGCACCAGCTCAAAGTGCGGTTTGGTCCGTACTTCGTGAACCTCAAGCTCAGTACGTGGTTTGCCGACCTCAAGAACTGCATCCTCAGCTAGAGGCAATCCACCTCCATGCGTATCAACCTCGACCACCCCTGCCGCCACTTGTTGCGCAGCATATCCCAAGCCGGCCATCCCCAAGGCCATCAACAGTAAACCTGATGACAACGCCAGGTTCCACTGTGTCAGGGCTTGCATGTCAGCATTTGCAATCCAATGCATTGGAGCACGGGAAGGGCATTGCATGTAATGAAGGGAGAAGTAATGTTGCCTCACCCACAAATGAAAGAGGCAGGCTTTTGATGGGTTCATGGAAGACAAAGGCGCCCCAGATGAAAGATACAAAGATGCTCAGGGCAGACCAGGTCGTCTGGGTGATGCCAAGCCCTGCTTTCTGTATGGCAATGATGGCCATAACCCCATTTGCCACCCATATAGCGGCCCCCACAGTCCCCCACCAGGTGAAAACGAAGCGGTTGTATGTGAGTACCAACCAACATGTTGTGAAGCACACCAAGCTCTTATAGAATTGATAGGCTAGCGGGTCCACCTGGGGCAGCACAGCACCCTGTCAATCCCTCAAAAGTGATAGGGAAATCATCACTTATCGCATAGGTGTAGGATACCTGAAGCGGAAAAGTGAAGCACCTTTGCATCCAGGATTCGTTTGCACTTGATAGGCACACCGAAGGAGCCAAAGGCTGCAGCTGAGCCGATTGCAGTGGCTAAGCCGATCGCAAAATCTAACATCAGAAATTAGTGCGTGCTAGAGCTGGTTAAACTTGGACCTAGACCCCCCAACATCTTTGGACTGAGGATCGATCTCACCCATCCCTGCCTTGATGTTGCCTTACACAAAAATCGCGCTATTTTCTATATGAAATCGAGAGATCCAGCTCAACTGAGGGAAGTGCAGTACAGCTTGCGCACGACCCCTGCCTGCCCCTGGCTTCTAATGCGGACGAACACCGTCTTATCTTTGAATTGACTATTTCACGATGTGATCCTCTCTTAGAGACGATGATCTGTGCGTTTGCTGTTCCTTCGTCACTTCGGAATTCCCAGATGTCTTACTCATGATGATCTTATGATGAGTACGACATTCAAAGGAAAGCGTCGCTTGCACTCGCGAGTACAACGAAAGTACAACGCAGGTTTCAATCCATTTTAAATCAAGATTACGAGAAAGTCTTCATCTCTGCAGACAGATACTCGCTAGGAGACCGTGCAAATTACCATCGTCGAAACAATCGAGGTAAAAATATCGGTACCCGTCTTTGATTAATGCGAAATCGTTACTAGTAAAGAAGAAAAAAACTCAATATATTATCGTGAAGACGGGGATCGTCGAGGTTGGGGTTCGTGTGGAGATGATGGTTTAGTAAAAGGTCTGAGCTTTGGCAAAAGGTGTGCTAGATGTCTTGGACCAATTGTCATCTCATTGGGATTGCTGGGCAAAATGTGTGATCCCGGTGGCCGAGCAAAGCTATGCTTGTTGCCACTGTCGCAAGCACACATACAAGGCGTTGCTTCCATGGGAGGTCTGTCTGATGCAGAGTATGCTGCAAGTCTCCAGCGTGCCCTTCAGACTCACTTCTTAAAATATCTTGCAATGCAATCCTCACAATGGGACTGGTTCTTGGACCCATGGACGGACACACCGTGCTGTTGCAGTGACAGATTCAGCGTACTGATCCACACGAATCCCAGTCATTGACCGTGCTGCAGAGCATTTTCCAAGATTTGACACAGTTGTGTACCGGTAGATTGACTTGAAAGTGCTTGCAGGTGGTGTGAATACCACTCTCTGCTCACTGACAGGGCAGGGAACCAAGTCCAAGATGACAGACGCACTTGGCCAGCTCAGCACGGAGCGCACTAATGTAGGAGTGATTGGAGGTGGGCTAATCCAAGAAGTAGAGGATGTTGCAGTTCACCCTGTACCAGCAGGGTGCATGTATACCGCAGACTGGGAAAGTCATGTAGCCATGCACGTGCAGGGGGAGCATGGGGCACAGCCTTGGCAATGCATGCAGCAGCCATGGGGCACGACACTCTCATTTGGGCGCGCGAGACAGAAGTGGTCAGCAGCATCAATGACCCGGCAGTCAAGGAGAACACCACCTATCTGCAAGTGAGTACACTGCACTGACCCATCCATATGGGATGAGCAAAAGATATCAATGACATGCTTGAAGCTGTCATAGTGCTGTCCTCTTCTAAGATCCCTTTTGGTTCACAGGGATACAAGGTGCCAGAAGCTTTACGTGCCTCAAATGACATCGCGGCTGTTGTCGCGCATGCCGAGATTCTGCTGATGGTCATTCCGACACCGTTTGTGGCTGCCACAATGTCCACCATCAGGGACAGCCTACGCCCCGAGCAGGTACTTACAGGGATTGACTGACAAGGACTCATGCATTGCCATGGCCAGGCAGAGAAGTGTGTTTTTTGGCTTCATGAATGGGCTGGTTCTGATGAGCGAGGAAGTGCCTCGGACCTTCCTGGTGAAATGAAGGCTCAACTCAGTGGTATGCTTTCGTGCAGATCATTGTGTCATGCACCAAGGGCATCCTGAATGACACTCTGGAGACGGTGAACCAGATTCTCACCCGAGTGGTTCCTGAGGCTCTCCACAGCCGGCTTGCATATCTCAGCGGCCCCAGCTTTGCAGCAGAGGTGCGTGGGAACACACCAGTCACCCCTTGCATCAATGTGTCTACACAATTGCTGAGGACCTGGATTCTCTTGGATTATCTCTGACCTGGTGGAGGAAAGCCCAAGATAAGGTTGGAAGGCTGTCATAGAAGGCTGCGACGCACCTGATCCTCATGGATTGGAAAGTCACTGCAATAAAATACTGTAATAAGAATAAACGCTGAGCACAAATGCTACTCAGAGGAGATTTGACAGCCAGGAGAGTAACAGGTGTCAGCTGTGCGCAGGTGGCACAGGGGATGCCCACAGCAGTGACCATTGCCAGCAAGACCGACACTGCCGCGGCGCGCGTGCAGTCGCTGTTCTCAACACCTCGCTTCCGCTGCTATCGCACCACCGACGTCGAGGGTGAGAAATTGCTCCCTGGCAACATAGACATTCCTGCCCTTCAGCATGCGCGGTCCTTCACGTGCAGGGCCAGAGCTGTCATTCTTTGAATCCTTCTTCAAGGCAGCTGATTTGCTTGCACATGCTTGGAATCCCATCCTTCCTCTCTGTTGCTGTGGTGCAGTTGAAGACCTGGCAAGCACATGGCTGTCACCGCCTGGTTTCCCTTCTAGCTGATGCTAAAAATGTCAGTGTGATTAATCGAGCAGGGGTGGAGCTTGGCGGTGCGCTGAAGAATGTGCTGGCGCTGGCGTGCGGCATCAGCGACGGGCTCGGCTTTGGCTGCAACGGCCGCGCGGCGCTGATCACGCGCGGCCTCAGCGAGATGACGCGGCTGGCCGTCGCGCTGGGCGCCCACCCGCTGACCATGGGCGGCCTGGCCGGCATGGGCGACCTCGTCCTCACCTGCACAGGTGCCTTGCCCCTCTGAATCCTGCCCTGGATCCCACTCTGCTGCATGTGCTCTTGCAGGCTGTTACTCATTCGCATTAGACCTCATCACCCCCGCCGCGCTGAGTGTCTGACATCAAGTGGTGAGTTGGAGTGATTTGCTGAAAAGCTATGGACTATGCCATCTGCATGGGTTGCCTTCTCTGGTGCGAGATTGTACAGGCGGTTTAGGGCCAGACTGGCGTTTATGGAGTAGATTCCCTTACTCACTGAGCAAGCAGGGGGCTGACTACAGACGGTGCACGGTGTCAACTGCTAGGCTGAGAGGTGGCTGTGGGTGCAGGGGATCTGAGCCGGAACCGCACGGTGGGGATTCGGCTGGGGAAGGGTGAGAAGCTGCAGGACATCATCGACAGCATGAAGGCCGTCGCTGAGGGAGTGCTCACCTCACGCTCTGCACACCAGCTCGCCCTGTAAGCCATCCATATTTCCTTTGCAGAGAAGCTGCCTATAAGATCTTGGCGTGTGGATAAGGTTGTGTAACGCTCAATTTGGCGCTCAGTCCATAATTATTGCAAATTGCATCAGGGTCACACAACTGAAAATTCCTACCCTTTGCAGGAAGCTGAATGTGGAGTGCCCCATCATTGCTGGAATCTATCGGGTTATCCATGAGAATGCAGATGCGCGAGCTGTTGTCAGCGAGACCATGAGCAGGGAGCTCAGAGCCGAGGTCGACCCAGAATTGTTTGAAGCTGCTGCACGGCAGCGATAAGCCATATTTGGAGGAATGCACCCTGCAAAGACTGCGCCTCGGTTTTATTGAGGAACCTGACGATGAGCAGTGTTTAGAGGTCGCCGTATACGTGTCATGTTATGAAGGCCGCCTTCAGGCCTGAGGTCACAGCCCCAGCATCCTGAAGATGTCGTGCAAAATACATGAGCCTATTCAACCTTGTGCAATAGTAGTGTCCACAATGGTGTTGCTAATGGTCCATTGAGCAAGGTGAAGCTCGACAATTGTGCAACAGGCGGTGTTTGATTTAGATACAGTATGCTTTGCCACCCTTCCAAATGTCACACGAGAAAGGCAGTGTAGGTAGATGCAACAATTGCAATGATTCCGCGTCAGATTTGTGCCGTTCAACATGAGCATTGCTCAGGGTGCATGCAATGCGCACTACAGCACAGACAGCCTTTCTGGACGTGGAGGCATGCTTAATGAATTGACGAATCAAATTTGTATTGTAATTACAGCTCCAAGTGTTTGGCTTCAATCAGCGGGGAAGTCACACAGCGAGTCTTTCAGTATCAAGGAATGTGATCACGACACGCAAGCAAGATCCCGATGCAGAGACAGAAGTGTTAAAGGTGCAGGCTCTCCACAATGGCTGTGCGAACATCCTCCGGCACTGCATCGCCTTGGAAGAGGTCATCTTCCACCTGACCGGCTATGGACGCCACCGCCTTGTAGTACCTCCTTGTGAAGGACTGCAGAGTTGCCAGCATGAATGCATACCATGCGTGCTTTGCATCCTGCTGCTCCGTCGCTCCTGCCCACACAGCAACAAACACATAAAAAGGGTGAGCCTGAACGCGCCTAACGCTTCGTGAACTTGTATCCGCACAGGTACAGTGGCTGGAACAGCATCATCACATCCCTGCTGAAAGGCACAAGTTTGTAGACTCGGGGTGGACCCAGCAGATGGGCAGACCTATGGCTGATGGGTCAGGCTCTTCTCCACTTGCAGGCTCAGCTGCAGAGGCTCCCAGCTCGGCGTGTCCTTCCAATAGGATGTCCCTGAAGTTGGTGAAGACTTGGAGCAGCAGGGCCTCCTGCAGCTGCACAGCTTCATCCAGATCCGCCTGCCTGCCTTCCACCTGTCATCACACCACCAATCCTCAGCACCTCTGCTCACCACAGCATCCTTCCTGATGCAGTGCTCACTTGCGGCTTCAAGCTTCAGCAAGGCATAGTAAGCAATCTACGTGCAATTGACTTATTCAATGGTGTGCATGGCTCTTACACAATGTGCAACCTGTGAAAAAGATATCCACACCGCTTTGCGCAGACTGCGAGGGTTAATCCAGGGGTGAACCCACCTGGGCCTGCGTTTCGGCAAGGACACTGCCGGCGGCGGCTTCCTCCTGCGCCAGGCGCTCAGCAAGGTCTTGCGGCGTGTCCTCCCCCTCTCCGGCGCGGCTGAAGGCCTCGGCCGCCTCCCGAGCGCGCGCCCCCGCCGCGTCCGACTCCGCCTGCGCCTCCGACAGATCGTCCCGGGCGTCCTGCGCGCAACCAGCCTTGCCCTCAGCCCAAACCCCCACTTATACATTACACACAATGTATGTCACCAGATTCCAGCAGAATAAAATCGCGACATCGCCAGTAAGACATTGAACACCCCTTGTGTCATCAGACCTAGCAGAGTTCAATCACAACAGCATTAGGCAGTGCCCGCACTGAAAAGAATGCTCAGAGCGGCACACAGTGACCCGGGAGTTTTACATTTAGTTGTAGCAATGACAAGGGCGGCGAACCTGGGTGCGGGCGAGCATTTTGTTGACGGCGTTGTAGAAGACTTCCCAGGCGAGGCCCGTGGAGAGCTCGTCAGCGAGAGTGCGCACGCCGGGGCAGCCGAAGACCCAGGCCACGATGGCCGCGCCGCTCACCAGCCGCAGCGCCATCAGCCGGTCGATCACCTGCGCCGCCCGCTGCGGCGCGTTGGCCCACACCTTTGCCGTCACGTCCACCAACGCCACCTCCCCCTGCCCGCAAAACATTGAGACACGCAGTCAGGCGCTCTGTGCTGGGAATCCCTCTGCTGTGTCGCAAACAATTGCATCAGGCTGACGATTGTGAGGATGGTCCTGCAAAGGGCACCTGAAGGATCCCCCCGCTATTATTGCAAACAAATGCTATACACCGCCACATCCGCTGCGAATCTTGCTATTTGGAGCTCTTGACAAGGACTCTTTGATGTGCTTGGTACCTTGAGAAAATTGAAGGAATACAAGGGAGCTAGTGTATTTTTGCGGCGGAGGGACCCCTCAGATGCCTTCGCATAATCCATCCTCTAGTAGTACTTTCAGGTCAAGAGTGATGCCCTGATGTGGGAGGCATTTGAACAAGTTGAGGCAGGGGAGCGCGCCTCGTGGCCGGTCTCGTGCAGGAGGGCCTGCAGGGTGGTGCAGTAGCGCTCCAGGGCGGTGATCATGTGCGTGAAGGACTTGGCGCCCGCGACCAGGTACCCACGCAGCAGCATGCGCAGCACTCCCAGTCCGCCGCCCAGCTCCTGCCGCAGCTGCTCCTCCTCCACCCACTCCAGCACCCCCTCGCTCACCACCTTGTGCCGCACCTGCCGGCACATGTCCAGACCACCCCTAAACCGGCTTTTTTTTTGTGAGTGCGATACTATAGCTGCTATTTGGAGAGCGCAGCTCTCATCCAGCCACCAGCTGCTCCAGGAGCGGATGCTTGCTGCATTAAGCAAGGTAGGGCGATAGGTCTTTGTCGTCACATTGGCAGACTGTCTGACTGGGCAACATCCTGACAGCCTTGAGCGGCGCGTTCCAGCTGAGTCCACCACCAAAACATGAAAGAAGCCAGCACAGGCATGCAGAGAATGAGTGCAGATGGGGGGAGGAGCGCGCACCATCTGCAGCAGCTGGTAGGCTCGGACGGTCTCAGCATCGCGCTCATCTTCGTGGGCGCCGTCGACGTCGGCATCGGGCGCGAGCTCAGGCGGCCCCGGCAGCGGCAGCACGTCATTGTCGGCGGCCAGCAGCGGCACAAAGGCCGGCGGGATGACGCTCTGGATGCGTGACCGGTACGACAGCCGCACCAGCTTTGACAGCGTCGCCACCACAAAACGCCTGCGCTCAAAGGAGCATATCATGTGACGCATTCCAGGAACACCTCCTGTGGAGCTGAGGGAGGCCCCAATCTTTGATTCTCAGAAGACAAGCACATGCATTACATCATGCATCTACCGCTTAGGCCGCCTCCATGATTGATCCTGACTGCCAACAACTCCTCCTGCAGATGGATGGTGCATGGGATTGATAGATAGCTTATAGGGACCAGGGACCAGTCTGGGGATGCGGCAGGACCTCTGGCTGTTGTGGGGGGGCATGTCCAGGACGTGCTTCCACTTGTCCCAGGGCCACATGAACTCAAAGTTGGACAGGTGGTAGGCCAGCCAGTCGGCCAGGCGCATGCGCAGCTCCGGGTCCATCACATCCATGCGCGCAAAGCACTCGCGCACGCACGCACTCATGGAGCGAGGGAATGTCGCCATCAGCTTGCACACATCCACCTGGGGATTACATGCATGCCACCCTGTCGAATCATCTAATGTGAATACAACGACACTACCGTACTGTAATTCCAACACGCTGTTCCACCCGAGAGGCAAGGTACGTCTGCAGACAAGCTGCATTACAGGCTGCCAAATGCTGCTCCTCGTTGGACTTGCCAAACACATGCAAGACCCGCTGAAAAATTGATGCTATAATTATTTTGCCCAAGTTGGAGACATGGCAACACAACACTGGGGGGACAGGGTGGCGCACCATGAGGGTGGAGTATGCCAGGGGCTTCAGCTGCGGCTGGGGCACCCTCAGCATCTGGGAGAACAGCATCTCAGCCAGCAGCGACTCGTGCTTGCCGGGCAGCTGCAGGCCTGCAACCACAGCCCCACCACACCAGTTAATTAATCAGTTCTAGCATACCGGAAGATTTTCTCCCTCCCAACATTCAATACCGTACCTTCAGCAGGACAATCTTCTGCTGGAAAACAAGACTTGCTGTTCTGATGTAAGATATACCTTTGGCCAGGCGGCGGGCGCATTCCACCCGGTCGGCCTCAAAGAAGTGAATGGTGTCCAATATATACTCCTCTGCCACCAGCCGCTCCACTTTCAGTGTCCCCAGCTCCGTGTGCTCTGCTGGAAGCAGCCGGATGATGCCTCGGGGCGGAAACAGCTCCAACACCGACGCCGCAGCCTGCGCACCACGCAACAGTGGATCCTATTTGCCAGGATCCAATCTGCCAAGTATTGCATCGCCCTCCATGCCACCGACTGAAAATTCTGGATGCAATAGGGCAATTGCCAACCGGGCATATTGTGCGAGAGGACACCGCCGCTATCAACTGCTCCAATCAGGGTCCAAGATTACGGAACCACGGGTGTATAAGATTGGGCGCTGGCAAGGACAAGCACCTCCATGGGGGCGGCGGTTCCAGACACGCCTGGCGGTGTGGGGGGCACGGTGAGCGCGGGCAGGTCGTGCGGCTGTCCGGCGGCCAGCTTGGCCTCGAACGCGGGCGCCACCTGGCGGATGGCATCCACCGACCACTTCCCGCCGCTGCGCAGCTCCTGAACGGCCTCCCACACCTGCGGCGCTCATGTTGTTCAACCTAGATATTGCTAGGCTCCCTCCTGCTTCCCTCGACCGCAGCTCCATACGGTCTTTTTGTTGTACAAGAGAGACTACTCTGCCACCCTCAGTCAATCAGCAATGCTGATTCAGCATGTCACTGCATTGTTCCCTATCCAGGTGTCAGAAGTCACACAGGGCACGATGCTGAACCACGGCAGCAGTAGGCATGCAGTCTGCCTCAGCCCCTCACCTGGCCGAGGAAGCTGGCGCCGCCGCTGTCGGACTGCGCCGGGATGTCATCGGCGTCTTTGGGCCGCAGAAAAGGGCGCAGCGCCGGCTGCGAGGCACGCGGCCGGGCTGCCATGTACGCCTCGACGCCCCCGAACAGGCGCTCCAGGTCGCTGGGTGCGCTCTCCGCCAGCTCAGCGCCGCCCCAAGGCAGGGCCATGAGGGCCGCGTACACAAGGTAGTCCGTGTATGGCTGCCACAGACGTCCGCTGTCCCCGCCGCCACCTGTTATTGATAGCAGATGAATTTCATGCCCATGAATTTGTTTAGACGCTGGAGGATGTGCACACTCTCTCTGTCATGCAGAACACTTCCAATTAGGCTCCAGACTTGTTTCTTGTAATTGTTTTTGCAAACATGCGAGGTCAGCAGGTGCATGCACAGAGCCATGAGCAGGGCGCACCGGCAGAAGCAATGGCGCTGGCAGCATCCACGACGGACAAAAGGGCTGCCAGAACAGAGGATGCATGCAGAACGTTGGCCACAACCAGCGCTGCAAAGAATCGCAGCAGTAGCCTGGCGCGATTCTTGTCGCCAGCGGCCAACACCACATTGAACTGCTCATTGGCAGATTGGATCAGATCTGTCGTGAAATCCTGATCATCTGTGTTAAGGAGACCTGAACCCCATCACCAAAGCTTCAGTATGGGATCCCACAGGCTCTTCAACACGTTTCTCCAGGATGGGACTGGGATGGAGGCGCTGGGTATGATGAGGGGCTCACCAACCAGAGTTGCATACACAGCAGTCTTTGGCGACAGCTCCACGGCACAGTCAATGATGATGTTTCTGACCTGTCCAGCCAAGACAGCCATTGGAGAATAGCGCCACAGACACAGGATTCTCATAATAAGTTACTGAACGCATGTGTCACAAACTGAAAGGTGCGTACCAGGTCCCCATTGTAATGCAGATCCCTCCTCAGACTCCTGTATAGTTGTTCCAGATCGTCCTCTGTTGATGGAGCCCCCACGCCCTGTTCCCACTGAAACGTAATCAATGATTCCATCAGGTAGCTACGATAAAGATAAATAATTCTAAACATTCTGAACATACCGGTTGTGGATCCCCAAGGTGCAGAAGTGAAGCCAGTAATCTGCCCTCCTCGTTCCTGGGCTCTGTATAGTCGTCTCTCTTACGTTTGTGTTGACCCGCAGAGTTAGGACGATCAGAGTATCCTCCCCTTGCATTCGGAGGACCACTATGGCGTCGGTTCCCTTCTCCGTTGAGCTCCCTATCAAATCGTCTGTCATGCCTGTCGCCCATCTTGAAGGAAAAGCGTCTAGGCTGGGTCAGGCAATACTCAGCATTCCAGAATCTGATCTACTTCATGCAAAATTCTGTAATTATTCCATGAAATCTCGGTGAGTGTTCCTTTTGCAAGAATTGTCTAGTCCTTTGCATGGATGTGTGTGCTGGTGAGGTATTCTGCACAAACAGCTGTGAGATTCTGTGAGAACAGCTCGCACAAAGTAAGAGCTGTTTCCCTAAAAATGTACCATATGTCTTCACTGAAGCGACCAAGCAAGTGGTCCACTTGAAATCGAGAATATCTCTTGCGGTCTTGTGTATCCCGCTTGCTTCACTGGTAGTTGCCTAGGTCTGGTCCCTTGGCAGTGGATACCATTTAAACCAACAGACAATCAAATACTCTGAAATTTGCAAGACAGATCATAGTAGCCTTGGCAGCGCAATAACGGCACCAACATTTTTACTGCTCTGCCAAGACCTTAGATTTATCTTTCAAGATGGACGATGTTGACGAGCTTGATCTCGATGATGACTTCTTCTCACCAGCACAGCCATTGGCAGGCTTTCCATGGAACTTGAATAGCACCACAAAGACATCCTCTGCTGGCGGTCCTTCTATTGCACCTGCCAAGCTGCAAGACACCCCATCAGCAGCAGTGAGCAAGGGCAGCAACGCCTCTCATCGAGCACCGCTGAAGCCGCTAGCGACACTGTTACAGGTCCCTGACTTCCCGCGCAGCGCAAGAACTTTGACGCCGCCCACGCACCCGCCTTACAGCGGAGCAGCACAGAGGACTGAGGCCAGCCCAGCAGTCGCCCAAAGTGGAGCTCACAGGGTCACAAAGCGACCGGCAGAAGGGCACAGCCTGTTCTCATCAAAAAGGATCGAGATTGACCGGAGACAGAACACTGCAGCGTCCCTCAGAAGTCAGCCAACATCAAGCACGCCAACAATATCCAGTCAGTCAGGCCTGGTCCAGTCGGGCTTCAGGCAACCTTCAGCAACAGAACACCAAGGTCCTTGGCATGACAGACAGAGGCATGTTCAGCAGCACAGCAGAGCAGTGACACCCTTCCAGCCAGCAGGGCCTTCACAGTCAAATCCCCACTCATCAGCAGTGTCAGTGGATCAGAGCGCAGCATCAATGAAAACTCTGATACCAGGCCCAGCTGGGAAGTTGCAGCAGCAGATGGACAGCACACTGCCACCAACACCTACCACGAGGACCCACGGAGTCAACCAGCATTGCTTTTCGTCCTCTCAAGATGACTTTGCAACAGAAGCATGGAAGTCTGCAATTGGAACAGCCAATGCCCACAGCAGTGCAGGCGAGCTCAGCTATAACTCTTGTGTCGTCCCACCTGATGCTGTACATCAAGCTTGAAGGTCATATCACTGTGCCTGCGATGTGCGCTGCACTGACACTGAAGGGGTGATGTGTAGGCGATGCTCAGCAGCAGAGGCAGACCCTCCAGACAGTACTGCTGAGCAAAGAGAAGGCAGGCAAGGCTGGCAGCTTGGTAGTCATGCTCGAGTCTTTCTCGCTCACTGGCTGTGGCGATGCCTTTGCCAAGGTCAAGGTGGGTTTCCCAATGACTTGCTCTTTCCTGAATCTGGGCAATGAGTGGGATTCTCAAGGTACTTCTTGTCTTGCAGAGCAACACCAATGTTGTCTGCGGTTGCAGGATCCGACCACACCCTCCATGGGTGCTGGCATAGACCGAAAGGTTCTACAGTCATTTCGTCTGGACCCTGGCACTGTCCTCGTGCTGAAGCAGGTCAGCCCATATCCCTATCCCAAGTTATGTTGCGATCCATCTCACGTGTTGCATCATCACCGCCTTCACTGACTTTGAGGACCTGCAGGTATCATACCTGAAGATGAGCAATGTGCCCTACCTGTGCGTGACTCCCCCAAACGTGCTGAGGGTGAGTCTCAATAACCTGTCCTAGCACCTGTATAATTTGCGCCAGCAAGCAAATCATGAACTTCTACCAGACCCATCTTGGCCGTCACAATCAGAGTGCTTATTTTTTGGGTGCAGGTGATACCATCAGGCTGTGGAACATGAGAATGGCTCGTACTATCTGTTTCTCAGAGCGCTCCAAGATGAAGAAAGCATGGAGCGCCCTAAAAGGGAGCCTCCTTCTTGATCATATCAGCAAGGTGTTTGCGATCAGTGGGAGTTGACAATAATTGCATTGATGGTAAGGGTAAGATCGATCTTACCCTGGGGTATATATCACTGGGGTATAACTTCAAGAATGAACTATGCTGGCATTTTTAGCTATTGCTATCGCATGCATATATCGCTCTGTAATGAAATTGTTTTGATGTCTGTGGGGCCCAATGCGGGATCATTGCATTGTGCATTGATGTCTGCATTCTCTCCTAGCTCAGTTGTGCACAATCATGACCAACATTGATGCATCTCTTCACTGCCCATTTCTGAGGATTCATGAGACACACTGCACGCATTGACAAATGGCATTGATGCGTCAGCGGCAAGATATGATCACCCGACGAGCATTTGAAAGGAAGTGATTCCAGGGCTCGTCGGGCTGCAGCAGAATGAAATCCCCATCAGAATCCTGGTATACAAGTTTGAGGCCCGTGCTTTCTGGCAGCGACTTGCCATAAGCTCGCCGAAGACCGTTCCACAGAGACCTGCACCCAGGACACAGCCAGTTTCATCCACAATGGAACCTTTCAAGATCGCACCACGCGCACAGCAAAGTAGGACGCCGGGCAAATCTACATGCTGTCATGTCCTTTTACAGTAATGCTGGGGGGCTTTCCAGACAGTAATATAATATAGCCAGCAGCCGAATCATAAGATAGCCAGCGTCCCAGGACACCAGGAGTGTAAAGTTCTGTGCATGCTTGGCAAGGATGCGCACATGTAGCTGTCAAAGCTGGCCAAGTTGACCTCGCCGAGCTGCTGCCCTCGCGTGCACCCATCCCCAAGGTACTCCACAGCCGCCAGAACGCCATCGCTGCCCTCTGCACCTCCTTCCCTGACCCCCGCCCTGCCCTCATCCGCCTCCCGCTCTTCGGCCTTCACTGCGGGCCCAGGCCCCTGCCCCTGCCCAGCCGCCTCGGCGGCCCTTGCTTTCCCTTCCGGCGACCGCCGCTGCTGACCTCCCTCTGCCGCATTGCCCTTCAGCTTGGGCCGCTTGTGCACCTGAGGCGGCTGCTCACCGCCGTCCCGCTTCCTGGCGCCTTGATCAGTCCTCCCCGGCTCGCTGCCTGCAGCGCTGCCACCGTGTGCTTGTCCTGCTGGACCTGCAGGAGGAGCTGCTTCAGCAGCTTGTGCATGTCGGCTGCTGGCCTCCGCCCCCCTGTACCTCCTGTCTGCCGTGGTGTCATGCGCGGCTTTCGCCTGGGCTGCAGCCTTCTGCTCCGAGCTCTTCGTCTGCTGCTCGTCAGTCTGCGCTCTGGCTGCCGCTTTCTTGCGCTTGCTCGGGCCGCCGGGGTGGCCGGGCTGTGCCTCGGACAGCGCTTTCCGCACAAATTCTGGAATGGGTGGACCCCTCGTATTGCCATGATGATGACCCTCTGCAGACCAAGGAGAGAGGCAATTGTGAGCACCCAATCACTAAGGCAGATGCAGAGTATGTTAGATTATGTTGGATATAAGCAGCGCCACATCTGACGGACTGAGACGCATTTCTAACCCTCCAAAAGAAATGCGATGGGCATTTAAGCAGCGCATGTACGAGAGATGTTTCAGACAACGCTCTTCACACTGCTGCATATGCAAGCAAACACACTGTGCACATAAGCATCTCTTTGTTGAGGCTGGATTCCTCACCGGGAGCTCGCCGGGCAGGAGGGGAGTCCACAACCACATCGGCAAGGCCGCTGATGCCCAGGCCTGGCTCAACCTCGCTCGCGCTGTCTGCCAGCTCTGCAATAGCATTGGCCTCAGCCGCGAGTGCCAACTCCTGCCGCTCAGCTGCTACTGGGTCAGAGGCAGACACCGCAGTGGGCTGGGGCCCAGCAGGAACTGATGGCTGAGGGTCAATTTTGATCTTCTGTGCATGATCTCCCGGGTGTGCGTCATGGGGTGGCTTGATGTCAGCCCCGCCTCTGTCTGCACGACATGGTCTGTCTGCATTCTCCTTTGTTTGTGGACCAGCACCTGACTGCCCGCTCTGCAGAGCAGCAGCCTTCCTCTCCTGCTCCAGGGCTGCCTTTGCTGCACGTTCAGCCTCCTCCTTGTCCCTCTGTTCCTGCTCGAATTCCTTGAGCCACCTGGATTTCATGCTTTTGTAGCCTCCTGCATCGCATTCATTTCCACTGCGTCATCAGTTTCCCTTTCAAGGTCCCATCCACACATCAATTACACTTGCACATTACATGGGTGTGATCTATGCGCAAGTGCTGGTTGAGGCGCCAACGGGAAGTACCAGGTATAGGCGCTTTCGTCTCTGGCTCAATCCCTTGATCCGATCTCCAGTCGTAATCATCCTGGCCCTTCTTTGCAGCTCTCTGTGACAGGGACGTGATCAATTGAGTGTCTTCATAGGACCCAAGAAGCATCAAGGGAATTTCATCTGATGTCTTGCGGGTGTTCTTACCCTTCCAGGATTTCCACCTCTGCCTCGCTGCCCTCCTCCTCCTCTAGCAGGCATGTCTTGGCCTTATCTGCAAAAAGCAGCTTCGGCCCTTACAGTCCAGATGTACAAGAACTCAAGCAGTCCGCAGCCAGATCTTCGCCCAATCTCAAAAGAACTGGGGTGAGAAGCTTGCAATAGGGATTGCACGCCAGGCCCTCCAAGTTGGAGTGCCACATCAACAAGGTTACCAAATGATCTTCAGAACATTTACGCAATTGTGCATATTTTTGTGGCGATCTAATACGCAAACAACCATGACACGATAAGGCTGCGTACTTTACACATCGATTCCTCACCTGCTGAGTTCCTACTGTTCACTGAAGAAGCATCACAAAGCCATCTTCAGAATGACCACATCTTCAGATGTTGGCAGCTCGCTTTCTCAGACTGGCCTCAATTGCAGTCGTTGAAGCTGATCTATTTATTCACAAACAGTGTCGGACCGCGGCAAGGGAGAGTGCAAGCCGATGCAACTGAAAGAAGATGTACCCCTTGAATTGTGCTTCAGGGGTTCAGATTCCGCTCATCAAAGTAATGCAATCGAATGCTGGGAATTACAGGTGATATGCGCGTCACTTGCGAGGTGGAATTCTCGATTGGATTTGTGTGCCCTGGACAGCTCAGATCACGTACTTGTTACTAATCGCACATGCAATGCAGTTGATGAGGGGCTCCTAGGGGAGAGGCTTGAGGCTTAAGATTACCAGGTATATGTCCATCGACAAAAAACTTATATCATCTAATGGGGCGCTGGCATCCATGCTCAATACCTGGTGTGTCACGGGCTTTTACAGGAGTCCCAAAATTTGCACAAGAGCCCGCGGCCACTAGCCTCAAGGCCTGAGCTCACTGAGCTGGCAGCACTGCTCTCTGGAAGAGTATCTGAGATGCATGCAACTAGCAGACAAGTGTCCAAATTGCACAAGATCAACTCATCATGGCAGTTGGTTCTTTTCTTTGGCGAGCAGCAAGCATTGCTTGGGCTACATGCGATCCTGACGATCTCCCCAGTGCTTTGCAGATGAATGCGCTGGTGTCCACAAGGGAATCCATGTCTACTCCATGCTCAATGCCAAACCCAGACAAAAGATACACCACATCTTCTGTGGCCACATTGCCTGTAGCAGAGCAACGGAGAAAGAGGTGAGCATTGGTGTCACACGGTGTTTTGTACTTTGAGCTACAGGACAGGACAGGACTGGAGTAGATTTCAGAAGTGAGATTGCAATGCATGAATCAGGATCAGCTAATCAGCATGCCTTGGTGATGGTTGGAATGGATTTCGTACCTGAGGCACCAGGAGAGTACGGACAACCACCAAGCCCAGCTATAGATGAATCAATGGTGCTGATTCCCATCTGCAGCGCTGTCAGCACATTAGAGCATCCCTGCCCATATGTGTCATGCATATGTGCCGCGATTGCCTTCACGGGGATTGCATTTGCACACTCCTGCACCAATCAGACACTTGGGTCAGGTTCTATAGGACTCACCCGGGAATCTTTGTGGTGTGATTGCCACCCCATAGGTGCAAAAAGCAAGAGTTCATTGCATGCAGACAGGTGAGCAGACCAGTGGGAAATAAGTCGCACCTTGAACATAGCTGCAACAGTCGCCGGTGTGCCAACCCCATTGGTGTCCCCCATGGACACCTCGTAGCATCCAAGACCATAGAGCCTTGCAGCCACATCCGCAGCCGCAGCGGGAGCTATAGCCCCCTGCACCGCATTGGAACACAGAGGACTTTAGAATGCAGTGCGCTGTCACCAAAGCATCTTGCTTCAAGGCTACTAATACGCGATCAAAGCTTGCCGAAGATTCTATCAGTAATTTCTTCACTAAAGATATTTCAGTATTTTCTTCCAGGAAGGAGCAGGATGGCTACCTCGTAAGGGCAGCCCACAACACAGGAGACATAGCCGCGCACAGCCACTTGGGCTTCTTTGGCAACTTCCACAACTTCCTCAAAGCGCTTGAGGCTCTCTGCAATGCTGCAGTTGATGTTGCGCTGACTGAATGTCTCAGAGGCCGCCGCAAATATGGCCACCTCCTTGGCTCCAGCGGCTATAGCGCGCTGCAAGCCCTGCAGCACTGATCCCACTGTCAGGACTTGCCTGCACCCAACGCCACATGGCAAATGCGGCAATATTTCATAGAGATCAAGCCTTGCTCACCTTGAGATTTGGTGTCAGGACCGGGTAGCGGATGTGCGGGCGCTTTGGGATCTGCTGAAAGACCTCAGTGGAGTCGGCCAGCTGAGGTACCCACTTTGGAGAGACAAAGCTGGTCGCCTCTATGACCTTAAGCCCGGCCCTGCCCAGCCTGTCTATAAGCTCGACCTTTGTCCTGGTAGGAATCTGCTGACAAGGTGACTCCCAGGTCATCACTGCTTCTCCACCTCTTATGGAGTCTGCTATCCAAGGTGTCAAATTATTAACAGCAGCTCGGGAAAGGATAGCTTACCGCCTGCTTTTCATTCTGCAGACCATCACGAGGCCCAACTTCGACTATTGTCACCCTGCCTGGAAGCTCACCACCAAAGAGGACTCCCTGCACACCCTCCCAAGTCCATCAGCCAGAACTTGAGCTTGACCGGAACCAGGAATCTGATCTTCGCTGCACGCACCTGAGCAGAGGTGACAAGAAGCCTTTCTTGACTCAGGAATTGACCGTTCCGAATCGTCTCCTTAACCGCGGGTATCAATCTTGCCAGTGATCGAGAAAACGACATAGCGTCTTTCGAAGCTCCCTAGAATCACATCGCACTTCACTTTTGTTGTGATCGAAATAAATGATGAGTGTGAACGAGACAAATTGAATTTGAGGGAAGAGAGAGGACGAGAAGATGAGATCATGAAAAGAGATGATGAGGAAGCTGACTAGATTTGGGGGAAGCTACGCATAGGACCTCCCATTCAACATCTTTGTGGTATTACTTCAACTTCAAAGCTCAATACAATTCCAGATCCTACATAATGGTCGATCAGGTGCCACTCTCTGTACCCCAGAAAATACCAGTCCAACATTAACGCCGCGTAGACCTCGAGTGAGCTCAGCCTGCCGCAGCCAAGTGCACTCAGGCTGACCGGGCCAGCTCAGGCCGGCACAGGCGCCATGCATGGGTGTGTCCATATTCCAATAGCAGTGCTCTGCATTTCTAGCTCACATCATTGCATGAGTACTCATGCAATATCTTGATTGGATCCAAGCTCCGGAGATAGAGCTTTGATGAATGTCATCTTCTGTTTGAGACCTCAAATTGATACAGATCGGCAGGCTTCTTGCATTCGTATATGCACCGCCGGGTGCAGGATCGCATGACTCGATCCTCCTCTCCCGCTGCCAGGGCAAACCCTGAAAACTTCTGGCTGTACGCCACAAAGTCGCTAATCCCAGACTTGCATGCGCTCTGACAAGAGTTTGTGCAAGCTGTTCCAACATCCTTCGCCTCAGCCTGCGCAATCATGCTGAAAACGTCATTCTCCGCCTTGCGTGCTCCTTGAAATCCCATGGCCAAACATAGGCAATGGCATCCTAACACTCCACACCAAAGCAGCTTCATAGTTATCTGCATAAGCTCCTCATTGCCAGAGCCAGGCATAGGTCCCATGTCAGGCATCAGCTCACCTTCTTGCAGACTTGAAATTGATCTGCAGGAAAGGAAGCCTCCCCTGCAGATAGAAGAGGCCTCGCGCCAACGCATGTCGTAGTTGTGATTCCCTGCTTACGGCTGACAATCTTCTCGCCTTCCATCTTCTCAATGATGTACTTCTTCCTGCAAGAGACATGCATGCTGAGGACACTGACAATGCCTGCAGTCAGCAGAAAAACCACTGGAACATTGTGTTTTGCTCACCTTGTCTGACCCGCAACAGCGAACGGCGTGGGTGTGTCATCATTATCGGCGGTCAGGAAATCAAAAATGCCAGCAATAGTACACCACGGCTTGGCAGCTGTCTCTATGGTATTATCCACAGCATGAACCTGCAAACTTACGAGATGTTAATCTGGAGAATGCACGCACTGGATCCCAAGACTAAAAGTTTGCAAAGGAAGAGGCTTGCAGGCATGCAGGATAAGCAGGCTCACCTCCACGGCGCTTACTGCAGGTTGAAAAAACAGGAGAAAACACGCAGCGACACCAGTAGTGGCTGTGGTCCAACTGTTCTGTGCTGCTCTTACATCAAACTTGCGATGGTCTCGACGTGATCTGGGGGAGCAACATAGCTGCCGGCAACTGAGCGGAGCAGAGCATCCCTTATTTCTGCAATCAAATCGCCCTGGATTGATAGCGAAAGACTTCATCAGCTGAATATGATCAGGATCTGTTCAGTAAACCACACACATTACCGTTCAAAAGTTCCGAAAGTTTATGAGATGCTGGCCTGCCACGTCGAAACCTTCTCCACTCAGGTGAAGATCTGTGTCATTATGTACTCATATAAATAGCGTAAAATTAATGTGTTGATCAGATCTTCAAGTGGTGCACAAAGTCCAAAGTCGATCTGCAATCGACCTTCCTAGCGGTCGATATTCAATGAACTTGTCCTAGCTACAAGACGTAATGATGTCCATACTGCTCTATTCTTAGCCTGGGACTGCCAGAAGGATTAATTGCAATCCCATTCATCGGACGTGGTGCTGGGTTGATCGCCATGAGAGGTGTCTGGCAGGTCCTGTTGTCTGCTTTACTAGTGCTAGTTGTGCCGACTATCAGCCTAGCACAAGGGTTGCAGTCTTGTGAAATGTCGGCATTCCAGGGAAATGTGTCAGCCTCAGACGGTCCATATCCAGCCTTAGCTTGCCAGACATGTGTCTTCCCAGTCTACCAAAGCGTGAATGGGCTTGACACCACCAAAATACTTCATCTGGAGCTATCGAACAAGTGGATATACTTCCTAGGGGACTCCACGACCAGACAGCTGCACGAGCAATTCCTGGCCTACTTGGACGAGCCGCAGGTGAGCAACAGCTTGGTTTCATGACTAATCCCTAGGGTTCATGGCCATAATCTCACCATTGTGACTGCTCTTGCTGCAGACTTTTGTGTACCCTGGCGAGGAAGGTGAGGGACCACCGCTACATGACTGGGTCAAGCAACCAGGGCGCTGTGATTATGTACCACCACCATATGACGACACACAGTGTCAGCAGAACCAGCAGAGATGCGGCAGCCTGTATACTAAGTCCCGTTTGGGCAGGTATGTCTACAATGGCAGCCTTGCACTGATAATCTCAACAACCTATCTAGATAGCCTGTCAGAAACATTGCTCTGATGACATAGTGCTTTGGCTCATGAGACAATTGCTTGCTGATTCTGACTCCATGCATGCGGCTGCTTGCAGCAACGTGCGCGTCACGTATGACTGGAAGCACTTCATGTATGAGGACTACGACCGGGCCCTGTTCAACAGCTTTGCTGCAAACAGCACGCCCAATATCATTGTGACTAGCCCGGGCACACATGACTGCATGCACTACCCAGCCGAGTACTACCACCATGGCTTGCAGATGAAGCGATATGCAGAGCATCTGCACTTGGTGAGGCTCCACCTTTTGAAGTAAACCATTTTGTCTCAATTTGAATTATGTGATAATGGGCACTCACCCTTTGACCAGGAGACGGCTCTGACAGCCATTGTGTGCGCCTGCTTGCAGCTGAACACTACCGTGGTGTGGGTTGACACCACGCCATTCTCAACATCCTACGCCACTGGGCTTGGAGCAACGTCAGATGTGTCCACACTGAGCTGTGTTGATCACATCAACCAGGTGAGGCCTCTGTCATCCCTTGTAGTGTTGCTGGGAGTTCACCATGGGATCAAGCATGCCAGTGTTGGCTTTCTGCAGTGCTGTAAGTCATGTGGTGTGACCAGGTTGCATATGACCTTGCACGGGAGCTGGGATTCTACCTATTTAGCAGGCAAAGCCTGATCTTGTCCGGGAACTTCACCGAGAATGGGGAGTTTCCTCTGCATCAGTCCACACCTGTCATGCGGGAGGAGCTGAGCCTGTTACTCTCGTGGCTTGGCTGCATCCAGCATGACTCTCGCTTTGCTTCCTTTTAGTTCTTCGTCTAACACGTGTATTCCGCTTGGATCACAGTTTTGAACTGATCAAGTGGCTCTATAGTCTGCTCAAGCGCAAAGGCAGTCTTATGCGCTGGCCGTCTTGCTGATGGATGTTGTCATACTGTTCATTAATTTACAATTTTATTGTGTCATCTAGATCTAGACATATAGCGCAAATTATTTGATTGGTGTAGCGGTTTGAATTTGCAATTGAGAAGCCTGAAGTTCATGCCCAATTAGCGCCACGGTGGCCGCCACCCTTGATCTAATAAAAGTGTCTGGCATCATGATGAGTTTGCAGCTCATCTGGTGGCACAAAAGGGAGCTTCCTGACCATATTCTTGGACCTTTGGCTTTATCAATTTGCCCATTGATTATGGTAATTGATCCAGGAGACGCAGGTCATGAGGTTGTCTAGCACTGCTAGTACGGTCCCGGAGGACTCCATAATTGATGCAACAATTTTCTATCTCAGAGGCAATGCTCTTGAGGAAGTGGACAAATTCAAAACTTGTGCAGTATGCGCTCTGCAGATATGTCAATGCAGCCAGAGATTGCTAGGAGGTTGAGCAGAGCAGCTGGGGCTTACCATAGATTGAAAAGACTAAAAGTTTGGGGAGACAGGCACATCTCCCAGAGAATCAAATTGATACTGTGTAAAGTCATAGTCCAGTCCACTCTGTTGTATGCATGTGAGACGTGGGCCATCTCAGATCGTGATGTCAAAAAAATTTAGGTTTTCTAGATGAGATGCTTGAGAAGTCTTTGTGGTGTCAGTCTACTGGATAGGTTCCCAAATGTTGAGATTCATGCAATGTGCAAGGTACCTCAGATTGCAGACTTGCTCAGATATAGATGCCTCCGATGGTTGGGACATATGGCTAGGATGGATCCTGTCAGGATGCCTTTGCAATTAATGTTCAGCACAATGCCAGGCACTGGGGCTAGAGGCAGACCATTGAAGAGCTGGAATGATTATGTAAGGGATGACCTTGATGCTATTGGGCATGCATATGACTGGTGGAGGAAGTGCAAGAACCGAGAAGACTGGAAAGCTATAATCCAGGTGTTGCTTGACGTACCTAGTCCTTAAGGACTGGAAAACGTGTAATAATAATAATAATAATAATATTAATCGATCCATTGGAGGCCTCACAATAAGAACGATCTTGATCTTGCTTAATTGCTTTTGGCAAATAGGCACAACTGCAGTGCATTTGCATGTATTCAACAATCTTATCTGTTCTACAAACATAAACAACCAATGTGCGCGCGACTGCACACAGCATGAATACTACAATGTGCAACACTGTCTCATTGTCACTCAGTCATCTAAAGGTAGCTCTCCAGGTACTTGCTCAAATCTGCTGCTCTACAATAATGTACAATGGTTGGGAAATTATCACTACACACCCTGTGAATATTACATAAAGACCGCGAGGTCTTAATTTTACACATGCAATCCTCAATCACCTTCTGAAGTATCAAGCTGATGACTGCTGGCGTTATATGCAAACACGTTGAGCCCAGGCACCGATGCCAGTGACTGCAGGGCTCTTCTCCACTCAGGAGACATGTCAAAGAGGGACTCGCCGTCAGGCGTGACTGGGGTGGGTATAGATTGTGCATCATCGCTGCCTCTGCAATCTGCTGGTGCCTCATCAGTAGATCCAGGTGTATATCTGCATGGATCGGTGGGCTGCTTTGCAGGACTTGACAGCACAGATGTCCTCTCTGCCAAAGAGTAGCGTGCCTCATGCAAATCAATGGCTGCCGGGGCAGATTGGCTGCACGCAGCTGAGCAGGAGCTTTGTCTGCACACGTCCTCATGAAGCCGCATAGTGCTGCTGCAGGCCCTGTCTGAAGTGTGGCTTTGCGATTCGGAAGTGTTCATCGTCTGCAACAAATTACACATTCTTGAAGGATTGCACACACCAGTACCAGTTGAGCCGGTTTTCAGGAAAGAGCCAAGTATGACGTTGAAAAGCACTCGACTTTATGGTCCAGGCCTGACCTGCTGATGAGCTACAGAAGGCTGGGCAGACGGGCTGAGCAGGGGTGGTGCCGGCCTCTGCATCGCCTGAACAGACTTCCTTGCTGTTGCAACGAGCCTTCTGAGGCCCGCACCCTACAGCATTTCTCTTTTGCTTAGCACCTCTGCATTCGACATGCGCCTCTATAACGTGATATGCTTGAGATCTATCACAGGGGTGCAAATCTCAAGAGCTCCCTCTGATGACTGGCAGGCACCTGAGCAAGGCGCAGGCTGCTAGCAAAGCAGGGGTGCAGCAGAAGGCAGCGTCCGCCATGGGTGACAGGCCGCCGGCCATTCACGGTCCCACTCACACTCAACGAGCTCCTCAGCAGGTACACAGATGAACACCGTGCCGTGACAGACAACAGCTGGTCGAGCCTCACCCTAAAGCCCAAATTCAAGCACGCTGGACACCAGTGTTTGCAGTATTAACATCAAAAAGAAAAGACTGATTACTGGCGAACCACCAAGCGGGCGTATAGGGAGGCAAACCATGCGAAAGCTGTTTTTTCAGCGCCATCCACAGCATGCGTCTCAGCATTTTGCCGCATGGCAAGATAGAACATGAGGGGGTCCATGAAGGGAAGCAGAGCGATGAACATATTGTATTGGCCCTGCATGTTGCCACACACACATGTACATATTAGGCCTTTCACAGTGGCCATCAAAGAGGAGCCTTTGAAACCAGTCATATATCATAGGATTTGAACCCTATCAGACATGCAAAGGGAATGGCACCTTCTTTAGCTTGTGGACGACTTCGAGAGAGTGTCGTTGATCTCGGAGCTGTGCTGCCATGAGGACTTGACTGGCTGCCACACTCGCAGAGTCCACAGCTTGACTGGCAAACATCCCTAGCGTCTCCTCAGCAAATTCCCTGTGATCAGGGTCTCATCACACACACGAATGCCTATCAACTACTAGAAGAATGCTGAAAGACTTTTGGGACCTCGCCTGCTTGCAGTGTCCTCAACATCGGCATCTATGGCCTCCCGAGATCCCCCAAAGTCCTTCCCTGGAGACAAGAAATACAGTGTTACTAGGCAGACCACCTGGTCATATCTTGAGCTGGCAGGTCGTCTGCTTGTAAGGGACAGTGTCCAATCTGAGATAAGAGATCTGCAGCAACTGCAGGTCGCTCATAAAATGTGGGAATCCTTACACATTGTCTTTCGCATTCGTCCTTGTGGACCTGTCCTTGTGTCTTCAGCACCAAGGAGGACCAAAGCTTCTCCACAAGGTAGAATGCAGAATGGTAACACGCCTGCTGCTTTGTACTCGAGGGCCAGTTTTGAGCGGGTAAAGTATTGACGTGAGCTTTTTGGTTGTGCCTGTTGCACCTGGTCTTTTTCCATGGTACTCAAGTCAGGAATCACATGAGTGCAGAAATAACAATGCCTGCAACCATGTCCTTCCTGATCTTGGATCTCAAGATTTACTCTTACACGACAGGTTCTCTTCCACTGAACTGCGGGCTGCAGCTTGATTGCAGGCGCAATTTGAAGAAGATTCTGTCCCGGCATGCTGCCCGCATGCGTGATCATGTGCTGACGTCACGTGCAAAGGAGCTTTCCCGTTCTGCGCACCAACAGCGCTGGTCGTTCATCTAAAATTTGCACATGAATGGTGTCTCGTCTCGTCTAGGAAACCTGCGCGTGTGCCAGAGCTCCCTTTCTTTGGCACACCACATCCCTCGGAAAGGACGAGTCTTCTGGACAGCGTGCACAAGCACTCCTCTAGAAGATGTGTATGTTGATCAATTTACAGGAAAGAGTTTTCGTTGCACACAGTGCGGCAAGTGCTGCACGGTAAGTGGTTCATGTAGGGCCACTCCACCTGCATGGATCTCTAAGTGTTCATCGATTTTACCTGCATTGATGTAGCTGAGATGGCTTTGATGTTCCATAAAACTGCGGATTCATTGATAAAGCCGCTCTACAGGGAGCTGGGGAGGTTTGGATTGACGAGGCGGATGTGCAGAGACTAGCCAGAAAAGTCCACATTCAGAGAGAGCTCTTTCTTTCGCGGTATGTGAAAAGCTACAGTCGAAAACCTGGATACTGGCTCTTACGTAACACCAATGGCACGCAGGTACAGGGCCCCCACAATCGCAACAGATCACTGTCTGCAAATTGTCTTTAACTCTTTGTCAGGTTCAACCAGACTGACATGGTTCTGCCTCTGCAGGACTGCATCTTCCTGCGAGGCACAGAATGCATTGTGAATGATGCAAAGCCCCTCCAATGCCGGACGTACCCCTTCTGGCCGGAGTTGATGGATCCTGAGGCCTGGCAAGCAGAACGCTTGGACATGTGCGAAGGACTTGATCATCCGGAGGCCTGTGAGCTGGACGTGGAGCAAGCAGCATTGCAATTGAAGGCTTCGACAGAATTTTTTGCCCGAAGGGATGGTTTGCAGTGAGGCTGGACTTTGCTGCTTGTCATCTACAGCAAGTCCTCAAGGGTGCTTGGACGTAGAACAAAATGCGGCCAGATACATATTCTGCTTGGCATCTGTGCCAAAACCAAGTCCTTCAATTGAAATTTGCAGATAAGCCTAGACCCATGCAATGATCAGTCATTTAATTATTCCAGGTACTTCCAGGGCAGCTTTGGGTCCGCTTGCATGATTAGAGATGTCAATAAAATCTACATGATTGGTGGCACCAGTTGACACACTTTCAAATGTGCAATATACAGTAATCAAAGCAGTACGTGAGCACTGTGCAGCAACATAGCGCGTGATAATCTGCAGATGCCTCACCATCATGGTGAATGATTGTCCTGATAGCTACGTCACATCGGTAGTAAAGTTCCTCTTCTGGATGCCCAAACTCTACAGATCCAATAATTCAGTAATTTCAAGGTCCTGAAGGGTGTTCCGAAGATTTGACTGTTGCCTCTCAAACTCAGCAGCGGGTATGGCAGCCACAGCCTCGACCTCTGAGGTCACACCCAGATCCACCCACGAAAAGCAGCCATAGAAGGAGTCTGACTGTGGCAGAATGAGGGGCTCTGCCAGCTGTTCACACTGCAACTCCAAGATGCTGATTGGCTGCTGCTTGCGCCAGCGCATCCGCCTACACTGCCAATGTGAGCTTATTTACTGGCTGTACACCTGAAGAGCTTCGCCTGATCACATTTCTTAAAGCAATACAAAAGCATGCAGCAGCAACAAGCGATGGATGGCCTCACTTTTCCAGGAAATCGGGCCCCAGAATGTGATGTGCAGACAGAGCTGCCACCACATCAGATTGAAAGGTTGTCCATGCACCGGTAATGGTGGCTCTGTACTTCAAGGCCACGTCTGCTTCTTTTCTAGGGTCAAATGTAAGTTCCTGCAACAAAGAACAGAGCGCTGCAATCATGATCCAGCCGCACTGCTGATCGGTATTCACGAGCATGAGCATCCCGCATCCACTACAATTGCAGCGCACCTGGCTGTATTCAGGAGCTAGTTCTTCTTTGAGGAGGTTTCCATCCGCATGAAAGGAGGTGGGGAAGAGAAGAAAATCCCGGACCTACAATAACATTGATTGCATGTAGGTTCGTCATGGCAGGATTGCGCAGATCTCTTCCAGGATGGGTGTACCATCATCTTTGCCAGTGATTTCCTTCATGACTTTGGCAGCATTAGTATATTTGCAGCTGGACAGCTACCTCTGGCTTGAATACGCCTTCTCGTATGCCCCCCTTTCTGAAAACCACCTGCAACACAATAAGTTCTTGATGACGAATGTCGTGATATATATTCTACTGATGCTGATGCTGCCATGCAGCTGCAAACAGCACTTTGTGCATGAACAAAAAACCACTTACTGTCTGCTGGCCCCTTCCAAGTGCCTCAACTATAGCCGCCCATTCCTTCAGAGCTTTATTAATTGCCTTGATCTGACACTTGCAAACTGTTGTATGCCTCCTCCATCGGCTTTGAAGGGGGCGATGCTGACCGGCATGTCCGAGAAATTGTCCCACTGCCCTTTCACCCATCTCAAATCTCACGACATTTCTATGATCAGCCAGATTCCTTATTTGATGGATGCTCACGGATATTCTCCTGCTGGAGTCTTTTGCGAATCCAGCTTCTTCCTTAGTGGCAGCGAGATCATGCCTTTCTCATATATCTCTTCAAAATTGTATTCGTTGCAGTAGGAAGTCTAGAATGTAACGTTTGCGATCTTTCAATTGTTCATGTCCTCTTCTTGAACCTGTTCACAAGAATATTGTCAAGAGCCTGGTGCAAAGGCATCGGGGTTAGGCCAAGTGATTTAGCCCTTGCAATTGGAGGTTTTTTCAGCTCCCTCAAAGTGTCATGTCATGTAGCAGTGTGGATGTTCACTCATTTGCATATGCCCTCCAAAGGTCGTGAACAATTATGTATGACAGGACATTTGCAAAGGGTATCCATTCAAAATCATGCGGCATCATCATGATGCCGCCGAAGCTTTGAGGCAGACATTAATAGCGTTTAACAATGGGATTGACAAATTGAAAACCTTGAGCTGTGGGAACCAGTGGCTGATCCAGTCAGGACTCCCGAAATCTTCTAGAAGCTCAGGCACAGTACCTTGCAGAGCGCACGTGCACGTCATTGTCGAGCATGCAGGGCTCCAGGGGTCACCATCCCAGCACTATACTTATACAGTGCTTCACATTCCTATCAAAAATTCACAATGGTATGCAAAGTGCATCACTGGCGTGCATTTGCTGATTGCAGCGCATGACCAAGCCTGCCGGCCCGGGGCTACCAGGCGCCAGGGGATGCTTGCACAGCATTGAGGCCAACATGGCGCTTTCTGGACATATTGCACATTCTGAGTCAGACTGCCTGTTGCACAGCTGATGTTGCACTGCTGAAGAAACCTCTCGTGTTTGTACAACCTCTCACACACACATGGCCGCTTTAGATTACACATGCCAGGGCAAGCACAGTGACTACTGCTGTCTGTGGACGGCCTCTATCTCCCTGCTGCCTGCCCTGCTTGATGGGGTGGGGCTGCGCATGCTGTCCTCCTGCATGGCTGGTGCCCACTGCCTGAGCTCTTCATCAGTGCCCCAGGGGTCGGAGTTGTCGCTGTGGGGAGACGGCGGCCCCTGCCACGCATCCTTGTTGCGAAGCGAAGGAGGACTGTACGGCCAGCTGCTGTCCTTCCCACGCTGACCAGCGTCAGAACTTGCTGCTGCGTCTGGGCTCTGCAGTCCGGGCTGCAACATGCAAGCAGCAAGTCACGTGAGAATAATTGCAGCCAGTTGTCTTATTATGTGCAGTCTGCTTGTGGCCTGTCAGAAACGGCAATGGGAATGTGATCGGACCTCGGGAAGGAGCGTATGTACAACTCCTGCCTCCACGTCATCGCCGGAGCCATCAGCGGCAGAGCTGTCCTCCTTTAGCGATGCATCCGCGCGCTTCAGTGCCCGCCTGCAATTATTGAACCTGCTTGAGTGGTGTCCATATTTCCCTCTTTAGGATTTGCTCTTCAATAACTGGGACTGTAAATTGTGGATGTGCCCAAATCCAAGCAACTCAGGGCCCCCCCTCCCATATGCAACTACTGCAATGATTCGAACTGGTCCTTTGTACTACAATGGACGCTGCAGATTGTCAGTGTGAAGCCTTGCCTGATGATGAGCGTGGCCCAGCAGGCAGTCAGGAGCAGGAAGAACACGGAGATGCCAGCGAGGATGTAGGTGACTTTCCCATGCGGGCGGGCATCCCCCGCTACAATGGCGCTCACATTTTCCGTCAAAGAACCTGGATCAATGGAAGAACATATCCGGTAAGCCAACAAACCCATCACCCCGCACACTGGAAGAGAACATGTAGAAGACACAGCAAAGCAGCTGCCAGATTGCACCAAGGGCGTAGTCTCACCCATGTAGCAGAATAGGCTGCACTCCGGAATGATGCCTGCACGTAGTCAGAAGCTCATCACTGACTCACTCACAGATTTACACAGATCTGCAAACAATACTCACTTGCTAGCAGATTTGGGGGTGAGAGAATGGTGCTCACCAAAGAACGAGACGATTGCAAAGGGCCAGATATGGATTTTCGTGCTGGCCATCAGAACGTTCAAGAGATTATATGGTATCAGCGGCGACAGACGACACAGCAACAGGAGCTTCCAGCCTTCCGTCTCAATTGCTCTGTCCACCTGTCAGAAGCCAAAAAGGATCTGTGTCAGACAGACGAGGAACACCAGCCATGAGACACATTAAGCGCACCAAGCATCTTAATCTATCCCATGCACTTCTTGCTGTAAGGAAAAGAAGGCGCTGGGGATACACCAACACAAAGATCTTCCTGCAGAGCCTCACCATGTCCCACTTCCGCGACTTGCCCCGCAGCATTGCAGATACCAAATCGCCAATCAGGTACCGCGCCAGCAAGAACGCCATGATCTGCCCGATGCCGCCTCCAATCCAAACAGCTAAAAGCCCTTTCCAGAACCTAAGCACACATGATCTGTCTGAGCAGCAACAAATTGGAAATTGACATTTGGTGGCAGGATTGCTAGGGTGTGTCAAAATTGCCTCAGTCAGTACCATGGGAAAGGCTTCTGCAGGAGGCTCACCCAAACACAAAGCCGGCACCAAGGATAAAAATGATGCCAGGAAGCAGGAGGGAGACGTTTGCAGTGTACATGGCAAGAAAGATGGCCCAGCCAGCCCAGTTATTCTGATGTTGGAACCATATCAAGATTTCACCGAAGACAGTGAAGCCCTGCGCATCCCAGAACTTTTCAGCAACCTGTCTGGGTCCCAAGCGTGTTTGGCAAGGCTGTATGGTTCTCAATTCCTCACCTTGACGGACACCAGGACAATGAGAACGATGAGAACTGCCACTATCAGAGCTTTCTCCCAATGCTGTATGATGAAGACCAACGCCTGTTGCCCTGCCCCAACAGTCTTCTCCTGCTCACAACCCAGGTGTGCTCAGTGCCCTGGCCGGTGGGACTTCGCGGATCCACGTGGCTAGCCATAAGCACGTAGGCGTTCAAGATAAACTGGTAGGGGCAAAGCTTCGAGTGGGAACCTGTTGTTGGGTAGTTGGTTGTGCAGAAGCTCGGATCTCATCAGGTGGAGGTGGGCTTGGTGCATCCGACGGATTTCTTTTCTCGTCATCATCCAGCATGGGAAGCCGCATGTCTTCATGCACGTCCTCATAACTACATGACAGGCTAGGTTGCCCAATCATTGGTTGTGTTTTCTGTTGACATGTGACTGGAGATCCTCTGGTCACCATCTTGTGGCACGAATGTCTCTCGTTTCCAGCATTACAGCACGAACAACCCTGAGTTCAGTTGCAAATGACCATCTACCGTGCCCGAAAAGCTCGAAGTGTTTGTCGACTGGCCTCCGTGTCTACGGAAACGAGCGTCTCTAGGTTTCGTGCAGCTCTTTCAAACAAACTGTCCACTGCAAAACAATAATCTCAAACCTCAAAGAATCTCTTGGAAGCAGCAGTGATGTCGTTTTCCCTGGATTCGCAGGCCGAAACGAAGCGTCTCTTGCTGACCATGATGGCGATCTCAAACCCTCTTTGGATAAATCCCTGCAGATAGACGCCAGATGGGATCAAATGTATCGAGACGCTAGCTCGCCCAATCTGCCGAAACATCGATCTAAATGCTGGTGTCAACACATCTTGCTCAACAGGGACACTGCTGGGAATTTGAATCGATGGTTGCCAACAATACATTCGTAAAGCACCGAACTATCTAGCCCTTGAATCAAGCACATTGATATTGGCTTATACAATGCAGAGAGTTAAGGACCTTTCTCGTTGCAGATCACCTGCTGAATTCAGATGTACACGCCTTTTGCAAAGACATTGCCAGTTTGGCTCACACCTGACGCGGCCTGGTGAGATCCTACTGTACTTTCATGTTGTAAGACAGGTCTAATCATTCAAGCTCTGAGTCTGCAGCTTGGTTCCAAAACATCTTTATTGCTGCTTGCAGTGAACCCACACAGAAGCTGGAAACGTATTGGCCGACTTTGTGCACAGAATGCACTGAGTTTGAAGCCTGCAGAGGGGTCCTTTCCAAGGCCCCCACAGCAATTGTCAAGAGGTGAGGCCTTCCTGGCTAGGCACTTGAGTGTCCCACAAATGCTCAGTACAGCGTGGCATGCGCAGCCCAATGACACAGCGGAGGTTCATCTGTACTCAGCCAATTTGTTGTCTTGTCTGGCAGATGACTCCAGTGCAGAGAGCACTAGCGGCAGGACTGAAGACGATGGCTGGTTCATGGACTTCCTGGGAATGTCCTTGCGATACCTGCAGGTACACCTGCCATGAGTACCAGTCAAAGATCTCTATGATGACTTGCAAGCAAGTGACATGGTTGTTTACTTGCTTGGAAGATAGCGTTGTCTGTAAGTGCGACGCTGTGTCTGGCAGGCCACCACTGACAGGCGGCCAAAGGCGCAGTCAGGGGCGCAGAAAGGCGACGGAGGTTTCAATTTTGGCGATTTCTTGAAGGGCGATCTTCCAGGGAAGCTGGGCATCATCTTGGTGCGGTCCTCATCTGATCATGAAACAGTGGATATAAAGTTTCAAAGCTGCCATGGAGTGAGGCAGAGAAGGGATCTCAGACCGCTCTGGTGCGTTGCAGGCTCTGATAGTGTTCTCCAGAGTGGGGGTTTACATGCGGCTTCCAGGAGTGGATGCCGACAGATTTGCAGAGACTGTGCAGAGTGGAGGCATCCTCGGCTACATCGATGCCCTGTCGGGCGGCTCAATCTCAAGGGTCGGCATCTTCTCCCTAGGTGAGAGAATTCATACACATGCACCGCTTGCTTAGGCACCAAGAGCATCTTGGCACCGCTTGTGGAAGTGAATAGAATACTTTGCGCAGGAATTGTACCATACATCAATGCCTCCATCATCCTGCAGCTGCTGGCCACCACCTTCCCATCGCTGAAGAAGCTGCAGCGCGAGGAGGGGCCCCAGGTGCTGATCAAATGCCCCATGCATGCTCACTTATCCAACAGCACTGGATTGGCGCAAGAGTGCAGGGCCGCAGAAGTGACATGTGGGTTGTGTGAGGCAGGGGCGGGCGCGCTTCCAGCTGTACCAGAAGCTGCTGGCGCTGGCAGCGGCAGTGATCCAGGCGGTGGGGCAGCTCACCTACATCCGTCCATTCGTGCCCGAGTGGGACGCCACCTGGCTCGTCGTCAACTCCCTCACGCTTGTCGCCGGCGCCATGGTCCTTGTGCATGTGCGAGCCTGCCTGGTCACCTCATTTGTCCTTGGACTTCAAAGATTCCCTTTTTTCACAGACTGTGCCTCTGCTGAACGGCTTGTGATCTTGGGCAATACCAACAGTGCAGCCGGGGGCTGCCACGTGTTTGCTTGCCTCTTTATTCAAGGCTGTCACAGATGCACGGCTGCAAGGCAGGGATTGAGGTGCTGCCTGCCTGTGCTGTGCCAGGTGGCGGACATGATCACAGAGCTGAAGCTGGGCAATGGGACTTCCATCCTGATCACAGCCAACATTGCGAGCGCGTTGCCGGCCAGCGTGGGTGCGGCCGTGCAGCAGGCGGCTGACAAGGATTCCTCCAGCCTGCCCATCTACGGGCTTGCCTTCTTTCTCACCACCCTCGGCATTGTCTATGTGCAGGAGGTGAGCCGCTCAAGTTCATAATTTGCCAGCTCTTATGTGTTGTCCAGGATTTTCTGTGTGGCAGTGATTGACTTGTTGTGTCTTCAACCGCACAGGCTGAGCGGAAGATCCCCATGAACTATGCCAGTCGCTACCGCAACTCGGCCCTCTCGCAGCAGTCGTACCTGCCCTTCAAGGTGCCTCTCTCCTTTGTATCTTCCAGACATGTTTTCCGCAGCTCCTTGCACCTGGACGAATGACCGCCAAGAACAGGCATCGTGCAGAGCATCCCTTGACATCCCCGGGCGGCTCCTGTGCAGGTGAATGCCACTGGTGTCATGCCGGTCATTTTCTCATCAACGCTGATGTCGCTTCCTACGGGCCTTGCTCGATACGCGCCCTGGCTGGAGCCCGTGGCGGCTGCTCTTGGGCCCACCGGCTTGCTCTACCTGCCAGTACGCCTCTTTGTATATTCTGCCCTTCTCCAGTACCCGCGGACTGCAAATGGATGCGATATTCTAAGGCAATGATGAGACTTGATGCAGCAAGACCAAGAGAGGGCGCTCCAACTCCGGGTGGGTGTGTGCTGCAGATCAACGTGCTGCTGATCGTGCTGTTCAACTACTACTACACCTTCCTGCAACTGGACCCCAAGGACATGTCGGACCAGCTCAAGCGCGCGGGCGCCTCCATCCCGGCCGTGCGCCCGGGCCGCGCTACAGCGGACTACATCACCAAGACCCTCAATCGCATGTCCATCCTCGGCTCCGCATTCCTCGGTGCCCTCGCCGCCGCCCCGCCCCTGGTGGAGAGCGTCACCGGCCTGCAGGTGCCCCCCCTGCCTTCCCTCATTCTCAATCTTGTTGCAGCCGCTGCCTATGATCTGGCCACTAGCTATCGCAAAGAGAGAGGCCTGGCATTTTGCTGATGGGTGAATGTGGGCCCTGCATCTGCCTTGGTAGTCAGGTAGTCCTGGTCCACTGGTAGAATTACTGATCACCTATCAGCAACTGGTACGACTTCAAGAGCAACCGTGCAGAGGGTGTGTATTGCTAGAATGTAAGTCTTGTGCTCAGTCTCACTACAATGGGCTGTGCAGGCGTTCAGGGGTTTTGCCGGTACCAGCATCCTGATTCTGGTGGGTGTGGCCACGGACACAGCGCGGAGGGTCAAAGCAGAGCAGGCCATGCAGCGCTACAAGGACTATGACAACCTGTATGACGACATTTAGACTGACCTTGAGTGCGTTGGGGATTTGCCGCCGGTTGAGTAGCTGGATGCTGGTCGGCACATGCCATGCTGGCTGACTTGGGGAGTGATGAAATAAGCATAACTTAAGCATAACTTAAGCACTTGAAGTGGTGGCAGCTGGACTTCGATTGTTATCTATGAAGTACATGAGGGTCTTGCCGCCATTTCCAATCATACCATCACCGTGACGGCCTCAATGCAACGTGTATGTACATGCTTGCACTGACTCAGCACTGACTCAAGTCGGACTTGAGAACTTGCAGATCAAGCTGACTATAGTACTCCTGATTATGGAATTTTGTGTGAGCGCAATATTACCAAAACCAAATGTTCCGCAACATGGGAACCATTACTGAAGCAGGATGCATGTTAAGATGATGCGAAAATGAGCAAGATATTTCCTTCAAAGGGCTGAATATCACCCCTCAGGAACCTGATGGCAGTTGTGTGCAGGGCACCACGTGGTGCCCGTGCACGTTTGGCAGGCCCCTGCAGGGTATTTTTGGGAGTTCCAGGTTTCTCGAGAGGTTTTGAAATAGAAATTCCGTAGTACACTTCTTTCAAGGAAGTTCTTCGTCATGGCACCTCGGTGACAAACTCTGGGCCTTGGTGACTGTCGTGGCGTGACGACATGAAGGGCAGTGATGAATTTCCCCCACTTTCTCGACCCTCTTCCAGGACAAGATCATCAGCTGGATCTCTGGATCTGCACTTCGTCACAGCTGCAGCTGAGATACCGAAAGCAGAGGTCCCCTCTTAGATTCTATATGCATCCCACGCAGCAGTAAAGGTTTTTTTTGTGCTGCGCCTGTCCGACCATGGGAAACGGGAGTCGCAGCCATCACCTGCTCAAGCACGCCCTGCCCGAGGTGGACGTGAAGGAACATTTCGGCAGCATCGAGCCAAAGGAAATAACTCGCGAGATCAGTCGCCTTGGACAGCGGGACCTGCAGGTGAACCTCTCTCAACGCCTTCGCTGCCAAGAGGAACTTGCGCGCTCCCGTCCTGCGCTGAAGCCCTGAGGATGTTGTCTGTCCGTAAACGCAGGCCAAGTTCCGGGCAGTTTATGGCACGCAGACGTTTTCAAACAACAACATGTGGCTCCGTCGAAAGCTACTGGAAGGTGTGGCGCCTCCTGCTGTTTATTTTGGCCCAACAGCTGAAGATTGTGATCTGGCGCTGCGTTTCGCCCGTGTGTCCAGATTTGGAGATCTTTTGCCATGTTGGATGGAATGCATGTATACCAGTGGGGCTTCCGGCATGGTGTCTTGATGCGATCATCGCCCTGAGGTGTTCAGCAGCTCACAGTCACCGAAGACGCGTTTCACTCCGTCGATCGGTGTGATTTCTGACACGCTGCGCTTGTGCGTCGCTCTGGGCGCTGAAGGTGTACTCTCTGTGCCTGTGCAGCCGCGGGCCTGCAAACGCCGAAGGCGATCGCCAGGGGGCGGCCCTCCACCAAGCAGGCCAGGACCTTGACCTTAGGCGATGCGCTGGATGGCGACAGCAGTCCTACCGTATCGGGCAGTGACAGCTTCGGCTCGCATGATAACAACCTCCGGACGCCATCACCTGTCGCCAGTGTCATCCGGCGCACCAAGAGGTCCGTGGAGGTTGTGTGACAGCATAACCCTTGATTTCACGGAGAGTACATAAGGGCTTGGCGCGAGCGTGAGGCACAGCCATGGAAGTCTACAATCAGGGATGTTCATTGGCATCGTGCATTTTTTATGCCTGTGTGCTTGGTTTCGTTTGCCACTAAATATGGCGAATTGGCCTGATTGCCTGATCGCCCACCATTAACAAACCCTGCGGGAGAATCAACGCTTAACAGACAGTCAGTGGCCTTAGTGAAGCTGGAATGATGCTGTGGACGTCTTCTGACTTTAATCCGGCTGTACTACAGGGCGCGAAAACCTAAGCAGTTCGATGACATGCTGGTCCTGAACCAAGGGCACGGCCAGGCGGTATCTGATGACGAGGAAAGCGGCCACGAGCTCAAGATCCCAGCTTTACCCCCTAGCTTCCACAGGTGAGGGCCCCTGCATTCTCCTCCTGCAGCACTTCCAGAAGATCCCAGCTTGCAGATCAAGGTGCACTGCTCTGTTGATGCAACCACACAGCGAGCAGATGAGAGCGCAGTCAAAATTCGCTGAGTGACGGTGCCTCAGGGCCACCACCTTCATGGAATGTCTCTTGACAGCCACGACCCTGGGTGTTTGCAGGCGGGACTCGATGCACGAATACGTGCTGCTGCCCTGCAACAGCGGCACGCTGGTGGATGACATCATGTGGTGCCCCACGGCCAGCGACAGCTACAGCCCCGGCCACATCATCGGCTGCGCGCCCCTCACCCCCGAGCTGCCACTCACGCGCCTGGAAATGCCGGGCTTTGCCTCCAACGTGTGCAATGTCGCCGCCAGCAAGATTCTGGCCTCTGCGGAGGTGCTCGGCTGCGGCCCGGCCGCTGCCGACGAGGGCAACTTGTCCCTGCCGGTGTGGGCGCGGCTGCCGTCCAACGACCACTCCGCCTCGTGTGACCTGGACGACACCTCCGCGCAGGACTCGCGCTCCAGCGGGTGCCTCGGCTCAAAGCCAATGCTATTCGACCGCATCATGGCCCCCCCCACGCCGCCGCGGCTGCTGGACAGCGCCTCGGCCGCCTCCATCAGCCTGCTGCACGAGAGCCCCTTCGCGGCCACCTTCGGCCTCGGCGTGGTCGGCGCCCCTGGCAGCCAGGTCACCATGCCCTTCACGGGGCCCGACGACTTTGACTGCTTCGCGCCCGCGCCGCCCCAGGCAGCCACCTCTGACGAGGAGGCGGCCGATGTGTTCGAGGGGAGGGCCATGCAGGCGTTTGACATGGCAGACAGCTGCGCTTCTGAGAAGTCGGTGCTGGACCTCATGCTGGACCTCAGCAGCCAGCAGGAGCTGGCCCACGGTGACGACCTCGATCTACCGCCCCTGTCTACCATGTGGGACATGGAACAGGTCTGAGCAGCCCTCCAGCGGTGCTGCTGTCTCGCAACGCCAGCGTTGCCTCAGCGCGTCGTAAAAAACTTGAAATCTATAATGATTTCTGTACCTACTTATTCAGTATCTCACGCGAAGCCCCTATGCGTTTGCTGGCAGCAATACACTATTTATTTGACCTGTTGACGATGTCTTGAGCTGGATAAGTTTGCGTTGCAGCAGTTTCATCTGTGTTTAGCCTGACAAGGATGGAGATCATCTACCGGTGATCCCCGAGAGCAGCCAAGCTGACACTGAGGCAGTCAGATGACTGGATCTGGCCATGTCATCACTGTCTTCAAATGTACAATTCCATTGCAAGATATGGAGTCCTGAGTCCTTGTTATGCCTTCCGGCTGATGATATGTCATTTTGTTAATTTATTTTCGGTCTGGGCATCGACTTCGGACACAGGTGGTAGGATGTGTTTGTGTGTCTTTTACAGAGAGGGGCTCTTGATTTGATTCGCATTAGGAAGGCTCTTGCTACAGGAGGTGTGAAGACATGGCATGTCACTGGACCGGTTCTGGTTCCGCTGCCTGGTGCAATCGGCGTGTTTGTCTCAGTTCATGAAGGTCAATGAAGGTAGTCGATCATCATGTGGGGATTGGTCTGGCACGTGATGCAAAATCTGTGTCAAGACTGCCCCTACATGCGCGCACTGCTGTTTCTCTCTGGGAGACTAGCGAAATTTTGTTACATCTCTGGGTTGATTGTGTTGAACATTCTCGGAGATTACTGTATTCATGCTGCCTGCAACGGCAGTCACTGCACCATGTGGTGCTCAGATGGAGATGACGGGGCCTCAAGCCCTTGAAGTGTGAAGGATCTGTGACTGTTGATGCAGGCCATGCGTACAAGAAGAGCATGCGCTGAAGAGATGCCTTTGATGTACTCTAGAGATGGTGCTTTGCATGCACTGCCAGTGGCTATCCCAGCTATGTGTAAATTGTAAGGCACTTACTCCAGCCAAAAGCTTATCAAGCTCCCCCGTGGGAGAGCACATGAGTTTGCATGAAGGACGTGCAGCCGAGTCAGATGTTCCCTGGTTCAAATTTGCAATTAATCTTGAAGCTTTGATGTCTGCAGTGCATACCAGATTCTCTAAGTGATCTTGAATTCAGCTTCGAAGCTTCCTCTTGAAACCAGCGCTTTGAATTACCAGTAAATTTTAAAATTCCCATCATCCTCAATGTTCCAAGACTTATCCCTTCGTTTGCCAAACTTCCGCACACATTCATGTTGGAAGGAGCACACCCTGGGTGTGCATGCCATTCTGCAACATTTGGGCACAATTGGTCCAGCTAGAAATGGTTGTCTGACGGGCGTTACGGTTACGGTGCCAGAAATGGGTTGTTTTGAAAAACAGCAAGCGAATATTTACACGAGACTCTGCTGCATTTGATATTTGGGCAAGAAAATGGCAGCCTTCAGACGAGACAGCGATGAAGAAGACGTCAAAGAATGCTGTAAGACCTTCACACCCATCGACTCAAGGAGCGTAACAGGAATGGCGAAAACAGGCTGATTGAGTTACTTGCTTGATGCAGCAAACTGCGGAGAGATTGGAGATCTGCTGAAGTGCAGCCGATGCCAAATTGCTTGGTTTTGTTCCGTGAAATGCCAGAAGGTGCGCGATCCGACGGTGCAAAGGACAGTACTGTGTGTCATTTTACACTCGATCAAGATTGCGTACCTATCTGTAAGACTAACACAAACTTTTGCAGGCATACTGGCCTTTTCACAAGGCAAATTGCTACCGAAACGAGTTTGCAGACTTGACGGCAGCCAGCGAACCCAGGTTTGCTCGCTGGATGCGCAAGCACCAGAAGCTGGCTGTTCTCAAAGATGATGAGGTTGATCGTCTGGAACGTGCGTCAGCAGCATGCACAGGACCTTCAAGGCATGAGGTCATGGACTCTATGTACAACAAGCTGGACCCCAGACCCAAAGGTGCAGTGCCTGACCCTGCAGATCTGAGCATTCAACTGCGCAATACTGTACATAGTTGTAGAAAGCTTTTTAGCTCTCTCAAGAGTCTGAAGTATTGCAGGTCCATCTTACTCTTTAGAAGAGCGGCGTGCCATGCATGAAGCTGAAGAAAGCTCCCAGACAGAGGTGCTGACATCCAGCTCACTGAAAAGTTTGCAATGGCTTGCAGCAGCTAGCACATTCTTTGTGTTGGCAATCGCATGCAGCACATCTCATATCTCATATGCAATAAATTGATTGCAGGCAAAGCGGTTGGATGCTGGTGGTAAAAGATGGAGTGAGATCAGTGTGCCATCGGATCTTGGACTGGACTGCGGTCGATACAAATGGTGGCAGAACCAGTCCTATGTGGAGGTCTTCTTCCTGATCCCTGAGAAGGTCACCGCCAAGCAGGTACCCCATCAGAAGTTGGAGCTCTTACCCAAAGACCTCCACAGTGAAGGCTTAAAGTGTCCTTTCTGACAACAAGTGACCGGTCATCAGAAATGGGAATTGCTTGCACAATTGCTTCCCCCATAAAAAGTGTCACTTTTGTGCAGGTTACTGTGCGCATGGCGCCCAGCGATGTTCACGTGCAGCTTGGGGAGCGGCATGTGCTAAAGGGGAGCTGGTATGGAGAGATCAAGCAGGATGAGAGCACCTGGTTCATCCAGGATGGAGTGCTCAGCATGCAGCTGCTGAAGCGCAACCGGCGCGGCAACTACGCCAATGGCAGCAACAATGCAGACACCTTCTGGAAATCAGTGCGCTCTTATAGTACCTAGCATTGCCGCGATCTTGAATTTCCTCCAATCACCCTAGATCAATCACACCTATTAAAAATGGGCAATACTATCACCATGCCAAAAGCAGTTCTTCTGTCAACAATAAGCAGCATGAGGGAATGCCATGGCACTGATTTCATGGCCATTTGCCTGGTGCAGCTTGTCAAGAAGTGCCCAGTCTCCGAGATGATTCAGCTGAAGTACCCTCCGACAAGCTACTACAGCTCCTATCTGGAGCTGGAGCAAACATCTGCACCCAAGAGGCTCACCCAAGGGAGGACACCAACCCACGCAACAAAAGCAAGCTGATAGTGTACAATGTTGAATGCCAGCTGGCTTTATCCAGGCCATTCTTTTCACTTCCTGTCGAGTGAGACAAAGCACCTTTTGCAATGTACAAGGACAAGGACACCTGACAATTTGTTAAGGTGACATGTAGACAGTATCAAGACAATAGAGCCCATCAGAATCATTGCAGTGCTTTGGGCTGTCCGGACAAATGACACTCAGATAGTGAAGCCACGAGCTTCCAAGCAAACGACGACACCTCTCCTCTGTGTCGACATCTCACTCACCCTCGTACAGTGCTTAAATATACAGGCTTAACAGTCAAGAGAGAATAGGCGCCGCCCTCGTTACAGCTCACCAGCGATAGGGACACCTAAAGGGATGTCAGGGTAGGCCAAGCACAGCATGAGCTTGATGACGGCCGCTTCAGGAGTCATCTGAGGCCCAGCTTCCACGCCCATATCCATGGCAGCCTTGCCGCTCTTATACAGCTCCGGGTGCAGGGGCCCTGAGGCACACTGGCTGGACAGGTACACCTGCTCGGCAGACACAGCAAGATAAATTGCCATGTAAATTGGTGCTCACAGTTCTTGCTTTTCCCTTGACGTTTACAGGGATCTTGACGTTTACAGGGATTCACCAGCCAATTGGTCACATGACTTTCCCAGTGAGTGGTAATACGGTAGTCCTGCGGTAATCTTCCTCTTGCGCCCTTTGTATAGAGCAAGCCCCACACATGCATCATGAGCAGGACAGATCCATCATCTTCAGGGGTATGTACACTGCCAGCACCACCGGCTGTTTTCTGGTGGCCTCAGCATTCAGAGCAGGCCTCCCGCATGCAGCATAAGCAGCGCACATTCATCGTTTGTAGAAATGCATGCATACGTAAGGGATGCATGCAATGAAGCTCACCTTGATCCCCTGCTTCACTGTTTTCTTCAGCCACGGGAGCCACCCCAGGCGTGGCAGGTCGGGCATGTTGCCCACCCCAAAGGATTCCAGCACGACCCCCCGAACGTTCCTGGCCTTCAGATCACCGTACCTGACCCAAGCAGCAACCTTCTTGAGTCTCACATGTGGCACTGCACGCTTGTGGTCTCGACATTGTGTACAGGGCCATCAAAGGTGCACAGAACGCCAGTCACAAGAGGCGACAATGCATGTCTTGGTGAGGCCCTCACGCTGTCCTTGGGTCGCAGCCGGGAATGATTGGAACTCGGATGACTCGAGTATCCAGGTTGAAACGCGGCCTATACACTCCCTTTACCTGCATTAAAGGCACATTCATGAATGGTCATATTGCAACCCTGCAAGAGCCAATGGCAGCTCTTCTGAATGGCATTGTAAGGGTGGAGAGGAATGGCACCTTGAGCAGGTAGGACATGTTCCAGTCGACATCTACGCCGAGGGTGGCCAGTGGAGGGTAGTTGATGCTGTCAAATGCCCTGTACGTGCTGCTGTGGACCTGCAAACACCCACACTTTGCATGAATGCCAACAACTAGAGCTATCATACCAGCAATCTCCAGAGAGCTGCTTCTGCTGCTGAGATGGGCAGAGGAGAGAAAAGGGACACGAGGCAATATAAATGGGCAGGTGTATAAGACGGCGCAACGGCCCTAAACGCTGTATCAGCTTGTAAACTGTCCAAAGGCGACACATTTGGCGATTGGATAATTGGGCGGACCTTCTGGGCGCGGTTGCCGCGCATGAGGCGGCCGCCAAAGCAGATGGCAACCTCCTGCAGCTGCGTGTGGGGCGGCGCAAAGAACGAAGTCGCGCACGTCACCGAGTCGATCAGGTTCTGCCGCGCATCGGACCTCGGCATGGACAGCGGCAGCTGAGACCCTGCATGCGCACACGGCCGTTCACAGGCTGTCCCCCACCCGTTTCTTGTGCGCCCTTAATTAGGCAACACACAGAATATGCATTGGCGCCAGACATCATGCAGCAGAAGCGCGCCTGTCATGACGATGGGTTTCTTGAAGCCGGCTAGAAGCAGCGAAAGAGCGCTGGCGGTATATGCCATCGTATCCGTGCCTGCGACGCATCAGAGGCCGCTCAAGCCAATTCTATACTTGGTGCCCCAGCAGCATGAGAGCTCCCATTTCACCCCAGAGCCGGCTTTCAGAGGAAACGTCTTTTTGCAGATGGACCTCCCAAGGCCAGGACAGGGTGTTATTGGCCTCACCGTGCACGATGAGGAATGCGTCGTAGTGGTCGCGATTGCGGTGCAGGATCTTGGCCAGCTTGACCCACTCGGGGGGGCCCACGCGGCAGCTGTCCAGGTTGAAGGGGATCTCCAGGCGCAGGTTGGCGTACGCGCGCAGCTCCGGCACCGCCGACAGCAGATTGTTCAGCATGGCACCTGCCGCGCAGCCCAGCGCCAGACTTAATTATTTCAACCGGTCACACCCAATCAAGATTTTATTATTGCTCCTACGGGCTCCATCTGCCAAAGGCCAGGTGCATCTGCAAAGAGGCGTTCCAGCTGCAGGTCAAGGCTGCCACATATCCTACCCCTTAATGGACTCGCCAGGTCCAAGCAAGATCCAATCAACCGTGAGCATGGTGCTCAGTATGTATACCGCCCCCGGCCAGCGGGGGCAATCAAAAATTACATCCCAGACAGCATCAGAGAAAGGCTGCGCGGCCAGGACTGTGCACAGCAAGGCAGCACTGACCTGGGCGCAGGGCGCCGGCTGGAGAGAAGGAGCCTCCGGTGCCGGGCTTCAGGTGCACGTGGCCATCCACGCCGTCTGGCTCATAGCTTTGCTCTGCATCCATTCCCAGCGTTCCTCCCGTGTGCAGGCACAGCACCCTCGGCAGCGGCCTGCTCACCATCAACAGCGGCACTGCGAGCAGCGAGAGCAGCATGTTTCTCAGCCACTTGAGAGCAGAAGCCTGCATTATGATCAGCGGTAAAGGTTGGCATGCAAGTCCAAGCTTCTTCAAGTATGTGAAGTGCACCTGGCCTTGTGTCTCGCTCCGGCACCGTCCGTGGAGGCCCCGTGCCATTCAAACTGGCAGAGCCCTGCTCTTTATCGCCATTTAGACTAAAAGCCTCCGCACTCTCTGCCAGTGAGGTACCCTCAGCGCTGGTCTGGGTCTTTGGCTGTTTTAGGCCTGCATTCACCTTGCGCCGCGGCTTCCTGTCACCTCCGCTGCCAGGATGTGCAGGCGTCTCGGCATGTGCAGAGCTTGACCTTCGGTCTGACAGCGCCTGTGTCTCTGCATCTTCAGCTCTGCTCATTTCATTGGTGTTTACTGAGCTGCTTCGTTGATTATCTTGTGGATTTTCTCCCATTGAAGTTGTCGATGTGTCTCTGAATGGGGACTCCTTGGCAGGGTTGCCAAACAGTGCTGAAAGACCTGAGCCAACTCCTTCACTGTTGACTTTTGAAGCACGCCTCGATTGACATCTGGACGGGACTCTGCCTGGTCGCAAAGGCCTCACAGATGCTGGTGGTGGCATCAGAAGCCAGTTTACTCCTCCCTATCAACCACAGCTGCAGACTCTGAGATCCGCTTGAGATGCGACGTAACTCACCTTCGACCACTTAGTTCTTGAAGTGAACAAAATTTATATCAGATATTGATCGATGAACGACAGCTACCTGGATCAACAGAGGCTCCATCGTTGTCAACCGATCTTCCTCAGATCTTGACCCAGCTAGCCGAAAATCGAAGCGAAGTCATTAAATGCTTTACTTTGATCAATTGTGTCGCATTGTGAATCATTTGGTATCTCGTGCACTTTATTGATGCAAATTGGGGAGTCCAGAAGGGAAATCTTCTTTCAACGATTCAGAGCTGACCAGCTGCAGCTTCCCAGTCAACACACCTAGCTTCCCATATCTTCTACCCTCCTCCCCTAGGCCCTTTCTTCCTTCCCCAAGGCCTTTCTCTCCTAGTAACTTCATCTACATTCAGTTCATTGAAGTCAAGACTGATTGTTGCACTGTACACAAGTCATCCAAAATTGTCCTCGCTTGAGGAGTTGCTGGCACGTGTGCACACCACGTGCCGCACGTGGCTGCCACGGTATTCAAGAACCGTTGATTCTAAGCTCTAAAGTCAGAAGAAAGTTTTGGGAAGGCAATGTAGCATTGTATCAACCCAGCAAGTTCCACATCCCATAAGGTGCTTAATGTGGCCACGGAGCTGGCCTCAACATTAGAATGCTGCATCCAGCTGCATGCTATTCAAATTGACAAAATGCTAGTACACCCCGTGTGGGCCTCAATGTGTTTTTGCTCTCACTGCACTTGGTCTCGACCTGCAAACATAGTGAAAGTGGGCCATCAGGACATCTGCAAGAATTTGATGGCCACAAACTTTCCTTGAAGCTCTTCCATGCAATATGAAGCGAGTCCTTAAATCTCACCTGTCTGCTACTGCTATGGCTTTGCTGATCTGCCATGCCGATATTGCTACCACTGCTGCTGGTATGACAATCCAAATGGAGTTCACGATGACAAAGTAGAACCAGAAATAAAGCCATTCTGGCCTGGAATGCTTCAATCCTGCAGAGTTGCACAGCACATCTCATACTGTCCCCTTGTGAGAAAGCTGGCGAGATCCAAACAATTCTTCAGAAGGGACACAGCAGAACACACCTTCCAAATAGGTTGTAGCAAAGTAGAGCACATCGCCGTAAATCTGGCCAAAAGACACGAGCAGTTGCAAGGTGTAGCGCCACGGCTTCTGCTTGACAATGCCATACACAATGACAAAGCACAGCGGCCCCTCCACGAAGGCAGTGAAGGCTTCCATGGATATCACAAAGCTGTCACGTGTCGCATACCGAGAGTCTGCCTTTGCATACTCCTTCCCTGCAGGGCAACGGGGTCCAATTAGATTCATCTAGCAAGGTTGCCAGTCAGTCACCACCCTCCACAGGTGTCAGCATAATTGGGGCGATGTGAGGACAGCTAAAAGGGGGGCGAACATATTTCGAAGAGAATGTTTCCGCTGGTGCTCTTGTAGAAGTCTGACCGGAGCACAACAGCACCTGTGCAGCAGCATGCAGGCAGTCAAAAACGTTGAGATTGGGCAAGCCGGCGTGTGAGTCTGCCGGTGCGCCAGTGACAAAAGTGAGAAACTCTAGCAAGGTTGTGAGTCTCAACACACAAGAGAGATTGGTAGCGCTCTCTACTGACCTTCGACAACAAGATGTATGATCCCCGTCAGCACAAACCAGGTGAGCACCAACCGTTCTCCAATAGTGAGGTGCTTGCCTTTCCCTACAGCAATCCAAGACTGTCAGGTGGGGCGTGCAGCTTCAAGAGGCCATCATCCAGGAGACCTCCTCATTGGGCTTTGGTGATACGTCAGCACACCAGCGATGTTCAACAACGAGTTTCTGGTCTTCATAAAACCTGATAAAGCCCAGACAACAATGAGCAGCAGTCCAGCTGTTCCAAAGAAGGCTCCCAATATCTGATCGAATGGGATGACCAGCGGTTGGTATTCTGGCAAATTCAGATCGAGTGGATAGTAGGGGTGCGAGTTTGACAGGACGCCTGGCTCCTTAAAGAGCCTTTTAGCTGACTCAGAAAGAAAGTGGGAGATTGACATTTTTGAAGAAGATTAGTGTTGTGCAACTATCTGAAACGGTACAGGAACACAACAACGTCAGGATCCTAATGTTCTAAAGCAAGACGGAAACTCTTCATGATGTCAAGAACGAACACGAGACGTTCTCGGGGCGACAGGAAAGGTGATCCCTGCTGCGCACGTGCGTGCATGTGCCATCGGTGTTGTTCTTTGGCCTGTTGCGCCTGTTGAAAACTGTGGGATCGGCAATCCTCTATGATGCTTGATTCAGATACAATTTCATATCGTCCAGGTCATTGCAGAGATTGGCACGTCTCTCAGCCATCGCTGTTTGACACATCAAGAGTGGCCCCTCCTGCAGATTACTATTGATCTAAACAACATATACCTCGAACGTGACAATCACTCTTGAACTCATGGTTTGAAGGGGCAAGTGCTGAGCCGCTCTCCTCTCAGACAAACTTTCAAAGCACTCTGTGGGGAAGACGCATGAGAGACATAGTATTAAAACTAGGCCATCAAAGCCAATGCTTTCGTGTCCTCCTATACCATAAACTTCGACATGAGCTCCATATGATCCCATCACAAGGTTTCGGGGACGAGGTATGTCTTCTCTGCCCAGATATTCCAATGCCCAGAAGGTGAAGCTGGTCTCTCTGCTCTCACTCAGCACCTGCTGAAGGGGTATGCAAATACGTCCAGGCAGTGGAGCTGGGCCCGCATACCAATAAGTCTGGACCCGGACTCGTCCTCCTTAAGGGTGTTACTGCCAGTCCTGACATCCTTCTGCAATGGCTGGACACTCCGCACATGCGAGGGTGAGTCTCTGCTGGTTTGCACATGTTTCTACACAGCTGCACTACATGACGTGGTGCTTTGGCGCTTCAGAGTGAGATGGTGAGCTGAACATGCAGGATGTGCACAAGGATGTACTCGCTTCATAAAGTTGTCGAGCCAGCCCATACAGAGGTCCGCCACGATCTGCAGATGTTGCGATGGTGATTGTGCACTTACTCTCTGTCTGTGCTGTCAAATTTGACTCAACTTTAGATGCTGGAATTGCTTGTGTCAGGAAGATTTGTTGAGAGCCCTGCTGGCGATTCCTGTACCCGTGGAGCCAGTTCGTTTGCAGTGCCATCCCCGAACCCTCGAGGATTTTCTGCAGGTAGTGTGCTTGCGATTGGGTTGTGATGTTCTGCTGCTCTATTGAGCGCACCTATTGAGTTTAAACTCTTTACAGAAACACCAAATGGACTCTTCCAGCTTCTGAATGCTTTAACCTCACTTGTGCTGGCAGGACAGCCTGCTTGATTGGGAATTTCATCCACGAGACTTCGGGAGCGTACTCCATTGCGTGGAAATTGATGGGGCCTATCACTTTGGGTTGAATGCCAAGCAGGATGCTTTCCTGTACGCACCCCCAAGGGAGGCTGTAGACAGGCAGTTGATCTGCTGCAGAGCTGAGAAGAAGCTGGAAGAGGTCTTCACAGCCCTTGGCATGCTAGACCAACGATTTGGGCTTGCCATAGATATAGGTGAGCTCGCTTTTTTGTGTGAGCAGACACCAGTCTCAATGATTCTGTGGACAGAGGCGAATAGGATTTGCGCTTGTCTGATATTTGCTTGCTGGCTGTCAGGTGCTTCGCCGGGAGGCTGGACAACTTGGCTGTCCAGGCGGTGTTCTCGTGTGCTAGCTGTAGATCCTGCTGAGATGAGCGCGTCAGCACTGCAAGAGAATGTCACCCACATCAGGAGTAAGGCAGCAGAGGCGCTGTCAGAGATAGCTGGCTTTGGACCTGCTGACCTCCTGTGCTGTGACATGAACCATCACCTATGCGACACACTCCCTGTGGTTCAGTCTGCATTTCCATTTGTGCGGAGAGGGGGACTCATTGTTGTCACCCTCAAATTTTTTGGGATAGGCAGGGATCGAAGTAAGTGGATCGAGAAGATCAAGTCTGACTTCAGAGAACAAGCCGAGGTTCTCCAGGTCATCTGGTTACACGCCAATACTGTCAATGAACAGACGCTCATTGCTAAGAGGTTGTAAATACAGTTTTACAAACATTTCCTGTCTGTAGGTCTGCCCTGACCCTCATCCCACCACAATTCTATGCATGTATGCAAGGTGGTCACGATTGAATGACGGTCATTAATTGCTCCTGGGCCGCAGGATCATTGTGTTGCTATTACATGATGTAGACTTTCGAGGCAGCCCTTCCACATATCCGATGAGTCTCTGGCGCTTGCTCTGCATTGATGTCTGCATGTCTCTTTCTCTAAAACTGGCAAAACTGCAGTATCCTTGATGAAAATGTACGTATTGATCAAGACTAGCAGCGAATACAAATCGATCCCCTCAACACTTACATCAGTGCTTGCGTCAGAAAATCCACCATGTCAGATAATTCCGTGGGATTGATGCTGTGATGGAGCCCCTTGTAGGTCTTCATCTGTACATTTGATCCTGCCACCTTAAGAATTTCAAAGCTCTGCACTCCGAACCTGTACTTCACTGTAGGGTCTGCGTCTCCGTGCAGCATCAGCACTGGAGTAGTCAGATTCTCCTCTGAAATGACACTTTCAGTCCGGAGGGGAAGATAAGCACTCAGCGATAGGACCCCAGCAAGCTGATACCTGCATCGAAGGGCCAATAGTGCTGTAGCTCCCCCTGAAGACATGCAGCCGGCGTCGATCAACAGCCTCACCCCAATCTAGCAAGCGAGCAGAATTGATGTCAACATGCAAAGAGTCATGCTGACCTTGAGAGAATCCAGCCACCAAAATCTTCGAGTGAGGAATGCCAGCAGAAACTTCAGCTGCAATGAGCTCTTCCACAAAGCTGACACACACACTTCCCAGTCAAGCCTCCAGACATCTGAGGTACTTGCCTTTGGTAATCCATGGCAATCAAGGTAGAGGGTAGATCAATGCATGCAGGATGCCCTGAGCGCATACCTCAAGCTCTCCCTCAGACCCTGCTCATCTTCCTCCTCATTGATGGCGTCGAGACTCGTCAGGTCGTACCAGCCATTCATCCTCATCCCCATGTTGAGTGTGATGGATCTCTATGACAACAGTACAGAGCTCTTGCAGTTCATGCTTTGCCAAGTGAACTGTCACGGTGAAGTAAGTACCAAGAACACAATGTCTCTACCTGAGGAGCAGTTGGGAAGACGAGTTTTGTATCTGGCAATCTTGGAGCCATCTCAAATTCACCCACATCGGCCCAGCCCTCCCCACTGTCTCCCTATGGGAAGCAGACCACGAGGGAGGTTCCAGAATGATCGTGCCAGGGTGTGAACACAAGGGCGCTTATAAAGCTCTTGAGATTCAAATGTTCGTGTTCAAGCAATAGTAAAGGAAAGCAAGCACTAGAAGTAGCAGTGCTTCCTCTCATGGTACTAAGATGGCAAGATGTGCAGACGCACCAGGCCATGCAGAAAGATCACAGATGAAGAGTGCTTCCCGGAGCGGGGCGGGAACACGATAGGGGTAGGATAAGACAAAGTCATGCCTTTTGGTATGCTATTGAGTGCAGTACAACGGACCGATGTGAATTTTCTTGGTAGCAGACTGTGCGTGACAGATAGGAACATAAGCACGCGTAGGAACGGCGGAGAGCCCTTGGACAGTTTCATGCGTAGATCCAGACCATGATGACGTTTGAAGCGGAGATCATGCGCCAAGAACGACACAAGAGAGACTTGAGATCCTAGGGTTTATAGATTCAATGCACTTGCTGTCAGGGTTTGACAGCTGACGTCACCATCATCAAAGACTCAAACGTTCGCCCCAAGCGAACAGATTCAAGCCTCCACTTTGACCGACGTTATGGTTGACAAGCTTGCTCCGTCTGATAGGCACAAATTTACACACGAAGGCAGGACGATATATGAGTGGGACCAGAGCCTAAGCGAAGTAAACATTTACATCGAGGTGCCTTCAGGAGTGAAGGCAAAGCAGCTTTTCGTCGAAATCTCAAGCACACACGTCAGCCTTGGAATACGACCAAATCCTCCGTACTTGGATGTGAGCATTCGCTGCTGATGATAATATTGATGATGTGAACGTTGGCAAGGCTTAAGCTCCTGTCGTCTCTACTGCTCAGTTTGAATGTCCAAGTGTACAACGAAATACCAAAATGTTGCTGCATCGACATCGCAAGTGTTCACGGCACACAGCGCGCGATGGTGCCCCAAGGGTTTCCATCAACATCCTAATGCTTCTATTCCTGTTTTTCAGAGGGATCTGTCCGAGCGCATTAAGGCGGGAGAATCATTCTGGACGTTAGGTGAGTTTTGGTGGGTCCTAGCAATACCGGGATCCTATTGAAGGACATTTTCCACAAACAAACAAACACCACCTCAGATACTTAACTCCTCTCTAATTTTGCAGAAGACGGCGTTCTGCATCTGCAGCTTTGCAAAGCGGATAAGGTGGGAGAAGTACCTCTTTATGCACATTGCTTACTGCATTGCTTACTTCAGCCACACAGCAAGCTGATGTCCAAGCATTGAACAGGGACAGCCTTGGAAGTCGGCGCTTGCTGGCCACGAAATCAACCCCGCGCAGGCAGAAAACGAGAAGCAACGCCTGCTGCTGGAGCGCTTCCAGGAGGAGGTGACTGTGGTGCATTTGGCCGCCCAGATTCAGTCGGTGTCAGTGTTGCTTGAAAATACCTGCAAGTTGTTCTGAGCAAATGTTCTCTGTCATGCTGTGCAGCACCCTGGTTTTGATTTCTCTGGAGCAAAGTTTAATGGCGAGGCCCCGAATCCACGCCTCTTCATGGGAGGGATGAATTCGAGCTGAGGCAATATTAGGTGGCACATTAAAGGAGCAGATAGGGACGAGCTCTGTAGAACTGCCATCTGGTGCCCCGCCTGGGGCGCAGGCATTCGTCCAGGCATGCAGCGCTTGCAACTAAAAATAGGAATAAGTCACCGGCAGGTCAGATTATCAAGGGCATCTAGTCTTGGATTGAGAAGCAGCATTCATGGTCAGCTGCGTCACCTGGTTGGGAAGCCTCTGGGCAAGAGGGCTGTGCAGCAGCAGCCCAGGAGAGCAGTGTCAGCAGTTGCCACTGCAGAGGCAATCAGAGCACCAGCACCAGAAGTATCCAGACTTGATGGCAAGCTGAAGATCATAGGTGTGATCATGACCCACATCGCCTGAGGACCTCTGTCAAAAGCCTCTTCAATGGTGCACTAGCCGGCTTTGTATTCTGCCTGAAGTAAGACTCCCCTGACAATGTTGGGGCGTGGACCAGGTCTGGGCGCAAGAGGCATTAGTGCCATCAAGCAGCTGCTGAGGCACGGGGGAGTTGGGGGCCATGAGGTCTGGTGCATTGATGCGGATCGCACATCCATGGACATGCCCACAGCCAACATCCACATACTGGAAACAGATGGGGTGGGACCTTGCCAACTCTTATCTTGCATGTCCCAGCAAGTGTTCTGTACTGTTACAGCAAGCTTGCTGTTTTAGAGGGCTGACCTCCAGAATCCCTGCAGCTACTCTCTGCAGTCTCTGTAATGAGAAGTGGATGCCTCTGGATACCTGGTTCGGCTACAATGAGCTGTGTATGCGCGCGTGCCTTGCAGAGTGGAAAGCCCAAGGCAGTGCTGAGTAACGATGTTCTGAGGCGCATCGTTGGAGAGGGTGCGCGAGACCGCGGAGGCAAGGGGAATGCCAATGTGGGCGATGGAGGGGTCGCCTTTGTGCTCACCTCTGCCAGCGCTGCTCCAGGCAGCACAGACCTTGTGCGCGCTTGCCACATGCTCCTCTCACCTTCACCACTCAGATCTGGCACTTTATGGAAAATCCTTGAGGAGCAGCTTATTTCTGCAACATTGGGAAAACTCATGTTGGCGACTTGTGGGTGCTGACAAGAAACTGCTGGCTGAGACACAGCGTGCAAAGCAGGTGCTGCAACTGGTGGGGGAGCTGCGAGCAGCCGGCATATTCACGGTTGCAGCCGTCACCAGGCCCTTCAATTTCGAGGGACCCCGCAAGATCGAGGCGGCCGACCGCCTCATAGGCTCCCTGAAGCCATGCGCGCACCTCGTCGCAGTCATAGAACAGGCGAGCTTGAACTTCTAACTGCATCCTCGGCTATCAATTGCGTTCCGCAAAGTCAGGTTTCTATCTGCTAAGGATAGTAGTCCCTGGCGGGGCTCTCCTTTTGTCCACTCCCTTTGGCCTTGAAGCACCCAGCAGGAGAGGGCTTGCATATCGGAACAACCCTGGATTACTGAGAGGAAAACTCGTGAATGTTTACATGGCCAGGCCTGTGAGGTTTGAGATTGGCCCCAGGAGCTTCAAAACATTAGCACCGATTGAGAGGGTTGGTGGCATGTGTCTACAGGAAGTGTTGGCGGGGGTGCGCACGGGGGCGGCTGGGTCGCCGATGACGATGGCGGACGCGACGCGGTTTGCGGACAATGCTCTGGAGCACATGGTGCGCACGCTGGGGGCCGCGCTGGCAGCGCCGCAGATCCTGGAGTCCACGCAGGGCGCCCTGCGCTGGGACGGCCTTCAGTACGAGCGCCGCTACCGCCGCCTGCTCTCCCCGCCCCTGCACCGCCTGCTCACCCAGCCAGGTGGGAGCTTCTAGCCATTAATAACTCCGAACTGGGATGGCTTCCAGCCAAGAATACCTCCTCAAAAAAGGCTGGCTCCCAACTGTTGTGCTGAGCTTGAAGGCGTAGGATCACAGTCAAGAGGATCCCACTCCATGCGCTGCCCTGACTCCTGCCTCTGGCTGCTCATCTTGGTCAGTGAAGAGGTCAGCTGTGGGAGTGCCTGCAAGGGAAATTCCAACAAGCGGGGATTGGGGCTGATGTGCTTTGTGATTGCATGCCGTGATCTCATTCTACTGGCGCGCAGGCATAGCAGCGCTTGGGCGTGGGGGTGCGGCGATGCCGGCGCACAGCGCAGGGAGCATGGGGCCAAAGGAGTCCCTGATGCAGCTGGCCTCGGAGGCCGTGCGCGTGGCCGCCCAGTCACCCTTCCTCGAGAACGCCGTCGGCCGCGCGCGCGCCGTCCTCTGCTGCCTCTACCTGCCCCCTGTTGTGCAGCGCGCTGCAGGTCAGCTTGGCATCTCATGTGGCCTCTCTCTATGCTCCCACATGTCACTATATCCTGGCCTGTGTTGTCAGGGCAAGCTTGCATGTGCTGTTCATGTGGTCAGGCGAGCCATTATCACAACAGCTGTGTCACCACTTGCAGGGGAGGCAAGTGGGAGCAGCAACGCTACCGAGGCGCACGCTGCACGCATGGCGGTGCAGGCGGCGGCTGGAGCGCTGTCGCTGGCGTGCCCGTGCGATAACATCGTCATGTGTGCGGTACCCGCCGGCGCCGTGGGCACCTCTCAGGTCCACACCCCATCCTGCATCCTGCATCCTTCCTCTTTTCTTAGTGAACCGGTCTATGATGTACTGCTGGCTCGTGCAGACCACCCTGATTGTGAGGCAGCGAGTGCGCTAATGCAGGATGGCAGCCCATCTGGGACCGTGGAGGTGCAGGCGTCACTGCTGGTCCTGCACGACCCCAATGCACCCAGCATCCCCTTGCCAATGCAGACCGCTCCAGCCGCCTCTGCTCCCCGCAGGCCGCCCGCTCGCATGCCCCCGCGCGACCACAAACTGCCAGCCAGCACCTGGACAGCCATGTCCGCCCTCGCAGGTGCCTCCTCGACCTGCCATCTTCCCAGCTGCCAGCTTTTGGCGAGTCTATGTTGCTCAGTCCCGGAGCTGTCAAAACAGAGGCGGTCTTTGAGGCATCCATTGAGCACGGCGGAACTGAGCTTGCCGTTGTGCAGGTGGAACGGTGAGGAGTGTGCCGCCACCGCAGCCTCGCCAGGCGAGCAAAGGGAAGGGGCAGCAGAGGCGTGAGAGCGCGCCCGTCCCCGCGCAGCAGCAGCAGCCGGCAGAGGAGAGCGCTCAGGGGGAGCGCGTCACTGTCGGCGACTTCCTGGTTGACTCCCTGACCGCGCAGTCTCTGGACCTGCCACCGCAGGCCGCCAAGGTGACCCATTTGGCATCCGCTATCTGCAACTTGGGCAGCCGTTCTCCCTGATTGCATCCTAAGGCAGACATTGCTTTTGTGAGTCATTCTTTTCAACTACTCAGTATGTGACGCTAGCAAGCTGGAGGATTGCAAGCTGTGAGTGACGATGCCCTGGACTGCTTAGCGTCCTCATAGAGACTTGCCCTAGGCAGACATGTGACGGGTGCGTGACGTTTAAGCTGTGCCGGGGCAGTGGCGGCAGCAGCAGCGGATCGCGGCGGGCGGGGAGCGGCCGCGGGTGATCATCCGGGAGGCGGGAGCGGCCGGCGCGCTGGGTGCCGAGGAGGGCGCGCCGGAGGGGGGACCCCTGGATGCGGCGCTACGCAGCCTGCTGCGCATGCCGGCCGAGCGGGCGATGGATGCGCGCGAGCGAACCTCCGGCATCCTCGAGCGCGACCGCGGCGAGCTCTGGGACGCCCCTGACTGACCGATCCGCTCTCGGGAGCGGAGCCATAAGTCTTCGAGCCCGAAGTGTCGGAGCCAGAATTTGTGCGCGTGCTGCGCAGGCCACAGCCTAAGGCGGACAGATCGAGGCATGCATGTGATGGCTTGGACAGCTGGTGAACCCACAGCATTGCCATCACCCATTCCCTGCCAGCAATACAGGGGTGTCCCTTGCAAGCATCACAAATTCCCAATGTGGGTTCAAATACTGCCTCTGCCAAGCTTGGGCGATAGGTCTGGGGAGTGATGCATGCTTGGAGTGAATATGCACAGAATTGTGACGTCTTCCAATTCTTTGGTCTCACACATACCTTAAGAGATAGGATGGGTGCTTACTGTGTATTATATTTTTGCCGAGAAGATCCCTCCGCCAAAATTGCCAAAAGCACAATCGGAATTTTCCTGCAAATATGCGTTGTAATGTTCTTTATTGTCTAAGGAGATAGCTCAGTGAAGATCGTACCCAAAGAAATCTTTCAAGACATGTGCAAATCCATGATGCATGTCTATCTACCATTTGGCAGCGTCACATTTGTCTTGTGAGCTGCCCGGGTCGTATTTCTTGATAGTTCCCATTCCAGCTTGAAAGTTGCCCGATCTTGGCCAAACAAAAAGTATTACAAGTCAAACGCAGTCACACAAGGTAACACATGCATGCAGGTGATCACTCCACAATTACAAAGAAGTAGTGCCAAAATTTGCAAAAGAGACCCTTCTCAAGAACCACACGACAGTCTCTTGTTCTTGATCGCACTGTCATATCCACATATCTTCTGTTACATCCCAGAATCCGAGCCTGAAACACTGCCGTGCCCAGCTGCCTTGTTGAACAGCATGAAATGTCTTGTGAGTGGGCTGACAGTTTCAACTATGCAGCAGCGGCAAGGATGTTTCCGTACAGGCCCGTGAACGTGCTGCCCGGGAAGATTTGTGAGAGGCCGTCCTGGATGCTCTCACTGCCGTAGACGGCCGCAGGCAGGCCCGCAGGCGGAGCTGGGAGCGCGGTGAGGCCACCAAACTGACCCAAGGAGGTGCCTGTGGGCAGCTGCAGCACCAGAGAGCCCGGCGGTGCGCCGGCAACTTGCATCCAGCCGGCAAACGGCGACTGGGCCATGTTGGCCAGCATGGCGGGCAGGGAGGTGATCGTGGAGTCGATGGCCGCGCTGTTTTGCAGCAGGCTGCTGTTGGCTGGCACGATGGCGGTCAAGCCAGCGCTGACAGGGAGCACAGAGTAGCCGGAAGGCACAGCCGGCAAGTCAGAGTTTGCGGGCAGCTGCGTGAAGTTGTACCCGGCGAGAGCGGCAGGCGCGGTGAAGCTGGCCGGCACTGCGGTTCCGGCGTTTGGCCCAAAGGGGCCGCCGAATGGGAAGTCTGAGGGGAAGGCCAGGATGGTGGCATCTGGCAGGGGCGCAGCACTGGGCGCCGGTGCTGGCACGGGGGCACTCGCTGCCATGGCGGTCGGGTAAATGATAGTGACGCCTGCGTGTCAGAAGATTTGCCTCAAGCCATCGAAGCTCGGATATATTAAGTAGGCAAACTTGCTTTCTTGCCGTGCGGTTTGATGGAGTAAGCCATGTGTGGGACTAAAGTGCATCCCTGTTCAATTTCACAGAAGTCCAGTATGAGCAGAAGGCAGGGGATATTGTACCTTGGGTGGGGGTGATGGAAGACAAGCCGCTGGGCAGTGAGGGGATCTGGGCGCCTGAAGATGTCAGGATGTAGTTGTAGCTGCTCAGAGCGGCCGGCACCTGGAAGGAAGCAGGGATGGGGCTGGAAGTTGGCATCCCTGGAATGACCGCATCGGCCGGCAGCAGAATGATCTGCAGCCCCTGCGGCACGGTGGGGAGACTGGAGAGGTCCGCGGAGGACAGCATCTGCTGGATGCTCTGCGGCGCTGCGGCGGCGCTGCCGGCAGCGACCGGTGCTGGGGCCGGCGACTGAGGGTTGCGGCTGGTCAGGAAGCGCTCGTCGCCGCTCGCCAGGACCACCAGCACGCCGGGCGCCATCTGCAGAAAGCTGCACAGAACAGGTCCAAGTTATTATGTCTTGTTGGCGTAAGTGCCTGACTGAAGCAGCTTGCCTGTAGCCCAGCAAGAATCCAATGCTTCCTGGCTCAGTTGGATGCAGGCCTGCAAAGTCATGATGACTTCAATTGCATTGTTCCACCTTGAATTGATTTGGTGAAAAGGGACGATAAGTACCTGAAGCCGGATTGTAGGGCAGGAATGGCGGCTCCGGCTCCCGCGTCGAGGCCCGTGAACGTGTAATTTGGCAGGTTTGAGGGCGCGGTGAAGCTGGCAGGCGCGGTAGTGATGCTGGAGATGATGTCAGTGGTGCTGTAGGTGCTTGGATACCCGATAACGGTGGTTGCAAATGCCAGGCTGTCACTGCTTTCAGGGGCGGACTTCATGATGGCCAGGAGGTTGCCCTCCAGCGAGGTGTAGCGCAGCGGCGACGGCAGCTTGGGCAGCAGCGGCTGGGCGCTGAATGCGTGCAGGCTGTAGCCCGGCAGGATGCCCTTGAACTTCGTCTTGAGGACCTCCAGCTGCGCAAGGGAGGCCAGCTCCCTGGGCAGAGCGGTGGCTGAAGGAAAGCTGGGTGGCAGGAGCAGCAGCACACTTCCCGGCTGCAGAGTTGCGCCTGAGGCCAGCGTTGGAGCTGCTGTCAGCAAGGTGGGCTGCAGGCTTGGAGCGCCCTCTCCGATGATGGGGGCGAAGCCCATGGGCATGGGGCCTGGTGCTGGTGCTGGCACTGGGGCCCAGCTGGTTGCCACCGGGCAAGAGCAGTTGCACTGCGTGGCAAAGAGGGAATGCCTCACATTGAGGTGACGGTTTGCAAAAGTGCTTTGGCGACAGGGACAATGATCTGTTGCTGAATGGGTCAAGGATGAGGTTAGCGTTCACCTGCTGGAGGCTGGCATAAGTGACAGGTGCCCCGCAATTTGCGGCTGTGGCGAGAACAGGGGCGGGCGCTGGGGCGGCTGTTCCTTCGGGGCATGAGCAGGTACACTGCAGGCACAGTGAGTGGTTCTTCGAATGCAAAACCCAGGCCTTCAAGCATGTTTCTTTTATCTGAAGCACTTAGACATGCTGCTGTGTCATTTGATAGCAGCATTTCAAGCCTTGAAGGTAGGCAACATGCATTTGGTGAAGGCCCATGCAGTACCTGGCTCAGCGCTGCAAACGAGGTCGGCGCCATCGCCATCTGACCGCAGTCGTCCAAGGGAGAGCGTGAGCCGGAGAGATCCTGCTTACACCAGGAGATCAATAAGCTGTCAACTGCCAAGTCCGCAATCCAAGGCAGTGGATCCCTATTGCTTGCTACGCGCGTCGCTCTTCGAAACGAGCATTCACCTGTGCCGAAGAAAACGAGATGGCGGACGCCACCAGCAAGATTGACCACATTCTTCGGATCATCTCAGGGGACCCTGCGTAGACAAGAGCTTGTCTATTAGCAGCAGTCGCGAGTTTCGAGGCACGAGGAGGCGACATCTTCGGCTATTTGCAAGCCAAAAAACATCAGCGGTGATTGCAATGGACAACGCAATTTGAAATATGATATGATGTGAAGCACCGCGTACTGTTTTGTCACAGATCTGGTGTCCGAGTGTTAGCACCAGTGAAGTCCGAGGATGTTACGCGCTTGTGAGCTTCTGTGATTTGAATCTGCAACGCTTCTGGTAAATTTTCAGTCTCGCTTACAATGCAAATCAGTACACAAATCTCAGCCGTTGCGATGCCTTGCAGTCTCTGTCTCTGCATATCTTGCGAAAAGCGAGATTTTCGAGGTGAGGCACTTGTACAATTATAGCGTGCGCACGCTTCCCTGTAACTCCCCTGCATTTTCTGACTTCTGGGTAGGTGCCCTGAATTTCACTTCTAGTTTTTCAAGTCTTCAATGGAGCTACAATAGTGTACAATCAAATGGCACACTCAGGTAGCGATTCAGACTCAATTCCTCTGATCACTTCTGCAGTGAAGCCGTCGGCCACACAATATCCCATTACCAATGCATGCGTTGGTCTCGCCCATTTTCTTCGTCCCTGACAGCTGTACTAGGACCTTCATAGAAATCACGCGCAACAAACGAGAAAGCTACTGGTGCCAGCAAGCCACGATCATTAATATCATCGCTTTCGTTCTTGCTTCCACTTGTAGACTGGTGCCTGTGAGTTGTCATCTCCCGTCCCTTCCAGCTTTCGTTTCCTGCCTTTGCCCTACAGGAATGGCAAGAGACCATGGATCAGCTGCATGAATGCCTCTGAATCCTTCAATACAGTGATCCTTGCAAGCACACACCTAATGGCAATCACACTTTGTTCAGGTTTTGCAGTGTAAGGGCTGCACCATCACAGCTTTTTCCGAGGCCATCTTCTCCAAGACAGTCCCTAGCATGCCACGCCGCTCCTCCCGCTGCAACAGCTGCTTGTACGAGCCAGCTCGCCTCCTGCCCAGCCACCAGAAGTTCAATAAACCATTGTATTGTTGCTACATGACGTGCACATGCGATGCAGCCCTTTCTCCTAACTTCTGGCGCTCGCTTTGCCTTGATGTCTGCATCCTTCTTTCTCTGATGGACCATGCACATGCAACCAGACGCATGAGAATGGTGCAGCATTCCTATTGGCAACCATAGACACATTTGCAATGCCCACCTTTCCAATTTGCGAGTGTCAGCTGCCTTCTCTGCCAAGCCGCTGATGGCGGCAGCTTCGTTGAGCTGAGACCGCCTCGGCCTGTTGTATGTTCGGCCAAGCAGCTCTGCAGGAGTGTCGAAGCAATCCTGGGGAGAGAAAGAGGCAGCCTCTTCCTCATCCACAAACAGCGTGTGGCTGTTCCGCACCGGTGCTCCTATGAAATGGAGCGAATTGCGCAGCCGCTCCGCTTTCTGTCAAGCAGAAACTAAAACCGCTTGGCTGGATTGCCAGGAAGAGCATAAAACCTTTGAGTCAAAACGCAAAAGCAAGCATGTGAATGAATAGCTAGGACCGGGTCCAGCATGAGCATCAGAGCATCATTGCTGCTCAGAAACACACCTTTGCTTCTGACTGCCTCTTCAGTTCCAGGTACCCGATGTCCTGCCCCTTCATGAGCTGCAGCTGCTCCTGAGAATACTTGTTGGCTTGGGTCGAGCTGCGGCAGATGTGAGTAAGGGTTACTTTACTTCAAGGCCCTTCCTCTCTTCATCATCTTCTGAAAATGGCAACGGCAAGGATGGTGGGGCCTGGCCACTGTGCAGCGCACCTCTTCAGGTGCACTCCACCTTTTGTGCGCGTGTGTTCCATGGCAAAGTAGAACTCATCGGGATTCCGCTCCTCTGCCTTGCGTCGCAGATTTAGCAGAGCTTTCTCCTTCCGGTGGAAATCATCTGCACGAGCCTTGTAGTCCTTCTTTCTCTCAAGGAGGCCAAATTTACTGCGGCTTTGCCTGCAATCACCATCGGCACCTGTTTCGTGTCTTCCATTTGAAGATTAAAATATGGAGGAGATGCACGATCCAATAAAATTTGGAATGGTCTCCTGGAGGTGAAGCAAGGAACTTACGGTTGCGGCCTCTCTTTGTGAGTTTTTCGCTTTATTGCATTTCGGAGTGACGACATGCTGAAATATTTGCACCAATTGCCTCTTTAAGTGCTACGTTCTATGGGATTCTTTGAAAAGTTGCTACTCCTCTGGCCTACTTCCTAGATCGTGCGACTGTTTTGTCACCTATTCCAAAAATGCTGTATCGTCACAGGCCTTCGATGCGAGCGTCTGGGAAATATACAGAAATTAATGGAACACGATCACGAAGGATCCATGCCAAGTGCTTGAGAAGCTTGAGCAGTAGGCCAGTTGCAGGGTTTCTTAGGGTTCTCCGATCTCTGACGGCTCAACCCTGAGGCTTATCTCAGGACAGCGAAGAACGAATGCATCGCATCTACATTTCATCTTTGCAGCTGCAATGTTAAAAAGCGCTGACATGCGTGTCGAGATATTTTGACAATCGGCCTTTGAATATGTTGACGATGTAGACAAAGTTAAGATATTGTAGGACAATTGCCTAGCTGCAAATACTCTCTTCATGATGGCTTCTGCTCTAGGAGGGACTAAGCCTCACAGTGCACTTCACTGTGCATCAAAACAGTCAATTAGTTCTGGGACAGCAGTGCGCCGTGCATTTTCTCACCCAGCATCGAAGCTCAGGAGAAGGAACAAAACGCAGGCACAGCCGCTCATTGCCCAATTGTTCGAGGACAGCAATGATGAGGGAAGCAATCAGACGGCATGGTGGCTGCGGAAACGTACCGCAGTGCAAGCTCTTGGTTTCCTGGGTGGAGCTAGCCTGGCAACTAATCTGCTTCCATCACTGTCTTTGATGGGCGATGGAGGCGATGGTGGTGGTTATGGAGACGGAGGAGGTGGTGGTGGCGACGGGAATGGAGGCCACAACCCTTTGTACGACCTGGCTGAAGATGCTGAAGGGTAAGACCTCCTCTCAAGAAACACCTGCCTCAAAATGTCTGTACTATGTCAGTGTGGCACATGCCAGTGGTCATGTCGATGTCTTCTAGAACCAAAACTTTACCAAGAATTGCAAGGACCTCTTCTTATGTGATTGAGTGGGAAAATGCAGGGATGACGATGAGGAAGAGGATGACGAGGAGTATGAGGAGGGAGATGAGGAGGAAGAGGAGGAGGAGGGAGAGGAAGCTGCAGAGGCCCAGAAGGAAGAGGACGAAGGCGGGGAGGTGGCAGCAGGCGAGGAAGGTGACGATGACAACGAGGACTACACTGATCTGTCCAAGGGGACCTTCTTCTGCGCCGATGTCAAGGCAAATGGGCTTCCTGTCGGGCCAGGAGTCCCCACAGAGGTGCAGCCATGTTTCCAAAGCCTCTTAAGCCTCCCTCTCCATTCAGAGCTTGCGTTTACAGTTTCATCAAAGTTCACGCTTGTGGAATAATTTACATGAAACCAACAAGTCCTGATGAAGGGGTGTGTGCATGCAGGAAGAGCTGTTTGCTGGCCTGAACTGCCAGCCAGGATTTGTGTGCTCCCGCTCAGAGCTGTCGCAGGATCTTCGCACGCTGCTGCAGTCCGGCCTGTTTGCCAATGTGGACGCACGTGTGCAGCATAAGGGCAAGGGCAAGTACACCCTCGAATTCACCTTCAGCGAGAACCTCTGGCAGCCCATCAAGAGCTTCAAGGTGGGCATCCTTCCCATCTAGCTGACCTGGATCAGCAGGATGGTGTGTGCATTTTGCAGAGTGGGGTGGTGTAAGTAGAAGACCACAGTCTTGATAAGCTTTGTGGCTCTGTCGACAGGTTGCACCTGCGGCCAACAGCAAGAAGGGCAGCCTGCTTATCCCCACAGAGGAGGTGGCCAGGGTCATGAATGAGGTGGCCGTGCAGCCGGGCCCCACCGGCCTGCAGAAGCTGGCCGGCATCAAAAACATTGTGGAGGGCTGGTGCGCACCCTCTCTGCTCTCAATGTGTTACCTCTTTCCCCGCATGCATGCAAGGCTCATGCTGCAGGTGATCACGGAGTCATGCATGCTGAGTCGGCTGCATGGGCCGTCGCAGGTATCAGAAGCGCGGGTTTGTGTTTGGATACATATCCCACTACGAGGGCATGGAGACAGGGGACATAGTGGCCCGCGTGGTGGAGGGCCGCGTGAACAAGGTCAACGTGGTGCAGGTGGACGACGAGGGCAACACCAAGAAGGGCGCCGGCGAAGTGCAGCCAGAAATCATCCTGCGCGAACTTCCCTTCAAGGTGCGCTCGGGAGCCTTGCGCAATGTCAAACAATTGCTTGCAATTGATTACATGATGCGGTGTGTATACATAGGAAAGCTGCTGGGTGGCAATTGACTTTGTGTGTGTGTGTGCGCAGCCTGGGCAGCTGTACAATGCAGAGGATGGGCGGAAGGCGCTGCGGGATGTCTTTGCGCTGGGCCTCTTTGACAACGTCCAGATCTTCCCCCGGCCCAACCCCAAAGACGAGGCAAAGGTGAGGGTGACACGGTGATGCTTGACTAGCTAGTCACACAAAGCAATAATATGCATGCATTGGTATCAGTATCATGCATCTTATGTGTCAAAGAGCTATTTCAGGGTGTGAATGAGGTGGAATGATGCAGGTGGATGTGGACATCATGGTGAAGGAGCGCCCAATGAAGTCAGCAGACCTGGAGGCGGAGTGGCAGATTGCGCCAGGCAACAACGGCAAGCCCATGCTGGCCTCCATTGTTCCAGGCGGCAGCCTCACCTTTGAGCACCGCAACATCGCCAGAAGGGGCCGTCAGGTCAGCAGCCTGCCACTTGCCCTATGCCCTCAGATTGTCTCCTTATTTCAAGTCACTGTGCTGCCATCACGGCCATCATGGTGTACTGCACATTGACGCGGCCTGGTGTGTTTTGCAGGCAACAGCCAGCATCACAGCGCAGAACTTCCTGGCTCCGGCAGATGACCTCGGTTACAAGGTGGAGTACAGGCATCCCTACTTCTTCAACTCCAAGGACCCCAAGAGGACAGCCCTCGCCGTGTCCATATTCAACGCGCGCAAGCTGTCTGGCGTCTTCACCCCTGGTGAGATACTGGCGGTGCCTTGCATGCAAGTTACTATGCATTGCTCATGTGAATGTGAGGGGCAGAGAAGGGGAGAATTCCGCTTGTATTCAAAAATGTGTGCAAGAGGTGTGGTCACTGCAGGTCCAAGTGGAGAGGATGTGCCTCCGGTATTCATTGACAGAGCAGGCGCGAAGGTTGGCCTGATTGAACAGCACTCGCGCAACAGCAAAGCCAGCCTGAGTGTGGTCATGGAGCAGGTGAACCTTCAGCCCAATCCTCCGGTGAAAGTCGCATAACATTTCATGCAAAATCCATCTCCATCTGATCACAAGCAAAATTGTTTATGGCTGTTTTGAATGGATTGCAGGTGACGGCGCGGGACGACTCCGGGCAGATCTGCTCGCATGCGACGCGGCAGCTGCCGACAGGGATGCTGGCCGCAGATGGGCCGCCCACGACGCTGTCCCCAACTGGGGTGGACCGCGTGGCCTTCCTGCAGGGCAACCTCACGCGCGACGCCACCTACTTTGTCAACGGCAGCCCCGTTGGCGCCCGCGACATCTTTGTGGTGCGCCTGCTCTGTCATTTTTTTTCTAAATGCCTTGGTCCCCTGCCTTTTCCAAAATTGTCAACGTCCACCTGGCCGGTGGCGTTTGAGCAAGTTTGAGCAGGTTTGAGACCAGCATGATCGAAAATGAGGTGTGAAGATTTGAAAGTTGGTGTGCTGGGGATCAGGTGGAGCAAGGGCTGGGGGTAGGCAGCGGGAAGCCGTTCTTCAACAGGCACACGGTGTCGATGACCCGGTTCCTGAAGCTGCGCGACCCGCCGGTCTCCTCCACTTCACCGCCACCCATCCTGGTGCTGCATGCCCGCGCAGGCAACGCCATCGGTGACATGGCCTCCTACGACTACTTCACCCTGGGCGGCCCCTTCTCGGTGCGCTCATGATTCACCCCCCTATTCCATGCGAGTCTGAGCAGCTTGGGTTTCAGCCGCTCATTCTGTCCTCAGACTGTCTGCCCCAAGCCATATTTTATTGGGGAGATCAATGGTTGGGTCGTTGTGCAGGTGCGTGGCTACAATGTTGGTGAGCTGGCAGCATGCAGAAGCTTCCTGGAAGGTGCAGTGGAGCTGCGCGTGCCCGTGCTGGGCAAGCACGTCTACGGCTTCTATGAGTTTGGGACGGACCTGGGCTCCTCCAAGCTGGTCAAGGGCAACCCCACAGAGTACTACAGGCGAGCCGGCAGCGGAGCCAGCCTGGGTGGCGGCGTGAAGCTGGGCGCAGTGCGTCTGGAGTACGCGACAGATGCCAACACCGGGCAGGGAAATATCTTTGTTCGTTTTGGAGAGCGCTTCTGATGATGGGTCCCAACATCTTCAAGGTTGTCTTCCGGAATATTTAGAATCCAACCCGGGTGAACCTCTGCTACAGTGTGTATAGAGGTCATTTATTTTTGTAGGTTGCTCTTATCTTGTCAGGTAGCAAAACGTCTGTGGTACATTAGGGAGCTGTTATTCGTGAGCAGTTGGTAGAGTTACCGACTGCTAACTCATCGTACCCAATTCTTGCGTGCATTCACAGATGTGAAATGTCATATTCCTACCAAAGATTGCATGCATGCATGAGCAGCCATGGACGGAGCTGGCAGCTTGAGATGTGTAAAGGATTGACTTATGTACTGACGGGGTACCGTTACCACAATGTCTTGTGAGCAGATAGGACTTCATGCTCTCAACAGGGCATCAACAAATTCAGACACTTCTGCTGATGTCGTTGATGCTCCAACAATCTCAGGGAACGTGGTGGTGTCCTCATCTGCCGAGATGTCAGCATCTGTGCTCCCATGCTTATCACAGTCTTTGAGCAGTTGCTGCAGCTGCTGTAGGAACGAGTCAGGGACATGCCCCACTGAGATCGCCACCAAGCTTTCAAGCTGAGTTGCAGCGTACCTGCATGACAGAACAACAGCCTCAATACAAAACACCCTGTGGACCTGCCTGTGAAGATACATTCCTGAAACATCTGCAGCGTGTGCGCACCCGTAGTTGCCCACAGCCATGTTGCGTGCAATGGCGGTCTGTGCCAGGGCTCGCTGATGCTTTGGATCAAGGTCCAGCGCAGCTGCAAACCGCATCAGCTTGGCACTGGCGCTCTTTGACATATCAGATGCCTCCTGCGGACAGCACAGAAACAATGAGGCCGCCTGATTCTATATATCTTTTTACAGATTCTCTCAGAAAGATGTGTGCACAAGATATCCGCTGACCTTGCACAGACGCACAGCTGCCAGATACTGGGCCTCCCGCGGCACTGCCTTGCCCTTTGCATGGTGCAGCGCGTCGACAAAGGCGGTCGCCGCCTCATTCCATCGGCCAGATTCCATGTGCTGCACTCCGCCTTCATGGGAGGACGACACATCCTTCTCATCTGCAGCCCCTGCACAAAAACTCGGGGAACTGAGTACAAGGTTCACTGATGCAGGCATCCTCTCCTGCTTCCACCAGAGGCAGGGGGCCTACAAACAGAAGATGCTGACGTTTGTAGCCCCCCTGCTAGATGCAAGGCTGGACAAATACATTCCATCGATTATTTGCAAGGAGACCTAGAAAATACCTGCCGGTGGAGCCGGCGCAGGTGAGGGCGGCGTGGGCAGTGGGGCTGCTGGCAGCGCGCCAGGCTGGGCAAACAGGTCTTCAGGGATCATGGGAGGCGGCGCAGGTGCGCTCATCGCCAAGGGGCGGCCGCCGCCTCTGGCAGCGCCAAACAGGTTTGCCTGCGCCTTTGGCGGAACTGAGCCGCCCCTGCTACTGACAGGGGGCTGCAGCAGTGGTGATACATGCCCCAGAGGCGGCAGTGGCAGCATCCCCGGTGAGGAGGAAGATGATGCACCAGGAGAGATGCCGGCGCCGCGCGGCGGCAGCGATGCGGGGGTGGCTGCACCTGACTTGGCTGGTGACTGCGATAATGACACAACAAAGCGTGAGGTTCAACGTATTGAACCCATCCCCAACAGCAGTGGCGCGCTATTGGCAGGTGAAATGGTCATCAAGATTGCATGGGTGCAGCATAGATGTTCTTAGCCTTCCCAGTACATGTTGAAGACCAAGTGCTGCTGCTGCTGCATTGTTGCAGCTCATCCTGCAGTCTCAATGCCAGTGACAGGGATGACTTGATACGCACCACTTTGAAATCGCTGTCTGACAGCCGGCTGTCACTGCCAGACAGCGCGCTTCGCAACGGCCTGGCAGGGTCCGAGAATGAGGGTGGCTGCGCCGACAGACGCAGGCTCTGTGCGGCAGCCCACAGCGTTCCTGCGTCGGTGGTGCTTGGAGCAGCTGCATCCTTGTCCTTGATGACCACCTGACCGTCAGAAGACATGCTGTTACCACCTGGAAAATTTGGATTAGAGTACTCGTTCTTGAGGGGGAAATGCAGATTAAATTAGCCAGTTGCGTCATGCCAACACGACCCTCTGCAGCTTTTCCCGCGATGATGTGCCGCCATAAAGGCAGCCCGTTGCTAGGTTCCTTTGATGACGCACCTTGAATTTCGGCCCTGCATTTGACGTGGTGGTAGAGAGTGAGGTGGTGGACTGCGAGTCCTCGTCCTCATCGCTGCTGTAGAAGCCGGTGTCCTTGTCCTGTGTGAAAGCTGCGTGCGCGGCCTCCTGTGCATTGTTGCCGCTCCTGCGCCCTGCATGATCCCACCAATGAACTGCAATCTGGAGGTCTGGGGTTGAGAGCCTGCTTCTTGCCCAGCGTCATGGCCTTTCATCACGGCTAATGCAGCAAGAGATTCGATGTCCTGACTGGCATGCAGTGACTTGTAGGGTGCTCTGAGACCTGCTGAGGTGTCCTGTCCGGCAGTGTATGGGTTGGCCCCCTCGTCATCGCCAGGGGTCCTGTCGATGGGGGAAGCTTCCATGAAGCCGCCATCGTCCTCATCGGCCCCCAGCTCATCACCCATGTGCCATGGACTCACTCCCGATGCGCCGCGCTCCGGAGCTTGTCCAAGACCCAGGTACCCCTGCATGCACGCCAGTATCATGTTGCAGCTGGCAGATACGCCACTAACCCCTCGATGGGCGATATAATGCAAAAGAAAAGCATGGCAGAGACAATGTCGCCAACCCACCTCCAGCAGTGTGGGGTCCATTTGGGGGATCATGGTGACGCTTGTGCTGCCTGGTGCAGGAGCGATGTCCATGTTGGGGACGCTGCCAGCTGGGGCCACCTGCCAGGCCTCCTCGCCCTCTGTGTCACCTGTAATACCCTGCATGACAGAGTCGGCATCAATAAGTGTTTTTCATGAGCTTGACGCCTGCGCGTGTCCAAATGCAATTTTGAGGCAGATCTGCTCGTAGAGAAGAACAGACACTCATGGTAGTCACCTGCTCATCAAAGCTGATCTGCCAGTCCGATGGGCGAGGAGAGGCCCCCACGGCAGTTGCACTGCGGAACCGATCCTCCGACAGAACCATCAATGTCTTTGCAAGGGCTTTCACCTCCGGATCCTCCTGCAATGCAGCAGGAAGACATCCTCTTACAAAATGCACAAAATATACAAATGACGTTCTTTCTCATGGCCCTTTACGCATGCATGGAGACTGCCAACCCAGACTCTGCAGAACATGTCCCTTGATGTGCAATTGCAATGCCGGTGATACTTCCATGGACACATGCACATTGCACTTCATCAGAGTGAGATGGCTGGGGCGCCCACCGAGTTGCAGTAGCCGCGCACTGCATCAAAGTCTCCCTGCAGCGCGCAGAAGCCCAGCAGTTCTGGCCATGCTGCGGCTGCCTCCCACAGCTGTCGCGCGGCTGCACACTGGCCATATGCTGCAGCAGCCCGGCCCAAGCCCACCAGGCGCGCCCACTCCTCTGACCCCCTCGCAGGCGGCCTGGGTGCATCCGCACAATGAACCCTTTGCGAATTACCTTGACACTTTCCTTCCTGACCAGCAAGCATGACAGGGTGACGAGGGCTGAATGCATCAGAACAGAATCCAAGCAGCCGGACCTGGGATATTGTGGCGACTGGCGGTGAGCGGCCAGAGCTGCAGACACCAGTTCTTCCCAATGGCCTTCGGTGGCAGCCAACCCCTTTTCATACACGCCCCCGACCTGATGCACAGGACGGACATCAGGTCTTCAGTGGTGCATCACAAACCTCCTTGCTGGTCTCACTGCACTCAGTGCGCTCTCAAGTTTAAAAAGCGGATCCAAGAGCGCACCTGGTGTTTGGCCAGAGCAAGGGCAGCCTTCGATGCCCCAGCACCGACAAGGGCTGACAGCAGGGTCTCATCCACGGTGCTGCTGTCATAGCTTGCAATCAGTGTCGCCATCTCCTGCCTAGCCCGCCACCATCCTCCTGCGGCAACATGCAGCAATCACATGTTGGGAGCATCCGTAATGGAGCACACAAAGTGCACAAAATTTGCCACTTTGAGGTGAATGAATCAGGAGTGCCATCCTCCTGAGGGCTCACCTGGCAGGATGGAGCAGGCAGCCAGGGAAGCCCAGCCCAAAAGGAGGGATGGCAGGAGGGCGACCTGGCGCGAAGACACGCCCGCGCCGCCTCGCCCAACCAGCAGCCTGTCTGCCAGGGCCCCAGCCAGCACGGCAGGGGGACCTCCACCAAGGCTGCACACCGAGGCCACATGGCCGTCCCATGCCAGCTGGCGCACCTGCACGCGTACCAAATCCCTTCACAACCACCGCTACTCAGCTTTCTTCTTGTCTAATCCTTTCTGAGGATCCTTGCCAGCTGCATAGAAATGAGCTGAAGGTAGGCAAGGCTCATGTGCACACAAAGAGACCCATAAACAAAAACCACTGCGAGTCCGGCTCCCTTCCATTGTTTTCTCATAAGACCCTGGTCAGCTGCACGGTTCCACGCAGAAAGCACGGGGTCGACCTGGTGTGCGGAGTTGCAGAAGAGGAGCGCAGGGCCCAGCCAGAGGAAGCTGGTGATGGGGGCGTCGGAGGGGCTGGGGGAGAAGGCGCACAGCGGCCGCAGCGTGGCACTGACCAACAGCAGGCGCCGCGACGTGAGCACGGCCGCAGCAATGCTGGCCTTGCCTGCGCCTGTGTCGTCCATCACGCTGCCGCCCCCGCTCTCATCCAGTAGCCCCTGCCACGCCACCTGCTCCCCCACAAGCATACACCCTTTCAGGTCCCACCCTGCAGCGATGGAGATCATACTCTCAACAATACGCATAGACGCGACGAGCCCGGGAGAGAAGCCCGCCTGGAGACAGCATGTTTCACCTGCAGGATGGACTCGAGGGGTGCAAGGGGCAGGGATCGGCTGGCTTGCAGGCTGGAGCCGTAGGAGCCCACGTAGCTGGTTCCCTGCCTGACCGACCCTGCCAGCTCCCCAAGGCACAGACCGTCCTGGTGACTCGCCCATGTGATCACTCCCCGGCCTCCTGCATCCTGGGCTGCCCCGGGCCTGCATCATGCAACTCAAATGTGACGTTATCCTGCATACCATATCAGCTCTTGGCCATGTCCTGTGTGACGCGCTATCCAAAATGCCTGCACAGGCCCGAATTCTATGCTGGTCGACCAAGATGCATGGAGGTTCACCTGGGGAGCGATGCCCAGGGCGGCCCTGGGAAGAGGGCGGCAGCGCCCCCAAACCCAAGCTCAAGCTTGCGCAGCATTGACGGCTTGCCCTCGCTCGGCTGCGTGGCATACACGCGCACTGTGTTGCCGCTGTTGGACAGCACTGCATACTGCTCATCTTCCAGCCCAGCAAAAGCCCCGCTCGCTCCCTGGGCTGTCCATACTGCCTTGGACGGTGACGATGGGGACAGCAGGGTGAACTCTGTGCTGGCCGCTGGCCCTTTCGCTCCTGCAGTCCGCATAATAAATCACCATGTGCGCCAGTCATGCTCTTGTGCGCATGCAGAATATTTCCCTTATCACAGGGACATCAAATTTTTCCTAATATGTGATGCTTCTGAAAACGATGATTTGCAATGAAAAAGGAACAGAGCAGGCCTGCAGGAGAGGTGGCCAGGAAGAAGACGAGGGATGCGTCGGCCTTGAGGCTGCAAACCAGGCGCCGGGCAGACAGGCCCTGCCCGCTGGCACCCTTCCGGGGCAGCGCCGCCACCTCGCTCATCTGTCCCGTGCCCAGGCTGTATGCCGCCAGCTGCCCACCCTCCAACAGGTAGATGCGCGGTTTGAAGCTCAGCCTCTTGCTTACGTTGCTGCAAAGTGACATTCGCACAGAGTCAGTCGACACAGCTAATTTCTCAAAGAGGCGGGCAAATTGCTCCACTAAACCAAAACCGCAGCTGAGCCCAGTTGGAAAGGTCACCTGGTGCCCTGACCGGCCCAGAAGTGCAGCGAGGAGTGGAGGGGTGCGATGGAAGCGGCGTTCAGGGGCCAGCACAGGCGCAGCACGCTGATGCTGAGCAGGCGCTGGGCAGCGTCGGCATCCGCAGGCGACAGTCGGCCAATGGGCACGCTCTGGACGCTGTCCCAATGCCCTGTGCCGGTGTGCTGCACAACAGCCAGGCCCAGGCTGGGGTGCACATGCAGGCACCGTGCCTGCCATGCCAGACCCACACTTGCCTGGGCACTGCAGGGACTCACCGTCCACAATGCCTGCGGTCACCAAAAACACTGAAAATCTTGTGCATGATCTTCAAAGGAATTCGCCTCCTCAGCAGGGTCCTGCACAGTGACGCCTTACCTGCCACGATGCGCTTGGTTTCTGCAGTTGGGTTGCGCCTGGAAGCAGGCTAGTTGAGCTTGTAGAGGCTCCGCAGACTTCGTTCAGCCTGTCTGGGACCACCTTCTCATGGAGCCAGGTTGTTCTGTCAGCTCCAAACAGTATGCTCCAGGCTTCCAAGTGCACTTCTCCTCGAACATCTTGCACAGCTGCAAGCACCTGCACGCACCGCCTAGCTGTAATACACACCGCCATGTTGACACAGTTAAACCTTCCCTCTGCCATTTTGGTCAGTAACAGATGTCACGACCATGAACTGCTGGCTCACCCTGGAAGGCGCAAGGCTGATGCTGACGCTCTGAACGGGGCCAGAAGTGCTGGACACTCCTATCAGCCGTGGTTCTGTGGAGCCCACAGCGTCATATGCAGCAACCGTGCCGCTGCCTGTGCCCACTGCTATGAGAGCTGCGCCAGGTATTTCAGGATGCGGCACAGCGTGCAGAGCGCCCTGCATGTTGGAATCTACCACATCAGCACACTGGCACCTCCCGAGCCCCTAGATAAATATCTCTGGACCTTGGAATCCAGATGTGAGCTGTGCCCTGTAGCATGTCAACGAGACATTATGCAAAAGATGCAGAGGAAAGAGGAGAGACCTGGCTGATCTGGGCTCGTGGGGCATCCACGGAGACAACCCATCTTGTGGTCATGGTGCGGGTGGAAGGGCTGCAGACGGAGCATGAAAGTGCACCGTCGGCGTGCAGCAGCAGCAGAGACTGCCGCTCTGTATGGCTGGCCGCAAGGGCCACAATGGGCCTTTTCAGGTCGGACTTGAGCTGGCCGCCTGGCTTCTCTTTGCTGCCTTTGGCAGTTGCCTTACCAGCCATGCTGACGCATCGCACTGATGTTGACCCGTTTTGACAAAAGACCACACTGTTGCCTGCCTTGTCCTGTGCAGACACACAGCAGTGTCTATTTTTGGCTTGAAGGGGTGAATCCGGACGCTTTGCTGTCGTGATTGCTATGTAAATGATTTCTGGCGGTCTCTTTTGCATGGGTGCTGTTCCTACCGGCAATACCGCCATGTGGGCTTTCTGCATGTTGTACCGACTGCTGGGTGGTACAAGCACCCGCCGCTTCCACCCTGGCAAGCTGAATGCCACGATGCTTCGCTCTGCTGTCAGCACGAGCAGCTGCGAGCCTTCTGGGCTGTATGACATGACTAGCGATGTACCTGACGCCTCTGTGCTGCCAAGCTTGCATCCAGACTGCAGGTCGAACTCGGCATACACCCCCAAAGATGCCTGTACAAATCAGTCAGCCCTGACAATCAAAATCTGCTCCTGTGGAGGAGCATAGTTCAGCACAAAAGAATGAAGCAAGGATCCCAACACAAGCAGGAGAGGGGGCACACCACTGCGACGATGGCTCGTTGAGGATGCAAAGCAAGGCATCTTGCTTGCACTCCCCCGAAAAATCTGGAGGGCTCCATCTGTGCGATCAGGAAACAGAAAGCCATGGATCTCATGAAAGGGCGAGGATTGAAGAGGTGGTCAATACCGGAGCAGATTATTCAGACAACAAACAGTTGCAACTTCTAGAAGTGTTCAGGCTCATCGAGCTCCTTAAGAATCAAAAGTAGCGCGCTGCACACACGGTGGGAGTGCAAGTTGGTTACCCCAAACAAGGAGTGGAAGTCAACTGCTCCTGCAAGTGTGAGAGATACATGGCTCTGCTTAGCTGATCCAACCTCAGCATCGTCCATTGGTGCTTGGTTATTTAGTCTCACTATTGCATTGCACCGACTCCAGTGGATGTATCACTGCTGGCCCTTTAGATGTTCCATCAGGCAATCGGCAATCGTGAATCTCGCTGCAAGTACTTACTGTTATTGATAGCAAAATCCCTTAGTCCAGTTATCTCTAAAGTGCCTGCATCGCTTGACCAGACAAAGCCAAGGAATCCAAAGAAACTGACATTTCTCCTAGTCAGAAACCCTTAACGTTAATAGTACCCTGTGGGTTTGTCAAGACAACCTAAGCCACCCCTGGATTCGTGTCATGCAAGAGATTCCATTGTTGGACATGTTCCCCAACATGTTCAGATTTGTGGGACTTCATTGTGAGGCATCCCGAAAGGACTCTCAGAACGCATGCGCCAGGCAAAAGCCGCTTTTGCCCTGCCGGCGCCCCGGGGCCCTGGGCCCAGGGGTGGACCGGGTCCTCTCAGAGGCTTGCACTTCCAGTCACTGTGTGCAGCCTGGCTAGTGCAGTGGGTGACACGTTCCTAGATATAGTGGCAGTCCTGACTTTGTTTGTTGATCCAGAACACCTTGAGTCTCCAATTTGGCTCCAAATCTCCAGTTTGGCTCCAGATCTGATCGTCACCATGATGGCCTGACGGCCTCCAACATGCGAGGTACATGATGTACATGCTTGTGCAATTGCCAGTGGTTATATTGTGAGACAAACACTTACAGGTGGGCAGGTCCAGTTGTTGCAACATCATGTTCGACATTAGTTGCCACCCATGACTTGCCAAGGTCTCACACCTGTTACTGTGGAAACCAGCTGACAGGCTCTATAGATACCTATACCTTCAGCATGCCAAGTCACTGTGGGGCAATCGCATGCTGCAACCTCAGGACTCGGCAGCTGCTTCTTCTCGCAGTGACGAGGATGCCTTCCAGGCTGAGCTAGAAATTGCTAATTCATGCCAATGTCATCATGCTGCCACTGGCAGCCAGTGGTCCCACTGCAAGTTCACGGCAGCCAAATCCGCTACCACTCGTCGTCAGAATCATCCTTGCTTTCGTACTTGTACTTGGAACCTGAACTGCCAAACTGGGGGCGGCCACGCCTGGACCTTCTGCCGCCAGCAATGATGAGGCTTTGGTCCACCTCATCCCCAGAGAGGCCTTTCACAATTTCTGGTTCGGATTCCTCCTGCAGCAGGCAGTCTTGCTCTGGGCAACACGACCAAATCATAGCAGTCATGATGCATGATGCCCTTCAGCACATTCTATCAATCAGGTATGAGAAATGAACCCACCTCCTCGTCGTCACCACCACCACCGCTGGGCTTCTTCTTCTTCTTTGTTGATGGTCCAGCTTCACTGCCGCTGGCCTGCAGATGCATTGAAATCGTCAATCCACAACAAGGACTGCCTCATAGTAGAGATATCGCAGGCCCCTAGGATTTATCTGCTCCTAGGAATTATATGCAAGAAAATGACAGAACTGAGCGACCCGCCTTCCGCTTTGTTGGTGGCTTCTCCTCCGCTTCCTCCTCCTCGTCGTCAGCCTCTTCATCGTCTTCTGCCTCATCGCCATCATCACTCCCCTCATCATCTGCTTCCTGTTATGACAAGGTTGACAGCTCATCAGCTTCAAAGGAGGCAACTGGGTTTCAGAAAGGTCAGCCTATGATCAGGTGCCAGAGTTTGGACTGCATCTGACAGGCAATACAGCATTTGTGCAATTGACTGGGTCTCTGGCGAGCATTCGGGGTTGGCAGCCACCTCATCAAAATCCTCTTCATCCTCGTCTGCGTCATCGTCCTCCTCTTCCTCCTGCTCTACAGCCTTGCCCTTTCCCTTCAACTGTTGCAGTCGCGTTGCTTCCTCATCGCTGGCTTTACCTGCAGGGCCTGTCACGTTTGATTGCCTTGAGAATGTAAGGTCCTAATTTTTCCTGTATTGGCGGTCCAATGGAGGCGAACAATGGGCAATTGTTGATATGCAAGAAAGAAGAGTCTGATTAGATGGGATATAGCGGACTCCTTACCTTCCTTTTTGTCCTTCAGATCAGCATCTTCATTGGCCCCCATCCTGAGCTCAGTAACGTCTAGAATCACTAGTGAAGACACTGGCACTGCGCTAAAAGAAACTGAAATTTGCAGAAGAATTGTGTGTGAAAGAGGGAGACAGGCAAGTTCACTGAGGCGCAGCATCTGCCCTGACGCTGAACTGACTTGCTGACCTGGCTTTAGTAAGAGCGCATAATGGACTTCGCAGAATTCTTCAGAAGGGAGCAGTCCAAAGCCATTTCAAAGCGAAGAATCTATCGCTTTGCACAAGATCTGTGAACCTACTCAAAACTTCTCAGCGCACACGCGACGGGTTGAGATTCCCCATAGTCATGGACGTTTTCCAACACTTCTGAAGGAGAAGGGATCCATGGCACCAGCAGCAGATAGGCGCAGAGATCATCTGGAGCTTCTTCAAATTGGATTCAATCAGGACACAACATGCTTTGCGTGCGGCACAAACTCTGGGTTCAGAGTTTATAACTGTGATCCTTTCAAGGAGACGGTAAATTTCCGATCTGCTGCATTATGCGGTCCATAGAATCATATATGCGTGCATCAGAGTCTTAACAATTGTGCCGCGTGCAAAACTTGATTTATATATGGTTGCAGCAAAGCACAGAATCGCGACATGTGCTTCCAAGGTTGTGAGTGCTGTGCCATATTGCATCTGTGGTACGCGCTTATGACATTCTATGGTGATGCAGTTCCGCAGAGACTTCAACAATGCTGGGATCGGTGTTGTGGAGATGCTCTTCCGCTGCAATATCTTGGCCCTCGTTGGTGGTGGAAGTGCACCACGTTTCTCACCAAATAAGGTAGGACCAGGTCCACAATGCACATCATGCAACTGATTGCTTTACTTGACAGACCTTGGAAGCCAGACTGCTTTCAGACCTTGGCGTTGTCGTGCAGGTCATGATATGGGACGACCATCAGGGCCGCTGCATTGGAGAACTCAGCTTTCGCAGCCAGGTGATCAGTCGCTTCATCAAACCTTGCCCCTAAAATGCGCATGAGATTGATGATCGGCGGCAAAGTAGTCGAAAAGGCCTTCATCATGAGGCATGTTGTTGCGTGGGACAGGTTCGAGCTGTGAGGTTGCGCCGCGACAAGATCGTGGTGGCGCTCGAACACAAGGTCCTCATGTACAACTTTGCAGACCTGCGCTTGGAGCACTCGATAGAGACCTTGAGCAATCCCACGGGGCTTGTTGCGCTGTCACCCTGCCCTGAGCACAATGTCTTGGCCTGCCCTGGACTCCATTGCGGACAGGCAAGGAACCTCCCCAGTGTACTCTGCGCTTACGTCAAGAATATGCCACCATCTGCGGATTTACTCCATTGTAGGGACCAGTTGTCACTGGGTGACATGTGCAATCAGGTGAGAGTGGAACTCTACGACGTCCGCCGCACAAAATTCATCCAAGCGCACACAAGCGCCCTGGCATGCATAGCGCTGAGCCAAGACGGCAAAATGCTTGCAACGGCGTCAGAGAGGGGGACGCTCGTCCGCATCCACTCCACTACTGATGGCACCAAGTTGCAGGTAGCGCACCCCATGATGCTGCTGAAGGGTGCCATGTTGCTCTTTATTGTTCTTTACCACCTCAACCTGCAGAAGGAATAGTGTGTTCACCATCCCAGTACCTGTCTGCTCAACATTGATATGGCTTCCCGCACTCAGGAGTTGCGAAGGGGAGCGGACCCAGCCTGTGTCTTCAGCATAGCATTTTCCAAAGGGGAGCGGCCTCACTGGCTAGCACTGTCATCAGACAAGGGCACTGTGCATGTGTTCTCTCTGGACCAGCGGCAGCCATCATCAGATGTGGGCACCACAGCAGGCACCAGCGATGCAGGCTCCTTGCGAAACCCCGTCTCTCCATTCTCGTTTGTCAGCGTGCGTCCTCTCTATGCCTCTCTGTCATTTGGGACCGCCTTGTCTGTTGCATCATGTGACAATGAGTCCATCTACTCACAGGCTGCCTGCTGCGTTCATTTGCATATTTCCAATCAACGCCTGATGCTTGTTGAACCTACCTAAACATTGTCTGTGTCAATGCAGGCAATCTTCCCTGTCTCATACTTTGCCTCTGAGCGGTCCTTTGCTCAGTACCGCCTGCCAGAGGACGTCCGCAGCACAGTGGGCTTTGGGCCACAGCCAAATACGCTTGTCATAGTGTCTGCGTCCGGCTCATTCTACACGGCTGCATTTGATGAGCAGAAGGGCGGGGTGTGCCAGCAGCTTTCCTTCTGCAAGTTCTTGGAGCTGGATCAGGAGGACTGATGGCAGCAAATGATGGATCAGGCTCACAGCACCTCTAGCAAGAGCCCAAGATCCATTCTTGACTGGGAAAAACAAGTCTGCTTTATACCTCAGTGTGTTGTCGGTTTTTGTTAGTGATCTGACTGATCAGTTGCAGCGCTAGCCTTTGCCTTTCCTCTGCCTTTCCTACAGTACGCCGTCCAGAGCTTTACACTAATGTAGAGCATTAACTTACTTGTGAGTAAAAGTCTGCAAGTCCAACCAGCCACTGAGTGTGGAATTTTAGGCAGCGCTGCTGAGTAATTAACGTTTATAATCGATGCTGTACCCTATAATCTTGCAGTGCTATCATGATCATGTCACAAGATGTGACTCACATCCCAGCCGGATTTCCCGAGTATTGTTACGATTCGATCAATGACTGTCCACTGGTGGCACGTGCGCACGCATGCATCATGCGGCATGCCATGCCATCACTGATGCGCATGCTCCCATTGATGGACCTAGAGATCTGGACCCCAGATCTGGATCCAGATTTTGATCTCCATGTGATCATGAAGCACATGAAAAGATCCTAGATGGAGCATTCACTGCCAGTCACTGTGGTGTGTGGCACATGCATTAATGCATTATGCAATATTGCTTGATAGGCTGCAGCCTACTGTGGCCACCCATGGGCCCCGCAGATGTGGCTGCAGACGCCCTGCGTGTATGCCCTATGGCCTCTGGCTTTGGGTTCGCCGACCATGTAATAAGAATAAGAATAATAATAATAATTTCTTCAGCCAACTTCCCATTTCAGGGCAGGTGGCCCAGAACCTGCCTCCTCGAAACCCTCACAAACCCTAGAGTCCGGTCAAAGCCTCGTGCAGCTCGATCAAATCAAAGGAACGGAAGCATTGGCTGCAACTTCACAATTTTAGACATCTCTTGGCTTGTGGCCACACGCATAAGGTGATATGGCCAGTGACTGTCAACGATCGTGATAATGCAGAGCACTGGAGATCTTGTGGGGAACCTCAACAAACTCAATCTTGTTCTCAGGAGCCTGCGCTTCCCTGGGCACTTCAACGATGCGGGGTAAGCACATGAATTTAATAAGATGCTTGAAACAAATTCTGTGGTTCCACTGCTTCCAAAAGAGTCCAACATCTTGTGATATTGCCCATCAGAATACGCCTTGGGCTTCCAACGAGCATTCTGCCAATCCTCAACTTCGTCTTGACGAAAGCTAGCCGTATAGTTGCATCAGAAATAATCAAAAATGGGTTTGAGGTAGGCTCTTGAAGTTGTACTATCAACAAGTCAAACGTTCTGCTTAGTCATGCATAGAGGTAAGGGGCTAAAGATAGAGTTCTGATCTTACACTGTGGACATGTGTCGCAGCTGACAGGAAAAACAGATGCCAGGTTTGTGCAGACCGCTTTCAGGCTCTTCCGCGACTTCTTTCACCTAAGACCTGGCCTTACTGTAGCACAATTTCTGCAAGAGGTGCGAAGCCAAGTTCCTGATGCCATTATTGATCCTCAGTAGCACACGCATGCTCATCTTCAAATGCACAGGGTTATGCGGAGCGGAAGATCTGCCTCCTGCTCAGTGTTATTGAGCGCTGCAAAGCCTGTCATGCTGAAGGCAGGCGAAAGGTGCGTTTCACCCTTACAGCTCTGCAAACACAATGGCCAAGAGATCAATGTCGTGATGCCACTGCCATCCGTGACGAGGCAAACCTAGACCTGCACTTGTCATGCTGCAGGGAACATTTGTATCTGCTGAGAAATCCATGACGAAAACTAGGCGGCCAAGGATCTCTCGTAAGGTGCGGGGTCAGTGCACTGATCAGCCAAAGCATTTCTTCTATCTGACTCTCTGCAGTGCGACTGCATGTCTTCACTGTTTTTTGCATTGACAGGATGATCTCAGAGGGTTCGATGGCCCGCCCCTGACAAAGTCAGAAAGGCGCTGCAGCATAGAGAATGAGGCTATAAGGAGCCAAGCTTTGGATGCAGCAGTCTGTGATACTAGCTGCACCGAAACCTCAGAAAATCTGTCAGGCGCAATCATCCAGCATGAGGCACAACAAACGGCCCAGCAAAATCCTAAGCATGGTAAAAGCTCTGACAGCACATCTGGTAGATATGCACACGTATGACCTCTTGCTGATAAAGAGAGAATTTGAGCATTTCTTCAATAGCAGCAAAAGGTGTGTGGGCATTGCAGGGTCTCCTGCCAAACGCACCCCTCCAACGCCTCGAAAGGTGCCTCAAGATGCACATCATGTCATTTCTGATGTGAGGCCTGTACATGCACAGCAGGTATAATGCCCACACAGAACACTAGGTTTCGCATGTCATCTGTTGAGCTAGTTGCATGATTCCTGAATAAATCTTCAGAAGGTGCATGCCTTGCAGGAAATGGCACAGGACCGCCGTCCGGGGCCACGTTCTCAGTCGTTGGAAGTCAGGGAGGATCTTGAATATGTTCATGTTTCCAAGGATTGGACACATCTCTACGAGTCTTTGTCTGCCCAGGTATTGATTGAGACTTTGCACCTGACTGTGCTCGTCCTAGTGGCCATTGTGCAACATGCATCAAGCATATAATGTGTACACAGGTGTATCAGTTGGAAGGTCGAGTAAAAATCCTGGAGGCAGATGTGTCAGCCTGCATGTCCACAAGCAAATTGAACAATACTCCTCTTCGCCATGCCAAGGAAGTCAATGCAAAAGAGTCGCCAATTCTTCTCAAGTCCGCAGAGGGGAGCACACAGGAGTCTGAAGGCGCAGTTGCAGACCAATCAAGGCAACTGCTGAATGCCAGCACAGAAGAAATTATAATGCAGCTACAGAGTAGGTACCAGGAAGCACAAGCATTCCTCCAAACGTCAATGACGGGATGACAATTGCAATTTGGGATTGCAGGCCAAAGTCAAGAATTGACAGCTCCAAAACAGACTGGCTGGCCACTGGCCCGTGGATGCCATATACATCTTGTTTACTCCTCAATTTATTGATGGACTCAACTTCATGAATTGACTTGGCCACAGTCTTTCATGTCCATCATAGCACTGCATTGCCGACTGTCAGATTAATGTCATGGACCATGTGAAGCCTCTCTAGCAAGAAGTATCTCTTGGACCAGACATACTAGGGAAGCATGGCATGAAGAGCATTTGTCAACTGATTCAGTATGATACCCCCAGCTAGTGCTCCTGTTGCCAACAGCGTGAAATTTCCTCCACATACTGCCTGAGTAACAACCGCAGACTCCATCAATACACAATTTTGGACCAGCACATAGCAGCTCAAGTCTCCATGCAGCATACACAATGGGTATGGGGAGCCCAGCCTGATGCAAGTTGCTATAAAATGCCGATGCTTGTCGTCTTGCTGGAATGAAGTTTTTGAAGAAGAGACTACCGAGCAATCACCTTATAACCTGAAAATTGGGTGTTAGAACTGCGCTGGCTCCATACTGCAGCAGCAGGCAGCACACCAAAGAGCGAGAGCACTCCATATGTTCCTGCCAAATCTAGTGCCTGTCCAGTACTTGGTTTAGTCAGAAACGGGCTCCTTGGGGCGCTCTGCATTTATCAATTCCCCTACCAAAAACACAAATTCACAAACACACACAAAGCAAGCAGTTGCAAACGCATGCAAGAGGAGCCTCGGCAGGCTCATTCATGACATCAAACTCACCTTGAAGAATAGATCTGGAAATACTGCTGCAAGTGCGAAGGGCGGCAGAACAGTCAGCATGAAGGGTACCCGATTCTGCTGTCCTGAAGGCAACTGCAACAGGCCCAAAGCACCTCAGAAACGCAAACAATCCTGATGAGGGAATTCAGAGAACTTACTTTGTTGAAGATTTTGCAGAGAAGGTTTAAAGACCACACCTTCAGCAGATCTGACAGGAAATCAGCTAGCCCCAAAACAAAGCCGATGTATGAAGTGGCAATTGCCAGCAACGAGAAGACCTGTCAAAGGTTGAAAACATCACAAATCTTGCCGGGCGAGGTAAGACTGGTCACAAAATATCGATTATAAAGTGAACATGGACTGTTTATGTGGCTTGCAGCCCTGGTTCAATTCAAATTGTAGACATCATGAAAGAGGGCATGATGCACCTGGATCAGGATCCCAACCGAAGGCGACTGTTGGGATAAGAGCTCCAATGGATCCGATTTCCCATTTCGTGCCAGCGTGTCTAGACTGCCCAGGATTGCACCATTCCAAACCACAAACATGACCAGCGGAATGCTGCAACCCAGATTGAAACAACTGAGCATTGAGCTTCTTACTTGAAAGTCAAGTATTGTGTGGTTATCTTGAACAGCCATGCATGCAGAAGGCCCACCTCAGTCCATAAACAATAGATTTCCTGACCTTGTCAATGTCACCCTGCGAAAACATACAGCCTTAAGCATGCACGTGAAAATCGGCAGGTGCATGCTTAAGGACATTCACATGTACTAAGAGAAGACTGGCATGGACAATTGTGAAAACGCAAGCATGAGGGCAGGGTATTATTTGTGTCTAAAGCTTCTGTGTCTTGTAAGGTCAGACACAAACCTCCAGACGACTGCAAATAATGGGAACGACATTTTGGTAGACAAATGCCAATGACAGCACGGGCAGGGTCGCTGGCACTGCCTTCCAGTTGCTGTGTGTAAGATTTGCTGAATTGATCTGACCAGACGTTAGCCCCAGAAGACCCTGAAAATCAATTGGAAGCTTCTCTTTGTAGTTCATACAGCAGTCACATTACCCAACTGGCAAGTCGAGGCGGCGGCATTTGCAAAAGTCAACCAGAGTACGTGTGCATAATCATCATGCAATACCATGAAAGAGAGGAGCACAGCCGCCAAGAGAATTCCATTGCCGCGGTCCAGATCTCGCGCTTTCAGGAAGTAGCACCCAGCTGCTAACGTCCCACAGAACGGAATAGACCAGAGCAAAGCTGGTGTGCCTGCACTCCCTCCAAGCAGATCCTTGCACAAGTCACCTGACTTTGCTGTGTCTGTACAATCAGATGGACGCTCAGCACTTTCCCCCAATATTCTGGTGCTCAGAGGAGGACATTAATCCATATGTCGTTGAGGAGCGGTACTGCAGTCAAGAATATAAATCTGGGCTCAAGAAGACTCACAAGCAACCAGAAGGGAGTAGTGCAGGAGCAGGTAGGCAGCCGAGGTAACTCGAGCGCCAGTACGCCCTAGTGTAGCCTGTGCTATTGATGTAATAGACACGCCGCCCTGAGAGCCAAGAAGCCTTCACCTGAACCCCTGCTGGACCGACAACTTGCATCTGAACATGTCGCACCCTGCAGTAATCCATAGATAGCGAGCAAGATCACCTGTCCCAACTCGCACATGAGATTGATATTGGCTTCAGCCAATAGCAGTCCTGTTACGATAGAAAAGACATATGTCCCCAGAATTGCAGCGCTGGATGGTACAAACCCTGCGTCCTGCGTAGTGAAGGGGACTGCAAGGATCCCCGCACCTATTGTTGTTCCTGCACACATGTATCCTGATAACCTTTAATTCTATTAAGATGTTCTAGACCTCCTCTGCGTTGTTGCATTGTCGACCAGGCTTCTTCAAAGTAACTGGTTCTGGAAAAAGCAGTGTAAAGGATCATTCAGCCAAGGACTAAGTTGCTGATCACCTGCTACGAGGATGGAAGCACCAATCACAGATCCCTTTTGGTGCGTCAAAGAAGAATCCAAGTTGGAAAACAGACGTTGCGTGGTTTTGTAGGACATCTGCGCTCCAACTTCCTCATCAGGGCTTGCAGCTGCGGCGTTTTTCTGGCTTCTGCGCCACACCTTCATGCGCTGAACATGACGCACTGTAACAAGCTGAGAGGGTCGCAGAAAGAGATCTAGGGGCAGGGTTCTCTTGCCCAACATGGGTTGACGTGACAGATTTCGTGAATGCTGATAAAGCTTTGAACAAACCCGAGAACTATATCATCAGATAAACAACCAAGACCTACTAAAAGTAGGTTCCCGGACGAAATTTATCGTCGCGATGCCCAATGCTAGCACTACACGACCAAATGTCCCACGTGTGTGCACATGCACATGCATCATGCTGAGGTCAGCAACCACTGCCCCAGATGGAGCATGAAGTTCTAATCCAGAAGCCGATAAGAGGAGCTGGGTCAACAGCCGGAATTGCAGGCAAGCTGCGATGGATCAGCAGCTTTCGGCAGCACCCCTGCAGCCACATGCCCCTGCTCCACAAGTATCAAGGAGTGCACCCTTCTCGGTGCATTCTCGTGGTGTTCAGCTATTCGACGTGTACCGATTTAGTGATTGCCAATACGTCGGGTTAACCATCTTTCGGAGTCTGAGGGATATTTCTGGGTCTTTATGGACCTTCCTAATCTGCCAGGGTTGGTTGAGCTTGTGGGTGACCCTCATCACAATCGTTTCAGTCCTCTTCTTCAACTACATCAATGGAGGCAGAGTGCAAGCGCTGGACTGGACAGTGGCGGCATTTGTGGTGCTGCTCCCGCTTGTCAGCACTCTGTGGTGGGCGTTCGAGAGGAGAGAACGTGCTCTATCAGAGCTTGCACAAGGTAAGGGAGGGCGGCCAGGAACTTAAGAGGCTACTTGCACGGCTATTTAACTAGAAGGGGTAAATTTCCGCACGGCTATTCAACTAGAAGGGGTAAAGTGGGCTACAGTCTGGTCAGAATTTCGAGTGAAGGTGACCTGTAGCAGGGGACCAATGGCAATAGCTGCACCGCTGGTGGTTTCCATGACGCTCTTGTGGGTTGCAGTCAAGACACTCCTGCAGCACATTGCGCTGGCTCACCGTGACTGGCTGCCGACGGGTGTCCTGCCGGCAACGCATCTCCAACAAACCCAGGCTCTTCTGCATACTCTCACAGGTGAGTCAGCCCTACTAGCAGAATGGTTCACGTTCTGTGCGTCACTGCCTTCCCTGCAATTGTAGGCTTGCGCTCATACAGGTGCTCAGCATGTTGCTTGATGCATTTGGTGTGCTCCCTTGCAGATGGGATGAGGGCGTACTTTCTGCCGCCCCGGTTCTACAGCACTGAATTCCCATATGCAGGTCTCAAGCTCAAGATGGTAAGCCATTTGTGTGCACCTGGGGTGTCATGCAGATGCCGATGCCCTTGCCCTGTGGAATCCACAGTGTGAATGGCAGCACCGTCCCTCAGCTTGATGATGCTCATGCAGATGAGGATTGCACAAGAGAGAGCAAAGCAAATGCGCCGGATCACAACTTGCTTTCATCGCTTGGCGCGATCGTCTGAGGTGCTGCGAACTGCTGGCTTGGGGGATGCTCATCTGACAAAGCTGGCAGAGTGGAACTTTCAGCTCCAAGTATCGTTTGAGCGGATGGCGAACACGAAGGAGTACAGGTGACCCCATCGCCATTTTATTGTCCGCCAGTCACGAGGCATGTTTCGTGCGCTTTATGCTCGTGGTGGAAGTCATGCACCCCTCGTTAAGCTGTGTCACTATCGGCAGGACACCTCAGGGCATTCGAGCACTCTCAAGGTGCTATGTGTCGCTCCTCATCCCCATCTTCTTTGGGCCGTACTATGCAAGTTTGAATGCTGGAGTTGGCACAGCCTTTGCTGTCATCTTTGCCATCGTGGTAAGTTTGTTGTCATGTTGATCAAAGTCTGCATTTGCCTTCCCATTTTGCGGAGCTCCAGCTAGCTCTCAAGAGGCCTGCCTTGCCTTTTGCGTTTCGCTTGAACCTAGTCTCCCTAAGCGAGTTGCACATGCTTGGCTGCCTGCAGATGAACTTGGGGACAGTGGGCGTTCTGCAGGCTGCCATTGCCCTTGAAGATCCTTTTGACAACCAGGGCCTAGACGGGATCTATGTAGATGAATCGCTGTATGAAGCTGAGCAGGTGTGTGCATGCTTTTTATCTTCGAGCAATAACTCCTGTCCAGCATGCCAGCTTGATATTGTTTCTATATTCTAAAGTACCCCTGTTGCAGGCAATCTACTTCACTGACGACGAGACTGATTTCCTTGCCCACAACAAGTCAGACAGCATGGGGAATCCGCTCCACGGCAACTCAATGAAGGAAGACTTGAAGCTTCAGCTCTCGAAAGACGGAAACACCACAGTCGGAGACAGTGTGAACGAGTTGCCACATTCCACTGCAGGTAAGAAACCTGGCTATTTTTGAAAAGGCTGTGTTATGCTTTTGCAATTTCTGGAAGGAAGATTCCTGGATATTCCTTGCGAGCAGCACTTCATTCTTAGCTACAATGCTTGTTTCTCTGAAAATTAATTGTCAATAGTCAGTAGTGTTTTTCACTCACCACTGCGGTCAAAGATGATGCAAATGGCGATGTGGTTGCTGATGCAGATGTGGAAGCTCCCCCACACCACTGAGCATGATGCCGCTTCTTGCCGCAATGAACTGTGTCTGTCTGAATTGAAGGCTCTTGCCAGTGCTTTTAAGATAGTGAGGACTTGTTTGGAGCTCCTCAATTGGATCTTGAGGTCTGCAGATTCCACACGCCTGATAGGATTCATTCCGTAGCTCGATAGATGATCATGTATGCCTCATAATCAGGAGGGGTGTATCGCGGGATTTTGTTTGGAAATAGCATTATCATGATTGTCATCACTGTGAACATGTCAGTACTACAGTAATGAGTATATTAGCTCGAATGATTAGGCTAGCACTATAGCTTGTGTCCAGTGGCGCGTAATGCCAGTAGCAGTGCTATTATAGCACTCTGCCATTGCCAAGGCCTTGGAGACTCAGGAGTCCTCAGTTGCACATGTGGCTAACATCCACATTACATATGCGTGCTAGAGAATTCTGCTCTTAATGAGCTAGCAAGGATAACACTGTTTGACACGAATATGTTAGAAGACGGAAGCTCAAAATCCCATCTTTACTGCACTGAATGTAACTGCTCTGGCTGCCTGGTTTATTTCAGTGGGGGTGCTTTCAAATAGCTGCACTACACACCTACTGGTGCTTAGGGATACAGTAATTTTGCGCCTGCTGCTGTTTGCTATGATGTGTGCACCAGCTCCAATGCTACACTAGCGGTTCCTGAGCTTCCTCACGTGGCAAATACACGTTGACACAAGATGCTCTATAACAGAAACACTGGTGCTGTTTCACTTTAACCACAGTCTCTCAAAACTCAAAGAACTCATCCCCTGTTTTCCCTAGTTTTGACGCCCCCAATTTCATCGAACTCGCGCCGACTCTAGAGGACGGACGAGGCCCTCGCCCTCTTGGGCCCCTTCCACGAGTTGGCAGGCCCACATGTGCTTTTCGCGCCTGGTCCGCCACCGCGGAAGCGGAGTCTGTTGCCGCTGCTGTGCGCACACACAATGCATTCTCCCTCTGTGTCTGTGCATCCAAGTGTCTGTGGCGGATCAATTGTAAAGAAGCTGGTATATGAATTAGGGGACTGGGGAAATGTACCTGTCGTGGCCCTGGAAGTGTGGGAGCTTGGGCTGCTTGCCAGCGAAGATTGGCTATCTTCCAACGATGGCTGCCGCTCCAGTGCACCTCTGCTTGGGTTGGCCGGGCCCAATCTCGACGTAGAGCTGCTTCGCATGTTGAGTCGCCGCAGTCTTTCTTGTGCCTCCTTTTCTTGCGGGTCTTCAAGGGCTCCAAACTCTTCATCTTCATCCCAACCCTCAGCTTCTTCAAAGCTGCTTGTGCCACCTGGAACCGAAGAGAGGTCCTCTCAATCTATGTGGCTCCCATAGATCCTGTGCTGTGGAGCTTGGATGGCCTCTTCTGCAAGATGTAAATGTGACCATACCTTGCAGAGCATATTTTCAACTAAATAGCTTAGCATCATAGCAGAGTACCAATGCGCAGAAAAGCCAACCAACCTGGCCTGCCGATTGCTCGCTCAGAGGATTGAGAGTTTGTGTGCGAGTCTGGAAGAACAGCATTATTGGCGGGTGAAGCAGAAGGTCCAGGGCCTGCAGAAATGCCATTGGCAGGGCTGCCAATAGGGCCTGTGGCCGCCGGTCCTGCACTTCGTGCCAGTCCAATAGATGACATGGCCCACCCCAGACCAGAGCCTCCCCACGCTGCACTGCTGCCCTGCGCCTGACACATGCACGCATGTCTGGCCTTTCCTGGGACCTACCTACCTCATCGCCAATCTCAAGAACTGAATGAACATCAGCAATATGCCTGGTTCAAGGGCCTTTCCCCCTCATGAAGCACAGGCAGCACCTGGGCATTCGACTGGCTGCCGGAAGCATCTCCATCAGATGCTGTTGTGCTCGCCTCATCCAGCATCCGCGAGTTCTCCAGCAGAATCTTGGTGAACGTCTGCAGCCCTGCAAGACTCATGCTCCGCACCTGTCCGCCACCCCAGGATACCAGTGGGTCCTGGCTCAATATCACACAACTCAGAGCGATTTCAATAGAAAATAAACGGCGTCGCACCTCAGCGATAGGGTCCACAGACAGAGGGCCAAGAGCTGGAATAGCTCGCAAGGCAATCTCCTCAGGCGAGTGCCGCGATGCAGTTGCCAGCATTGCCTGGGTGTATCAACCAGAACAGCTGTCAGACACGGCCATTGAGCTTGCAAATACTCCTTGTGCATTGGACTGACTGGAAGCTTGCGCAACTACAATGTACCATTAGGGGCTCTGGGCTTACCCTGACACCGGCGATCCGTGCTGGCGGAAAGGTGTCTTTTAGGGCCCTTGTGAAGGCATTGAGAAGGACCCGCTTGCAGGCAGCTTCGCTCAAGTGTGATGCAAGGTTGCCCAGCAAGATGGTTGTATTTGCACGGATGCCTGGCTCCTCATCAACCTGCACGGCAGTAGCTCTGATGTAAGGCGACGTAGTGCCTGCTCAAATTTGTTCAACCTCTTTAACTGCAGAAAAAAATGCAGGCTGGCACAGGAGCTGCACCCTGTCATGACAAAGGAAAATGGAATCAGCGCCAGACCTGGAGCTTTGCAAGGAATTTGAGCAGGGACTGGGCAATGGTCTTCTGGGACAGCTTGGGCGCCAGAACCAACATGCTCTTCAGAGTGAGCTCCCTCAAGTACGCATTGCTGTCGGTAAATCCTGTGGCCACATGAGGGTACACCCGTGCTTCCACTACAGCCTGCACACCAAGCAGCACCTAAGATGCCATGTATCAGTACAACATGCTCTGACAGTGACTCAATGTCTGCTTCCCTTCATGATATCTTACTCTTTCTTGACCAGGTTTACCTGTGTGAAATGACTGCCATAGGAATCAATGGATTCCAACAGGCTGCGCCGGATGGTTCTGTCATTTGAAGCAAACAGCTTGGACAGTGCAGGCACAACTTGCGCAGCAAACTGATCCTCAGACAGTGTCTTGCCAATCTGCAGCAGAGCACCGAGCGCTACAGCTGGTGCACCCCCAAACTCAAGAGCGCCTGCTAGCATTGGCAGCACCTGCATTGCACAGCATTATTGGTCAGCACGCAACTCCATCCTTGGTTGGCAATAAGGAAGTGTCATCAGCTGCACAGCGTTCCCATGAAATCATCACTACAATAGACTTGCACACCTTCCTCTGCACCACCGGCAGTGGCAACGTCGGTAAGACCGTTGGCAGACGCTTGAAGAATGAGTCTTTCTCGTTGGAGTCCTTCACAGCAAGCGACTCCATGAAAGAGATGGTGTCCACCAATTTTGTTCTTAGAGCTGAGGACTCGGCCAGCTTAGCAGTGTTCAGCCTGCGCGTGGGCTGAGATGCCAGAAGGCGCTGGTAGTCCTGTGCACACCAGCCCAATGTGGATGCACAGCTCATCTGATTAGGCACTACAGGAGTATCTTGATATATGCATTACCTACCCACACTCAATTGTGCTCAGAGCCACTCCTGCACATACCAGATAGCCAACACGAAGGTCCCTGCAAGCTCACCGGTAGGAGCCCTTTCGAAATGGAGGCCACGTTTCGGAGGTCCTCAGTCCGAGTCAACATCTGGCCGCTGTAGACCTCCTGCATCAGGCATCCCAAGCCCCAAGCGTCCACCGCCCACGGGGGTGCTTGCTGCACGGCTTGCCAGTCCGCCTTGCCCAACTGCAGGAAGGCCGTGAATTGCACGTGAGGTATAAATCGAAACACAGTGTATCTGCAATGACGTGTTTGCTCCTCCATGCACCACACCTCAGCCGGTTTGTACTGTGCTCCAACCATCCAAGAGGCGTGCATGAGCGGCCAGTCAATGCTCGTCGCTGGCTGGTGCTCGCTCAACATATCAAATCCGTGCAGGCGCCAATCCAATGATGGTGTGACAACAACGGCCCGCATGCAGACATTCCCATGAATCTGCGCAACAGGTGCACTGTCACAAGGTGTGCTGTTTTGGACAAGGTGATGCCTCAGTCCCTGATCTCAGCCAGGCATTGCAGCGCAAATCTTACCAATTTGCAGTCATTATTGAGAAAGCCCACAGCTTTTGCAATGTGGAACAAGCCCATCGCCACAAATTCCTCCCTGCAACAGCAAACACTTGCTGTCAGCACTGCCAGAAGGTCCATCAGCTTGTTGACAAGCGGCAAGATGGCAGACACGCACCTGGCAGGCCCTGCCACATCAAGCTCCTCCAGAACATCTATCAGAGGAGTCACTGGCTCAGTGATGATGTAGATTGACGTGCAGCCCTTTTCTTCGACTTCTAATGTATCCCTCAGTGCAAGGACATTTGGGTGGCGAACCTGCACAACAAAGATGAAGTATGCGGTCCAAACGTTAACAACTTCCCTTCCGAAAAGTTTATTTTGGGCAAAAAGACAGTGTTCATCTTGCAATAGGGGTTCCCAAAAAGGGGCTACGTGTAACATTAGTTGATGTCTCGTACTGAGAGAAGCTGGTTCATGTAATAGATGAGCCCTACCATCTTCAACCGTTTGACCCCGTTTCGAGCAGCCTGTAGGGTGCGGTCATTTGCATTTGTTGAGGACACCTTGAAAATTGATACAGCACTACCATCCTCCCTCGTGGTTCCCTCGTAGTGAGTCCAGGAGGCACCCCAAGCAACTCCATACGCCTTTCCAAGGTTGTATGGGAATGAAGGACTGCTGCTCACCAAGGCGGTCAGCTTTGCAAACATCTTGTTGATCAAGAAACGTCGTCTTTCGAATCCTTCTTGTGACCGAGGTCCTGCCTCTACTTCCCGATGGCACACATTTTGAGATTACACACAAGAAAAGATGAAAGACTTAAGGCAACGGTGAGGAATTTGCGAGCAATGCCCACTGCACAGGCGCGGCGAAGCTGAGCATTAAAGGATACGCTCTTGGAGCTTTGAGACAAAAGTCTCTGAAAATGCTTGCGAATTCCTGGAAAAAAATGTTGGTTTGACCTCAGCACTGATGTTATCAGGGACATTAACGTTAGCTGCGATGGCTTCAAACGATGCCAGAACGTTGCCAAACCCCCAGGAAGTCTGCCATCAACTTCTGGGATTTCTGAAAGACCGTCTGACTTGCCTGCAGACTGTAATCACTGATAATAGGCAATCGATTTCGAGAGCGCCTGTGACCATTTCCAGAAGCGATCGCCCCGATCATGTAGAGAGACTGCCACCATTTGCTGAGTCATCATACCAAAGGACGAACCTGACTGTCGACCAGAGATCAGCATTATCAGGGCAGCATTTCACGAGTCCTGTGACGAAAGAAGATCTGGGACGTGCCACGTGGTTGCTACTCCACACAGTAGCTGCCCAATATCCTGCCAGGCCCTCTAAGCAGCAAAGGAAGGATGTTGCAGCCCTGGTGCGTTTGACTTGCCTTCAGGATCCCAAACCGGCTACAAGAGGGGGTGATGTTTCAGTCAGGACACATGGTGCAGGTAGACACATTGACGAGGATTTATCCATGTGGAGAGTGCGCGAATCACTTTCGAGATATTGTCAGGTGAGACGCCCTCAGAACATGAATTACAGAGCGATCAGCATCATTCTCGAGTATGGCAGTACCAATCGCTGGATGCGTTGCGTTGAGTGGTACAGGAGCAAAGCGCCAGCCACTAGCAGCGCAGAGGAGCTGCAGCAGTGGGCGTGCGAGGTGCACAATCTCGTTAATGCAAGTCTGGGAAAAGCGAGCTTCAACTGCAAGCTTGTGCAAGCTCGCTGGAATGGATTAGACTGCGGCACTGATATGGCATGCGACATGACATCCAGGGGCACGCATGCTCGTCCGTTTTCATGAATGCAGGCACGCTGTAATGAATTAGCAGCTGCACCATTGATAGCTGGCAACTCTTGTGAAGTCTTCAATCGTAGAGAGGGACTGGAGATCAAGGACATGCACCGATCAGTGCCTCACCTGGTAAGAATGTGCCAGGTAGACATGCCGCCGAGCACAAATATCTCGCCGCATGGTTTCTGAGCATCTGCCATGCCATACCGTATGTGACAGGGGTGGCATCATGCTCAGCATGCATGCACAGCTAACAGCCAGGGACACAATGCTCAGATCTGATTAACCTATCGCCTCATTTCTTGCAAATCAAGGCAGGCACGTCGTGCAAATCGCAATAAAGGGGGGTTACAAATCACAGTGAGAATCTCCATGCATTCTTCCACTGCCTTGATGACTGATTGCTTGATGTCTGCCAATGTACAAAAGAAGGAAGCCTAAATTTGATTGGATTAAAAGATGCTTGCACCATAAGCAATGCAAATAGTACACGCATCATGATCGCTTTGGCGGCACTTGCGGCGGCTTCCCTTGAGGGCCAGCAGGTTTTGGCTGAGCAGGCCGCCATTGTTCCTGAACCGGTCTCTGAATGTATGTGTGCTCCTCGTCCTCCACTTTCAGTTTTGGCGGTTTTATTCCGCCCAGCATGTTGGTCCCCTGTTCCAGAAGAGGCAAGCAAGGTGTGAACAGTACATCAGAGAGATCTGCAAAACAGAATTCGTACTCTGCAGAGTTCATTTATCATTCCACAATGAGTGCCGATGAATTGAAGATAGCATAGAGCCCCCACCTTTTTACTCTTCCCTTTCTTTTGGACAAAATTTCTCCACGTGCCCACCTGGAACCCAAGAAGCTGTGAGTTAAAGAGCAATTATAAGAATGACAGAATCCGCAGGAAAACTTTTGCACAAAACGCACTCACCATGTACAAGCAGTGGGAAAGCAATGGTCAAGGACGGGAAGAATACATACCCTGTTCTCTCTCGTCTCCTCCCACTTTTTTGTGTGCTCTTTTGTTGCCTTCATCTTTTTCCTTGTCTCAGCCTCAGACTCTTCTATTCGCTCCTCCTCCTCTTTCAGCTGTACAGCCAGCACCATATGTTAATACCGACTCTGAAAAAACCAATCTATATGTGGGACGATAACTGGGATGACACCACTACCGCACCCGCTTTGTGAGCTTCCTGCGGCGCCACTCATAGCGTGCCAGCATGTCCCTCGACTTCACCTTCCATAGTTCATGGAACTCCTCTGTGTGCTCCCATTCCGCTTCAACACCCTCCCTGCCTCCCTGACACAACCCATGCAAATGTTCCTTGACAACAATTTCATTTTCACCAGTAGTGCACTGACAGGAAGGTGAAGTGAGCTTTCATAGCAGAAATAATTGTACGTACTCCAAGTACCTCCCAGGTGGCCTACCTCATGGATGACACTGGCAAGGCGCACAACCGCATCATTTTTTGTCTTCTTTCTGCGCTCCTTCCGCACTTCATCTGCATAGGAAATCCTTTGGCTGTCAGTGTGGTTACTGGAAAGCAAGCTTGCCCAAGGCACTCACAGCGCAAAGAGGGCCAGCTCACCTCGAGCAAGGTTCAGAGAGTGTCGGAACTCCCGCATGAAGTCCTCGTTGGACAACTGAGAGTTGGCGTGTCCAAGCACTTCAAAGGCGCTTGTTGCCAGCGGGTGTTTGCATTTGTCTGGATGAATAAGCAAGGAAACTTTGCGGTACTGCCTTTTAACCTCGTCTTGAGTGCAATCAAATCGAAGGCCCATCTGCTCAAAAGGGTTGAGCTTGAAAGCTCCCAAGATGCGGTTGACCTCGTTGTCACGATCCACTTCACGTACCTCTTGGAAGAATGACTGGAACATAACAGGCATGCATCAGATTCCGGTGAGATTCTTGACAGGTGAGGATATGGGCAAGAACTGCAGAAGTAAGTGAAATTGGCATATTGGTCCTTCAGCACAAGGATTCGATTACCTTCAACAGTGCTTCCTCTTCTTCAGGGCTGATACCGGGCTTTTCATCGGGCCATGGATCTACGTCGCCAGAATCAGCTACTTCTTGTTCCTCTTGTGAAGGTTGTGCTGGTTCTTGGACATCTTGGATTGCCGGGGTGTTACTGGCTGCGCTAGGCCTTTCAAGCTCTACTTGTTCTCCCATATGTGAAGCTTCAACGCGCTAGGGCAAGCACTGGGCTCAATGTCTCGGTGTAGAAAGATTACAGAATCTGCTTCTGTCTGAAGTTCACAAGCTGCACGTTTTTCACGCCCAAAAGGTTTCCCTCTGCTGCTCCTATTCCCCACACAAATATTAGATGGATTGAACAATTGCAACACGCAAAATTTGTCCAGAAATGTCTCCCAAGAAGCCATCAGGACCAGGGGCTGCACACGTGCCAGCAGACCTCAAGCTATTGTTGGGGCTGCTTCAGCCGTTCCTCAACGGCTGCTTATTCTGACGATTGAATCTCAAAATTCACAAACACCTTGACAAAGCTTTCTGTGTCGCATACAAGTAGCGACAAGATCAGCTCACCCCGTATATCACACCTAGTAACTAGCCTACTCCGCGGCATGGCGAACAATGGTCTGAGAGCAGCAGCAGGGAGAGTCCTAAAGAAGAGCTCTAAGCAGGGCATTGGGGGAAACTCTGGTCAGTTCTATCTCACAATTTCGATCTGGCACAGTTTTCAGTTAGTCTGTAGCAACCTTTGGACCCTTTCTTCACTCTTTCACGCTGCACACTCGCTCAGATCACCTTGCTTGCAACAGGGATCGAATTTCTCAAGAGCAAGGGACAGCATATTCTAAAGAACCCGCAGGTTGTTCAGTCCATCGTGGACAAGGCAGGAGTGAAGAGCACAGATGTGGTGCTGGAGATAGGTCCTGGTACTGGCAATCTGACTTTGAAACTCCTGGAGAGAGCAAAAAAGGTCATTGCAGTTGAAGTAGACCCCAGGATGGTGCGTCCCACTGCCTCCCGGCCCTTGCTAGACAGTACTGCAAGCTCAGCAGAGGGCGATCTTTGGACTCTGTATTCTGCAGGTGCTGGAACTCCAACGCCGAGTGCAGGGCACACAATTTGCATCACACCTGCAGGTGAGGCAGCCCAAATGGTGTCATCTCGAAGAGTGTGTGTCCACTGGTCTTGTGGATGCTCAGAACAACTGAGAAGCGGTGGAGTGGGGTGCTTGTGATACAGATCATCCAGGGGGATGTAATGAAGCAGGACCTTCCGTTCTTTGATATCTGTGTTGCCAACATTCCATACCAAATCTCGTCGCCCCTCACATTCAAGCTGCTGGCGCATCGGCCAGCCTTCCGGGCTGCGGTGATCATGTTTCAGCACGAGTTTGCCATGCGATTGGTTGCACGCCCCGGCGACAGCCTGTTTTGCCGCCTCGCTGTCAACACCCAGCTCTTGGCTTGTGTTTCGCATCTGCTGAAGGTGAGTGCCTAACAGCATGCTGTCATCATGAATGGATGGGTCCTGTTCACTGTCGCAGCTCCGTACTTTGCTGTCCTTCATACTTGGGTTCAGCGCATCACCTGTCTGATGCAGGTCGGCCGCAACAACTTCAGGCCGCCGCCAAAGGTGGACAGCAGTGTGGTGCGCATAGAGCCGCGGCATCCACCACCGCCAGTGAACTTTCGAGAGTGGGACGGTCTTGTCCGTGTGTGCTTTGGAAGGAAGAACAAGACTCTGGGAGCTATTTTCAGGCAGAGCAGCACACTGGCACTTCTTGAGGTGAGTAACTGTCCACCGTGTTCACATTTGGCCCTTTTCACATGCGGGCTATCATTCCAAATTTGTCTGGCATTTGAGTGAGTTACAATATTTTCCAACCAAGATTTTGGTTCCTTTGTAGGCAAACTACAAGCTGCACCAGGCGCTTGCAATCGACAAGACTCCTGGCAGTGCTGGAGTTGCGCAACCCAGTGATGGGAGCAGCTTTGCAGACACCATGATGGAGGAAGCAGGCTCTCTTGGGGATGGAGATGAAGACGAGGATGCTGAAATGGCCGTGGCTGATCAGCAGGTACTGGCTGCTTGTTTGTGTTTGCTCATGGAAAAAGCACATTTTTCTCCTCAATATGCCACAATGAATGCTTGAGAAGTATATGGTGCGATGCACTGGTGGGTGTATGCAGCGGACCAAGAAAAACCAATACAGCGAGGGATTCAAGGAGCTGGTAATGGGGATCCTGCAGCAGATGGGATTTGAAGATCGGCGGAGCGCAAAGATGACGCTTGACGATTTTCTTCTCCTCCTTGCAAAGTTTAATGAGTCTGGTGTGCACTTCAGTTCGTGATAACCCTGATAGCTCATCAGGGAAGGTTTGTAAAACATGAAATGTCAGTTACATTTAGCTGCGTGAGAACATCACCGTGACTAATAAAAGGTCTGCATAATGGATGCATGCATGTGCTGCACCATGAAGTAACGCATGCACCTGCGCATGCGTATGCGTGCGATGATCTTAATTGCTATGTTATGGATGCGCTCAGGAACAGCCACCTGTTCCTTTGTACTCAATTTTGGCTCTGCAGGTGATTTGAAAGTGTCAAGACTTGAAAGTGCAAATCTGATGCAAGCTCGAGACCATCATGGAGATCTCCCAGATGATCTTCTAATGTTTTTTTAACACGTGTGCACATGTACAGTGCTTGGTGTGCTGCGACTAATTAGTTATAACAGACCCAAATATTTAAATCCGAGCTGGACATGTGATGTCATATGGTCTCCAAATTCGACATTCACAACTTACACTCCATCAGGAGAATTTTTCTTTTTCAAAGTCAAGAGAGAGCAGGCCATCTGCCTAATTGAGCCGACCTGTCAGCGACAACCTCTGTCCTCATGATCAGGACAGGTGACAAAACCCTTCTTTTACAGGTCAGGGGCAATCTTTCAACATCCTGCAGCTATTTTTTCCATTAAAAGGAGAGTACGGTGATACACCAAATGTACATACGGAACGTATCAGTTTGAACGCTCTATTTGGCTGGACACAGCTGCTTTTGTTGCGTCAGCCTGTGCCCGCTGAGCTCGCAAGGCCTTGAGCACTGCGTGCTTTGGTACCTTCTCACACTGATACTGAGCGCCATAGTATACAGGAAACACTACCTTCATGACCTGCACAGCAAAGCTAGAACCCCCTCAAAAGACTGTCATTATCCTTTAAACAAGCAGCTGTAAGAAAGGCAAAACTCACACAACATCTGGACAGGGTGACCCTGGAAATATTAATGCATTTGCAATTTCAAGCAATGACCACTTTGCACAGTGTGCTTGGCTATGTTGCAAGCTTACCTGCCACGCAAAGGACAGGTAGAAGTTGTAATATACAGGAATGAACATGATCAGCACAGTGATGGTGAAGACCGCCTGAACAAGGCCTGCACAACAATTGAGACTCACAGAATACTCACCCAGACAGGTAGGGCAGGACCAGGAGACAAATACTTGGCTCATACCAAAAAACAAAACTCACCATACATGCACACCCTCCTTGCTATGCTGCCTTTCCTGACCAGTCTGTTCCACACATTGTTGCTCTTGGCTGCCCTCCTGCAGGCAGTCAATTGTCTTGCATTCCCGCGAACATACCAGACAATGACCAGCAAAAAACAATCTCTATAAAGAGTTGAATCCTTTTGCTGAATTCCTACCTCGCCAAGGCATTGTAGCTCGTGTCATATCCATGCTTCTGGATGATCTGTCTGCACATCACCTACCAGACAACACACACGACTCCAATCAGCTCCCCAGACAACACTCGTCACCTTCAATGCATGATTAGCCAAACACATGTCACCTCTCACCTGTACAATGATGAAATACATCAATTGCCAGATCACATAGAACACCAAAGGCGCTCCAAAGATCCAGAAGATGCCAGCAGGCTCTGCTACCGCCACTGACTGCTCACCACCAACCACGCGCCGCCAGACACTCAGCAGCGACTCTGGCACCGGTGCGTACCGGTGCGCAAAGAGTGCCAGGCCTGGAAGCAGGTGTATAAGGACACTGCAGCACACAAGGAGGTTGAGAAATGCGGACCATTCTCTAATTGTCCATGTGGTACCTCGGAACAACAAAACCATTGTGCCAGTGGATTTCACACCTGATGGAATGCTCCGTTGATCCAAATACCCATGCGCTCTGCCAGGCAATCAGTGCGGCAGCCAGTGGCCCATCCGCCAGAGCATATACTGCAGCTCCAAGTTGATGGTTGTGGGGTGCGAACAGCAGGAAGGCAACAGTGGCAAGATTTCCCCACTGCGAGCATAAGAGCAAAGTGAAACTGACATCAAAATTACCCCAATGGATGCATCAGGGCGCTCTGAGCATGTCTTGCACACAAGCATCTGCATATCTTGGACAGGCCCACTTCCACAACAAGTCAGGTGCATGGGGGGAGCGTGCTACTCACATAGCAGAAGTCCAAGAGGAAAAACCCCCATTTGCGCTTGGTGAAGGTGTACACTCGCCAGGGGAAGCAGACAGCAGCGAAGATCAGATAGCAAGCTGGTAGTAGGAATGGTGCTGCCCCAGCAACGAACAGCCCAAAACCGAAGACCAGGGCCCCCGCGGCGTACAGATTCGACTCCTTCCTGCTGCCAATGTCCTTCAGCAGCCGGTTGACGTCGGTGGAGATTGCTGGTTGACCGTGCTGTAATCTCTGGGGTGCGTTTTGCTTGTGTGCTCGCTGCAGCGACCGTCTTAGTGCATCGTAGCTCTCTCGTAATCTTATGCCATTCTCCCTGAAGGCTCTCAAAGTGGGGCTGGAGGCTCTAATGTCTCCCAAGACCTCGAGCCCCACTTTCTGCACTGTTGATTTCCATGTTTCAGAGCTGTGGGGCGATGGTCTGTGCCGCCGTCTGCGCCGTTGCTTATCGCTAGAGCTGCTCATTCTACCCCTGTGCTGGCTGGACATGATTTAGGCACAACGGCCACCATGAACACAACTGTGGAGATATTATTGCTCAGAATATTCTCAAAAGTGCGACAGCCACGTGGACGTGCTCCCTCGTTTTCTTGGAAAGGGTTCAGGAAGAAGCGCAACCCTTTTAATAGAAATCAGAGGGGGGTCCGCACAGCACAGCACAGCACGCCAGGTGCCGATGTCCTCCAAAGAGAGCAGATCCAGGGGAAGAGATCGTGCCTACAGAGCCCGTGATCGCCATGGAGGTTCTTGCTAGGGAACAGGATCAGGAACAGCCCGAAGTGGCCGAAGAACAGGCTGGGCCATATCCCATCGAGCAGCTGCAGGTAAGCATGCCGAAGCCTGCGTGGTCTATATCGCAAGCGCATTGATTGCATGTTAACGCATTCTTACTTGCAGGAGCTGGGAGTGGCGGCTGCAGATATCAAAAAATTGAAGGAAGGAGGTGTGAACACGGTCGAAGCTCTGGCGCACGCGACCAAGAGAGAGCTATGCGCTATCAAAGGAATGAGCGAAGCCAAGGTTGTGAAGCTACAGCTGGAAGGTGAGGGTAGCAATTTTTAAGGTCATAGAGGGGATCTTCAGACGAATGCCAGCTTCTGAGTTGGTTGTTTTTTTGCAGCATGGAAGCTGACACCAATGGGCTTCACAACAGCAGCAGTAGTAGCAGAGCAGCGTGGCGACATCATCCAGGTCACGACTGGCTGTAAGGAGCTTGACACGATATTGGAAGGTACGCCTTATGGGCAGAGGTGTGCGTAACTCCTAAAGGGTTTTGTGCTGCGGATTGGTTCTTACACACTTCGATAGCAGGTGGTCTGGAGACAGGATCCATTACAGAAATATATGGTGCGTAATCCATCCTCAGCCTTCCAGTGAACTTTAGCACAAGACTTGCATTGTGCATGCATTCATCACGATCTGCGCTTAATGCTGAGCAATGTGGTGAAGCACAGGCGAATTCCGATGTGGCAAGACGCAGCTCTGCCATACACTGTGCGTGACCTGCCAGGTATGCCCAGCAGCATTTGCAAATCAAAAGAAGCTGGTGGGGAAGGGATCAGGTGTATGAACAGAAAAGTGACAAGCGATGGACCTCCTGTGATTAAATCCACGGTGTCTGTGCAGCTGCCCATTGACATGGGAGGAGGGGAGGGGAAGGCCATGTATATCGACACCGAAGGCACTTTCAGACCACAGCGGCTGATGCAGATTGCAGAGCGGTGAACATTCACTCTGCTTTTGTGTCGCGCATACTGCATCTTTCCTTTGATGCAAATTCTGAATGTTGAGAATGAGTATCATCACTGCCGAGCAGGTATGGACTGATCCCCCATGATGTGCTGGACAACGTGGCGTATGCGAGAGCACACAACACAGACCACCAGGGACAGCTCCTGATGGCTGCTGCTTCCATGATGGCGGACTCCAGATTTGCGCTCATTGTGGTGGACAGCGTGACAGCCTTGTACAGAGTCGAGTACCAGGGCCGCGGAGAGCTGTCAGCAAGACAGATACACCTTGGTCGATTCATGCGCAGCCTGCAGCGACTAGCGGACGAGTATGGATGTGCAGTGGTGGTGACCAATCAGGTGACTCAAGAAGATCAACCATGTGACTGAGCATGCTCACCATCACCATTGCTAGCCGTTGACATTTGATGATCATGTGACGTCCCATGGTTCACCAGCGAGGTCCGCTTTGCATGCAGGTGGTGGCGGCAAACTTGGATGGGGCCAGTATGTTTGCGGGGCCGTCGGTGAAGCCCATCGGAGGCAACATCATGGCACATGCATCCACAACTCGCCTCTGGCTCAAGAAGGGCCGTGGCGAGAACAGGGTCTGCAAGATCGTTGCATCCCCATCTCTGCCAGAACGCGACGCGACTTTCAGCATTGGGGCGGAAGGCATTTGTGACGCCAAAGATTGACACCAGCTGCAGTGAATAGGAGGCCTTAAGTATCCAGCCGGTAAATTTTTTCAATGCTAGATTTCTCAAATTGCTTGGCTGCATGTATATGTTTTGGGCAACATATTGTCAGCCTGAGGAACACTTGGGAATTGTTTGGCAAATTCACTGAAGAATGATACGCATAGATCGTTAATGAATTGTCACGGCAATTTGCTAGGACACAGTCCAAGATCACAGTCCAGCATCCATTCTCTTCTACAGGGCTCAACCTATGCATAAGGGATTCATAAGTGCTGTTCAAGTCTCTACTTGCATGCCATGGGAAATGTTGCACGGTGCATGGCATAACAGAGGCACAGGCCGCCTGAGGCTTTGCCACAATGAGCTGGTAGACTTGTCTCTTTCTTGGTTAGTAATCTGGGCCCCTTGACAAGACTTCTTTCCTGGTAGGATGCAAGTACAAGGTATGCTCAAATTGGGCGACATATGAGCTCTTTGTGTCACAGAGCGGCGGATATGGATCCAAAATACCCACATCGCAGAGGTTCTTCAATGCCATGAGGTACTTTGTCTCACCCAGCCGATCCAGGTACCTGGTCACCATGGCACAAACTCAATTTGAGGGAGTTCACCTCAGGAGCAGCGCCTCAATATGAGAAGCACATATAAGCACCGGGTTACTGAGAGGGGTCAGCTCAATGATGGCCCACCTTTTGCAGAAAGCCAATGTGCCAAAATTCCGATCGATCACGTTGAGGAGAGCCTTGGCCCTCGGCAGACGCAAGGGAACGTGCCCCACATCAAAGTTTTTCATGTAATGGCTCGTGTCAAGGTCCTCGTGCACGTACCCCCTCCCTGCTCACAGCAAATGCACAGTGAGAGACAACAACACATGCCATACAGAAACCTGGCAGCTCTGCGAGGAGAAGTACTAGGACGGCTTTCTCAGGGGGACAATTCCCCTCATCAGTACGCTGCTGGCCAAGATATGTTTCAGACAGAGGCCAACAAATCCGCACCTGTGGAGCCAAAGGTCTCGATTGCGAAGTACTCGCCCTCTTCCATGCGAGTGGCTTCACCTCCCTTCACTATTGGAACGCTCTTGCCGGCATGGATGCGGTAGGGAGCAATGGAGTGGCCGTTCAGGTTCCGCACGCACTTGACCTGGTACACCTTGCCATCCAGCTCCACCTCGTGTGACTCCATGACCTCCTGCACTGCTGCGCCAATGTCGCACAGACGCACATCTATGCCAGCCTCCCTCACGCCTGCACCAGTCAAATTGCAGGAACTCTTGCTGCGGCTGTGGGGCACAATTACTCAGTCTTGCTGTCAAGACAAACTTGCTTACCAAAAACTCAACACAGCTGTGCACACACCTGTATCTGTTGCCTCCCTCACTGCCTTGAGGAGAGGGTTATAGCGTGGGTTGAAAGCCACTGTGAATGCACTGTCGATAATCCTTCCGTTGATCTGCGTTCCAAAATCTGCAGCGAAGGAAAGCACAGGCTGAGCACCAGCAGGATATTATCTTCCACAAGCCTTCAAGCACTAAGTCAGAGCACAGATGCCAGAGCAACACAAGCAACTCAAGCCTTACCGAGCTTCATGACGTCATTGTACTGCAGGACGGATGTATCATTTGCATTGGGTGTCCAGTGCGCCGCAACATAATTGAGGGAGCACCCGGTGGGAAATGCAATGCCAGCCTCCAGGCCATTCTCAGATATGAGCTGCCGGACGCAATTCTCCAGGCGTTCGCACAAATCCGTCATACCAATGCCCGGTTTTGCAATTGTCCGTATGTATTGGCGGACCTGCAAGCAACCGCCACATTTCTTCCAATCTGCAATCACTGCCACTTCCATGGCAGGGTTATCAACCCAATGCAATTTTTGCCGATTCTTCAAAGCTAGTCTGGGATCCATCAGACCTGGCGGTGGACTTCTGCAGCTTGCCGCACTTCATTCAGGATGTCAAACTCAAGGCGTTCAAGCTCCCTTTTCTCTTCTGACGTCTCCCTCCAGCGCTGACTGGTACCAAAAGCAGATTGTCAGAAACTACCGAAAGCAGGACCCTCCCCCGGGAGGGGCCCTCAGCCATGTGGGAATAGCAATAGTACACTTCACATAGGGGTGAAAGGACAATTGTGATTGGCGTACTCGTTGTTGTACGACTGTCGCTCCCCTTCAGGAAATATCTTGGAAGGGAAAAGGTCCGCCACAGGAATGGATGGGGGCTCTGTTTGCTTCTTGGGGCCTTCGCCTGCAGACACAACACATTATCGCATGTAAGAGCAGGGATGTCCTCGTGTCGGAGTTCCCTGACCAGTACAACTCCATGGTCACCCATCCTCACCTTTCTTTGCAGATCCATTGCTGTTCTGTGAAGGTGCTGCTGCCTCCTGGGCACTAGCACCTGCACAGCACAAGCTCTTCAACTGTAACTTCCTAGGCATCATAACATGCATCACGATCACATGCATCATCACATCCAAGAAGGCAAAATGGCACACAAATAAACAGAGATTGGGCACTTGCAGGATGCAGATGCCATGTTGCTTCTAGACTTGCTTTCGCCAAGCAACATACCCTCGTGCCCGATTGCTCCAGGTTCATTTTTCTTTCTCTCGGCTGTAGCTTTCTTCTTAAGCCTCTTTTTCTGTGACTTGGACAATGTGTCTCCTGGGAGATCCTGTGCAGCACCCTAAATCACTGCTGTAACACTTCACAGGCAAAGTGCACTCCCAACCTTGAACATCCGTCATACAAGCAATAATAGGAAAGCAATTCCATGTCCACTTTTTATGGATATCATACATAAAGGAATTTGCCATCATGGATAACCGCGGGGTAGCGTGTTGCTTCTCTTGCTAGCAAGAATAGTCGCGATCTGAGATTTCGAGTTCGTGTCTAATATACTATTCTTGAAATCAGACGTCGGTACAGTCGATTCCCAGCATTGCATTTGAAAGCTTAGGAGAATCTATAATGACGATGAAGGAGCGTACTTGCTCCGTGTCTTTCGCCTGATTTGTGATGTCAACAATTTCTTCCTCCTTAGCGCTTTGAACCTCCGTCGTCGTCATTCCAATTCAATTGTCAGACACAAACAATCAGAAGCATTTCCCTGTCGAATGTTCCTCGAATGCTCGCGACAATACGATCATTTCTTGTTGGTCCAGCTTGGCAGGGATGGCCGCCCGATGAGGTGTGGCCAAACTTGGCGATGAGCTCTGTTTGAGCGGGGGTGTGCCCACGATGTGGCAGTGTAGGGAGAAAAAATCAAACATGAAGTTGTGTAAATTGAACCTGTATATCAAATGAGCACTGGAGGCGTGGCGAGCGGCACAGCAGGGATGTAGTGCGGCTGCACGCGCATGCTGCTGGCACCAATACATCATGATTGCATGCACGAAGTCACCACGGTGGAGTGACCCATTGATGCCTAGCACGGTGCTAATAGCACTGGCAGCGCATCTCGCAACATTCTTTACATCAGGCTGACACAGGATGGCAGGCCAACTAGAAGTGACTCCCAAAGTACATGTATCTTAATCATGATGCATTAACTCCCCGGGAGGGCCGCGGCGCACAAGCAAAGTCACACAGGCTGTTGCACTTTGAATGATCATCATGATAGCAGCCTGCTGAGTACTATTGATATGGATAGTATCTGAGCTACACAAGCAAGACTAGTACAGACAAGTATGGCTTTGTGCATGCTATGCCACCGTCAGCAATGTTGCGTGCATACATGCAGCCCGCATGCGCGCACCGGGTGCCGCATGTCGCGTCAGTGTTTCAACAAGGGCTTACTTCCACGGACTTACTTCCAAGGACACCCGTGCGGTTTGAGATGCCACCACCAGAGTCAGCTGCCCCTAGAAATCTGCCCGTACAGTTCCAGTTTTTTTAAATTCTTTACATTTCAAACGTAAAAGTACAAGATGTTGAAGATGATGAAAAGTACTATCATTATAAACAACAGTACCATATGGTCGCAAACCAAAAAAGATGCATGTTTTGATGACAGCAATATGAAAAGGATGCACATAATCGATTCTGTTTCCCAAAGTTCATTCACACTAGGAGTCTCAGCAGCACACCGATCCCATTGTATGTCAGCACAGGTCTTCTGCCAGTTCGGCGCTGGACCATTCTGAATGTCATTGTGATCTGTAAATAAATCTCTTATTCATATTTTCAAGCCCCAAAGGAGCCCTGTATGCATGACCATTGGCTCTGAGGAATAATAATGCGGAATATACCATGCAACATCTCTCTTCATCTTGCACTCCTGGAAACTCACTCACAATCCAAAGCATGCAGTAAACCCCCACTCCCAGTACCTCCAATTCCCATCTTTTGAAACCAAACCAGAAAATTCCCAACTGTCTTGAAGCAGACAAGTGTCCAATGCAGAGCAGCACAGCAGCAGAAGGCAGTCAAATGTGTGAAAGAAAGTCAATGCGGCAAGCGGCGTCGGCATTTGCTTTCCTTGGCGTCGACAATGGGCTGCCAGCAGCCTCGCTCTGTAAGGTGACAATTGGAGCTAAGTGCTCATTTCTGTAAGCCATGGAGAGAGAAACTGGTTGCTCCACCTCAAAAGACATGCCAACAGCCTGCGCACAGGGCTGTCCATTAGCAACCAACACCAGATGGCCACAATGTGTGTTTCACACTTACCGAGAGCATTTTTAGTGCATCACCTGAGGCTGCACAGAATTGGCATGGTTCCCTAGGTCTGCTGGTATCACGACAGCACCAGGCGGCACTCCCTGCTGCAGCCAGGTCACACTACTTCAAACTTCAGACGTTGAGAGGATACACAGGGAGACATCAGACGTGTGCAGCAAGTAATTAGGAGGCAAACCTGTCCAGGAATGCAACTTTCCTGCTGCACTGCAGGTCCCGAAGCATGTGGAACGCCGTTAAAGAACGAGAGCATCTTCGTGGAAGAGGCAGAAACAGAGCCAGGAGTCGCAGACGGAACACTTTGCAGAACAGTCCCGACCTGTGGGGCCATGAAACATATTGCTCACTACACATACTGTTGATAAGATCTGCAACCTGTACAAAACAAAAAGGGTGTGGCCCCATCCTTTTCATTTGACATATGTGACCCCCAAGCTGCACAAGAGCAGTATTGGAAGGGCATGAAAGTGCAAGACACATGCTGCACATTTAAATTCTCTGCAAAGCATATGGAGGCACCTGCTGAACTGAAGGATCAAGGCTGTGCTGAATTCCAGGGGCCATCTGAATGAGCTGTCCTGGGGCTGGGGCGGCCAGGTGCAGAGCTGATGGTGCCGCCTGAGCCATTGCGTGACGCTGCAATTCCTGGTGCTGTGCCGCAACATACTGCTGGCTTCCGTTGAAGAGCACATCACACCTTTCAGGCAGACTGGGCTGCGAATCTGCCATGGCCACGCGATCTTCAAAGCGGACCTCTGCGGCTGCAAGGATGAGCTGGCTGTCATCGAGCTCGCTGTGGGGAATGCCCAGGGCGGTACCCTGCAGAGGGGAGCATCCCTGGATATGAACTGCCTGCTGTGGTTGCATGCCGCTGACAACATGGTCGCGCTGCAGGCTTGCAGCACTCCGCAGATCGCTCATACTGCCGGCCATGGAGGCACTCACGTCAGCGTACTGCTGGTCAGGATGGTGCTGACGTGCACCCATCGGCCCCTTGGATGCAACAAGATGCGCCTCAGCTTGAAGCTGTTGGGCCGCCGCATCGAGATGGCAGGCCTCCTCAGCTGCCTGCTGGGCCTGCGCCTGCGCCTGCGCCTGCAGGAGTGGCAGATGCCAGGTGAGCCTGAATCAATATTCACATGCGCCGTAATGGCCAGGAGCACGGGGAATGGTCAGCCCACCTGTGCATTGGCATGCGCATGCGCTTTTGCCGTTAAGTTGTGCGCGTGAACCACCAGCTGCGATTGCGCCTGTGCATGCCCTTGCGCTTTTGCCTCAAGATGCTGCGTCTGCGCCACGACTTGCTGGGCGTGCTCACCATCTGCTTGCAGGCACACAATCGCTTGAACAAGCATACACAGCACATCGTGACCTGGCCAGGAGTTCTGGTATTCATGGTGCTACGGAGAAGAGCAACTCTGCAGCATACCATATTGAGCAGCACTCTTCAGATGGTGAGCTTGCGCCGCTGCTTCCATGTGAGCTTGAGCATGCACATGCGCCTTGGCAGCCAGGTGCTGTGCTTGGGCATGCGCATCTGCCTGCGCCTGAGCGTGCGCAACAGCCTGTGCCTGCATCAGGTACGAAGAACAGCTCAGCATTCATCGTTGTGGAATTGAACGCAATCAGACTCACACCTGGCATGTGGAAGTCACGTGCATTTCAGACTGCAATAACCGTCAGTACCTGCAGATTCTGTGCTTCCGCTGCCTTCTCCAGGCTCTGGGCCTTGGCCTGGAAGCTCTGGGCCTGCACAGCTGCTTGAACCTGCACAGGCTCCGATTGCGCCTGCTGACTTTGCTCTTGCAAGTGATCGGCATGTGCCTGCACGTCAGCAACACCTCTCAGTCATGAAGCGGCCAATCGGCATTCTCCACCTCGGTGGAAGGGGGACGTACACTTTCCCCACCTGCAAAGTGTTTCTTTCCTAACTGTGAGTTTCCCGCCCCGTACTGATTGGGGCTGCACACATGCAACTTGCCTTGAAATTTTGTGCCTGGGCTTTCAGCTGAGCCGCTTCCTGCGCAAGTGCCTGGGCTTCACTTGCAGCACTGCGCGAGGTTTGAGCAGGCGTGGCCGGGTGCGGAACGCTGCTAGCAGGTGTTGCCGCGGGAGGGCCGGACACCAGGACCATTGCTACGCCGCTTGCGCTCTTGACAAGGCGGCCATCAGCACTGGTGGTCCTAGCCACTGCATTGTCTTGAGGGGCCAGAGAAGCCTGCATCACGATACCGCTATCACGAATTGGCGACTCTTTGGCCGGCACAATGACAACCGATCCAGAAACATTCTTTGCTTGGCAGAGATCCATGGGGAGGTCCTGGATACGATTTTTATGCATGTGATAGTACCTGGCCACGATGACAGGGTGCGGTGTGGTGAAGCGCAGATGACGACATGGACATGGCCGGCAGCGAATTTCCAGCAACCCCGTTTGCATGCCCAGATATCTCTTGCTTCACGTGCATGCCTCCTTCCTGCAGGCTCCCGCCCCTTTGCCTGTTCCTATCTGCCTCCAACATATCCACTCGCTCTTGCAATGCCTGCAAATTATGAACATAGTCAGTCAGGCGTTAAGCATCTCAGACGCAAACACACGTCCTGGTTAAGATGTGCAAGACACAAGCAGTAGGTCAGGCGGGCTCTGCAACACGCACCGCCAATTTGCGCTCCCTGTCCTCACAGTGACGCCTGACATCACCAGACGCAATCCCTCGCACAATCTTGGCGAGGGTGAGGCGGCTCCTCTCCCCACGCTTGCCCACCCCTCCCAGGAAGGGCCCTAGCATGCGGCATTCATCTGCCAGCCTTTTCTCGTCCTCCTTTGTCTCCAGGCGGCCACTGAACCTGCCCTGCAAGTGTGGCCGGCGCGGCTGGTTCTTCAGCTGGCGCTTCTCAGTCGGGTCATCGCTGTCGCCCTCCTCCTCCTCAGGATCCTCAGCAGCTGCCTGGGGCTCGCTTGGCTGCGGGTCCACCATCAACGACGAAGGCCCACTCTCGCTGCCCATCTCCCCCACTCCAGCTGCAGCTCGGGTGGACCACGTCATCTGTGAGCGAGCCTGAGCACTCTGCTTCAGTAGCTGCTGTGCCCCAGAAGTCTCACTGGCTGACGAAGCAGCTGGAAATCCTGCCCCTCTCGACTGCGTGGCGTGTCTAAGGGGTGTCACTACTGTGTGCAGGGATGGATCTGACTCTGTCTGAAGAGTTCCCAGGCTTGGCCGTCTGTCTTCCAGTTTGATCTCCTGCGGATCCCAGAGGGGGTGCATCAAATCACGTTATTACCACCTCTCATTTGTGCATAGTATAGAAACGGTAATCGATTTTGAGTGAGGCGCTATCAGGAAGCACACCGTGTTAACTGTCGAAAAAGATCGCTTTTGACTGCCGCCCATGCCCCTGTCAGCGCCCGCAAACCAGCCTGCGCGGTGCACTGTGATTGAACATTTGAAGAAGGAATGAATCATCCCTCCGTCATTGGTCCACCTCTCCAGGGCTCACACGAAAGAGTGAACAGGAAACACGTGCTGACCTACACCTCCAAAATGCTGTACACAAGCACCGATGGATACAGGCACCATGAGTTGACGCGCACATTGACATTCACCAAGTACAAGCAATGCTGATACCTCATCCCCTTGACGCAAGGCAGAGGTGGACAGAGTTCAGTACTCACCTCTGGCAGTTACACCTCCTGGAAATTCGCACTCACTCTTTCATCGGCACTTGCAAGTGACATACCCGATGACCCGAAGCGTGCTTGCAAGATGTGTTTTTTTTGTACGGAAGTTGTGCCGTTGATGGGGTATGTCATGCACCACAGAGTTCTAATAGATACATATCCACTCTTTGCTTGTGGCTCTGCAGGGGGATATGTTGCCAGATTTGGCAAACTCTTGACCTATCGCCCACAGCTTCCCTCTGCTCCCACAGCTTCATCCAATGCGCCCTGGATTGCCCTGAGACCCTGTGCAACACACATTGCAGACAAAAATTCTGCGATACTGTCTGATGATCTCACATCCATTGCGTGTTCTCCGATCTGTCTAGCGAGCGCTGAAAGCCACCTGCGGACTCATCCAATTCTTACATCTCTGCATGGGGTCTCTCCTTTAGGAACCTCCGTCACCAAAGCAAGATGTCACTGTAAGTCGCGCTTTCCTCATGCAAATGCTCTCTCTTACAGGATCTTCTTGCAAGTCTTCTAAAATTGAAAACCGTGCTGTACAGGAAGCTAACTATTGCAGGATATCCATCGGTCTTAAAGACGCGCAGAGAGTGCATCAGCACATTACAATTTTTATTACGACGAAGAAAACAGAGATGAACGCACACAAGGAGAAGAAAGCCCCACACCACCTCAGCCGTGACGCCAGCGCGGCAGAAGGCTGGGTGGAGTCCCTGACAAGTCTGACGGATGACGTACAGGCAACCCAGCTGCTTGACGAGGGGAGCCCAATCAAGGTGTGAAAGTCGATCTGAGACTGTCCCCTGCATGCTTGCTTAGGTTGCCCCAAGGCTCACAGGGGTTTTCTGTTGCAGAGCAAGGCGCCTGGTGCTAATGCTGTGGAGGAGTTTCTTGGTAGCAATCATGGCTTGACTGAGGAGGAAGCTGTTGCTGCAACCTTGAGCCACGCATTGAAGACTCTATCCGATGAGGTGAGGCTCATATGCTGTTGTTGGATGCAAGCCAGCTCCTTCACCTTCTCTTTTCCTGAATTAATGATGAAATTACAGGTGCAAGCAGTGGGAGAGCAAGTTGTGAACGTGGGTGGATCTCATGGTTGGGGCCCTTGTTACCTCACAGATGAGCAGGTATGCCCATGCGTTTGTTAAATCTTGTCGGTGGACGCTGCTTTGCCAAATGTTGTCTTTGTAGTGAGCATTCTAGATACATGCCTGAATCATCAGCAAACCATGTGGGTGCCCATGCAGCTGGATCTGGTGCTGGTCCAAATGCGAGAAGCAATGCATGATGTCGGTGCGGAAGTGACTGTCTTGCGCCGTTCTGCACCTGCGCATCCGACGAAGTCTTCACCAGGTGCACCTGGGCTCCCCGGAAACACACAGCTTGCAATTTTTGGGTGAGATTTGTGCATAATCAATTGTTATGCTTTGCAGGAGGAGCGAATGCTGATGTGCTGGTCAGAAAGGCTGTTACAGGCATGCCTTTTTTAGAGATACGAGTGGCCGTGATTGGCAATGTGGACAGCGGGAAGAGCACTCTTGTGGGGGTGTTGACGCGAGGCATGCTGGACGATGGCCGTGGCTTGGCGCGATCAAAGGTAAAAAACCCTATAGAAACGATCAAAGCTGCTGTATGTATACAACTCAAAGCCACTGTTCAATACACAGGGCAATGATTCTTCGGCTATTTTGGAAGTGCTTCCTCATCTGCATTCCTTCTATATGATTGGCGGCCCTCATAAGCCAGGCAGCGCTGAACTCCTCACAAGTCTTGTATAGGAGCTGAATAGAAAGGCTTTGCAGGTGTTCAAGCACGGTCATGAAAGCGCGACTGGCCGGACCAGCTCCATTGGTCAACACAACCTTTGCGTAAGTTTCACCATGTGTTTTTGCTCGTGTCAGATTTGTCATGTCTGAAGCAATTTGACGAGCATATTGCAACAAGGTAGTTACAGTCAGCGCCTTGTTTGTGCCTGCAGCTTGGTGCCCACGGAGAGGTACTGAATGACGGCCTGTTTCGTACCCATTCATGTGCAGAGTACATTGCAAGGTCCAGCAAGGTGGTGACACTCGTCGATTTGGCTGGGCATGAGCGCTACTTCAAGACAACAGCATATGGCCTCACAGGCCACCTTCCAGACTACGCTTGCCTTATAGTGGGAGCCAATGCTGGTGTGCTACCCAAACCCACTCAGATGGGTTCTCAGCTTGGACAAATCTCTTTTGAATGGTTGGTGTTTGCAAGCCCTTTTTGGATGGACAGTTCTGGTCATTTACAAAATGCTAGAAGACGATACGTTTTTGCGCAGGGATTGTGGGAATGTGCAAAGAGCATCTGGGGGTTGCCCTTGCCCTGAAGGTGCCCGTGTTCTTTGTCGTGACAAAAGTGGACATCTGTCCGGGCCATGTCCTGCAGCACTCGCTTGCAACTCTTTCATCCATCCTGCGCAAGCCTGGGGTCAAGAAGAAACCCTTTATGGTGATGCCGTATGCTTGTGCCTGCCACACATTGACTTTGAGCAACAATCCATGTTTTCCAGTGATCGAAGTCGCTCTTGTGTGTCACCAGCATGCCTCCTGCAGGTCCGCACGCGTGAGGATGTGCTCACCTGTGCCAGGCACATCCATACTGACTCTCTTGCTCCTGTTTTTCTGACATCTTCCGTGACTGGTGATGGGCTTGAGCTTGTCAGGCTCTTCTTCAATCTTTTACCACAGCGCCAGCGATGGGCCGACAAGGTAAGTGGGTGCATATTTGCTGCGCAGAATGAATCATGGGCATGCCTAGGATCCCTGACTGCTGAAGGGCATTCGCATGCGCAGGTGAACGATGCAGTGGAGTTCATCATCGATGAGACTTTCCAAGTTGCAGGAGTCGGTGTTGTGGTGGCGGGCACTGTCAAGCGTGGGACCCTTGTTCAGGGCGCATCCCTGCTGCTTGGCCCTCATGCAGGGGACGCGTCCTTCAAGCTGACAGCCATCAAATCCATTGCCTACAAGCGCCTCCCAGTCACCAGGGTGCGCGTTGCCATTCTCTCCCGGCTAATTGCTTTGTAATGTGGCACAGGAATCTTGGAGGGTTGCAGGTCGCATGACTGATACCCCTGCCTTGCCTGCATTAGGTGGTGGCTGGACAAACTGCTGCTCTGGCATTGAAGCGTGTGAAGCGCTCTTCCCTGCGCAAGGTAATGAGCATAGCACAGGAATATTGTTTGGTGTTCCCATGTGCGAAAGCAACTAATGTTGAGGCAGCCTCCCTCACTTCAATTCAGCAAGTTGCTAATTGTGCGTGGGGCAGGGCATGGTGCTGGTGGATCCCTCCTTGCATCCGAAGGCATCGTGGGAATTCGATGCAGACATTGCCATCCTCACCCACAGCACCACTATCGCACCCAAGTAATACTAATTCGACTGACAATTTTATTCCTTAACAAATTTCGACTTGATTTCCTTACGCTGAGTATACAGTACAGTGGTTTGTTTGGTTGCAGCAGTGAGACATGTATTGCTTGCAGGTATCAGGCAGTCATCCACTGTGAGATTGTCAGGCAGGCTGCCCGTGTTGTGGCGATGGACAGGGAGCGGCTGCGCAGCGGAGACCGTACGCACTGCCTGCCTGTCTTGCACTTCTACCAACAGCCTCTTGTGTGATGCCAATTAGATCGGTGGGAGATCCACTGCCATTGACGTGGTTGCCATTGCTGCAGGAGCTTGCGTGCGGTTCCGATTCCTGCAGCGGCCCGAGTATCTCACGCCTGGCACAAGATTTGTATTCAGGGAGGGACGAACAAAGGGCATTGGTATGGTCATGGGAATTTAGGCTACCGCTACACTTACTCTGTCCAATGCACTACTTATGCTGCGTACAGTAGATGGAGCAACCTCCGTTTGACGCGTGTGCCAGACAGTCATCGGTGATGCAAGTGCGTATGTCATGCGTGGTGATGTCTGGCGGGAAGTGGCACCCATCTATGGAATTAACCCCATATATTCCTTAGCTTGTGCCAGCTGTAAGCCACATGGAGTAATATTCGAGTTTATACTTGTGTATACCTGACTCCTGTTTTTCTTGGTTCTAGGTGTGCCCTTACCCTCACCTAGCCACACTTGACTGCCTGTATACGTATGCAATGTGATCTAGTGTGCTCCTGGGCCGGAGGTGTCTTGTATGTTTACCCTGTTCCACTCACATTGCGAGGCAGCCCTTCCTCTTTATCTTTGGCGCTCGCTCTGCTTTCTTGTCAGCATACTATTTTCTCTAACTTGTCATGCTGCCAAGGAAAGGTCGGCATGCAGATTCTGTCGAGCCTCAGAAACATCTATGCTCGGGTTCAAACAGTCTTGGCGCGAGCTTACAGAAGACCACCCTGCCCAGGGCTTTAGGCTATCAATAGTTTTCCAGTGATCCTCCGATGTTTCTGTCTCACCAGCAGCCCCAACAATCCCCGTGGCTAACCGAACTGCGCCAGCATGCCCGCCCTACCTTCCAACCTTCATGTCATCCGTGGCCTTTTGCCTTAGTGTCTGTCCTCCTCACCATTCACAGTAGTTCATTGAAGGCTATCTGAAGGGTTTAGGGTTTCCAACCCCAGTATCCACCCTTGAACCTGAGCGGGTGTCTAGGACCTTGGACATGATGCCTCCTGCCTATCCCCGCCTCCGATGTGGTGGGTGTGTGTATCTGGTCGAGTTCTCGCCAGCCTACCTGTTTTTCGCCTCATTTGCGGCTTCATATCTCCCATATGCCACCGTTTGCTTGTGCCCCACCTTGCTGGCAGATTGAGGCATAGTTTAGGGTCACATTGCCAGCCCCGAGCGGCCCCTAGTGGTAATGGGTCCGAACGCGATCCTGTTCTATCCCTGTCGGCCAACCGTATCAACGTGCCTTTCATGTCTGTTCCACCACTGGTTGCCCGCACATCCATAATTGCCTGCCAGTGATTGATGATTGCCTTCTTTGCTGTGACCCCTGCCTCCAGCTGCAAGCCCTAGGCTTGCCCCGTGGGTCCTCCAACGTCACCTCAGCGGTGTTGCGTTGCCGGCGGGCTGGAGCGCGCCTCTGGGGATGAGGTTGCCCTCTGGTGCTTGGGACATGTCCATCGCTAGGAGCCTTTCTGTTGCCTTTCTGTGGTATGCCTTCATGCTTGCGCTTTTCTTAGGTATCGCATTATCCTCCTGCGGGAGTGCTCTGCGTGCCCCAACTCTGACAGGTTTCCCCAAATATCCTATTGCATGCGTGCTGGGAAGCGTGCGATTGGCACCTATGTAATAGCGGGGGCTCCCCCTTTAAAAAAAAAAAAAAAAAAAAAAGTCTGTTGTCTGGAAAATTTACATTTCCATATGGGACTCTCTATTCTCTATTGTACGTTACGACAGAAATTCGCACGCCATATGGCAGTGCACAATAAAATTAATTCATTGAAAGTTTTGCTACCTACCTAATGCGGACCATTTGTTTTATTGCGATGGAACAGGTAAAATACTTTGATATTGCCAACCGTGCACATGAACCGTGCCTCATCATGTTCGGGTGACGAGAGCCTGTACACTTGTGACGGGAGGACAACAGCCTCATGACATGAATGCCGGCCGTACGCTTGTCATCACCCACTACTTACTTCGACGCTTTCTAAAACAACATGTTCGAAGGCACGATTCGTGCCGTAAGACACGAGTACCCGTTCTAAAGGGCCATTAAGAGGCTTCGAGGTACCTTGATTACCCTCATCCTCAGACTGCAGCGCGTCAGATCACCAGCTGTACCGCAGCATGACCTTCACCACAGCAAGGTTGCCCAAATTGCCACCTGAAATCTATTAGGTCGGAAACTCGGCTGGATTGCTGGTATAGAGTCGCTACGCACCATGGAGCTGTGTGCGGTCGGTCAAGTGGACGACCATTCGACGTCAGTCGTTGCCAGCCTGTGACCCAACATACCTTGCCGCGAAACCTCTTGGATACGGCGTCACGCGGGGCACACGCTGGGTAGACCACAAGAGACAGCTGGAAGACATTGCCTTTCAGCGTGTTCGGGCCGCTATGCGGGGTCTGAAGTCGGACAGCCGGGCAGCTTAGGCGTGGACACCCACTACTGTGCGGCGAGTATCGCCGCTTCCTTCGCTGCTTCCGTGTTGAGGGCATGCAGAAGGTGGTGAGCCTCCTGCACTGCCAGCAGGAAGCTGCAGGTGTTGAGGATTGGATAAGCACCTGACAGCCCACTGATTGTGCTAGACCCCGCCGGCGCCACTGCACTGCCGCTGCCACTGCCGCTACCGCTACCGCCCCGGGTCCCACACCGTTGCCGCCCAGGGACCCGCGCCGATGCCGCCACCGGCCGCCGGCTGGCCACTGCTCACCAGCATGCAGACCAGTAGGTCATGGCAGTCATATTCCCAGCAAGCCCTCGATGCCCACGCACTGCGCACACCCCGGCCACGGCTTCTCCGGCCGCGGCCGCGCCGCTGGGGCGACAGTGAACCAAATTTTGTGGCTGACCTGGGCCACCTGGAACTCACAAAGGATGTGCCTTACGGCAATCAGCAGCCCGTGGAGTTGGAGGCGCAGGTCACCAGATGCTTGCTACAAGAAGCTGCAGGTGTGTAGATCACTCCTCACACCACTTTGTTTTGCTGTACTGGTGCACTTGCATGGGCTTGCGTCAGTATTATATGGACCAGAGACTGGCTCTCAGACAGCCCCTGCAACCCAGAGACTCTTCACCCCTGATTGCACGCCGCTGCAGCGGACGACGCAGCGCAGGATCGCTCCCATGTGCGACACTGCAGCAGCCAGCCCGATGGAGGCCGACAGTTCAGGAGATGCCGGCAGGCACATCATCACCGGCACAGGAGGCCACAGCAGCCCAGGTGCCCATTCCGTCAGCTCCGTCGCCGGAGCTGACGGACTTCAGAGCGCGCGCATCGAGTATTGCCGTGAGTGGCTGGCAGGGCACACTCAATTCTTCACCAGCGATCCGCCAGCTGCATAACGATGAGCCGCTTGCGCTGCAGCCAGGGATCAGCGCCACAGGATGCTCTGGGAAGCACTCCACCGAAGCCGGCAGTGACGGCCTGCCAGAGGACTCGTACGGGTTGCCCGCTTTGACACCAGCGTATCTCGTGCTCCCGGAGGTAGGTGCAACACCATCAACTGACCGCCCGCAGGGCAGACCTGTTATCCCACCACCGGGCTTTGCCGCCGCCCGCACCGCCCAGCACGCAGAGCAGGCCCCGTTTGCCGGCCTTGCAGCGCCGCGCCGCTCGGGACGCGCCAGGCAGCAGTCCCACGGGGTGGTGGCTGCACAGCAGCAACAGAAGCAGCAGCAGAGGCGGCCGCAGGATCGCAGGCATTCCACACCAGCCTTCTGGAGCGCGACAACTGGGTCGTCATCTCCCTCCAGGAGACTCACCACAGGTGTGCAGAAGAAGGCGCAGGAGGGGCCCAACAACGGGCTCCGCTGTAATTGAAGCGGGCCCGCATTCTGGTGCCGCTACACCTCCCAGTCGCGGCGTAGTGGTCCTCTTCAGGGCCTGCAATCCAGATATCACAGCGCGCAGCAGCAGCGCATCAGGGCGCACTCTCCTTGTGAACTGCAAATTCAGCGGCCAGCCGTACACGGTCTCATGCACTACGCGCCAGCAGCGGCAGCGAAGCAGCCGCATCACTACACGCAGGAATTGCATTCCAGCTTGCCAGCGGACAATCAGCTGGTGGGTGGGGTTTTCAAATGCATCGCTGGCCAGCAGGGCATACTAGACCCTGCAAGGCATCGCGGCCAGCGGACGCAGGGATACTGGACCGGCCTCCGGCGTATCGAGATGGATCACCAGCTCTACGATGTCTGGCGAGACCTCCACCCCAGCAGGCATGCCTTCACCCACAAAGGCACCTCAGACCAGTCAACAGGGCGGCTGGATCGCTGGCTGATATTGGAGCCACTGCGCGCAGGAGTCAGCCGCAAGCCGCTTGGTGGGCTACCCAGGAGACCACCTTGGAGTCAACCTGAGCCTCACCTCGCCAGCCAAAACACTATTCTTTGCTGTGTGCATGTGGGGACTTTTGATGGCTTGTCATGCTGTTTGGGCTTGCCTGCCTGCCGTGGGTGCTTCAACGCCACCTATGGGGTGTTGCGGTTGCAAATAAGTTTCCCACGCTGTACCTCTTCGGCCTCTGAGGGGCAAGTCGTGGATGCCCAAGCATGGGGACTCGACCTGCGGCCGGCACATGAGTTCGCGGTTAGGGAGGCCACCACGCGCCGCCAGGTGCTCCACAGGATCAGCAAGGGAGGCCCGCCCACTCGACTCGATGCGGCCGGCCATCTTTTTTTTTTTTTTTTTTTTTTTTTTTAAGGAGAACCCCTCTATTACAGGCATGAGGGTAGCGAACTTCCCAACACACACATAATAGGATATTTAGGGAAACCTGACCGAGTTTGGGGCACGCAAAACACTCCCGCAGGAGGATAGGGCGATACCCAAGGAACATCAAAGCAATGGGAAACGGCATGGTCACAATGACAATCGTGTTCAGACAATCAAGGACAATCAATCATCGTCGATGGAATGTAGGAAGGTAACAATAGGGCCTAACGCGATGACTAAGTCGGGCAGTCAATAACGCCCACTGGTTTGCGGGAAGCTAATCTCTTCAAAGTCAGTGACAAAGCATGGCAAGCTCATACAACACACCAACCCAGCAGTGGGTTGGGATAGGCAGGAGGTACCATGTTCTCAGTCCTAGACACCCGCTCAATATGATCACACATGAGAGTCATGAATGCACAGGAACAATGAGGAATGCACCGGATGACACAATGTGAGGGGAAGGACACGTGATGGACACACTTGATGAAATGATTCTAATGGGGTTGGAGACAAGAAAACACAGGAATCTGCTACCAGGACCCTGGGGAGAATGGGCTTCATTGAATGGGTGGCAGCGTCAAAGCTCTCCAGCGCGCCGGTGAAGAGGTGCACAGGTTGAGGGGCGCACGACTGAGCCGCCCGACCGGGAGAACCCGGTACATGAGAGCCGGCGGAGCATGTCTGTGGGGGCGAGGCCACAAGAACTGGTGGGCGAGGCCAGTGCCCCAGAAGGGAAAGGAAACCCCGGCCATCTGGGCCGACACCACGGACGATCAGCGCAGCGGCCTGAGGGCACTTGAGGCGCGCTGGCAGTCCAGAGCAGCGGCAGCGGGCACAGGGACTGGGATCCTGGGAAAGCGGCCCCGGGGGGAGCCCGACCCCTCCTCATACGCAGCGTGGATGCGCCCGTCGCGGCAGCGGCCAGCTCCGTGGCGGGATCGCCAGGTTCTTGCACTGGAGCCTGCAGGCGAGCCAGCACAGTCCCGGGGCCCACCTTCAGACACGGTGGACGCCGCCGCGCCCGCTGCAGGGCAGCCCGCACCTTGGGCGCATGTGTGGAGGGTCATTCACACTTCCCATCTTGACCGGCGGCAGCGCATCACGGCTTGGCGGCTGCTTCACGGCAAGCTCTTCGTCGGCGCCTTCTCACAGCACATCCGCCGCCGCAGCTGCGAGAGTCAGCCCGCCACACTAACCCACGTCTTCATCACTTGCCCCTTGGCAGCAGGAGTGTGGGACTGGCATGCAGCGACATGGGCAGCCGTCACAGGGGAGACCGCGCCGCCTCGCAGCACAGACCTGCTGCTGGCAGATGACACCAGGGTGTGGGAGCCGCCGCAGCAACTCAGGCATCGCTGGCAGCGCCTCCGCTTAGCTACCATCTGCCAGCTCTGGGCCGCCTACCAGCGCGGCCGTCATCAGCCAGACGCCCACACATCGCCCGGGCAGCTCGCAGCCCGCGTCTTGTCTTCCTGCAGGAAGGCTCTCCTGGCCGACTGGCGACTTGCCACCGCCAACATTCGGCTGTCAGCGGGCGTGCTCAGCGACTGGCTCCGGGGACGCGACCCCAGACTCAGCCGGGAAGAGTTCACAGCGCGCTGGTGCCACCGCGGAGTCCTCTGCACAGTGGACGCCCTGCCGGACGCACAGCCAGTCATCCGCTGGAGCGCACAGCGCACCCAGTGCCGCTGCCCGCTTGATGCTCTCCTCCACCACACATCGTACCCGGCCTGCCTTGGCCTAAAACAGGTGGCCTGCCTTTTTTTTTTTTTTTTTTTTATTTAATAGGGGAAGCCCCCGCTATTACACAGGTGCCAGTCGCACGCTTCCCAGCACGCATGCAATAGGATATTTGGGGAAACCTGTCAGAGTTGGGGCACGCAGAGCACTCCCGCAGGAGGATAATGCGATACTTAAGAGAAGCGCAAGCATGAAGGCATACCACAGAAAGGCAACAGAAAGGCTCCTAGCGATGGACATGTCCCAAGCACCAGAGGGTAACCTCATCCCCAGAGGCGCACTCCAGCCCGCCGGCAACGCAACACCGCTGAGGTGACGTTGGAGGACCCACGGGGCAAGCCTAGGGCTTGCAGCTGGAGGCAGGGGTCACAGCAAGCCTAGGGCATGCCAGGATGAAAGATTGCATCACATCGATTTCACACGATTTCTCCACCGATACACCAGCATCTTCAAGTTTCTCACTTGCATTGTGTAGAGAATGTTCACAGCTTTCGATCGATACCCCACTTGCCTACTTTTGTGCGTATTTACTCATTTCGACCACGACACAGTTGCCATCCCGCGAGCTCACACGTCCGGATAGCCTCCAATGTAGCTTATTTTCAGCCACTATCATCATCGACAATATATATACATATTTTACGCGAATGTTACCCGTCTCCACTGGACCAGATGCGCACAGCCACCTTCCTCACTCTACACTAGCGACTAACACTTTTCCACTATCCCCATGGTCACTCGCTGCGGGACATATATTATGGGATTCGATGTTGTTCTCCTGAATTCTTGAAACAGTTGTGCCTGTACTTTATGCATTTCAACCACAAAACCATTCCACATACTGACAACCAGTGGTAGCTAAACAGGGTTCAGGGGCAGGAGGGAAGTGTCACAAGGGAGGAAGAGTGCGGGGAGGAAATAGGGGCAGGGGAAAAGGTCACACGAGCCTCTTTTGTAGGCTTCCCGAGGGGTTTTCAAGGCCTTTAGTAGGGAGCTGCCACAGCTCTTGAACAAGGCCCCAAGACCTCCTCGGCGGACGGTGGACGCCCTAAAGAGCTAATCAGCAGGAGCAATCAGCACAGGGGAGCACAAGGTAGTAGAGAAGAGCACAGCAGCAGCAGCAGCAGTTGCCCAGCAACTTGGGTCCCCCACCTGGCCAGCCTGATCAGCACGATGCAGACTGTCAAGTCATGGCAGTTGGAGCCTCAGAGAGCCCTGGATGCCCATGCGTTGAGCACTCCCCGGCCAAGGCTTCTCCGGCCGCGGCCAGACCGGTGGGGGGACAGCGAGCCACTCCTACTGGCTGCCTTGGGCCAGCTTGAGCTGCAGGAGGAGGTTCCTTATGGCAGCCCGGAGCGCATGCAGCTGGAGCTAAAGGTCACCAGAGGAGTAATCGCTCACTTCGCGCCGCATGTCGGGGGAGTCAAGCAGCGAGGATCGCCCGGCGCAGCTGACAGCTGCGTGGAGCTCTGGTTTGACACGGTCCCGGCAGCAGCTGCGGCGCGGCATGCGGCAGCGGAGGACCAGCTTGTCCGGCTGCGTGCAGTGCCGGGCAGCGGAGACGTAGCGGTGCCGGTGCAACTCACTGCTGGGCGGTTCCACTGCCAGCACACCTGCATCATCATCCACGGGCTGCCGTACGAGTACTGCAGAAAGGGTCTCACTCAGACCCTTCTGGACTGTGCTGGCTGCCCCAGGGACACATACGTTGTTCGCGGCGAATTCCTCGGCGACCTGCCAGGACCGTTGGCAGTGGGCACCCATGGCGTCGGCAACGGGAATGCGTGCCTTGCATACATCCAGACGCCGGATGAGGACCGGCACTTGGGCCGCTTACCAAAGCGGTTCTTCATCGACGGTGACACCCGGATCAATATCACGCGGCCGGGGCAGCTGCGGCAGCCCAGCCAGCCATCCTCCTTCCAGTCGCAGCGCTTAGCTCCGGAGCCGTCGCGCCGCTCAGGGCCTCGACCGATCCGTCAGCGGCAGCGCGCTGCGCAGGACACGCGCACCGCAGCCGCGGCGCAGCGGACACAGCCAGCACCCAGTGCCCAGTTGCAGCAGCTGGAGGCCCGCGTACAAGCCAGCCGCGCGCCCGGTGGCGACCGCTCTGGCCTGGGTGCGTCTGGCTCCATCAGTGTAGCGCGATTAGGCCCGCGTTTTCGCCCCGCTGGAGACACGCAGCCGCTTACTCCGATGGACTGCACCCCTCCGCGAAGTGCACAGGTCTTCCCTGCTGCTAGACAGGCACTGACAGACATGGAGGAAGACACGCCGCCGCCGCCGCCGCCGCCGGTACCGATGGAGTGGGAGACACAGGCATACTCGGTGCCGCAGCGAGAGTTGCGACGCAGGATATCGCGCGTGCGCGATAAAGGTGCAGCCACCCCCATGGATTGGGATCTGCCTCACACCGAGGATCCACCCCAGACGGCTCACCGTCGCCCTCCGCACCTGGACCTCAGCGGCGTCCCGGATGAGCGTATCGAGGAGTGCCTGGAGTGGCTGGCAGGGCATACACACTTCTCCCCCGCAGACAGCGCGGCAGCGATTCGCCGGCTGCACAGCGATGCACCACTCGCGCTCGTGTCGGGAGGGGATGCACCAGCAGATAGGGAGCTGCGGCACCAGCTCCTCTGCGATGCTCTGCGTCGCATCCATGGAGCAGACAGCTTGCCGGACGACTCGTACGGCTTGCCGGCTCTGACACCGGAGGACCTAGCGCAGCCGGCAGAGGTCCCAGCAGCACCCATTGCACGTCAGCAGGGGAGACCCACTGTCCCGCCGGGCTTTGAGTCGCGAGCAGCCGCAGCGCGCGCAGCGCAGCGTGCGGCGCAGGTCGCACTAGCGGGGCTGCCGGCTCCGTGGCGCTCAGCACGTACGCGGCATCAGCCTACAGAGTGGTGGCTACAGCAGCAGGGGCAAAAGCAGGAGCGGCAGCGGGTAGAGCACAGGATTTCCAGGAGCATTCGCAGTGGGGGCCCGCCGGCACGGCGGCCCTCGCAGCCATGACTCGCTCCCGATCGCCCTCCCTGCGCCTTCTCAGCCTCAACGTCAACGGCCTCAGGGACAGAGACAAGAGGCGCTGCCTCTTCAACCTTCTGGAGCGCGACAGGTGGGACATCATCCTCCTTCAGGAGACCCACCACAGCTCTACAGAGGAGGGGACAGCATGGGCGCAGGAGGGGCCTGCCGGGCTTCGCTGCAATTGGAGCGGGCCCGCGTTTTGGTGCCACTTCACCTCCCAGTCACGCGGCGTAGCGGTCTTACTAAGACCCACAGCCTCCACAGCAGCCATCACGGTGCGTCACTGCAGCACCACCGGACGCACCCTACTAGTGGACTTCACTTATTGTGGCCAGCCCTACACGGTAGCTTCCGTGTACGCGCCTGCGGCCGCAGCGGAGCGACAGCAATATTACACACAGGAGCTGCTGCCCAGCCTGCCAGCAGCACGTTGCCTTCTGGTGGGAGGGGACTTCAACTGCATTGCAGGCCAGCAGGACATGGCCGCCGGGCAGCCCGGTCAGAGGACGCATGGATATTGGACCGGCCTGCGGCTCGTGGAGACTGAGCATCAGCTCTACGATGTCTGGCGTGACCTCAACCCCAGCAGTCGTGCCTTCACCCACGTTGCCACCACAGGTCAGTCAGCTGCCCGGCTCGACCGCTGGCTGGTCTCGGAGACGCTGCGGGCGCGGGTCAGCCGGGAGCCGCGAGCGATCGGGCAGGTTCTTGGTTATCCAGGAGACCACCTGGGGGTCAGCCTGAGCCTTACAGCTCCAGCCAGCACACTGTATGGCTCTGCAGCCTGGAGGCTGCCCCTTCATCTTCTGGACGATCAGCCGTTCTGCGATCGCATTACGGCAGCGATTCCGGAGTATCTTGCCGCACACCCGCTCGGAGAGGGCGTCACGCAGGGCAGCAGGTGGGTGGAGTTGAAGAGGCAGGTCAAAGATATGGCCATGCAGCGTTCCTGGGCTCTCGCAGCGGAGCGCCGGGCCTCTCAGCGGGCTCTGGAGTCTGACAGCCGCGCAGCACTCGCGGCGTTCACCCGGCGGCCCGCACCAGACACCCTTCTGGCATGGCAGGATGCCCACCAGCTTCTGCAGGGCCTCAATGTGGAGGCAGCTAAGGGGGCAGCACTCCAGGCTGGGATCGTATGGCAGTTCTACGGTGAGCAGTCCACCTTCTGGTTCCACCACCTGGCCCGGGAGCGGCAGGGCCGCACAGAGTTGATGGCCCTCAGGACAGGTCCAGCCCCTGACAGCCCACGGGTTGTCCTGGATCACCCAGCCGGCAGGGATCGGGGCGGCGCGGTGCTGCGGGAGTACTACAGTGGCGACGAAGCGGCAGGCCTCTTCGCGGCGCAGCCGGTGTCGCTGGCAGCCCAGGATGAGCTGCTGCGGGCAGTGGACAAGCGTTTGTCCCCTCAGGCAGCTGCAGCGGCAGAAGGAGAGCGCGGTGATGGCAGCGTGTCGGTCGCAGAGCTGGAATGGGTCTGCTGTGACAGCAGCAGCAGGATCAACAGTGACATCTGCTCCCTGTGGCACTGGTGAAGGGCCCGCTGGCGCGCCCGCAGGCCCGCCGCGGTCCCGCAGCGGAACCGGACGTGGTTGCGGCGCAGCCATCCAGATCGCCCAGGAGGAGGGATCAGGCTGCCCTCGAGGCCTCTTGCCTAAGACCTGCGACGCGGTACCAGCAGCTGCAGCCCTGGCCTCCCATCGCGCCTCGAGCGCCCGAAGGCCGCTGCGCTGATCATCTGTGGTATCAGCCCAGATGGCTGGTCGCAGCGGGCCCGCCGGGCTGGCCTCCCCCTTGCTGATCCTGTGAAGCACCTGTCGCCGCGCGGTGGCCTCCCTCACCACAAACTCATGTGCCGGCCGCGTGCCGAGCCCCCAAGCCTGAGGGTCCTGTACCTGGGATCCCCAGAGGCCAAAGAAGTATAGTGTGGGCGGCGGTGGTGGCAGTGGCTCCGGCAGCTGCTGCTCCCACTCCAACTGCTCCCCTGGCTGCTGCTCCACCTGCAGGTGCTGCTCTGGGTGCAGCTGCTCCGCGTGCTGGCGCTGCTGACGTGTGCCGCTGCGTGGATGCCAGGGCCTGGTGATGTCCCAGTGCTGAACCAATGCAGGCTGCGCGGCCGGAGGAAGGAAGGCGTGCATGGCTGCAACGCCTCCGTCCACTGGCACAAGGGCTCCTGTGCTGCTTACTGTGTGGCTGAGAAGGTAGGTGCTACCTTCGGCTGTGCGAGACCAGACGCGGCGATCCGACGGGTCCGGAGATGCGCACCACATAGCGGCCGGTGGCTGCACCTTTTTTTTTATTTTTTTTTTTAAAAGGGGAAGCCCCCGCTATTACACAGGTGCCAGTCGCACGCTTCCCAGCACGCATGCAATAGGATATTTGGGGAAACCTGTCAGAGTTGGGGCACGCAGAGCACTCCCGCAGGAGGATAATGCGATACTGAAGAGAAGCGCAAGCATGAAGGCATACCACAGAAAGGCAACAGAAAGGCTCCTAGCGATGGACATGTCCCAAGCACCAGAGGGTAACCTCATCCCCAGAGGCGCACTCCAGCCCGCCGGCAACGCAACACCGCTGAGGTGACGTTGGAGGACCCACGGGGCAAGCCTAGGGCTTGCAGCTGGAGGCAGGGGTCACAGCAAAGCAGGCAATCATCAATCACTGGCAGGCAATTATGGATGTGCGGGCAACCAGTGGTGGAACAGACATGAAAGGCACGTTTATACGGTTGGCCGACAGGGATGGAACAGGATCGCGTTCGGACCCATTACCACTAGGTGCCGCTCGGGGCTGGCAATGTGACCCTAAACTATGCCTCAATCTGCCAGCAAGGTGGGGCACAAGCAAACGGTGGCATATGGGAGATATGAAGCCGCAAATGAGGCGAAAAACAGGTAGGCTGGTGAGAACTCGACCAGATACACACACCCACCACATTGGAGGCGGGGATAGGCAGGAGGCATCATGTCCAAGGTCCTAGACACCCGCTCAGGTTCAAGGGTGGATACTGGGGTTGGAAACCCTAAACCCTTCAGATAGCCTTCAATGAACTACTGTGAATGGTGAGGAGGACAGACACTAAGGCAGAAGGCCACGGATGACAGGCCAAGGGGATTGTTGGGGCTGCTGGTGAGACAGAAACATCGGAGGATCACTGGAAAACTATTGATAGCCTAAAGCCCTGGGCAGGGTGGTCTTCTGTAAGCTTGCGCCAACGCTCTGGCTCTCCGGCACGGTACATGCTTGGGACATGTCCATCGCTAGGAGCCTTTCTGTTGCCTTTCTGTGGTATGCCTTCATGCTTGCGCTTCTCTTAAGTATCGCATTATCCTCCTGCGGGAGTGCTCTGCGTGCCCCTATTGCATGCGTGCTGGGAAGCGTGCGACTGGCACCTGTGTAATAGCGGGGGCTTCCCCTTTTAAAAAAACAGGTGGCCTGCCTTGGCCTCAAACAGGCACTCTGTATGACCTTGCTCTCCTGCCATGACACCCGCTCGTTTCTTCTCATCCTTTGGTCACCACGACAGTATTTTGGCAGGTTCACTGGACATCTGGGCGCTAAGAGCCCCTTCGGTTGTATCAGGCACGGATGACCGCGTTCACTCCTGCAGTTTCACCCCGGGTCAGCCCGGCTTGTCACCTTGTATGTTTTCCTTAGAGCCCTGGGTTCACAGATTGCCGCGACGGAGCTCCTTGCGCTTTCACCATTTGCTAGCGCGGAATGGGGCCTCAAGCACGCGGTACCACCAGTCGAGGGACCCGCTGAGCTCAGCTCTGCACGGTCCCTGGGGTGCACCCTCCACCCCCGGGACACTGGCCTCGCCAGCCAGTGTTGGTGGCCTCGCCCCCCACCAATTTTGCTCGGGCTGCTCACACCATGGGTATCCCTCGGCCGGGCGGCTCAGTCGTGGGCCCTGCTACCAGTGAAATTAAAGACCGGAGCGCCGGAGCGCCGTCGCCAGTACGCAGAAGCCCATATCACCGTGCCCAGGGCTCTCGGATGTCAGTTCCTGCCCCAAGCCTCCTCTCTTGCAGATTGGGCCTACTGTCTGCCGAGGAGGCCTTGGGGCCCTCTCTGTTCAGGAGCTCTGACCCTGATTCTGAGAACCTTGAAAATCACTCGGGAAGCCTGTCAATGGAGGCTGAAAGCTCCACTAACTGGCTGTCTCTGCAGCTATGGCTGGGCCGAGAGGGAGACAAGAGGCCCACTCTTTTTTTTTTTTTTTTTTTTTTTAAAAGGGGAAGCCCCCGCTATTACACAGGTGCCAGTCGCACGCTTCCCAGCACGCATGCAATAGGATATTTGGGGAAACCTGTCAGAGTTGGGGCACGCAGAGCACTCCCGCAGGAGGATAATGCGATACTGAAGAGAAGCGCAAGCATGAAGGCATACCACAGAAAGGCAACAGAAAGGCTCCTAGCGATGGACATGTCCCAAGCACCAGAGGGTAACCTCATCCCCAGAGGCGCACTCCAGCCCGCCGGCAACGCAACACCGCTGAGGTGACGTTGGAGGACCCACGGGGCAAGCCTAGGGCTTGCAGCTGGAGGCAGGGGTCACAGCAAAGCAGGCAATCATCAATCACTGGCAGGCAATTATGGATGTGCGGGCAACCAGTGGTGGAACAGACATGAAAGGCACGTTTATACGGTTGGCCGACAGGGATGGAACAGGATCGCGTTCGGACCCATTACCACTAGGTGCCGCTCGGGGCTGGCAATGTGACCCTAAACTATGCCTCAATCTGCCAGCAAGGTGGGGCACAAGCAAACGGTGGCATATGGGAGATATGAAGCCGCAAATGAGGCGAAAAACAGGTAGGCTGGTGAGAACTCGACCAGATACACACACCCACCACATTGGAGGCGGGGATAGGCAGGAGGCATCATGTCCAAGGTCCTAGACACCCGCTCAGGTTCAAGGGTGGATACTGGGGTTGGAAACCCTAAACCCTTCAGATAGCCTTCAATGAACTACTGTGAATGGTGAGGAGGACAGACACTAAGGCAGAAGGCCACGGATGACAGGCCAAGGGGATTGTTGGGGCTGCTGGTGAGACAGAAACATCGGAGGATCACTGGAAAACTATTGATAGCCTAAAGCCCTGGGCAGGGTGGTCTTCTGTAAGCTTGCGCCAACGCTCTGGCTCTCCGGCACGGTACTCCACAGGTAGCGGGGCGCACGATGGATCCGTCTGGCCGAGGGATACCCAAGGGGTGAGCCGCGCAAACACGTCCGGTGGTGGGCGAGGCCACCGGCACTGGGTGGCGAGGCCAGTGCCCCAGGGGTGAAGGAGGCACCCCCGGGGCCGTGTTGGGCCGAGCTCGACAGGTCCCTCGACCAGTGGAAGCACGTGACTCGGAGCCCCATTCCGCGCTGGCAAAGGTTAGAGGTAGGAGAGGCGCAAAGCTTCTGGTAGGCAATCTGTGGTCCCAGGGCTCTAAGGCAAAAGGGGTCTCAGACAAGGAACGACAGGCCGGGCTTTGCCGGGGTGGGATCGGGACTGGTGAAAGGTTAGTCATCCGTGCCTGACTATGGTATGACGAAGGCTCTTAGCGCCCATGTGCCCAGAGCACCTATCGCAAAGGCCCCCCTAAGAGAGGGTGTGAGTTCAACACAAGAATCGACACGAGCGGGTGTCATGGCAGAAGGCCAAATGAGAGCATGGTCATACAGATAGCCAAGTTAGAGCCGTGGCCGGCTGGGTACAGTGAATGGTGGATCGGAAGCGTCACGCTGGAAGCGGCACGGGATGCTGGGCACTCCAGTGGATGACTGGTTGCGCGCCCGGCAGCTCCTCCAGCGCGCAGAGGACCGCGCGGTGGCACCATCGCGCCGCAAACTGCTCCCTGGTGATCATCGGGTCGCGTCCGCGAAGCCAGTCGCTGAGCACACCTGCTGTCTGCCGGACGTTGACGGTCGCGAGCCGCCAATCGGCAAGCAGGGCCTTCTTGCAGGAAGACAGGATGCGAGCCGCAACCGCTCCGGGGGTGATCGCCGCCGCATCTGGCTGGTGGCGGCCGCGCTGATATGCTGCCCACAGCTGACAGATTGTAGCGAGCCGCAGGCGATCCCAGAGCTGCCTGAGCTGCCGCGGCGGTCCCCAGATCCTGGTGTCATCGGCGAGAAGAAGGTCGGCGCTGCGCGGTGGCGCGTCGTCTCCGGTCACCGCGGCCCATGTCGCTGCGAACCAGTCCCACACCCCGGCGGCGAGAGGGCAGATGATGAAGACATGGGTGAGTGTGGCCAGCTGACCTGCACAGCTCGGATGCGGGCAAACGTGACCGGCGGGATCGGCGCGGTGGACGTGACGCGCGAAGCCGCCGACGAAGAGCTGGCCATGCAGCAGCCTCCACGCTGTCACGCGCTGCCGCCGGTCCAGATGGGAAGCGTGCACCACTTGCCACACATGAGCCCAAGGTGCTGATGGGTCTGCTGTGACAGCAGCAGCAGGATCAACAGTGACATCTGCTCCCTGTGGCACTGGTGAAGGGCCCGCTGGCGCGCCCGCAGGCCCGCCGCGGTCCCGCAGCGGAACCGGACGTGGTTGCGGCGCAGCCATCCAGATCGCCCAGGAGGAGGGATCAGGCTGCCCTCGAGGCCTCTTGCCTAAGACCTGCGACGCGGTACCAGCAGCTGCAGCCCTGGCCTCCCATCGCGCCTCGAGCGCCCGAAGGCCGCTGCGCTGATCATCTGTGGTATCAGCCCAGATGGCTGGTCGCAGCGGGCCCGCCGGGCTGGCCTCCCCCTTGCTGATCCTGTGAAGCACCTGTCGCCGCGCGGTGGCCTCCCTCACCACAAACTCATGTGCCGGCCGCGTGCCGAGCCCCCAAGCCTGAGGGTCCTGTACCTGGGATCCCCAGAGGCCAAAGAAGTATAGTGTGGGCGGCGGTGGTGGCAGTGGCTCCGGCAGCTGCTGCTCCCACTCCAACTGCTCCCCTGGCTGCTGCTCCACCTGCAGGTGCTGCTCTGGGTGCAGCTGCTCCGCGTGCTGGCGCTGCTGACGTGTGCCGCTGCGTGGATGCCAGGGCCTGGTGATGTCCCAGTGCTGAACCAATGCAGGCTGCGCGGCCGGAGGAAGGAAGGCGTGCATGGCTGCAACGCCTCCGTCCACTGGCACAAGGGCTCCTGTGCTGCTTACTGTGTGGCTGAGAAGGTAGGTGCTACCTTCGGCTGTGCGAGACCAGACGCGGCGATCCGACGGGTCCGGAGATGCGCACCACATAGCGGCCGGTGGCTGCACCTGGATTAGCGCTCTCCAGGCTGCTGGCAAGGCAGCCAGAAGGATGGGCACGCGCTCTCGCACCATCCGAACCGGATGCTCCGGGCCGCGCACGACATCGCGCAGGTGGCTGATCCTGACCAGGCCAAGCCTGGCCCAGTCCTCCCAGGCAAAGGGCTGCCTGACTGCATCCGTGAGCTCCCTGTTGAAGAACAGTGGCTCACCCATGACTGCGTCGTAGCCGATCGCTTCCGGCTTCCGCAGGTGATGGGGCCGCAGCTGCTGGTAGGCATGCAGGTACTGCCGTACGCGCTGCGGGGCCTCCACATGCTTCGCTGCAAAGGTGGAGAAGAGCAGGAATCTTCCCAGCTGCCAGATGTGCTGCCGCCGCGCTGACACCGTGCCGGGTTCCTGCGCTGCCAGCCAGGCTGTGCTCCTGTACAGCCAGTGGTCGAAGTAGGCCTTCCAGGCCAGCTGTTCCGGCTCCAACAGCCTGCCCACCACCTTGGCCTGGAGAGCCAGGATCTGGGCCTTGATGTCCACCAGCGCGATGCCGCCGTGTGCGGCCGCGCGGAAGCAGACGTCCTTGCTTGGGAACAGCGCCGCCGCTGCGCCAGGGGTCACCGGCCGGTTCGCCGCGACGAAAGTGTGGATGGCTCTGCAGAGCCTCTGTAGCAAGTCTTGTGGCACCGGTATGAAGGTGGCATGGTAGGTGACCATGGAGGCCAGCACCTGTTTTGCGACGTACGCTCGGCCCAGCAGGCTGAGTCTGAAGCCGGACCAGCGGGCGATGCGGGCCTCCACCTTCTCAATGATGGCTGTGTATAGGGCTGTGGCAGCTGCAGCTGGCTGGGTGGACAAGGGAATGCCCAGGTGCTTGACGCCGTCGCTCGAAGCCGCGAAGGTGACCCCCGTGACTGGATCGGGCCCGGCGAGATGGCTGAGGCTGCCAAGCCCTAGGGCCTGGCTCTTGCTGCGCTGCAGCCTGGCTCCTGTGGCTGCGCAGTGGAGGCCCACGCTGGCCCCCAGCACGATCTGAGCATCCCGGGGAGTCCGCGCGTGCACGCTGGTGTCGTCCGCATGCTGGTGCATGACTGGTGCTGGCTCCCCTGAAGGCAGTCTGATGGGCTGGAAAGCTAGCTGGCCTGCAAGCATCCTGGCATGCGCGGCCATCGGCTGCGCGGCAAGCACAAACAGCAGCGGCGAGAGGGGGCTTCCCTGGAAGACGCCGGCGGCCACCGGGAAGGCATCGGTGTGCCAGCCGTTGAAGGCCACTCGCGCGGTCGTGCCGGAGTGCAGAATGTGCACCCACCGCTGCACACCGGGCCCGAAGCCCACCGCAGCCATGCACCGCTCAATCCAGGCCCTGTCAAGGCGATCGAAGGCCTTCTCGAAGTCCAGGAAGACCTGCACGCCTGGCTGGTGTGTGGCCTCCAGGTAGCTGATCTCCTCCAGGTGTGCCAGCACGTTGTCCCCCGCCCAGCGCTTAGGCAGGAAGCCTGTCTGTGTGGCATCCACCACCTGATTCAGCAGCGGCCCGATCCGGCTGGCGATCGCCCGCGCCGCGAGCTTGTAGTCGGTGTTGAGCAACGTGATGGGCCTGTAGCTGGCTAGAGACTCCCTGTCTGCCCCCTTCCCCTTGTACAAGAGAGTGATACGCCCCTGCGTCAGCGGTGGCGGCAGCGCCGCTTCCCCGCCGCCGCCGAAAGCTTCCTGCAGCATCCCTGCCAGCTCCAGCCCTACCACAGGCCAGAAGCGCAGGTAGAACTCATATGGCAGGCCATCCAAGCCCGGTGCCTTGCCGCGCGGCAGGCTCCGGAGGGCAGTCTCCAGCTCTGCGACCGACACGCTGCCATCACCGCGCTCTCCTTCTGCCGCTGCAGCTGCCTGAGGGGACAAACGCTTGTCCACTGCCTGCAGCAGCTCATCCTGGGCTGCCAGCGACACCGGCTGCGCCGCGAAGAGGCCTGCCGCTTCGTCGCCACTGTAGTACTCCCGCAGCACCGCGCCGCCCCGATCTCTGCCGGCTGGGTGATCCAGGACAACCCGTGGGCTGTCAGGGGCTGGACCTGTCCTGAGGGCCATCAACTCTGTGCGGCCCTGCCGCTCCCGGGCCAGGTGGTGGAACCAGAAGGTGGACTGCTCACCGTAGAACTGCCATACGATCCCAGCCTGGAGTGCTGCCCCCTTAGCTGCCTCCACATTGAGGCCCTGCAGAAGCTGGTGGGCATCCTGCCACGCCAGAAGGGTGTCTGGTGCGGGCCGCCGGGTGAACGCCGCGAGCGCTGCGCGGCTGTCAGACTCCAGAGCCCGCTGAGAGGCCCGGCGCTCCGCTGCGAGAGCCCAGGAACGCTGCATGGCCATATCTTTGACCTGCCACTTCAACTCCACCCACCTGCTGCCCTGCGTGACGCCCTCTCCGAGCGGGTGTGCGGCAAGATACTCCGGAATCGCTGCCGTAACGCGATCGCAGAACGGCTGATCGTCCAGAAGATGAAGGGGCAGCCTCCAGGCTGCAGAGCCATACAGTGTGCTGGCTGGAGCTGTAAGGCTCAGGCTGACCCCCAGGTGGTCTCCTGGATAACCAAGAACCTGCCCGATCGCTCGCGGCTCCCGGCTGACCCGCGCCCGCAGCGTCTCCGAGACCAGCCAGCGGTCGAGCCGGGCAGCTGACTGACCTGTGGTGGCAACGTGGGTGAAGGCACGACTGCTGGGGTTGAGGTCACGCCAGACATCGTAGAGCTGATGCTCAGTCTCCACGAGCCGCAGGCCGGTCCAATATCCATGCGTCCGCTGACCGGGCTGCCCGGCGGCCATGTCCTGCTGGCCTGCAATGCAGTTGAAGTCCCCTCCCACCAGAAGGCAACGTGCTGCTGGAAGGCTGGGCAGCAGCTCCTGTGTATAATACTGCTGTCGCTCCGCTGCGGCCGCAGGCGCGTACACGGAAGCTACCGTGTAGGGCTGGCCACAATAAGTGAAGTCCACTAGTAGGGTGCGTCCGGTGGTGCTGCAGTGACGCACCGTGATGGCTGCTGTGGAGGCTGTGGGTCTTAGTAAGACCGCTACGCCGCGTGACTGGGAGGTGAAGTGGCACCAAAATGCGGGCCCGCTCCAATTGCAGCGAAGCCCGGCAGGCCCCTCCTGCGCC